CCCCCCCCGGAACTGGGGTGATCAACCTTGCTCGGACGGCGTTTGTCCTCTCTTGTGTTAGCTTTGAACAGAGCAGAACAGAACAGAGTAGAGCTTCGTCGTCATTGTCATCGTCGTCGTCGTCGTTCGGTCTCGGCGGCGGTCCCTTTCCGCTGCTTCTCACCTCACAGCCTGCTCCGTGCTTTGACGCTGATGAGGTTGGTCGTACTTCCTTCGCTGCGGATGAGCGGTCTTTGCTTCCGTGCCGCGGTTGGGTAGATCTGCTGCCGTCGGTAATGGCTTCCGCAGTTGATTAGGAGGGTGTCCGTCGCTGCCAATGCAGCCTGATATGCACTGTCGTGAACTTGCCCTACTCACGCCCTCTCAAGACGTGCTGGCAACCAATACCTAAGCAGCGGCAGTGAGCCTCCCAATTCCCCCACTACCTCGCTTCTCCCATCCGCCAGTATCCTCCAAGGCCCGTCCTCCTAGCCAACGCTTCCCTATCCCAGCACCGTGGCTCCTCGTGATCCTCCTTCCCACCCCACGGCCAAATGGCCACGAAACAGACCTCGTCGACCCTACAGCCCCTCCCCTCATCACAGACTTTGAATGCTGGCCACTGCAACCACTCCTTCAACCCGTCGAGCCTCATCTGCTGCTCTTCAAAATCTCCCGCGAGTATAGTCATGACGGAATACAGCACAGTGCAAATCTCACACGCCACGTTCGTCACTGATTGCTGCGCCATGCTCTGCTCCTCCCACGGCAAATCAAGCTGGGCAGGGGGTATAAATGCCTCCGTGCATCTCTGAATCGCCGGCCGACTGTCATGTGTCTCATAGTCAGCTCCGTCGAGGTACACTCCATACACGGCCTGGGTAGCATTGGCCCTTGCCTCGGCCGACGCCCAGGCTTCCCGCTCGGAAAGGTACTGCAGCCTGCGAGCATAGCGCGTCACGTACAGATCTGAAATCTCCCTCCAATCCACTTCCTGCCGCCGACCATTCTCCTCTACCTCTCCTGGGAGCCTTCCACTCATCACCAACTCCCTCACCTGCCCCGCCACCCTTTCCGCCGCAGTGTCCGAAATCCGACTGATATTCGGCAACACCCCATCCTCACTGTCCTGCCACAACCGCCCCATCTCCGGATCCGCATACACACTAACAAACCTCTCCGTCCGCACCCTCACCCTCCCATCACCCACCCCTCCATACCTATCCGCAACCGCGGTCAAGAAATGCCAGAAATCAAGCCCCAGCCTCCACTTCTCGACGACGCCCATGCGCCGCACCACCCCGAAGTCACACGCGATGACCTCAAAACCATGCTCCATGCGCACGACTCCATCGATGCTGCGGCCCCACTCGTTGGCCGCCAGTTCGCAGAGTCCCCTGGCGCGCGCGCTCTCGCCGAAAAGTCCTTTGGGCCGCTTGGAGGAGTGCCGCAGGAGGATGAGGTCCTGGCTGGACAGCGTGCCGATGGGCGACTTGGCGGCGGATTGGCCGTCGATGTAAAGGAGTCGTAGGTCGCGTGTTGCGGTGTAGGTGTGTAGGTAGCCTGGGTAGAGTTTATAGTCGTTCTGTGGCGGTGGTCGTGGTTGTGGTTGGCCCAGGAGGAGCCTCTGATCGGCTGAAGAAGCCTCAGACGCACATCCACCGGCAGCAGAGGAAGACAGAGCGTGTAGCGGAACAAGACGCATCTCCTCGCCCATCGCAGCAGGGCCGCGGCCGTGCACCCAGTCCTGGCCTTGGCTTGGCTCCTGTTCCTGTACCTGTACCTGCTGCCACGTCCAACCCCACTTGGGCGAAAGGTCCGGCTCAGAACCATTGCGCTCCACCCTCACAGCAAAATTACTCGCATGCTCCGGCTCTAGCGCCAACCACTCCATCACCCCGTCCCCAAGCAGCTCGGTGTCGCCGCGGCCGTGGTAGAGACGCGTGCCGGCCGGGATGGTCGCGAGAAAGAAGGAGACGCCGTTGTGGTGCAGGGATTCGTCCCATTGGCGGAGGGTGGAGTGGAGGGCGTTGAAGATGTGGTTGTGGTTGGAGGCGGAGGCTGAGGCTGAGGAGGGAGGGATGCTGCTGCCACCAAAGCTGGTCAAGTATGTAAGCAGCCATAGCGTGAAGAAGCCATTCGGTATCAGGAGCGCCATCGTGCAAGCGTGGTTATGAATGAGTAAAGAAAAGGCGGAGCGTGAGGGTTGGTCCCTGGGGCAGAGCTGGGCTGGTCGTTGAGACGGTATCACTACCGATGGGTAGAGTGTGCGCCCGTCGTTACATCAGAGTATCGTATGACTTTGCGTACTTCCCGTCGCTATCGAATGCCGTAAGCTAGATTCTGCTTGTTGCACACCAGCAGCATCCTGCGTGTGATAGATGGGTTAGTACCACTCGAACGAGGTGAAGTTGGGCTGCCTAGATTAGCTAAACGGCCCCACTTTTTTCCTTTCGGATTCGCAGGTCCGAGTCGCCTTATGCATCCCCTTCTCCTTTGGCTCGGCGTCGTCGCAGTCGTGATAGGGACAAGCGAGTCCAGACAGAACAGTAGGCAGTTCATATCTGCCGTCTCTGTAGCACCGACAATAGCTGAAGCGACCCGTCTCATGGTGCGTCGAGTTAAAGGGCCACGAATGCCATGTACTCCCAGGCAGTGAAAGTCTTGGCATAGGCCGAGGTGGGAGAACTCTTGTGTTAGGGGACGAGTGAAATGGAAATGAGATCAGTATCCTGAGGCAGGCGATTGTGAAGTATAAGGACACCACCTAGCCCTTTATTTGAGTCAATGTCATGCTTCGGTATCGAGTCACTTAGTACAGCTTCGCCCCCCAACTCTCAGCCTCCACGACTGACCACCCACCCCCGAGCTGTGTCTGGCTCAAGCACGCGTCGATGTAGAAGGACCAGGACCATACAGATCGGAGTTCGAAGGTGAAGAGTCTCGGCACCATTGTTCGTGAGGCCATTAAGGAGCTGGGGGTCTGCGACGCTTGAAAGGATGGCAGAGATTCAAGGCTAGCCTGTGCGGCCTCTCCACCAACATCCGCCCCATTGGCAAGATCCACTGCGCTTGTGGCAGCATCAACGACCGGTACCTTTGGCATTTTGAGGTGTTTTGCCTTTGACATAGCACCGCCGAGCGCTGAAAAGGGGAAACAGTTAGCGTTATGGACACTGAGAGACTCACGACGCCCTCTCGTGAGGCACCCGAACCAGAGAACGAACGACATAAGGAACAAGAGACTCACCAGCGGCACCAAGACCAGTCGCGGCACCAGCGCTTCCGAGTCCTGCAGCAAGAACACGAAACAGAGAACTGGGAGTTGTTAGCAGACTCGGATCAAAAACCACGAGGGACTTTGGCCGTTAGTCCCGCTTAGGATTCTAGATAGTGTTTCGGAAGTAACGAGAATCGTACCTACACCATCATCTGGAAGGAGAACTTACCGGTGGTGGTGATGGTAGTGGTGACCATCATGATCGTTCCCTTTGCCCTTACCATCCTTGCCGTTTTTGCCATTCTTGCCGTCGTCACCATCGTCGCCGTCCTTACAGCCTTTCCCGTCTTCCCCGTCGTTGCCATCTTCTCCATCTTCCCCATTGTCGCCATCTTCGCTTGCATCGCCGCTGTTGCCGTCACTGTTCTCTCTCTGGCAGGCGTCGTACGATCGCTGCCCATCTTCTTTGACTTGTTGCTGCTGCTCAGTCGTCAAAGAATCGAAGTAATTATTAGCGATCTCGGTCAGCATTGGAGAGTGATCTAAGTCTGCCAAGTCAATACAGGAGTCGTCCAAGCCGCTCTTGCATCCCTTGTACTCCCCGCCGTGAGTCTCAGGCACTTGATTGGAAATCTGTGACGCCAGGGACGCGTAGTAGAGCTGCTGCTCTGAGGCCAAGGCCGCAGAGCCATTGGCAAACGTGACATAGGCAAGCATATACTCCAGGCCGGCATTCGGTCGAGACGGTGACGAGAAAGCATAAACTTTATGGGCAGCCGAGGCGGATGCGTCAGTGGAGGAAGCGCCTTCTGATACCGAAGATGGACCGGAAGCTGCTGGATTGGCCGTGAGTGGCGAGATCTCTGTGAATGACGAGACTTGAGTGACTGTCTGAATTTCTTGTGTAACATCGTGTTCTATGGTGCGAGTGACCTCGTACGACAAAATCTTGGTGACCAACTGAACTTCCTGCGCGGCATCATGTTCCACTATTTCAGTGGCGGTTGCGAGATCAGTCACGGTGGTACCACTTGGAGTAAGAGAAGTGGGAATGCCATTCGGTGAAGTCGAGCCAGAAATTTTGGCCCGTGTCCCTGATGCAGGATGATCAAGATTCGATGGCGAGGTACCAGACACCGAGCCAAAAGATCCGCCCGCTGCACTAGAGAATGGCCCGTTGGTGTAGGAACCGGACATGGATAGTGAATCAACTGGTTTGAAGGTGCTTGCACCAGACAGCAACGCGGCGGGTCGAGACTGTGATAGTCCCGTGACCCGCGTCTCCGACCTGGTTATGTTGGGGTTCTGTGTTCGTATTGAGTCAGAGCTGTTCGACTCTATGACGATGCCCGTAGAAACAGGCAATGTTTGTCGTCGATCTGATACTGAGGAGATAGTAGATAAGCTAGGAAGTCCAGCTTTCGATTTCATAGCAGTGCTTGCATTGGCGGCAGCAGTGGAAGCGGGGAGAACAGGATCAGACCCGGTTGCGACAATTGAGCCAGGCACAGCAGCAGGAGCAGGAGTCTAAGACGTAGCAGTGGCGGCAGGAGTAGAAGCCCAGCATTCGAGATGGGAGCGGTGAATGGAGTTTCGCCCCCTGCTGGGAGAGCGCCAGGCACGTACTCGGTCCCCTCTTCCAGGTTGTTGGCTACGACGACTGTTGTAGGAAGCGGGCATTTCGGGTAGGTGTCCATGAAGGTCGGCCTGCACGACAGATTCATCGACGTACCAAGCTCTTGAAAGTCTGGTGGAATCGTCAATCCGGGAGCTTGCTATGCTGAATCGCCTCGCCCAGGGCAGCAAGCTAGTGCTTGGCGACACGTTGCTGCATTGTCATGGGCCAAATGGGTATTCCAGTGATGGTCTCAGCTGGATCGTACGGACACTCCACTCCATTCGCGAGGTCAACGTGGTCTTGTCTGTTATCTTGTGATCGTCGGTAGCGCTGTCCAGTGTAGTTCCCTGGGCTTGTCGAGGTGCAAAGCTGTAGGCTGGCAGCCCTAAATCTGTCTGCTCCTCTGTCGTGCTCTTACCAAGAGGCACAAGAGTCGGGGTTGTACTCGATCTGAGCTCGGTCGTGGGTTGTAGGTCTCGCTCAGTGATGCTGACTGGCGAGGAAAGACAGAACGAAAAGAGGGTGGATTGCGTGTCAGGCATGGTGCCAGCAAGGTCAGTAAGCGAGCCAGAAACTGGGGCAACAGCATGACTTTGCTAATGCTGGAATGAGTGAGGGAAGTGAATGAAAAGGAGTGAAGGAAGGAAGTGAAACAAAGAAGTGCAGGAACGCAGTGAAACGGACAAGATGAGAGCGGGAATGGTAGGAATGGAAGGTAGAGAGACGAGGAAGTGAAAAGAAATGAAGTCCTCCAGAAATCCTTGCGCTCGTTACCTTTTTCTGTCACACACCTTGACCTGCTGCTGCTCTCATGCTGGTCATAGATAACATGTTTTGGCCAGCCAGCACAGGATCTCATTGCCTCTAAAGTCCCGGCCCCTTTTCTGGCATCAAACCAGACCATGGTAGGGCTTTCCTCAAGACTTTCCAAGGCAGAGTTGTGCTGGGGGTCTAGCTGCGCATTAGCTGCGACATACGCTCACCTTGGGGATAGAAGCTCTTTTAGAGGCAGTGAAGCAACTTTCGATGCGCTTCTCCGGAGCATGTTTGTCATGATGGGCTTGCGGAGGCGAAAATACCTTTCCTGTACTGTGTTTACAGGCTCAAGATGGCAAAGAGATGCAGGAAGGTCTACCTCGACAAGTACTTTCTTATATGGGCATTGGTTCCGTTTATGGACGTCCCGAACTAGCAGTTCCGCTGTCGTATGGTTGCCTTGAAGTTAAGTGTATGACTTGGCGCCAAGATTGTATGGGAGGAATCACGCAATGTCTGCTCGTCAGACGCGTGTCTTATAGGATAGCCTCATAGCTGGTCTTCATCGTATGGATCGGGCACACCCCAACCTCCCCTAGCAGCTGGCTGCATGGGTGCCGCGATCTTCGGCTGTTGTGTGACGGCTTTTGCAGGTGGAATGTCACCTTTGGGGGCATCATCCTCGTCGTCGTCGTCACCATCATCATCTTCCTCGTCGCTGATCTCGACATCTTCCGCCTCGGAGCCAAGCTCATCTTGGACCAAATCTTTCTTTGCCTTTGGCTCGTCATCTTCGTCACTGTCATCTTCGCTCCCACTTCCTTCGTCTTCGTCATCGCCATCGCTGGGCTCAAAGTCCTCCTCATCCTCATCCTCTTCATCTTGTAGCATCTGTTCAGCCTTCTCCAATTCGGTGCGGCCGTCATCGTCTTCTCGCTCAGCATCGGCCATCTCCCCATTGGCTGCCGCTGCCCCCTTCTTCTTTGTTTCGGACTTGGCACGTCTGCCCGCCGCTAAGCTCGCGTCGTTCAGCCCGTGCCGCTGCACATACTCATTGATACCTTGGAAGTCACCCTGGTCGAGCATGCTGAACTCGATCTCTTCCGCGTCACCCTCATCGGCGCCGGGTTTTTGGTAAGCGACGTTAAGGTTAAAGGTACGCTGCAGCACGCTAGTGTAGCTGATTGATTCGATGTCACTAAATGAGAGAAAGAGCAAGGGCTTCTTGTAGCCGAAGAACAGGCCAGTGGACAGGAAGAAGAGATATCCGTCTTTTGAGCCACGGAAGGCTTTGACGTGGTACGCCTTCTCGGACTTGCGGTGAGGTTCTGGCGTGGCACTAGCGAACTCATCGGCATTTGGTAATGTCAACGATAGATTGTGTGACGGCAGGATATGATTCAGTGCTTCATCGAGGGTCGTTGCCGAGGAAGGCAGAGTGAATGTGCCAGGCTTGAGCGGTGTAGCAGGCAAAGTGAAAAGTACCGGCTCGAAAGTCGATGCCGCATTGGGGAGAAAGATATAGTTGAACTGTTTGGAAGCCTTCTCTGGAACGGGCAGGCATAGAACGTTCGCTTAAACCATATCAGCACGGTAATAAAATGCCAGTGCCTGAGCAGACTCACCTATCTCTGAGCCTGGCAACTCATATTCAACCTGACCACTAGTCGGATTAATGGCCTGCACCCCGATCGTAGTCTGGTCAGGAGCGGAGTACTGGGCGATTCTGAAATGCAACTTCTTGCGTTGAGGAATGGAGAAGGAGACGTCCTTGACCTCTAGTATCTGGGCTGCCTTCGCGTCCGCACCATGGATGGGTAAAGCGCCATTGGCAAGCTTTCTCTTCTTTGCTGCAGGTTCCTCTGCGCCATCTGCTTCTGAGATGCCATTGGCAACGGGTAGCGAATGGCGGAGGTGGTATGATGCTATTTCTTCGAACAACGGTCGTTGGGCTGGTGCCGATTCTGCGATGGACAAGGTTAGCGGCCAGCAGTGTACAGGTCGCATCTGCCAAACGTACTGATAACATTGTAAATCTTCTGGCGTAGCCCATCATTGCGGCCAAAAGCCTGGTCAATGACGCTCATTGTGAGCGGAGGGCACAGCAGCTGTAGGCGGCGATGGGAGTCTCAGGATCGAGTCGCTATACCGATACTTAGGCTGGCACAGGTTGAGGCCGAGGACGAATGTCCAACTCGAGCCGTCAACAAGATCTATAGACTAAGGAAAGATGGCACGTTGCGGCCAAATGAAAAGACGTCTCGCGACGCGGCCGTGACGCGACCGTGGATGACTCGATTCCTACCCAGAAATCATTTGCTGTGCCAAGCTGAGTCGAACCTACCCGGGACTCGCTCCTCTTGATCGCCGTCTTACAGCTCATATGGTCTTAACGGGCGAGAGGTGATGACTTCGGTACATCCTCGACTGTGCAAGTACAAAGGATTGCTATGGGCTATCTGCATCTACTGCTAAGGGTGCCATATCGTTCCGTCTACCAAAGCGCCATGCTAAAGCCCCACAAAGAACTAGTCAGCCTGTCAAGTCCATCCGTGGTGGCTTCTATTGCCATTCAGTAGTCAAGGTGGAGATGCCTTCTCAATGACAGATAACGCTCGAATGCAAAGAGCTTCAATTCAACCCTCATGAAGCCGCACCACGCAATAAAGAGCCTCAACGCGTTGTTTGGCGGCCATAACAGCCCACCAGCCTTCTTCAGATTCTCCTTCTGCTCTTCCCACACGGTCCAACTGGCGTACTTGGCGAGAATGAGCATCGGCCGCATAGGCTCCGGACTTCCCAGGCTCTCGTCGAGACTTCTGGTCAAGTCGTTTGTTTTGAGGATTAACAAGATGATGCGTGGTACGTTTCCAAGCAATTGCACCAGCTGTCGGAGCAGATCTTCTCCAAAGACTTGGTCGATGTTGTCCTTCTCGGATTGATCGCGGACGGTGCTTGCCACATCACCTCGCGTCAACACACGATAATCTCTGCCCGTGATAGCAGATGCAAAGAGAGGGAACATGTCGTCGCTGATGCCGGCCAGTTCCCACGCGTACTGCCTCATTTTCTTCTCGTCCGCGTCGATCACCGCTAGCCAGAGCTTTGCGTAGTCTCTTCGCATCTTGTCCTCGGGATGCCGGTACAGCCCATGGTCGTAAAGGATCAGGTCAAAATTATACGGGTGCCGCCGCTTGGGATTGTGGCGAATGGCAATATTGCCTCCATGGGGGTCGCAATGCAGTGGCGCGCCGGACTGAAATATCATCGTGTTGAAGATCCTCGCTAGTGTCGCGCTGACTTCCGTCCGTGATATCGAGTGCTTGTCGAAGTATTCTCTGTCGTCTATTCTTGCTCCCGCCACACAGTCCATGACAAGTATTCGTTTCTTGGCCCAGATCACATTCGGAATGATGAGTGGAAAAGACGTGTGCTTCTTGAAGAACTCCTTCGCCTCCACCGCATTCTTTCCCTCCTGTGCAAAATCCAGTTCGATCGGTAGTGAGTACTCCATTTCTTGAGATAGCCACGACAAGTCGTAATCCGGAAAGGCTCTCTTCAAAGTCTGAAATGTAAATTTAGTCAGAGCGAGGTCGAGTGGCACCCACTCCTCCAGACTCGGATGCTGCACCTTGACAGCCACTTTCTCTCCCGACTCGCGCAGCACGGCAATATGCACCTGCGCCAAACTCGCGGCGCCTATAGGTTCCTTGGAGAACTGGCTAAAATTGTGTTCGATTGACTCGCCGGTGTCCTTAATAAACATCTCCTCGATGGACTCGTAAGAAGATACCGGGCACTTATCTTGTAAGGGAATAAAGGTCGTGACCCATTCCTCTGGTAGCAGGTAACCCATAGACGACAGATGCTGGCCGAGTTTGATGAATATAGATCCGTTCTTCTCCAGGACCTCCAACGTTCTTTGCGCACACCTTTTATGGCAAGCCTTCAGCATCGACGCCTCGACCTCGGGATCATCATGCTGCTCCTTTAATGTCACCCGGTAATCGTTGATGTTGACAGCCAGCGCACTCGCCACTCGTGAACTTCGCTCGGTGGCCTTCCAGGCATGATTGATTTCGTCCTGAAAGAAGAGCCCCCCACCCAACAGCGTTCCTGACCCAGCTGCAGCGTAGAGTACTTTCCCCCTCTTAGGTCTCAAGACCTTGACAGGTCTTGCACGGCTGCTGAACTGCTGCTTCGAAGCCCGCAAATTTGACTGGCAGCATTCAGGGCACGTCCATGCTGGGGATCGGCCGAGCGCCACACGGACGCGAGGAAGAGGTCGCATGAGCGAAAGTGAGTGTAATGTTACCGAGGCATTCGCAGAGAAGGGGTTTGCGGCGAGGTCGAACAAATGAGATACGTCAGTTCGAAGGTTAACAGGCAACCAGGAAGTTGCAAGCAATGACCGTGGGATCGTTGTACCAAGGATGATTGACTTGTTGAAGTCGAAGCATGGACTTTTCCCCATCGCCCGTTCAAGGACGTCATTGAGCCACAGCCAATCAGCGAGCTCACCACAGGATCATACGACCAAGTACAGCACTCACATCTACTGCCTGTCCAACCCCCAAATTCCTCATCCAATATCTACAATGTCACAATCACAAATTCCGGCCGAGGGCGCGCCACAATCGCATACAACGCCCAACCCTCGACGGCTACGGCGCGGCAGATTTGGGACTTTCACTCCGAGGACCATCGCCGCGCCCATCGCCGCCTTCACTATGGCTGTCCTGCTCTACACATACAGGTAAGCAACTAACCCAGCACGTCTACAACCATTCAAGGACCCTTGCGCCATATTCCCCCCTCAATCTCCCTTCACCCATCCTCAAGCCCCCTATACCAACCATCAACACGCCCTCTCCCGGTACTTGACTACGCCAAGACCTACCTCTCTCCCTAATCCAGTACACAACACAAGGTCTAACCTCGCCGGCCACCACAGCGTAACATCCATCTCAGCCGCCAAACGCAACGCCGCCCTGCACCGCCACGCCGACGGCGGCCAACTCGACATGCGCCGCGAATCCCTGCGCCGCCACGGCGTCCTCGACCAGGTCGAGGGCACCAAGGGTGTCGAGCTTTTCCGTAATGCTCGCGCCCCTGCCGCCAATTCCACTTCCACTTCCACTTCCACTGCCGTCGGCGCCGGCGCCGGCGCCGGCACAACCAACAGTTCTGCTCCCACCCCTGTGCCAGAAGCGGTGCATGGGCCGGATCTGAGTTCGCCGCCGCCGCCGCCGGCGGAGCAGAAGCAGACGAAGAACGCGCCGACAGGAGAAGAGGCGGTGAGGGGCTCCGGGGCAGGAGGCCAGCAGCCCGAGCGGGCGGCACGGACGGAGGTGGAGGGCGGGTTGGAGGGCTGGAAGGGCGAGGGGGGTAGGGGCCGGTTTCGGGGCCCGCCGCCGCCGTCGGCGTAGTCGGCTTCGGCGGGGCAGCGGACGGGGGAGAGGTTGTTGTTGGGAGAGGAGGGAGGAGGCGGAGCGCCGTTCGAGAGGGGGCGGTGAATGAAGTCAGTTGTTGTTTTTCCGGAGCTGGGATAAAGGATGAGAGGGGCAGGGCTTAATGGGGGACCGTCACTGTATACTGTGTAGAGAAGGTGTGGTGGTAGAGACTTTTGGAACCGACCTGACTGGATCGGGCCCAGAGGGGTGCAGGTGTCTTGCATGAGCAAAGCATTCGACGGGGAAAATAGGGCCCATGCAAGACGGAATTTCCCTCGAGTGAGCCACACGTGCACGCACAGGGCATGTTTTGAAAAGGTTCTGTACATTAAGGTATCAGAGATATTCTATTGAAACCCCATGAATGCTTGAGGATAGCAACTGAATTGAATCTCGCACAATCTTGCATTCCCACACGCCCATGCCCACAACTCCTCGCTACATCAAGCTCGCAAACCCCCTTCCTGAAATCTCAATGCAAACCATCGCTGTCACATTATCGCGCACACTTGAGTGGAGAAGCTCTTATCAGCCTCAATTCCTCACCTCCACTCGCAATCCATTCACTTCCACCACTCCATCATGTCCCTCTCGCCCGCCGGCGTTTTCATCTCCTTAATTGGTGCCATTGGTGCCCCGTGGTTTGCGAAGCCCTCAAATGGATTATTGCTTGTCGTCCCTGCTGTCGGCCTCGGCATATCCAAACTCGCGGACCGTCGTGGCTGGTCGAATCTGTTATGGGCTTCAAATGGATTGTTACTTGGCGGTACCGCGGCACTGCTGCTGGGAAACGCAGCTGCATTGAAGGATGGCTGCTGCTGCTCGAACGGATTATTAGTCCCGAACGCCTCTGGCTCGCGGGGCAGCTGCTGTGTCGAATTCGTCTGAATCGGTCTCTGCGTGTCGAACCTGTTGCCAGCCGCAAACGGATTGTTGATGTTAGCTGTTTTGTCTTCTGCTGGTTGGCTCTCGCTCATGCTCGCACTCATTTGGGGCGGAGTCCGGTCGCTAGAGCCCGGTAGATGGTGCTGGCTGCTCGCGGCGGAGCTCACCTGCCGTAGACTTGTGCTGCGGCTGACACCTCGACTGCCCGTTGGTGCTGGCTGCTCGTTTCGTTTCGGCACTGCGAGGGGTGGGGGAAGCCCGTCATCCCAGGCTGCACCAGTGGGGGTAGCACGCATTGGACCGACGCCGTGGAATCCTGTTTGCTGCGGGGCAAGGGCCTGTGGTGGGGGAGAATTGTTGGCGCTCGCACTATAGCCATTGGCGAGAGAGATCGACCTGTGCTCCTGGGGTCGGGGGTGAGGCTGTCCCGTCAGGCCGTAATTGTAGTTGCGGACAGTGTCCATGCTTTGCCGCGTTGGCTGCTGAGAAACAGGAGCATCATTCCACGCTTCCTGTGGGCGCCAGCTCGTTCGCGCATCGTTGGCCTCCTGCTGATCACGGAGCGTAAGAATGCCGTTATTGTCTTCTCGACTGAGATCCAATGATCTTGTCTGACGCTGAGTCTTTCTCTGTTCATCGTACTCATCTCGTAGACCCTCCCAGCGCTCATAGTTTTTCACTCGTTTCTTTTCATGGCGGTGTCCCACTACTGCTTGGTGGGTGAGATAGACCGCACCGAATATTAAAGAGGTCATAGTCGCGGTGGATAGATTGGTGTGGCACTGATTCAGGCAGTGAATGCGAAAAAGTGGAGAAGGCTGTGGCGTTGTATTCGTAGGTAGCGATTCCCGCGTGGGCGGTGCAACGCTGTTGATTGCTTTGAAGTTACTTGTTGAGTATCGTCGTCGAGAGTCTCGTGCTGCGGTGAGGAGTTCCTACCGCGGTCAATGGGTGGTAGAATTTATATGATGCCGAGTCTCGCCTGCCCGATCCAGTAGATAAGGTGGATTGTGCCACAGTCGAGGAGTTCAAAGATCATTCAAGTCTTCTTCGAGAGCGAACAAGAAAGGAAAGAAGCAACACGAAGATGTGGAATCAAATCAGATCTGCCCTCGATCTCGAAGGTGTCTGGCAGCGCAGCAGAGACTCCGGTATGTGGGTGGGTGCAGCACGCTATCGCCCGCAAGTCAACCTTGAAATGTACCGAATGGAGCCCCGATCTGAAGAAGAGCCAGTGCCATGTCCAGTGGCAAGATGGGGAACGGACCCGAATTAATGTCTAGGTTGCAATTGCTGCAATAGGCCCCGAGCTTGGATTGGATGAGCTCATGTTTCCGCTGCAAGGACACCGGACTGACAGGCGGGTAGCGTTGGCCTCTGAAGTCATCGGCTCCTCAATGCCGCGTTGCCTCAGGTCTTTGCAGGCTCCCCGACGATTTTCTCGCCAACAATCACATAACCCAGCGGCGGTGGCAACTGGGCAGTAGGCGTCAAGGTATTATTATGAATTTGCCTGTTCAGGCTTCCATAATATTCTAAAAAGGCCACGGGTTTCAAAGTCTCTCAAAGTCACGAGCTGCACATTTTGGAGGCAAGATGCGAGCACGCGCCCCACGAGTCCCGAGGTCAGCACTGCATGTCCCTAGGGCTCGCTTGAGCATTTTTCCTGGTCTAGACCTACACTGCCTGTCCACCGAAGAGCGACCGGGTGTTTCCATGCTTTCCCAAGCGAGGCCGCGGTCAGAGCAGAAAGTTGGGCTGATATGCACTGTGATGAGGTCAGCGAAGAATTGCGTATGATATCACGGCTGAGGATGGGCCGACTACCCTGACGAAGCTATCTTAGCGATCCATTCCTCCCTGTTTATCATCCGATAGGCGACGATGATCATTCTGTCAAATGGATCACTTTTTACGTCCATCGCAACTCGGCACAGCATGACTGGAACTTCTCATACAATTGCCAATACGGTCAAACCCCGCAATCGACACAAGAAACAACAAACAGTTTGGACCGTCGATGTTGCAGTAGTATCTACACAGGCCTTTGTCTACCCGCATAATTTTGTAGTGTTGGCAGTAACTGAACCGTTAGCACGAGAGGCTTCCACGCCACCAGGAGCATATCCAAGGCATTAAGTGTCGTTGTATTCCACCCCAGACGCCGTGTGCTCCTTTGTAATTCTTCTCGCATTGCATCGCGCTTCTCCATATTTATTGCCCGCGACCCCCTGCAGCACTTGCTTGGAGGATGTAGGCTTCTCCCGTTTGAGGCAAACAACGCTTTTGGCCCAGCAGAGGCCTTCCTACGCGTTACCGGGCTTTTCTTCGGTACTAATGGGAGGGTGTGGTTAGCATGAATAGTTCTGTAGAACGGACAAGAGGTTCAGGAAGCTTAGGGACTCACTCAATGTGCCACACAACATAGTTGGGCAATCCAATCACCTCGTAGCCAGCACGCTTGGCCATTTTTGCAAAACCTTCGGTCTCAGCCTGGTTTTCGAATGCGTAGCATGGGAAGTTGATGCCAGATCGGTGAACATCAGCCTTGACGAGTATGTTGACACCACCAATGCCGTCCAGTTTGATCTCTTCGTCTTTGTTGTTTCTCCAGTCTCCCATACGGGCCATGTATTCACGACCGGTGTCATACTCCTTGTAGCCCTCAGCCAAGACCACGTTCTTGTCGAGCCCTGCGGCCAGTCTGCGGCCCTTGTCCGACTCGATCCACGAGTTGTAGTCGAAGCGGCCTTCGATGTCGCGGCCGTTCTCATATCGGTGAAACCAGATATCTGTGACAATTAGTAACCGAGCTTGAAGCATGTTGGATAATCTTACTCGGCACGAGGATATCCCTATCATGGGCAACGAAGTCCTCGATGATCTTTTTGGGGCTGTCGACAATGTCGACATCGCGCCAGTATACCCACGAGTGGTCTGGCTTGAGCGAAGCCGAGAGAAGATAATTCCTGGCCCGACCCATGGCTTTCCTTCGAGGACCCTGCGCAGCGAATCCATGTCTTGACTCGACGTCCATCTGGCTGGCCGACCCGCCGAAGTCTTTCTGCACGATAACGGCACTGTGAAATGGAATGTTATCGGATCTTGACTGAATCCTGTTCAGTTCAGACGCAAGCACAGACAACGTATCGTCTACCGAATCGCCGACAAGAAAGCCGAGATCAATCAATTCGTGTGGGTAGGTCAGTTCGGAAAGGAGATCGAAATATTTGCTGAGGTAGGGAGCAGCATCTCGGAGCGGAGTGAGGATGAGGACGCGCTCCCTATTGCTGAGAGCGCGGTTGGTGGAGACGATCGGGTTGAGATCAACGGTCTCGATGCTGGAGGCGTTGACTTGATATGGCTCGTGATGGTTGAATAATACAGGGGTGGGGATGTGTTGATTCCATGCGACCAGCTCATTCGTGGTCATCTCGATGGGGGGCTTCGAAGGTCCGAAGCAATAGAAACTGTTACTCTGTCAGCTCAGCCTGCCAACGGCAGCACGCGGAGCATACTTTGACATTTCTTTTGTCGAGACAAATATGCCTCTCCATAACAGCACGATCAGCCCCGTGAGGGCAACTGAGACTAATAGTCTTGTGCGAGTCAGAAAGACTAGGACGGCCTTCCATGGTGGAAGTCTAGCTCTAGCAGCCTTCCAGTTCACGCCCCCTTTTGGTAGGATCATCTTGACGGAGGCACGTATAAATCGGGATAGGAACGGTCGAATTGAGCACCGAGGCTCCCGCAGAGGAGAGTCAGCACGATTGAATCGCCAGCGCTGCGATGAGATGGGTGGAACGAGCGGAATGGCCTGCAGAGACCGAAAGGAGTAGATTTAAGGTGCGCGGTCAGATTGCGCGGCTCCGATCGCCGATAATACGGTGGAGGGCTCGGTAAGGCAGAGTCGAGCAATTGCCCTCAGCCAGAACGGTTCGACGGCCTCTGAGTGCTTGCAAAGGTGGGTTGTCGACGATGGATCTGGATGAAGTAGAGAAGGAAACGTTGCAGCGTTGGTGTTAAGCGAGACTTTGAGATACGGAGAGGGCCAGAAAACTAACTTCTAGAGACGTTGAGCGCGGGTTGTAAAGCGGCGAGACGAATGTTTCGCAGGCCCCGGTCACTTTCAAATGCTTGTGCAGAATCGTGCTTCGACTACGCTTATCGCAGGGTGCGGGATGGTCATTTCAAGAGATTTTGCTGCGGCTGAGGATTCTGACCCCGTCCTAACCTCTGCTGCTGCTATAAAAATCAACACATCCTCTCCACCAGTTCTTTAAAAAGGTTCACATGCGGCGCCACAGCTGCTGTCTAAAGCTGCACAACTCATGAACATGCTGATCGACGACATAGCTCGTTACAGGAGTGCGCTATTAGAGAAGACGTTGGTTGGTGCTCAGCACAATTACAGTCTCTGCTTTTGGTATCGCTATGCTACAGCCCGGCTCTCAAAGCTCGACTCTTCCTCCAGCGCCTGAGATCGCTATCTACAATGGTATGGCAATAGTATGGGGGTATCTTGAACTGAATGAAATGCCTGTAGGCCGCCTTTTCCCTTCCCGCGACTACTCGATAGTCAGTGTGCCTGGCTTGCCCTCAGAACGCAATCCCAATTGGACTCCGCAAGGGGCCGTTGATTTCTCTGATCACCACGTGTGCGTCCATGTCCTTATCCGCAACCGCGACTACCTCGTCATAGTCCGAGGGCAGATCTGGGATGCCGGACACGATTGGCCTAAGTCCCATAGGTGCCAGACCTGTTGCAGTGCTGACACTTTTGATTGTCCCGCTGCGGCTCTGCAGATCGGTCGTGGTGGGTGCGGTGGTCATGCTTTCGATATCGTCATAATCCGATGTGACTGTTTCGACTGTGCTGGCCATAGTAGACACAGTCGTTGTTCGATGATGTTGGTGAGCTGGCTTGGCCAGCTTGAGCGGCCGTGGTGGAGAGTACTGGTTGGCGGATAGCAAATAAAACTGTGACCTCTTCTTCCGGTGCTCGGCAAAAGACGACGTGGTGCTGTTGGAGCCGATGGTGCTGACGGATCCAGAATGAGACCGACCACCGAGCCACTGCGACACACGTCTTTGGCTTTGGTATGCAGATGCTGAATATTGTGGCACCTTCTTGACATGAAATTCGGGCTCGGAAGTGTGCTCAGGCTCACACTCAGGCTCCTGCGCTGGCTTCGAGATGGCCCCAGAAGCGGGCACTGGGGTAGCAGGAAGCTCGACGGGCTCATCCTGATGCCCTTGCCAGCCGAAGACTTTCGGCGATGGCGCGGGAGGATTCAAAGCTGAATGTCGAGCATTCGCACGGCTGGCCTCGATCTTAGGGAAATCCATGACCATACCATGAATCAGGCTCGCCGTACAAGGTGGCGTGAATTCTTCTTGCATGGGACTGAGTACCGTCACGGGGTTTTGTGGTTTAGAAGCCATATCAATCTGTGGCTCACCTCCTGGGAGCGCGACCCATGATACAGGATGGCTGTGTAGCGCCTCGTAGGACGATGACGGTCTTGAATCCGAGATGTGAGAGACCACGGTGTCTCGTCTCATGAGCGATCTACGTCTCTCAAACATGGAGGCTGGCTTGACTGGTAGAGCTCTTGCTGGCAACTCGGATGGGACGACTTCCACCGACCTCGCTCTCAGAAGCGCCCTAGGGGGCATCCTGATCTCGCCCGAGTCAATGAAACTGACAGCATCAAAGTCGGGAAGGTCCGACAGTCGGTTGTTTGGAAGATAGATACTGAGCTCCAGGGGTCTGTATGATCGGCGGCGAATTGGGCTAGCATTGCGAGGAACCACCACTGGCATTGGGCTGGAGATCGACGGTCGCAACGGAGTGTGTCGCCGAAAAGTCTGGCTTGCGCGCTCGGAGGCCCGTGAAGCGAGATCCCTGCCATGTGACATCCATTTGGTAGGCATCGATGGTGGTGGTGTAGGAGGCATCTCATCCCAGATAGTCATCTTCATTGGTGGTACAAGATGTGGCTGCTGATACATGACTTCCATCTCGCGCTGGATGCCTGGTCGCATGTTAGTCTGTGCAAGATACTGGCGGGGCCGCGCATACCTGCACATGCTGCGACTTGTTCGGACTCGGACTCTCGCAGGGTCTTTCGGGGTGATAGGCAATCGAAGACAGCGAGGCTATGACAGGTGGGAGCCTGGGAACCCCGGCGCGCCGTATATGGTCTTTCCATGATCGCGCACCTGGGCTCACACGAGTTCCCCCGAACTCGTGTAGGTGGCAACAGGTAGGAAACACAACTTGAATATGGTGCCGGCACCGAAGATAGATCAGGAAAATAGAAAGGAGTGACTGGGGTGAGTAAGAGTATGGTCTATGAATGAAGGGCGACACAGCAATGGGACATATCAGAGGTTGAAACAACATTTGCAGATGTCACAGCCTCGAGAACCTACACCACATGGCCGGACTCGCGCTCTCGGGTCAAGCTTGTTTGATGATGCGCACTTCAGCGCTTGCAGAGTCGTGAATTGCTACCTTGCGGCAGAAGGCTGGCCCTGCAGGGAACGATTGGACCTGGGAGCCGCCAACGCAGCAGGCTAGACAGCACAACAACTCCTCGAGGACGTTGAGTAGCGAGGGTAGTTGTTGTCAGCGGTTACAAGGTCATCCAACAATCATTCGATGTCGTTGCTTGGTGCTGAGATTGAGCCGGCGCTAATGTCGAGCGGCCCTGTCCAATCGGGTACCTAGACGCCTATTAGCCAAGTCAGTGGGTGCCGTCGGTGGGATCAAGGCAATCAATGCTGATCTCCTTACCAACCTGAAACAAGGAAATCAGTGAGAAGAATGGAGATGGCGCCATGTGGCAGATGATTGTCCAAATGCCTTTGTTTCAGCATCATTTGTCCTACCAACCCCTAGGGCTGCATTATGCACAACGGCTGCTTCCCACGAGCCGGCCGATTGCAGGGGTACCCACCTCCAATTCCTGTGAGCTTAGAGTCCGCTCCCGCAAAGGAGCCTCCCTCTGTATCCAGGTACAAGGCCGAAATGAAATGAACCGTCCGCATCCCCTCATCACAGACAGATGAGCCGGGTCTCCACTGCCACAAATACTAGTATCTCTGCGTGATGATTTCGCGTCCCTGCTCGTCAAAGTATCTCCCGCTAGGATGTTCCACCATGCGGTAGCGTGGCTGCTCGACCGGCAGGTACTCACGACGTGGCTGATCGACCAACATTGTTCCTTCTCGGGCGCCGGGGCGAACGCTCGAGGCCCGCGCTGCCATTCCTCGTGGCTGCATTTCTTCATATGGACGCGCTTCCGGCCTCGCGCTACCCATGCGGACGGGTTCCCGGAATTCTCCTCTGTCGTCCACGTACACGGGGGGCCTGGGAGCCCGATCGATGATGACACTCGCACTCCTCGCCACGGGCTGACTGTAGGCTTCTCTGGGCACCTGTGAGGCTGACGCGCGTGGAGCGTCTTGACGATATATGGGGGGTGGCGGAGGCATGTCTGGTTGGGCATAACGCCGATCCTGTGGCGCATCTACGAAAATTGATCCAGCTCGAACAGCTCGATAGGCATCGTACTCTGGGCCAGCTTCAGCAGGACGAACAGAACCTGACCTGGGGTCTGCGGAAGGACGCTGCTCAATAATCTCTCTGAATTTGTTGCCATACTCGTCCACAACGATTCGCTCCACTGGGGGCGGTGGCATTGGCTCATAACGGACATAGGTCTCTTGCCCGTATGTATCGCGGTAGATGGGTGCGGGGGTGCGTGAGACCCGAACTTCTTGCAAAGGCTGCCGCTCATAAGGGTCATCCAAGACTTGCTGCCGGACAATAGGGCTGCTTTCCCGGTAGGATGTGACCCTGGCTCTAGTTGGTGTCCCGTAGGCATCGAATTCGTCGCCCATCTCAGCCCGCACATTGTGCATGCTGGCCACTCGTCGTAGGTCTTGAGTATCTCGCATAGGCCTCATGCCGGCTCGTGATCCGGCCCTGGGTTCGCTCATAGGTAGCGCCGGCTCGGCATACCGGATAGCAGATCTGCCCGGCGAGTCTACTGGTCGCGCGGCTGGCATGTATCTGACCTCTCGTGGGGCGTCGTCGATAAGGATCGGCTGGTCGATGTTGGTTGGGCGGAACCTGCCAGAGCCCAGGGGCTGTACTTCGTGGAAGGGTGGTGGTGATTCTTCTTTCACACCAGGGGATTGCCCATTCCGACGAGCCTTGCGTTCCCGTTTGTCCAGTTTACGCTTTTTCTTGGTATGCTGTGCATCTGGACTTTTATTTCTTCGGCCACGCGTATTCTGCTGTAGAGGTGGTTGCTTAGCAACAGCCAGAGGAGATACGCGAGATGGTTGGGGAGCAATGGGGGAGGTGATGTGGTTCCTTACTATTCGCATGTTGGAACCTCGAGTACCGTCATCGACCTCCGAGTATCGTCGTAATGGTCGGCTGCGGGGATCTTGGGCATCGTGTACGTTTGAGTACCCAGCTTCCTGCATAGCGGTGTCTTGTTCGACCGCTTCGGGGGGGCTATATTCGCCTTCCTCCTCTTCTTCTTCATCGTCTTGATCCATGGTAGGAGAATATGCAGGAGACTCGCGTCGAGCGAGACGAGGGGAATACTCATCGTCGGCATCGGCATCCAGGGGTGCACCCATGACAGCGCTCTGAACATGTGCGCCTGAGGGAGCGTCAGTGGTCAGACCGTCCTCGGCCTCTTGAGAAGGACTGCGAGCACCGCGTTCCGGAGTTGAGTCTGGAGCTCTGCTAGAGTAGAAGGAGTTCTCATCAAACGAATCATTGTCCTCTGCCTCGTCTTTGGGGCTAATAGCCGGTTTGCTGGCGGCAACAGCTTTGGACACCAGCGCGGGGATATCGAAGTCGGGCTTGGCTTCTGCTGGCGCAGGTTTCTTACGAGCATCCAGTCTCTTCTGTTCAAATTGCTCCTTGAGAGCCTTCTCTAGTCGCTGTCTCTTGAGCACAGTTTCAGCGCGGACTAGATCGTCCGACTTGGTCAGAAGAACAGGATTGAATTCGGAAGCTGGGGGAACAGAGGCGCCGGTAGTAATTGCAGTGGTGGGCGACGGCTGTATTTCACGTATCGATTGCTGCGAAGAAGATGGGACAGCTAAATTGGCCTGTGCAGTGAGTTGAGGCGTGAGGGTAGAAACATTTCGAATGGCATGCGCAGGCACGGAAAGCCGAGGATGTAGCCCTTGAAATACCTCGTCGCGAAGCTTGAGTAGAGTCTCATACTCAGCAGCCTCGTTTAAAGATAAACCTGGCGTTGGCGAAATGCCATTCACCAGGGGAGCCACCACGGACATGTTGTCGTTGCAACGCGTTCACAGCGCAGAAGTGTTTCCTAAGGAGAGCTTCTCATGGCAAAGAGCTAGCACAAAGCAGACTCTGAGATAAAGTAGCGGACAGTCGGTAGGGTGTCATGGGGCTAGAGTTCTGGTGGACTGGCCTGTAGATAGCGATACAGTGAGGTGGTCAGCTAGGTGGACGAAGCAGAACAGGAGGTGGTTGACATGAATCTGAAATTACGAAGGGCAGGCGAACAGGACCAATTCCGAAAGGGGCAACTTTAGCGACGGCCGTTGCTTGCAGCGGTGCGGGCTTTTCTATTTTCTATTTTTGAGTCAATCGTCTCTTCCATTGAATAATAGTAATTGTGACACTATTCAGAGGCCACCGACACATTCTGGAGCAAAATGTCACTTGTATTTCAAACCATTTGCTTGGCTTGAGACTGCGGTCGCTCTTTCACGCTCTTTGATAGAAAGTGTTGGTGTATATATATGTTCAGGACTGGAAGCTAGATCTCCGTCTCTTTACATCATCACTACAAGGACGAAAATCACCACCCACCATGGGGTCTCTAGGTCACGATGACAGAGTCGTTTTCTTCTTCGACATTGATAATTGCTTGTATGCTAAGAGCACCAAGGTCCATGACCACATGGCCCGCTTGATCAATGAATTTGTTGTCAATCATCTCAGCCTCACGCCGGAGGAAGGGTACGTGCTTCACCAACAATACTACAAGGACTATGGGTTAGCCATCGAGGGTCTCTCCCGACACCACAAGATCGAGCCTCTGGTCTTCAACCGCGAGGTCGACGATGCGCTGCCCCTCGACGAGCTGCTGAAGCCAGACCCCAAGGTACGAGAGGTCCTGGAGCGTTTTGACAAGAGCAAAGTCAAGATGTGGCTTTTCACCAATGCACATATCACCCACGGTCAGCGCGTGGTCAGGCTGCTCGGCATTGAAGATCTATTTGAAGGCATCACTTTTTGCGATTACTCACAACCGCGATTGGTTCCCAAGCCACTGCCCGCCATGTTCGATAAAGCTGAGCAAGAAGCCAAGGCGACCGACTATGACAAGATCTACTTCGTCGATGATTCGATGTTGAACTGCAAAGAGGCTTACAAGCGAGGATGGAAGAGGACTGTCCATCTCGTCGAGCCACAAGTTCCAGAACCAGAGGAGAAGCCTTGCGAATATCAGATCAGCAGCCTCCAACAACTGCTAGATCTGTTTCCCGAGCTCCTGAAGACGGGTACATGAAGAGTACTAGATACCCCGATAGACTAATGAGACATGGATGAGCTCGCCACCCCAAGTGACTCAGAAGCGTGGTTTTGGAACGATAGCGTTCAACGTCACAAATCAAGTCGCAAGTCTATCCAGCATTGCCAGCGCATTGATTCTGTTTAGACATGGATGTTCCGTGTGACGGTCGACGTTTTCAAGGTACTGATGCGGGCGACGACTCTTGAATTTTCAAAGTTGCATTCATGATGCTGGTACCACATCCTGCGTTGAGTCAACACCATGGTGTTGCCTTCTGCGCATGACCAGCCCTGTATTGAACTTGGTCAGCGCGGATTGTCGGGTTGTGTGCTCATATGCCATGTGTATGAGCCCAAGATTGATACCAATGGCCGCACCTATATTTGGTGCAGCTTGAAGAAGTCAGGGGTCGACATGCCTGTCAGGTCATAGCGCGATCTGCACGAATCTGGCCACACCAATAATCGCCCTCCATCACCGCCCATGCATCCTGGCGGCCTTGGTGAATATCAGCCACATCCTACCCTGGCGGCCCGTAAATTTCAATACGAAGGAAGCCCGGCACGGCCACCTTCTGGTATGAGAGCTGGCAGCTTGGACCACGATAGACCCTGATATCACGACGTCGAAAGGGTGAACACGAACCTTTGAAGCATTCGACTCTTTGCACACATCTCAAGGTCTAGATCGGTCCCAAAGCAATCCATACGTGCACTTTATATTGCAGAAAGAACCTCAAGGTCCAACTCATACTGTACAAGCATTACGGAGCATTATAAATTGACAACAGTAGTAAGTCAACCTATTCTTCGATGCTCTAGGACGGCTTGACCGTCCATAACAGTGGAATACAACCCCGGTTCCCACCTCGCATTTCCCGGTCAAGCCTAACGCACGTTACACGTGGAGACTCGATACTACTGAGGCTGCCTGAAAGAGTTTCATACCAAGCCCGTCATAACAAATCTCTAAAGACCCATTCGTTAATTGTTGAATCGCATGGAGCAAGGAGGCCCGTTTGCTACACCCCTGCCCTGCCACGTGAATTCTGATCCAGCTGGCAATAGACAGCTGTCACTGGCCGTCACAAATGGCTGAATACGAGAACTAGGGAGCATAATTCTCTCTCGTGTCTGCATGGACCTGTACCTTTGCGGCATAGCATGGAATGATGTCTGAAAGAGAGTGAAGATGTTATAAAGGTACTGTATCCCGATAGTGCTGTGCTTCAGAGAGCAAAACTGCTACTATACTAGACACTTACATCCCAAAGCCACAAGTCTGCGTCTGTGCTACTGTCACAGTGTACATACGGTACAGAAGACGTCGACGTCAAGTCATCATACCAATGTCGTCCCCCATATCAGCCACAGCAGTCCCTAGCGCTTCGATACCTTTATCTTCGTCTTTTACCTCTCTTCCCTCGAAATCCAGCGCCCGGCCAAAGCTCAAACTCACCACCCAAGACGTCGACAACGACGCCAAACCTAAAACTGCCAGCGCCAGCAACAACACGCGCTTCTACGCCCACCTGCTCTATGTCACGGGTCCGGAGCGTGAACGCATCATGGCACGCTCCATCTCTTCATCTTCCACAACGAGCCAGTGCTCCCGGGGTTCAGTACACTCACAAGCCTCCTCCCACACCTCCACCAACTCAATACATGCCTCCAAAGTACCACCTGTCCCTCCTGTGACTCCTGCCTCACAGTTCGCCTTGTCCACCGTCGACACCCCTAGCTATGTCGACGAGCACTGGCCACTTATCGCGACCACGAACCCGGACAGCGTCCCCTCCCACATCCCTCGCACCCACCCAGCCTTCCACTGCGCTTCACACATGGCCCAGGTCCACAATCTCTTCATCCGCTGCCTGAACAGCATCTACAACCACTCCCTCCTGCTCTCGCCCTCCACCACGGGCCCCAACAACGAAACCGCCTCTTTCCTCCAGTACTGCCGCATCTTCACCTCCCTCCTGCACCACCACCACCACGTCGAAGACACCTACCTCTTCCCCGCCTTCGAAACCCTCCTGGCCCAACCGGGCGCCAGGTCCACCACCACCGCCCCCCAACACGCCACCTTTCTCCCCGGCCTCGCAACCTTCACCGCCTACGTCACCCGCACCATCCCCCAAGAATACTGCGGCCTCACTCTCCGCAACCACCTCTCGCGCTTCGCCCCCGGCCTCGTCCAGCACCTACACGACGAGATCCCCCGCATCCTCAGCATGTGGCGCGCCCCCTCCCCCGACCTTGCCAAAGTCTGGGCCGTCGCGGACAAGATGGGCCGCAGCGCCGGAGGGAGCAGCCTGTGGGAGGCGCCCACCATGGTGCTGGCGTGTGTGGACCGCGAGATGATCATGGATGGGAAATTGTGCGATTTTCCGCACATGCCCCGGCCCGTGGAGTTGCTGGCCCGGAAGGTCTTGAGTAGAAGGCACGCGGACGTGTGGCGCTTTGCTCCGTTCGGGTTTGATGGCGTGAGGAGGGTGGTGCCGCCTGTGCAGGGTGGGCGACGACGATGATGATGATGTGATGGGATCTGAGGAAATGGCAGGCAGGAGCGGGGCCTGGAAAAATTGTTTGGCGTGCTCTTTTGTTATCAGCGACTGGGGAAAGCGAGGTGTTTGTTGGTGGGACATGTCTTGGAAAGGTAATTGTTGGTTGTAAAGATAGACGGTTGTCGGGTCGTTTGGTAGAGCTTCCCCGGGACCAACATCGTGTCACATTAAGTGACAGAGAGGAATGTCATAAAACCTCCCGCCTCCCCGAGTCTATTCAACTTCCAGGTCGTCTGTTCAATGCAGCCCGTTTCTCGAGTAAAGGGGGGGCCATCATAGTCAGAGACACGATAGATGCGGATTGTCTGATTGCGGGCGATCCCTGTATGCCATGGTCGAAGCCTCGTCAAGGCATCTCATCGTCCTTGTCATCGCAACGACCGACCTCCAAAGACTGGAGATATAATGCCGCGACTTTCACCCTTCGAGCTCCTTAACTCTCGCCTCCCAAGCCTCCACATTCCTCAGCTTGGCCTCCAGCTCCTCCTTCTCGTCCTCAAGCTCGATCCGCTTCTCCGCGTCCAGCTCCCCAAAGAAGTATCCCCCCTGGCCATCAAACTGCAAAATCTTGCTGTGGTACTTCCACAGACTCCGTCGATGGCTGACCGTCATCAAGGTCGTGCCGAGGCTCTTGGCCGTCTCGTACATTTTGCGCTCCATCTCGAGCGTCACGGAGCTGGTGCACTCGTCGAGGATCGCATATCTCGGCTTATGGTAGAACAGCCGCGCCATTGCGATGCGCTGCTGCAGACCGCCCGAGAAGACATCTCGCCACTCCTCCACGCTGTCCCAGCCGTTTGGCCGCTGGACAACGGAGTCGATTTCGAGGATCTTGAGGATTTCAAGCAGTTCTGAGTCGGATTTGTTCTTCGCTCGGAATTCATATAGTGATTCGGGGTAGATGATCTGATCACGAAGCGTGCCGCGAGATAGGTATGGTCGTTGGGGGATGTAGAAGATGTCATCGAAGCTTGGTTTCCTAACGCTGCCGCCGTAGACGGGCCATAATCCACCCAAAATGCGGAACAGCGAGGATTTGCCGCAGCCATTGGGACCGATGATAAGTAGATGCTCTCCTGGAGCGATCTTAAATGAGAGTTTCTTCACCAGAACATCACCATTTGGTGAAACGATGGGCACCTCAGAGAACTCGATGTCGTCGCTCTCTTGAACTTGACCGCGGCCCCTCAGGACTACGGCATTCTCTTCGATGCTCGCTGACGAGACCAGTTTCTTCTCAAAGTTACCGGCTGCCACGTCATCCATAACATCGAGCAGACCGGCTACTCGTGAGGTGTATCCTGCAAGCTCGGTGATCTCCTTATAGCTGAACATGATGCGCCCGAATGCATCTGAGCTCGAAAGTAATATGCGTCTATTGGTGACGAAAGATTCAGTATGATCGCCAGCCGTCTTCAACACATCCTGTCCCGGAATTTTGAAGAAGACAGGGACGGAGCAGAGGATCAGCCCCAGGGCGCCCCAAAAGTATTTTATGACAAAGTCTGTTCCCAGATCAATCACTTGTGCATTGAGGATGGAGCATCAGACACTTACCTTCCATGAAACCATGGTAGAATCGCCTCCGTAGAATGCGGTTGACATGCTTGATGAGCGTGAAGTAGCCCTTGTCAAGACCATCCTTCTCCGCCTCGTGCCCACCATACAGAGCAATTTCCTCACTGTAGTCGATGAGTCGCGTGTGCTGAAATCGAAACTCTCCCTCTAGCCTCGCCTCATCCGCAACGTATTTGCCGAACGGTGGCGTCAAAGCCCGCATGACATTGGCGGACACCTGAACCAGTAACGCCATGGTGAACAAACCCTCGCCGCCCACCGATTTGGACAGGGAATAGTTGTAGATGACCATGTCGAGCGTCGGCTTTGCCAAATTCGAGTACAGCTCGGCAAGACTATTGCTGAACTTTGAGATATCCACCGTCACCAGCTGATCCGCATTCTTGATCCGATCGTCCAGCGCAGAAATCGCATAGAACGTCATGTTATCCAGGTATTTCTGATGCACATGCTTCGTAAGCCTCGTTCGGTATCCGAGCGCTAGCTTCGTCTGGTGATACTGCAGCATGCTGTTGCAAAAGGTCGCAGGCACGGCCACACCCATCCACCACACCAGCCCCAGCACAAACTCCCGACCCTTGCCCTTGACCAACGCTCCGACTACACGCCCATCAAGCTCAGCCACGTAGAGAGACAGCAGCGTCCGCAGGACCAGAAAGACGCTGTGACTGAGCAACAGGCGCAGCTCCTTGCTCCGCCAGCTCGGAATCACTATCCTCAACAGGCGCGCGAGATTGCGAAAGAACTCGCGATTGATCTCCACACGTTTGCTTTTCTGCTCCTTGACCGGGTCCCCTGCGCTCGTGACTGACTGTCGGGCACGGATCTCATGCTGGCGGCGCAGCGCGGCTTTCTGCTCGGCGATGGCATTGTGCACGCGGTGGATGAGGGCGAGGACGAGCGTCAGGTACACTGCGCGGGAGATCTTGGTGCGGTGGCGCAGGTAGGTGGTCGTGAGCTCGGAAATGATCTGCTTGACGGAGCGCTTTGGCGGTAGGAGCGTCGAGAGTGCAGCCATGTGGGAAGGCCTCCCGAGGGAGGGGCGGGGATGGCAGTCAAGGGCGGATGGTCACGTATGGTACTTGTGATTAGGATGAGACTATGGCAGACATCACAGTATATGGGAGCGGCCACAATTGAGTGACTATGGGGCGTTCGTTCGTTGGCAAGTAATTAGGTGCTGTAAGTGCTCCTGTATGTACGTTGGAATGGTCGCAGCAAGATGTAATGCGTCGGCGGAGGCGCGCCAAGGCTCAGGACCGAGGCGGCACATGCAATCACATGCCGCGAAAACACGCAGCTTCGCAAGAGGTCCACGAACCAATACTCCCTGTCGCCGACTGACTCTGGTAAGTGTTACAGTAAGATGGTGTGGTAAGTAAGCTCTATGCTTCCGGGCATCACCCGACCGAGAGTAGTCCATCCCGATATCTCAATATCTCAATGAGTATAGAGTGACTACCTGAGTCTTCTCCCTCTCATGCGTTCGACCTGGTGATCAAAGAACCCCGAGGCTCGCTTGCAATGCATCAAGATCAGGCAAATCGACTCTAGAGCCCCATACAATCATAGCTTCTTCCCGTCCCTCTCCGCCTTCCTCAGCGCTCTCCGCCGGATATCGACATGCATCGTCCTGTTGATTCCGTAAACCACCTTCTGACTGAAGTCCGACGCCAAACTCGCACCAGTGACCACAAATGCAAACAGTGCGTGACTCCAGTACGGAGTGCCCGAATATGTAAAGCCAAGACTGCCGCCCCTACGCCCAATCTTCGCCAGCGCTGACTTCACAAAGACCTTCTCCGACGGGATCAACCAGCTACTCCGCCGGATCTTTGACATGGCGCTCGTGACGAGGTATCCATGGATCAGATAACAAGTGATACCTTGAGGCGCAAGCTCCGTAGCGAGCGCGTTGTTCCATGCCTGCAAGAAGGCCTTGGAGCCCGAATAGGTTGCCAGTAAGGCCGTGGGGGTGAGACCAGCGAAGGAGCCCATGGTCAGGATGAGACCTTTCTTCTGCGGGAGCATATGCGGAAGAGTAGTTTGAGTGACGCGGAGTGTTCCCATGCAATTGATCTGAATGATGTTCTGCAGCTCTCCTGTGTCGGTCTCATTGAAGGGCACAGGAATGCTGTGGCTCTGGCCAACGTTGTTGATGAGTACTGCCACCTGTTTTCCCCCCAGTACATTTTCCAGATGGACATAGTCTGTCTCTGTCGGCTTCGAGAAGTCGATGGCCAGGGTCTCCACCTCAACGCCTTCAATGCTCTTTGCCAGAGCCTCGAGCTTGCTCTGGGTCCTGCTGACTAGAACGAGGTTGAACCCCTTGCGGGCCAGCTGCAGCGCGAACTCTTTGCCGATGCCATCGGAAGCGCCAGTCACGACTGCCCAGGAGCCCTTGGGTCCGAAGGTTGATAGTGGGGTGCCAGGCAGGAGGAACGTGGAGGCAACGAAGCGGACCAGTGTGTAGGTGATGGAGACCGCCGTGATGGCGCCCACGGTGATGAGGGCGGCGGAGAGAGGCGACTGCGTGCCCAACGGGCCGAGCGGGATTGATGCCATGGTGAAATGGCGAAAGGAGAGTTGTGTGGCTGGGTTTGAATGATTCTACTTTGGTATGATGTACAGGTAGCGGGATGCGCGCAGTGGTGCGCCCCGGCAAAAAATAAATTCCGTCAGGGGTTGACCGGATGGAGCCGTGACCCCAACGCTTCTACACAGTAACATCCGACGACAGCATTGCCGTCGAGATCGCTTGATACCGCAAGGAGCATTGCAAGACAAGATGGATCTCCTTCCTCAGGGTGATGGCTATTTGCAGTATTACGTTTTGATGGTGAGCTACCAAAGAAACCCACTCTCAGAGCCCCTCTAACCTCCGCGCAGGTGGGAGTAACAGCTATCACTAGTATGTCCGTCGTGCCCACGAACGCCGAACAGGCGGTTTAACAGTTTCTTCAGACTCCATTTCCTGCTACCGCGACGATCAATACCTCCGCCGCGTCTATAACCCTCCCAATGGCTCCCCAGCCGCCTCCGCAGTCACACACCTGCAATGCCGAACGTTCGCAACCTGGAACGTAGCCGTTGGGCTAGTAAGAGTATTCGCCGCCTACCACATTCATGAACCGGCTTGGATGCAGATGCAGATGTTGACTTGTGTCATTGGCCTGTTCCATTTTGGCATGGAGGCCTTCGTTTACAAGACGGCGCGACCATCTGGCCCTTGGTTCGCACCCACCATCGTCGCTGCGATCGGCCTAGGATGGAGTGTAGCGCAGTATGGACATTATATTCGATGACAAAATTCAAGCATCTGCTTTCTCTTTCGCGGGTGGGTTGGTGACCTGTTCGCCTTTCTGCAGGTTTTTGCGGTAGAGTTCTCCGCCACAGTTCTGCAACCGAACAGTCGCCTGCTCCGGTGTGATGTCGCGCTGCGGCTCGCCCAGCATTTCGTAGCCGACGAGGAATTTGCGGACAGTGGCCGACCGAAGAAGTGGAGGATAGAAGTGAATGTGCAGGCTGGAGCACTCGATCTCCTCCTCAGAACCCTGTAGCGGAGCCTGGTGAATGCCCATGCTGTACGGGAAGCTCGTCTCGAAGAGATTATCGTACCTCCGAGTGACTTGCGCGATAGCCTCTGCGAGGTGCACTTGCTCTGTCTCAGACAGGTCGACTAACGAGCGGATATGCTTGGTGGGCAGAATCATAGTCTCAAACGGCCAGGTAGCCCACCACGGACAAACCACAAGGAAGGTGTCGTTCTGCCAGACCACTCTTTCGCCTTTCTCTCTCTCCAATCTAGCATAGTCCACGAGCAAGTGTTGCCCGCCCTGCTGGCGGTGGTACTTCCTCAGTTGTTCTAGCTCCGCTGCAGGCTCCTCAGGCAGTGATGTCGTCGTCCAGATCTGTCCATGCGGATGAGGATTTGAGCAACCCATCGCGGCACCCTTATTCTCGAAAATTTGCATCCATCGATACTGATCTTTGGGCGTATCGACCTGAGCGTGTGGACTGGAGGGTGGCAAATGCGTCGGCTCAGCCAGGCTAGCGAGAGGCGACTTGGGGTCCAGATGCGCAGTGTAGATCTCAGTCCAAGTCCTGATTATGGGTACAATCTCTTCCGAACCCATGTCTGCAAGGGTGATATTGTGCGCAGAGCTGAAGGTCAGCACATAGCACTTGCCTTTGACCGGCTCCGCCTGAAGCAACAGTCCAGGAAGGCTGCCGGGCGCATCGGGAGCGGCATAGTCGGCTTGAGATTCTTTTACGGCGCTATAATCGTTGACAAAGACGAAGGTGTCCTTGTACTGCGGGTTGGCGTCGCCGGAGGCCCGCGTGTTGCCCGGGCAAAGATAGCATTTGGGGTCGTAGTCCGGGAGCTCGATTAAGCCTGGCGACTCTTGTTGACCTTGCCAGGGGCGCTTGGTACGGTGAGGGGAGACGAGGATCCAGCTGCCCCGCAAAGGGTTGTAGCGGCGATGAGAGATGTCGTCGAGGATCTTGTCAGGCATGATTGGGCGTTTTCGAAAAGTAAGGGCTGCTAAAAAGTGTGTGATTGTCAAAGCAGGTCAGCAGCTTCGAACATAGGCGAGCTTCAGCTCCAGCGTCGGTGCGAAACGTGAATCTGGTGGGCGCGGAGAACACGTCTGAAAACAGATTCTTGGTGGGGCAACGACGTAGTAGTGTAGCATTGAGGGCAGCGTTGCAGGCACGGAAGACGACACTGATCAAGCTGTGTGTTGGGGCTCCCGAACGCCTTCTTCTCACCTTCTGGGAACCGCCATGTGCTCTTCCTGTCGGCGATTCTTGCTCAGCAAAGGGGAAGAGAACGGCATGTCCTCGTAGCGTACTGTAGAGTCCAGGCAGTGAAAGCTCGGCCGAACGCCGATTGGCTCATTCGCCGGCCCTCCCTCGGATCATCGACATCAGATGAAGACTCGTTGAACATGGTGATTGATAACGCCCAGATAACTTACTTCGTCTTTCCAAGCCCGGCTTGTAGCCTTGTCCAAAGCGACAGCATGATGCGCGACTGGATTCGCAGCTCCAACAACCAAGCATAACCGCCCTCTCATTCACTGCCTGAACCGCTTGGCTCCCTTGACCCGGGCTGCATCAGATACCATGGACGGCGGCGAGCTCACTCTTGACGCCTTGCCCAATGAGGTTTGTAGACAGGAAGATAGCAAGGCCAGTGGCTGATGTGACAGATCCTGGTCAACGTCCTTTCCGCATTCCCCACGCCCGCCCTCCTCCCGCTGTGCATCGTATCCCGCCGCTTCCACCACATCATCCTCCGAATTCTACACTTCCGGCTGCTCCTTGCTGCCGCCGCTCCCGAGTACAAACTCATCCTTGAGGCTTATCACCCAGCCAAGCGGTACGCGGATCCTCACTTGTTCTGCACATATCTCGGGACCGATGGCCTCTCATCTAAGCACGAGGGCGAGGGCTCTCTATACGAAGACTGCGTGACAGAGAGCGGCCGGTTCGCCAAACTAGGGTCTCTGTACAGCCGCTTCCGACCCGAGCGGCCGGGCGTGGAAGGTTCTATGCCTGTAAGAAGAGTGGCTGGTTTGACAGCGAACAGCGCAGGCGCAGGAAACCCCAGCCAGCCGATCTACGCCAACAGTGGGGACGGTGGCAAGGATAAGGTTGTTCACACCATAACCTTGGATGGAGACGAGCTTTTTGGGCAGTTTTGCGCCTACAGCAGTCTGGTCCGGTTAGGACCCCGGCGGGGAGTGTTCTTAAGCACAATTCCTATCGTGGAGAGTAAGCAGGGGTGGATGAGAGTTTGGAGGTATTGGCTTGTCGAGAGAGCGAGAGAGCTGGCAAAGCAGGGCGATGGTGAGGACGTGCTGGATAGAAGGCCGAGTAAGATCTGTCCGGATGTTGGAAGTGATCGGACGATATTATGGACTGACGATAGGCGGAATGTCGGTCTGAGATTCTCGGTCAAGTGCCTGGAGCAGAGACTGTACGAAGGAGAGGATGACCTCGACGATATTCCCTTGGGCTTTCAGATTGAGATCACAGGTAAGCACTTTGTATCAAACGAGGGCGGAGCTGACACGACCAGAACTCGTCGTGAGAACGACACATCTCATGCTCGCAGTAGAGGCATCCATGCAAGGGAAGGGGGCGCCGTCAGGTAGGGCTCTGATTTTCGGTTCATTCGCGGTTGTTGGCCAGACCCCAGCTTGAGCAAACAAGTGAGGTGGGTTCTCACAGTCGAAACGAGCAGGCCACTTCAAACGACTTTGAGCTTCGCTGACTGCTTTTAGGCCAGTGGTGGTTCTCTTGGACTATCAGACAGGAGAGCAGCAATAACGAGGCTCAGGCGGAGCAATCTTGATGACTGAGCATATGTTTTTCTGTGTCTCGATAAACATTTGATACTCAGGACACGCGGGACTGTGGGACTCCCTGACAATTGCATGCTGCTACAATCTGTAGTCTTCCGCGTTCTTCCCATTCCATATCTTGCTCCTGAAACACCGAAAAGCCCAAAAAGTCGTTCATACATCACACAAAAGTTTGGGTATGCCACATTGCCGTTGTGCGCCTGGTACCATTCCACCACGCACGGCGTGACATGAGCTGGGGACGTGGATATAGCGCGATTATTCCCTTCATATCCCTTCTCTGAAAGCACTTTTTCTCGTTCCTGTCGGACTTCCACCGCCGGCCTCCGAGTCCAGACTTCCCTGGGCCTGGTGGCCTCTGTTGTCCATCTCCGGTCGGGGACTGACGCTCCTCAAGCTGGGAGCCTCATTATGATCGCCGAATGGATTTTCGCCTCCTTGCCGTCCACGAGCGCCGGTATATCCGCTTCCACCGCCATATGATTCAGCGTGCAGGCCAGGAGTAGGCGCAAGTCCAAGCTCCTGCTCTTCATAATTTGCCGCGTAACCGCCTTGGTTGTTGGCGTAGGGATCATCGTGGCTTCCACCAACTCGGGTGTCCCAGGCATCATCTTCGAAACCTCGGCCTCTTCCTCTGCCAGGAGGCGCATATCCTGCGCCGGTTTCCTCGTATGCGCCACGTGCGGAACGAGGGTTGCGAATCTTCGAGATCTGGTCCTTGATCCATTCGAGCGGGCCTGATGAGCGCGGGGTGGGGTAGTTGGTGGTTGACTGATCCGACTTCACAAATGGTACGTAGTGTTTCCATGAGGGAGGAGGGAGGCCGGCGCGCCGGGCTTTGTATTGCGTCCAGCCGATCCAGCCGCCATAAGCGAAGATGACAAGGAGGAAAAGCAGAAAGAAGAAGAGTCCTACAACCTGTTAGCATGAAATATCAAAACGTCAGGTCGAGAGAAGACCGTACCCCAACCGCGCATCGTGATGATTGTTCCGTTATGTGGTTCTGGCTGTCGAGTAGCGAAAGTGCTATCGCAGGAGCGTGCAAGAACGTGCTCTCGGAAGTTACGACGTCACTGATGGAGTGGTTCGCATTGCCCGGAACGTTTGGCTGAGCAAGTGCGCTTATTTCACGCCCCGTTGTGTAATCGGTAAGTCCAAGGAGACAGATGGAGACGACGACAATGCTTTTCTTTGCGGCAATAATGTGTAAAATGGATGAGTGAGCTGAGTTCATCAAGGCACACGGCTGAGGGACTTGGAAAGCTGCCCCGAGCCCGATGCGGCTTAGCGTTAGCAACCCGCATGAGATCTATTCTTGTCGGCGCTGCAGGCAGTAAACTCTTTAGCTAGATGGCTCCTCAACTACAACAAAACCACTTGCGGCTTGTTTCCCAATTGATTCGTTGTTTGGCGAGTAAGAGCAGCATTCACCAAAATAGTGCCTTGCCGCGCGCCGCCCCAGAGTCGGGACCACGCCAGGCCCTTGAGGTCCTCCCAGATGACCCGCATGCCTTTGATATACAGCGAGATATCCAGGAGCTCAACAAGCGGTGTCTGCGTGAATTGACCCTTGCCGTTGCCATAGGCGTGCTCCCTGACCTCCTCAAATAGTTTCTGGGCTTTATCCCACCAAAGGTACTCCTTCCCATATCCAGAATGGACATGGCCACAGACCTGAAGTGTAGGCTTGGTGCGCCAGATTTCCTGCAATTCGAATTCATCGCCCAAGCCACCTGAGGTTGCAAGATCCAAATGCCATTTTGGCGGATTATGGGTAACAAGGACGTCGGCATCATCTGGAACAGTGTCTGTCCATGCATCTTGGCCTCGTTCGTACTGAAAAGCAAAGTCCTTCCCACCGCACCTGGGTATCTGCGGAGCTCCATAGATCTTAAGCTTGCGACCGTCTAGAAATGACAGCGTGACCGAAGAATGTTGTAGGTAATGTATTTTACCCCAGCTTAACGTCTGATTCTTGTACGCTTTGTCATGGGCAGAGCGCGAACGCTCGTCAAGGTACGCGTCGTGATTGCCGCAGACCACCACGATATGCATATAGCCATCAGAAGAGCCTGGCCATGGTTTTTGCAGAGACTTTAGCCAGTCAACTGTCTGCTGGATCTGCGCGCGAGAGCCACTGTTGGTCAGATCCCCAGCATGGATCAGGATATCCCCCTTTGGAAGTGTCGCAGGGGGAATTTTGCTGTGTGTATCGCTGATGCAGACGACCCTAATCGACGGCTTGGTCTTGGAAGGGACCGGTGGCTTGTAAGAGGGACCTCGCAGGTAGAGGATGAGGTAGTGCAGAAAAGTGATCAGCACAGTGACAGGGTGGTGGATGGCTTCATAGATGAAGCTAGTCGATGCAAACTGCGATCGCGGAGGACCCAGAAACGCCGGAAGCAACGACATGTGGTTGTGATGCAGGTGGCAGGTGCAAGCTGCACAAGACGGGGCTTGTAATATATATCAACTTGCTGAGGGTGTGGATCCTGTCAAACGTAGGCAGGCGCTGAAGAGCAGGCAGAAAATACCGAGTGGAAAGCTGAACGAGGTCCTCAACCCCGCTGCGATTGGGCTATCATCCTAAGCAGCGGCTCCGCCAAAAGATAGTGGTAATCGTCCAGCAAGGAGTCGAGGAGCTGTAGGTGAAGAACAAAGTCTGCACGAGGTCGTGGGAAAGGCGGTGATGTCTTTCATCCAGATCGGGCTTGACGGATGTACACATTCGTTGGTGGCTTGAGGGCAACCGGCTCGTGCTGGAACTGCCAGACAAAATGCAATAAACCCAACTTTATGTCATGACGGCTGTGGTCGAATGTAGCAGCGGCTCTTCCCTTTCTCAAACTTGCTACACATTCCATGCAGCAATATTAACGATATCTGCCACAGTCTCTTCTTCTCTGCGCAACAGCATTCAACCACTGCATCGCACCAGCAACTAGCACCTAAGCAACCGCCCACGCCCTACCCCCAGCCTTACCTGGACCCGCCTTTTGGCCCGGCTGTCAGCTCTGTCCTCCTATCAATCCATCCTTGACCACATCCCACCTTCGATTCTGCAAGCAGCCCGCCGCAGCGCTTGCACCATCGATTCCAGCTGTCGCGCATCTGGTAGGGCTTTTCCTACGATAGCGCACTGCTCTTCGACATCGTCTTCTCTTTGTATTATTCTATCCTGAGTGGCCCGCCTGCCACTTGCCTTCTTTTTCCTCATCGTCAGCTGGGGCTGCGATACCTCTGGGCAGCAACCACACGACTGCGGTAACAAGTGATTCGGTGCCCTAGCCGCGGCCCCTCGTATCACCAACCTTGGGCATTCACTTGACACCCAAACGCAAGCACAGCCTCAGTCCACCCCCCGGGCCCGCGCTCGACGCACCGCATCTCACCACTAGTCATCCTGATTACTGGCCTGCGTTCTTTGCGCGTCGCGTTGCCTCCAGAGTGCTGCCCGCTCGTCAGCACCGTCTCCGATCCCAGCCAGCCTTGATCCACCGAAATCACCGAACCCGCGCGCTGCACCTTTGTTGCAGTGCACTGTTTCGAACATTCTTCCAAAATTCCTTCCCAACAGCCTGATCCTCTTTACGCGGGGTTTCGATCCCCCTCTGGTACCCTGCTTGCTGCTAACGCCGCTGCCCGGGCCATGATGAATGGCACAGACATCAAGAAGTCCATCACAAATCAAGCCAAGAAAGTTGCTACTACCGCCGCAATGGCCGCCAACGGAAACGCAAAACCAAAGAGGCGTAAGGGCGACAACCTCAAACCGATAATCACGACAGACAACGCTGGCTCTAGTCTTCATGAAAGCCCCACCCAAGCCGATCCTGAGTAAGTGACGTGTCTCGTTTCGTCTGGCGAGCTTTTCAATACCCACCAAACGCCCGATTCCATCCTTCCCATCTACCCCTCTCCCTGATCGCGCATCCATGAAGCCATGCCGTCGTCGCAAAACAAGAAATTCAAGTCGACTCACTCACACCTCTACAGATCACCCCTCTCATCCACCTCCGAAGAAGACCCCGCCGAAGCCACCGCCGACGAGGAAGACAGCGAGGACTACTGCAAGGGTGGATATCATCCCGTGTTCGTCGGAGAGACCTATAACAACGGTAGATACGTTGTCGTTCGGAAGCTAGGCTGGGGCCATTTCTCAACCGTCTGGTTGACCAAAGATACCCAGACTGGGAAACATGTCGCATTAAAAGTCGTGCGGTCGGCGGCGCATTATACCGAGACGGCGATCGATGAGATCAAATTGCTGAACAAGGTCGTTCAAGCAAACCCCAATCATCCAGGTCGCCGGTATGTCGTCAGCCTGCTCGATAGTTTCGAACACAAAGGCCCTCACGGTGTGCACGTATGCATGGTCTTCGAAGTCCTTGGCGAGAATCTGCTTGGTTTGATCAAGAGATGGAATCACCGGGGTATCCCTATGCCGATTGTCAAGCAAATCACAAAGCAGGTTCTTCTGGGCCTCGACTATTTGCATCGGGAATGTGGCATCATACATACCGATCTCAAGCCGGAAAATGTACTGATAGAAATTGGCGATGTCGAGCAGATCGTCAAGTCTTTTGTCAAGGAAGACGCGAAGAATTCAAAAGATGAGAACCCCAATGGCAGGAGAAGAAGGAGGACTCTGATCACGGGCAGTCAGCCTCTGCCCAGTCCGCTGAATGCCAGTTTCAGCAACATCGATAAGGTTGGCGGCTCCCCACATGGTCACAGCAGCCTTAATCAGATCGTGAATGATGGTAACCCGTCCAAGCCCGCAGAGGGGCTGTCAATGCTCGAGCAGTTGAAACTGAAATCGGAGGGCAAGGAAGACGAGAACCAGAAAGCTCGCGAGAAGACGACAGATCCACTGGAGAAGGATCTGGCTGGAGTTTCCCTCGACAGCAAGAAAAGCAACTCGCAAGCGGAGAAGGTGCTGAAGGAGGCCATGAATGATGATGTGTCCCCAATCGGAGAGATCATTTCCGTCAAGATTGCCGATCTTGGAAACGCCTGCTGGGTCGGGCATCACTTCACGAATGATATTCAGACTCGACAGTATCGGTCACCAGAAGTGATCCTAGGTTCAAAGTGGGGCGCCAGCACGGATGTATGGAGTATGGCTAGCATGGTGAGTCAAGATGAAGCTCTACAAAAGGATCAGCTAACAGTCACAGACCTTCGAGCTGATCACAGGTGACTATCTGTTTGACCCGCAGTCAGGAACAAAATATGGAAAGGATGACGACCACATTGCGCAAATAATTGAGCTGCTCGGGCCATTCCCAAAATCGCTTTGCCTTTCAGGGAAATGGTCACAAGAGATCTTCAACCGCAAAGGCGAACTTCGAAACATTCACAGACTTCGCCACTGGGCGCTCACTGATGTCCTTCGGGAGAAATACCATTTCTCGGTAGAAGAAGCGCACAAAATAAGCAACTTTCTGACTCCCATGCTGGACCTTCCGCCCGAGGGTCGCGCTAATGCTGGCGGAATGAGCAACCATGAGTTTGTGAAAGACACCAAGGGTATGGAGCATGTTAAGCTCGACATCCCTGTGGGCGCGAAAGGAGAGGGTATCGAAGGCTGGGCGACCGAAGTCAAGAAGCGATAATCCGAGTATAGAGTGGAAGCTCTCTTTACTCGCTCATATCCTCGCCGGTCCTGATTCATCGACGCACGACTGAAGCGCGAAAGAATTGGTTTGGAGTCCAGGGAGCAGCAGCACAGCGACGAAGACGGGCCTGTTTTCAAACAGGCAGTATCTGGTAACAGGGGCTTGAATCTTGCGCAAGATGAACGAATAGATGCGAATGACTCAGCGGTTAGTGTCGCGTGTGGAAAGCGTTCTTTTACGGAGAAAGCTGTTGGCGTGTCCATACAACCTTTTTCTCAAAATTTAGAGGGGGCGGTTACTATGCATTTCTGACGGAGATGAGTTGCAAAGCTGCAGCGAGCATTGTGTTGTTCAAGGCGCAAAGCCCAGACAGAGCGGGAGATGGTGCCTCCTTCCCCCATCGCAACAAGCTACGTCTGTTTATGAACTTATCATGAAGACTTATGACCGATCAGCGAGTCGTTTGAGTTTACTTATGGCACTTGTGTGCCCGTTGCCCAGCACTTGTGCCCTTTTTGTATTGCGATCTTCTGCTGAAAGTTGCTCTGCGAGTATTGACATTTCACAGACATATTCCGTAGCGATATCGGCTTCCAGAAACTGACGTTGCAAGGCGTCAGAAGGAAAAGCAGCTGTTCGACCACATCGTCGGCCATACGCGGCACACACCCTTCAGAACCCTTCAGTCGAGAGATGATATCGCCAAAAAGTACACAGCAACTGAGCCTGACGACTCCCACTTCAGCCAGCCGTGACTAAGCAGAGACAATACAAGGAAGTCAAGACTACCGTTAATCCTCACCCGAGCCATCCTCGGCTAGAAGGTGAAACATGTTGTGCTGAAACGCCGTTTTCTGTTCCGCGTCCAATCCCCTCTTGATTCTCTTCCGTGGCTGACGGAAACCATCTGCTGATACATCCTGCTCTTGGTCGTCGACGGACCTGGTATGTTGCTTCGACTGTATAGCTTCCTTCGCCTCGTGCTCTCGCAACATGGCAAACAGTGGAGCGACGAGACCTTCAGCGTAGTTTCTTTGCGTCGATACTAGAGCCCGAAGCTCATCTATGCCAACGAATAACTCTGAGATTGGGGGCATCGTGCCGAGTAAACCCACCAACTGATCTAGTCCGTCGAGTGGCTCGTTATCGGCATCACGACTTCTTTTGTGGAATAGAAGGAGCTGTTCGAGAATTCGTGTAGAATAGAGAATAGCTTGAGCGCTCGCATGGAGATGCACATCATTCCATGATTGCCCCAGTGCGTTGCCTTTGAGGCCGAAGAAGCTGCTGAGATCAACTCGGCTGATGGCCTTGCTGGCATTGAGTTTCTGCTGAACAACGAGGTGAACAGCCAACGTCCACCAGCAGAGAACCATGGGAGCATGCTCGTTAGCAGCAGCTGATTTGAGCCGCATCTGGGACGTTACCTCAGACAACAGACGTGAGAGGTCGCGGCCCTGCTGCATAGCAATAGCGCTCGCACCGATCCGGCCGCCCTTTCGAGCATACTCCATAACGACTTTCGAGCCGGAAGGTGAGGCTGAGACAGCAAGCCATATAGAACATGCGAGCTGTCGAATCTGTTGCCCATACGACCAGGCGGCATCACGCGTGATATCTTCATAAAGCATTGGCAGATAAATCTGCAGCGTATCTTTTCCAGACCGCAGCGAACGCACCACAAACTCGGCGGTTCGTGGATCCAAGCCTTGCAGGTTCAGGCTGGGTTGCAAGGCCTCACTGATGCGATACTCGTCGGCGAATGCCTCGTAGGCGCCCTGGCTGGAGCCCGTATATGAAGATCGTGCCCGCTCGACAAGCTCACCCACGGAGGCACTGACATCCAAGGCTCGCTCGAAAGCTAGGGGCAGCAAGGAGGAGATCTTGAGCCGTGCTGCAATGGTCCTGGGGCGAATGCAAGATCCAACGATCTGAGAACCTGCAGATTGCTCCTTATAGCGTTTCTTCTCCAGTGACTGAAGGAGCACTACACAGCCGTGCTCGCCAAGCTCGTAAATGCACATGTCGGAATCATTTGAGAGTATGGCGGAGCCAGAAAGACGGGCTACTCGAGCACATGCAACGTCAGCCTCCTCTGGAACAACTTGCACCTGTGTACCCCATCGTGACTTCGACAACGTCTCGATGACAGCCGGCACCATGAAAGGAGGCGCGGCAGGTAGCGACCGTCGTGCAGATACCGCTTTCTGCAGCCACAACGCTCTGTGGAAGTCAATGTCGAGCTGTGGCGAGGCTGGCTGGGGAGGTCGCGTGCTGTGAAGGCTTCGGTATTCTTCGAGTTGCTTTCTGGTTCTTTCCAGACGTTGCAACCGCGTTTCCTCCTTGCCGACGGGCAATGCTCCGTCGAAGTAGATTGCCTCTATATTGACACCATGGCTGGTAAGCTCCGCGAGCAGGAACTCGGCAGCGGTGCCAATTTCATGGTACGTTGGTATACGCGCAGCACCTGTTCCTGCCTCGAGGATCCGATGCCTTATGAGGGCATTATAAACGTGGTATGCCAGGCTCGGACCATCGACTACAATGCTGTCGATCACTATGGCGTCCTCCGATTCGTGATTAGCCTGGCCGAGAATCGCAGTTTCTGTGTATGGAGCGAGGTCTTGTGTCAGACGTGGAATTCCCATGGCTGGTGAACGTGTCGGAGGACGGACGCGTCATGGTCAGAGACGCAGACCAGGGTGGGCGATGGGTATAACCAACTTTTACTCTTTAGTTAGGCAAACGATTGAAGGCCGGGAAGGAAATGTGGAAGTTGATAGAGAAACTATTTCTTCAAATGACAGAGCGCTTCGTGCTCCGATTCCGATGCGGCAGTGTGCTATACGACACTATTGACATCTATCTGATCAATATGCACATCATCGTCTGCGACTCTTATGTCCACAATCTTCGTTTCGTCTCCTTCCACGATAGTGCTCACACTATCCCCATATGAATGCTATTGAAATGCTGGCATAATGCTGCTGCTAACCACGGTTAGTCGGGGGAGGCGAACAGTAGACCTCTCATCGTGAACATTATCCCAGTTCTCGAGATCTGCCCGCTTGACACTTCTCTGCAGTAGTTGTTCATATCAAACCGGTACCGGACAACTCCTTTGGTTCTCGTAGTGCCACTCGTAAGCGGACCATACTCCGATCATGTGCACGAGGCTCGCAATGACTACCAGCACATGGAATAACTGGTGTGACCCCAGCCAGATGTCAAACTTGCCAGGCCATATTGATTCTGGTATGCGGGTCGCAAAAAGAAAGGCTCCGAATCCGTAAACGATCCCTTCTAAAAAGTAGTAGGGCATCCCACTCCTAACCCACATCTGGCTCCAGCCGTACATAAGAAGCCCGTGTATAATAGGAGCAAAGCCGCTCAATGCGGTCAGGACGAAAGCCGATGTGCGAAGTGAACGGTACTTCAGACCCTGCAGCTTAGGGTCAATCACCAGGATCGAAGTTGCAACCGACAAAACGCATATCGAAGTCCAGTGAATGTTCCGCAGGGTGGGCTCGCAGCGAAAGCCAACGTGAATGCCGCTGAAGAAACTTCCAAGTATTAGTGTAAGAATGCCGATATAGTCAATCCGGAGCCACAAGTTTGAGACATGCTCAGAGTGGCACATTAGTGTATGGTATAGGGAGGATAGAGTCATGGTAACGATGCCGGCGGCAACGTTAAAAGCGATCACGAACCGGTCCAGGCGGGTTGCCTCGGGGTAGTAATGGTCGATGAGGAGCTGGATAAGGATTTGACTCAGTGCGAAGCCGCCAGCGGGGAGAAGATGCGTCCAGATATTGACAGTCTCATTATGCATCGCGAATATGGACTTAATGCACGTCCAAGACTGTCCCTCCATGCGATAGCCGGATAGAATGTACGGATTGTCCTTGTGCCATTCAGGTAGCTCGTCATACCTGAGGAGTCGGGCGGGTTTATGCTCTGGTTTTCGTGCAGAAATAGAGCGCCGTCGCTCCTTCAGCACGCGATTGAAAGTCGACCTCGGCCTGCGGTAGCTGAGGATGAAGGAGAGTCGTGCCATGGTGGAAATCAGCTACGACGATGACCTCAAACAATGCTCGCACTCAACGCGACACTCCCCCAGACGGCGCCAAAGCCTGGGAGGCAACAGTCTCTGTCCAGCAGTAGAAAAGAGACTTCACACGATCGTGGGCATATGAGCGATATGTAGAATTTGCTAGACCCACGCTCCCCGCGCCGGTACAGGCTCTGATGATCAATAGTGGCATGGCAGATGTCAATGGACGAGCCAGCGTCCCGCATTTGCCGTCTCACAGGGAGCGTTATTACAGGCTGGCGAATAATGATGCATGCTTGGAACCGATAATTATCCTCCGGTAAAGACAATGGGCAGACTCGGCTGAGGCTACGCTTTTGGGGTTCCGTCCATGGCAGAATACGAACATCTCTGTTAAGTGCCAATTTCCGTTGGGGAAGGTGGGATTGGCCCGGCCCTAGCATGAGAGCCCCTTTCCAAACCCACCACACAACACGTTGCTTGCAAGCTCTTTCAAAATTGTGTCTCTGTGTTGAAAGAGATCTATTCATGTTTAAAAAAAAGCAAAAAATCGCCAATACGAAGAGTTGAAGGATCTTATATGCTCCTTACTGGAATCGAACCAGTGATCTTCTCATTACTAGTGAGACGCTATACCACTTAGCCAAAGGAGCATTTTGAAGCGCTCGAGACTTGTGTCGCGATTGTTGGCAGGAATTTCGATTCACTAATATAGATACCACCCTTCAAGTTTAATCTCTCAGCCGTTGACCAATCACAGAGGATCAGCATGAACACCGCCAAGGGCAGTACCATTCTCAAGACGGGCGATTCATTCCCTGGCATCCTACATAGGTATGAGGTCCCGATGGCTCAGCAGACCCGAGGTGTCAATGGGCTCAGGTTCCGCAAGTTTGTAATGCACAGCCTTGAAGAATGTCACGGCGTTGAAGAGGGCAAGGCATACTATATGGCACAGCTTTGCCAGCGCCAGCTTACTACTGTTGGCGTTCTCCTCCAGATCATCAAATAAAGCCTGACCATCGGAACACTGTGCGGACCGATGGTATTGGATAATCGCAACCTCCCCTGTTGAGCATTGCCAGAGAACCGTTGATGTAGTTGAGCGCCCGGGCTTTGAACAGCATTGCCAAACAACTTCAAGGCTCCTATTTCGACGTTGACGGCCGAATACCGGACATCTATCTGAACATTTGGTGACACATCGCCAGTCATCGGCCGTTATCCCTCCGAGTCATCTCAAATGCGGAAACAGGAAGAAATAGCTTTGACATTCATTATTGAGCCATCAAGTCTGGAGCGCTTACACTCTACTCCAATCAAATCCCACGTGGGAATCCTGAGTCACCACTCAGGGCTTATCGGCCCGGTGCCCCACAACGTTGCCCTCGCTTGCGCACTCAGCAGCGTCCCTCCGCGTCCTGGTACTTGAAGACAGCTACTTACTCTCATCATCGCCATCATCGTCAGTCTTCAGGTAGCAGCAGGCAGCAGCAAATACCGCGCGTTATTCAACGCTTCTCCCAGCACAGCCCACCTCTATCGCCACCGATCTAAACTCGCCTCCCGACCGTCGTCCTTCCAACGCCGTCTAGAGCATGGCCGCCACCAACACCCTTCCGACGAGACCGGCACCGCATGCCTCTGCACAGACAGGAGCAGGCCTTGCAGCCGCCATGGCTGATGTGGCGATCTCCCCTACGTCCCCGACTACCGCGCGCAGCACGTCTGTGCGCGTCTCGGTGCCGCTCGATCCGGCGACTGCGAAGCCCGTGGGAGCCGATACAGCAAGAACCCCGAGCTCTGGCGTGAACAGCACAACCTATACAGCTCGCAAGCTGGTGCGCCGCGACAGTATGGAGCGTCGGGAGGCGCTGCTCAAGGGTAAGGAGGGCAGTCGGCAGCGCAGACGCTGGGAGAATGGTGAGTGCCGAGACCACTAAGATCATGCTGCCTCTTCGCCACACGTCTACGGGGTCTATAACAGCTACACTGCATGAGCCCCAGAACAGGCACATTGACACAGAGATAAAGAACCATCCATCAGGTCATCAGTCACATGCTAACACACATCCCTCTGCAACAGACCGTCTGCTCTCCAATCCATGGGCGGCGCCACCCCTCCCCTCAGACTGGGAAGTGCGCCCGACCTACCAGCGCCGCAGCGTGCCCTACTACCTTGCGCCGTTGTGGGACGCCGCGGAGTTCCAGCGTGCCGTGGAGGCCAAGATACGCGGCGCCCGCCGCAAGGGCAGCATGCGCAGCACCACCACCAAGTCAGGCAGCAAGAACGGCAGCCTCAAACACCCCGGCATGAGCCCGATGGAGGAGGCTGCGGCGGCGATCCCCAAGGAGGTCAAGGCCAGGTTGAAGCGGAATAAGACTGCCAAGGGCCTCTTGATGGATCTGGAGGAGGAGGTTAGGGTGTTTGTGCGGGAGTGGAACGCGAGGAGTGTGAAAGGGGAAGATGATGGGAAGAGGTGGGGGAAAGAGGGGAGGGAGAGAAGCGAGACGTTGGACAGCATGGTTATGGTATCGAGTGAAGATGAGGAGGAGGATGAGGAGATTGTGTTTGTGGGCAGGAACGGTAGTATGGTGGATGGATTGCCGAAGGCCGAGAAAAAGAAGCCAAACCCGGCGCAGGAGACGTCCGAGTGGCAGCAGACGATCAGCCGGGAGAAGCTGGTGTTTGACGGGTCTGAGGCCGACAAAGGTGCGAGCTTTGCACGCTGGTTGGTTCACTGCGTGGGGAGTTATTATGGGTTGCGGACGTGGAGCGTGACACGAGAAGTTCAGGGCAGTGAGAATCGGCGGGAGGCGTATGTGGGGATTGATGAGCGTGCGACGGGGTTCATGGGGAGGGGTGTTGAGGTAGGCAGAGAGGTCGAGCTACCTAGGCCACTGTGGGGAATGGTGTGAGTTGGTTTTCGCTATCGGTGGCCCGCTCGTCGTCGATCAGATCTGGGCATGCGCGCTCGAGAAAACCGGTGCTGGTAACTTACCAGCTCCGTCCAGCCACCGCTGGGTCAGATTGTACTATTCGAAGAAGGCGGGTCGAGGCCAGGCAGGTCTTCACGTTTCTGCTTCTGATGCCCACGTCGTTGGACGTCGCACCGAATGACAGAACCCCCCCTTTCGGCAACAGACTACCCTTTACCCTGTTTTCATCTGCACCGCGGTAGGACGAGTCGAAGCGTCGATCGTTCTGGAACCGTACCCGTAGGAGTGATGGCTGTCATGGGTGCTGCCGTGCGATCTGTCCGGCGAGGGCGAATCGCGTTGAGTAGACAGGAAGAAGGAATGTTTCCCTGGTCTTGGAACGCTCGTCGTGCTAATAGGATGGCTGGGAATGAGCACAACGGATGTGCATACGGCTTCTGTTCTCAGACTCCACAACCAGACAATACAGAATTTGGGGATCTGCAGAACGAACGTTGTGTAGTGCTTCGCAGGCTATTTTCTGGCCGAATCGTGGAACCTTTGGGCAATTTAGCATGCATAGCGATTCGCACTTCCTACACCTATGACCGCCACAAGAGGCTTTTCTCCATGACAATGACTCTCCCTGTGGACGCAGGGCCTAGCTCTGACTGCTTTGATCGAGCGATTCGAGCTGGACATCGCGCACGTGTCAGACGAGACAGACTAAACATCGCGTGTGGTATGGTAAGGTGCAACAGAAACCCGTGCCTCATTCTGCCGGAAGGGCCGATAGGTTAACAGGCGACAGCAACGTCTTCCCCGAAATGTCTGAAACTGATGCTGGTGTCAGAGGGATCTTGAGGTAAATTGGGCTGGCCAAAGTGGGTTGCCAGTCCTGGAAAATGAAGCTTCAGAGCTGCAAGGGTAAATTGGAGGTTCGCAGCTTTTGCATGTTCACGGCTGGCGTCAATAATTCGCTTACAAGCTTCTTTGCATGGGTCATTCTTGAAAGCAAAATTTTTCCTGCCCAACACGGCTGACTGGGCACAGGACCTTAGCGAAGGGGCATTTTAGGTGATGCTGCATTAGTTGGGGCTGCATACTGCTTGGGACTGACCCGTTAGCTGTTGCTGAGATGTCATCCAGAAACCTGTGTCATCGTTCTGACCTTCTAATATGGAGCTTTGAAGATAGGTCCTTAGCTCTAGCAAGCATTGAGTTGATCAGCCGTGACGGGCCGATGGATCGGAGAATTGAGCGTCGATCATGGGGGATTGCCATGGGTAGGCCCGTTGGAGTGGTAGCACGTACCGCTTTTTCGTTGATCGTCGGTGACATCGAAGATCGGGTAGAAGCGACGACCAGGTAGACATCGAGTCATCGACGCAGACACCGCGGGGAATGACGCTACTGAGCATAGGCACAGCTGTCTGTTCCTGAGCAGCCGCCCACGCTGAAGCAGTCTTTGGCAGAATGAGGCACCACATCTGCCCAATCTTGGAGAACCCCACGAATAGCCACGTTGGAGACCGACGAGGGAACGGGGTGAATGCATGTTGGGTCCCGAGATAGGGCGCATAGTAGCGAATCTGCGTGAACTACTGTTCCCCCCTTGTTGTACCGACGAGGTGGTGGTCAGCCTAGAGGCGGGATGGGGGCCCGTCTCAGGGTGGGACAGCCCCTCACAGCAGCTCCGTTCATAGGGGCTTTAGATGAGGAGTGAAGGCAGCAATCGCTGCATATGTTGCCAATGAGAAGGGAAGTGACAACGCATCATGCGGTAGCAATAAGGTTGCGGCCAGTGGCGGCGCAAATTCAGTGGGGCCGCCGCCGGTCTCTGCCAAGCCTGACCTCGCCTCGCTGTAACTTGGGCTGAGAGCTTTTCTCGTTTTCTGCCTGCTGCCCGACTTACTTGTCTCGCCACTATACGCGGCCATGATTCCATTTGCTGCCTGCCACCGAGACGTTAGTGTCCGACGCGGCCGGATGACATCGGCCTTCCCCTACACCAGACGTCGGAAGTTTGTGATCGCAGACATGGTTTTGCACAGCCCGCTTGTCCGTCCCATTCCCGAGGATTCCCTTACCCGCACGATCTAGTGTTACCACCTGTTGCAGCACGCCACTGAGCTGTCCCTGCTTCCCCGTTTGGCCAGCCATTTGCTTCACCAGCAAACCACCTGTTGTTGCTTCTGAAAACGAAATGACTACCCGGCATTTTCTTCTTCAGCATTCTTGAAATGTCTTCACTGCCACCTTGTACTTAGAGCACACCTATTACCTCAAGCACCCCCCAACCTTTTGTGACCCATCAACCCTCATGGCTTCACTGTACTTATAACACCCCCTGTATCATTGATTGTTTACTACTACCTCCTTGCCACAAACATAACCTCTACCACGCCCAACTTGTAAGATATTCATTCCACCTCAGCATGCCGTCAATGTATGCCGGCTCAACGCGGAGCTCTTCGTCTACTTCGACGTCTAGCTCCGACCAGACATATGCTACCAACATTACTTCCTACTCTGACATGCGGCCTATCGCGCGCCGTTTCGAATCCGCCCCCAGCAAGTACGGCCAACATGTCGAGGACCCCGAAGACTTGCATGAAGGCAACGGCGACCCTCGATCGTCTGTCGAGACATATACTTCATCCATTTCTTCTAATGAGGACCTGGCTGATCAACCCGAGTATGAGCTTCCCAATGAACGCCACCGAACATACGAGACCGACGCTATGCCGAGCACGCCACCCGACTTTGCCAAGCTGTTTCCAACTACTCGAAGGCTGCTCATTCAGCATGATGATTCAACCTCGGATGGCAACATGAATCTTCGTTGTGATACCGAGGCAGTCTCTCAGTACGGCGAGCGTTTGAAGATGACACTTTTCCACCTCCGAATGAAGAACCTGTATGAGCGACAGTTTTCTCTTCGCCGGTACTGCCGGGATTCTGGACGTGAAGTGTGTAGCTCAAAGAAGAAGTACGCCAAGCCAATCCCAAGAACGCATTCCCGAAAGCGTCCCTCCATTTCGAAATCGTTGTCAACCGCTCTCCACAATCTCGGAGTAAAGACTCCCAATCGGCAGGAGTCTGGCTACGAGTCCGAGGATGGTCAATTAGAACAAGACCTCAGAAACTTCACACTGTCTTCAGAAGTCAAAGCAACCATCCCGACCAACATTATTCGACTGGAATATTCCAATTATGCCCAAGTCGAACTGCATCGTCGCCGCCAGGATGGCGCCAAGCGGTGGGATTTCGAGTATTGGGGGGAGCCATATAGCTGGAAACGCGAACTCAGCTACGACGATGGCGAGCCGATCTACTCGTATGAACTCATTAACCTACGTTTGGGCACCTGTGTCGCTTATATCATGCCTGACAAGCTCGATCAGCGGCAGGAGTCTATCGAGAACGAGCAAGGCGGCTGGATCCCTCCTTCAAGCCTGCGTCTCACGGAGAAGTCCATTTCGGAGGATCTTGGAGACGTCATCGTGTCCACTGGGCTTGTGGTCCTCACCGACGATTACATCAAGCGCCGGTGGCACAATGCAAAATCGGCGCGTGTATACGTTCCACACGACATCGACCCTACCCAGGCTGTCGATCAAGTGTTTTCACGTCCCAGCCCCAAGATTCATCAACGAGGCCACTGATATATATCAAACATTGCATTTAATCCCTGTACATAGCGTTAGTGAGCGGTTTGGAATTGGATGAGTACAGTCTCGCAGGGCACGGCTCTCCCACGATTGAGTCTGGGCCCCATGGGATCGGGAGCGGCAACGGAATAGGGATACGGATAGGGAAAGGGTATCAAAACGGTTGGCGGAAGGCTTTCGCCACGGCTCTGGTCGGTTGGTAATATCCGGGCGGGGCCCAATATCAGATCAAACAAAAGAAATGACAGCTGTGACTTGATGACTGACGAATTCAGTCCGGCGAGGTAGCAGCCAGCGTCGGTAAGTAGAACTGGGGCTGGCAGTGCAGACGGTACCATTGGCAACCGCAATACAATCATCGCACTTGTACCCAGTTATACGTTCACTGTCATTGATTCCTGGCCTCATTGGGTGACCTAAGAGGCGTTTGCAGCACACTACACTGTACTCACTCAGAGTTGCAGTGGGAGTGGATGGGTGGAAGGGTGTGGTGGCATCCTCGGTGGATAGTATCACCGAACCGAACAGCACGACCCTTCCTGACGCTTCTTCAAGCTGGAGGTGTCATCAGCCTCTCGTCCCTCTGCTGCCCAACCCCAAGGCCACGAATCGGCCTGGAAAGGGCCTGGCCAAAAGGACATCCCCCCTCTTCCGCAAAAGCATGAACTGGCGTGTCCTGCAACCAAGCTTACAGCCTTCAGCGCGACGGAGCGATCCTAGCTCCACAAACGTCGAGAAACAGTATTTTCCCGGGCCAAGGTGGATGAGGCAAACCCCACCAGCTTCATCACAGCACCCAATCCACGAACTAGTTTACGCATATGCCCACTTCCATCATGCGTATCATTGCTTGGTCTGCCGCCAACGGTAGAGTCCGGCCGATGCTGCGCTGGCAGGCCTCGGACTGGCGCCTCTGACGAGGCTTTCGAAATCTCTGCGCTGCTTGAACGTCGTCTACAAAATAACCTGTCATACCGGTAGCCTGTGCGACTCAGCATCATCAGATTCACGCCATGCTGGGGCTGGGTTCACTCCCAGGTACTGTATCACGAGGCACAGAGATCAGGTCGCACAGGTAGCCAAGTGGAGCGATCATCCTCGTTGCCTGTACCCGTCCGTCCATTGAACTGGTGGCCATCCAAATTCGGGACACGCATCGAAGTATTTGCTGTATGTTGTCTCTGGATTTCATTCGGCTCAAGCAATTCCTGCTGTGTGGTGCCTTGACCTGCCCTGACCCCCAGCTATTTATTTGACTACACTTCTCGCACTCTTTTCACGCACTGCTTCGATACCACTCTTCCAACTATCGTCCTCATAGTCTCCCGACAACCCGTTCAAGGGCACCTTCGTCGTTGAACATCCCATTGTCCTCAAGAACAGACCGTCCCCTACCGACGTTGTCATGGCTTCTCCCAAGGTCTCGAGCAAGTGGCAGGACCAACTGGCCGGTATGCTGTCCCAAATACAGACCGTGCAACACCGTCTGATCAAGTCCTCTTCTAGCTGAGTGCGCTCGCTTGGGCCTCTCGGCGCCATGCTATGGCCACTTCTCTGATCGACGCGGTAAGCTTAGCATTCTCTGGGCTACGGCAAAGACTGACCTTCTCTGCAGGTGGCCGCACTGCCTGGTCCTCTACTGTGACGGTCGAGGATTGGAACTGCTCTGCACGCCTCTGGTACGATGGCCAGTTCATCCAAAACGCCCACGAGGACGCCGCCGAGGTCATGCTGACCAAACTTCGCAACCCTGCCATCTATGGGCGGCCCCGTCGTGGCGCTCACCAACACCAGTCGAATTGCAACTTGGGACGGGGCTCGTCGACCTACGGACCTCGCTAAACAACGCCTTACTTCGGCAGGCTGGGCTCTCGTCCACTGCACGAACGAACGAGCCAAGGAAGGCGGTAACATCTCCTGGAGCGGGTATAGGTTCTGTTGAAGCATGGCGACGGCGTTCAATACCACACAGGCACATATTGCGAGCGCAACGGGGCGTTTCGGGTTTGTTCTCAATACAGATAATCCGCGGAGCTAGACTGTTAGCGGTCATACAGCGTGCATCAGTCTCAGCATCAGGAGCGGCTATGCCATCAGACAGCCTCTCAAGGACCAGTCGCCAAAGATGCTGTCGGTAACAGTCGACACGCTGACCGCTCAGTGAAAGTATAGAAAACAATTGAATGTCATCCGACATCCCCTCAGCAGCTGCTTCCACTTCCCGTCGCTGTTGTGATCCGTATTATGTATCTCGCCGGAACGGGCAGCTGTGACATCTATCAAAAATTACATATACCTTCTGCCGGTACCTCATCAGATGCATTGTAAAGAGCAGGCAGGGGTTGGGCAGCTTGACCTGTCGTGAAACTAAACCGTCAAATCACCGGCCACCGCGAATCCAAAAAAAAAACCTCCGCAGATGCAGATCTCGCACGACCTGCGCACAGCAGGCCACATCCTTCTAAGAGGCCTTCTCCCAGCTTCTCGGGTCACTTTAGCCAGCACCCTGCTCTTCACATTACATGACGTGCAGTCAGACGCGCCTCTATTGACGCCGTCACGGCTCCCCGCAGCGTAGCTGCATATATCGCATGCACCGCACCTTCACATGTCGGTTTGACATCCACACCGCCACGAGACTACCTCATTCTGCCTGGCTCCATGCGTCCCCTGTCCATCGCAAAATGTCTTCGGCTACTACACTTTCCGCCCTAACGTTTGAGCTTAAGGGCCGGTGCTCGGTATACCTCGCAATCTCAAAAAGCGACCCAGGAGACTGACGATCCTCAGAGAAGCAAAGCACGAGCGTCTACGCTCACTCTCCCCCATGGACCCGTTGACCTCCCGATGTTCATGCCAGTGGCCACTCAGGCTTCACTGAAGGGTCTCACGCCGGAGCAATTAGAGGAGACGAGTTGCAGATTATGCCTGAACAACACCTACCATCTGGGCCTCAAGCCGGGACAGGCTGCTCTCGATGCCATTGGAGGGGCGCATAAGCTGCAAGGTTGGAATTACAATATTCTGACAGACAGTGGTGGGTTGGTTGCGCTGCCTGGACTACACCTCCCAATGGGTGCTGACACATTCACGCCAGTTTCCAAATGGTTTCCCTGCTGAAGCTAGCCAAAGTCACCGAAGACGGCGTCCGCTTCCTTAGCCCACATGATGGCACTCCCATGTAAGTGCCCTTCGCCTCTCCGACCCCAGGACCAGCACCGGCTCACTTTCCCGAAAGGCTTCTCACTCCCGAGCACTCCATCGACCTACAGAACTCGATTGGTTCGGACATTATCATGCAACTTGACGATGTCATTCAGACGACTTCACCGGATTATGATCGCATGAAGGAAGCCATGGAGCGCAGCGTCAGATGGCTAGATCGATGCATTGCCGCTCACAAGAACCCCGACCGACAGAACCTGTTCTGTATCATTCAGGGTGGGCTTGATCTAGAAATGCGCCGCGAATGCTGCCGCGAAATGGTCAAGCGAGACACGCCCGGCGTGGCGGTTGGGGGCCTCTCGGGAGGGGAGGCCAAATCCGAGTTCTGCAAAGTGTATGCCTGCTATCACAAGGTTGGGCTAGATTTCACTGCTGACAGGTCCTACAGGGTTGACACGTGCACTGACTTGTTACCACAACAGAAGCCGAGGTATGTCATGGGTATTGGCTACCCCGAAGACATCGTCGTTGCGGTCGGTCTTGGGGCAGACATGTTCGATTGCGTGTGGCCCACGCGGACGGCACGCTTCGGTAATGCCATCACCGCTTATGGTGTCTTGAACCTCAAGCATGCCCGCTACGCCGAGGACTTTGCTCCGATGGAGGAAGGCTGCCGATGTACCGCCTGCCGCCCCAGAGCTGAAGGCGGCCTTGGCGTCACGAGAGCCTACATCCATCATCTGGCCGCGAAAGAGACCGTAGGCGCCCACCTCGTCACGATGCACAATGTCCATCACATGCTCGACCTCATGAAGCGAATACGAAATGCCATCCTCGAAGACAGCTACGCCGCCTTCGCGAAAGACTTCTTTTTGAAGTACTTCCCGAAGCAGAAGGGACCTCCGGACTGGGCTGTCGAGGCCCTGAAGGGAGCAGGCATCGATCTCCTAGACTGAGAAAGAGACAGAACACAATTCCGTTCGATGACCTGGCAGCTGTTGGGCTTTTTGATGTTCTCTACCTGCTGTGGGAGAGGGAGAGCTTCCTAGACTCTTAGACATTGCCATATTCCAAGCATTGGCATGACCCTTGAACACCCAATGTTTCTATAACCGTATCCCATTCGTGTTACAGATCCTCAGTACATGCATGCCATCGTAGGGCGCGCAAAACCTGCCTGGAGACTCCGCCCTATTCAGTCTCCCCGTTCATTCATCCGCCGAATCATGCGTAGTGCGTATGCGCACAAAAGACACCCGTACCCAAGACACTCGTACCAATCAAACAGCATCAAAGCATCAATCAGTAGGAACCTAGCAGACGCTTTTTCTTCTCCCAAATCACTCAGCCATCCATCCACCCTCTCTTTGCCTCCACGCCAGCCTCTCTGTCTCTCCCCCCCCCGGCTCGTGATCAGCGCGAGAAGTAACTCATCTTACTACTAATCTTACTCTTGACATCACTCAGCGTCTCCCCGAGACTACTGCCCGTCCCACTCCCATTCCCACCACCACCGGACCCCGCCTTCCCACTACTGCTTCCCCTCCCACTCTCGCTGAACGCACTGCCGATGCCGCTACGCACCGCGCCCTTCTCGTCGCCACCGCCAAAGATGCGCTCGAACTTGGCCTGCAGGCGGCCCTCGACGATGGCGCCGACGATGTTGATGACGCCAAAGGCGCAGGAGCCAATGGCGCGGAAGATGGCGACGGCGGCGACGGACCACAGGATGAAGCTCAAGTAGATGTTGTCCTTGGGGTTGCTGCCGACGGGATACGCTTCGGAGACGGCCATAGCGAGGATGGCGTTGCAGACCATCCAGGTTGCGACCATGTAGGTGCGCACGGCCTTGTAGTAGTCCTCCTGCAGTTGGGCCTCGGGGACGGCGGGGGTGGGCACCTCGAGGCGGTCGCGGAGGTTGCGCAGCGCGACGTCGTAGCCGCTGTCGATGTCGAGCTGCTCACTTGGCATCTCGACCTCGACCGTGTTGGCGTGCCCGGACACGGCTTTGGCGCTGCCGAGGTCGGTCTTGAGCACGTTGTCGCCTTTGGTGCCCCAGGTGACGTCGTGCGTGTTGCAGAAGGCGTATGTCTGGAGTGTGCAGATGTAGGAGGGCAGGAGGGCAAAGTATTGCGCTGATGAGGTGAACATGTGCCAGGGGTCTAGGTACAGGAAGCTCATCAGGAAGTACAGGCCGATGGTGCTGATGGTGGAGACGATGAGGTTGGTGAAGATGTTGTTGCCGAGCCTGTACGAGTCGTCGGATTCGTCTTCCAATGTATGTGCCGTCAGTTGCTTGATGACAATATAGAGGGCAGCAAAAGTCGTGTACGCCATGATGACCGCGTAGGTCACCATGGTGGCTAGATAGAGACGCTTGGCTCCTTGCGGACGGTTGCCCATCGAAAGGATGAATTGGAGGCAGATCAGCAGCACGGCAACGTACCGCATGGCCACGAAGACGTACTTGCCGATAGAATGTCCGAAAGGATCGACTATAGGGTCGGCAAGCGAGCCGGCGACGAAATAGAAGGTTAGATAGAAGTTGGCCAGCGAGAAGAAGGTGAAGAGCAGAGAGACGAATTGGTAGAAGAACTCGATGTGTAGCAGAATTTTGCGGGTGAGCGTGTGGTCGGTCTTCCACACTTGCTTGAAGTGCACGAGCGAGTAAACTGCAGCGAAGAACGCACCGTTCAACCAACGGCGGCGCTGGGAGATGAATTCGGGGATCGTGTCAGGCACATCGGTTTCACCGTAGGCGGACTTGACAAACTTGAGTACCCATCGTTCGTCCCGTTTGGCGACTAGCTCCCAACAAAGGATGCGGTCTTCGGCGAGGTACATGTTGGCAGTGAAGACGTCTGCATTGCGGCCATGAAGAGTTTCGCCCTTGAAGTATTGCGAGAGAGGTCCGTGGCCGGTAGTATCGTTCTGAAGGGCGTAATACCGGTAGGCCGACAGGGCACCGGGAAGCACAGTGATGTAGCCGAAGACGGATTCGAGAGGCTTGTCAAGGATGTTGGACATCTTGTATTCGAAGTTCTGGGAGGCGACAATAGGGTTGAGCAGGCCGAGGAAACCTTTGCCCTTGTCGGCTTTAATTTCACCTGCGGCGCCGGCAACATTTGAATCTTGGTCGAAAGCCTTCCACAGATGATACAGGGCCTTACTATCAGGCTTTGTACCGACATCGAGCAGGATGCAAACATTGGGTGTGAGAGCTCGGCCGAATGCATTGAAGAACCATCGGTGGGAGTTCAGCTTCTTCAAGTTCTGCTCTTTCAAGCAGAAAATCATCTGACATGGCACAATGCCCTTTTCTGCACCTTTGAACTTTAGCGACTCGTCCAGGGAGACCTGTGTGGTGTATTCGTAGACGTGAGCCGCGACGGGTTTCTGGTTTACCATGTTCTTGGCGATACCGTCTTGATAGACACCCAGGGCAGCAAGACCATTCAATGTCCGGGGATGGACCTTTGTCCTGCCATCCGCAATGATGCAGACCACGATCTTTTGCCAGCCGTCCTTGCCCCATGTTCGGGACTTTGTCCTGGAGCAAAAGTGGGCAATGTTTCTCATGATGCCATGCATTGTTCTGGTGAAGCATATCTCGTCCTCGTTGTACATGGTGACGCATATCAACAGCTCCGTCTCTCGGGCGGTCACGCCGATGTTCTGTCGTAGCTTGTAGCCGTTGAGGACGAAGTCGTCTGGGTCGCACGTCACAGCGGTGTATCGCATGTGAGTGAATTCGCGCTCGTCGCGCCGAGGCAGAAAGCTGTGCAAAATGGTTGGAATCTTACACTCGAGAATGAGCTCGCCGTTGATCAGACGGACTTCCTTCTTTTGCATCTGGGCATTTCGGAGTCCACGACGCGTCTGACTTCCGTCAGGAGCGGGACCATAGTGATCGTACTTGTTCTCTTCCTCTTCTGATGTAAGGGTCGACTCGGTCATGTATGAGTGAGAAGATTTCAAACTCGCACGAGGATCGTGGTCTGGCACAACTGGGTGGCCATTTACGAAGACATCGTCTGAATCGTGATCTGGTATGGGAATCGTGGTATCGACGGGACCAGACTTGTCTGTGGGTGCGAAGAGGGGTGCGGGCGGCAGAGGCCGGCGTGGGCTGCCACCGTACTGAGATGAGGGCGTGCCTGGCCTCGGGCTGCCGTTTATATCTGCTGGCTCGTACGAAACGTTCGAGGGCGGGGGTCGCGACCAGTCGACAGAGCCTCTGGGTGTGGATGGTCGCATAGGAGATCCTCTTGTTGCTGCGGGTGGGGGTATGGAAGGTGCCCGTCCGAGGCTCGAGCCGGGACGTGAGCCATAAGTTGTGGAAACCGTCGGGCGGTGGTAACGATCTGGAGATGTTCGAGGTGCTCTGTAGGAAGTACTCCGGTTAGTCTTTGGGCTTTGCTTTAAAGTCACGGTAGCTCTCAGGGAAGGAGATTTGCCAACAACCGTATAGGTCCTGCGTGTACGGTTCAAGTTGTCTTCAACATCGGCGAGTAGAGAGGAGATGGGACTCGGCGGCCGTTGACCTCGCGCGGCCGTTGACTGAGTAGCCTCTTCGTCTTCCCAGCTTACATGCGGACTTGGTACAGGTCTGCGCTTGGGACTGCGCTCTCCATTGATTCGGGGGGAAGTGGTGCTATTGGAAGTAACGTACGATCTAACATCATCTGTGCTTAGGGGAAGCAATCTCAGAGAGTTGTTGTTCACCGATGGGTAGCCGGCAACGTCGTCTTCGTTGGGCGTGCCGACATATGATGGGGGTCCGTCGCCGTAGGCGGGAGGCATTCGTGATGGCGTTCTTGGTCGATCCATGGCACTAGGATATAGAAATATGTCTATGTTCTATGATTCCATGTGTGATGCATAGAAGACGTTGAATCGAGCACTGATACTGTACTTGACAAGGGCAAGCAAAGGCGAGAACGATGTCATAGCGTGCGGATCTGTCGCATCAACATTCAAACCCGATGTGTTTTAGCGCTGGCGTTGCGAGGACAACCACGCTTGTGACTTCAGCCTTATTGATTGCCATCGTCAGCCTTGCTGTCATATGCCAAGGCCTCCCTCCTACCAACGATACATTAAGTTGTCATCACCTTGCAGCTACGTGAAGCAGGTTTGGTTATCAAAGCGGTGGATACCAGGTCGCTCATTCCGACACTCGATCCATCATTAATGTAGTTCCTACTGTATGGGGTATCTCTAATCAAAACAGAATACACGGGCGCAGGATGTTGTCAACCCTCCTTAGATACACCTTCAAGGGACGTCCAGCGCCCTTCTCCTGCCTCATCATCGAGGTGTTTCCGGCAATTCCCAGATGCTCCTTCCTTCCACTTCCTGGTTTGTGTCGTCATTCTTCACGACTGGATTATTTCTAGGTGAGAACGGAATGGGCGTGGTTGAAGTAAAGATTGGCAAATCAGCTTTAGTCTTCTTGTTAGGCGTTAGCGGTCTGGAAGCTGTCTCAGAGCTTGATTCAGGAGGCATTGGTGTTGCAAAGGACCATTGATTTGGCGCGGGTGTCTGCACAAGAGGATGTGAGTGCTGACTTGGGATCCAAGCAGCTGCATCAGGTTGTCCCTTTGTAGTGTCTGGATTGGCCGATTCACTTGAAACATCCGAATTTTCCTGCATTGACTCATGGGCGTTGCTCAATGGCGCTTCAGGAATCATGGTTGGCCTAGAGTCGAGAATGTTCTGCTCAGAACCACCAATAGAACGCTGTGGGGATACAGGCTGCGGAACTGTGGGAGGAGTGGACAGCGGAACGGGCTGATTGACAGATTCGTTCAATTGCTGAGCTGGCACTACTGTTCCTTGCTCCGAGAAGACCTCAGAGTCGGCTAAAGAAGGAGTGACCTGAGCGTATGGCGCCGTCTGCGTCGGTGGCTGCGACGAGGCTTCTTGTTGCTTGGTCTCCGGGGTGGTGGACTTGACGGGTGCTTTGGACTTGGTGCCCTTCGGCACTGGGGGCTTTCTAGTTGTCTTAGCTTGCCGCTTTATTTGGTTTGTGTCTTCCAGCTTCTTCTTATTGGCAAGGTACTGTTCTTCGGTTGGCATATTAAGCTTGATGCTGATTCCCTTCATGCCATTTGTAATGTTATCCAGCTCTGTTGAGGCATCACTGGCTCCGCTGACCTGGCGAGATTGATTGCTAGAGGTCGGCCGAATTGGATGAGTGTTCTTGTCAGAAGAGTTCGATCCTTGACGGGAAAGAGGTGGTAGTCCTGTGCTAGATTTCTTTGGTGCTGCTTTAGGCGCCACGGACGTTTTGGGTCCAGCAGCTCTAGGCTTCCTCGCCGGAGGAGGTTTCATGGACTTCGCCCCAGCTCCCGCTCCAGCTGTAGCCGGAACGGTGCGCGCGGATGTCTGCGCAGTGCCTTGCGTCTTTTGTGCCTCTGAACCGCCCTGGTCATTATCGCCAAGCTTCATTTCAGAAAAGCTCGAAACAATGCTCGAGGCAGCACTGGACCGTCGACGTGGTCGAGAATCTGGACCCGTTTGCGCATTGTTTTCAGCGAGCTTCGCATCAGGGAGGTCACCAAAGGAGGCTATCGTAGTTCTCCGGTTGTCTGATCGGGTCCGAGAAGAGGAGCGAGAGGGACCTGAAGCAAGTGGAGCTGCCTTCGCTTTCCGCTCACGAAGCTGCATCGGCTCGCCTGTTGGGACAGCAGTGACCCCGAATACAGACTGACGCTCCTTGCGAGCTCGTGTAGCCTCGGCGTTCAGCTCATCGTGCCTACAACTCAGTGTCTGACGTTCAGTAGGGATGATAAGTCTTGACAACTCGTATGCTGCGATGGGCCATTCCACGTCTGGTGGGGGCGGTGGCGGTTTCTCGACCAGAGCCAGGCGAGACTCTAGCTGGGCGGATAGCGAGCGTCGCTCTTTCGCTGTTTCCGTCATCTTCGCGCTCGATGCATGAGTCGGGGACGAATAGTTTCCGGTCCCCTTGTCGTTCTTAGCCTTTGCTTGGGGCGGAAGATTGCCGGCCACGATGGCTTCGATCGATTCCAAAGAGTGAATGTCCCACCAAGCACTGCTATGGGTTTCCGGAGTTGATGTAGGGATAGTTTCTGCACCATTCGCAGTAGTGTCCACAGCCCGGTGTCCTGACATGGAAGCCCCCAGTCCGCCCTTGAAGGCGTCTGGTAGTTCGTTGTTCGACGTCCTCGCGATGGGCTCTTCCACTAGTCCACAGATGTGGCTGAGGACACCGCTCGTCAAAGCACGATCGCTGTAGCCACCTTCCAGGACGCTGATGACTCGACCATCAACACCCAAATCCTCCTCCTGCGCCATCTTGACAACATCTGAAGTGAAACGAGCGTAAAAATTGGTCGGAACATTGACCCCGTGTCTCTGCATACCGGCACCCTCCCATTCACTCGCATCGAAACCAGCAGAGAGAAAGATTGCTGCTCTTGGCTTAACCTTCGCACTACGCAGCTTATCGCTGTGATGTCTCAGGAATTTCCTGGCTTTGTCGAGCAGGACAATGTATCGTGACTCGTATAACTTCCAGAACTCTGCGTGGTTCGCCCAAGGTTCGAGGTGCACATTCCAAATGGATTGACCGTGTGCATTCTCGATGCAAAGGCTAGCGTTGCGCACCTTATCCTCATCGCCCCATTCGCAAGGATATGAGTTGATGTCGTGCAAGCTGTAATAGCCTATCGGTGTTTTCCTGTAAGGCGCAGCGTTCTTTGGTCGTTGTTGAGCGTCCTTGTTGTGATCCCAGGTCACGGTCTGAGACCCATCCCCGTGGTGTAGATCGAAATCGATGATAGCAGCGTGGGTAAGACCATGGTTCATGGCAGCATAGCTAATCCCGACATGCACGTTATTAAGCCAGCAAAAGCCAGAGGGGTAGTTGGACGAACAATGGTGACCGGGGGGACGGATACAGACAAACGCACGTTGTGTCGTTTGATCGGCAAAGACGGTGTCGATGGCGTCGCAAACACCTCCAAGACAGCCCTGCAATGCTGCAAGGGACTCTGAACACAGGTAGAGATCTCCTTCATGGAGTTTAGGCAGCGTATTGCCTGCTTCATCTTTTCCATAGCCGACAGGCCTCACTAGTTCTTTGCCATTCATGGCGAGTTTTGACTCTGCCGTGTCGCACATGATCTGAAGTTCTTCCATCCACTTGTTGCCGTGCACGGCAGTGACACAAGCGTGGGTCAAAGGCACGCTTCGGGCAGTCTTGCGAATCTGGAATGGTCTCGTATGTGAGGGTGCCTGCTTGTCAGGGTGGGGCGGATACTTGCTGCCTGCATGGCGGCCACCCAGGCGTACGTACGCGGTGGATGCTCCCAGCACAGTGGCAAGTATCCGTTCTGGTCGCTCAACAATCATACTCAATCCGACCTTAGATGTCCTAGGACGAGAATAGCGGTGCCCATAGCAAGCATCATGTGTGATGACAACAACCTTAGAGGGGGTTGTTGCATGATCTTCCAACTCTTTAGCAAAATAATCGGTAGCCACCATGCTCGGGGTAAGGACTTTGTGCTTGGGTGTTTCCGGAGGCATTGCACCGGATTTCGGCGTAATGCTTGGAGAAGCCGGGTTCAGATTCGATGAGGCGCGGCGAAACTGTGTCTTGAGAGGAGTGGCGCTCCTTGACGGACTCAAATTGGAAAGCGATTGACGGGTGCGCAAAGCGGGTGATACTGTTCTCTCATGACGCACACTAGCAACCGAAGGCGACCGCGAGGCGATCCTGGGAGATTGTGTCCGCGAGGGAGAGCGAGAGGCTGACTTGAGAGGGGTCGAAGGCGGTCGAGGGGTCGATTCTGCGCTGTTGGTCACCTGAGTGACCACGGGCGACAGTGACTGATGCGGTGGCTCCGCGCCTTCGATAGAGGGATGAGGTATGTCTGGATCCATGACTGAGTAAGTATATTCATGCGCATCTGTTTGCTGGTCTTTTTTGCAAGATCAATGTTAGTGCAAAGGACGGAAGTTTGTTCTAAATGCCACAATCCCTAGAACAACACACGTCAACACACGTCATCCGCCAGCGCGTGCTTGGTCGCGACAAGGCTGAGATATCCGCTTGCCAAGCAAGCCTTTGACCACTCTCCCCATCCCCTCTAGGCCACGAAACAAGCCAAATCTTGTCTATACGTAGTCCTGATCGTCTACAGAGGCTCAGGAGATGGATCAGTGAATTGAGATCGTTGGTATATAATGTGGTCCGGATCAGGCTCCCAGCCCTATAGCCCCCGTGTCCCACCAGGCAAAAGAGTCGTCGAAATCAAAGTCGAACATGGTTCCACTGAGGGTATCGAAGGTCGGCATACCGTCTGGAAGAGGCTGTATCAACGGCTGCGCGCTGGGTAAAGGTGCTTCTAATTGAGCCACGGCTTCCGACATCGGTGTCAGCGCCTTGGCCCCAACGGCTGTTGTCTGCATCCTCATCAAATCGTTGTGAAGCTGCACCATCCTATTGACTGCCTGCAGCACAAAATCATCCGCATTCGCCGGATCCGGTGCCATTTTCATGTACACTAAGCTCAGTGCACTCGAGTTGATCCAGTATGAGTGAAAGCCTTGGCCGAGACTCTTGACCCTGCGACCGAGGAGATCAACATACTTGGTGATGAGATCGACAGCGAGTGACTTATCTTGCATGAGATCCTCCCGACCTCCACTAGCAACCGCAATATCGTGGCAGGTTGCTAGGCTGGCACGGAAGGCATCATCACGTAAGTTGCTGAAGGCCAGCGCATGCGTCTCTGGCATTTCGCAATATCTTTTGATAACGCTCAGGGCTGATTCCCGTCGAGTGCAGCGGGAGTAGAAGTACTGTGACTGCGCCAGATGCTGCGTAGCGAAAGGTTGATGTAGGAGAAGCAGATATTCGTGAAGCACCAGACTGCTGAGCGCCTTCGGTGCCCGAGTTACCGATTTCTCCGTCCAGACTGGCAGTCCGTCCAGCTCTGCCCGAATTCGACTATCAAAGGCCATGACCGTATCTAATTCCAAGGTCCGGGAGATGCTGTTGATTCTGGTCAGCATTTCAAGACGCAATGGCAAGTGCTGAACCAGTTTACACAGGAATGATGTCCGGGTAAAATCGGTCAGTGGTTTGGGACTGGGCATGGTCTGTGTCGTCTCGTTGAAGTCTTCGTCATGTATGTTCAACGGCGGCAGGCAGTCCCAGTCGTCCGGCGCAATGGCTGCTCGCATCCCTCGGTCACAGCACGATTGGATGTCGAGCTCCAGTATAGAGAACCACAGCCTTCTACGCATCTCTTGGTCGAAAGGAGAGATCTTGGTAGACAAGTAGGTTGGTTCGCGATGAAACCCAGCAGCCATTGCCAAAGACAAAAGGTTCTGAGAAATGACCCATTCTCTTTTGACCTTATAGCATGTCATCCGCTTGGCGATGATCAGCAAAACATTTGTCTGGTAGTATTCCAGCGTGGTGTGCTTGTGGCTTTGTTTGTTCAGCCACGCTTCTGCGGCCTCAATCCAGCGATGTGAGTCCTCCCTTCCGACTGAACTCCTCCCGAGGAAACCCTTGACACCACCAGCCACCACACAGTTCATCGCTGCCATGACGATGAGCAATTGCGCCACGAACTCAATGTCTGCGGCTTGAGGATTTGTCCAGAATGCTTCGTAGTTGGCCTGAAAGCTGGGTATATGGAGGACGCGATATGTCGTCTCGAGGACGTCAAAATATTCTTGAACCAGGGCATCGGCTCGCTGCTTTGGTGGGACCATGGCAACAAACGTCTGCAAGTCCAATTCTGTTGGATCCTTCTTGGCAGGAGTTCCTGCGTCGCTGCCTTGAAGCCTCTTCACGGCATCTTTTGATCTTTCAAACGAGGGCATACGGTTCAAGATCTCTTTGACAAACATTGACAGCTCTTCGAACTGAAGAAGAAGGCTTGCCGCGTTCGAAGGGCCTGTGTACTGCGTCTTGAAAGATCTGCCACGCAGTAGTGACCGCTCGAAATCCTGGTTTGTATCCTTTGGCCGCGATCCTGGGCCCTGCGGGTGTCCCATGCCGAGGAACATCTCCGAGGAGACTGGTCTCGAGCCAGCCGAGCGAACATATGTCTCTAGCTCGAACACCCGCTCCTGGAGCTCTTCAAGACTTCGTTGCGGAGCAGTGCGCTTCACTGCATATGCTGTCTTGGATGTAGCACCGCCTTTGCTGTGACGGTAGTAGGTTTCTGCTTCTTCAGTCCAGGATTCCTCTGCATCGGATGCAGCGCGCCTTTCTTCCGGACTCTCATCCGTGGGCGTCAGCAAATCGCCCGACTTGTCGTCGTAGGATACATATTTGCATGCATCACCATGCCCACCTTTGATGCAACGTACACAGGAAGGCAGTTCACGCCCACATTTTACTTTCCGCCGTCTGCAGTCAACGCAGGACAAGGCCAACCTTCGTCGCTTCTGGCCCATATTGCGAATGGCAACGAATGAAAGTTCCGATAGCCCGTCGGTCCGCCGCTTTCGTCCTTACGCTTGTGTCGCCAATGACAGTACCCTGGAACGATGTCTCATTCGCTCAGGGAAGCGGGAAGTGTGATGCTCGGCATTATCTCTCGCTCCTGCTCTGGAAGGTGCTGGGCCGAGAATGAACTGCGAGGGTTACGAGCGAGCTTATATGAGAGCACAGATGACTAACACCCTGCTAGGAGACTAGATTTTGAGCTGCAGTTGAAGACGAGCTAGTGACGAAAATAATGCAGGCCCCCTCTCGGTGGCCTTACAACAGGCCCATGCGTGTTGCAGCAGCTGGGGTGGTTACAAACCTTAAGCCCGAGCTGATTTGTATCCGCGACCGATAAAGCCGAAGGCCGAAAATTGCGCGAGTCTTTGACTCTACCAACGGAACTTTGTCATTATTGTTTTAACAGAAGCCGTGCGGCGTTCGTGAGACCCAGCAATGCCTTTCGATCTCGATCTCGCCCGCAGACCTAGCTGGGGAGTGGTGTGCCAACTTATATGCGTGGCTGATGATCCCGAAACACGACTTATGGACGCGTAATACATTCAGTACGGACTACGGACAGCCACTGCCGGGATCAAATTTCTCGTTCACTCTCTATGGGCGAACTTGCGTAGGCGAGCACAAGGTCTTTCATACATCAACGAATCCAAGGCCCTCCGCCTTGAAGCCTGGCTGTTTCTCGTTTCCGGTCACTTCCCTTGCTCGTACCTCGATGAGCTTGTCTATGCACGAAATTCACCGGGTTTTTACATTGTCAAAAAGCTATTTGTGGAAGAAGAAAAGACAAGGAAATGAGTGCTTTCATTCGCTCCGGCATTGTCTAAGGTAGGCGCACGTGGAGGCTCGGTATGGCAAGCCAATCTGTCCTTAGAAGCGCCTGACCTTTTTGTCGCCAGGCATCCTCAAGGAGAGACAACCGAGTCTCGCGATGCATATTTCCAGTCGTTAGCCCTCATTGGAGAGACAGGCGCAGCACTTCCTGTGCGCTGTGCAGTCTGAACCTTGAGAGGCTTCGACTTGGATTTGGGGGGTGTTTGGGGCAGTGGTTTCGTTGGAGGTGGCCCGCTCATAGGAGGGACGGGACCGACATGCTGACGCTTCACCACACCCGCTGGAAGACTCACCGGCTTGGAACCCGAAGGAATGTTGGGCAAAGGCCCCTTTGGCGGGGGGCCAGGCATTGGCGGAACGGGACGGTCACATTGACGTCTCACCGCGCTCGCTGGCAGAACAAATCCCCCATGATTCCTATGCGGAGTCCTTGTTCTGACAGGTGCTTGTCGTTGCAGCTGTACTGATGCATCTTGTGCAGTCCTGGCCGGATGTGGAAGAGGTGCTGATGGCCTGTCGCTTCGACGGCCAGCGTTCTGCGGCATTCTCTGCGGTCTTCTCTGCGCCTCAGCATCCGTCCTAGCAGCGCGGGTCTTGTGCCTCTTGTACAGATACACCACGCTACTGCATAGGAAAGCGAAGAATCCAAGGCCAACAACGAGACCCACAACCAATACTCCTCCTGAAGAGTTTCCGTCCATGTTTGTTTGTGGTAGGTGTGTGTTGTGACGATCCTGCTGGAATCTTGATTATGGCCGCTGTGTATGGGATGGCGACCACTTACACCTCTATATGTCTCCATGGACAAGGACATCAAACAACGATGCTCATCGACAATGCCGAGGTCTTTGTTGTGGCATGAGAAGGGTACAAAGACATCTTTTCTTGTTACAACAATGCTACTTTGATGCGAAAGCACGGGGCTGGAGCCGAAAGGCTCCTTGGTCATCGAGTTGACTGTAACCCTCAGCAGCAACGCCTGCCTTTGGTCTCGGCATCGTAACGTCACCGAGCACGGACTGTCCAATGCCCACCAGCTCTCTACCACAACGTAATCACATCTCTGAGACAAATACAAATAAAAATCTTACTGTAAGTTATGGCGGAAGTTTGTGAAGACAACAACCCGTCAACCCCCTCCAGCCCTCCCCCTAACTTTATCTATCATGGTTATGAAGCGAAACAGAGTTCATACCACCTCAGCCAGTGCATTCTTGCGGTTTCTCAGCGCGAGTTACGACGGAAGTTCTGCCTAGAGGATCGGCGTAAGGAGCGACGTGAAGCAGTCAAGAAGGGTGTTGTATAGCAGCGCCTCAAGTTTCGCACTGAGCAATTGGCCGCACTCCGGAGCAACGACCCGTCTTTAGCCAGCGGCCGACGTCTCGCAGCTAGAGCCCATGCTGAGATGCGCAAGCCAGACGGCGCTCTATGGGTCAAGTCAACGCATGACCCCACCGTACAATATGCATTCAGGTGTCCCGATACGGTAAATCACACAATCAGGTTACAGCAGAAGCCCTTGGAGCCACTCAGGACAGAGCGCTACCACTCAGTCAGCGCTGTAATCGCTCTGGCATACCTCCGCGAAACCATTCCATGCTCAAAAGTTTTCGACTGGGACGACATTACCATCCCGCACAGCAACAAATGGAAATTCGACGGTCAGGAATACAGCACGGACGACATCTTCAAGGCCGTGGCCAAAAAAGTCGCCGTTGCCGAAGAGTACACGCACCGTGAGAACGAGCGCAAATTCTTCGTTCGTTCCATCAACCTTGCCCGTGAAACCTTCCGCGAAGCCATGAAGATAGTATAGAAAGGCGACTAGACCTAGACACCGTTCAACATACTACCTCCCGCACCGCGCAGGGAGTCTACAAGGAAGTCAACGCCCACCCTCGCACGCAAAACTCGCTGGCAGGGCCCCTACATCATCAAAATGGCGCGGGCCATCTGTTGCGCGACCAGAAGCGCGCGCTTCGATACAATGGTGCATCAGCGCACGACTAAGTCGCCACGGAGATCGACGCGCAAGACGGCTGGCCAACCGTGCAGGGCGTGGTCGTCGTGCCGAACAATGTGGCATGGGAAGGTGGCTGGCTTAATCTCAGCGAACTGACCGTAGTCGCGGCGTTCAACGGCGAGATCATGGAGACGTGCGGCAGACTGTGCCGGGGCATGAACAAAGACCAGCTCAAGTTCCTGCGGACGCATCTCACGAAGCTGCGCGACCAGAAGGCGGGGCAGGTTGGGAAGGAGAAGTGGAGCGCGTTGAACAAGGAGAGGGCGGGCCGGGAGAGGCAGCATCGCGATAAGTGTAGTGGGCACGGGGAAGGGCCCGCCTGGGCAGGTGTGGTCATTAGTGGTGGGCAGGGTTTCCCAGGAAAGAAGGGCCTCACGAGAAGCGTGGTCATGGATATAAGGACAGTCTTACCAGGCACGGCACGTTTGGGAAGCGTGATAAGCAAGAGCACTGGTGGGACTTGAATGGAAAAATTCACCAGAAGAGTCAGCATGACCGGAACCAGCGTGGTAGGTGGAACTCGTGCGGACATGGTCACCATCATGACAATCGCCCTTGGAACGATAGTGGTAGGAATCCACATCATGATGGCCTCGGCGCTGACGCACGAGGTGGGTGTGGTGGCGGCGGCGGTGGCGGCGGCGGTGGCGGCGGCGAAAATGAACGAGGTCGAGGTCGAGGTCGAGGTCGAGGTCGAGGTGGTGAGCGAGGTGTCAACGGCCGCGGGAGAGGCAGATTTCGCGGTCGGGGCCGTGGCGGCTGAACGTGGCTCTCTGGTGCGAGCACTAGACGCCATCATGAGTTCCACGAGCACTGGCTCCAATCTGCGATACAATTTCAACGACGAGTTAGGTTTTTGAGAACGCGGCTAAGAGGGTTTCTCGTTTCCTAACTTTTTAGGGGTTTGTAGAACTCTGGCTCGAAGCCGATCGCTTTTGAATCGCTGATACAATCGATCATACTATCACAGAGCGTTGAATGCATTACAGGCATTGGAGGTCGCAAGATCCAAAACAGACAGTGCAGTGCGAAGTTTCTTCTCCACTTGATGTTCTCATTTCGAGGAGCTCCACACTCAGGCAGTGAATGCTTGGCATCAAGGCAACCTCATGAACGAAAGAATACGTTATTGGATATTGGAGGCTGGCAATGCTGGAAAGAATGACGGGATATGTCTAGACTGTATCTACCACTGAGTCTGCCCGTCGGATCCGAGTGAATGGAGTCATGGAACAAGAGACGCCATCGGCTATCTTCGTGCGCGACCCATGGATCATCTCGAGACAAGCGCCCAGAGGACATTCCAGTCTCACGGAGAACCCCGGTTTCGGCCTCGAATCCTCAATGCAACACGAATCCGAACCCTCGGCCTGTTCTCCACCAAGCAATCCTCTCCGAGCTCCTCCCATGCCTTCGACCCCATACTCTGTGCCATCCTGGGTACCTCGAGCCCTCTGCCGCAATCGCCATGATCCCCACGTTTCAGCCCGATAGCCACGTGCAGGTAGAGGCGCTCGGTTGATCGATACTGGCGCCTAGATGCCATTACGGCTATTGCGGATGGTTGATCAATCATGACCCTTGTCGTTGCGCATCTTGGGTGCGTCTGAAGCTCTCGTTCAAAGCTTGCAGCAAGACGTAGTTAGCCTTTAGCAAAGGGGCCTGGATACCATTAGCATCCGCTATCCTGATCGCGTTGCCCACGATAGCGTCTGCCTCCATTTGCCGTCCAGCCAATGCATCTGCCAACATGCTAGGCTCTATTCCTGGCAGCGGCCTAGCCTTTGCACGTCCCATCTGCCAATCTACGGTTTCGCTTGTTATCTTGGAATATCCAGCTGACTGAGCGATGCTGACGATCTCCATCATGACGGCTCTGACATACTCAGCCGCATGAGATGAGGCTGCCATGAACTGAGCGTCTCGTGAGCGGGAAATGGCGCATACAGGGTTCCAAGAAGCGTTCACCAATAGCTTCGACCACCGCTCGTGCCCGATGTCACCATGATGGGTGGCAGTAGCGCCTCCGTTGGTGATGAGCGATACAAATGCTTCGGCGGCAGCCTTGTGATGAGGAGGAGCATTTGCGGGAAAGGTTCCGACCTGTAAACATTCGCCGGTTCAGGTCAGCAATTCGGTCTGGAGTTTGAAAGATTGCGGAGAGAAAATTGCTTGATACCACATTGCAGTGGCTTGGCTCAACTTACGTGTAGCTTTTCGACCTCTCGGTGTTGAAAGACTGCTGGAGAGGTTTGCGTTACGGGCAAATATGTAACGCAGGAAAGAATGGGATTGTCAGGGAACGCGCTGCGGTAGATCTCCTCAATGCCGACTCCGTTTTGAATCAGGACGATAGAGGTCGTTGACGATATGGCGGGTTTTAGCTGTGACGGTATGGGAGGTGTCGTTGGCAAGGCTTTCGCAGTGACTATGATGTAGTCGTAAGGGCCTAGCGCTTTGTCCACAGACTCAGCCACTGACCTGATCACACGCGGTCTGCAATTCACTCCTTCGCCGAAGAGAGTGCTGTTGATTGTGAGGCCGTTCTCGGATGCCGCATCGTAGTTTGAGCGGCAAACAGTGGTGATATTTGAATCGCCAAGAGCTTTGCAAAGCAAATAAGCATAGACACTTCCAACACTGCCAGTGCCGAATACCAGAACCTGAGATGCCATTTTCGAAGATGCAAAGCGTCCTGGTTGAGAGTAGAGGTAGCTCCTACCAGGAAGTGTCGTGATTCGTGGTATACTCTTCGAATATAAATGGTCGAAGGAGCGCGCTGAGAAATGACCCGCAGTTTCATAGAATGACGTAGCTCGTCCAGGATGATATGTCTTTATTCCACGGAGTCTTTCGAGCCTGTACTCTCATAGGAGAGATCAGCATGATGGTCAAGACTGCTTCAAGAGCACTTTGGCTGCCAGATTACTAACATCGGTGATAGTGACCGCTCGGGCCGTATCAGGATGTTTCTGGTCACGGACGAATGTTGCTTAGAGCCAAGCCATAAAATTAAGGAGAAGGATCCTTAGAACAAAGGTGCATGGAATAGAGCTTACATTGGACTCCAAGTCAATATCTTCGTCAGTCGAAGCAAAGCCCTTGAAGCTACCATCGATGTTCTCATTCTTCTTTATCGAGGCGTCTCGGAGCAGCAAACCCAAACTCGGTGGATGCCTCGGGATGCAATAAAGTTGGGATGCGGTGCCGTGGTATGTTTGTTACATGTGTTCTATGCTCGAAGAATTTTCATGACTTCGAAGTGACATTGGAAAGAAGCATGGCGCATTCTGATCTTACCGAGACTTACCTCTTCGCAAGTACTGCGCCAAGAAATGAAGGACGTGATCAATCTGAGTGCTACAACAGCTCTTGCGCGTGGATGTTCTCTCGACAAGCTATGCAAGTCCTCAAGGGTGCGTCATATGGCTCATAGCTAAACAAGGCTGGAATTCTAATTCTATGCCCCACCTATTGCGCCTCAGCTGCATCATAAACGACTCGATACTTAGTTGTCAAAAGGTCACAGATAACTTCGCTCGCGACAACCTCAAGCTTGAGGTCCTTCTTGATGCCTTGGAAGAGCGGAATACCCCTGCCCAAAGCGATAGGTACGGTGGTGAGTATCATTTCGGTCACAAGCTGCCTTTCCAGAAATCCGCAGATGGTTCGTCCTCCGTCGACCCAAACGTTTCTGTATCCTCTGTCGTGTACAATCCGCACAGCCTCGTCCAGATTCTGAACGCGTGCTGCACCAGCTGGTAAACGTAGTTGATCATCTGGCTGTGTACTCATGACAAGTAGCGGTTTGTCGCCATAAGGCCAATTCTCCTCTCCAAAGCCCAAGACGGTCTCATATGTATGACGGCCGAGAATCAACATGTCAGAGTTTGCTGAGGCATTGTCAGAGCATCGCCGGCTTTGGAGGAGAGGACCGGCTGGACCGGCTGCAAGCAGCACACTTACCAAGCATGTCGCTAATGGTCGGAACGGCGCAAACGGGATGCTCGTGAGGACTTGATGCCGGAGCTGGTGGTAGATAGTCTATAGATCCATCCTGCCGTGCAATGAAGCCATCAACAGTAATGCCGACAAATGCAGTACATCTGAACGTGAATGAAGCCATTGTAGCGAGAACTCTTGGTCGTCTGATTCGAGTTACAAAAACACCCGCGTCTTATCTGTAGACTTAAGCGATCGCCTCAAGTCTCGATAGCTGCCTCAGTGGGCGCCTCGGGGATACGGATACGGATACTGGCCTCGAGGGCGCCCATCTGAGTCATTGGGAGACGATTTTTCCAGAAGCTTGCATTTCAAAGTCTTGTGAAATGAGAGTGATGTCTCGATTGGGACTACAGTGGGTCGAGAAATGTCGCAGGCAGCAGTTGGGACCATTCGTTAACGGCATAACCTAGGTACACGAGACCATTAGAGCGGGGTAACATCCGGGAGCGGACGAATTCACTCGCCTAGAATCAGCTACGTTATGGCGTGGACAGGCTCGACCCTGACCTGGACAGCGTTAGCATCTGCGAGACCTCTCCCCAGACTGTGCTCGGCTTCGAGGAAGCAGGGGACTAGCGTTGCTTTGAAGACTGGTACGTCACTGCTTGGCTCGATAAGGCTAGAATTCGACGGGTGGCGGCAATACCTAAATGCCAATAACGAACAACTCAAGAGTCTGTTCTATCATGAAATTCTTTCATATAGTAGATGGTCTCGTGAGGAACCTGGGTGATGCCATCGTGAACTTGGAGGTTTGCATCGTCGGTGCAGTGGCTTCTTTGTCGGATTAGCTTTTCGCCGGAAATAGCGCCTTGGCGCTTGCCGCAGGCTGAAAGAAATTTCTAACGAGCGGCTTCCGTCAGGTACTCTTTCCCCTTCGCCTTCGCCTACCACTTCTTCACTCTTGTACATCACTTCCATCTTACCAACCCATTTCTTCCCTCATCGTCCTCATTCCCGCTCCATAGACTGATTGCACTACTTGCGTTTAATCACAGCAGACTTTTTTCCCAACACGAACCTCTGCCTTACTCGCTGTTCATGACGATGTCTTACGGTGGAGGCGGCCGCGATGGTGGCTACGGTGGATATTCTGGAGGGTAAGTCAGACATCCTTCGTCAACCTGCGTGTGGTTGGATGGTATTCTATCGCTTTGCATCGCGCAGATGACTCTAGAACGCATTATTCTAACACCCTTTAGTCGCTCCAACGGCTATGGCGGCGGCGCTAATGGCTACTCAAACGGAAATGGATACGGAGGCTCGAACGGCTACAGCAGCGGTGCCCAGGGCGGTGGCTTCGGAGGCGGCGATCGAATGTCTAACCTCGGTGCTGGCCTGAAGGAGCAGACCTGGGATCTTGCCACCATGCCGAAGTTCGAGAAGTCGTTCTACAAGGAAGACCCTGCCGTTACGAACCGCTCTTCTCGCGATGTTGATGCCTTCAGAAAGGAGAAAGAGATGACCGTACAAGGGCGCGGTATCCCTCGCCCCGTTGAGAACTTCGACGAGGCTGGTTTCCCTACCTATGTCATATCGGAGGTCAAGCAACAGGGCTTCTCCAAGCCGACTGCGATTCAATCTCAGGGTTGGCCCATGGCTCTGTCTGGTCGTGACGTTGTTGGGATCGCCGAAACTGGCTCCGGCAAAACTCTGACGTACTGCCTGCCCGCTATCGTCCACATCAACGCCCAACCCCTTCTGGCCCCCGGCGATGGTCCCATCGTGCTGGTTCTGGCGCCCACTCGAGAACTTGCGGTGCAAATCCAGCAGGAGGTCACTAAATTCGGCAAGTCGTCCCGCATTCGCAATACCTGCGTTTATGGCGGTGTTCCCAAGGGTGGTCAGATTCGCGATCTGGCTCGTGGCGTTGAAGTCTGCATTGCTACACCCGGCCGTCTCATTGATATGCTTGAGGCAGGCAAGACGAATCTGCGCCGTGTAACTTATTTGGTTCTCGACGAGGCCGATCGTATGCTCGACATGGGTTTCGAACCTCAGATTCGAAAGATCATCGGTCAGATTCGCCCCGACCGTCAGACCCTCATGTGGTCTGCGACCTGGCCAAAAGATGTTCGACAGCTTGCTTCCGACTATCTTAACGATTACATTCAGGTCAACATTGGTTCCATGGACCTTTCCGCCAACCACCGCATCACTCAGATTGTTGAAGTGGTTTCCGAGTTCGAGAAGCGTGACCGCATGACTAAGCACATGGAAGCCGTCATGGAGGACCGCGAGAACAAGATCCTCATCTTCACCGGCACCAAGCGTGTAGCTGACGAGATCACCCGCTTTCTGCGCCAGGACGGCTGGCCTGCTCTTTGTAAGTCGAAACTGTCTCTTCCTAGAATCGTACTAACAGGACCAGCTATTCACGGCGACAAGCAGCAGCAAGAGCGCGACTGGGTCTTGAACGAATTCAAGACCGGCAAGAGCCCCATCATGGTTGCTACCGACGTGGCCTCCCGTGGCATTGGTATGATTGAACAAACCCCCCCTCCTCCCCTCCCTATTTTCTGGGTATTTTTTATATTGCATTTCCTACCATTGACGTCGTGTGATTTGGTGTGCCCTCTCTCTTCGTTGGTCATACGCTTTTCTTGCATGACTGTCCAGGCCGCGTGTTTCTGGTCCTCTTTAGGGAAACTCTTGACACTTCACTTGCAGCTTGCCTTGGCAACACAGCTTCATCTTCCATCGCGGTTCGTATTGACGAGCAGGATGCGGAGATCTTCCTTGGTTGGACCAAGCTGCAAATCCAGGAGTTTCTTTCCGGGACCGTAGACACAATGCCTTCCACTGGACACGAATATTGCACATCAGCAGACATGCTTCGATAATCCATGAGAGTGATGCACCATCTGGAGTCACACGGCCACACATGGTCCCAGAAAACCTCGTAGGCACATACGGCAGAGTTGCTAACCCTTCTTCAAGATGTTCGAGATATCACTCACGTCCTGAACTACGACTATCCCAATAACTCGGAGGACTATGTTCACCGTATTGGACGAACAGGCCGTGCTGGTCGCAAGGGAACTGCCATTACCCTTTTCACTACTGACAGTAAGTCACTACCCGAATTACCTTCAGTACGCTAACCAGTCTATCAGATGCCAAGCAGGCTCGCGACCTTGTGAGCGTCTTGACCGAATCCAAGCAGCAGATCGACCCTCGCCTTGCTGAGATGGCCCGCTACGGTGGAGGTGGTGGCGGTGGACGTGGATTCCGCGGCGGCCGTGGCGGTGGACGTGGCGGTGGTAGCTACACTGGTAGCAATGCTGGACCTCTTGGTCGCAGCCGGTGGTGATTGCTGACCACAGATTGCAAACGGGCAACACCCTCCAGGCGATTCTTCAACATTCTCAAGACTGTGATACTACATAGACTTGGATCTATTTCCAGCATTGACGGCGCCAGCACGGGATACGATAGACACATCAGGGGAGTTTATCAGGAGTAACCGGCTCTTGAGCAGGTGTAAAGGATTTGGGGAGCTATGCATTATGCGGCACTTGCACAGAGCGTGAAGCTCCTCGCGTGTCGAATATGGTACCAGACATGCGTGTTAGAATTCAGCAATACCCCAGCAATGTAGATGAACATGGATACAGTCGCATGGCTCCTGATGCGAACAACAATTTTTCAAGGACATCTCGTCTCATTCATATCTCATGTGAACCGTCGTCACCGAAATGGTGCGGTCCTCTGCCGTGTATAGACCTGCCCATGATTCCAGCCCGTTTGTATAGCAATCGCCAGGACTTGCTACTAGTACGGAGTCCCATTTGAAGAGTCGATCACGGAGATCAGTCTCGGGTTTACCTTCGTGCAGATGGGCTTGCCCTGAAAACTCCTTAAGGGCCCTGGCGCTCGGGTACCAATGGCTATCTCTCGCAAACATGTGTCTCAGCTCTAGACTGTATACCTTGCTCAGAAGCATCCACAATGTCACATTGTGGCCCCTGGTACTCGCAGCATGGCGGCACGGGGAAGTCAGGTACCCAGTACCTGCAGCATGACTAGTTCGTCTGTCCGGCTTCACCCATGGCCTCGCACGGGAAAGACTGAGTGCAGCAGCAGCAGCAGCAGCAGCAGCAGGTGATCCCGTGGCACCTGCGGGTTTGATCACACTCCAAGTGTGACTGCCGAACCTCATGAGACATTACCGAGTGACAAACATCTCGAGAAAGGCGGGGTTGTGGTACAGCAAATTATCACTTGTCCGAGGTGCAATGAACCATGCGCTCACCGCTTCTCTGAGAGGCTCGCTGGCTTCGCCTCGCTTACGAGACGCACGAGCCCCCATTCTTGAAGCAGCCTATGCTTGCTCGAAGTCACTGCACTTCAAACACTGTTTTTTTGGCATGCAAGGCCGCGCGCAGCGCCATTGACAGGAAAAAAAAGAGTCGAACAAAGTCATTGCGTAAAGTCTTGATCGCTCCTGAGGTACGGACATCTGCCTCGTGTGGCTGCAGAAAGGCTCCGAGAATGATGCGGATGTGCTTCAAACTTCTGTTTCTGGAAGGCCACACCAGAAGGCGTGATCCTTGCTAATTTCACGATGTTCGATGTCTCAATAAAAGCCCCCGAAGTCATGGGTACTGACAGGGCTCGCTTACGCTAGTCCAGCGTCGAGACGGAGGTTACCTCAACAGGGATGTATTTACCCCCACGGATGAAAGTCTAAGGACACCCGGCAAACCGGGCCGTGGCCAAGCCAGAGGTGTACGGCAATTGGAGGTGACTACAAGGAGAGGAGAGTGGAGCACAGATTGCAATTCCTATGAGTCAGGAAAAGATGATCCGGTGTGGGAAGCCTACAGTTCCTCTTGCGGAAAATGTACAACTTCTGGTCGACTAGGCAATGCGCAGGCGTCAGTCTCGGATGCTGGGTAAGCACAAGGCAAACTGGCATGAGCCTACTGACAGACTGGAGATACCAGAGGCCAATGACGCTACGGTAACACCAACTACGAGAGAGGCTTAGGTTGCCGCTCGAGTAGTTCGAGACATGAGAACAATCGCGAGGGTGTCCGGTCTCTGACAGCGTGCGGTCCAAACATCTGGAGCTCAACACGTTCTCGGGTCACAACCGTGGCCTTTACCCGGGCCCCGGTGCATTCATCTTTTCCGGGACATCCCCGACACGAGCCCGAAAAAGTGGTGTGCCACATGATTCCACTTCGACGTCGCCAGAACCGTAAAGCATTGCTTGCTTGTGGGCCACACTGCTTGCGGGTTGGTGGCTCCAATAATGGGAGGGTACATCATACCGCCATACAAATCGTTCTTTGAGATTGATGTGAAGTCTACTTCTAAGTTTTGCGATGTGCGCCATTCGAACACGATCCATAACATGGCATCATTCCTGCTTGGAGACGGGCAGCCATCGGGACATGCACTTACTCGTTGACAGCAGCGGACCATCTGCCTTCCGTTGAACGAAGGAGAAAAGCCGGCGAAGTCTGGGTGTGGTAGTGGGTCGACAGGGGTCACGGATGGGGGGAGACTGGCGGAAGCTTTTGCCATGTGCCCACACCTAGCCTGTGCTCAGATCGCTCTGCACCAGACTCGATCAAGCAGCCCGGTGGGATAGTGTAGCTTCCTGATTTCGTATTAGAAACAGGATCTATGCGCGTGCTTCGGCCTGGGTATACCCCATGTGCAAGGCTGGAAGCACGAGCGCTGATGGAACCACGACTTCTGAAGTCGTTTGTCTTGCTGAAGATATTAGTTCATTGAAAAGGATCATTGCCACAGTATTTACATCTACGGTATCATGTATGAAGGAGTCCAGCTGCTTGAGGTAATTTGCAGCTGAGTTGATGCCGTGACAGAGTATGCAGGCCTGTGAGCAAGCTTCTGCGCGCAACTTGAAGCCCCGACGCCCAGAAAACCTGCAGTACTCCGTACAGCATTCGTGACTGCATCCTCCCCACAGCCGGGTACGTACCGCCTCGCCTACAACGTGCAATCATGTTGTTAGTATTTCTTTTCCGCTCGAGCTCCACCTAGCTGGCGTAATAGTTCAAGCACGAGCTATGGGACAGGCTGCAAGCTGGGCAGCAAGGCATCGATCACACTATTGCACTGCTCGATTGAGATTCTCGAGGCGGAAGATGACCAGAAGCACGCGCGTGATTCATGCAGCAGCAGCAGAAATAGAGCTGCTCATTTGATTGCTCAATTAACTGCCTCCACGCGATCGCCGTTTCTCTGTTCCAGGGGGAGCTTCGGGGCCCGTTGCAGCGCGCTGCATGACCTGAACAGCCAGGGTGGAGGCGTCAATCGGAGGACGGTGGGGCACTACTGTCCTTTCTCGATTTTGACATTATTTTACATACACAGAACCTATGTAAGTTGCAGTGTTTGGGTACCCGGACACATGACCTCGTGGCCTCCCGGTTGCGGTCCAGTCAGAATAGTGTTCAAAATGACTGTCTGACCGATGCAACGTGCTCACCGGCTGCAGGCGATCCACGACCTTTGGGGAGGGTGTTGGTGGGTGCCCGACTTGGCGAGCTCCCTCACAAGTACTCCGTACAGGAGAAGGATTCCGAGAGCCATCGTGACTTTTGAGCTTTGCTTTCCGTTCCTGGTTGTGAAAGACGCCAAGCATGAACGACAGCTGAGCGTAGGTGGAGACATGCGAGATGAACTCACGGGAACAACGGAGAGGGAGGCCACAACAATTCTGCCCACGCCGAGTTTGCCAGACGGTGTAGGATCGGAGATATCCCGAATTGATATGGCAAGGTCGCAGTGGGAACGCGAGAACGCATATGCACATGGGAGCCAGGGTTTTCGGTAGCGTTTGCCTTGCTTCTGACGACTCGGCATATCTGACACCGGGACGCTGAAGAACAGGCTATGCTTGTAAGGCAACAAGCTAGCTGGACAACGCCAGTCAGGCTGAGGGGAGCTATGGCGCTTTGACGGCGTCCTAGATCTGATAATGATGCCTGACGCGCTAGGAGGGGGGACTCTCTCTGGTCAGATCGCAGCGACCACTACTCACGAGTATGACGACCTGAGTCCGTACAGGCGGGAACGGCCCACGATCTAAGCAGCTGCTGAAAAGCAAATCTGCCGAAAGTCAGCATGCATAAACTTGAACTCTACCTGAATATGTGCATTCCACAAATAATGCTCGGTATGAACCGGGAAAGTGGTGGGCTGCTGCTGCTTTTCTGGCACCCTTTTTCTCGAGGGGGCTGGTGCCCATTGCAAGAATAGACCCCGACCGCCCCCCTGGGTGCGCGGGCAGTTGGCCCCCCATACAGACCTACGACTCCAACCTGCATCAACCTCGTCCCAAGCTCCTGTCAAGCGGCGACACGGAGGTTGGCGGTGATCCTTGCCTTGCCGCCCATGCGGTGATTGGGTTGCTGCGACCCGCCGCACTCATGCTGCTGATGCTGCTCTTCCATTCTCCCAATCGTGGCGCATCTCTTTACCCATCCCCCCATTTTCCTTCTTTCCTCGTCATTTCTTTTCCTCTTTAAACTCAGCTTGTCTCTCGTGCCCAATTAGCCATCACCATCTCACCCTCCATTACAACACCACTCCTGCAGGTTCTTGTTGAACTGTCGTGGGCTGCATGACGGAGAAGAGCACACTGCGTTCTCGATAACCAGCCTCTAGCGCATGCTAGTGGCCTTGGTCTCGCTTTGCCACTACGACAGAGTGGTATTGGTCGCATCTCGCTAGCTCTGCTACTCCCAGCAATATTTCACCTCCTCAATCTGTTTTCGACATCGCGTCCGCTGCCTCCACTCCACCGGTGCCTTCGAAAACCCAATTTCTTCCTCCTCCTGATTTGTCCCTCGGCTTCAACTCCTCGAACTCATACCCACCCGATACTCCCCCGATTCTTTGCCTGAATCACCACACCCTAGTCCACCGTCTCCACAAGCCCTGCTGCCCACTACCACCCTCCTGCAGGCGCGCATATCACGGCAAACCAAGCTGCGGTCATTTGAGATCATTTGACGGTCCTGCGAAAACCACCGGACAAGCCATCTCGCCGGATTCAGGAAATATCTCGCTGCAGCACGGTACCACCTTCTACAGTTCGTAACAAGCTCTCCGCCAACCTCGAGTCAAGCTGTCCGTGGTCGGCGTGTGCGCCTTGGTCCCGCTGTTGCCGTGCAGCTACTCGCGCTCGTGCAGTGAGGCATTGTAGATATCAAAGAACCAGGTACAAGGCCGCCTAGTCGACAGGCCTGCGCAAGAGTCCGGGTATCCTACATTAGTCCCCTTGTTGGCGCCATCTCGAAAATCTGTCTGGGCTTTGACGGGCTTGATCCTGCTCAAGCTTGGGGTAAAGCTCGACCTGAGGCCGATCTAGTCACAAGGTAGGAAAAGACTCCTTCGCTAGATCCTCCACTGCAGGTGCGCTTTCCAGCCCCCACCGGCTAGACTGAATTTGCCCCTGGAACCTTCGCGGTCCACTCTCGTCTCAAAGACCCAAAGCCTATCAAGCCACCGCTCGAGTCAACACCGACGGCAGACGGCGGTCGATCTGGTCTCCTCTGGGCAGACTCTGCCTCTATCGACACTCGGTTCTCCGACCTGCCTACCCGACCCCCTGTTGTCACTTGAGCGCTGCCTCTCCACGAGTCCACCCAGCATTAGCTTCAAATCTCGCCTCTCCAATCCTGAAATTCTGCCTCTCTCTGGCTGCTCTTAAAATTTAGAGACCACGCCGGCTCTGGATCTAAACATTGCTTCAACTGCATCGTCGTCTACTTGCCGAGCGGAGGCTTTGACCTTGTATCTTCGTCCGCCTCCAAAACACACCCAGTGGCGCGGTCTCGGGCAACCACTCATACCTTTGCTGTTGCTTTCCTTGCGTCACGCTTCGCATCCTTCCACCTTTGACGTCGTCAGTCGCGTCGAACAGGTGGTGACGACCCGACAGGATCATTGTTGATGGACAGAGGCTCTGAGTACGCGCAGTCAGGTTAGCATTGCACCAACAACAAAACAAACCCTCCTCGCGACCACGCGCTCACAGTTCCGCCACAACAGATCAGGCGTCTACTGCGACATACTCGACGCAAGACCCTCGCTCCGCCAGCCTCTCGAGCACTACTACTCCGCAGTCTGACTACGGCATTGCTCCTCAGTCCGCGCGATCTTCTGGGTTTCCCGCAGAGCACTTGAGATACCCACCGTACCCTCAAGCGCATCAGCATCCTGGTGTTACCATGGCGCAGTCAACAAGTCCGTCAAAACCCCTGCAAGGTGGCTCAACCGATGATCACCAAGCAAATAACTCTCGAGGCATACCTTCTAACCCTGATGTCCCAATAGATCCTTCGATTTCGCAGGCTAGCCCAACCTACCCTCCCTATTCTCCTTATGGCCCTCAAGATCAGGGTATGCACCAAGGCTATCCCCCTCAAGGCCACGGCTACAACATGCCGCCGCGCCCACCTCACGATCAAGGCTGGGGCGGTTACCCTCCTCAACATGGGATGCCTGGGCCATACCAACACCCTGGCCCCGTTCAGGGCCCGCCTCCGACGAGCGCGGGTGCGCGACCCGGCCAGGTGAGAACCCAACAAGACATTTTTCCAGCGGCGCACTTACTAACTCTGGCAGCAGGTGTACTCGTTCGTGCCCATTCCCGGAGCTCAGCAACACAAGCGCCCGCGTCGCCGCTATGAAGAGATTGAGCGCATGTACAAGTGTGGTTGGAATGGGTGCGAAAAGGCGTACGGCACACTTAATCATCTCAACGCGCACGTAACGATGCAATCGCATGGCTCAAAGCGAACTCCAGAAGGTATGAATTCCCCGGTTGGTGTCGCGTTGGTAAACAATTCTTCAAACGGCTAGCGGGAGACGCTACTCCAGTTGTGTGACCACGCTAGTGTGGTATGCACGGCCGCTAGTATGAGCTTGTTCGAGCTACCATACTCTCGGAACTACTACTTGGAGATGAACCCACACTAACGTTCTATAGAATTCAAAGAAATCCGCAAGGAGTGGAAGGCTCGCAAAAAGGAGGAGGAGAGCGCACGCAAGGCTGAAGATGAGCGAGCGCGTGCCGCCGCACAATCTGCCCAGCAAGTCGACGGGCAGCAGCCTGACCCTCAACACGTAGCTCAACCTGGTTATCAGCAGAACGGAGGCCGTCCTTCGCTTCCTCCGATCGGTTACCAAGGTGGCGAACCTCAACACCAAGGCCAGTACGCCCCTCAGCAACCTGGTGGCATGGTCTACCCTCAACAAAACGGTCAAATGCCAGCCTATGCCAACTACCCGAACTCGCCTTACGGCCAACAAGGTCAACCAGTGTACTCCCAACGTCAGTACTGAGTGACCTTGATGACTTCAGAAATGGATGACTGATGTGTCTCGATCAGAAACCCAAGGCGGTCACTACTGATTGCTGCGTGACCTCTTGAGTGGGTCGTTCGATGATTTTTCTTTCATGCACGAATGATACCCTAGGTGGGAGTGGAGGAAGTAATGGGAGATACGGCCTTTTGAAACGGATCCCCTTTTCAGCCACGCATCGGCACAGGAGTTGTCTTTTTCGCATTTTTCCGAAAATCAAGCACCCGGCGGCCACTCTGCGTACAAACACGACGTATCTCATGCATTTAATTTTCATGGCAGAGCTGGGCGACATTGCACCTCTTTTCGATTTTCAGGCTTGCTGCGTACCGGGAGGGGTGGAGATGACTGTGACGACCGGAACAGACGATCAGAATCTTTGCACAGTGGCAACATACGAAGCTCGCTGCTTTCTCAGAATGCATGATTCAAGAACACAGCGACGGTGGGGCGTTCGACCAGTTTGTTTTCTTCTAGATGGCGACGGATGGGCTTGCGAGACACTATGAACACAAGGCAACTGTCATCAGTCGTTTTTTGTACGCTGGTGACTCGGCCAACACAATACGGCGCGTACTTGCCTGCGACACTTTCCCAGGCCTCGCAATTACGATCGTCTCCAAAACAAGTCACCCAATATGTACAAATTACTACCAACTCCAATCAGTGCCACTCGAGAATATGTTCTACGCATTAATTCTACTAATGACGCCCGCCACTCATGGATACGACGAGGCGGCATCTCGCAGTAGCGTGCCGTGTAGACTACCAGACCTCTGGGAATTTGGGCTCGCCCAAATCCCAGCACGTCGGTAAGGTGCACACCACTCAACAGGCCTACTAAGACGGTAGACCTGGCCCATAAACACGAACTTGTTGCCACACCCCAAAGCGCGGCCCGCCGTGCGTTAGTGGCAAGTCTGCGGTAGACGGGAAGAATTTCGATTCCTTTCTAACCTTGATGAGGGAAGGTGGTGGTTACACCAAGCTACTGTATGAACTACGGTTAGTTCGGCAAGAGTCTCCGGATAGTCTACCTAGGAGGCGGGAAAAGACGCGGACCGCTAGTTAGTGTACACCTTAGTGGTAGGCGGGGTCAAAGAGGCGTCGGGCTAGTGCAGTGTTCCTAGGTAGTTTTTTGGTGCTTGTGATACGAACGCCTGGGCCACTCTAGCATTCCAGCCCGTCCGGTGTAAAATGCAGCGGACGGTGCGCTAGAGTGTTCGCGAATCGGGTTCAGAGTCCAGGGTTTGTATGGCTGGTGGGGAGCTGATGCATGCTGTATGTGCTGGAGGCCCGAGTTCGTGGTCCTCCTAATGCTGGTGACGATGGTTTGGGATGGTTAGCGGGCTGAAGTTGTGTGACCATGACTACTGTGTGCGAGCAGAGGTCGATGCGCGGCCACGGCGAGACATGAGCAGATGGTGGAACCCAGCCTTGTGCATGGGCGTTTCTGTTGGATCCTATGAAGTGTGAACCTATCGCATGGATGTTCGCTGTGGGTTGTGCTGCGCGCCATACGTCCGCTACGTTGGGTCGGATGGCACAAGACTGTTGCGATGGCAGCCACCGTCAAGCATGGTATCAATACAGGATTTCGACCACGATCTTGCTCTCGGCAACCCTGCAGCGCTTGGCTACACTGCCGATTTGACGTTGCACAGCATCCAACTCGGCATTAGTGACCAAAACGGTGTGCGCAAGGAGATGTTGCGGATGTGGCTGGCTGGGCGAGGACGGGCCTCAGAGCCGCACTGTCCTAACATGGCAGGTGCTCGGCCCAAAGAGATCCCTACTCGTGGCAACGGCCAGCCACAAATTGCCAACGATCTTACGCACCATCGGGAGTAAAGTCGTTCAGGATCGACTAGAACCGCAAGTTTCTTGTCAGCCCAAGCCCAAGCCAACACCCTCACACCCGAATATGCATTGCTCAGGAGGCTCTGCCCGGTAACTCCACCAGTCCTCCACCTTGCAAGCACGCATTACGCTAACACTGTACGTTGCCACGAGTCCCGCTACGCAATGACGTGCAGTAGCTTGGATGTGAGATCTGAATATCAAGGATCAAGACCTAAGGCCTGAACTATCTGTGCTGGAGTACGCTAGGAACGGGAGGTTTATCGAGGCAAGCACACCGATGCCTGTCCTTGTGAAATAGAGTTATTAGTAGAGTGTGAGACTTGAGCATCGGCTAACGGGGATGAGAACGCTAGAAGGACTGCGCGTTGAATTCGGGCTCGAGACGATCTAGAACCGAACTAGTGAGGAAGAGACTGGAGGACTGGAAGAACGACATCTTCGTCTGGATGGTGACAGCAGGGGAAAGAGCGTTGCTTGAGGCCAATTATGCTTATAGAGTCAGACAACTTCAAGAGGCTGCTCGAAGCAGTATTTACTACTTCGTTCCAGGTGAAAGCTGAGCTACCGGACGACGCAACAAGGCAAGGAGGCGAGGCGACGTTGGCCTTTCCCAGTTTCTAGCAGTGCAGCGTGTTGGTGTCTCCCGAGAGATCCGGGACCAACATCATTGGACACGCGACAGTGGAGTTTCGGTCGGCTAACCTGTCGTTTCAGGACGTCCTTTCTAGCATTACCCAAAAAGTTGCGAGTAGGCACATGGATTCGCATTCAACACCATAGTCGCTCCTTGAATTTCATCCTTCATGTTCGGCTGTTCAGCATGTCTGCGCCGCTTTGTCTCGTCACTGGCTGCAGACTTACCCTCTACAGGCGCCAAAACAGGCTTATTTCTCTCCGATAATTCGGTCTCTCGACCACCGCGCTCCCTCCGCCGCCCATACGATCCCTCTATTCGTACCGCTGCTACTTTACGGGCACTCTCGCGAGGTCACCATCGGCGGGACGCTCTGCGCAGTCTTGGCCGCAGCGAAAGCATCGAGGATGTTGTCCGTCATGGTAAAAGGCGGAATGCCACCAAAGGCCCCTCTTCCAGTGACAAGGCCCGCGATAACAACCGAAAACATCTCCTTACGACACAAGGTCGCTCCAAAATGGAAATACAAGCCGCAAAGGAAGCCGAGTACCTAGTCGATCCTCTCAAACTCGCCAATACGGTGATGCAAAACCTGCGCGATGACAAGTACGCCAAAGCGCATGCACTCGTACTGGCGAGTGATCGTCATGCTCTCAAGATGGGGCGGCCTCGCGGTGCAGTCAGCAATGTGGTGAGCTGGAATCATCTCATGGACTTTTGCATGGCCCAGGGGCATCCCAAGGCAGCTGTGGCGCTGTATCAGGACATGAAGAAAAGAGGCCATTCGCCGGATGCCCATACACATACTATTCTGTTGCGCGGGCTGGCGAATAACGTTCACAAGGGTGATGCGACGAGCGCGGTCAAGAGTGCAATGCAGGTCTACAATGCGATGTTCAAGCCGACTAGTGCCATCAAAGCCAACACGATTCACACAAATGCCATCATGATGGTATGCGCAAAGGCCAAGGATCTGGATTCGATATGGAGGGTGGCAGGCACGCTGCCCGAGAAGGGCCCGGGGAGTGCGGATCACTGGACGTACACGACGATCCTCAATGCGATGCAGCACGATTTGCTGCAGAAGTTGGCTGAGGCCGGAGCAGAGGATGGGGGCATGTCAAGTCAGCAACGCCAAGTTGCCATTGATGATGCAATGAGAGATGCAAGGAGTTTATGGAGAGATGTTATCGTCAAGTGGCGGAACGCGGATCTGGAGGTGGATGAGAAGTTGGTGACCAGTATGGGGAGGCTGTTGATGATGAGTAACAGACGAAATGATGTCTTGGATGTGTTCTCGTTGGTTGCCCAGACGTTGGGTGTTACGGTGGGTGAGAAGACTATCGCACGCGCAAGACAGGAGATGGCTGCAGGTGACGAAGCGGCAAACGCAGAGGACCAAGTGGGCGATGAGCAGCAGCAGCAGCAGCAGCAGCAACAACAACAACAGGACCAGGCTGACGGCGAGGTCGTGGAACAAGAGCCGGGCCCGTACTCGAGAACTGGGCTTGATGTTTTCGCGCGCACTCAGGTCGACCGAACAGCAGCGGCCCAGGGTATGAATGTCTCCTCAAGGCAAGCCAGCTACACAATGCCCGGCTGCAACACGCTCTCAATGCTGCTTGAATCTGCGACTCGGCTCAGACGAGCGTATCTTGGACAGGCGTGTTGGGATATTCTCACTTCAAAGACTGGCCGCTATAGGGTCATGCCTGACACAACAAACATCATAGGGTACATGCGATTACTCCGGCTTTCCCGCTCAAGTCGTGCGGCAGTCGAGATCCTTGAACGCGAAGCTGCCCAAATCGCGAGGCAAAGAGGTGCGTTCGTCATCGGCATGAGCACCTGCGTGCGCGACAAGAACAACCCCAACGTCTTTGACAATGCCACTCGGATGCTGGATGTCATGCAGCAGAAGGCGAGCGAAGCGCAGATCAGGAAAGAGGAGAAAGCTGAGATGGAGGAAGAGGAAGAGAAAGATGAGCAAGGGGTGCGGCGGGCGCGTAAGTCGGTTCGCGAGCTGGAGATGCTGGAGCTGGACCCGAAGATTCTGACGATGTACCTTGAATTGGCTATGTACACGACCAGGGGCGTCAACTCGAAATTGCCTCTGAAAAAGCTGCCTAGCGGTGACCTGGACTATGAGCGAGATCCCAGCAAGAACAACACTATGCGAGCTCTGAGGCGATTAGGTCCGGATCTTTCGAACATCAAGAGAATGTTAGCCATGGTTCAAGAGGAGATGGAACAGAATGCGAGACTAGCGAGGATGAATGCGACTGCGCGGAGAAAATTCAGAACACCAGCATCTACAGGAGAGAAGGCTGAGGACCTGTTGACATTGCTGAAGACTCTTGTCTCAGCCTGCGATCGGGTTCTTGCCGTCAACTTCCGCCTCGAGGAAGAGGGCATGGGCCCGCTCGAGAAGAGCACACTGACTGCGGTAAAGATGGCCAAAGCTCAAATCGCAGCTTACTATGGAAAGCTGTCTATCCGAATGGGCATTAGTGGGCCTAAAGTGTTTGAAGGTTACAACCCCAGAGCTCAAGGTGCAGATGCAGAGCAAGACGAGCAGACCGAGGAGGCTGAAGAGGGTCGATTGGAAGAAGACCTCTTCTTGACGAGAACCCCCCTTGATGCTAAAGTCAAGAAGTATGCGAACAAGTTGCGGGCTGGAAAAGGAACGGCACCCCATCCGGGAAAGCTGGGGCTGCAGCAGGGCAAGGGGCCGGCAACACGACCGCTCTCCAGACGACAGAAGCAAGAGCGCGAGCGCGAGCGAAGGGAAGACGGCATCAGACGGACAATGGTTCATACTGGCATGAGTGAGAAGGAGGTTAGGAAAGAAAGGCGGGAGAGGACTCGGAAAGACTCCTGGCAATCGGACCAGCGGGGCTTCTGGGGCGATGGTGACTTGGGGGCGCTGAATGACCCAAAGGGTTTCACCGAAGTGACGGGCCGGAGCGCCGCGTGAGTGTACCATCACTGTATAGCATAGAGATATGGCGCTCGCTCGAGCATGGCGATGGCATTACTGGATTGGGCTACAGAATCTATAATGTGTGGCGGCGTCAACGCATCCGCTCTTGCTCCTGCTCTTCAAGCACCTAGCTGTGTGCAACTGCCCTAACAGCTTCCGGTTACTGCAGGCATCTCGGCATCGGCTGCCGTCTCCTTCGTAGTTCTAAAATTCTGGAACCAGATAATCTCAAAGTTTCTCATGGAACACCGAAGCATTCCAAGCAGTCTTGACACGGTCTTGGAACGTAGGGCCCAGGGCTCTTCCCCACGGCCTATTGGCCTGAACACACGGCCCCCAAGGCACGATGTATCCCCGCCTTTTGCTTGCGTTTATTGCTTGTCTGAGCAGCGCCGGACGACAAGACCAGCACCATTATGGATCTGAATCGACCTCAATGTTGTACTTGCCCGTCGCGACTCTGGAGGGAAAAAAGCCACGAGCAGCCGGTCCCGATCCCGGCAAGGGCAGGGTAGCATCCAGCGTCTGCACAACGTTCACACGATTGGTCACGAGCCCCTCAGAATCGGCCTCTGATCACCGGCCCGCTGGTAAATGGCCAGTTGGAATGCACCAAAAGGTTGCGCTTTGTGCGCTGGGATAGACTGTTCCCTGGGGATGGCTATGTGGAGGCTCGTTCTGGGGAAGGTCGAGTTCGGCGCTGGGTCCCGCATTTGTTGCCGCTGCCGCCCTTTGCACTCTTTTCCAGCAGACCCTCGGTTTGCAGCGGTGCCGCCGTCTATCGAGACTTGTTCGTGCGCGATCGTTCACATTTGGTCGAGGTGTGAAGTCGCCCTTGCAGGTCCGGTCGACAGCAGCGCTTCTTCCTGGCTAACGTTCTGGAACACGGCGGGCATAACGGTCCACCTTGCCTCCGCCGACTTTCTCAGTCTATGCAAACCTTGAGCCTCCAATCCCTCCAGCTCCACCGCACTAGCAGCCCAATCCAGTAGGAGAACTCCAATACCCGGCGCAATATTTAATTCGAGATTGGCAGCTCTTTCGCTCGTGACCCTTTCCCCGGCTTCTGCTGTCAACCACGATCCACGAGCCGCTTTCGACGCCATTCTCACACGGCGAATCAAGGACTTCCAGTGGCGCCGTCACCATGGCCACCGAAAAGACCATTCGAGAGCGCAACGATGTCGACAATCTCTCTGACAACGAGCCGTCTGCAGGGATGGCCGCGCACAGCCGTGGTAGCATACTCATCCGCAACGCCAAAGCCGCGACGGAGAAGGAGCACAAAATGAGCCTGTTCCAGGGCCTCAGGCTGTATCCAAAGGCCGTGGGCTGGTCCATGCTCATCTCACTTTGCATTGCCATGGAGGGCTTTGATCTTTGTCTGCTGGGGACTTTCTGTGAGGCTCTTGTGGTGTAGACCAAAAGTGTGATCGACTGATGGTATCATAGATGCGATGCCGCAGTTCCGCGAAAAGTACGGCGAGCAACTGCCTGATGGTGACTATCAAATTCCGGCGCCCTGGCAAGCAGGGTTGAGCAATGGAGCTGTTGTGGGAGAGATTGTAGGCTGCCAGAGCTCCGAGGTTTCGAGCAAGACTCACTGATGGACGCACAGATTGGCCTGATGATCAATGGCTACGTTAGCGAGAGATTCGGCTACCGCTACACCGTCATCGGGTGTTTGACCCTGCTCACTGGTTTTATCGCCATATTTTTCACCGCGCAGAGCGTCGAAGTCCTCCAGGTTGGTGAGATCCTCTGTGGTGTACCATGGGGGGTTTTCCAGACTTTGACCATCACGTATGCATCCGAGGTGTGCCCAGTGGCCTTGAGAGGGTATCTGACAACATGGGTGGTGAGTGCTTATCCGGCGACTCCGGCCAACTACCCATAGCAGAGACTAACATACCACAGAACTTCTGCTGGGGCCTCGGTCAAGTGATCGGAGTAGGCGTGGTCAAGTCGATGATCAATCGCACCGACGAATGGGCTTACCGCATCCCCTATTCTCTGCAATGTGAGTCGATCGATTCGAGCCATCACTCTCAGTGCCCGGACTGACCCTCTCTCAGGGATGTGGCCTCTTCCTCTTGCCATCGGCGTCTTTCTTGCGCCCGAGTCGCCCTGGTGGCTCGTGCGCAAAAACCGCCTCGAAGATGCCAAGCACGCGCTCTTGCGTCTCACTTCGCTCAACAAGGAAACAGAATTTGACGCTGACGAGACGGTCGCCATGATGGTGCACACCACCGCGCTCGAGGAGAAGATCACCGCTGGCGCCAGCTACTTCGACTGCTTTAGAGGGGTGGATCTGCGCCGCACCGAGATCGTGTGCATGGTCTGGGCGATCCAGAATCTCTCCGGTAATTCATTCTCGGGCTACAGCACGTACTTCTTGGAGCAGGCCGGACTCGATCCGGAAGATGCGATCAGTTTTACGTTGGGGCAGTACGGGATCAACATGGGAGGCGTGTTCGGGGCGTGGTTCCTCATGAGTTTGGGGGTCGGCAGACGTACTCTGTATCTGTATGGCCTCTGTGGACTGTGCACGATGTTATTGATCATGGGATTCCTCGGCCTGGCTAGCGATCGCCACGCGGCCAGTCTGGCGACGGGGAGTATCATGTTGGTGTGGGCGTTATGCTACCAACTGACCGTGGGGACGGTCTGCTACAGTCTGGTCGCGGAGTTGAGTACGAGGAGGCTGCAGATCAAAACAGTAGCTCTCGGACGGATCATGTGAGTATTGTGAGGCAGCTTTTGGCTTGCGTCAAAACAGCATAAAACGGGACACTGACTTTATGGACAGGTACAACATCGTTGCCATCATCTGCAACATCCTCACCCCGTACATGCTGAACCCCGGCGAGTGGAACTGGTAAGATAATCCGCCTCTGTCCCTTAGCATCATTCCCTCTGGAAGTGTCCAAATTGATCTAACATGTCTCTCAGGGGCAACTACGCCGGCTTCTTCTGGGGCGGGATCTGCTTCCTCTGCATCATCTACACGTACTTCCGCGTGCCAGAGCCTCGGGGCCGCACGTTCGCAGAACTGGATCTCCTGTTTGAGCGCGGCGTCCCGGCGAGGAAGTTCAACAGCTACCAGATCGACGTGTTTGCGGACGATGCGGGACGAAGCGTCGGTGGCGAGCAGGTGCAGGGCTATGAGGAGATGGAGAAGAGGGGGTCCGTGGTGGTCTGAGGACACATGATATCAGACGAAGAATTGGGGAGTGAGAGCTGGGGTGGCCTGTACTGTATATGAAACTGGATATGCTCGCGAGGCTGGGAGATCACGAGTTGGAGCGGGCAGTGATTGTTAAGCACGTGTTAACAAGTTGGGAAGGAGAGGCTGGAGCATGTGTCGAGATCGGCATGATAGGAAGCAGCTCGGGATATCATCACAATCCCCCGCACCAGGTCGGAAATTTTTTGAAAACGGCGGCCTGATCCTTCAGGGGTTGAGTTCAATGCCATACATAGCAGCAGTCAGGACCGTCCTGTAACTTCTGTCTGCAGCGACCTACCTACCCATCTTTTCCTTCACCAACATTATCAGACTGCATGCTCCCGCCGCATACTGATGCGCATGGTCTCAGATGCGAGGGAAGGGGGCTATGGCCAGCAAAAAGCAGCCACCTGAAGGATACAGGTAAGCATTTAGTAACCCACCCTTTCGGGGGGGGGGGGCTTTGTAAGGCAAAAGTCCTCTCGGCATCAGGCAAACACCACCCCTGATTCGTTGCACGGTAACACACGGTCCTTTTGACAGCACTCCTGTGTTCTGTGCGGCTTCGCTGACAGCAGCAGCAGTAGTAGCTCAACGGAAACTGAATCTGGCAGCTCATCATGCATAGGCTTGTTCTATGCCATCGTCATCATCCTTGCTGATCATAGATGCCTAACATAGCTATTTATGGGCCAGGCTAGCGTGCCCCCCGCCCGGGACGGGAGAGCTTCGCCTTGCTGAGAGTATTTTTGAGACATTTCGTCGCTGTCTATAATAATGTGCGAAGCAAGGGCGACGCGGCTCCTCCCCTACTGTGTGTGGCACACGTTTCCTTTCCTCGGCATCCGCCATCCCTGCATCGCCGCAGACTGATCTTTCACGAATTGCCTTCACACATCAAAATCAGGGGGGTGGGGGTCTCTCAAAGCGCGAATGCCGCGGTTCCGGCAACGATTCCCACGATAAACACCAGGCTGATCTGCATGCTTGCGGCGATGGAGCTGCCGTTTGCGGAGGGGGAGGGGGATCCTGAAGCGGAAGCGGAAGCGGACGTAGAAGCGGAGGAAGGTGAACTGGAAGACGTAGGACCGGATCCCGAGGCCGAGCTGCTGCTGCTACTCTCGCTGAGGGCACCAAAAGTGCCGCCAATAGGCCCGTTGCCCGAGGGCGCGGATCCAGTGGCCTTGGATGCAGCGGAAGTGTACGCATCGAGAGTGTCAGAGCCGCTGTACGTCACCTCCAGTCAGCAAATAGCAGAAGCCCAGGAGGCAGACATATCAAAGCCTGCAAAAGGGTGGGGAGAACGCACCTGGGGTTAACGGCCAAGGCCATGCCGGCCTCGCAATGACCTGGAATGGCGCAGTAAAAGAAGGCGGAATCAGTCGAGTTGACGCGGAAAGAGAATGTTTGGCCATCCTTGGGGGAGGGGCCGGAGTAGACACCGCCGCCGTCGCCGGAGATGGGCACACAGGGCTCGGAGAAGGTGGATTGTGCGATGTTGTGGCCGGCGCCGAATTTGACGGCGATGACGTCGCCGGCGGCGACGTTGGTGAGGGTGTTGGGCGTGAATTTGAGGTCTGTGAAGCTGGGGCCGGCTTGGACGGTGTGGATGGCGCTTAGGGCCGTGTGGGTGAAGAAGAGCAGGAGGGAGATCGGGAGTGTGTAGAGCATGCTGGTGGTGTTGCTGTAGTTGGGAGGGGAGTATGGTGCTTGGTTGCCACAATGAAGTTGTGGCGGTATGGAGAGGTGACGAGATTTCTCCCTGCCCCTTTAGAGACTGGCAGGTGGTCAAAAAAGACTGTTGAAGAAGAGCGTCGGGAGACGATGAGTTGGTAAGCATAGATCTCAGGAAAAAGAGGAAGACGTTCCACTTTATATCATTCTCAGGAAAGACTGAATTCTGCCACCCTCCTTATCAGTGTACTACGCGTACTTCGATTCTTCACCGCAAATAGATCATAAAGGGCATGTGGGCCATAGCCGAGTCTCTCGGGATCTGCTGCACTTGAGTGGTGAGATATTCTCGGAGTGCTTCGAGGATTGCGAAGCTTACAAAAGGCCATCTGTCCCCGGCCAATGACCGCGCGCGCACGGCGGTGAGAGCATCATATTATGGATTAGTTCTGCTGGACGCTCGCTTGGTAGTACAGCATCTGATGAGCCATTAGCCGTGGTTGACGCCATTCACTATTCTTCGTGACTGGGAAGTGGCGTTGGGTGCTTCGAATTCTATTCCCGAAAGGGAAATCTCGGCCATTAAGTTGAAGCCTAGCCCGATGTGTTCACGGCGGCCTTCAGAAGTATTTCGCCTGGTTGGGTTGGGCAGAGCGGTGGATAAGAATGTGCCTGCCGTAGATATGGCTTTGTACCGGGAAGGGAAGCCTCACAGGAGAAGGTGTCCACGCATGCGGACAAGTTCCCAGTATTCGAGTCAGACAACACTGCGACTCTGGCCGCGGTGCTCCACCTAGCCGAACCACACGGGCCAAACCACTCTCGCAGCTGACCGGAAGGAGGACGTGTGAGGATCCTCCGCATGTAAGACATAATATCGCAGCGGCAATGCTCATACGCTTTCTATCTCTGTAAAAGTCTAGACGCGACGACGGTGGCTTTTCAAACATTCACAGGTCACAAGGAACCTCACATCAATTGCTCACGCCTTAGCTTTGAGCGCCCTCGCAGCATTCCATTCGGGGCTGAATGGATAGTCCGTGTAACCTATCGGGCTCTGCTTTTTGTAAAACGTCGATCGGTTGTACGGGGTAAATTCCAAGCCTCGCTGCACGCGGAATGGTAGGTCCGGCGTGCTGATGAAGTATCGGCCGAAAGCGATCAGCATCTCGTAGTCCGGGTACCGTTCCAGCATCCTCGTTGCGCTCTCAACCGTAAAGCCGCCGGCCAGAATGATAGGTTGTTGCGAACCCCAAGTCTCAATGAGGGGATCGTTGCGCGAGGTCAAGGGGTCGTAGACGGCGCTGCTAACGTCGCCGCTAATGCGGGTCTCGACGAGGTGCAGGTATGCCAGACCAAGGGTACGGAGCTCGGAGATGATGTGTTGGAATTGGGGGACGCGGTTGCTCATGATGGTGTCGTCGTCACCGTGGTCCATCCAGGGGGAGAGGCGGATGGCCACTTTCTGGCTGTCACCCACGGCAGCGATAACGGCTTTGGTGACATCGAGGCCAAATCGTGAGCGTTTCTCGATGCTGCCGCCGTATGCGTCGTTACGGCGGTTGTTGTGTTCGGAGAGAAACTGGTCGATGAGGTAGCCGTTGGCGCCGTGAATCTCGACGCCGTCGAACCCAGCAGCAATGGCGTTACGAGCGGCTTGCACGTAGTCGGCGATGAAGTCTTGCACTTCTTGCTCGGTGAGTGGATGGGGGACTACGCCACCTTCGCCTGTGGGCTTGAGGGGAATAGCGCTGGCGCTGACAACGGGATATGGCCCGCCCTCTTCGCGGGTCAGAATTGCTTGCTCCGCTCGTCGGCCCAGTGCCCAAAGTTGGCAATAGATGAAGCTGCCCTTGGCGTGAACGGCGTCAGTGACTGAACGCCAGGCAGCAATTTGTTCAGTGTTCCAAATGCCAGGGACGTTGTCCATGCCGCCGGCACGGGGGCTGACGAAAGTAGCTTCGGTAATCAGTAGTGTGCCGGGCGTGGATCCTCGTTGAGAATAGTAGTCGGTGGCGATCGAGGTGTGAACATGCTGGTCGGTGGCGCGGAAGCGAGTCAGAGGTGCGAGAGCGATGCGGTGGGCGAGGTGGGAGTGACCCACGGCGATGGGGCTGAGCAGGCGCTGGTTCTCCAAAGATTTTGACATGGTGATGGATCTGGTGAGGTGGTGGCTCGGGTTGCGGTTAGGCAACTATAGCACAGGCGTAGAGAGAGACGATCTGGAGATTGAACAGATATAGATCGTATGCTGTTACGATGAGCCGGCGCCAGACAGAAGGGGGATGAATGTACACTAGCACAGTATCCGAGGTACGGGCTTACAAATGGATATGGCCGAAATCCTTGATTAGACTCTCACTGGGCGCAGAGGGATGAATTATGCACAATTTATTTCCCCCAAATTAGTAGTAAGCATTGAACGATGCAGTGTTCAGTCAACAGAGGTTACAAAACACCACTACATACGATGGCGCCATTGGAACAGTCGTCAGAGGCGGTGGGGCATTTCTATCGGTACATCGGCAGTTGTCATCGAACAACGGATGCTGCGCATTACAGTGCCACAGGTAGAGATTCATCTGTGCGCTAGATGTGTTGCTGTGTCTCGATAGAATATTGAATTGAGTACTTGCTACTGGAGCATCTCAGACAGGCAGAAGACGTTGCACAAGCAGTGGTAAGCTGCAAGCGAGCTCGCTGGGGCACTACTCCTGGAAAGGCATGGCAGGAGGTCGGACCGATCTCCAGAGTCTTCTTTCGTGGCTACAATCGAGCCATCCTTTCAGAGGAGCTGTATGGTACCATAGTTCGAGGTTGCGTGGACACGTTTCAGCTTCCAGTTCTTTGAATGATGCGTCTCGAACTGTGCGTATTTTCGCTTGAATTGCCAAGTCGACCCCTCACGGCCGCGGTTTCAGGGAGCGGGCTGAGGCCCCCGTGGGGCGCCGTTGTCCCATGATCTGCAGCAAAGCTTCGAGCTTTCGAGTTCAACTTCGTCCTCTGTGAATCTGTATCAGGATCTCAAGACTGCCACTCGCGCTTGCAGAGACACTGGTGCCTTGGATCGTGCTCCTTCGTCATGATCGTGAGGGCGTTGCTCGGCCTCGCACTTCTGCCGTGCCTTGCAGTTGCTTCCTTTGTCAAAACCGGTAGTGACTGCCACATTGTGCCTCAGCCGTTCAATGAGGAAGGACATGCCCAAGACGATTCACCTTTCATCAAGCAGGCTTTTGATGAATGTGGACATGATGGGCGGGTCATCTTCGAGCCAGGTGTTTTCAATATCGAACAGGTGCTCAACACAACAGGTCTCGTCAATTGTGACGTTGTCCTCAAAGGCGAGCTAAGATTTTCGGATGATATTCCTTATTGGCTGAAGAACTCAATCTGGGTCATATATCAGAACCAGCATAGTAAGTTCCTACCCCGTACCTTCGTGATCGTACAGCCTCATATGAAAACGCGAATTCGAAAAGCTTCACCAGCCTTCTCAGCACGCTGAGGACCTTCGAAAGCAGCGCAGCACCCGTAGGATTCATTATGCATACAATACCACACAAGAGTTACCGAACTTCGCTGACAGCTTCAGCGGCGTGGCTTTTTGGCGGTGAGAATGTCACCTTCACGACCGAGGAAGGCGGTTTTCATAACGGCAATGGCCAGGCATGGTACACTCAGAATCGCAACAGAGCTAATCAGCCCGGCCGTCCCATCTCAATGACATTCTATCGGTCCAAAAACCTGACCGTCGATGGTCTATCCTTCATACAACCGCAATTTTGGGCTGTGCATGTATGGGAGAGCGAACAGGTCGTGCTAAGAAACATCTATATTACTGCTACGAGTAACGATCAATGGGGCACCGTCAATACCGATGGAGCGGATACGTGGAATTCGCGAGACGTACTCTTTGAGAACTGGGACGTCACGAACGGTGACGACTGCATCGCCGTCAAGGGAAACAGCACCAACATTACCATTCGTAACGCGACCTGCCACCATGGCAATGGCATGACGATTGGCTCTGTGGGTGAGTACCCCGAGTGGCCAGACTACGTCGAGAACATCCTCTTTGAGGACGTAAAGCTCTTCGGCACCGAAGAGGGAGCTTATATCAAGATATGGCAAGGCGAGCCGTCGGGCGACTCGGACAATGGCGCTGGTGGAGGGGGCGGAAGCGGTTATGTGAAGAACGTCACTTTCCGCAATTTCGAGCTTACCGACGTCCCTCTACCAATCCAGATTTCTCAGTGTATTTACACGGAAGGTAGCGGGAAGTGCGACAGCTCCAAAATGCAGGTCGCGAACATCACATGGGAGAATTTCAAGGGCACATCGAGGTTCAATATTGCTGCTTCGATCCACTGCGTCAAAACACACCCGTGTCCAGGGCTGTATTTCAAGGATGTGGACCTCAAATCTGTCAACGAGACTCTCGGACTACCCTTGACTAATACGGATCTGCCATTCGAGGTGTTCCAGTGTGCCAACATTGTGAACCAGAACTCGACCAGCAATATTCCCTGCAACTGGTATGCCCCGAACAACTTCAATCAGCATGTGAATGGGAATATCAGATCCAGCGAGTATGAGCAGAAGAAGGCTGTCGCAGCTGGTAATGTGTTGGAGAAAGTCAAGCAACTCGTATGGCGGCTCTCGCAAAGTCTTCTGAGACCCTTCATCTAGATCCGGCCTATCGATATCAAGTCAAGGGAAATCAAGTTAAGCGCTTCGTGAATGATATGCTGTACAAGCCGCCTGGATCGGCGAACCTGTGTGCTGATATACGGACCAACCCGGGACAAAGTCTCTCTCCTGCAATAGTTGGCTTATCCTATGACCGGCACGTTCGGCTCACACGGCACTTAATCGAGTGATTTCTGGTGCAGACCCCCACCCGCAATTTAATCGCGAGGAGCAGGGGATGTTACTCTGCGAGTTGGCATCTTATTTTATCAGATGAAATTTCTGCGCCGCATGCCTATCAAGGCTAGCTTCACAATCCGTCAAGAACGCGGGCACCTTGGCGTCAACCTCCCTCCTCCCTCCTATGCCGCAGTCATTGCGCTATGTTCCTTCATCAGGCATACGATCGCCAACAGTAGATCCGTTGACAAGCTTTCATGGTTTCTAGACTTCCCGCTCAACCAGGAGGAGCTCCGGCAGGACGACTGCAGCTCTGAAGCTCCCCTCTGCATTCGATATGATCGCTTTGAATAATCGGCTGGGTCGGCAGCAACAGTTGGCTGTGGGACTCGGGCGTCCGCGCTCGCTTGTATGCCGGCCCTGGTCCGCATTTTCTGGTCTTGTTGCACGTTTATCACTCCACAATACTACTCACCCCACGAACGACAACAGGTAGGAACACACCCGATGTCGCATGACTACGGCGCGAGTAGCGAACGTGGGCATCGATGAAAAGTCTGCTCGCGTAGACATGTCGCCGGCCCTGACCCTAGGAACTGATTGTCCCATATAAAGTCATCTTTGGCTCTGATCCGATCTAATCTAATCTCCCGTCAATAACTAGACGCCTCAGATACTTGATACTGTAGCCACATCTCTACACAATGGCAGCTGAACGTGCCCTAGAAGGCCTTCAGACCGCCCGCTCAGCTGACCCTGAAGCTTACTCACAGCCCAAGGCCTTCAACGAGAAGACCGTTAATCTAGACACTTCCGACGGAAGTGATCGCGGCAGCAGCGAAGAAGAGCTTGAGAAGGATGCTCAGGCTGGTGTCCGTGCCGTTGAGGCAGCCACGAGTGTTTGGACAAAGACTCACCTTTGGACTGCCTACGCGAAGTATACATTCTCACCCGTCGTCGAAGCACCACCAACTGACGCTCAACAGCATCTGGCTTATCTACTGCGTTATTTCGATCCAGGAGCCCGTTGTACGCGCGATGAATCCCTATGTCACCAGTGCTTTCAGTCTGCACTCCCTCACCGCTGCGACCGGAATTGTGTCTAGTATTGTCAGCGGCTTGTCCCAGATACCTCTTGCAAAGATCTTAGATACTTGGGGCCGCCCTCAGGGCATTGCGCTTTCTATGCTCATCTGGGACATTGGATACATCATGATGGCTGCAACGGACAGTGTCGAGATGTATGCTGCAGCTCAAGTCTTTGCTTCTGTTGGACAGACCGGAGTCTCATACTCCATGACGGTCTTCATATCGGATACATCGCACCTCAAAAACCGAGCTCTAATGCTTGCTTTCGCAACCACACCCTACATTTTCACCACCTGGGCCGGTGGTCCCTTGGCTCAATCGACTCTGAACACGATAGGATGGAGATGGGCTTTTGGTATCTTCACAATAGTCCTCCCCATCGTTGTTCTCCCGCTCGCTGGTCTCCTCTACTGGAATCAACGCAAGGCCCAACGTGCTGGCCTTATCGAAGCTCAGTACATCCGCGTTAACGCCACCAGCATCAAGAACTATGCTATCGAGGTCGACTTGCTGGGTGTACTCATTCTTGCGGCAGGCCTTGCACTTTTCCTACTCCCTTTCAGCTTGTGGTCGTACCAGGCAGACGAATGGAAGTCGCCTATGATTATTTGCATGATCATCTTCGGAGGTCTTCTCATCATCGGCTTCGTCCTTTATGAACGTTACTTCGCTATCAAGACCTTCATCCCCTTCAATCTGCTCCTCGATCGCACCGTCATTGCAGGAGGAATCATGTTCGTGTTTGTGTTCTTCAATCACTCCATCTGGGGCAGCTACTTCGGCTCTATGCTGCAAGTGGTTTGGGGACTTAGCGTCACCGAAGCCAGCTACCTCACATCCATCCGCCGCGTGGGCCAGTGCTTCTTCGGTGTTGCCGTGGGCGCCATGATCAAGTTCTCTGGACGGTTCAAATGGATTGCCCTCAGCTTTGGCATACCATTGATGATGCTTGGAACCGGCTTGCTGATTCCATTCCGGACGCCAGGCACCAACATCGGGCTTATCGCCATGACGCAGATCTTCCTATCCTTCTCCTCCGGCGCCGTTGTCCTCACTGGCGAGATCGCCATGATGGCACCGGGTGGTCATCAACATGTCGCTGTCACTCTAGCCTGCCTCAATCTCTTCTGCAGCATCGGTAGCGCAATTGGACAGACTGTCTCATCCGCTATCTGGACAGGTAGTTTCCCGCAAGCTCTCGCAAGGGAGCTCCCGGAGGGATCTGATGTCATCACAATCTATGGGAAGCTGACGGAACAATTAGCTTATCCATTAGGAAGCCCGGAAAGAGATGGTATCATTCGAGCATATGGACATTCGCAGCGGTTGATGCTTATCACTAGTCTAGGTGGTCTGGCTGGAGCTTGCATTGCTGTATGTTGTTGGCGCAACATCAAGGTCAAAGATCACAAGCAGGTGAAGGGTCTAGTGGCCTAATCGGCCTGATTCCCCATCTGCACAAAGACGCTTTGTGTCGGGTTCCCTGCGACACTCTGACCATGGCTGCCTACCCGCCGTGTTACAATCACTGCCTGAGTACGGCGTGGCATAGCGACCACCTACATAGACCTTGTAAGTAGCAACAACCTGCTGCGGGCCTCCATGCTGCCGATGCAGGCTTCATCAGTCCTCGACGGTTTATTGCTATCATAACCACTTGAGAAGTGTTCTGTCTCTCCGAAACCTAAGTCGCGAATCTGTGCTGTGTAATTCTGGGCGTCTGGGGTACGACCCCTCCCGTGCTCCAGTTGCCTCGGCCCATCCGTGGACGATACCCAACTTCTGGATATCATGTAGCCGAAGTTGTGAAATCAAGGCAGAGAGTATTCAGCAAATGCATGAAGCTCGATACCAGATCTTCCCGGCACATTCATCATGGGTAGTATCACGCCCTCCATTGAAGACTACTCTGTTCCTGAAGAGGCCGCCCGCGTCTTCCACGATGGCATCCTACAGAACCCGCTGATCAAGGCATATTTGCTGAGTGACTATGAGGCGGACGCGAAGCTCATCAGATTCGAAGGCAGTGCCTCTCCGTCGCTACCCATAAATTGGCGCTTCGCTGAGAGTGTCTCTGCGCTGAAGGCTTACGAGGCTCTCGTTGTGAATGCACTGCGGAAACGAAAATATGGCGTCGAACCCGCCGAGGTTGTCGTTAACACGTAAAGAGAGCCGCCATGTGCGTGGTTGCAGGGCTTCTGGCTGACCATGCACAGTGATCACGCTCAGCTGTTCATCATGTCCACCTTAATTTGGACTCTGGACCCCGAGGGCAAAGCAATAACACTCGGGTCGCTCTCGGACCCAGAGAGTGCCAAAGAGTATGGAAAGTACTTTCCCAACCGCGACAAGCACGCCGCAACCAGCTCCTTTCATCGCTTGGCTGCCACAAACATCTATAAGACCAAGGACGGTCGGTTTTTTCACGCTCACGGTAAGCTGTCCCTCAATCGCTCCCATTCTCCGTCGCAGCCTCGTTGACCGAACTCCCTGCCCTTCACAGGCTCTATGAATCCCGATCCGACCATCTCTTCCCTCAAATTGCCTCTCGATGCCCCAACCCCGGCCCCAGACCTCGAGACCGCCACCGCTCCTTTCCAGGAGGCCTGCGCTCAATACACCGCGTCCGAGCTACAGTCCCTTGCCGACACGCACCGACAAGCCGGCACCATCGCCTGGACCGTCGAGGAGTACAACACTTCCCAACACGGCCGCGCCAATGCTCACGTCGGGCTCTTCGAGATTCACCAGCACCCCTCCGCGTCGCAAAAGGCAAGTTGGTGGCCTGACCCGGCGCCCAGCTCGAGTGTGCAGCCATCAGCGGAACGGCCGTTGGCGGGGCTGAAGGTCGTGGACCTGACGCGCGTGATCGCGAGTCCGGCGGTGAGTCGCGGCCTGGCGGAGCTGGGTGCGAGTGTGATGCGTGTGACGTGTGAGGACGTCACGGACATGAGCAGCTTGCATCTGGATCTGAGTCACGGGAAGTGGAACTGCTTCCTGAACCTGCGGAAGGAGGAGGATCGAGAAACGCTGAGGGGGTTGGTGAAGGAGGCGGATGTGTTCTTGCAGGGGTATCGCCCGCACGTGCTGGATAAGTATGGGTTTGGACAAGAGGATGTGTTGAAGCTGGTGGAGGGGAGGGACAGAGGGATCGTGTACGCGAGAGAGAACTGCTATGGGTGGCAAGGAGAGTGGATGGGGAGGAGTGGTTGGCAGCAGATTAGCGATGCGTGCTGTGGGGTGAGTATTGAGTATGGAAGGGCCATGGGCCTTGCGGATGGGGAGGCCGTCACGCCGGTATTTCCCAACAGCGACTATTGCACTGGTGAGTTTCTGGTCGCATGACGACCGTCGTTACCCAATGATGACTGTTGCATAGGTATCGCGGGGACGACTGCGATTATGACGGCTCTGCTGCACAGAGCCGAGCAGGGAGGTTCGTATACTGTTGATGTACGTACCTAAATTGGATGCCGTGGAGGAGAGTTCGCTGACGAAGCTACAGCTCGCGCTTAACTACTACTCCCGCTGGTTGACGTTCTCCGTCGGCACCTATCCCAAAGAGGTCTGGAAGCAACTGCACGCACTTCACGGCAACCCCGTTTTCCGCCATTATCACAACATGAACTACACCATCCCGGCTCTCATCAAGTGTATCAAGCAGAACTGTCCTGACAAGCTGTTCCGCCCAGAGTTCTTCGACCGGTATAAGGTCAAGAATCTGGGAGGTGTGGAGGTGCAGGTCGTCAAGCCGGTGGCGAAGTGGGTGAACGGTGAAGTCAAGCCAGGTTATCAGGTGGGCACGAGAGGGAACGGCGTCGATCAGCCACGATGGCCCGAGGATCTGGGAGTTGAAGTTGTTGTGTAAGCATGATGTAGCTTGCCCAAGACATGACCAGGGACTCACTTCACTTCAACGGGCGGCGAGGCGGGCGAGGCGGGGTTTTCGGGTGTCAGCTTTCAGGGCTTCTGGGCCTCAAACTTACCCTTCTTCCCCTGAACTCTTAGATCAACGGATTGTTGGTCAGCTCCTAGCTCAGCCCTGCCAGACTTCCATCAACGAACCCAGTCCATAGCAGTCGCGAGCTTCACTGGGCTCTGTGAGGAAATGAACGTAGATCTCGAGCGGGCCCGAGGGCATCGATCTCCCCAGCGAGTCGGGCGTGGTGACGCTCCTTATATCTTGAATACGACCTCGTCAAGTTGAAGAAACACTGCTCACACCTTGCGCCACCGTCTCCAGACCTTTGCTTTGTTTATATTGCGAGGTATGGGCCAGACAGGAAACTGCTCACCTAGAGTGTTTGTAGATATCTAGACTTTATCCATCTTCAAGGTACCCATTCTGATGGCACCCCGACATCTGCGAATGGTGCTATGGAGACTAGCGAACAGCAAAAGCAAAGGTCTCGCTCCAGATTCAAACCAGGCTCTGTCATAGAGACCGATCCAGTCGCTACACCAAAGGTACGACGGAGCAAGACCAGGGCCGGATGTCGCACATGCAAGTGAGTCGAGGTTTCAACCTTTTCAATGCGGTATTGACGGGACTTCGTCAGGGGTCCGTCACCTGAAATGTGACGAAACAAGACCACCCTGCTTGGGATGCACAAGCACGGGACGTCTCTGCGATGGCTACGGGCCTCTCTCCATCTCAAGTCTGCCGTTTAATATTCCTGGCTCGGAGCAAGAACGTCGAAGTCACCACTACTTCCGACTGCAGACGGCAACGGCCATCTTGGGCAGCCAGGATGCTTCTTACTGGACTACATCGCTGTTGCAGTTGTCCTATTCTCCACCCGCCATCAAGCATGCTCTCACAGCCATGGCGTCGATGCATGAGGCCCTCGAAGCTACCGACTGGTTCCTCCAAGCACAAGACAACGATCAAGGCAGGACGTTGCGTTGCGACTCTTCTCGTGGAAGCAGTACAACAATGCCATTCAACAGGTCTTACGCGATACGTCTACAAATCGAATGCCTTTTGAAGTCCTCATCGTCCTTTGCTTGCCAGGAGGTCCTCCGGATTCGGGAGGTCGTAACCGGCTTTTATCTCAACCTTGGTCGGAAACGCTGACATGGCCAGTTTAATCAATACGACAATTTTCAATGCGACTATTCCGCCGCGTATATGCATGTCAAAGTGGGTCTCAAACTCATTGAGGACTGGACACCCCGTCCAAATACCCGCGCTCCTCTTCAGGATTCAACAATGACCACGGCGGAAATGATCAGAGACCAGGTTGCCCCAATGCTGGTCCGTCTTGACGTACAAGCGTGTTTCTTGATGCACAACGAGGCGCACGCGCCTCCTTACGATCAATTGGCGAAGACGAGCCCGCCACATGTGTCGCGTCCCCCGTATTCGCCGCCTGGCTATCAGTCGACCGAAAGCGGTGGAAAAGAGCTCCTGGAACTGCGAGCACTGCGCTCTCATCGCACAGTATCTTCTTGAAACGGAAGAGACGGGTCTAGGAACGATCACTCACTGCGAAGAAATACTATCCGAGAAGCGGATACGGAGGATCATGACGGAAGTCTGCTTTGAGGAGGCGCATAACAAGCTGACGTACGTGTGGAATTCATATTCCCAGGAGACTTCCATTAATGTTGCAATTCTGCCCTTGAAACAGCCGGGTGGCATTGTCAGTACCTATGGGTCGGTTGAGTTGAATCCCATCACTCCGAACAAGGCTTCGTCGTCTTCAGCGACGGAAGCGGACAGTGAATAGAGCATCACAGGGGCGGGAGGCGGCCATACTGCGTCGACTGCAGCACCCGCTGCAAAAGTGAGGGCACCGGAAGACTCTACTGTCAAGAGGCGAAATGGAAGAGAAAGGCCTGGGAGATACTGTTGTTCAGAAACGTTTTAAGGCCAGTTTCCTGTCTAATATGCAGCCTCGCCGAGGAAAGCCCAGCCTCGCTTCGTAGCGGCGCGCCTGTCACCTTTTCGGGCCCCCATTGCGCGTCTCACCGGCGCAGTTCGCGCTACCTACACCATGCTCTCCTGATACCAGTAACCTACCCACCTGGTGTGCCGCGTCGCTGTGACCTGATACCGACCATCGCAGGCGTTATTATAGACAACAGTGCTCCCCTGCCTCCGCCATGGCGCAGACTCTCATGGATGTCTTCTACTCACTCTCCAACTGTGTCTTCTGCTTCCCCGGATCGCCTCAGCTCAAGATCAATAGTCGCAGCTTCCGTATGCTGCGGCTTCTCGGTGAGGTGTGTGCGGAGACCCCTTCCGATGCTTGTGACTGACATTGTCAGGGTGGCTTCTCCTACGTCTACCTCGTTCAGGACACCTCGGACTCTGCGCTTTACGCCCTGAAGAAGATCAGATGTCCCTTCGGACAAGAGTCAGTCTCACAAGCGCTGAAAGAAGTGGAGGCGTACACACTCTTCTCGCCCAATCCGAACATAATACAGAGCGTTGATCATGCCGTCCAGAACGACTCCACGACCAAAGTCTCCGGCATTGGCGATACGGGCGGCTCCTCGAAGACGGTCTACATCCTACTACCGTACTACAGGCGAGGTAATCTGCAAGACTTGATCAACGCCAACCTAGTCAACCACACCCGCTTCCCTCAACGGAAACTCATGAAGCTCATGCTTGGCGTCTGCAACGCCCTGAAGGCCATGCACCAATACCGGGTTCGAAATGCAAATCCGAACGCCTCCTCGCGGGCTGCTGCAAAGGCCATTCGCGATGAGGCAGCTGCAGAAGATGCCGACGCAGCGCGCCGTAAAGCACGAGCGCAGAAGAGAACCATGACTGCCGACCAGCAACATCAAGCAGACATGGAGGATGAGCAGGAAGAGCCTCTTATGCCAGATGAAGTAACGAGGGCACAAGAAGGCAAAGGTCCGGGCGATACAAGAGCATATGCACATCGAGACATCAAGCCTGGAAATATTATGGTTGATGATGACGGCGAGGCACCGATACTCATGGACTTGGGATCGCTGGCTCCGAGTCCGACGCCGATTACTAGCCGAAGCCTTGCTTTGGCCGTTCAAGATACCGCAGCAGAACACTCAACAATGCCATATCGCGCGCCTGAGCTCTTCGATGTGAAGACCGGCAGCGTCATTGATACCAAGGTCGACATCTGGAGTCTGGGCTGTACGATGTACGCATGTTTGGTTGGCAAGTCGCCTTTCGAAGCACGCTCCGATGAGACAGGTGGATCACTGTCCATATGTGTACTCAGTGGAGACTGGCGATGGCCAGGCGAAGGCAATGCAAGCAAGGGCAAGGACAAGCAAGCAAATAGCGATGGGAATGCTGCGAACGGTGCCGAGCAGTACCCCTGCGCTTCTGTTCGAGACATTGTCAGTAGATGTCTGCAGGTCGAGCCGAGTGAGCGACCTGATGTCGACGAGTTGATGGTGTTGATCACCGATTGCATCGAGGAACTACCGCGGGATGAGGAGGCCAGCGTCCCTCACGACTGAGCACTGCGGTTCGGAGCTACCTTCGCTTGGAGCCCCGAGCATGCTTTTACGAAACCCAGATGCAAGAGAAGAGACTATGCAGTCTGATCACTCACGATGCAACTCTCAGCCATGACACACTTCTGGCGGTGATTGCGGCTTGACGTCAACGTGGTCACTCGGAAACGTGACTGGTGACCATGGGCCGCAGCATACCCATTGAGCTCTATCCGAGATGACGCTTTTGCACGCCAATGGGACGAGAGTCGTGTACGAAAATGCTTGTTCGTGAAGCGCACAGCACAGATTCAAGATCTAGGAAGGCGCGAATGGACTTGGTCGGTCGCTGAAGCTGACATCGTGTAGGGGGCATAAAAACACGAGTGGACATTGGCTCGTATGTCACCCGTTGCGACCTACATCCAAACTTGGGTTGAAGCATATACGCGGTGCATCCACAAGTCCCCTGCTCTTCCGATGTATGTATAGCGCATGTCCTCTGAATCTGGATTATTCCCTTCAGCCTAGGTGGGGACTGTTGAACGGGCCGTTGCCCCGATGATCTCACAACAACGACGGCTGTTTCGACAGTCTCAATTGGAGCACACCCATCGTAGGAAGTTGCCAGTCGCAGGGACTCTTAGCTTAATATCTACCGTGGCCTGTTCCGATACGTCCAACCGATACGCGGTGCTTGAAGACTGTCAATCGGTTGTTCCGCTCGAGTTCAGGCAGCCCTACCGGATGGGAAAGCTGGTCCTTCGTGCTCCGATTCTCAAGCCGCGCTGGAAACCTGTTGACAATCCCAGTTACGGTATGACCTATAGCGGCACCTAGAAGGAAGGTAACCACGGAATCGCACCAAGTCAAGTCAGTAGTCAAAAGCGGAGCCACGACTCGAGTTCAGGCAGTGAAATAGAGTTTTCTCCACCACTCCGCCTGGAGCCTCTTACAGACAAATTGGACCAAGCGGATCGCAAATCGTTACAGTGCCGTGGTAGTGGTAGTCGGCGAGTGCAATATCAAACATAATGAAGCCAGGTTCAGGTTCCAAGGAGGACGTATCTGCTTCTCGCTTGAGACGTTAGATGCTAGGTCAGCACTTACATATTCGGGTGGAAACGACGGCAGGCGTGCATTTGATCATTGCTGCTTCCGTCTCGGAAGAAAAGTCACAAAATGTGCTTTATGCTGCTTCCCTGTATTTTTGAGGCACCTAGACTCCGCGCTCCAATGTATATATGCAAGCATAGATTCCCATAAGTCATGCTGTGAACGCACAGCTTCCGTATCTTCGTCAAACCATATCTTTCTCCTTGAACTGCACCGGAATCTCCTCCACACTTCCTGGTCGCTGCTCCACGGCCTTGTCAGCATCCTCTCCGGAGCCCTTGCCTTTCTGCTCTATCCGCTTCGCCTCTCTGGCCGCCCTCTCCCGCGCCCGCCTTTTTTTCCGCTCTTGCCTCTCTTCTTCCTCCCTCATCTCCCTGATCAAGGTGCTCTTCTCTCGAATCTTTGCGCCGTATCGATAGAACACCAGAGGGATCGGAATGATCAAGACCTCGAGGATCCCCAACAATGTTCCAGCCCAGTTCGGCCCTAATGCGCGATACATGGCTGGACCGGCCAAAGGTAGGGTACCGCCCATGAACGATCGGATCACGGCATTACCTGCCATGGCACTGGCCGCATAGATTCCATAGCTATGTACAAGGTAGTTGGAGGCGTAGATGAACACGGCACCGTTACCGGCGCCGAACGGGATGCCAGCCGCAATGCTGATGATGGGGTTGATGCTTGTCGGATAGCAGGTCCATGAAAACCAAAGTTGGCCCACAGGGATGAGCACCGCCGCGATGCACACCACGCTCATCATCGATTCCGGCGGCGGTTCCCCCGTGGCCGGGTCTTTTTTGTGTGATTCGATCATCAGACGGATTGGCTTCGCCGCACAAATGGTGATCATGGTCCCGATACCGATACCGAGGAAGGACAAGCCCGAAACGCCGGCCGACCAGCCCCTGTGCTGCGTGAAGACGATCGGATAGGCGACAAAGCAGAGATATAGAATGCCTTTATCACCAAAAGTCAGCTTCGTCACCCGAGTTGAGTGGGCGAGAGAGGGGCAACTTACCGTAGATGATGGCAATATAGACGTTCCAAAAGACACAGATGGGCTCCGTCACCGCCATGACAAACGGTCGACTCAAGTTCACGCGCATCAGTTCCCCAAACCCAACACGCACATCATATCTGCTCCACCATCTGCTGTCGCCCGTCTCTTTCCTCCGCTTCTTCGCCATCTGCTGCAGTAGTCGCGGCTTGTACGTCTCTTGGATGCAGAGCATCATCAGCAGCGCGGCGCCTCCACCAATCATGACCACCCAGTTCGCCCACCGCCAACCCTTGTACTGGGTGGTGAAGCCGCCAATCAACGGGCCAAACACCGGTCCGTTCATGGGGCCGATGCTCCAGATGCTGAACGCCGTAGCGCGATACTTGTCGCTGATGACGTCGCCAACGGTGCCGGGGGCATTGGCGATCATGGCAGCGCCGGCGCAGGCGCCGAAGAAGCGCACCACGATGATGGTGGTGATGTCGGTGGCTAAGCCGCAGGGGACGATGAGGATGACGAAGAAGAACATGGAGATGGCGTACACGGGTTTGCGGCCGTAGGTCTCGCTGATGGGTGCCAGCACGAGCGAGCCCACGGCCAGACCCAATAGGTAGGTCGTCACGCCCAGTGTCGTGATCGCATCGTTGGTGATGTGGAACTCCTCGTTCATGGCGGCGATCGCAGCGGTGTAAGAGGTGGAATATAAGACGACGATCAGTGTGCCGTAGCTGATGGCGAAGATGCTCAGCGCTTTGTACCACATGGGCCAGTTTCGCGGGTCCTTGGGGTCGTCGATTTCAAAGTCGATTTCGTAGGAAGGATCCATGGTCATAGTTGTGCCGGCTGTTGTGATGTGCGTGAGCTCGCGGGAGACCGAGGGCCGCGACGCCCGCGACACCTGCGGCGTAAGAGCCTTGGTGTCGGCGAGGTCGTGGAAGGCATACTTGTGGCGAGAGGTCGAGGATGTCGGTGAGTTGTCGGGAGAGATATCTTCTGACGATGAGGAGTCGCGCCGGCCACCTCTGTGCGCCGAGACGTGACTATAGCACTTTTCGGCTTGGGGAAAATCCATGGCTTATACTCGGAACGAATATCTCGTTAGTAGCATCTGGATGTTATTGAGGCAGTGAACGGCAGTTGGTTCTCGGTCAGCCACCGGCTGTCGGTGGTAGTGAGTGAAAGGCGGAGTTCTCAAAGACCGAGTGGGTATACCAGGTGGAGCGAGAGTTCAGGCAGTGAATGACAGGCAGCGAAACAAAGCAAGAGTTTGGGGCACAACAGGAATTGTAGACTTGAGGCGTTAAGCAAATTCGAAGAAGGATGACAAGAAAAAGAGGCACTTGGACTCTTGCGGCAAGTCTTTGAACATTAGCTTCTGCGCGGTGAAGAAAGCGCCAGATCAAAAGGCGGCGAAAAGCGAAAGCATCGATGGACTAGTATTCTCGGATGAAATTTGCCGTGTCCACCACTCACAAGTGGGCGGCGCAGGTCGACCAGGACCGACAATCCACACAGGGCAGTATAACGGCGGGAGCTGAGGCTGTGCAGCTTTCGGTGCGAACGAGGACGGGAGTGGCAACCGAGGAAAGAATTCCATACTACTCTAACCCGCGCTCGGTGGAGTGGAGTGTAGTGAGGGGAAAAGGTCTATAGGGGAAAACATTTGAGGCCTTTACAATGGCCCCTGTGCTACGTGACGAGCATTCTCGAGCTGGGAAGCTTCTTGCATACGGTGAACCTACGACTATGGACAAGGCTCGGTACCGAGGCGTGTTGCATGCCCGGTAACTCGTGGTTGTGCAACGCAGTAACGAAGTGGCAGCCCGAGAGCATCAGCGGCGTTCCGATATGAGGCTAAAACTGTTGTCAAAGATCGGAAGCACATCCGCTCTCAACAAGAAAACTTTTCAGTGGACCGCTATCCCCGCACGCAAGGCTGGCGCTCCTTGATGTGGGGCCATACAAACAAAAGTGCACTGCCGTTGAGCCATGGACTGTGTGGCATGGCACTAGACCAGTTCAAAGGCGTCGACGCTTCTAACGTTTGGCCATCGCTGGACTTCACTTCGCCGTTCCAGCAATATTGAGATTTCGCAGACTTACCGACCGTCTTTACCCAGCTTCCAGGCCTCCCAAGTAAGTGCAGGTGCAAGCGCTCTACTCCGGCCAAGATTTCTAAGCATTGGCCTTATTCCCGGTGATTTCGTACGCGACGCGTATTGGGGTGATGGCACGCCCTAACGTGCCTTCACGAGGCCTTCGCAGAAAGCAGAGCGTAGGCCACGAAGTAAATGTCACAGTGTCGAACCTTCCCCGCATCTCGTTCACGATCACCTGAATAGAAGTGGCCTTGGCATCAGAATGGTGATCGCTGCACCACCAGACCTCGCCGGCGTCAAAGCCATCTTCTTCGACTACATGGGCACATGCCTTGACTGGCACTCGTCGGTCGTGGCTGCCCTGCCCCAAGATATCGCTATCAACACCCGAAGCAGCCTGGCCATTGCCCTGCGGGAAGCCTTCTTCGCTGACATACACACACGATTTGAGCAGAGACTCCCACCGGAAGACATCGATGCCACGCACGCAAGGCTACTTGGTGTCCTGCTGCAGAGCAAGCAATTCGAGTACATCTCAGTGAATGCTGAGGAGCGGAACAAGGTAATTGAGGCGTGGCACCACATGTCTGCATGGCCGGACGTGCCGCCGGCCCTCGACAAGCTCCGCGAGAGATATGAGCTTTTCGTCCTTGCCAACGGCACAACTAGACTGCAGCTGGACCTGACGCGGTCCTCTGGTCTGCCATTTGACATGCTCTTGTCGAGCCAGCTTCTTGGAGTGACCAAGCCGGATCCAGACATGTATCGGAAAGCGTTGCAGCTGGTAGGCGTTTTGCCGGAGGAATCTGTCATGGTGGCTGCGCATGCATATGATCTGAGAGCAGCTAAAAAGGTGGGTATGCGAACCATCTACGTGCGAAGGTGGACAGAGGATACGCTAGAAAATATGGAGGCGGTCAAGCAGGATGTTGACTGGTTTCTAAGCGGTACTGGCGAGGTTGGGAGCACAGATGGATCGTTCATAAGCTTGGTGGAGCTACCATCATGATCATCAACATGACAAATTGAACGTTCAACACTCTCGTGCGATCGAGTAGATGATCAACCTTTTGCATTCATTAGGTATCATAGTCGTAAGGTCCATGCATGTGCTCCGCTGCAAACATTGTCGTATGTATATATGTACAGAAGCTTTTGAATCTCAGCGCCTCGCGCTCCAGGTGAAACAGACAGATCATGCTCGCTCATAGATCAATCACGATTCACAACCCTCAAACTGCGTCTGGGGTTCAATAATATTCCCACGAAGCTGGGCTCTTGCGCCAGTTGCACATCGTCCGTACTGCTCCTAGCATCATCGTGAGCGTTGCGGTAGGGATTGCTGGCACCCAGTTCGCGTCTCCAACTGCGTTCATCACTGCTACGACCAGGGTCACTGCTCGACTGGCTCTTCTCCTTGCTGGACTTCCCAACTGAGGGCGGGACAGCAAGGAATGCGCGACCACCGTCGCCGGCCAGGTGCTCACGCTGTGCCATAGCAACATGATTCTTGTAGACGGCCAACTGCTTGCGGTAGACGTAGACGCAGTAACCCAGGTACAACGCAACAATCGCAAGTACTCCGGCAATGACCCCACCTGCAATGGCGCCGGCGTTACTGCTGCCCCCTGAATTGCTCGAACCATGATCGGAAGCCCCAGGCGTGGACGTCTCTGTGACCACAGATCCATCAGAGCCGGTAACTGTGTATGTGATCGGGCTACCGGTAGCCATCGGGCCGGAAGTAGGTGTCTGCACAGGCTCCGTGATTGTGGCTGAACCGACAGCGTTGCCACCAATTACTTCCTGAACCTTGCCAGGCACTGCGTAACCAAATGAGCCTCCTAGGGCAGACGAATCATCGTCCTGAGAGGTCTGTCTGTTCAAGTGATCTTCGCCGTCCGAGAGTGCCCGATACTCGTTCTGCCAGGCCAGGGAAGAAAGGTTGAAGACGTAGATGCCGGGGCTGTCGCAGGACAAATCTTGACCAACATAACCTCCCCAAACGACCATCTGAGAATTCCAAGCTGCGCACATGTGGCCAGCTCGTGCGGGTGGAACAGACTGATCGCTCATGTCGACTTCGATCCAGGTGAACGAGGGAATCGATAAAATCCACATATCATCGTACTGCTCTTGTTCGCCTGCTGGAATCAAGTTCTGACCACCGAACATGTATAGCTGCGTAGAAGTGCCGTCGGCGGCTGACGCAACAATAGCGCAGGGATTTACCCGCACTTGTGGTGATGTTCCACTCGTAGCCTGTCGATACCACGATGATGTTGCAATATCGTATACATCGATAATATTGAGCTGGGTGAATGTCGCGTTGTTACCGCCAGCGAGGCCAATCAAGACGCCTTGCTCGCCATAGCCAGGAACATAGACCAAAGTTCCATCAGCACGCTCTGGAAAACCGGCAGAACCCTGGACACCACCCTCGGTAATATTTCTGAAGAGGCCCCCAGAGCCGGCAGTATTGCCATCGTTTACGGCCTGATTGCTGTATCCAGGCATGGTAAACTCCAGCAGACTCGTCAGATACTGTCTTGGGATAGACTGGCTCCAACCTTCCACGGTATAACCATCAAGATGGCCTCCAAAATAGTAGCCTCGCCCCAGTTGTGGTATTGCAATGCCAGCGCCTTCTGCGGCTCTTTGCACAGACTGCCCCGAAGGCTGCGCATTCTCACCACCGGCCGTCTCGGTATTGTCCAATTCTGACCACCGCGATGCGCCGATGTCATACTGCCAAACCGAGAAGGGTGCAGGGGATTCGACAGGAGAATCGGAGAATTGTCCACCATACAGGTATAACGTGTCGAATGAGTTCCATAAGTAGCCTAGGGAAACCTCAGGGACTCCTGACGGTTGCGGGAGACCTGTCATAGAAGGGCTTGATATTTGCCAGCTTTTCGTTAGATCGAGTGACAGAAAGTCATTTGCTATTGCAAGTCAGCATTGATTCTGCAATATGATTCAAAATCTTACTCCAGGTATCTGACGTCTGATCTGCTGACGTCGATTTTCTGCCGCCATAATAGTACATGGTCCCGTTGACCACGGCACTTTGGCCGGACCATCTCTTGCAGATATCGGTATCAGAGTTCTGTCTCTTCTCGATCGTGGGAACTGCCTTTCTCTGCTCCTCGAGAGGAACCTTAATGGGCCCAGCCTCTGCACCGATAGGCGATATCCCGGCTTTCAAGAAGGGAGAATGGCCCAGACTAGGTATAAGCACGGCGAGCAGGAGAGTGAAAAACATGATGCGAGGAGCCGTAAGTAATAGTGTTGGTAGCCCGTCAGACTTTTGGGCAGGCTGGATGAACGGCTCGTCGACTTCCTCTGGTTCGCGAATGTCTACTTTGCTTCGGAAGCGCACCCGAAGACTGGGTCGACCGATTCGCCTTATTCGAGCGTCCACAATGGCATCGTCACCTTTCAAGCCTTCTTCAAAAAATACAGAGCTGCGTCGGTGGGGTGTAGAGGTGTGAGGGGGGAACGAGTCGATGCTTGTGGCACTGTCTGTGCTTTGTTGTCTCAAGAGGTCTCGTGTCGCGCTGTGCAAGTGAGGCGAGTCGGAGTGATGAGTACTCTGCGCGCCGGTGGGGCCGGCTGCGGGTTGTTGAGTGGCTGTGTGCATGCTTAAACCTGCAGATGTCTTAGACCGCCATCAGTATTAGAATAGCACTTTACTGCGAGTATCAGTATGCAACGATATTCTGAGAGGTACATGGTACAGTTACAAAGAACGGCAGCTGTACCTCAGATCAAGGAGTGATACGCAGCAGGGTAATCGTCGCTATGACGGCACGGAGCTGCTACAGCAAGAGAGGCGAATAACACACCCCTGACAGCCACGACGCGGAGATTTACTTGTCGATGGGTTTTTAGCGAACACAACACCAATGGAGAACGGCAAGTAGGTCTGACTGCAGGTCACTATCGTTGCGACTGGACGTGCTAGGCGGGCAGAGTCAGGCCAAATCTTCGATCCATGGGTTGTCTCAATCATCGATCACCCTGCTGAACATCGACCAGGTTTCCAAGCCTGTCTGAGATGACATCAGTCACGCCCAAGCCATGCCTTTCCGGGCGTCCTCCGCCGCCCACTCTGCCATGATCGGCGCCTACCGCTGTCATTTTGGAAGCGCCAACGGGTGCCACCGTGCTTCTGAGGCGCTTGGCTGGTTCTAAACTGACTGGACATGGCCTCGGCTGGGACCGTCCTCATCTCGTTCTGTGTCTATATCCGCCCATGGCGGCCAATACAAAGGGCATGTTCTGGACTCCAGGTGACCGAGGAGATTGTTATCATGCTGTTTAGAATCTACTTCGATGATGGTGCTTAGCATATGAGCAGCAAAATGAGGGGTTTGTCATTTCGTATCTCGTCACTGACTAAATGATTGCAAAATAACAGAATCGCTCAGAGAAGGACCAGAACCTTTAGATGCGGTCAAGCGCTTTGCTCTGGTCGACTAACATCCAGCCATTCTCCTCATTGCCGTGTTAATCATAGCTGTCCTTTTGGAGATGCATTCTCGTTTCTCGTCGTACGTGATGTCCCCTCGCCAGGCAATTACAGACGGCTGAGGCCAACAGTTTCACCAGGAGCCATGTAAGTTGGCACTCTCATCTCGAGAGCGTCGCCGCTGTAGCCAAGATCCTCCGCAGCGAGGACGGAACACTTCTCTCCAATGAGAAGAGCAGTCTGAAGTTCATTAGTCGTTTGCCATAATAATCCAGCGTATCACTTACCGAGAAGGTGTTGCAACCAACGTTATCAGGGCAGATAGACAGATCAGAGACCTTGAGGTTCTTGACGCCGTGGACATTGAGTCTCTCGTCCAAAACGCCATGCTTGACAATATCATTGCCATCTCTTGGAGCCATGCTGCAGGTGCCGAGAGAGTGCCAGGTTGTCTCGCAGTGTCGTTGCACCCATTTCTCGATGTGGGCCACATCCTGGAATGTGTCAGCATGTATCAAATGTGATCTGGAGAGTACTTGCCTCCTTGCTATACTTGAGTGGCTCATACATGACCTGAGAGTTGGAATTCAGGATGTTGGGCTTGACTGTCTGGCCAGACTCGACAGGAATGGTCCAGCTGCCGTGCTGAATATTGGCCGTGATGTGATTGGGTCCACCATACGCGTTGCGAGTGCTAAGGTCCATGTCCTTGGCACGTGCCGCTGAGCTGTACGCGTATTGCGGATGCATTGCAGTGACCTCACCGGCATATGCTTGCATGCGCCTTGCCGTTTCGCGTGACTGGATGTAGCCCCAGACCATAGGCGCCATGTCACGTTTGTCGTTCATGAATCCAGCATCAAAGTCTGGATTGTCGTAGGGGTCCGGCGAAGTGATATGTGTGAAGCCACGGGAGAAGGGGTACTCAAGGAAGTGGAACATGGTGAAGAACTTCCCAGCAGGCATGTCGAGGTGGTCGCCAAACCATCTACCGAAAGTTAGCTTGGGTTGGGTTGAAGTGATAGGCATTGGTCTTACCCAGCAATCACACTGTAATGCATGACCGGCTTGTCGGGCTTGTTCTTGAAGTAGCTGTCCCAGCCACCCTTGGTAACGAAATCAGGTGTTGGCCAGTTCTTCATCTCCTCGAGCTCTTCCGGCGTCGGCCGAGACTTGACACCAGCTTCAATGCCGTTGGTGGCCAACGGTCCTGTGCCTTTGAGGTTCCATTCTTCATAGACCTTCTTCTGGACCTCCGGATCACCTCGGACAAAGTCATCAAAGGACTCCGTCTCCGGCTTCGCACGGAATGTCGAAAAGTGCAAGTAGTGGTCCTGGAAATTCAGACCCACGCCAGGAAGGTCAACAACGCACTTGACGCCGACTTCCTTGAGCTTCTCCGGATCGCCAATGCCGGATCGTTGTAGGACCAAGGGCGATGATAGAGTACCGCAACTGACGATGATGAGCTTCTTAGCCTTGAAGGTACGCTTCTGGATGTTCCCGTAACCTCCAACAGGCTTTGTGGGCACGGTGACGACGCCGGTTGCGACGCCATCTTCGATAATGACTCTGTCGACCTTGGTGTTGCACTGGAGGTGAAGGTTTTGGTGCTTGGCACGGGTGGCATGGATGTATGCGGATGCAGCATCAGATCTGCGGCCTGTGTCACGGTTGATCCACTTCAGCCAGTGCTCAGCACCGTGGCCGGTGGTCAGATCTTGCAAGTCGTCCGTAACCGGGAATCCTTGGCTCTCAGCTGCGCGCAAGAAGTCTTGCATGATAGGGTATGTGTAGTTGCCGAAGGAGACCTTGATCGGGCCGTCGAAGCCGTGGATGTCGCGATTGTTGCAAGCGCGTTGATAGGTTTCATGCTTCTTCATCAGGGGAATAAGCTCTTTGGTACTCCAGCCCTTGGTCTTGAAGTCGTCACTTGGGCAAAAGGTCAGCACGATGCGTTGCGTGGCCATAGACAGGTTCCAAGACGATGGATACTTACTAGTCCGATGCCGAAGCACGTGTGTACATCATGAAGTTGATCGAGGATCCACCGCCAAGGATGTGGGCGCAGGGTACAACAGCACGCCTGCCATCGAGCCACTCTGAAGGGCGAGAGTAATAGAAGGTAGCGGTCTTGGAATCAAGCTTCATGTTCCGAGGGTAGATACCGGGCCTATAGACCCATGGGTTGTTGAGGTTATTCTCACCAGCTTCGATCAACAAGACCTGGAGCTTGTGATCGAGGTTGGCAAGACGGCCTGCAGGTACACATCCTGATGAGCCTCCACCGCAAACGATGATATCAACCTCGTCGGGAATAGTCATGGTGTTGAGTTAAGAGATTCTCAGTGCAGTCAGTAGGAGTAACGATGTCGCCCTGGAGCGCAATGACAAAAGGTAGGGAGGGTACAAGGCCAACTCCAGTTATAAGGACACAGCTACCCATCTTCGACCCCTCTCGGTGAGGTGGAGGGGCACCAGAATGCGTATGCTTAAGCGCCATGAGGAGGTAGCTCTCTGAGCTCTTGACGGTCCTTTCCAAACTCAGGCCTTTTGGTGTCCACCTTGTCGCCAATGAGGTTTGCTTGAGAGGCGGTACAGAGCTCAGTGAAGCTCAACATCCTTGTCCCTCATGCAGAGAATACTCCAAATACTGCAGCAACGCGTGAGGAGTATACAGCTCATCCTGGCCCCAGCCGGCTCGCTTGTGATGGTGATCCCATAGAAAGACTAGGGTCGTTCTTGGCTTTCAGGAGTTGCTGACGGCGTCAGCGGACCTCGGAACCGTTCGAGTCAGCCTGCAAAAGCAATGAGATGCATGCTGGTGACCCCTAGGCCGGTCCTCACGGCAGATGCCTTTGTCACGGGTAAAGGTGGGTGATAGCCAGAAGCAACACGGCTTAGCATTTCCGGATGCTATGCTGAAGAAAGCAAGATCCAAAGGTTCCCTGAACCTTGACCAGCAAGCCTTTGTTAACTCTACCGTGAAGTGGAGGCACTTGCATAGCCCAAATGGGCGTACATTGGTTCAGATTGGCCGAAACGCGGGGAACGCTTAGGGAGAGTTCTTGTGCAGTAGTTCCCGTCCATTAAAGGAAGACCCTGGCAGAAGTGCGTGAATTTCATAGAAACACAAGACGTTAGGCCGAGCACATCGGTAAGCTGGGGAATGCGGAGAAAAGGTCAGAAACGAAAAACGTGCATCTTCGGCGTTGCGGGGGTTCACACTAACCCCATGCGGACAGGAGGGACGACTCTGAGGCCACGGCAGACGCAATTTGTCTGCGTGATACGTAAATTTCTCCTTCTTCTGATGGGTCAGCTGTGCTTTTGCAGTGCTCGTCAGCGGCCAGTCAAGTTGTGGAAACCGCCGTGCTTCTGCGTATGGTGGTTGCGCCATGATAAAAGTGTCTCCATGGGAGAGCAATGGCCGGCTTTCGACCGTTGCGGGACAGAGCCAGTTCCGTCCTATGCAGCCAACCAGGTTCTGGTCCATATCTAATCTCTCGCCATACGGATCGTTGATCTGGTTTGACGGTTCCCTCTGCTCGCTGACAGCTGCTTCTTTGGGCCAGGCCTTTTGGGAGACGTAGAGCGGGCTGCAGTTGCGTGTGCTGAGCTACTGCATGATTGCGTGGCTTGGGGACTCGGAAAGGATCGATATGGTGATCCCAAGCGCCTGGCACCTCATGCCGCACGCCGATAGATGTTTGGCCGAGACATCGGGGTCGGAAAGTCCCCGAAATTGTGAACCAGGGCTACACACCTTGCTTCGAGTGTATGCCTCGCCATCCGTAGCGATAGGTACTCGCTGAACTATCACGAATGCCTAGGGCTCTACCACTCGCTTGGGCTGCCGGATCTCTTGTCGCAACTGATCTGTAGCAAGCTGGACCTCGATTAGCCGACCTATACCTTGCTTCCAGGTCTCTTCAAGCGCGAGTATCTCCCCTTTAGAGCCTTCTTGAGCGAGCTTCCTTTCTCGGTTGACGCTATCAACCTCCTCTTTAAGTCTGGCAAGTTCGTGGTCCAAACTCTTCAGAATCTGCTCCAGCTGCGAATTGCCCAGCAGCCATGCGTTCTTTCCCCACTCTTCCAAGAGACCGAGGTTGATATGACGGCTCCCCAAATACGTGTTAGAGGCGTAGGCACTCCTCAAAGCCTTGCGCCAGGTGGCTGCATCGTCGTCTGTGGATGGCTCGTCTGGTTCTTCGTACCTGGACATGTCGATGCCGCTTTCTCGAGGTTCGCCAGACTCTACTCGGTACAATTCCTGCGCCATAAGATCGGAGAAGGTTGCATCTCGTTGCGTAGGGAGAGCTGCGTGTGGTTCGCGAGTATTGGTAGCTCGCAGCTCGTTCTCAACGAGAGCCGTAGCTTTGTTGCGTGCGTCTTGCGGAATCTCGCTGTCGATGTCTAAAACGAATTAGTGTCGAGTTGCGCTTGGATTGGCACTGCTCCTACATGGGAGCGAGTCATACGACTCGAGGATGAGAGGCATTTTGGAGGTTGCGTTAAACCTCCAAAGAATCGTGCTAGAAGTTTGACATGCGATAGTCTTCGTAGACGAGACTATGCGCAACCGTATGTGCCGCAATCCAGATTGATTGGCTAGCTTCAGGATGTCACCAAGTCGAATCAGGCACCTGCGCCGACTTGTTAATTTCGTATTGACACTCGATACACCTCGACGACAGCTGGCAGGCGCAGTTACTGGCCTCTGCTGGCAACATTGAAATGAGCCCATCTTAGTGCTGTGCCGGATTCAACGCACGAGATCAGGTTTCAAACACGTTCATGTTACACCAAGGTGATATTTTAATCAGGAGCTTGCGCTCCTCACCAGCCAGATGGCGAAACCAGTTGTGTTGTCCATCATGGCTTTTTTGTTCTTCCTTGGATTGTTAGTTCTGTTGGCTCCCTTCTCTACCACAGAGCTGCTCGGTGTGAAATCCATCGGTAAGGACCTGAATGCTACGGCGTCTTCTGACACAGATGCTGGTGGTGAATACCTGATCGGTGTCGGCAAGGCAGATATTACCGGGTATGCGCACTTTGACCTATGAGCAGTCGGAGAACTGACGTGCCTAGACCTGTAGTTGAGATCAATCTCATGGGATATGCAGATACTGCACAGAGCGGGACGGGCCTCCGGCAACGTTTGTACACGAGAGCATTCATCGTCGCCGATCCCGCCAGTCCGACCGAAAGAGTGGTGTATCTCGTGCTGGATACTCAGTCAGGAGACACCGCAATTCGCTACGGTATATTACAGGGACTAGCTGGACTGGGCCCCGAATACGCGGTATACTCCAGGAGCAATGTCGCAATCACTGGCACACACAGTCATTCTGGCCCAGGAGCTTGGCTGAACTATCTCCTTCCACAGATCACCAGCAACGGATTCAGCAAAGAGAGCTACCAGGCTATCGTCGACGGCTCATTGCTTGCCATCAGACGTGCTCATGAGAAACTCGCCTCCGGTAGTCTGCACTTGGGAATTGCAAAAGTAACCGATGCGAATGTGAACAGGAGTCCGGCAGCATACCTGGAAAATCCGGAATCAGAGCGAGCATCCTACTCGGATGACGTTGACAAAGACTTGACGCTCTTGGAATTTCGAAGTGCCAGTAATGATAAAACGCTCGGGTTCCTTTCGTGGTTCCCCGTTCATGGTACATCACTTTATCAGAATAATACCCTTGTCACTGGTGACAACAAGGGCGTTGCAGCATATCTGATGGAGGAAGCCATGAAAGAATCGACTCCAAACTTCGTGGCTGGCTTTTCTCAGTCTAATGTAGGAGACACATCGCCAAACACGCTGGGCCCTTTCTGTCAAGATACTGGCCTGGCTTGTACTTTCAATGACAGTACATGTGGAGGCAAAACCCAGCCATGCCATGGCCGCGGTCCTATGTTCAGGTCCCTGGACCAGGGTACCAAGTCATGCTTCGACATCGGCAAGCGTCAGTATGAGGCGGCTCGGGGCTTACTCGATAGAGCCGAGCTTCAGAAGATCCCTCCATCAACTGTTTCGTCGTTTCATTTTTTCCAGAACATGTCTAATTTCACATTCACCTCGCCCTTCAACCACTCTGTGCAAGCCAGGACGTGCTCGGCTGCTCTCGGCTACAGCTTTGCAGGAGGAACTACCGATGGACCAGGGGCATTCGATTTCACACAAGGCACGAATGACACAGACGACTCTCCTGCCTTGGATAATCCTGTGTGGAAGGCGGCACGGTTCTTTTTGCATCAACCTTCAGACGCACAGATTGACTGCCAACGCCCCAAGCCCATCTTACTTGATGTAGGCGCCACTACCAAGCCATACCAGTGGACACCCAACATAGTCGACATCCAGCTTTTGCGAATTGGATCACTGATCATGATTATCGCGCCTGGCGAAGCAACAACCATGTCCGGTCGCAGATGGCGGCACGCTATTGAAGAGGCCGCTCCTGATGTACTCAACATTCAGCAACCGCAAGTGGTGATAGGTGGGCCTGCCAACACATACGCACACTACATCGCTACCGAAGAAGAATATCGCTTTCAGCGCTACGAAGGAGCGAGCACTCTTTATGGACGACACACTCTGGCCGCATACGTAAATTTGACCTTACAGCACCTGCCATATCTTGACACGCCCCAGAAGGTCCGTCAGTTGACGCCTCTCAGTCCTGGCCCTGAACCTCCTATCAACATTAACAACTCCCTCTCATTCATCACTGGCGTTGTACAGGACAATCCCCAGCTCCTCAAGAACTTTGGCGATTCTCTTGCGAGCCCTGATCCTGACAAAGTTCATCAAGCAGGCGAGATCGTGAGTGCGAGGTTCATCGGCGCAAACCCGCGCAACAATTTCCGCCTTGAAGGTACATTTGCGGCAGTCGAAAAGCGTAATGAAGCCACAGGGGTATGGGAAGAGGTCCGCAATGACAAAGACTGGTTTCTTGTATATCGTTGGAAGCGTGTGAGCACAATTCTGGGCACCAGCGAAGTCACATTAGATTGGGAGATTGAACCAGGTACCCCGCAAGGTCTGTACAGGATGCACTATTACGGCGATGCAAAGAGTCTGGGCGGTAATATCAAGGCATTCGATGGAACGAGTGGCGTATTCAATGTTGATGGCGGCGGGACTGGTGGAAGCATCGTTGACGAGCTGGTGAAAACATGACTTACGGGGCGATGAGAATTCTCTCGCTCATTGATATCGCACTTGTACGCAGCGAAATGGTTGGCAGGAGTTGGAATTCGGAATGACAGAAGAGATACCCAAACAATGATGATCGGACAAGGCCATAGAATAATGTGATAGTATTTCATTCGAGAAACATGCTTGTTTTGGTACAATCGTACAGAACATGGCAGATACAGCCGTTCGCTGACGCCGGGTATCGTTTAGTCGCTAATCAACCTCCACTGACTTCCACCCTCCCACGTCCGTTCCACAGATGAGGTCTTAGTATCGCCCATTACTCTCTTCACAACCTCGTCTGTTCGGACCTGGCGCTTTGCGCTTCCTCAAACCCTCGCCAGGCGCTCGTTGCTTCAGTACTTCTGCGTCATGTGCCCGTTGGGAGCGACCGTGGTCTTCGGGCGCGCAGGAGTGCCGTACTTCGAGATGATCCAGAACGCGTGAAGGACACCGGGGATCCAGCCGAGGATTGACAGGCAGATGTTGATGAGAAAGTCGGCGGCACAGCCTCGCTTCAGGAAGACGGAGACGGGCGGGAGGAAAATCGCCATGAAATAGAGCAGGACATCGCCTGTAGAGGAAGGGGCGTTGCGGGCCATTATGTATGTGTGGATATGTTTGTGGTGTGGGTGGTCGGACTTTTGAGGTGAGTCGCTGAGGTCGAGTGTTGTGGTGGTCTGATATAATATACACAGGCAAGCTGGTAAGGAGTGTATTAAGGTGAATGCGAAATCAACTCAAGGAAGCGGCCTCAAGATATATATCTTTCATGAGCTACCCGTCCCTGCAAAACAATCATCCACAGCCAACCTTATCTCATCAATTGCCCTTTTCTTGCCATCTACAACCGCCTACCACCTTCGCCCCGAGACCACGCACAAGAAGTTCAGGAAAGAGCCTCAAGCCAGCTGTGGCGTCATGCAACGTCATCCCCAGGCTCAGAATCCAGAAAACCAAGCCTCCATCCCTCCACCCCCGGCAGGCCGGCAAGCCACTCGTTTTCCTTATCACCAACCCGACGCCGGTGTCAGCAGAGAAATGAACGCGTAAGCTGGGGACTCTTGTGGGGGTGCTAAAGTCAAAGGGTGACAAGGCTCGCGGTAGAATGTATGGCAATGGAAACGTGATGGTCGAGCTGCTGCCGAGAGTGCCGGCCGAGGAGCCGATTTTGCAACGGCCCAGACTTCAGGTGGCTTAGCCACCGGGAAGGCGGTGCTATTCCACGCTGTGGCGCAGTGCTGTGAAACTTTGAACGGCGCGCGCCGACCGATGAGAGTCTTCGTTCACGCCCCACAACCCTACAACAGAAGAGCTTCGGCAGCACTACAATTCGTGAAATAATTACACACGTGAGTGCAGAGCTCGGGTTCCAATAACATTTAGCCTTCTCAGCTTCAGCACAGTTGAAAGCTATCGTGCGTCTACGGTGAATTTTGGTAGTGGATTGCGGCTCTTAAACGGGACCAGACTGACGAAGCCTGTTGTTCTCAACCAGAACCTCCTCCGTTTGCAGGTCTTGAATCAATTTTCGACGACGCTCACGCACTTTGCCCTTCCTTGGATCTGGTGGCGGCGAGTACTCAAAACCGCCATTCGTATCAAAGTCCTTTCGCGCAACGGTACCGTCTTCATCCAGCCTCGCTTGGCACCTGCGATTGCCCAGCGTTGGATTCTCCGCTTCTTCATCACTTGTGCCTTGCAGAATCTGATTCGCCGAGGTCTTATGCAAAGGTCCGTGGCGGTCTTGATAGATTTTGAACTCTTCTTTTGTCAGATCCTCTCCATCGCTTGGCTCCTTGACTCGAAATCCCTGGCCTGTCTCGACGGGGAAGAGTCTCGCGACATGCTCAGGTTGATCGATGGGATTTCTTTCGAAATAGTCAGGTATGAACGACAGTTGAGATGAAGCAGACGCGGTGGGTGTCATCAGCTCCACATGACTGCGTGATGACGAAGACGAAGAGCCAGCAGCCGTTGAGTCATCATAAAGAGCCCTCCCCCACCCGCGGCTGATGCTCTGCAACGATTGACTCTCAGCGTCGTTCGAGGACACACGATTCCTTATCTCGCTCGGATTCCATCTCTGGTCCGCTTCCCGAACGGGTGAGGGACTGTCATCGGATCTCTTCCTGAGACGGCCTCTCGATTCGAATAAGATATCGTCGTCTTCGTCGCACGATAGCATAATTGATGGACATGCTCATATTTGCGTGTGAATATGGTCATAGGCGGGTTGATGGCTCGGTTTAACATGACCGCAAGCTGAATATGAGGGAAGGCGCGTCCCAACACAATTGTGTCACATGACAGCGAAGCAAGACCATCTTGTGCGACAAAGTCGATCGTTCTCGTATGTCCAACAATCCTGCGTTACATGCCGGTTCCCCGTCCCAGTCCCGGACCGTTTTTAAGGCGTTGGACTGCAGGCGCATTGTCCCTGCAGAAGCCACCATCCCACGAAAGCCGCAAAACTGTATGTCTGAGCCTGTACGTGGCTATTTCTCATCAGGCAAGCATCACCTGTAATCCGAATGCTGATCCATGTCATGCTGCCAGCCATCGTGTGCTGCCTAGCCTGTAAGAAATCTTGGGCATCACTGCATGCCTTCGATCGGCGCAGATCGCCAGTGTACATTTTTGTGCAGATCATCTAGCCGAGCGTTGATCCCGGGCTCAGCCGCGAATACATCAGATCGAAAAGGTCTGGAAGAACTGGATCAAATTGTTGACCTGGGCCATGCTCGTTTCGTCATATCTGTCAAGCCCTGAGGGTTGGGCAGCATTTAGCAATCCGAACGGATCTTGATTGGCAAGGCTACCGGCGTGAAAATTGACCAGACCCTGCAGCATACTCCTCGCAAGACAGTTGTACTCGGGCGCGTATCTGTAAAATCCGATGCGTTTCCACAGGTCGTCAGTACTCGTGAACTCCGTAGTGAGCAAAGGAGTGATAGACCAGGTGTATCTCCAGACTCGGTCCCAGTTGTCCGCACCGTTTTGTACAGGCGTCAATTGAGGACTAAAGCCAAAAGAACTCTGATGCTGACTGAAAAGTACAGAATGAAATGCTGTGGGCGTCAGTATTGAGGTGGTGGAGGCCTTCCCCAGGCTAAGTCAATGGTACTGACCTGTTGTAAGGCTGAAGAGATTCAGGGGTCCTACTCTTGCAAAAGTCATGCATGCATCCTCGCTCAGCTGTTGTTGACAGATAGCTGTCAATACTGTGTTGAATGACGCCTTCGCGAGCGGCAGCAACATCCATAGCTGCATTTCAACGTAGCACTCGTCAGCGCTTTCGGCTTGGAAACATTCTTCGGAGCAGCAAAGATTCAGCTTCATTTCCCCGGCGGTCATTCTGGGGGGAAGATTGTTGAACATTACGAATGCAATATCCTGTAGGAAGACAAAATACATTGTACTGTTGTCGTGAGTAGTTGAGTAGTGGGGTCAGTGGTAACCATTCCTACCGTATGCGTTCTTCTCTTACAGTAAAGCTGTACCAGTCGAACTCTTTGCTCGCAAACATGGTGTATTCTGGATGAACTGCAGCTGAGATGACCAAATCTCTTGCGAGCTTACAGACGTGTCAGTTGCAGAACCCATCAGTGCTCTCGTCGGATTGACACTCACAGCGACAACAATGCTATATCGGAACCGTCGTACCCTCTTCTTGGCAAGCTCATCGCCTTCCCAATTCTGGTAGACACAAGCCAGGTACGAGGCTTGTAGTAGTTGGGTCATTCTATGCTCCTTTTGGGTAGAAGCTTCAGTTTCCTGACCAGTGTTGACAAGCGCGGTCGTGATATACGTCGCATCAGCGAAGACAATCTCCTCCACGGCGTTGATCCAGGCACGAGCTGCGGCGTTGTGGGAGTGGTCAGGCGACAAGCACGCCCCTTTAAGACAGCATTAGACCCATTCTGTGCGTGCTTTCGAGTGAGCTTACCAAAAAGCATCAGCACGGCCAGTAGTGACTCTAGAGCTTGTGCTGGATCAAAGCTGGGCTTATGAATGATCGGGCAGTGTGGATAATAGCCGGCGAAGTATAAGTTCAAGAAATTGCAACAGTTTGCTGGGGAGAAGAACTTAGCACATCTCTTTTCCACTTGGGGTGACCAGCTATGCTCCACAATACTGCTCCTACTCTTCTGAGTCGCTACTTCTCGGATTCTGGCCACAATCCGGAGACAAGGAGTGTGGAGGCTTCCCCACGAAGTGACGTGTTCGGAGTCAGCTGCCTCGAAAGACGTGGCCTTGTATTCCGGAAACAGCGCGCTAGACTTTTTGCTTGTAAATGAAGGCATACGAGTTGGGACAGTCTGTGCTGTTCTTAGCTCAGCTTCCGAGATATCTGAAGCTAGACTATCAGTATTCCAAGGCCACGAAAGATGTACCGGTACGCTCGTTGGTGCGGCTTTCTGGCGCTGACTGTGGGAGCCGGATGTAGCAGCTGACGGCGTGGTTCTGCTTCGGTGCTGCCGTTCAATGGGGTGGCCATCATCTCCACACAAAATCTGCCATCTCTCTTCCTCCGTACAGCATTCGAAGGTGCTCAGCAGTCCAGTGGTACTTGTGACATTGGCCAGAAAGCGAAGGGAAGAGCCACTCTTCGCGATATCATCCTGTGCAGCCCCAATGCTTGTAGAGTTGCCGATAGCTGGAAACCATAAGTTCTCAGCTGACGTCGGCTCAGGCAATTGATGCTCTGGTCTGAGGAACGTGGCCTCGTGTACCGGAACCTCATTTGGAATAAACACCGTCTGGGCAACCCGAGCAGATGCATTGTTGGAGCTCGCTGGATTGCGCACGTTCCGCGGCAGTTCGACGCTATTTGTGCTGGTCGTAAGCTGCTCGGCGACAGTGTCTGCCACGTTCAACATTGACGGACTTGACCGGCCGTCAATGTCCTTCCCTGTTTTTCTGGCGCTCCTGGTGTAGGTGCAAGTAGCGAGCTTCGATCTGCAGGGGGTACACGGTATGCCCTTGTCGCATGCTCGCTTTAGACGGAAGCATCGATCACAGGCTGTTGGAGCTGGCCCCTGAGACTCACTATCAGTGTCACTTCCTTCGGCCACGCTCTGCCTTGCCTGGCAGGTTCGCTTGTGACGCTTAAGAACGTCGCTGTTGCGATGCAATGCTTAGCACACTGATCTGCGAAGCTTTTCTGAGCGACTTACGACCGACTAAACGGCTTTGAGCAGTACCGGCAGTGCAATTCGCCCACCCTAGTATCTGGCAATTCTGATCAGCATGTCTATCTCTTGCAGCAACCGCAGGGTACCCACGTGAGGCTGCTACATGCCTTCGGAGATGATACTGTCTCGAGAAGGCCTTTGAACAGAAGGTACACATAAATCGAGATTCTGACGACTGCATCGTGAGTTGAATTTCGAGTTGGGTCGCTCGATCGCAGCCTTTCTTTCCCCCCTGAAGTGTTGACACAAAGGAGGACATCCTCCAGATAGACGAGGCTTCTTCACAACCCCACAATGCCGAGGCTTCCATCCCTAGGTCTGATCCATCGTGCGAAGTGCTCGGTAACCGGAAGATCCACGACCAGCCCCACGTCTACGACAAACATCAAGACTGGCGAGGTCCAACCGAGGCCGCTAGTCTGAACTTTACTGCCATTAGACTCGGTTACACACGAAGAGCGCTTGGGAGGTTTGTGGAAGGTGGGGCGGATGTCTGGGGAAACATACCTGATTCGAAGGCCCCTAAAGCGCTGAACTTCAGGCGACAGTGAGTGGCAATGCTCACAAGCTGAACATTGATGCTGTCGTAGGCTATGAGCTGATGAGTCGCATGTCAAACGAAAATGTTTGCGTACCGGAGATGAGTTCACAACACCGGATCTGTCGATCTGAAGCAGCCGATCATTCACTTTCGCAGACCGAGCGATGAAGCAATAACAGGGCTAGCTGATGCGGAGCACCACGTCGCGTCTAGACAGCAGGGTCGTAGCTCTCACAGGCTATCGTATGGTCCTTTTCCAACTTGGAGAAGCCGCTCATCTTTCTCGACTACATATGCTGAAGCGGCATCGTTGAATTGACGGCGACATGATGCGCGGCAGGTCTGCAGATGAACATCTAACAGGATCTGCGGTTCGAGCCGCATTGAGCCTCGGCGGCTCCTGCGACAACTCGGCGTGCCGGGCGAGCCTGCGTTACGGAGGGTGTATTTGGAGAGGGATAACCCGATCCCGACGCTCGCTCTAGACCAGAGGAGTTGGAGATCTTGACGTACTGTAATGGTTCACAGAATGCTTGTATCAACGAACGGCAAGCGAAAAAGAGCTCACAACTGAACTAGAATGGGTCGAATCCGGCCGGCGCCGCTACGTGACTATCCCTGCTAGCGGCGCGCCAAGATCGTCGATGTCGAGGTTTCGACATGCACAAGCAATGGAGACCATTGTTGCCAGGCACCGCGCTGAAGAAATAACCACTGTCCTCTCCGCACCGCCATCCAAGGAAGTCAGCTTAGACTGAACGCAAGCCCACACCATCTTCCTCCAGCTATCGCTGGGCACTCACGACACCGCCATCATTGTCATTTCTATTCACCCTTACTCTTTCCCCAACTGCCCTGGCTGTACTGCATTCGCACTCACCATTACAGACGTATACCAAAGTCGCGAATCGGTTAACGCAAAGCGGCTGATTGCGGAAGTGGATCGTGTCCTGGAACACTCGTAGTTAAAGGACTCTATCGGCTCGGCCAACAGACACCTACGCATGACCAAAAAATCTTTTGCGGTCGCCCAACGCATCGCAGCGAACGAAAGCCACCACTGTTCTACGTGTCTCCCTGAGAGAACTCGCACATCGCCAGTGACCATTAATCCATAGCGCAAGGCCCGTCTATGAAACCGCAACGGAGGAGTTTTTCTTCTCGCATATTTGGCCAGAACCTTGGGGCAGAAGTCCCGTCGCTCTCTTCGGTGACTCGTATTGTTCAGCCACCAAGTTCTCCAGACAACCAAGGGCGTGCTGTCTCCACCAGCCGTTTCAAAATCAAATACGGATCCGTTGGACGAGACAGAAAGTCGGCTCGTTGGCGACCATGCGGCCGTCCGTGGGCCGTGCCGAACTGAGAATTGAGCGTTTACACGCCGGTGACATTACCTGTGATGTGATAAGTCAGCCTTACGATCAGCCCTCGTCTTTGGCTTTGGGATGGCGCACTGCTTTCGACCGTGGCAAGGCTGTGGGCTCTGTGGGAAATAGCAATCACCTCTCGACCGACCCTCGGTCTCTTAGCCTCATATGTGCGGAGCAAAGTCTATTCCAGAAGTGAATGCCAGTGTTCGTCTGCAACGTCGTCAGCACCAAAAAATTGTGGAGGACTGTATACAGTGTAGTGCAGGTCGTCTGCCAATTGTTTGGATGCGTCATATGCACGTAGAACACAGCAACATGAATCTTTTATGGTTGGTGTATTGCCTTGCAAGCCAGGCGGTCTCTCTCTGTCGTTGCATGCTTTCCAGCCAGGTTAATGAGTGAGCTGCGGTCTACGGCTCAATCAAAGCCACCCGTCGCGAATATGTGTACCAGGTTGTGACGAGTCATGATAGCCTGCAACCACTTGAGGGTCGAGCACCGAGTCCAGCATAGAAATGATATGCTGACTGGCTCCGTCAGGTTTGCAAGGGGGTGTAGGTGTGCCAACCAATCCGTCTCCAAGGAAGTTCTCAAATGCCTACAGACTTGCCCCTGCTAAAATCGACGCTCACGTGAACGCTGATTCATGGAGCGTGGCTCACAACAAACGCTGCGTGTGCCTATATAACGCGTGCTCCTGATATTGCCCCCGGGCTGTACCACCTCTCACCCTCTCCTCCGCCTGCCCTTCATATATTGCAAGTCGATCTTTACCTCGAAACAATCTAGCCTTCCAGCTACGACCTCTTCCAAATCAGCAGCATGAGCATCGACATCATAGTCGCCATCGTCGTGGGTGTCTTCACTTGCATTGCTCCTTCGATCGCGACATTCGTCCAGAATTTATGGAAGTCAAAGTCACATACCCCCGACCAGGGCAGCACACATACGACCAATGTTCTCATCGTGTTGCGATCGGTATGAAGCCACCCAGACAACACATCGAATGACGCTCTCTCACTTGAGACTTGAGCATGCTACACAGTCAATGGCATATCAATGGTAGAGGTGGCCAAGTACCTAGAGATGAAACAGGCCCGCTGGAAATTCACGATGGCGGACCTGTTCGTTATTTTGCTATTATGTTGGTTTGCAGAGTCGTACCAAGCCGGCGTGGCCAACAGCAGGGCTGTGAACTCCGCTGGCGAGCAGGGATCTTCGGCTTTCGAATATGTTTTATATCCTGATGTATCCTCATAGCTTGAGAACTTCCCGTAGCCTCTCCTGCTCCCTCTCGAAGAAGCCCTTCACCGTCTGAAGCTCGATGCCAAAGCTCCTCACCCTTTCGATATCGGCGGTTGGGGGATTATCAATCTGAAAGAGCTCGCTGTCGACTTTGACATCGTTGTCTTTCTTCTTCCTCGCCTCATCCAGTGGTTTTATGTCCATGACGATACTGACGTCCTTGCCCGTCTTCCCCTTCGCCACCTCCTCCAACCTCGCCAACACCTCTCCAAGCGTCAAATACTCATTCGCTAACTCCAGCGTCTGGCCCCACAACGCACGCAGCCCGCCATTGTCCTCCCGCAACAAAGCCCTCGCTGCAAACTTTCCCGTATCATCTGGGTCCACCCAATAATGGCGGAAGTCGCGCGGAAACAACGTGGCAATTCGATGCTCGCCCAGCTGCGGCCACACGAATCCCACCAACGGCGGCAACCAGTTGGTCAGGAATACCGCTGGCTGCAGCACCGTCCAGTCCCAGCCATGCTTCTCTGCCTCGCGTTGAAGAGCCATTTCATTGTTGAACTTGTTTTCGAACCACGCGTAGCGAAATGTGCCCGGACTGACATTCTTCAAGGCACCGGGCACAGAGGGATCCTTGGCTCCGGCCCCGGAGGCATAGACGACCCTTTTCATGGTGGGCACGGCGGCCAGTGCGGTCAGGATGTTCTGCATATGTTTCTGCTCGATGGTAAAGTCGCTGAAGACCATGGAAACGTTGATGAAGGCGGCGGTGGTGTTGGCAGCAGCAGCAGAGAGGCTGGCAGGCGAGTCGAAGTCGCCGGGGAAAAGCCGGATGTTGGGACTGAGGGTTTGTAGGTTCTTTGATTTTGGTGAGTCAGGGTCTCGGACGAGGGCATGGATAGTGGTGGATGGTGACAGGGCCAGAAGGCCACGGATGGTTGCACTGCCCTGGTTGCCAGTGGCTCCAAAAATGAGGACGGTGTCTTCAGAAGACAACATGTTGGTGTTGGTATGATTGTAGAAGCAGTTAAGCAGACGGTAAGAACCAGTAGCAGCAGCCAGAAAACCCTTCTATGTACAACGGCCTTTTCAGCCTATTGGATGGTCTGAACTTGTAACTTGTTGCTGCTGCATTTGCAGCGTGTTACGTGGGCGGCCGTATCACCCTATATACCGTTTGGAGGGCAGGGTCAAAAATGACCGAATGCTTAGTTATCGCCCCACCTCAGCCAAAACCTTCCGAAGTCCTAGGAATCGAATTATCTGCCACATCGATCTGAGAGCGCGGTGAGAGCGTGACATGTAGCGTCAGTCGTTCTTTAGCCTGTAAGCTTGGGTGCGGTCCGTGTTAATTTGGTGAGTTGATGCCATTTCAGGGAAGATTAGGCGGTCTTGTGCTTTTCTTTGAGAGTGTTGAGCTTAAACTTCAGAGTGAACTATTCGTTCCGTTAGACATACACGAGATAAACGGAGAAACATGCGGGGGGTTCAGAGAGACCAGAGGAGCCAGAGACAGTTTGGGTTTCGAAGGTCCGCAACCTGGCGAGCACAGCTGGCCGCGCCTTCCAAAGTGAATTCAGGACTTACAAAAACATCAAACACACTGCTCCACAGCCATCCACCAGACAAGAACCAGACACGGCCACTCTGACCACCAGCCCAGATCCATTTCTTTCGCGCATCGCGGAGAAACCATCGCCAGGGCCACGGACCGCCTCCGGGAAGAATTTGTGGCAACACATCCTTGGCGTATTGGTCTGGAGTGATTCCCACTGATGCCGAGTGCTTCTGCCGCTCCTGGTAGACATCCTCGAGCTGTGAGTAGTAGCTGTCTGGAGGAAGGCTCCGGGTGACATGCTTCGTCAGCTGCGAAGCCACTCCGCCCGTAACAACTGTAATGACCTTGACATCGAAAGGAGCGAGCTCGACGCGGAGGGTGTTAGCATATTGATGCAGAGCCGCTTTCGATGCATTGTAACCGGCTCCGAACACATAAGGTATGACACCCGCTAGACTACCTATCATAACGATAGTACCTTTGGCCTGCATGAGCAGTGGTGTAAATGTTTGGCAGAGAGCCATGACGGCGAAGACGTTCGTATCGAATATTTGACGGACCTCGCTGATGTTCATATCAAGGGCAGCAACTGTGTAGCTGACACCTGCGTTATTGATGAACATATCAAGACCTCGTCCATTGGTGGCGGAGCGAGTATGTTTGAAGCACGACGCGATGGATTCATCGTTCGTTACTTCGAGTGGAACCGTTTGAATGCCTATAGCGTCCAAAGCAGCAATAGCGTCGGTAGAGCGAGCTGTGGCGATGACTTTCCAGCCTCGCTCATGCAAGGCAACAGCCAAAGCGTAGCCGATACCCCCGGGTGAGCATCTGAATTCGTTAGGCAGCCCAGTTGTGTGTATCGCAAGCTGTGCTTACCCGGTAATAAGAACAGATTTCGGCACCGTGGCAGAAGCCATCCCTTCCGAGCACCTCTACGAGTTCTCCAGCGATTATAGTCTTGCGCTTCGCCTTACTGTCTGTATCACTTGGATCTGCACTTGCTATGCGGCACGGATCAGGGGAGCTCCAGATTGAGTTACTTTCTCTCGGCGTCTTGACACCCTTCGGGGTGAGGTTTATCCGCCGCCCGGGTCCCGTGCTACCCTGCACCCCTTGAGACGAACAGTATCGAGCATATAACGGAGCAAGACGAACAAGCAAAGAACATCTTCGAGCAAATGGCTAACTGATACTTCCGTAAAGCGCCGCTTCTCTTATGGCACGATGCGTAGACGACGCATCCTGCGCAGGTACGCCTCTTCTTCCCCATGTTGTTCACCAGGCCGCAACAGGAACGAACGTTGATCCCCCGAACAACACAGCTACCACATCCCCAACTTTTGGACCGGTATATGGCTTCCACATCAGCCTGTTCTCTGTGCGGTACTAATTCTGGAAAGCTTTCTGGATGAGATAGGCCAGCTCGTAACAGTAGTCATTACGATCAGCTAATCCTTGTGCGCCAAACGCGTCCTGTGCTTTTGCAGCCTGGAGATTGGTAGGTAGCTGCCAGATACCTGTTGTTGGAGATTTAGTTGCGTTAGAAGCTGTAGTCTATATCCCGGAAGCAGTTCTGATGATAAGTACATTATCAGATGCAAACCCCGAATCTGGCCATCGAAATGACCTCGTTCAAAGACCTTGGCATCACTCTGATGGGGTCTTCGCCTCTACTGTGACGTAGCCACCCCGCGCTGATTCTTCGGGTCCCCTGCCGATCCCTCTAAGCATTACAGGCGCTCTTGCACAGGGGTTGTGAGCTCTTGAAATAGCGCAGCGGAGTCCGCGACGTCTGCAGCTCATTCTCCTATCTCGAGTATTCCCCAACACTACCGTTGCCATCACCCCTCCATCTGATTGCTCACTGCTGGCATCATGGTCACTACCGGATCCTCGAAGTCCTCGTCCATTGTGTCTGAGACACCGCCCTCGGCAGACACTGTCGAGAAGTTTATTTCTTTGCTGTCACAATCATTCGGCAAGGTACCGCTGACTACGGCTTTCATCACCGAAATTGATGGCGTCAAGGCCGATACCAGTCCCTCCGCACTGACGCCCGATCGCTTGCACAAGCACTTTTCGCTGGGCATCCCGGCAGCGGCAAAGGCCAATATTCTACTACTGCACGATGCTGACTTCAAAGCCGCTGCTCTGATTGAGCCTCCCGATTTCTGCGGGATTCCACCTGGGCAAGCCCGCCGCGATCCAGGGCCTGTCCTTAGCGAATGGCGCTCAACCGCGCGGCTGCTCAAGTCAAAGTATCTTGCACTGCCTGACTCGGGGCCTCGAAGCTGGGACACCCCAGCCGCGCCCTCGCAGTCCAGTGGTGGGCCGGCAGAGGACCCCTACCCGGCCAATTTCAACAAAGACGCCGCGGTGGAAGTACGGCCATGTTATCACATTGCAATTGTGGCGAAGGATCCTTCCCTGAGCGCAGCTCAGCAGGAAACCGCGTCAAAGGCCATTCTTGAGCATGTTTTGGACAAAGCGAAGCAGGAGGCAGTTCCGGCTTGGGCAGAAGCGAGTCTGCCCGACAAGAAACAAGAGTATGAGCGTGTGGGCTTCAGAGTAGTTGAGGAGGTTGTGGTTGGTAAGGGAAAAGTGAACGAGGCAGGATGGCCTTCCAACGGCGGTGCTGGTGTGAAATGCTGGGGCTTGATATATGATCAACACCTGCAATGACCGGTTGAGAAGCAGCCCTTGAAGCATTGTAGATAAGCAGTACACTGGAGCTGGAATATCTGGAGACCTTGGTTCAGGCCATCTTAGCTACACAATACCAGCTTCAACTTTGGGGTACCCCAATCTGCATGTGTCACCTCATGGAGCCTGAGGCGAACTTGATCCTACTCTCCAGCTATTGCATGCTGATCCAAGATAGACGAAATACTACCGCTTATGGCGTGGTACGGGCCTACGTTCCCAACATCGCGCAAGGCGTTGGATCTTGCATTGGATGAATACAATCCACATTTCATCTACGTACTGTACGGTAACCGACCAATAGCACTTGTACTTTCTGCTGATGCCGGAGTTTTTCCGATCTATTCGAACCCTCACTTTCGAGCGCTCTACAATGCATGAACGCCACCAGGTGCGCCGTGGAGAATGGTCGTGGGACTCACGAAGAGTCCTGAACACGCGTAATATGCCATTATGGTTGTGTGGAAATGCACTCACACGGCTTGAAAGGGCGCTTCACGCCAATGACCTCGGAAAGTCTAATCCGTGCTGACAATGGAGAGTAATATTGAGCCCCTTGAATCAGAGTGAATGTGTAGTTAGTCCCTCAAAGTCTCCTCGGACCGGGTTCCATCCCGCGACCTCGAATTATGGGCGCGTGGTGGTGCTTGAAAGTGGGTGTATTAACAGGCAGTGGATATAGCGCTAGTCCTCATTGGGAATACCTCAGTCGCCTGCCATCAGCGTACCGTCCCTTGCTCCCAGCCGAATGCCGACCGCAGAGCTATCATAGCAGGATGAGGGAGATGACAGTCGGTGGGATGAGCCTGTTGGGCTATGTAAGAGAGAGCATGTCTCCCAGGGACACTGTAGAACGGGCTTAGGCCCTTGCCAAAAGATACACATCATCATCGCTATGGAAATGAAGTCGACACGGTCAAGCTTGGCTGACGGCGGTAAAAGAATGGAAGGCTCATCGAAATGAGGAGTTTGGTCAATTTCGGGTTCGGGCATGCTGAGCTTTCATTAGGGTAGAGCCGGAGTTGTTAAGAGCTGTTTATTGTTGGTAAACCAACAGCGTTTACCAACACTTAACAACCATCCCTCGTATTGCAAGATTGTGTTCTGAGTTTCAAACATGATGTTTTCAGCTCCTCCGGAAAGGTACTTCCCCTTTGCTAGGTCGGCCCACCGATGGCATGGGCATGTTAATTGGATCTGGGGAGTTCAAAAGGCGGGCATCAGCGCCCCACTTGTGAGGTAGTGAATCAGCCATAGTTGTAGTGGTGGCAGTCTGTGAAAAACTGTGGCTGGTGATTGCGTTGCTGGTGTCGATGGGTGCTCATGTCTTCAAATTCACTGCGGGTGGGGAGGACAAAAGTCGAGCATGTTGTCGGCCCAGGAGCTAATGAAGCATTGTCGGTCATCTTGATTGCAACTCTCGATTCACCGCGTACTCTATTTACGTAGCAGGACGGTTATGAGCGGACGTGAATAGTAATTTTGAGACCTTGGGGAAGAAGAGTGGAAGAGAAGGAGGACGGCCGATGGCACAAGATATAGCAATTGTCTCGCGGAGCTGCGCACAAGCGCCCGAGGCGCAGCTAAGCATTCTTGAAAGGGTAATTTATGGCTTCAGCCTCCGTTGGCCACGTTTGACGAACAGTGACTGAGATTAAATTGCTAGCTAATGCATCATTCGTGACACCTCTGAGCCCGTCGTGATCTCAACGAGGCACAGCTGAAGCCTCTAGTTCCTGGCCATGGTAGAGGTAATCGACAACCAGCAAGGTCGAGCAAGAGCCTTTCCAGAGCAGAGCAGGCCGAGGTAGAAACGCTACTAGCTATCAGGGCCTCGATACTCAGAGCAGCGCACTGTGGAACTCTTCGAAGAGGTCGTGATACATTTCGTCTTCAACTGTTCCGTCACTGTAGGAGGAGCCGTCGTCCAGTTCCATTTCCGTGTCATTATCGGTCTCCCTTTCTGGGCTTTCAGGCTCTTCCATATCCGGCACAGCCAATCCAGAGGGCTGTCTGAGAACGCTGTTGCGATTGGCTGGGACAGCTGCGATGGTCTGTACTGCTCTGTCGACCATGCTTGCAAAGCCGTGTCCACTCTGGAGTCTGATGCTCCTTCCACAAGCTAGTAGGACTTGAAGCTCATCGATACGGTGTAGGTGGGCTGACGGTATGGTGTTCGAGCCGTAGGAATTCCGTAGCTCCTGGATTCTCCCCTTGATGGTATGCTCGCTTACCGAAGTATTTGCGGCGTTTGCGAGAGCACTGCGAATTGCGTTCAGCTGTTGTGCCCGTCGGCGTCGTTGGCGTTGTCGGAGGTAAATGATGATACTGCTGAGATGTTTCTTTGATAAGCGTGCAGTGCTCTCACACTGCGCTCTGAAGTCTGCCAATTCGCCTTCGGAAGGCTCAACCTCAAATATCTCAGCAGGGGATTCTGGTGAGATTATATTGACCAGCCCCTCGTCAGCAGGGGTTGAAATAGCCTGCGCCCAAGCACCATGAATCCGAAATGGGCAGCAGAATCGTGCAAGGGACCGAGCTCGTTCCCATTCAAAGATGATCGCGGCAGCGATGCCTCCATCAGACATCCAATAAGTGTCCAGGTGGGTCGATCTGTACCTCAAAATCTCGTCTGAATCCGGCATCGGTCGTGGGTGCGTGAAGCTGTCGCCAGTGTGGTGTCCCGCCAGTCGCCGCGAAAGCTCTTGATAATGGGCAACAGTCGCCTGCTGCAGATCATTAGACTGAAGGTGGCGTAGCCCAGGGTAGAGAAGTCTGATACCGGCGACTTGGTCTTCCAACGCGGGGCCCAGAATACGCATGAGCGTGTCATTTCTTTGTTGCTGGCTCCACGACGGACTGTCAGTACTGTAGTCGTCACTGGCATACGCAGCGTTCGGCATAGCATGGCAGGCTTTCAGAATCCTATATTGCCGTTGTCTTACAGGGCTTCAGAGGAAGTTGTCGCATAGGTACCTAGATAAATAGAGTAATGGGGGAACCAAAGGTATCATTTCATCGCTGGAACTTCATGGATGTGCTAAATATCGTTTGGATGGTGATTCGAGGGTGTGTCTCATAACGGTGTGACGCGCTATCGTTTGGCTCTAGATTGGTCCTTGAAAGCCTCCAAAGGCCTACTCGCAGATAATTTGACGACGCACGACTTTTGGTCTACCAAGCCCACATGAGCTTGTGACTCAACACCCGCTCCGCCAGTCTCTCGTACAGCATAGGACTGACCCAACTGTCATTGGTACGACTCATGCGACCGAAAACGGCACCACCCTTCCAGACAACCACTTGAGCGTCCAACTCTCGTGGCGGTTTCAGAACGTTGATATCCCGCCCGTACCCAGGCATTTGACCTTGTAGAATCTCTTCTAGATGCGACGATAGCCCGGGTGTGATGGAGGCACCGCCGACAAGAGTGATCGATTGCAAGAACTCACGAGTTCGTTGAGGCGAGCCTCTTGCCGCGTGGTTGACCGATGCCATGACCGCAGCGAAAAGCGGATACACCGGCAGTATGTCATCGCGTCGCTCAATGGAAAGCGGCTCCTCAACTTCTTCCTCCTCCTTAGGTTTTACCACCATCGTATCAAGCGGGTTGGGCAGGGGTGTCCCTGGTTCGTCTGGTTGTGGGGTTCCGCCGGCTTCAATTTGACGAACGGGTGAGCTTGCTTGAGAGGCTTGGGGAGTTCCGTCTGCTCCATCTCCATTAAGGTTTGGCAAGTGAGATACAGACGGCCGCCGTGAGTCGGTTCCGCTGACACCGCCCACATGGCCGTTAGTTGACAATCCGTTCGGTTTGGCCTTTGTGATTGAGAGGATCTCCTCAGGCGCTATAGCAGTGAGGATCTCAGCTTGGGCAGTGCTTGTTGGATCATTTGGTTTGCCATCGTAGATGTCATAAGATCTGTCGATGAGTTTATGTCGATCTTTCAGTTTACCAGTCATGTCGAACATCTCCGGCCTCAAAAGTGAAAGGACCGGCAGGATGGCTTCATCGTAGATCTTGCAGGTATATTTTCGGGTCTCTTGGTTTGGCGCTCGTAGATGAAAATCATACATCTGAACAGAGATATCGGCTTCCGTCATGGTTAGAAGCTTCTGCTTCAGCTCTTCTGCCAGCAAATAGTCGTATCGCCGTTTGAGGTTGATATCCGCATACGGAAAGTGATTGTAGATCATCATTTTCACGAAAAGATTGGTGATGTCTTGTCCGCCCATCTTCAAGTTGACTCGCGAGTTCTCAACGATCATGCCATCTTCGACGCATGAGATTGACGTCTTCTGGTGGCCAATGTCTACGATGCAGGCTGTCATCATTCCACAGCCGAAGGACGCTGCCAGACTTTCCTGGATGAAGGACACCTTCGAGAAACTGAAGATGGTCAATGCCATATCCAGTAGCGTAGTCACATAGGTTCTCTCGTAGTAATCTGGAATGGCGATCACACAGCTGTACTGATTAAGATCCCCCGGTTGGACCCCCAGCTGTGATCGTATGGCTTCTTGTATGATGATTCTGATGTCTTCCCATAGGAATCTTGCTGATGAATAGTCTGCTTCGTTGACCCACCCATGCCGGATGGGCCAATATAACCTGTAGCGAGGAGTAGATTCATCCGGGATGCGGAGCGCATCCATGCCGGTAACAAACTCTGGCTTCGAAGATACGTCTGTCCATTCGATTCTCATGGTATCATTCATATCGGTGATCGTGTCGTATGTATGTCGGCGATTGTGGCTGGTCACCATGTCTCTAGACTGTGGGAGGACTTTTCTCTTGTTTGCTCTCATGCGGACTTTGAGGTCGTTAGACATGCCGGTGAACTTCTTTGCGAAATCTTCGCCAAAGCGCTTCTCAGGCTCATTCGGTACGAGGCCATTGTCAAGCTTGACGCGTTTCGGTGCAGGTTCTCCATCCTCATCTTCGGCTTCGGACGCAGCGGCACGTCTTGCAATAACCATGGGGACCGTCTTCGGGAGGGCATCACTGGCTAGTCCGACACGGAGATTCTGGCTGCCTAGATGGAGCACGATACATTTCGAGCCATTGGAGGCTTCGTCTTCATCCTCATCTTGTTCTTGATCATCGTCCATCTCGACATCGCCGTCGGGACCAACAAGTTGTCCATGCGCTAGTGCTCGGTCACGATCTTTGGCTTCCTTAACCATTCTATTGCGAGTCTCTTCATGCTGACTTCTGAATGCAAGGATCTGCTCGTCCCGTTTGAGGTAATCGGTGTAGTAATTCTTCTGGTTGATGGCCACAACTTGTGGCCAGGTGGTGAGGTCCATGTTGTTATCGGTGCGTTCGAGACCCTCCTCGCGGAGGAGAGCCTTTCCACTTTTCTTGCCTACCATTGCGAAGCCGTCTTGCGATAATCGACGTGGTGAGTGCTGAATGCGAAGAAGACGGCGGTATTTGTGTTAGGGTTGGTTCGCAGGACAACCGACGCAGCTGTGAGCAGGAGAAATAACCTCAAGGCATAGTACAACAGAATGGAAATGCTCAATCGGTACGGCACGCGTCTTGCCGTCAAGTCAGTGAATTCTGGCAATTTCAGAGTATCGTGTCCTTGCCGCAAGGAGCAGGTGTTCCCCGGAGTCGACAAAATCCACAGTTCGCTCGCGAACCGCAATCTACGGCGGCCGTTAGCAGCATATATGCAGTTCATCCAACTGATTGATCAGCATTGGTAACGGATATCTATTCCGGATCACTTTTTAAGCCCTACGACATGACAGAAACTATAAGGTGGGTTTTCAAACCAACCTGTGCTCAGAAGCTTCTCCTTCGTACACATACATATAGACATTATGGCATACGGAAGATCGCGTCTTGGCGACAATGAGCACACAGAACGCTCCCCTTTGGTACCGAGGCGCCAATCAGCCACGAACGCCTCGATCAAGAGCACAACGTCTCAGAAAGGCCTCACGAGAAAACGAGGCATATCCATTTGCTTATCCATGTTCAGCCTGATCTTCATTATTCCATGCAATGTCACGCTCATGACAACTATTCAGAGTTCCGTTGCCACCGAACTGGATGCCTCCGAAGTCGTTTCTTGGTTCACCTCCGCCTACCTTATCGCTGTGACAAGTGTGATGCCTCTCGCTGGGCGCTTGAGCCAGATCTTCACCGCACGAGCATACGTATTTGGCTCCATCGTGGTCCAATGTGTTGGTCTCCTGGTCACGGGCTTGGCCAAATCATTCCTGACCTTCATCCTGGGACGAGTCATTACGGGCATTGGCGCGGCAGCCGTCACACCTGTGGCTTTCCTGCTTGTCACCGAGCTCACCAGCAAGGAGAACCGGGGTGTATTCTTCGGCTGCATCAACACAGCCTTCACTTCTGGTGTGGCCTGCGGTGCTATAATAGCTGGAGCACTGGAGCCTCTTATCGGATGGAGGGCTGTCTTTTGGCTTCAAATACCCTTTTGCATGGCCGGCGCAACTCTAGCACTCTTCTCAATCCCAGCACCACCTCTGGACGACTCGCAAAATCCGACACCATCCCTTGTTGAACGCCTCTCCGCGCTCGATTTCTTCGGCATCGTTACACTCATCTCCGCGGTGGTCCTCTTACTCTACTCTCTGTCCGCATCCACCATCTCTATCCGCATCATAATCTTGGCCCTGGCAGACTTCGCGCTTTTCGTTTTCGTTGAGGCTCACTGGGCTGTGGACCCCATTGTTCCCATCTCCGTACTTGGCCACCGTGGCAACCTCCTTACGGGTCTCGCGACCGTCGGACTCATGGCCGCCCGCTGGTCCGTCCTCTTCTACACGCCTATCTACGCCATTGCTGTGCGTGGCTGGCCACAGGCTCAGGCGGGTACGCTGCTTATCCCGACCGACATCGGCTTCGCTCTTGGTGGCATCATCGTGGGATACTTACACATTCGCGACAATCGCTCCTATTACCTTCCCTCTTTGCTGGCATTCGTCCTCTTCGCCGTCACCGAGGCGCTCCTCGCGCAGCTAAGCAAGCCCGCTACCAATCTGGTAGGCTATATCGCGGTGAGCCTCAGCAACGGCCTCTGCGCGGGTGCGATCCTGAACTATACTCTCGCGCATGTTCTGTACCTCACACCGCACGAGTCACATGTGGTCGTCATACCCTTCATCGCCATGCTTCGATCTCTCGCCGGCTCTTTTGGTAGTGCCATATCCGGTGGGATCTTCCTTCGTAGTCTGAGCTCCACCCTGCGCTCGAGTTTCGCCGACGTCGACCTTCCCGAGTCCAGGAAAGAGGAACTTGTGACGCAGCTGATCGCCAGCCCGAATCTGGTTTACAGACTCCCTACCAAGAGCCTTTTTGATATCGCGCTGAACGCCTATGTCAATGCGTACCGTGTTATGTTCACAGCTGGCGCTGCGATAGCGCTTGGTATGCTGTTCGTGCAGGCAGGCACCGGGTGGACAGCCCCCAATGTGAAGGAAGAAGAAACAGAAAGCAACGAGCATTCGATGCCGGGCGAGGCGGGTGGACAGAGCGACACGGGTGGTGTCTAACCTAAACAATGTAGAAATCGGCTTCTGCGGAGATGTGCATACGGTACTATAGGTCGAGTCGTGGCGACGCAGGCAGTACAAACAAGGACGTAGGTAGATCATGTTTATACTGCCTGCGTTGCTCGCGGAGACATTACCTCCTTGAAGCTAGATCATAGACTCTGCTTCCGTTTCAACAGTGCCATAAACCTCCGCTATTCTGTGCAATGATACGCGGCATACTACTAGGCAATCCGGCATGAGGCAAACAGGACTAAGCTGGAACACGAGCAGAAGGACCGGTAATTTTCAAGTTTTTCGTTTGTTTTGGAAAGGTAGGTAGAAAGGCTGGCACTGGGTGCGTTTTGTCCGCTCGCAACTCTTTCGTGCAGAGCCTGAGGCCATGGGCCTGGACAGTATTCTCACGGGGAGCTTTCCGGGCCGTAGTGCGAGGTGACCTTGTATCTCGATCTGCCTTGGAAAGCTGCCTGGCTCTGCATTTCCTCCCCGACTTCAAACTCTTTGCGAATGGCATCGAGGAACAACGCAAGCCTCAGAGATCTGTGCTTGTCTCTATGACTTACTGGCAACTGCCCCTCCCTACCAACCTTGGCAGTCACCATCGCGTACAATACTTCATGATAGTGGCACGGAGCATATAGCTGCGCGCGGTCTCAGACATCTTATGGCTGACTATTGATTTCGCTTAATGAGTTTAGAGCGTCGTAAAGCTGGACTTTTGTGGGGTTGAATTTAGGAATGATGCTGTGAAATTAGTACAAGGGGAATCATGCTGAAAATCAAATAGTGTGGGGAATTGATGGATCCTGCTTGCGTATTCTGGGTCCGCGGAGCCGCGGTTGCGGCTGGGAAGCACAGAATTAGTACCTGCGGATTAGTAGTCTGGGGTGCCGGGTCGGGGGTTCGTAAGTGTCGAATGGTGATGCCATGGGATTTTCGTTTTGCGCGGGTGACAGCACGTCGCAATGTCACGACGACCAATGCGGCTCAAGATGGACGGCGACGTTTAGGCTCGGGCGTATCGATGCTAAGGTCCAGAAAATCGTCGTCGTCAACGGCTTTTCGTTTTGTTGAAGCAGCCTTTTCCGGTGTGACAGGAGGCACCCCGTTGACATCGACTCCGTCCTGCAATCCTTCCTCGCCCTGGCGAAGTATCTGGACATCTTGATAAGACCCCTCGCCATCGTCGGGGGTTTCGAGGTCGACTCCATCCTCGCCTTGGGGTTTGGTCTCCTCGGCGGCGTTTTCTGTACCATCCTCGCCAGTATTGCTCAGGAACTCCTCGTCGCTGTTGTAGAAATACTCTGCATCCTCGCCCTCCCCTTCAGCCTCGGCCTCGGGTTCCGGGAGGTTCTGTAGCTGAGCATCATCGGCTGAGGGTTGCTCATCGACTTTTGTCTCGAAGTCTTCCTCGGCATTGGTATGAGGCGCCATATTCTCAGCATCATCTTCATGGCTGGACTTAAACTCGCCCTCGACGGTGTGAGAACTATTGCTGTCTTCGAGCTCAGGGTCGAACTTGTGGTTGAGATTACTGTCGTCCTCAGGCTCATATTCGTCGTCAAGAGCTTCGAGAATATCGCCATCCGCACCAGCATCTTCATTTTCGGCTTCCCTGACCTGGAGATTCTGTTCCTGTTCAGACATCCCGGATTGAACCTCGTTGGCGGTTGAGTCTAAAGGTTGACTGGTCAAGGCCGAACTAGTCTCATGACTTGGCTGTTGAGTCTTGATGACATGTTGCTCGTCGGACGCCATTTCGAGCGTGGTTATATCGTCTAGTGTGCTATCGTTCACGACAGGCAAATGTCGTTCACTTACAGTATCGTGCTCGAGACCAGTCGGGTCAGGCACTTCTTCGTGGAAAGGCTCAGGTTCTTCGCCCTGACCTCGAATGACCTCTTGCGTCGCAGACTGATTTTCCATCTTGATCGAACTATAAGTGCGATGATCACTGGCAGCACCATACAGGTAACGATACTGAGTCTCAAGGCAGACCCGGGGACTGATCCTGCAGTACATCGAGGTGACCGGGCCAGCTGACTCATTACGCTTGAGCATCAAGTAAATATCCACGATCTGGGCCAGAGTGAGCTCTGCGGCATACTTAGAGTCTTCGCAGATATGAAGGCCCAGATCTGGGACGTCAAGCACTAATTCGTCGTTGACACCAAGCTCTTGCTCAACGATTGCATGGCATCCTGCGAGAAGCTTGTCTAGTGGTTCATAGGCCAAGCCTGTATCGTGGAGAAAACACTCAGAAGTGTCTCCATCGACCGAAGGAAACAGGGGAAACCTGTTGCGAGCATCGATCCACTCGACTCGAATCGCGTGTAAAGCCTCTTGGATTGCTGAGTCTTCGACGAGTTGTCCGTCCTCAGATTCAGACTCTGAGCTCTCTTGGGTGGACTCCGCAGGTGGTGCCTCAGCTGGATACACGGAAGACTCAGGGTCTTCTGCAACCTGGGCTTGTTCAGATCCCTCATATACGGCATGCAAATCCTCACGCTCATGATCTGCATCCTCAGATGCCTCCTCGTGTACAATTTGTATTGAGTGGTCGGGATTCAGGAGGCTGGATGTGTCCGCAAAATCCTTGCTAACGACGCTTGGACCTGAGACCTCATCATGGTCCTTTTGGGAAATAGTGTCTGCGGGCGCAGAATCACCGACAGCTTGTTGCACTTCGGTCTCCAAGCGAGAATCACTCTGGGGCACCTTGTCGTCTGAGATTTCGTCTTGAACACCAGACGCTTCCACTTCCGCTTCCGGCGGCTCCAAAATGTCATCATCTTCGGCGAGCTCATGTCCGTAGTCTTGCTGCAGGTTCGCAGAATCGTTGTTGGCTTCTTCATCTTCGTCGTAGAGTATTGTGTCATCTTCAGGATCGTACTGTTCATCCTTCGCCTGGTGGGTATCGTCCATTTCGAACTCGACTCCTTGCTGAGTCTGGGGATTGTCCTGCTCTTCGAGCATATTCTCATCTTCTAGCAGCTCTTCTTCGACTTCTTCCTGCATCACATCATCAACGACCGCCCCATCAGAACCCATCTCATCCATTTGATTATCTTCTGTATCGTGGACTTCAGGGTTTTCCATGTCATCGAAGTTGAGTTCAAGATCTTCTACGTTATGGAAAGGCGACGAAGCCAGATCCATGAATTCATCAAGGGCTGGAGCCCCAATTTGAGGTTGCGCAGTCATGACTGAAGCGTGCGCGGACGCGCGGGCAGTAGGTACAAAGACACAACAAGCAAGCGCACGAGCGAGTGTTCGATTAAGGTAGTGAATAGTTGTCTTGCAGCGCCGACGCGTTTGATTGCGAAGATTTGTTTGCTCAAGAGAAGGTGCGAATAGTCTTGTAGGAGCGACAGGTACTGGATGGTGGAGAAGCGTAGCCTGTAGCCTGAATTGGTGGCGCCGGTGTAAGCAGACAGCCGGCGCAAGAGTCGTTGCGTAACACCTCTGGAGTCACTGTAAGATATCACGCTTGTCATAAGGTTTAGCTGTGTGAGTACTCTCGAAAGAGTGATGCCACGATGTACGGATGGAGAAGACAAAAAGATCAGGGCAAGAGGAAAGGGAGTTTCAAGGACGACGAAAGGTCAACGCATGCGGCGGCAGGAGTTCGCCAAGCCAACTGGCCGTAATAGGAAACGCGCAACTCTGGCCGTCCACCGCGCTGAGGCCACGACATGTGGGAATGCTTCAAGAAGCCACGCAGTTCGTACGATCGACTTTCCGCGAATATAGAAGGACGCCGTCGGGCCTGAAACATTGTTGAACACTGTAAAACGGCGCCTTGAACTGCGGAACATCTAGTGACCATGGTAAGTCTACCCGCTGCATTCTCGTCTCCGGTCTCTAACATGAAGGCCAGGTCGTCCTCGCTGCGTCGATAGTGACCAGGGGTGGCAAAGCCGTCTTGTCTCGCCAGTTTCGCGAAATCAACAGAGCCAGAGTTGAAGGTCTGTTAGCGTCGTTTCCCAAACTTGCCGATGCTGGGACACAGCACACTACCGTTGAGCAAGACAATGTGCGCTTCGTTTACCAGCCCCTCGACGAACTGTACATGGTCCTGATCACCAACCGACAATCAAATATTCTTCAAGATATTGACAGCCTGCACCTCTTCGCTCAAGTTGTTCAGAGCATCTGCAAGAAATTGGATGAACGAGAAATCACTCGCAATGCGTTTGAGCTCCTGTCTGCCTTCGACGAACTGGTCACGATGGGCTATCGGGAGAACCTCACAATGAGCCAAATCAAGACTTTCCTTGAAATGGAGTCTCACGAGGAAAGAATACAGGAGATTATTGCTCGCAATAAGGAATTGGAAGCCTCAGAGGAGCGCAAAAGGAAGGCCAAGCAACTTGAGATGCAGCGCAAGGAAGCTGCTCGCTCAGCAGCATATGGCCGTGGCGTTGCGCCAAAAATGCCCCAGTATCCGACATACACCCCTCCCTCCCAGCCCTCGACCACAAGCACATACGATGCATATGAAGCTGAGAAGAACAAGACCTTCAACAAGCCTATCGCCTCACGTGGCAAGGGTATGCAGCTGGGAAAGAAGTCGAAGACGACTGATATCTATGACAGGGTCAAGGCTGACCTAGGCACACCTGAAGTGGAAGAACAGCCCTTGATTCAGCCTTCTGCGCCCTCAGTGCCCGCCTCTCGCCCCTCGCTCGACGCGGCGAACCCAATCAACGTGCTAATTTCCGAGCAGCTATCCGCACGTCTCTCTCGTGATGGAGCTCTTAAGTCCTTTGAAGTGAAGGGCGATTTGCAATTGAAGATCTCCGACCCGGCTCTCACGAAAATCTCTCTTTCCCTGCTAGCCAATGACGGTCCACTTAAAGCGCAATTCCGCACGCATCCCAACGTCGACAAGAATCTGTTTACCAGTAACAAAACCATTCAACTCAAAGATACCAGCAAGCGCTTTCCAGCCAATAACAGCATCGGTGTCCTTCGCTGGCGCGCCACAGCGCCTGCGGACAGTCAGGATGTATTGCCTATTACGTTCACGGTTTGGGTCAACCGCAGCGATGACAGCTACACCATCACGATCGAGTACGAACTTACATCTCCAACTTCTACGCCATTGAGGGACGTTGTGGTCACAATTCCCTACTCGACTGCGGAGCCTGCTGTGAGCAGCTTCGACAGCATGTATGAGGTCACCGGGGACAGCCTAGAGTGGACTATTGGAGCCATTGACGAGAGCAACGCCAGCGGCAGTTTTGAATTTGAAGCGCAAGTCGGCGATGGCGGAGACGAGAGCGAGTTCTTCCCTATGAGCGTCAAGTTTGAAATGGTGAAACCCTACATCGAGGTTGATGTCAATGCGGCCACATTAGTGGAGGAAGGTGAGGAAATGGATTTCGAAAAGGCTATGCGGTGTACGGTTGAGAGCTTCGAGATTGAGTGAGACTCATTCTGAGATGCTGGCTGTATCAGGCGCCTTTCGTGCCACGTTCACAGGCAGAGCAATGCCATGAAGCCTTGGCCGATGCAAGCAGCCGGTATTTAGACAAAAATGAAGCCCACGCAGTCATGTCAATCCGCATTCTTGTTGCCCGCCGTGTTCCAGGAGGCGGGCCGCGGCCAAAGCTAGACTCGTCGAGGCAAGCTCCCCGCCTCAGCCGCCTTTGCCCCTCTTTCGCTTCTCTCGCCTGTGTCAACTCTCCAACATCCCCCGTCGACCGCCAGTCGGTCCGACAGAGCGTAGCCAGCTTCAGGCTTCACCATGCAGGACCTTGCAGGGCTCTAAGCCTAAAGTAATCATCTTACAGGGAAAAGCAATCAAGCATCGCCAGAGCTGGCTAGGTGTCGACGCAATCGTGCTTGATCGCCCTAGCGATATATTTCCAGCACTTGCTCTCACGCGGGCTGGAGGAAGCTCGTGTCGCAGTGATTAGCCTCACTTTATTGTCATACTCTCTGATGCTGTCAATGGCAAGTGCTGTCGCTGGCCACTGAAGTCCCTCATCCCCAAGAGCGATACACAGAGAAGAATCATTATTGGGAAGGAAGTTCATGTGGACGATCCACGTGCCCGGTTACTTCTATTCCTCACTACGCCACCATGAAAAGTGCGCTCCGTCGAGCAAGCACGCAGCCCGAAGCTGGCGAAGCATCACATCCAGATACCGTGGGAGCCAAGCACACTTCAACGACGCCTCTCGATGGCCTTCGCCGTCCTAGCCTTGCGAATATCTCTCGTCGTCTGGGCCGATCCAAGAAGTCACAGCCAACCAGCACGCCTCCCTCCACTGACGATAACCATCTCGGCACCCTCTTCATCTCCCTCCCTAACGAGCTCCACGCCCTTGTCCTCACCTTTCTAGACCCAACCGATATCCTCTCGCTTCGCCTGACTTCTCACGCGACCTTCTCCATTCTGAACCACTGCGCGTCCACCCTTCTGAACACGCATTTTCCACAGTGCCTCACGCATGTGAGAGTATCTCACGTCCTCTCCCTCCATCCACCTTCCCTACCGAACACCTCATTAAATCACCACCTCGTCCTCCTCAGGCGCAACGCTCTTGTCACCCAAACCACCAACCTCCTCAACGCCTTCATGCAAATGAAGATCTACATGCTTCCGCCCTCGCGCCAACATCCCGAGCGCATCACCGTTCTCGGCACTGCCCGCACTGCTCTCCTGACGCAGCACCTCCATCCAGCCCTCTGGACCGCTGACCACTACCTCTCCGCATACCGTAATCTCCTCCTACATACCCACCCGAGCCACACCTCCCGCGAACGTTCCCGTTTCTGGCGCTGCGTACCGTGTGGCCAGACTCTGACCGAAACGGTCGCGGGCTATGCCCCTGAGTCACTCTTACCCGCCTACCAGGCGATGCGCCTGCTCGGCATCCACCTGAAAGCGAGCTCGCGCGCGCCGACGTACGCGGGCACTATCGAGCGCGCGCTGCGACGATGGACCCGGCGACCGGCAGCGGAGGAGGAGCTTGCGATCGTGATGTTACTGGGCGGCCTTGATGTGATGCGCCGCGTAACGATGCTGCGAGGAACCTACAACTCCCGGCTGGAGATTGTACGGGGCTTTCTGGAGGAGGTAGAGGAAGCGGTGGAGGCACGCAAGCTACAGCAGCAGCAGGGAAAGGACCAGCGTGAGAAGTCGCGGGTTGGGCGCATGGTCGTTGGGAAACGGGGGATTGAGCGCGTTGAGCTCCTTGAGGACGCTACTGCAGACAGGTCGACCGAGAGAGTAGGCGCGCCGGACGGCTTGCCCCTCGATCACAAGGGTAAAGGGGTAGATGCTAGACCTCAGGCCAACGACACGTCCTCTGCGCCACCAGAAACCTCACGATCGATCTCGGGAGATGACGACCCAATAGCCGCCCTGGCCCTCCCACACCACCTCCTGACAGAAGGCGTCCTGGACCAGATCCCACTTCTCGAAGACATCCTCCTGCCCGAACTCCGACGTCGCATCGAGGCAGAAGGCTTAGTGGACCACCTCCCCGAGGAGGATCGCGAGGAGGAGCTCGAGACGCCGTTCCACTGGGTACGGCGAGTCATCTGTGGGGAAGAGGAGGGGCTCAAGAATGAAAATCAGAGCACACAGCAGGACGAGGAGGAGCCCGCCCATGATGCTGGTATAGGTGTTTGGGATGCGGCCGCAACGCAGGCTGCGCAGGCGCCGCAACAGCCGACGCCGCCTCAGCAGGGTGGGCGGCGAGGCAGCGGCAGTCCAGCGATGTTTGGCTCGATGAGCCGACATATGCTTGTTTCGCTGGGGAGGGATGATTGAGTTGGAACGCCCGTTTGAGTCTCACGACGTGAAGAAGATAGCAATATATCATTGGCAGCCCGTTGTAGGCAAGAGTATGCGGTGATGAGACGGTGTCGGTTGGACCATATGTACATTCATCTCTGCCGTGGGTCATGCAAATGGCATATTTGGAAGACGATTTGGTACCGTGCTGTACGATGATATCTACCTGTTGTTCCTCGACTACCCTTTCCACAAACACTCACTTTTCAATACTTTGGCTTGAAAGGCAGCGTCTTCATCTGGTCCATGATATCTCCCTCGATGCCCAACAGGCCGTAGATGAACTTGAGAATGATGAAAAAGCTATCTGGCTCGCCCATGTGCTTCTTCCCCTTGACCATGCGCGCCAGCTTTGGCTGCCCGTTCTCCAGCGCGACAAACATGTCGTCGATAGGGAATATCTCATCGTCGTTGCCGTTCACCAGCAACACCTTCGTGCACGGTTTGGCGAGCGTACCGTCATTGAGCAGCGAGAATTTGGGCGCCTCCTTGATGAACGACTCCAGATCCGGGTAGCCGAACTTGTAGCTCAACGTGTTGGCGAGGTCGAAGGGGTACTCCAGCTTGTTGACCTCCTGCAGCCACTCGCGGTCGAACATGTGGTGCGCGCCACCGCCCAGGCTGATGCACGCCAGCATGCGGTCCTTGTGCGTGTGTGCCAGTCGGAGTGAGTAGTAGCCACCAGTGGAGAAGCCCCAGGACACGATCTTGGAGCTGTCGATCTCCTTCTGCGCGTTCATCCAGTCGAGCACGCTGGACCACTGGCGGTCTGGAGAGGTAGGGTCCTGCCGCAGGGCGGGCGAGTCGCCCGTGCCGGGGATTTCGGCAATGACTGTGCCAATGCCCTTCATGCGGAAGCCTTGCTGCCAAACGGCCAGCTCTGTGCGGTAGCCATCGAGACCCGTGATGATCAGGACAATGGGGCAGGGGTTGGAGGCCGAGGCACCTGGCGGGAGAAGATAGTTAACAGGCACTACGTCTCCTTCCCCGGACACGGCGTGCTTGTGGGGGATCAGGACCTCTTTGATCGGGTATTCCATTAGGCTGGAGGTGGTCAGATTTAGATGGAGCGCATGCTGGGAGCATTTCTACTCACCCAGCACCCTTGTAGAAGACCTCTTTGCCCGCCTTCCATGCGTACTTCTGCTGTTCCGATCTGGGTGTTGGAAAGCGGGAGATGCGGTATACAGCTGAGCTCCGTCTGAATTTCTGTCAGTCATTGCTTGCACAACGCTTTTGCCGGGACATACAGGTAGTATTCCGAAGCCTTCTCTTTCTCGCCCGCCTTCTCAGCTTCTTCCGCAATCTTGGCCAGCTCTTCAGCTTTGGGGAAATACATCTTCGCGTACGCATCCCAATCGTAAGGCTCCTTCAGGCCTTGTGCGATGATCGATTCCGCCACGGGCTCGAAATCCTTCAGCGCACCGAACATGAAGGGATATACCCCCATCGTTGCCTTGGAGCGTTAGAGTAGATCTGGCCCGGAGTAGGGTGCACCATACCGGTCCCTTCCATTTGCTCTCCCATAGATCCTTGTATGAGTTGTGGTGAACCGCAGTCTTCTTAATATTCTCTCCGATATAATACTTGTCTGCCATCTTGAAGTCTATCACCGCGCGTGTGATCTATGTTCAATGACTCCACAAAGACGCCTTTAGCAAAATGCACAAGTCAAAGAACTGCTCGCAAGCAATGTAACGAGGACTGGAAAAGGACAGGAACCTCATGGGGGTGGCTAGCGGTCTGGGATGTATGCGGCGGACTAGAATCTGTCCATAGTCCGTAGCTTGTGCATGGGAACTCCAATACAGCTGCAACGGGAACCCTAACGGAGGCTCGCGCTCGGGCAAGTTAACCACCGACTTCGTACCTGGATGTGTACGTTGATGCCCGGAAAATGAGGGGATCTCGTTGGTGTTCGGGTGCCCCTCCTTCTATTCTTGTCTTAGCCCCGGACGCAGCTGGAGATCCCTCAGGGGGCAGCAAGAGGGCTTCGGGCCCGGGGGAAGTAGTCGAAAACAATATGAATACAATTTCCACATCGTTGCACTGTCTTACGAAATGCAGCCTGGTCCCGATGCTGACGTGCTTTCATGTCCGGACGGGAGGCTAACAACTTGGCTCTCCAACGCCGAAGTTAATCAGCATTGATACATCGTTATCACTACGTTTCATCTCCTGTGAATACTCATTCCCTCGAAGTCATCCTATCGACTGGATGTCAAAGGATGTCTCCCGCGGTAATAAATTGGAACCATCAAATCATATCAGGCCCAAGGCATGCACCACGAGTCACAAGACCCGGCGCTTGCGTGCATATTCTGAGAATCGACCTTTGGTCTTGACTGCTTGTCGGTCCGTCCCTGAAGCAGCTATGCGGGTGATATATAGGGACTTGTGTTGAGCAGACATGTGCAACGGCGCGGCAGATCGGTGGCATGCCCGAGGCGTTCGCACGCCGGCCCCGATACCAAGTCCCAGCTTTTGTCCTCGCATGGGTCAGTCAGGCCGAAGTGACCATCGACAGCCGTGATACAAGCCCGGCCATCGGGGCGTGCTAACGAAAAGTTCACGGGCTCGCAACGGTGCCGACGCTGAGCTTAAAGCTCTGTCAACTGCCGAGTCTGATTAGCGGTGTGTGAACTCTCTTGCCGAGAAGCCTTGGGTTTGGGAATTGGCGCTTGAACGACGGAGTGAAATTGATACCCAGCACGTTCTGGGTAGAAGCATATCAGCAATGTTCACGGTGCCAATCTTGTTGGACTGCTTCTAGTCACCCAAACATAGTTGGCCGCTTTACCTCCCCGCCCGAGGCGGTAGACCATGGGCGGAATGCTGGACACTTCATCGCTATCACCCTTTTGCGTGGTCTTCAGATGCATCTTCGCGCGAGATGTAAAGGGATGGTCCGCGCCGAAGGCTTCTTGCGTGCAATCCACAACGTGGTGCATGGTCTCAATGGCTTCTTGACGGCGGCCCAGCTTATTCGAGATCTCGGCCATTCCTCGTAAGCAGCGGACGTATATCTCTCTCTCTTCTGCTCGTGGAAGGCCTTCAGTCCGGGCAAGCGCAGCCTTCAAAGCCTGGAGGGATTCGACATATTGGCCCATGTGGAAGTAGGCTTCCGATGTAGTCCGCAGTGCGTAACATACTTCGTAGCAATGCTTTCCCTGCGTAGTCTCGAATGCATCAACAAGCTGCTGAAATCTAACAGCTGCCTCGGCATATCGCTTTCGATTGAGCAATGCTGTTGCAAAGGTCTGCAGGAGAGCGATTGTCTCCGAGTGGAAATACCCAATGCTATCTTGGAAGAAGTCCAATAGTCTTCTCATGGCTGCCTCTGCTAGTCCAGCCCGTCCATTCCTGGAATTCTTGAGATACATTGCGACCAGGTAGATCGGTGCTGATTCCGATTCGTAGACTGTTCGAGCCATATCAGCGACATGTTGCAATATCATCATCAGAGGCTCTTCATGGCCAGACCCGTCATGCCGAACTACAAGGTCCAGCACATAGATCAAAAACGCGACGTGGTTATTCTTTATGAGTCCTTCGACAAGTTCGGCAGCAGAAAGGAACAACTCAAACGCCTTGTCCTTCTGCCCATTCCAAAGGTTCGAGTAGCCTTGATACATCTGGTAATAGAAATGGTCGGCGCCGGCATTATCTGATGTTGCTGTCCAGGAGCTGTTGACAGATAGGTTTCGCGAAGCGAAGATCTCGCGGTAGTGTGCCTGCAATTGGAGGTAGATTGCATCAACGTAGCGGCCATCCTCGGGCGGGAGATTATTCGAGGCGACCACCGACTCTACTGACAATGTTCGAAAGGCAGGCATTGGTTTGAGTTCCGGAACACCGAGCGCAGTCTGTAGAGCCACCAGCCGACGCTCCGCGATATCGGCTGGACGAAAGTGAAGAGGTATAGATGTAGGCGGTTTGATATGCCTTTGTGGTGGGGGAGAAGCTAGGAAGTCGTAGTCCGAGTCGCCTTTGGCAGCACTATCAAGCATATCCCCGTGAGCCGATAGAGGGGTTTGGACGTCACCATCTTCGGGCGAAGACAACTCGCCATGCGGGTCAGAGCCATCGAGCTGCTGATCAAGTAAAGTAGTCGGGTCTTTGATTCCCTTTCGGTTGAAGTAATGAAGAGCATCGGCCAGCGTGACAGTCCGACCACGAATAACGAAGGTCTTGTCCTTGCTATCACCTTGCTGCTGCGAGCCTAGACGAACAATCTCGAGCATCTCGTGCTCCTTCTTTTTCTTGTCGAGTCCCCAAGAGTGGAGACGACTCTTGTACATCCGCTCACTTTGGATGTGAGCACGACTGCATTATGGAGTACATGGGAGATCGAGTAGCGTACCTTGGGGTGAAATTAAACTCCTTCTCAAGATGCTCGCGAACCTCTTTGAGAGTCCGGCCATCCTCAAAGTACATGCGAGTGATTAGTGGCCGGTGTTGTTTCCATTCATCGGTGCTATATGAATTGGCTGAGCGTTTGGATACCTTGCCCTTCCTTTCCGTTGCCGAAGCCATCCTCACTGGCCTTTTTTTCTTTTCCTAGACATCCAGATTTCTACCGAGCGGGCAAAGAGAACATAGCTAACAGAAAAGTCGTTCAGACCAACGACGATGCTGATTGTCAACGCGGCTTGTTGGAACGCTTGGTGCTTGTTCGATGTGTGACGCAGCAATGGTGTACAACAGTGGCCGAAACCCTCGTTGAAGCTGGACGAGAAAAGAAAAGCGAGCAAGCGGCCACGCAAATCCGCGTGTTGTTGGCTTTGAGTTGCGCCGTTGCTGAACACGAGAGTGTGGTTGCTTCGGTAAACCGAGACTGTCGGTCTGAATGGCTGACGTCGTGGTGGGTTTGAGGCGGGGTTAGGTAGGACGAGCGATTCTTCGAGACAACTGGCAGGTTAGGTTCTTTTGATGTCTTGGAGACTGGCCCGCTTATGGTGAGAACCTTGCAGTGTTCTTTTGCTCAGGTGATGGGGCCTTAGAGGCGTACTTTTGGGGCCGCTGGGCAGGACGGGAATGGACGACCGTTGTGGATGTGATGATATCCGTTCTTCTAGAACAAAAGTCTGTCGATGATGCGATATTTACATAAACTACGCTACAATTCGGATTTGCTCAAGCTTTTGGTGGAGGTAGCGGCGTCTCTAGAGAGGTAGGAAATACGCCTGAAATGCACCGCCCCTCCCGAAGTGACCCTCCTTCTTCAGTCGCTTCGGCCGGCTGGCTGTCCTTTCCTTTTTGACCTGGCCGCAGAAATTGTTATTGTCCTAGGCAGAAGCTTTTGCGCTAGGGCGGCAAGTTACGCATGAGACTGACTAAGGACTTCCTGACCCGAAACTCTGGTGAGTCCAGCCTAAGCCCAGGCGCGAAAAGCTTGCGCCGAGCTGTCTTTTTGGGTGGACGTAGAGCACTAGGAGCTTGGAAGGTCGAAGCTGAGGAGTGTGGAGCGCCCTGGATTGTAGGCGCTGCAGGTGTGAGGGCCCACTCCACCACCGTTGCGGCTGGCCACGTGTGAAGGGGTGGTGGTGTCTGACACGTTTCTTTGAACAAGGAAGCCAGTTTGTAGCCCACCTCGGCCTCGGCATCGATCGTTGTCCGAGTCTGGTAGCCGTGAAAGCAAGACACAGAAACTGGCACACGGTTTTCTGCATACTTTATGTCAGACAGCATAGTTGCAAAGGTACGAAGTGCGGAAATGCATAGCACTGGCAAGCACTTTCGAGTCGTCGAGCATGCATCAAGACACTCAGCTGAGAGAATGGGAGACTGAGGCTTCGTGAAAGAAACATGATGATTGAAACAGCTTTGCCTACTAGCTTGTCGTACCATCGCCTATTCTACTGCAGGCTGGTAAAAGCTTGAGGTGCGCTTTTGCGTACACTGCTTGATCGACCCTACCCATATACTCGCTGCACGAGTCTAGTTCGAACCACCGAGCAGACGGCGAGGGCGGAATATTGAAACAGGCTAAAGGCGAACCCTGCCCTTCATCGGTCGTAGATCTCAGCTGTAGCACACGTCAATTGAAGGAATTCTAGCAGAGGCGTGGCAGTGTCAGACCCTCATCGCCTTTGCTTTCACCCATATAAGAATACCACTTGACCTCTCCACCCTCAACCATCTTCGGGCATGCGTATGGCGCTTTATCAGGTCCCAGAACGTGGTAGAGATTTTTCTACGACATTCAATTAGCTCAGACTCACGAGCGCAAGGGTCCTGCGAAGCGACCGACAAGCTGTTTCCATAACTTCACATTCACTTCCTTGCTCAGCAGCATCGTCGCCGGATCAAAGTATGGTAGCTTTGGCAGACCAAGATCTCGGGCTTGTTTTGAGAGATTGACCCATTGCGTCTCAGTCCACATCCGGCGGCCAACGTCTTCGCTTTCTGTTTTGGTGGTCGAGGCTGTGCTTGCGAGGGAGATATTATCTTCATTGAGCCGGTACCCACCGCCTGACATGCCACGCATTGGTGGGAGGGGTTTAAAACTCATATTGAGCACAGACACCATGCGCTGAACAGGATGAGACGATGGTGGTGCGGGCTATTCAACGGTCAAGGTTGGCTTGATCACGGATAACGCGGTATTTTCGGCGGCTGGGGAGCCAAAATGACGCCGGAGTGCTTTTGAGTAAGCTCAGCCGAAACAGGCATGCATTAGCATCCGCGCGCACAAAAGGCAACCACACACAGAATCAGCTACTACAAAACTACTATCTGCGACTTGATCTCATTTATGCAGAGTGTCTCTCTTCGAGAAGTACGTACAAGAAGCAGGTAGTGTAGCTTCATGGCCACTAAGAAAACCAGAGATCCACCAAGCTTTGTAGCATGAGTTGGCGATCGCGCATAGCGCATCAGAATGCCTTCATCTGCTCATGGGTTAAAAGAAATGCTCCATCTTGTGTGTAAGAGAAGTGAAGTCGTCAACACATCTCAACGTCTCTTCCATCAATGGCAATCCTAGCCAATGAATATGATACCCAACGACATTCATTGTAGATGTCGTATAGCCGGTCAATCCCCACTCCACTAGATGCGGGCACGGACGTGGTTATGGCGGTGCCGCTTCACAGGTCGAGCAGTCGCAATAGGGGCTGAAATAGGAGACTGGACGACTCGACCGGCAGTGTCGACGTAGACCGTGGTGGTCTCGATCCCGTGTAGGATCACCCATTCGACGACTGCCCCTGAAACATCTGTACTAACGCTGGTAATCGTTGTCATCTCGTGTGAGTTGGTAGTCGACACGAGGGTCGTCGGAATTGGCATAGCAATGGCATCGTTCGCTGAGGTGGTGTTGGTGGGATATGGCGGAGCGGTTGGCGACGGCTGGATGAACGTAAAAGAGGAAGCAGACGGTCCAGTAGCTGGAATCGACGTAGGATCGGACGCAGCCACGGTGCTGCTTGCAGATACCGACTGTGGAGCCGGGGCAATAGCCGTACCACTTCCGACAGGCCCACCCTCTGTAGAAGACGTACCACTGACGGTGGTAATAGATGTGTTGAGAGACTCGTCGCTGGAAGGAAAGGACTCGGGGTTTGCGATTTGAGAAGGCAGAGGGGCCCAATCCGGTCCGCTGGCAACGGCAACCTTGCCCGGAAGAGTATCCACGAAGTCGAGCCGCTCGTCCTGAATAGTCTCCGGGATCTCCATCTTGCATGTGACGACCTCTTCCTCCGGTTTGATATCGAAGACTGGGCACGCTGACTGCTCGCCGCTGCTCAGGCCGTTGGTGCACGCAGAGTTGTCAATAGCTTGTTGTAGGACATCATCCTCCCAGGCACTAATGAAGTCTCCGTGGTAGCCATTGCCAGTAGGATCGCCGTTAGCAAAGAGGAATTCCCCATCAAGGCCTCTGAACATCGGAGTGTTGTAGATGGTCTCGAAGAACATAGCAGGCAAGCGCTTATCGAAGCCTGGAGGGCATGGCCCGTTACGGGCGGAGGTTGGATAGGCAACATGATCCATATGGTTGGGAGAGTCGAGTTCTCCATTCCAGCAAGACGGAAACATGAGCTCAGCACGGATGCCGTCAGTGCAGGCTGCATCAAGAAAGGGCTTATCTGGCCAGGTGGGACGAGTGAGAGCGTCCTCGTTCCATCCAGCGCTGTAGTGCAAGCAGTTGAAGCCGACCATCATTTGTGCACGAGCCTGCTGCTCCTTGTCAAACTGCGTCCACGTCTTTCGGTTGGGTGGCTTCTGTTGGCTGGCAACGCCATCATACATGGTGCGCTTGAAGGTGTTTCCTGCGATCATACGAAAACCAGGCGGGAAAGCAACGATGACAGAATCCGGCTGATCAGCTGGCTTCTCGGTGAAATAGTACCTGGGACTGTAAGTGATAGTGCGAGATTATAGCTATTGCTAACTTACACAACCATGCCACCAACTTTGGGAACGATTTGGAAGGTACCATTCGAGTGCTTGAAGTACAAGTACGGAGCCCAGTAGACAGACTTGTCCTGGCGAATTGAACAACTAGTACAATTCGAGGCAAGCAGGTCTTCGGTGGTGACGTCGAGCGCCATGTCTGAGAGATGTTAGCTGGTATGGTATTGCAGTTGTCAGGCAGAAACTTACTCTGAGCACCGTGGATGCCATGAACGTGTTGCGAGACTTGGTTGGGTGTGACGATAGGGTCGATCCTTCCCATACCTACCTCTCCATGGCAGAGGTGGCGAAAGAAGGCCTCGCTGACGTCGCTGAGAAGCAAGATAATGGTGAGTTGCATCGCCGCTGTGATGAAAGGAACCCGCGCCATAGCGGCTAAACTCCAAGGAGTTATTGCTAGTGTGCTATGCTGATGGAATTTGAAGATTTCAATGGTCACAAAGATGGCACGGCGGAGTGCGAGAAAGTTTGGTGAACAGGTTGACAAGTTTGTGGAAAAAGTCGCAGGTGCAGGAAATTCTGAAGCCGCAAATTCGTCGACTGTTTTGAGGCTTGTGAATACAGGGCAACGGGCTTAATGCCAAGACCGGGGTTGCTGGGCTTGAGAAGTGAACGATATAGTGCTGAGCCAGGCACCAGTATGTACAAGACACTACCAGAGTATCTTTGTTGTTGAAATTGGCTGTATTTTGTCCTGTCTGGCCGGATTGCACCAGTTTAGTATGGATGAAAGGATGGTCGGTTTCAAGGCCTTGTAGGATAGCTGTAACGTCGACGTACTCTTCCGACAGATCTTTTGTCGCAATCAAGCAGCAGTCGGTAAGTTGTGCTTGTTGGTCAAAGAAAGAGGGGTCTGAACAGAGGCTCGCGATTGAGAGGTAGATTGCTTCGTTTTGGCGCAGGTACCCGACTTGTCGCCCAATACAGGGGTCTCGAATGAATGTGAAGTGACGAATACGAGGTCGTCTTCAACGATAAAGGTGTTAAGGAGCGTGTGAACAGAATCGAATGGGTCAGATGCAGAAGTTGAAGATGGAATGCGAGGATGAAGGATGTATGGCTGTCGACTCAAGCAGTTGTGCCAATGCGGAGCCAAGTCGTGACTGCCTTGCCACTGGTTCTTCCGTTCCGCTCGTACCAGCCGGCAAGAAGGTCGAGATTCGACCTTCACTGCTGATTCTCACTCCGTCATCACCTGACCGTGGCTGCGGCCATGACTGCTCTTTTGTTGTTGTGGGCGCGCACAGTTTGTTAGCAGCTTGTAGTGTTGGTCGATGTCACTACCTCCTTTGCAAGAGCGCGTACCTATGGTCTCAAACGAGCAATAAAGGGGCGGACAAGCAAACATGGAAGAGGGAAAAACCGTACGCGTTTGAAGAGGCCACGGCTCACACTTGAAGACGTCCTGCTTTACGCACCCGTTCACAAACCAGCCGCTCGCTGTTTGCAGGCTTCCGAAGCGAACGAGCGGCAAAGCCTCACGCTAACCACCTTCCACCGTTGCAGCATCATAGTGAACACCGGCCGGAATCTCAATTGCTGCGTCGTGCATCGTCGCCTGCATCGTGCAGCAGGAATCGAAAAAGCTGAACCTGAGGATGAGCAGGTTGAACGCTTCTATGCCCCTATGTCGCACGTGTCCGATGGTCCCTCTTTGTCATCATTTCTGCGAAGTCCCGTCGCTTAATTTCCGTCTCTGATCCATGTGCCGCTCGTCCGGCTCATTGGAAGAGAGACTTTGATGAGATCGCACACACTAGACGGTACAGCAGGTGTCTTGAGCCACGGCTGGAAGATCAAGTGAAGCCCAAAACAGCCTCTCGTGAAACATTGACGTTGAAAAAGTCTTCTCGGCAACGGTGGCCTAAGCCTAGATGCCGGGGTACTTATGAGCGCGCTGATTGGGTGCCCCTGCAGGCCGTTATCTCGCGCTGGTGCGACGCGCCCCTGGACCTACAGCAGGGTCATCGCCCAAAACCCCCATCGGCTCGTCGAGACCGCTTGTCTACTTCGAATGGATTTGCTGCTGCAGGCAACGTGCTCTGCAACTTTGCAGCTGCAAATGCGATTCTCCATATCGGCATGCTACTCCCTGTTGTTATATGCCGGTGAGCACAGGATGTGCCAGGCTCAATGCGCAGGCTGCGCACAGCGGGGCGGCACTCGGAAAGTCAAAGAACCTCGAAACATCAGCAGTCTTCTAGCTTCGCTTCTAAGCAAATCCATGTCGCCGCCCACTCTGGTCCATTGCTCACTCTTGCCCTATGACAATCGCGACTTGAGAAGTGCTGACCGCTAGACATCGTGACGAGTGCCAGCAGTCTTATCGCAAGTCGAGCTCCGTCTAACGCCATTTGCGGATGCACACCCTGCGACACCGCCTTAGTGACCTCGTGGGTGCGCAGTGACGGCTTTCCTCTGCTTCATTTCCTCTTTGGATTTTCAACCCGCCTAGAGACGGATATAATGATTCTGGGTCAGAGGATTTAGTACCCGAGAATTGTCCCCTTGACTGAGGTGTAACAACCGCGATCGCCGTCCCCAACAGTCATAATGACTTCCGTGAATATGCTCATTCCAGGTATGATGTACCGTCTCCCAAAGAGCGCGCAACTAACTCAACAACCAGACTCTCCCGAGTCAGAGCGAGTGCCTGCTGGCATTACACCCGAGGCACGCGTTCTGATCGTGATGACAGGAGGCACCATCTGTATGGAAAAGTCCGAATATGGCCTAATTCCGGCCAGAAATTTTCTTGAACGCTGTATGGCAACCAGACCAGAATTCAATGATGGAACTGTGCAGGATGGTATTGAAGTAAGGATTGAGGTTAAAGGGTCGATCACCTCCAAGAATATCCGAAGTCTTCGAACGCCTCTCAGTTCGTATGGCAAACGTGTCAGGTGCGTGTTTCGCTTAGATCCTTGCAAGCCACGCAGACGCGGTGAAGTACTAAGGGCGATTGTACAGATATGCGGTCCTTGAGTTTGAGGAGTTGCTTGACTCGTCTTCAATCGACAGCACTGGCTGGGTGCAGATCGCCGAAACTATCCACCGCAACTACATGCTCTTCGACGGGTTCGTCGTACTTCACGGGACTGACAGCCTGGCGTACACTTGCTCTGCGCTAAGCTTCATGCTGCAAAACTTGGGCAAACCAATCATCTTCACGGGTATGTTGGCCATGCTTCCACGGTCGTCCTGACACAAGGCTGACTTCTGCAGGATCTCAAGTTCCTTTTTCTGAGCGAAAAAATGATGCACTTGAGAACTTATTGGACTCTCTAGACATTGCTGGACATTTCATGATACCAGAAGTCTGTCTTTGCTTCAATTCGAAGCTCTTTCGGGGCAACAGAACTACGAAAATATCGGCTAGTTCCTTTGAAGCATTCGGATCGCCCAACATGGCGCCTTTGGCCACTATCACAGCCATGGATACCTCGGTCAACTGGAATTTAGTATCCAGATCCACAGCTCTGCAACCTTTCAGCATCCAAACAAATCTCGAAATACATCATGTCGCCTGCTTGAGGATCTTCCCCGGCATCAAAGCGAAGATGCTTGACGCCGTACTTCAGACAGAGAAACTGAAAGGACTTGTACTGGAGACGTTTGGAGCGGGCAATGCTCCCAGCGGCCACGACAATGCTATGCTCAAAGTCATAGCCGACGCCGTTGGACGAGGTGTGGTTATCGTCAGTGTGACCCAATGCTTGACAGGCAGCGTCAATCCTGTTTATGCACCCGGAATGGTCCTGAGCAACGCCGGCGTGATCGCTGGCAGCGACATGACAACCGAAGCTGCCCTAACGAAACTCTCTTACCTGCTTGCCCTTCCTGGAGCCACACCTGAGACCGTTGCACGAGACATGGCCATATCCATCCGAGGCGAATTGAGCGAACACTCTGGCACCATATTCAAGCACCCACTGGGAACGCTCAGCGATCATGTTACCAATCTGACGGCAATCGCCTACGCGATTGCCAGCGGTGACATAGACAAGATCAAGGATATACTCCGCGAAGACCCAGCTCTTCTCAGCCGACCAGATTACTCAGGAAACACTCCGCTACACCTGGCAGCAACCGGGCCAAATCTGCGAATCCTCCGATATCTACTCCAGCAGGGAGCTTCGGTGCACATGAGGAATTATACTGGCAGTGGACGCACCGCGCTCTTTCTCGCAGCAAACGCGGGACGCACTTCGCACGCGTTATTGCTACGCTCGGTGGGCGCCCATCTCCATGCGGAGGAGCTCGAAACGGCGCGGCTTCATGCAAGTCAGAGGCCGGAGGCATGGGCGGCCGCGGGTCTCACTGAGCCGCTACCCACTCACAAACTGCTCAACGGCTCGTAAGACGAGGTGTGGTGACAAGTCACCTTGATCCGATGTCCACGTTGTCTGTTGCAGGTCAACCATGCACTGAAAATGCAGCTTACGGTGACAATAGCAATTTTTGTCTTTAACATGACGCAAAAGAGCAGCTGTCGGAGAATTTTTCGAGGGACTTGTGCAGCGCTCGTGTAACGAGATTCAAGCTCTTCCGGAAGCGCACTGGGGTTCTGATGCCCAACTCAGCGGCAAAGACCCCCGCGGAAAAAGTCTGCAATTCATCTGGATTCTGTTATTCAGGCTTTCTAGCACCTGACGTCGTTTGTGCGGGTAGCATGTCCCCACTGCCAGTGAGCTTGTTCCAAGTACCCTTTGACTTCGGTGGGCACATCAACGACCGCCGGAGCATCAGGGTTCATAGGCGGAGTCGTCCGCCTGGGAGGGGCGGTGACGGCGGCTTATCAGGCCGTGGCCACACCACACCATCAGACCCCGCTCACACCCAATTGCAATTGCCAGGCGGTACATTCACTGCCAACCTTGAAGAATTTAGCTGCTATTGCGACACCGGCCCAGGTCCGGGTTTGTCGCCCTCGTGCGGCTAAACTAACTTGCTTCTGGACTGCCCCAGACCAAGCCGGCTTGGCCGCATGATGCGGTCCATCCCCAGCCAAACCGTGTCAACAAACGCCATCCCCGAGAATGAGCACATGGCGACGCCTCAGCTCGTCATCCTCCGCTCTTGCTTGATGCTTGAGCATTCGGGATAGTTTCTACCAATCTGCCTCTAGGGGAAATGCCATCCAACGAAGTCCCGTACACCGCCCTGGCACCCGGCCCGAACCACAGGTTTACTCACACCATTTGATGTTTGCCTTTCCTGCTCCAATCCCCGTCTCGGTTACGTAAAGGATAAACCTCTCTGAGGTTTCCTCGACAAAGATATTTGAGGCCTATATCGCAAATTTTCAAGGCCAAGCGCTTGCATATGATCCGTTCACCTACTGCTGTGCTAACCAATCTTACCCTTTACCGAGCCTTGCTTTATACTTTGCTGTAACCTTCGTCTTGACTGCTGTGCCTTACCCGGATATCGGTTTCCTTTCTACATTACACCTGAGCATCTTGAATACCAACTAATCAGCGTGCTCGGAAAAGGCCGAACCCAAGTCTGGGGAAGTGCGGAGGCAGGAGTAGGTCGCCTTCCTATATCGGAGTTCAGTCGTACTCCCCAATCCTTGCTGTCCGCCACTTCGACTTGCTCCGTCTCTCAACAATTTAATGCGTATGCCAGACGCAAAGAAGACGGTCGCGCTCGTCAATGGCACCGGCCGACAAGCGGCCTCGGTGATCCGAGCAGTCACCTCTCTAGGATGGAAGGTCAAGGCTCAGGTTCACTCCATGGAGGGTTTGGTGGCTGAGGAATTAGAAGAGCTAGAGGGCGTCACTTTACTGGAAGGAAGCCTGCTCGACAACCCCGTATTGATCGATGCTTTGTTCGAAGGCGCCCAAGTGGCATTCATAAACACTTTCCCGAACGCCGGTGATGAGGTGAAGATAGGCAAAGCCTTGGCCAACGCAGCAAAGAAACGAGGAATTCAACACTACATCTACAGTTCGATGCCCGACCATTCAACCCATAACCCTCACTGGCCAGCTCTTCCCATGTGGGCGTCCAAATTTACGGTAGAGAACTATATTCGTCAACTGGGGCTGCCCGCCACTTTCGTCTATGCCGGCATTTACAACAACAATTTCACCAGCTTGGCCTACCCTCTATTTTGTATGGACTTCAAAGACGACGATACCCTCGAATGGCGCGCTCCATTTCACCCCGACACGAAGCTCCCATGGCTAGATGCCGAGCATGATGTTGGCCCAGCGGTGTTGCAGCTCTTCAAGGAAGGTCCGAAGAAGTGGAATGGCCACAGGTAAGCATGTCCTTGCGATCTAGGAACGAACACTGACGAGCCTTCTAGAGTAGCGCTCGCTTTCGAGAATCTGACCCCAAACCAAGTCTGCGTCGCCTTTGGACGGGCTCTTGCACGGCCTTGCCGTTATGTCTTCGACCCCAATATCGAAATCAAGGTGCCCATCCCTGCCGGATACCGGGAGCAGCTCGCTGGTATTGAAGTGCTGTTTGGTCGTTTCAATGCTCCTTACTTTCCTGGTCCCGAGTTTCAGTATCCGTCAAAAGGACGAGGAAGTGGTGAGACGGTTACTGCCGCAAGACGAAGCTCAGAGACCATAAGAAGCAAGCCGAAGAAGCTGACTTCTGAAGCGAGGGAGTTGTGGGGTGGCTATCGTGGCATTGAAGAGTATGCGCGTGAGGTGTTCCCGCTTGAAGAGGAGGCGAATGGAAAGGACTGGATGACTGCGAAGAAGGTGAGCACCTGAATTGCATTTACTTAAGTGCTTCGCTACGGGGAATAAGGCGTTCAGATTTGCCAAGCTGTCTTATGAGCGTGACGGCAGAAAGCATGGAAGAGCATTATGATGATTCGCATAGCGCAGGTTTGACTGGGAGATTGAGGGAGTCGCAAAATTACCCTTCTTCGTCGATCGGTGGCATTAGTGTATAGCCGCGCCTTTCGGAAACGGCCGAGCTAGCTTTCAATGAAGACATTCGACCCGTCCTGTTGGCATGCCGGAGGTCGTCAGCACGCATCACAGTCGGCAACTGTTGATAGAACTGTCCAGATGTCGGTGGCCTGCAAATCAAAATCATGGTAGATGGTGCTCTAGACGCCGGTAAGCAAAAGCCGTCACTCTTGCCGCAGGCTTTCAAGCTTTCACAGTCCTTCAGATCAGCTGCCACGTGCCTCATGTATTCTTGCCATCGGGCCCCTGTAATGCTTTGGGTGACCTTCCGATCACGGTAAGTTGACATTCTGCTCTAGACATTGAAGGCCTCCATCAAATTCAGAACATATCTTGATGCAACCACCACTGTTCTCGACGATGTAGATGAAGCTGACGTGGTCAACACTTCCTATTGAACTCATGAAGAAATGGGGCTATCTCATGGGGGAGCTGAGACCGATTTATTGCTTGAGGTTCATAGGCAGATACGTGGCTATAAGAGGACATTGTCTTCCATCGGTTTAACTGCCTGAAGTTGCAGCCAACAGCTCATGTTGTACTACGAGTATAGGACAAGTCCAAGTAGACTATCTGTACGTATCTGCTGTTGGCGTATGCCTCTGTAGCCTCTTGAAAATCATCGCGTTTTGATACCAGACAGTTCCGTGCCGTGAATTCGAAGTGCCCACCCGCCCATTGCATCGATTGCTGGAGCACCACAATCCTTCCTGCCAGTCTCGCGGATCTTGAGCTGCGAGGACAGCACCAGAAGCCTGAGAGGTTGAGGGTAAATGTATTCAGCCGGTGATCTCCAGGCCATATGGGTCAGTTTACCAGAGGCAATTGACAAATCTCCGAAGAGGCTACCGTCACATGATAACCCTTCACAGTCTTAGAGACATTTCGGTTGGCATGGTGAGTACTAGAGTACCCTCCCTGAACATAAAGTACAGCGTCTAGTTACTATGGAGGTAGCGTTGACGGGCACAAGACAGGTTCTCAATTGAGACACGTTTACTGCCTGAGAGTGGGGTCAGCTCCACTCTCAGGCAGTGAATATGAGTGATGGTCTGCCGATATACATCCATGCCTTTCTAACCGGATAGATATAGTGATAGCATGTTTTGCATGACTTAAATGGCCAACGTCGAACTCCTTCTCTGGCGAATAGCCGAGTCTGTACATGTGCGGCCCCCGCGTTACCCCGTGAGGGGTTGAGCTGTGTCATCCATCCAGCCATCATCAGGATCGACATTCGTAAATGCATCCTCAGCATCATTGAACCTCCCACAACTCCAGTAACGACATCTTACCGCGAAGGAAAATATCCAAGCTCACCAGGGTCGATGGCGTACAGAGGCAAGCTCGCCATCGTGGCCGGCGGCTTGGGAGGCCTAGGTTCTGCAACAGCCAAGCTCCTTCATTCCTCCGGCGCATCTCTTGCTCTCCTATACGCTCCGTTCGAAGCATCCAGACGTGACCCCCAACTTGAGGCGGCCTTCGGGAAGCCCACACCCGACACAGTACGAACATATGAAGCTGACATCACCAATGAGGAATCTGTCAAGGCAGCCTTTGCAGCCATTACCAAGGATTTGAGCCTTCAGTCGCCACCAGTCTTCCCTTCCATTCTGATCAATGCAGCTGGGTACGTCTCAGTACAACCACTGGTGGATACATCGGCGGAAGAAGCAGCGAAGAACATCCTTCCCAACCTCCTCGGGCCCTTCATTGTCAGCAATGCTTTCTTCAACCTCTACACCAGCACCGCTGCCCCGCCTGGTGGGGAGAAGCCGCCAGGGCGCGTAGTCTCTATCTCGTCACAAGCTGCTCACGTGGCGTTGCCCAACCATGGCGCGTACTGCGCCTCCAAAGCCGGATTGCTGGGCCTGGTGCGGTCTCAGGCGTTGGAATGGGGTCCGCACGGCATCACCAGCAACAGCGTTTCACCAACGGTGGCGATGACGGAGTTGGGGCGCAAGGCATGGGCGGACGAGACGAAGCGGAATGAAATGTTGGCGCAGATTCCGGTGGGTAGATTTGCGGAGCCGGATGAGATTGCCGAAGCCATGGAGTGGCTGTGTCGAGATGCGAATGGAATGCTGAATGGCGCTGATATTAGGATTGATGGAGGTAAGTCCTCGTGAACGCTCTGCCTCTTTCTCCATCCTCTGAGCTAACGATATATCTCAAGGCTTCACGATTCGTTAAGCGCTCCAGCAAAATGGCGTTCGCGACGCCAGATGACTACAGCCGTTCAACTCCGGTGAAGCTGTCAGGCCTGACGAATCCTTGAGCTCTAGAGGATGCCCAGTAGTGCGAAGTCGAGGTGCGGTGTTCCAGGGGGGTAACTGAGCATTACAGGAGCCTCACGGCAAGTGTTAAATCAGAGGCGGGTGGCAGCTGATTCGAAGGACTGTGAAAGCTTGAAAGTCGGTGACAAGAGTGGCCGCTTTTGCTTCCCACGGTGTGAAGCCAACCTCATTATGACTTGGTTTACAGAGGATATTGGTAAAGTGTCCTAGGTAGTCTTTAGTCCCCTTTGACCAAACTTTCAGCCTGTGGCCGTTCAACATCACGATGAAACGACCTTTGAGCAGCAACTCTTCCCATCCATAAGATTTTGCTGATGGCACTGCTTCGTTGCCGAACCGGTCCACTTCTGAGACGTCCCGGCTCGACCTCCGGTACTCCAGGCTGTCCGCTGAATGCACTTTGCTAAGAGCTACAATTGGAGTAACCATGATGTTAGACACGCAGTCAAGCGACCTGGGTACAGCGGTGACCTGCCGCGCTCATTTGCGGCGGCAAGTGATTGGGCCCTGTTTCACGTTGCGCTCGACCAAGCCGTCAATCCCTGCCATAGCAGCCTCGGGGCAATAGGCGCCAGCAAAGCGCCGGAAGATGCCAAATGGCTTTTAGTCGCTGTCGTGTTCTGGTCACCTCAATAATCCACAGCGAAGACCCGTTGGATCTGGCCAGAGAAATCGACTCGCTCCTATCCCAAACATCAGGTAAACGTTTGATCGAGATCTGTGTTCCAATATATCGTGGGAGGCAGGAACAGCAAACCTTACGTTATGCAGTAAAGCCAACAGTCCAACATTGCCATCGTTCATACACTTTCGGACGAACTTGGGGGCGCTCTGTTCTCCTACATCAGCCTCTGTTAGACGCCTAAGTGTTTGTGACGAGCGGCTGACCATTGGTGCCGGGGCCGGAATTCAGGGCGTTGGCAGCCATAGCAAGTTTGAGAACATCCTTTCCGTGTCTGTGTGTTCGAAGGAAGAACCTTTTGAACCTCGCTAGGCGAGTATAGGCTGTGTCGATGCTAGAGTCCGCGTTCGTGTTCGTGCACACTGCATGGCGTGCGATACCGTGTTTTCCGTCCCCCGTCAATCCGAGGGAGGAGTGTTTTGAAACCTCTCTAGCCCTTTTGATGCTTGGCCGAAGCTTCAGCTTGAGCGGTGACATTTCATGGCCATGTGGGCGCGAGTGGAGTGTTCACCTTGAAGATTACCATGCTTCGATGATCAACCCAGCCTCGTTGGCGGCAGGTTCTTTTTGTAGTTCAGCAGCTGCCCCTGTTGCTCCGCCGTCATTGGAGAGCGTTGGATGCCGGGCTTCGGCAGAAGGAATGGCTTGCTGGAGCTATCGCTTTTGTCAAGCTAGGTAGTAGAGTCGCTGCTCCGGCTACTCTATGAATGGAGATTGTGTTGTAGTAGATTTCTCGACGACAGAGGACTGGTTCTGGTCAGGAGTTGAACGGGATCTGACGAAGAAGAATAACGATGGCATGAAATAGCTTCAAGATAGTCAGCAGCAGGTGTCTGAGCTCAATGCCTCCCTGCAGTTTCTCAGATACCAGTAAAGCACTGGGTTTGTCAGTCGTGGGGCAAACCAGCGTATGGTGGCAGACCTAAGTATAAGCCCGACTAACGCGACGATGCCCCTCCCCGACCACGTTACGAATTGTGTGGCGCTGTGCATTAATAGTCATAAGCTTGGGGTCCATGGACACTGGTTGCTGGCAAAATGGCCTGGACTGCGGTGTTCGCTCGTCAGAGTGGGTCTTCGCCGCATCTTATCTTGAACAGCGTGCACTCTCGACTGAGACTCGCCAATTCATGTATGATATTTGTTAGGTAATCGTCGACGTGTGGACAGATACGGAGCCGGGTAGCGCAGAGAAGTTTGAGGTCGACGTCAGATCTGGAGAAAACTCGGGGCCGATTCAAAAACTTGAGTACGTATATATACAGATGTCCCCCAAATTTGCTCCCACAACCGGCTCGAAAAGAGTCGAGCATTCCCCTTCAGGGGCACTTTGGCGGAGTGGTTAACGCGTAAGTTTCCGCGGTGTGATTCATCAACACCATTACTAACCCTCTACAGGCTGCCCTGCTATCATTCCCATGGGATGTAGTGGTTTAGGCAGTTCCTTCGGGAGCGCAGGTTCGAATCCTGCAGGTGTCGTTGTCTTTTTGGGACCATTTGGAAGTGTTTTGGAGGTTGTAGAAGTTGTTTTTGGTGTTGTGGAGGCTTGGGAAACGGTTTAGGAGGGGGGTTTAGGCAAGGGGTTTTGGGTTTGAAATCAGCTGCTCTGGGCAAAGTGCGCGGCTTGGCGACCTTTGGGAGCCTTGATTTATTGTGTCTGACTCTGGAGACGAATCTCTACTTCTTGTACAGTTGAGTCACTTGCAACGTTGCACAACCAAACTGATGAGGATGATCTGAATCTAGGTCCAATAGCAATTTTAGGACTGCTTCAGCCGCGGATTGTCAACGGCAGATCATGATGGTGATTCTGACACCTCGGTCAACTTCCGAACACCCTTGCGGACGGTACTCCATAACCGGGCATCCGGGCTGGCACTTTGGTGGTTAGCTAATGCCAAGCCTGATATCTGCCAAGGCTGTATATGGCTGCCTATACAGGCTAGGCTGAAAATGCAGACGCCCATTTGCCCGGAGATACAATGATCCGACACTCAAATGTCTAAAATAACTTGAGCAAAAGCCTCGCACATCTATTGGTCAGACAATTTTGCCAATGACCCAGCGGCATTGCTGGCACATCATGCGTTTGCACTCACTCGAAGCACCAATTCGATATGATTGCTGGTCCACCAGTGGTTGATAAAATTGACCGGGAGGCTCCCGAAATTCACAGCAGACTATCACCCAAAAGGCCTGATGTGAGTTCGAGGAGGGCATCGGGCAATTTTGTGAACTACCAAAGGCGATCTGCTTCGAGTCCAAGGAGCCCGCTCGTGAATACTGTCGATCCTGTATTGTGACACATTAGGCAATCCAGGAGCCTTCCCGTCAATTCTGTCGACCCCTGATGGTCATGAAACTACCTACTGCATTGGTACGTGGTTGGTACATCTTCGACGCATTGTTCTAGTGTTGGCTGTAACACGTCGAAAAGCTCAGCTGACCTTCAGGATAGGCCGCCACTCGTCAGTCTTCACGGTTGAGAAGTTCAAACCCTTCGCCAGCGCATACAAAAGCCGCACGTATGGTACCTTGTCAAGCACGCCGTATCTCTCAGCTATCCGTAGCGTGTTCCCCAGAATGGCTTCCACTTCTATGGCACGCGAGTTCTCGATGTCTACCAACATGCTCGGTTGTTTTCCACCGGACTTCATTCGTCCACGATGCCTTCCCATGACATCCTGGATGTAATCCTCGCTCACTTCATAGCCAGCGGCTTTGGCGACAATCCCGCACTGGCGCATGGTGTCTACAATGACATCGTCTGCAATGGACGAGCTGCGGAGGAAGTTGCCATCATCGCAGCGCGTCAAAGCCGTGACGGGATTGAACGCGAAGTTCAGCGCAAGTTTTGGCCACCTCTTAGTTTGAATGTCGTCGTAAACTGGACAAGTTGCGCCGCCGCTTTGATATAGCGCCGAGAGCTGTCGTGCGCGAGATTTGGCGACTTCTCCAGCATCAGCTGGGTAGGTGCCGATCTCAAAGGTCTCTAGCGGCCCCATTTCCACCACACCAGGGGACACCTGTGTTGCTGGTAGCCAGACAACTCCAGAGATGATAGGAGCTGAGGGATACGCTGTTGCATACTCATCCTCGATGCCGATACCATTCTGTGCTAAAACAATGCAAGTTTGACTGCTAACAGCATCTCGGAGAAGCTTTGCAGTTCCGGGAAATGCTTTGCTCGCTACAATGATGAAATCGAATGGCCCGTGGCGAACAGACTCAGAAACTCGGGCGACAGTCACCGGGCTGTATTGCTGATTGCCCCAGATAGCCGAACGGATCGTGATCCCGTTGGTTTTGACAGCTTCATAATTTGTGCGACAAACCACGGTTACCTCGGCGCCACCTTTGTGCACAATCCAACCCTATGACCATCGGAACACATGAATCAGCACCACTATTCAACGCCAATACATGGGGGAAACTGGGACAGACTGGGTGCAGGCCAGGTATGACGCCTCAGCAGGCACCTGCTTGCGCTGCTGAATACAGATCACTCGACATGTGGATAGGTGAAAGTCTCGTTCTAAGCAGTCTATGCTCTGATTTCGACACGATACCATGAGGCATGGATCAGAGGATCCCTTCAACAGTTGGAGAACTTACATATATGCATCCCACACCTCCGGTGCCGAAGACCAGCACTCTGGGCGCGTCGCCGTCCCTGTAACCAGCCATGACTTCGTAACTGTTCCCTTTACTAGTCTACGGTGCCCGATGCCTTCTGAAGGCACCTTACCGATCGGTGCGCCTTATCACAGCCTCGGACTTCTTGCGTGATTGGGGGTGATGGAGATCTGCGCATCTCCAACTCTCGTCCCTTGCGCGTGCGCCCCCTATAGGGTCGGACGAAACGTTTCACACTAATTATGCACGACACTACGGCAAAGGCATGCTTACAAGTCGCTTTGGACATTACTTCAACGATGTGCTCAACCGCGATGCTCGGAGGTGAAAGCTTCCAAGACTGGCGTGTCTAGGGGAGGGTAAAGGACTTGGACTATTCCCCATCGGACTTAGCGTTAGCATCCCCCTCTGAGCTCGACTCAGGTCTCCTCGTGTCTTTGTTCGCTCAATGTCGACGGTCAACGATGCGCTAAACGACGAGTGCGAAGCGCTGAACTCCATATACGGCGACGATACCATAACAATTACGGGCAGCTCTCCTGACACGGCCATATTGAAATTCCCAAACCAGCCGTTCTCCTTCCTCCTCGAGTTCCCTCAAGAATATCCCGATGTACCGCTGCATATCACCGGCACTCATTCAACGGGGAACACGGCAAGAGGCGCGGGTGAAGTCGCGGTGACAGCTCTGCATGGAATATTAGGCAACGTATATAGGCCTGGTGACGTTTGCCTATTCGACCTTGTTGAAGAAGGCGGGCCGGCGTTAGAAGCGCTAGCTGGTCAGCATGGCGAGGCTCAAGATACCACAAAAGATGCTACGGACAGGTCAGCTACAAGTGAACATGGCGAGGAGCTGGCGCTGACAAGCGATCCAGCTGCCAACCTGCCACCTCCGCAGTGGGCCATCACTGAGGCGACGACAGTGAACAAGTCTGTCTTCGTGGCTCGAGCGTGTCAGGTCTCGTCCATGACAGATGTCACAAACGCTGTATCACATTTGATATCGTCCAATAAGAAAGTTGCGGGAGCTACACACAATATCAAGGCCTGGCGGTTCAAAAACGAGTCTGCCGCTACCACGCAGGACTATGATGATGACGGTGAGTCAGCTGCCGGAGGCAGGATGTTGCATCTGATGCAGCTCATGGACGTGTGGAACGTGCTTGTGGTGGTGACTAGGTGGTATGGTGGAGTGAAGCTGGGCCCTGACAGGTTCAGGGTCATAAACAACGTTGCCCGCGAAGCTCTGCTGATCGGAGGCTACGTAAAGGAGGAGAAGACGAAGTCAAAGAAATGATCTTTGTCGGAGCTTCACCGGAATATTGAATACAATCCTTGGGATCAAACCTGGCCTCAAGCGAGCCTCGAGCTGAATATATGTGATTTTGGGTCCTAATTCAGCCGGACTGTAGCCCCTGTATGGTTGTGGTAGCGCTGTCCGTACGATCGCACTCACCCCTTTGCAATCTGTTGACAGTAACGAAAAGTCATCCTTTGCGGACGCGTGTGGAAACAAAATCCCACCAGCCGCGAATATGAAACTCAGGCAGTGAAAGTGAAGCTAGTCTCAAAAGGTGGCTTTATTCTTGCGTTACGAGTATTATCCCATGCCGATGCTGGTCACCTCACCCCAAGCTCAGACGCCTTCAGGGGCATTGCCCATGGAGCAAGTAGGGAGATGCTACTTCGAAGTGCGACGTTGACCTTTATGTATACCAGATCAAGCCGCAGAATCGCCTCTTCCGTTCGGCCTCGGCAAGAATTGCGTGCTCAGTGCTCATAGTCTCAAGAACTAATAGCAGCCACTGTACCTACTCTGCCTCTGCTACTCTTGCCAACTATACGTTTGAAGATCTCTGGACAGACCGGCCCGAGTGAAGCTACTGAGATGTCGATACCAACAATTGACCTTTCCCTTGCCGATTCACCTTCTACGAGACCCCAACTCGTCGCAACTCTTCGCAAAGCCCTCCTCGAAGTCGGATTTCTATACATCACAAATCATGGCATTCAGCCGTCGCTCATCGAGGATCTGGTCGCCGCACTCCCTACACTATTCTCCCTCCCAATAGAAGCCAAACTTACAGCTGCACTTCTCAATTCACCGCACTTCCTCGGCTACAGCAGGTTCGGCAGCGAAACGACGGCGAGCAAAGCCGACGAGCGGGAGCAATTCGAATTCGCCAATGAACTTCCCGACCTCTTCGCGCAGGGCGCACAGCCGCTGTACACATGCCTGCAAGGCCCCAACCAGTATCCTAGTCACCCATCGGTAGCACAACTCGCCTCACTGGTGCAACGCTACATCGTTGCGCTTCAAACCCTGGCCGCTCGTTTTCTGGACCTCGCTGCCCTGGCTTTGGATCTCGCTCCGTCAACGCTGCAACCTTTCACTGGCCCGCAAGACCGCCTGAAGCTTGTGCACTACCGACCCTCGCCCACTGTCACGGACGAGCTTTCCCAAGGCGTCGGCCCGCACAAGGACTCCTCCGGTTGGCTGACGTTTCTGTTGCAGGCATCGCCCGGCACCCGCGGGCTGCAGGTGCTTGACAAGTCGGGCGCGTGGCTGGACGTGCCGCCGCTGGAAGGCAGCCTGGTGGTGAACATGGGCCAGGCTTTCGAAGTGGCCACAAATGGCGTCTGCAAGGCAACGACTCATCGGGTGCTTCTGCCGCCGGGTGACTACAACCGGTACAGCGTGCCGTTCTTCCAGGGCGTGCGCCCGGAATTGACCAAGGAGGCGTTCAAGGCGCTATGGACCCATTTCGACCCCGAGAAATGGGAGACCGCCGAGAGTGTCGAGGGCAGTCGGATCGATAGTCCATTCCTGAGAGGCGGCTATGTGACATGGGGGGATGCACAGTTGCGGACCAAGATCAGGAGTCACCGGGATGTCGGAAAAAGGTGGTATGGTGAGATATTTGACAAGTATGTTAACGACGCATAATGCGTCATGCTGTTAAGCGCATCACTGAGGTGCGAGTACGGTTAAGTGAACACAGAATTGCTTGCAAGGCGTCATCCTGGGTGGTCTATAGGGCCGAGACTGGGGAAGGTGGAGTGTGGCGGGCCGTGGCGCGTGTCTGGAGTGCTCTCGAAGGGCCTAGGAGACTGCTGCGCTGCCGATGGAAGTTGATTGTCTCCAAGTCGGGAATCTGTCCTGCCATTTGGAAGAATGACCCTGGTAGAGGCGGCAGCGATGTTCTCGCTTGGTAAAATACGTGTAGATTTCGATTTCGAAAAAATGTCGCTAGTTTCAAGGTGTGGCTGACGCAGGAACATTTGCTTAGCATGATTTGGTTATGAGGCTTTGTTGGGCCAACCCCGCTGCCCTGAAGCGGAAACGGAGCTGCAGTGCTTGCAATAGACTGGAAGGAAAGCTTATGCGAGAGGGGTCATGAGCTGATTCACTCGGCATGGCTACTCATCAGCTATAACTCCGTCATCAATTCGCGAGCCGACGCTGATATAATCTCTCGACTCATTGAACTTGCGAGCGGTAGATAACCAGTCCCAGCTATCCTGACACTAGCCGCGTAGCTCTCCGCCAACAGTCCGCAAGCCAACCATGGTATACACGATTGTGGTTCATATGAAGGCGAAGTCCGACCCAGAATGTATTGCCAAGCTCAAATCCAAGCTAGTCGAGGCATCGCAGGTTTATTCGAAGGATAAGGAAACCGTGTCCTGGCTTGTCATGCAATCCGTCTTCGACAGCCGCGAATTCACCATCGTCGAACGCTACGAGAATGAGCAGTCGCAGCAGTATCACCTCAACAACCCATACTGGTTGACGTTCGATCCTTACGTCTTGCCTTTGTTGGAAGGGAACATGGACTTGCGACGTTTCGAGGAACTGGACACAAGTACAGAAGTCAAGATCGAGAGCAGCGAGACTCATCAGGCCACGACAGAATACCAGGTAACGAACAGGAATATGCTGCGAAAGATTGGGTCGCATGGAGGTGGAGATGTTTGATTGGTCGATCAGCAGATGATTCCCAGGAAGGTGAGACGGCAAAGCACAAGGATTCGCTGTTATTCCGATACCTGGTCAATTCATAGCTCGTCATCTTCACTGGCCGTTTCTTCATCCTCGACCGCAGTCTGTGTTTTGGAGGATGACCCTTTACTTTCCCCGGAGCGCGTTCCCTTACTCTGCTTCGTGAATGGCAGCTCACGACGCGCTGGAATAGATTGGGGGGCCTGTGCTCTAGTTTGGGGTTTTGATGCGCCTGCAGAGCCAGATTCAGTCTGTGACATGATCGGCTGATCGAGATCGTTGTCGTTCTCAGTGTCCGCGTCCTCTGTATCCGATGTTGCCTGTGAGCGCGCATCCTGGTCTCCATCCTGCCGAGCACCAACAGGTCTATCCAAGTCCATGTCATCGAAGCCGTCCGACTCATCAGATTCAGGCGCTTGGCTCGCTCGTCGAGCTCCACGTTTCTTGCCACGTTTGACAGCAGGTGACAATAAATTCTCGATCTCATCGACCTTTTCAGGGTCGACTTTGGTAGTCTCAAGCACCCGCTTCAGTTTGCGTATCTTGAGCTTCTTCTCATTGAGAAGAAGTGCGAACTTGCTGATTAGCTCATCTTCATGATCGGACTTTGCTTTAGTAAGCTCATCAAGTTGGTTTTGCAGAGTTTGAATCGTTTTAGCTTCAGCTCCTGCCAAATGCTCTTGTTTAGCAGCTCGATCTTCCAGCTCATCTCGTCTACTGGCAAGCTGACTGGCCCAGCCAAAGAGGTCGACATCTTCAGTGTCCTCAGTCTGTGGCAATTCAATGGAGCCCAAACGTTGAGTGATATCCTGGACTCTGGTGCGAAAGGAGATGGACAAAGTGGACTTGGGGTCTTTGCCTGTTATTGAACAAGCAATGTCTAAGTTATCTCTCACCGCACGGTCAAGATCGGACTGCCTTGATACCAAACCATATTTTAGGATGGAATGCCATTCTTCGCTGGACCCGTCGTAATTTTTTGCGCGGAACTTGTCAAGATGTCTGGTTCTCACTTCTCAAACATTAGCTGCATACATCAATTTCTCACCGCCAGGTATCTCACCCTTGCCCCTGAAAGCTGCATCGCCATCGGTAGCAAGCAAATCTAGGTCAAGACCGTTGCCACCTTTAGGGACGACGTGGAGGAGAATAGCGGCACCACTGGCATCGGCAACCGGGAACTTTAGCACGTAGCTTGAAGCCATGCTGATCCTAGGCTCACTAGCAGGTTTGTGCCATTCGGGAGCAAGATTCTTCGGATGTGATTGACGATGCATAAACCGCCCCCCAAACGGCGGTGCAGCGGGCAGAGCAAGGCAGCAAGCCGGACGAAGCGCTAGCGTGACAGATTGCGCATTACCGCGTCAGTCGGGGATTTTGCAAGCCACTCGAACCATCCTAGCGCAGACGCGCTTCGTTTCGACGTGTCTGTGTGGCTGGTCAATGAGAAAAGTGGAGTCGGATCAAGCTGTCCCCGCCAAGGAATTCTGAAGTGGCAGGAGAGACGCTTGCTGCACTCCGCAGGGTCCGTTCGAATTGGAAAGGCCCGGCCTTCTCCCAACCTCCCACGAGGCCGTCCGCACCTTCTCGACATCCTCCTCCACCAGAGCTACCAACGAAACTTCTTCGACAACACGTATCGCCGCGTGGAGGATTCGACAACAGGCCCCTTCATGGTGGCAGCTCCCCTATAGGGAGAGGAAAACACCATTTTCGCCATTCTTATGAAGTAACGATTCACGACTTTCGACAACTTGCGCCAACTTAATCGTGCATTTTTCGCAGTCAACCGTTTGTTTTTTCACGCTCATCTTATGACTGTACGACACTTTTGATTCTTTGCGCTACGATGGAGTCTTTGCAGTTGAAACAGAGGGATCCGGACGAGATGGAGATTGAGAATTGGGACGATGGCGACTTCGATAACCTGGACGACATTCCTTTCAGATCAGCCTCGACTGCGACATCAGTACAATCACACCCGCAAAGTACCGCGCATCGAGAGTCCGCATCCTCACGAATGTCGATACGTTCCGACTCAAATCAGGGCGATGAGAATTGGGATGTGCTGGTTGATGACCAGGCACCTATCAAGGATGCTATTGCGCTAGCTAAGAGCAAGGGAATACCACTACCTTCGAACGTTCCGCGTTCCGCACTCGAAGGTGGTACTATTCGTCGGCTAAATGGCAAAGCTATTAAAAAGGCGATTGCCGACGATTGGTCGGAAGATCTCGACCTACCTGGCACGGATGGACCTCTGAAGCTGGCGAAACATGAAGATCGGGATCTCAGCGATAGCTTACGGCAGATAAGTGCTGCCTTCCGCTCATCTCCAAAAACTCCGGATGCCGACTTGGAAAAGACAATCAAGTCGCCCAAATCCAGGATAACCGCCACTCCCATCAGCTTAGATGCTTTCCGAGACGATGACGATGATGATTTCGATAACATACCCACAATCAGGGTGTCCAAGCAACGATCTCCGAACAAACCTACATTGATCACACCAACCTCGCTTGGACCCACAGCCGTGCAGGAGACCATTGAAGAGGGTCTTGAGCTACCTTCTGACGGTCAACTACGCCTTTCAACGCGGAAACCAAATCCAAGGACGCCTCAGACCGCTGATGAATTCGACTTTGAATGGGGCGAAGGAAGTCTGGGCACGCGCAACGCTGGCCGTGGCAAAGGTGGCAGATCTGCTCGGAGCTCATCTGCTTCCGCTTTGAGTCCTAGTGTCTCAAGTGCATTCACCGCTGAAAGCGAAGACGAAGGTCTGGACGGCCTGGTTCTTCCAGATGGCCCAATCAAGTTCGAGGAGAAACTCAAGAAGCGCCAGGCTGAACAGGAATTGGAATCAGAGGAAGCTCCTAAGAAACAGCGACCGAAAAGTGTTCCTCAAGCACCTACCGATGACTTCTTCGAAGGGCTGGAAATTGGCGATGGTCAAGTCTTCAGCAATGCAAAATTGAGTCTGAACCGAAACGTGAAGCACAAGGCCCAGCGTCCAGCGAGCCCACCGAAACGAACAACTACTACCCTCAGCTTCACGAGCAGCAAAAAAGAAGGCCTCTCAAGACTCCCCAGATTTAACCAGCCGTCGCATGAGAGGACACGATCAAGCTTGGAACCTGTCTCGGAAAGCGGCGCCGCAGTAACGCGCTTTCAAAGGCCAGGCTCCCGCCTTGGACTGCACTCAGCACAGTCCTCTGTCTCCGCAATTCCAGCCCCCTCAACACCTACGCCTTCCACGCCTAGCAGGAGAGCTGTACGCACTGTCGATTCACGCCCTGAGATGCGTCACGATGGACCTACGACCACCAATGCGCAACTTCTCCGTGCCAAGCGATCCATGCCCGCCATGCGTACGGCCCCTTCGCCCACCAAGAGTGATCGGTACGTACGGCCACCGTCTCGTGCCGAAGCCGGCAGCCGTCTGCACATCAGCTACGATCGGCCAGATTCACGGGGAGAGAACCGGGCCAAACAGCCTGTCTTCCTGCCCGCCGGTGCCTCCAGCGGCCAGTCACAACACGCTAGTCTCAAGCACGCCAGCTCCAAGGGCCATTTTCGCCGTGCCGACTCAGACGGGTCCGGTGAAACCATGTCAGCAGCACAACGCTCCCTTTTCCGGATCGCAAATCTTGGTCGGCCGGAGACGCCACGCAGCCGTACAGGCTTTAGCGCCACTGAGCTTGCAGCACAAGCAAAAAAGCAAGTCACCAAACCTAGCCGTCGCCGCAACTATGGCGAAGGCAACGAGCTCGACATCTTCGACGATCTGCCGACATCAGCAACATTGGAGTCGAAATTCACCAAAGCCCCTGTTGGTCGCGGCGCGCCTCGAAGTCTACGCCTCAAACTAGGCTTAGGCATATCTCAGTCCAACGCTTCGACGTCGACAATCACCAGTCTACGCACAAACAACGAGACACCAGTCCCAATTACGCCCCTCTCACCACCTCGCCAAGATTTCCCTACCACTCAGACCACAATGGCTCACGTCAACGTACCTCGTTTCGCCCGCGATACGGCTGCATCCCGTAATGCCCGCGAGCAGCGCGCCATAAGTACAACGTTTCAGAACATGCACGGCGAACCGCTGAAACCGATCTCGGCCAACTATCAGCTGAATGCATACCCACATACCAGCGCTCAACGACCCCAGACCACTGGCACTGTCACTCACGGCTCCATTCGGAAGAAGAAAAATGCGCAGCAGAAACCACACCTGATCAAGCCCATGGGCCCAGATCAACATAGGGAGAAGTCTGAGAAAGGCATGAGATATAATCCTAGCCTGTACCGTTGGGAGGGCAACGAAAACGTTCTGGCGCCTTTCGACATACCGCCTCCCGACTTCTACGCACGCACTGGTTCGCCTGTGTCTGCATCTATGTCCGAGCGCGAACGCAAAGCGCATGGCAGTCCTGTCACAAATAACAGCAAGACCAATGTCGCGCTCATCTCGAATGTGGGCACCACTGCGGGCGTGCAAGTGGTCGGCGGCATGGTTTTCGATCCCAGTCAGATGCGCTGGCTGAAAGTCAAAGAGGACGGCCCGAGCGCCAACCACAGCCAGGACAATCTGGGCGGTGGCGTTGAGGTCGAAGAGGAAGAAGACGTTTTTGCTGGGCTTGATGATCTCAAGGAGGAAGGCTCCGAATGGGACCTTAAGAGTCAGAGTCACAGGGGTAGTGCGGCGGGTATGGCGCCCCAGGAGTATGGTGTGGGCATGGTCACAGCGGGCTCTGCCCCAATGGGGCTCAACCGAAAGGCCAGTGCCGAGAGCCAAGGCAGTGGTAGTGGAAGCGACGGCGAGTTTGGGTTTGGTGGCATGGCGCCGGTGGCAGAGGAATTCGACGTAGGCCCAGAATTTGTGAGAAGGCAGAGAGCGGAAGAAGATCGGTGGAGACGGAAGGTTGACAGATGGTTGCGGAGTGACGAGCAAGACGACGATGGGAGCACTGGCTGGAGATGGAACGTGAGGAGATTGGGATGGGCGGGTGGTGAGACTTGATACAGTCCAGCGGTAGTGCTTGAAGTTACGATTTTATGATTTCGCCTTAGATCCTGGTCCTGTTGTTGCTATGACAAAGAAAGTGACCTGGGTTTATCAGCTGCACGCCTATAACTCGCCTTCGCCCCGGAGACATGTTGCTACGAGCCTTGTATGTGCGGCGCTGTAGTCCAGGTCTGTTGGAGAAATCTGTCCGAGCTACTGGTTGTGAGGACGTGTATCCGGTCAGTACTTGGCTACGGCCCCAACAGGAGGGTCTGCCCGGACAACGAATGACGCACAGTATAGGAACACAGTGAGGCCTCGTTTCGTCGCAGAAACCTCGGTCGCCTTCGGAGCACATCGCGAAATATCTTTGCCTACCAGAAGTACTTCGACAGGGATAGTCGACCGCGCATGTGGCGTGAAGACGGAAGCTGCCTTGGGCATGAATACTTGTGCCTGCAGTTGCTTTTGGGCACTGCAGCGCCTCAGGGGCTTTGGCGGTACTACCATCGGGATAGGTAATAACGGAATCAGCAAGGATGATTCGGTTCAAGGTGAACAAGCGCTGGAAATCCCTGAAAGGTGTATCGGTATTCCATGTGGCCGCAAACCGGACAGCAGATTTCACATATGGTTGCAAATCTCGGCAGGGTGACTTTCCTCGAGCAGCTTTGGAAAGCGTCTGGCAGCATTTGCGGCCGTTGCACGTCAAACAGGGTCGGCTCCAGGCACTGCCGGCGTGACAACCGGCGTACATATGCATGAGAGGATGAATGTATGTGCACGTTGCTCTGTCAAGAATAGCCGTTTTCCCATGGGTCGGGTCTTGGCCACGTTGGCCTGAGCATTGAAGCCAGAAGCTAGATTCAGGCAGCCGAATCTGCCTTTTCGAACCCAGACCACTCCCAACAACTCTTCGCTTAGCCTTTTGGGCTCGGTTTGAAGCGGTGAGCCCTGAGACTGAGACTTGCAATGCGGGGGTCGCAAGGATATTCAGGAATGGCAAACCTGCGGAGTCAACATGCACGTTTGCTGTGAGGGTTTGCAAGCCTCGAACTGGTTTTGGTGGAGCCTGCAATGATAGTGTTTCACCCGTCCTAGACAGGCTGTCATATTGACAGCATGGGACTAACAACCCGGTGGTAGGTGTTGACAGCTTGACAGGAAAGTCGGCTGCTTGAATCGGGCGAATTTACGGCTACAAATGGGAATGTGCCCGTTCGTAGCCATCTCGATCGTAACGGAAGCGTCCTAGTCGCTGAGTAATGCGTGTCGCGGAATGGCAACACCGCTCTCGACACGCTGTTTGAGCCTTAACTGATCTGCAACCCAAAAACAACACTTCACGAAATGCAAGACTTGTGGACTAGAATGGTTGGGATGATTCTAGCACCAGCTGGCACGTCCAACATCACACCCGGACTTAATCCCCCGGGGATGATGGTGCCAGTCTCAAGTAAGACGACAGGCTTCCAAAAGCAACATAGGACACGAACCTTCTTTTGATGAGATAGACAGACTAGATGCAGACCTCAGCAAGGCTCGTGGTACGGACTCGGTCCACACCAAAGATTCCAGTTCGTTGCTGACGATAGACCGCGGTTCGCGTGGCGCAAAGTCCATCTGTGAAGAAGAGGAGTATAGGATGGATTGAGATATGTGCACGAGCAAGGAGAACGCCTTTGCTGGGAACTATGCATCAGCAGGCAATCGACATGGCGTCAAATCGGGGATAGCCGATGCGAATTCAGGCCAGATCTCACCGCCCCCTTCCACGGCTTTTGACAATCCTCGTGCTGTGTAACACCCACCTCCAAGGATGTCCGGGTCGACTGAAATGCTCTGGGGTCTGAAGGAGGATGATAGGGCGGTATACCCTGCAGGTTGTCTTCAAGTAAGACGCACAGATCCTGACTCTCAGCTTGAGCCGGACCACGTCGACCGCATGATCCACAGAGTTACAAGCTTACAATCTGTTGAGAGATCGTAAAGTACGGCTAGTACAGCTAGGCGTATGTGCTTTTCTGTTCCTGCTATCTTGAGGTTGGGGGAGAGATGCACAGCTTTGTTGCCAGCTCGGTGATTCGGAGGTTTCGGCAAGATCTCGACAGCACTTGATCATTGACTTTGGGGCGATCGCACAACATCATAGCACTCTGCTCCATGGGCCGCCATATGGACCTAGGTCTAACGGGAGGATGCCGATTCGAAGGATTGCCACGCTGCATCAGGCCCTGGGTACAAAGGACAGCTCACGAGATATGGCTTCCATAGAGATGATCAAGGATGAGATCCCTTGGACTTGTGGGCCAGGCGCAACGTGGCAGGCACTGAATGTGGGAAACAAGCTGTTCTGGTCGTCTTACTCCAATCCAGAAGGCCCATCCCAGCAAGAGTGGCGGAGCTCAGGACTTCGTTGGTCACAGAAAGTGCTGTGGTTGGTATCCGCCTGTCGAACGCTCAGACGTGCCTTATACGGGAAAGGACGTCCGTCTCAGCATGGGCCAGAGATGCAGATACTGCTCCCGCGAGCCATTGCTTCAATGCTGAGGCTTGCATTACAGTTCGTCGTATGCCTCTTGAAAGATGGTAATGGCAGTGAGAGCCCAGCAAAAAGCATATCTGAACCAATGTGGAGAGCCTTAACTTCAAGCCAAAGCTCTGCCTGGAACTACCAGGTGATGCAGTTGTCAAAAGCTCTTTGCTACACCCATGCCCGATGGCGCAGGAGCTCGAACGGACCCTTGTCCTAAATGAGAGGAGTTGCAGTACATCCGAACCACTTTTAGAACCAGGCATAGCCCTGACTATGACGTGTCCGAGACTCGGACATGCAGTAAGTTGGATCATTCCGTCGTCGATACGCGCGTGATGAGCACGTCGATAAGCGATATGGGCCAACAGTTCATAATGCTTTGAGCAGTGTTGTGCTGCTCAAGCATGAATCCGCCTTGCAGGACTGAAAAGTCAGAAAACGCCCAATGATGACGCAATGGAGATGTCCTGGAACAAGTGCTCACTGTTTGTTTTTGGAAATCAAGGCTTGAGGCGGGTTCGTGGGATGCTTTGACCATCATGCCCGCCTAGGATCACGGCTGTTGTCCGTGCAGCCTGGTACTTTGGTAACCATGTCAGACCTAACAATACCACGATAACCATCTAGTGGTACCTACATCACAATCACGCCAATGTCGCCCTCACATATACGGGCAAGAAATCGCGGCGGGGGAGTGTCCCGGATTCGTCTCTCGCGTGCTGAGAGGTCCTTGTTTCACAGCTGACTCGCTCTCAACACACATGTCATACCAAGCGGAAGAGCTCTCTATCTTTCCACGGAGTCTCCAGAAGACCTGTTATCCATGAGCAAAGCGCCCAGGAGAAGGCCAGCACAGAAGCCTGTGTCAATGTTCAATGTTTGCCTGCTCACGGCAATGCAGCTTAGCGAGTTTGCTACGTGCGCTAGTGCAAGGATCGATCCCTTGTCTGATATTCGCTTCAGCCTCCGAGAGACTTCACTCTAGATTCGTGCCGTTCCGGTAGCCGCTGCAATATGCGAGGAATAGTTCCCGTTTTTCTGTACAAAATACGCTTTGAATATAACCTGACCTGACCCTGAATCTCGGTCCCGGAAACAAACTCCGCAAAGCATCAGCTTACGGGTTTGTTGTTCTCAACGTCGATGTTGATATGGATCGTCTCCACTGCTACTTACCACGAGTCTGATTTTAGCAGGTGATAGACTAGGCATCATTTGCCTGGGGTGCGCCCCACGAGTCAAAGCCTCCTGCGCGAAAGGTGGACACAGCATGCTTTAGGCCGGTCTGAGGCCATGATGCTGTGCTCCAATGTCGAGGTGTCCAGAGCGTCCAATAAATCAAGCGTAGGGATTGTAAGCACGTCTGAGGGGCTCGCTGTCTGGGTCCATGCTATGCCTTCGTGCTCTGAGTAGCTCATATCTGACACGCACGGCCACAATCCTTTGTGCCTTTCGTCTCATTCAATCCATCCGTCATTTAGACGAGTGACGTTTGAGTACATCCAATCTCAACTTCAACTCTTTTTCCTTTATTCCTGATCTGTTACGATTGCTTCTGCTACTCACTAATCTTTTCCTGGCCAACAGTACTGGAGTACCCGCTATACATTTCCCGAAAACCTTCGCTGTATATTCTTGAGCGTGTGTGTACATCAAGAATGGTGACATATGAACATATTTCTGTCTAGTCATTCCAGCTACGGCTTGCCTCAAACGGCTGAGCGCTTTCTGAGGGTTTCGCAAGAACTGTTGAAGTTATAGCCATGACCGAGTACGCACCCGCCTCTGGTCAAGATCGAAATGGCTTCTACTCAAATCCGCATCTGGTCACGCCGCACTATGCGAATGGCAATGGTGTGAACTATTTCTATCCACAGGGTCAGATTCAGGGCCCCGCAGTTGGTGGTTCGTACTCGGCATACGCTCCGATGTACATGTCGAGCGGACTAGCAACTTCGAGCCCTCCGATGTACATGTCCAACGGTCAATCTTTGGCCATGCCCTACTCTCTCGCACCGCCGGCCAGACCATATCAAGCTCCAGCACGCACACTTTCATATCCTCCTTACCATGGCGGGACCGTTCCCACCCACAGATCTGCTGGCCACCCAATACGAAGCGCGTATGTGGCAGACCTAAGCTTGACTCATCCGAATGACATTGAGAGCCAAGAGTCAGTCAATGAAGCTACTATGCTGTCCGAGCCCGTGGTACCTGCTCTGGAGGGCTATCCTGTGGTGAAGGAGTTCGACGAAGTGTTGAACGAGTAAGCCATGCTCGCCATCCGACCTCCAAAGAACTCATATTAACCAGAGTAGATACGTGCGGGGTCTTTCGCCCAAAAAACAGGACAAAGCGTTGATCGGAGCTCGTCGAGCCAGGAATATCCGGACAGTTTTGATGGACAAGAAGACGACCACGGTCGAGTCGGCGCAGTTTCGGTCAGTCCACAGAACACGAACAGCAACACTAGCTAACAATGGCTAGATTTTGGGTCAAGAAGATGTTTTCCCTCAAACAAATCGGAAGTGGTGGACCAGTCTGCATACCCCCTTCTTTGTCCGGATGTTTGTTGACAAGCACACAGAAGAGCATTTGCCATGATCAAAAACCGGTTGCTGTCCGCGAAAAACTATTCAAGATCCTCACCCATGCTCACAAGTCCTGCCAACATGGCGGAAGAGACAAGACCTCTGCTAAGGTTCGCAGGATCTACTCATGGTAAGTACCGCTCTATTTATTGCAGCGTCATTCCTCATGTCCAGACAGGGTGCCCAAGGAGCTCATCTCTCGCTTCGTCAAGATGTGTCCAACCTGCAGGATTCGGCGTCCATCCAACCGCGAGCCGCACTCACCAGTGCACGAGAAGACTCCTCATTCGGATGATGGGCGCCATGGTGCTTCAGTCTCCCGTCGAGACTCAATGGTCATTGACAAAGAAGAAGCGACTAGCCCACACTCGTCTTTGCCGATGCAAGGCTTCAGCACCACTTTTGCCCAGCAGAATCGCTGGATGAGCGACCTTCCCAGCCTGAAGACAAAGTCAGAATACTATGATTCGATGAGTCCCAACACATATGTCTCGCATGAGAGCTCGACAGGGTTGTCTCCTAGCTACACAAATCGGCTCAGCGAGCAGATGAACTCAATGAGCTTCCCTTCCAGCAGCACGATGCCGCCTTCTGGATTTCCTTCTGGTAATGTACGATCAACTGGCAACTGGCAGACGGTCAATTCAGTGTGCAGTCCGGCGTATTCAATGAAGCGTGAGCATAGAGACCGGGTGAAGCGGGAGCGACCCTACTGATTTGTGCCACCATCTTACTATCACGACGTTGACGAAAAGCTACACCAGCCAGCGTAATGGGACACGATCAGACAACTAATGTCAATGTCTCAACAGAAGTGCTTATGAGGAGTTAAGTCAGGACGGGAGTTCACAGTCATTTGCAGGATCAGCTAAAGGGAAATTTCGGGGCCTCTTTATGGAGCACAGGAAGAAGATGGAGCTGAGGTATCAGGCGAACGCTTCAAGGAAACAAGTTAGCCTGGCGCAGAACATCTAGGAAGCGGCAAAAGCTCCATCTGACTTTATATCACCCATAGACATCACGCAGACAGTGACAACAGCGACTACACTCTGTACTTCAATAGTAGTGCCCAGCATGTCGTTGATGCTAGCTTTTCGACAGCGTGGAGCTTGTCCCTGCCAAGCCTTCAAAGCTCCTGATCCCAAAAAGGCAGTGGACCCGCTGGCGACAAGTGTTGTCTTCAACCAAAGGGCTCGCCTGAAGTATTCCATTGACTGATTCAACGTTGCACATTGCACCACGCAGGCACCTTCTCTTTTTCCACTTCAACTGAAGTGCAGTCTGTATAATATCATATTCGCGACTAGCCTTCAACAGGTCTCAAGGGCGAACAGTGACCCGTGCGAACAGTTCTCACTTTTTGAGCCCCGTCCGCTGCGCCCACTCTGCCCAACATGAATATCTTCAGGATCCTCGGTAGGTTGAGGCTGCACTGGCGATGGCAAGTCAAACCACTGACAGACGTTCTGTAGCTGACATATCTCACCTCGTCTCCATCCTCATCCTCCTCCACAAAATGCGCGCGAGCGGCGTACGTCCCTTCCCCATCCCTACGCTCAACCAGAACTCTCGCATGCTGACGTCGACCGCAGTCTTGCTCCGGCATCTCATTTAAGTCGCAGGCGCTCTACTTCTTTGTCTACGTAACCCGTTATCTCGGTGCGCAGTACTCCCGGCTCGAATCATTCAGACCAGAGCCTCCTTTCCGCTCACAGGCCCTAACGTCTAGACAGATATATTCTGGACCTTCACGGACTCCGCTTGGAACACCATCTTTAAGCTGCTATACCTCTCCTCAAGCGGATACACCCTGCACCTAATGCTCAATGATTATCGACCCACGCACGACCCTCAACTCGACACCTTCCGTGTCTCGTACCTCCTCGGAGGCAGCGGCGTCCTTGCGCTGCTGTTCCCCATCAAATATACCCTTACAGAAATACTCTGGGCTTTCAGCATCTGGCTCGAATCTGTGGCCATCCTACCCCAGCTCTTCATGCTGCAGCGAACCGGCGAGGCCGAGACAATCACAACGCACTACCTGTTCGCGCTCGGCGCGTACCGAGCGCTCTACATCCCAAACTGGATTTGGCGCTACGTAGCGGAGGGTTGGCTCGAACCCCGGGCCCTGATCGCCGGAATCGTGCAGACGGTGCTGTACAGCGATTTCTTCTGGGTGTACTATACAAAGTGAGTTCCTAGCTTTACCAGGCTCCGCTGCAACCCACAGTAATATTTATCCACTAACCACGCCAAATAGGGTCCTGCAAGGCAAGAGCTTCAAGCTGCCCGTGTAGGCGACGCGCGGCCCCTTCCGAGCGCGGATTTACGATCTTGCGCTCCTGCGCCTCGGCCTGGAAGAGCTGGATGAGGAACGGCACAAGCTGGCCTGCAAGAAGCGCGAGAAGAAACACCAGCACAGGCACGCTTCCGGCGCCCACCGCAAGCCCATGTTGAAGAGTGTGCCAGAAGAGGGAAATTCGGGTCACGATTCGGGACTCGTCAAATGATATCAGGCCTTGAAGCGGCCAGTCTCGTACCACGAGCGGCAACGTCGCCGTCTAACGAGCGTCACTGCATGACGAGTCCGCTGCGCACGATCAGACCGGCCTGAAGCTGGACACAGCGCAGCCGCAGTAGGAGGAGGAGCACGCATCTCGCCACGAGCGGAGGACGGCGGGCCACAGGACGAACGCGAACGACGGCTCGACCTAGGAAGTCCGCTGGTCGTGTAGGGGAGTACTGTAGAACGGAAAATCAATGAGCGCGAAGGCCTACAGCAGATCCATCTCCCGTAACCTCGCTTCCCCCCCACCCATAGCAAATGTATCCTTACCTAGCTACTATAGACTCCGTTTCCTCTGAATACATGTGGATGAATACCCAATAAGCACGTTCGCAATATCAGCGTTGAACAAGACTTTGCAAGAATGCGATCGAACCATCAGGGGGAGAAGAAAGATTTCCTTCTGGACCGTCTGATTTAAAAGAGAACCGACCTGATACGACCGAAATATGATGTGATCGGATTGATCGGATGGGTCTCGGTAGCAGGTAGGTTTATGTATGTACAAGCCCAGCATCCCATGCCGTCTCTGCGTCACTCCACCCACCAAAGCATGCTGCTTGGTCTTGCTTCCGTTCTTCCTTCTTCTTCATCTTCTTCTCGCTGAAAGCCCACGTTCTCCATCACATCAACCTTCATGCTGTACATCTCCTCACCTGCAACATGTCTCGCACACTCAGGCCGCAGCACCACCATACGACACTTGGCCGGGGTACTCACCCTGCTCACCGGGCGCCATGAAGTTGGTGTCCGGGTTGCCCGTCTCCTTGGCGGCGGCGCAGCGGGCCATTGTCGGTGAACTATTTCCGTTGTTAGCGTGTTTCTTTTTGTTTTCCTAGACTTTGTTGCAAACAACTTACCTCCTGCTAATGACGTCCGTAAAGTAAAAGTTCTTGATTGGCAGCTCTAGCTTCTGCCCGGTGGCCTTGGCTCCCTTGTTTGCGTCCACGAGTTGCACTTTGCTGAGGGCGCTGAGCGCCGTGGGCTCCACGATATCGTATCTCCGTAGTGCTGGTGAGATGTCGGCCATGCGGTCTCTCAGTGCCTCGACATCGTCGTAAGGCAGTGGCTGGCCGAGATATTCGGACACGGCGCGAATGATCTTCCAGTCGGTTCGCGACGCGCCGGGAAGAGAGACGGCGTTGCGGGTCAGTTGGGAGCGACCCTCAGTGTTGACGTAGGTGGCGGACTTCTCGGTGTAGGCGCCGCCAGGCAGGACGACGTCAGCGAGCTGTGCACCCTTGTCACCGTGATGGCCCTGGTAGATGACAAAGGCATCCTGAGGGATATCTGCTTCTTCGATCTCATCAGCGCCGAGCAGCCAGACGATCTTGGGCTTCGTGTTGGCAACCTTCTGGCTGGGCACAGTGAATCCAACTTCGTAAGCGCCTGCGCGGGAGGCGGCGCGTTGGAGCACATTGTAGCCCTGCCACTCAGGAGTGTTGAACACGGAGGCGTTCTTCTCGACAAAGCTGCCGACAGTCTCGTAAATAGCCTTGGCATCGGGATGCTCTGTCACACCTGAGCCGACGATGATCATAGGACGCTTGGCGGAGGAAAGAGCTTTGCCGAATTCACCGGAAAGAGCGGACTTGACTGCTGCAGCGTCGGCACCGAGATTCTCATACTTGAAGGTCGACTCGAAGTCCTCTCCGATGTAGCCGATGCGGAGTGGCGACCGCATCCATTGCTTACGGATGCGGGCGTTCAGAACTGCAGCCTCCCAGCGTGGGTTCGAGCCAATGATGAGCATGGCGTCGGATTCCTCAATGCCGTAAATCTTCGTGTTGAAGGCGTAGTTGGCCTTCAGATCAACGCCATGAGCCAGTGGAGATGAGCCGTTTGGTTGATCGAGAGCGAGGTTCTCAGAGTCAAGACGATTGGCGAGGTCCTTCATCGCAACGAGAGTCTCTGTGTCCATCAGATGGCCAGCAATGACTTTGAATTCGTTCTCTTTGGGAGCGAGCTTTTGATAGGCCGTGCCAATCTCGGTAAGAGCCTGTTCCCAAGTGGCGGGTTGGAATTTGTTATCTCGTCGGAGGAGAGGAGTGGTCAATCTCTGCGTTTTCAAGCCGTCCATGGCGAATCTCTGCTTGTCGTCAATCCACTCCTCATTGATGTCGTCGTTGAGTCTCGGGAGAATGCGCTTGACTTCCAGACCGCGAGCATCGACTCTGATATTGGCACCCATTGCGTTCAGAACATCAATCGACTCAAACTTGCTCAGTTCCCAGGGTCGATAGCTGAATGCGCCAGGTTTAGTCAAGAGCGCACCCACGGGACAGAGATCGACCACGTTAGCCGAGAGTTCGGTATCGAGGTTGCGCTCGAGGTATGTACCGATCTCCATATTGTTGCCACGTCCAGTTGAGCCCAGCTCGGGAGCGCCAGCAATCTCATTGGCGAATCTGATACATCTCGTGCAGTGAATGCATCTGTTCATGGAGGTTTTGATAAGTGGTCCGATGTTCTTGTCCTCTACTGCACGCTTGCCAGTAATTTCGTGAAATCGTCCTCGGTCGGCGCCGTACCTCATTGATTGATCTTGCAAATCACATTGGCCACCCTGATCGCAAATCGGGCAATCGAGGGGGTGGTTGGCGAGCAAGAACTCCATAACACCTTCTCTTGCTTTGTGTGCGAGGGGCGAGTTGGTCTTAACGACCATGCCAGGCTGGACGGGCCATGCGCAGGACGCAACAGGCTTCGGGGCTCGTTCGACCTCAACCAAGCACATTCTGCAATTACCGGCAATGAGGAGTTTCCTAGCCAACGTTTAGCTGCATCTCGCAGGGAGTGAAGGGGCTGCATACTCGTGGTAACAATATCTCGGTATCGTAACACCAGCCTTTTCACAAGCTTGAATTAGGGCAGAGCCAGCTTCTACCGACACTTTCTTTCCATCGATTGTAAGCTCGACTTCGGCGGATCGTCTCGCGGATGAGGTAAAGGATCTGTGGCGAGCGACACTGGTGGTCGCCTTCGAGCGCGCGGCGGCGCGAAGGAGCTGAGACCGCATCTTGACGGCCGTACAGGTCTCAGCTACGAGGTGGCGGGATTGAAGAGGGAGTGTAGCATCGACGCGGAGCTTCCAACACCAATTAATTCAGACTGCGTGAAGTTGAAGTCATGGAAACTCAGTGGCTTTTGATTGGTCGGATGTATGGGACTTGGTCTCGGCAGCCCTGCAAGTTTCCCCCAGCACATCTATGACCCGCTCTTGTCGCTCTGTGTGCGTCTGAACCAGCGTGTTGCCATGCAGCTGTTTAATATTGGGGGTATAGTAATACGTGCAGTCTATTAGCAGGTAGCTACATTGTGTTCGCTTCCGACCGCATGTGGAAGTGCGAGCCGGAAAACACAGCTCTGCCCCAATTCTAAAGTGCTGTCCGTCTCGTAACCTTTTAGCTCCCTTGACTTCTGCTCTTCGGATCTGCTTTCTCGATCTTACCAGCAGGCCAACAACGGTGACCGACGCCGATTGATGAGACAGTCTAAGCGCACGTGATAGGTACCGGACAGCTGCAATACCTCAGCTCCACGTTGTAAGATTCATTGGCTGGATCATCTGTCGGCCCCGAACTGACGAGCAGCCTCGCCGAAAGAGGAACCAGACCGCGAGGTGGTGCAACCATATATATACACACCACGCGCTCCACCCAGCTTCTAGTGTGGTAACCACCTTGGATTTTGGCGTCGACTTGTGGCTCCCACAACAACAGGACAATTAAAGCAAGGCTTCAATCCCTACAATGCTCACAACCTAGCCCATTCTCACCACCATCCCCCACTGTGAACCCGACATCCTCACCACCTGCACAACCATGCCCCCCACCATCGCCATCGTCGGCGCCGGCCCCGCCGGCCTGACCCTCGCGCGCCTGCTCCAGCTCGCCCCTGTCCCCATCCCCTTCACGCTCTACGAGCACGACGCCTCTGCCACCTCTCGCTTCCACCAAGGCGGCACACTGGATCTACACCCGAGCGGCGGCCTTGCCGCTCTGCGCGCCATGCACCTCGAAGACGCGGCCGCGCCATTTTTGCGCTACGAGGGCGAGGAACTGGTCATTGCCGATCTGAACGCCTGCGAGCTCGTACACATCAAGGAGGCGCCGAAGGTGGGGGGCAGTCGCAATGCGGCGCCGGAGATTGATCGCGAGCGGCTGAAGCACCTGTTGCTGGAGGCGTTGGGGGTGGCAAATGTGCGGTGGGGAAAGCATTTGAAGCGCGTGGACGCGGCGGCGGGAAAGCTGGAGTTTGCGGATGGGAGTGTCGAGGGGCCATTTGATTTAGTGGTAGGGGCGGATGGCGCGTGGAGCAAGGTGCGGCAGGCGGTGAGTGAGGTACGGCCCGTGTACAGTGGGATCTGTGGGTTTGAGGGACATATCGAGCGGCCGGGGGAGAGGTCTCCAGCGTTAGATGCTATGGTGGGAAGGGGAAGCTATTTCGCCTTCAGTGGGGGGAGGAGCGCCATGGCGCAGAGGATGGGGGATGATAGCATCAAGGTTGGGACGTGGTTGAGGCGCAACCAGGAGTTTGTGGATGAGCTGTCGCCTGGCACAGGAATTGACGACGAGGAGGATCTTACGGCAAAGCTGCTGCATGAATACCAGGACTGGGCGCCGGAGATCCGAGAGTGGCTCCACGTGTGCAGCTTCACCAGGAAGTGGGTGCTTTGGGAGCTTCCGGTAGGCACGACATGGGAACACCGCACGGGCTACACTCTGGTCGGCGACGCGGCACATCTGTGCACGCCATTCGCCGGGCTGGGCGTTAACGCTGCAATGGCCGACACGATGGAGCTTGCCGAGCGCATCATCAAGGCCGTACAGGAGGACACGAGTCTCGACGAAGCCGTGGAGCTGTACGAGAAGGGCATGTTTCCCCGGGCCAGAAAGGTGCAAGAGGACACGATGAGGAACAAGGTAGGCGGGTTTGCAGATGATGCGCCCCTCAACTTCATGGCAAGCATGCTGGGCGTGGTTGGGGAAGAGGTGGGTTGGCCTATCGACAAGGGCGTTTTGTACTGGATTCCCATTACTAAGATGGGCTATGCGATATTCTGGGTGAAAACTAGGATACATGTTGTGTGGAGATGGACCAAGCGCCTCTTTCGCGCGGAAAAGAGGATAGAGCTGAGATGACAGCATGGGAAATCAAAATGTTCAAAAATGGCGAAGGCGCTGGGAATCATAATCTAGATCATTGGACACATTATCTATACACTTTGGTGAATGTTGCTGTTCCAACTCATGACGAGCAGCTGCACTGTAGTGCTCGCTGGAAACGAGGCACGTCTCCGGTAAGCCTCTGCTCCTCGTCTGCACTCCAACCCCACTCATCCTTGAAAGGATCGTACACCATCTCCATGATACCTTTCAAAATATCTCGTTCACCCTTTTTCTCAACGCGGTCAATGAGCTCGTCCAAGAGCCAGCCTCTCGGCACAAAGTTAGGATTGACTGCTTTCATCGCCTTGACTCGGTCCGTGTCTGCTTCTGCACCATGGCCCCAATCCTCTTTGATTCTTGCGGACCACTTCTCTAGCCACCCTCCCACCTTCTCCTTGCCAGAACTCTCGTCCTCATTCAGGCCCGTGACGCCTTCTTTGTGGAAGAAACGAGCCGCCGTTTCCTTTCGTTTCTCTTCTGTGCTGACGTCTTCGAGTTTCACCGTTGATAGTCGGCGGAAGAAATGGTTGAAATCCAACTCAAGCGCCTCCATTGTATCCAGCAAGTTCGAATACAAGCTGTCAAAGTCTTCTTCTTTCTGGGTCTTGAGACCAAGCCTGGCACTCATGAGACGCTTGTACTCGCTCATGAAGACAGCCTTGTATTCCTCGCCAGTTTGATCGATGACGGCCTCGGCGCGCTTGATGAGAATGGGTGCGAAATCTTCTTCCACACCCTTCTCGACGAATACGTCTTGGTCCGTACGTTCTCCTGCTCCCAGGAGCTCGCCAAGACTCTCGCCTAGACGAACCAGATTCCACCAGATGATGCTTGGCTGCGCGCGGTAGCTATACCGCAGCATATGATCATCGTGGTTCGGTGTGTAGGCCGGATCGAAGTTGTCCATGAATGCAAACGGCCCGTAATCAATGGACAAACCGTAGATGGAGGTATTGTCGGTGTTGAGGACACCGTTCATAAACCCGTAGGCTTGCCAGTGTGCAACTGTCTTTGCGTTCCTGCGCGCAATCTCGCGGTAGAGACGAGCAAAGCGGTTTTGCTCTTCGCCATCCTTACCCTGAAGCTCGTCGTTGGGGACGCCTCTTGCGGGGTTGATGTGACTGTCCTTGTCGTCAGGATTGAGCGCGGCAGGCAACTTGTCCCAACCGCCGAAGACATCTTCGGCAACATAAGTCGCAGTCTTCCTGATTAAGTTGCGATCACCACGAGAGCGCATAAGGTCGAAGGTACCCAAGCGAATCCAGGACTGAGCAAAGCGGCAGACAATGGCACCCGGTTCAGCGCGTTCACGAATGACGCGAGACTCGGGACATAAAGTAAGGGAGAGGGCACGTGTAGTTGGGATGCCGAGCGCGTTCAGGTACTCTGAGACGACGAATTCTCGGATGCTGGAGCGGAGAACGGCTTTTCCATCGGCGAACCGGGAGTAAGGAGTCTTGCCAGCCCCCTTCAGCTGAAGTTCGTACCGAGTATTGGTTTCCGGGTTGACAGTCTCGAAGAGTGAGATGGCGCGACCGTCGCCCAACTGGCCGGCCCATGACCCGAATTGAAAACCTCCGTAGCATTGCGCCCAAGGATAGACCCCGCCTTTCTCTTCATCCCAAAAGAACTTGTTGCCGGCGACGACTTCTTTTAAGAGATCTGACTCCGCTTGATCCTCCGAAAGGCCAATGTCCCGTAGAGCCCTTTTGCTAACAGCAAGTAGCTCGGGCTTATCGGTAGGCACAGGCCTCACATATGTATACAGGGCGTCCCGCACCATGCGGGGGCCCAGCTTCTCCCGGGCAGCGGCATGTGAGTCGGCTGGGGTAGGGTACTGGGGGTCCGAGGGTAATTTCGAAGTGAAGTTGTTTGTCTTCTTGATATCTTCCAAGCGGACGCCGGCGGCGCTATGAATGCCATTGCTTTGACCATTCGTGTTGCCATTGGCGATGTGATTTGCCATTTGTGCTAGTCGCATGCGGTTCGGGGGCTTCGCGAGACGAGTAACGTGATGTGTGAACATGAACAGAGCGTAAGTAGAGAGGACGGAGAGGCAGTCAATTGTAAACGCCTCTCCATTTCTCCGCAGTCAGAGTTGCATGATGAGGCGAATGCTCGCGGCCGAGGCGATATTTCATCATCTGCAGAGTGATGTCAGTCGAGGAACCGTTGCGTCAACCGGTTCTTCGGTCAACCGTAGGCAATTACTTCCGTCCCCCAACCTCGAAGGCTACGAGTCGCTACGCTCTTCCGTTCCAATGGGAAAGCCACCGGTCTTCGCGCGTGTCTCCTGACTGAACACTGCGGGCTCGGATTTACCATCTTCTTCCTCGATCTACAACCATACTTCTCGCAAAGGCATCGCCAGAAAATGCGCTAACACACCTTCATCATCAATGCCAGAGAAGAGCCAAGCACAGCTCAAGCTGCATAGCTTCACTTCTGGGATAACACTCCAAGTATTTGTGCGCACTATTCCACCTTTCGTATACGATGGAGTCGGAAGCCTTCTCTGCACTCTGTTACTACCGTTAACTCCGCACCAGCCCATTATGCCAGACCCCTTTATAGAGTACTGTACCAGATCATGGATGCTCGCAGGTAGGTAGATTCACTCGAAAATCCAGCGGACAAATCCCAACAGGAGTTCTCGCCCGATGCAATGGCCCAAACAACCGCACTTACCGCACTCACTCCACGCGAGGCCGTCGCGGATGCCCTCCACCGCTGCGTCCTTGGCCTCGATACTAACGATCGGGATCTCTTTGAATCCGCATGCCTAAAGGATGAGACCGCCACAGTTCTTGCCGGTCCGGACACCATTTACGGCTGGGATGCGATCAACGCGTTGATGTCCAGAGTCTTCCTCGTGGTCACCACACATTTCATTACCAACATCCGCGTTGAGCTGAAAGATACTACCACCGCGTTCATGACCGCGCACGCCATCGCGTACCATGTTCGGCCGGATGATGTGTACAAGCCGGCGGATACTTCGTACACGGCTGCGTGCTTGTACTTTATGGATCTTGTGAAGGATGACACTGATGGTCTATGGAAGATCAAAAGGTGGGAGATCAAAATCCAGTGGACTTCTGGCGACAGAGCGGTTCTTCATGGATGAACTCTATTCTTGGCCACATGTCGTTGCTATCATGCCGGAATGGGTTCTCGGGGGCTAGACTTCAAGATCTCAATACCTTCGGGATGGTCCTGAATACGGCCCTCTTCGTCCCACAGCGCCGCTAATACAGTCCGCTTACCGGTCCATGGTTTCCGTGAATGCATCACAGCTGTGTTCTGCTTCTGATCAGCTCGATATTTATGACGATTGGGGCCGCTCACATCAATCAGCACAATATCTCCTGGTTGCCACTGGACATCGACCTGCAATGACTCGGCAATCGACAGGGCTTGGTCCAGGTATTCGACCTCGATAGGCTCGCCATCCCCGTACTCGGGCAATGGGTGGTATCCTCCATCATCGCCTAGAAACGGAGGCCTGGTTGCGCCATGATGTCTGCTCCGACCCCATGCGCTTGTCAAATTTCCGAACCACGTCGTGAGACCGGTGTCCCGATGTACACGAATGACTATGATTTTGTCAGTACCAGCTCGCATCCCCTCAAATTGTCATGACATGATCAGAACACTCACTCGGCACCACATGCGTGACACTCAAGCTCCCGTCTTCATGCCACTCAAAGCGGTCACTATGCCTCCTCACCTCCCTCTCCACCTTCCGTCGCAGCGTCTCCTCATCATCCCCTTCCTTCACCTCCTTCCCATACGCGGCCAACACCGTAGCCCCCACCGTACTGACCGTCTCTTGCCTCCCATAGCGATATAGATACCTCACACCCTTCTCTCGCAACTTCTTCACAAAATCTGGCGCTCTCTCCTCCAGAACCCGCGCCAGCCCAACACTCGAGATGATCGGCGTCTCTCCGCCCTTTTCCGGCACATCCAAAGCGCAGAACGTCAGCCACGAGGGATGGATCGTGCTCCACCCATACTCGTTGTGCGGCCATATCGGCAGCTCGGGCGGTCCCTCATTCGCCGTCTTGACGTTTTTGGCCAGCACCGTGCGCACCGGTGGCCGTCCGACTTCTTCGTGTGCGGCGAAGCCAAACGCGTGCGCCACCTCGCTGTACTCTGCAGGAGTGCGGATGGGGATGCCGCGGAGGAGCAGCGCCCCGCCGTGCAGGTTCAGGAGAGTCGACAGTTGGCCAGAAGTGCTCATGGCGGTGATGGCAGTGATGGCATGCGGGATGGTCACTGGCGAAGTGGCACGCAGGGCTAATGGGAATGGCTGCGGGGATGGGTAGCCGAAAGTCGAGGTGGACTGCGCATGAGGGACGGGAAAGGCCTCGAAGGGGCCGTATGGCGGTGACATGAGTAAGGAATCTGCGTTGCTGGTATCGGGCCTGCACAGGAATGTGTAGCAAGAGTCGAGCGCACGGCGCCCAACTCGACAAAAGAAGGCTATGATGCTATTTCACTGCTTGGTGAGGGGGCTTGGCAACCCGGCACCGGGACACCACGACACCCACGATATCCCGCGCCTCCCGCCGAGAGAAGTCGGACACATTCAATGAGGCATTACTCCAACTCATACTCTGGATTACTATGGCTTGGGAACGTCTTTCGGAGAAGAAGTCGAACGCAATATCACCGCCATATGTCGTGATCGAGGAATGGGGTAGTGAAGACCCACATGGTCGCCTTGTCGCCCGAGCACGCGAGGCCATAGTCTCCTGAAGCCAAGATATTCGTCCGATTCTTATTCGACAGCAGACCATTGATCGTTCATGATTGCCCGACAGCGGTGACTGGCTGTGGTGCACGTATGCTATGCTGACGCCGAGCTCCACCGCTGCTGTCGAGCCGTGGGTGGTGTCAAAAGGCCGATGACGAGACGGACACCGGCTAGATGCCCCAAACATGTCCTTCCTTGCCATTCTTGAAAGTCGGTAGCGCGCTACACGCTCCTCCAAGCCACACGGGATCGGCCCACGTCCACGACTATTACCGAACCGAGATCATGGTACCAAGCGATGCAGCTGCGTGGCAAGGAAACGCTAAAGCCAGCACGCCATTTGAGGTTTTCGTGTCTCCGGTCTAGACACGGGTACTGTATGCATTGAACATCCAACAGACTCCACATGGGCGGCTGCTCCGAGTGCTTCAGAGTGCAATATATCTCGCATCCACGTCGGCCCCCTCGCAGGAAGCATCCTCCACGCACTCTTCGCTACGGGCTCCATCTTCTCGGCATGACCGCTTCTACTTCGCCCAAAGGCCCTTGGGCCGCCACGACCGACCTGCCACGCAACACTGACAGCGGTCCCCATGAGTCCCTGGCCGTCACTGCAGACGACCACCCCGTCGCCGCCCCACCCAAACCACACTGGTTCCGCTCCGTCTTCTTCCAGGCCACCGTCGTCGGTCTCCTCGCCTTTGCGGCCCCCGGCCTCTGGAACGCGCTCCAATCCGTCGGGGCGGGCGGCCAGCAGACACCCTTCCTCGTCATGGCCGGCAACGCACTGCTCTTCTCGCTCATGACCATCACCTGCCTGTCCTCCAGCCTGGTGATCAACCGCATCGGCCTGCGCTGGACCCTCGTCCTCGGCACCACGGGCTACGCGCTGTACTCGGCCGCACTGTACCAGAACAACCGCTACGGGACCGTGTGGTTCATCTACGTGGGCAGCGCGGCGTGCGGCATCACTGCGGGCCTGTTCTGGGCCGCCGAAGGGGCCGTCATGCTGCGCTACCCGGAGCCCGAGCGCAGGGGTCGATACCTGGCGTACTGGCTGGCTTACAGAAACTCGGGAGCCATACTTGGAGGTGCGATCAATCTGGGCTTCAACGCGACGGGCACCCGGTTGGGGAAGCTGGATTGGAGAACGTACATTGTCTTCGTGGTGTTGCGTGAGTGTGCTCCCGGCGGGAGGCAAAGAGATTGGGTACTCGTGTGCTGACGTGATGCAGAGTGTCTGGGTCCCGCGATTGGCATGCTGCTGAGCCCCCCTGGGAAGGTGCAGCGGGCAAATGGGACGAAGGTCGCAGTGGTGCAGCGATTGCCGGACAGAGTCGAATTCAAGGAGACACTGCGGCTGGCGGCGAGGAAAGAGTTTCTCTTGATGTGAGTTCCCCCGGCTTTTCCTTCACGTTCTCCCTGGACGTCGAAGGCTGACCTGCTGAAGAATCCCGTACCTGTGCTACGTGACATGGTCGCTTCCATATATCGGAAGTTACATGACGACTTACTTCAGCGTGCGATCCCGAGCTCTCGCCTCGCTTGTCACCGCGCTAGCTCAGGTCGTCGCGACCGGTCTCATGGGCACGTTCCTCGACCTCAAGCGCCTGTCCATCAGCCAGCGGGCCAAGTTCGGCTTTATTGGCATGATGGCCATGAGCGGCGCGACGTGGGTATGGGCGGTGATCATCCAGCACAAGTATCAGCACAACCCGCCTGCTCTCGACTGGGTCGACGACGGTTTCGGCGAGGGCTGGGCGCTCTACGTCTTTCAGCAGGTCGAGTTTGCCCTGACGTACAACTACGGCTACTGGTTGATCGGCTGGCTGGCCAAGCGGCCGGCGGAGGTGGTGCGGTACGCGGCTGTTGCTCGAGGAGTCGAAGCGGCCGGGCAGTGTATTGCGAGCGGGATCAGCTCAACGCGGACGCCTGTAAGTGATGTGGTCTGGAAGACTCGACTTTGGGGAGATGTGACTGACACTTGGCGCAGTTGCTCGTCTCTGCTGGCATCATCCTGGCGCTTTGGGGCTTCGCTTTGGGTACGGCATATTTCGTGGTTCGCGATGTGGGATCTGTGCATGTTGGTGCGGAGGGTTATCTGCCCGAACTGAAGCCGTCAGCGAGAGAGGCAGCAGATGAAGAAGTGGCCGGCGGAGCAAAGGTATAGGGGCGGCATTCGAGCGTGATACGAAGCATATGCGTGCACGAACGTTGACGCCAACATTGCTAGCTTCCAAATTTCCAACGTGTTGCCGATGAAGACCAGACTCTTTTCATGGCTTTGACTCGCACTAATCCCAGGCAATCATTGCATTTAGTGGGTGTTCGCGACTTGCAGAGACGTTCCCTCCTCGACCCGTGTTGAGTCCGTGCCCTCTTCATCGTTCAACGACGGCCCGCGCTCTACATGTGAGGCATCGTCGTGGCCAGGCAGACTCTGGTACGAGGTCTAGCTCGACGGAAAGATACCGTCTGTGACATGTTTTCGCTCTACTCAGCCCTCGCAGACGTTGGCCGTCCGATCGTCACCTTTGGCGGACGAAAGCCGCCGCACGACCGCCTGAAGGTGCCCCCGGACTCCCCGGAGCAGAACGTAGTCTGTGCCCAGGACATGCTGGAGAATGGTAGCCAATCTTTTGCACTTGGGCACTGAGCACGCGTACTGGGCGCTGTATATTTCACACTGCGAGGCTGGATCTGGGTGAGTGAAAACGTAGGAGCCCGATTGATTCTGACTCCCTACAGAGGGAACGGCAGCCCCGAGATACAGTTTACTGGCCTGCCGAAGTTGATCTTTCTGCTCCTAGTGAATGCAAAAGGGAAGTCATACCTGGATAGTGGCGTGAGAGTGGCACTCCGGCGGTGATTTGGAATGACAGGCGGAGTGACTCAAATGACGACAGAATATAAATCCTCCGACCTCGCAGATAAGCGCGCGTCTGTCCTTGCTCCCCACCCTTAACTATTCTAGATACCAGGAAAGGTCCGTGCTTGATATGGGCCTGTGGCCGAGATAGTCTCGCACATCCGAGCTTAGCAGCCATGGGTTCATATACGCCGGCAATCCGGCGGATAGGCATAATTGGTGCCGGACCAGTGGGAGTGGCCTTCGCCAAGTAGGTCTCTGCGAACAGAACGATGCTCTAAATTTGCCTCGATTGCTGATGGGCGCGATAGGCACATGCTGGCCGAGAATGCGTTTGATCGGATTGAGATATGGGAGCAGAGGGATCGAGTTGGCGGAATCTGGAACTTATCGCCACCAGACAGAAGCAAACGGATACCTATACCTCAAACGGATCCCCGGTACGGACAGAAGGCAAGGGTGAATTCTGGTGGCGGTAACGCACTTGATGATTCCCTCGAGTTCGAATCGCCCCTCTATGATTATCTGGAGACCAACATTCCCAAGGAGCTCATGGCCTACGCTGAGAAGCCGTTCGCTGCGGACGACCCGTTGTTTCCGCCACATGACAGAGTTCTGGAGTATCTAGAAGAGTACTCCAACGACGTCAAGCAGCTCATCACGTTTAACCACCAAGTGCAGGATCTGAAACTTGATGAGACATCTGCCCCGGGACAGGACGTGTGGCGCATGGAGACGGTGAGCCTGCAAACGAGGCAGATCTCGGTCCATCACTACGACGCTGTGGTCGTGGCAAATGGCCACTATACAGTACCCAGTGTCCCCGAGATTGACGGGCTAGAGGCATGGAACAAAGACTACCCTGGCGCTGTCATTCACTCCAAAGCGTACCGTAAACCAGAGGAATACACGGGCAAGAAAGTTCTGGTCATAGGTAATGCTGCATCGGGACTCGATATCGCCTACCAGGTCTCGGAGTATTCACAACAACCAGTGGTATTGTCCTCTCGTTCGGCGTCAATATTCGCGACTGGCAAGCCCCCGCCGTGGCGGAAGGATGTGCTGCAGTCGGTTGAGTTTCTTCCGTCCTCGAGCTATGACCGAGCAGTAAAGTTCGAAGACGGCCACATCGAAGAAGGCATCGACCAAGTCATCTTCTGCACCGGATATTACTACTCAATACCGTTCGTGCGGGACTTCAAACCTCTACTGATCACCGATGGCTTGCGGATACAGGATGTTTACCGCGATCTGTTCTACATCCATCATCCCTCGTTGGTTTTACCGGTTATCAATCTGAGAGTGATACCGTTCCCATTGGCCGAGAATCAAGCTGCAGTCGTTGCACGAATCTGGTCAGGTCGGTTGAGTCTCCCATCGCAAGAGGATATGCGAAAATGGGAGAAGGACAAGATTGCGTCAAATGGCAATGGGAAACACTTTCACTTGAAGAAATTCCCCGAGGATTGTGCCCAGATCAATGAATTACACAGGTGGGCGCTCGCAGCTTGCACGGATCACAGGCTGGAGAACGACGGCCAAGGGAAGCTCGGGAGAGGATATGATGAAAAGGCGGTTTGGCTAAGGTCCCAGTTTCCCGCCGTCAAAGCAGCATACCTGAGCAAAGGCAAAGACAGGCGGAAGATCAAACGGGTCGAGGATCTAGGCTTTGACTTTGTCCGCAGGGACGAGGATCGGGAGATGTATGCTGCTGCAGAGTGTTAGACAAGACTAACTGGATAGCATATACAGAGACAGATGATGTATCACTGAAGTTGAGAACAGAACAGAACAGTGAGCCTTGGTTTTAGCTACTAGAGGTGGGCCCCTTCCCTAGCGCATCGGCTATCGGCTGCGGCTGCTCCCTTACAAGTTCAGCCCCGATGCTCTCGCTTAACCTGCCTCCTACGTGATCTCTGGCCGCCTCCCCGCGGCGCCTGTCACGCAAACAAATCATCACCTGAACTCACATTGTGCTTATTTGCCCCAACTTCTGTAATCTGCCAGTCTACTGTGATCCTCCCTTGCTTGACCATGCGCCCATTCGACCTGCAGTCCGCTCACATCGAGCATTATGACCAGAACTCCTAAACGCGCCCTCCTCGGAATCGACTATAGAGCTAGATCACCCAAGCGACGGAAGTTTAGTACGGCTGCTACCGTTGATATAGACTCGCCCCCAGCCACACAAGCAAATATACAATCCCCCAACTCCCAGCACACAAAGGCAGAAAAGTTAAGATTGATTGAAGAAGAAGGCGTTTACCCTGCACGCGCTATATTGCAAGAGAAGAGGGTTGGCACTCAGAAGCAATATCTAGTTGATTGGGAGGCCCATCCAGAAACAGGTGAAGTCTGGGAGCCAAGTTGGGTACGCTACATTGACATCATCCTGCATCACCAAAGAGCGCGTTGTTGACCATTGCAGGAACCAAAGAAGAACGTAACAGAACCGCTGCTCCGAGACTGGAGATCCAGGAATCCGAAGAAATCCAAGGACTTGCCATACGAACCATCTCAAGCGCTCCCCAGCAACGTCACTGCGTCTTCCTCGACAAACGGACTTGGCAAGACTCTGCTCAAGACCCGTCTGAAGCGCTCGCGACCTATCGTCACTGATTCATCCAGTGATATCGCTTCCACCCACGAAGCTGATGCCGCTCAAACGTCCATCACTCCTAGTCTAGCGTCTACTACAGACTCCTCAGCAGACGACGACTACGGTCCAATATCGCCTTCCTTTGAGATTTCCGAGTCTCAACATCAGTCGTCTCTGTCAAACCCTGCCGCAACACCAGCACCGTATACCGTCCAAATACCCCCAATAGGCTTTGACAAGTCCGAGTACGAGTCACTCAAAGGCAGCAGCCAAATAAATCCTGGTCTCAGTTCACCTCTCCAGCAATCGGCAACGCCAAACTCCGCGCCACGCAGCACGCGATCACAACATCTCTCTATTCAGAATAGCCCTATTCTCTTGAGCTCACAATCACTCTCGAGCCACAAAAGCACCCGTGTCTCAGCTGCACACCTGAGGTTGGGAGAGGCACTTAGCAACTCAACCGCACAACCTGCCCAGGTCGAGATCCCTGCCTCAGCCGAGAGAGACCAGGCTCAGATCAAATCCGGCCCGAATCAGTCTCCTACATTCGTCATTCAAGAGTCTAGCTCTGAATCAAGGCCGCAGGTCATCAAATTACGCTTCAAGAAGTCGCGAGATCTTGATTCTGTCCAGCCGGTTTCTCCGCAACCTCCGCCTAACTCTGCAATAGTCGAGGACGACTTCCAGCCAATTCTTTCTAGCGCCCAGCCTCACTCTCTTATTGCGACATCGACGCGCGACGCGCTCTCACAGCGATTGCAGCCTATCCAGTCTATCGGAAAGTCGTCTTCGGAGTCGTCTTCGCTGTGGAACTTCGAGTCTCAGCTCCCTGAAGTACGTCGCTTGCTAGCATCTCCGACAACGCGGTCACGTGGTCAATCTATCCCACCGAAGAACTCTTCACCACTCAGCAAATCAGCTCCCGAGCCAGCGTCTTCACGCCAAGGCAACTCGAGCGGCTTGAGAATGGATACTCCTGCTATTCGGCAGTCGCCGCGTTTGCAATCGGCCACGCCAGTCTCACGTGCTCGTTCTCCACGGGCTTCACAGCAATCTAAGAGGGCTCGGACCCCACAGGCCTTGGACGAATTCAATTCGAGTACTATGAGTGCGAATGTCGTAACGAGTCCTTTGGCTACTAATCCTCCTCACATTGCTGATTGCAGCTCGCATTCAATCGACCCCACATACCTATCCGCGCAACCATACCAAGGCGACTCTGTCATGGGTATTGCTCCCCATGCTACCGTCTACGATCCTGTCCATGGTGTTAGCGCCCTGCCAATCCAACAGTCGATCGAAGAGGAACCCCAATCTTCTGCAGATTCAATAGAGTCGAAAGCTAGTTCAAGCCAAGTGTCCTTGCAAAACGAGCGCATCGTCCCTCAAGTTGACGGTGTCAGCCTCCCGGTGCAGCCAGTCATTGGTCCTGGGGAATACCTAATTGGTTTACCCGCTGAAGGCAAGATTCAGTCCATCTATAATGATCTCATCCATGCAAAGAGGAAGTTGATGTTGAAATTCATCTATCGCCGCGACTCGGTCGGCTCTGCAAACGGATCTACTAGCCGAACGATCGAGCGCAATGAGATGATTGAGCTAATGGAGCGCCTGCAAGATACCTCAACGCACATGGACCTTGGTCTCCCTGGTTTTGCTACACAGTATTCGATTCAATCGCAGGAAGCTACAGCCTATGCGCAGTACGCTGGCTCCAAGTTCGTGTTCCTTGGCGAGCTTATCTCCATGATGCAGTACGTCGACTGCGGACTGGTCATTGCTTCTAAGCCCGGTCCCGTACAGGATCTGCTGGCGGACTTTATCAAGATGAAACACGTGCAAGTTCGACGGCATGATCGACCCAATTCTGCGAGAGCTGTCACACCCGAAGCTTTGCGCGATACGCTCAAAGTTGATCTCATCACCACCACTTCTGATGCGGAAGTCAAACTCTCAGCTACCCCAGCACTTATGATTGCGTTCGATGCGTCGTTCGATAATCAAAGCTCTCATGTACGTCGCATTCGCGAGTTGTACTCACAGGGCCGGGACCAGCCACTTCCGGTAGTGCACCTGCTCGTCACTAATTCATCAGAACATGTGGACCGCTGCCTGCGGAAGGCCATGCCTTCGCCACAGCGCTTGAAACTCCTGGTCCGTGGCACCTATCTTGCCCGCGCCAACCTGGGAGGGTCACCGACATATGTTCCCCATGAGTCTGATGGGCCGGAAGGTGTCCCGATGGACATGCACGACCTGCAGAGAGCAGTCAGGAAGAGCCCGAACCGCAAGCTTAAGATGATCGCAGCGATCGTGGCTAGGGCTGCGTTATCGGCCGACTTTGAGGAAAATTGGAGTATCAATACCTTACCGGAAGTGCAGTATGATGAACTGGAAGAGACGCCTCCTGGGATGAGTGGGAACACAACTACTGCTGGCACCGCCGCTCCGACTCCACGAGATGGTCGCATGAGAACCAGATCTCCCGTCTCACGATCAGCTACCCCTTCGGGCAAGAAGCGAATGCTGGACGTCGATGCGGCGACGTCTCTCCTCCACAAGCGACAACGCTTGACTCCCATGAGAGATCTCACACCACTTGCTGAACCATCTCGTGATTCCGCAAAGATTGAGCACTTGCAGGAACAATTGAAAGCCATGGCAATCGAACTCGCTACAGAAAAGGAATCTCGTTTGAAAGCTGAGGAAGCCCGTGATGCCACGCTTGTGAAGCTCGAAGAGACCGAGAAGAAGCTACAAGAATGGCAGAATGATCATTCTGGGCTACTCCGTCGCTATGAGAAGCAGCGTGACCACAACCGCACCATCTTCAAGGAAAACAAACGCGTGACTGCAGCGAACGAGAACATCAAGATCCAGGCCGACAAGGTCCGCGAAATAAACACCAAGCTGCGCGGCGAGAACACACAGCTCAAGGCTGACCTGGCCTCCGCCCGTGACGACCTAAAAGCTGAAGGCGGCGACATTGCGGCCCTCGAGGAAGCCCGTTCGACAGCCCGCACAGCCACCGAGAAGGCTGCCATGCTTGAAAAGTCGCTAGAGAACACCAAGCGTGACTTCGAGTTCACCCGTCAACAATACCAGCAAGCGTCGAATCGTGCCGCAGAGCTCGGTTCGCAGACTACGGATCTTGAAGCGCAAATCGAGGTGCTGACACAAAAAGCTTCGGGAGAGCAGCGCCGCCTCAAGGAGATCAACAATACCGAGCGCACGAAGCGCGACCGTGACGAAGTCAAGAAGCTGACGCAGGAGAATCGGGGTTTGGTGGTCATGGCTAAGAAGTTGGACGAAGAGAACAAGGTATTGAAGAAGAATCGTGGCGTCCAGACGAGAGGCAGTAGCGCGCAGCCGCCAGGAAGTCCCGGTATTGGCGGTGGTTTTGGGCGGCGAAGTCGCCAGAACAGTCCCGCCGTCGGTGCCAGAGATGATCGCTTGACTGTTCCTGGATCCAGTGCGAGTGCGAGGGATCGTGTCAGTGCAGTCCGGAACGATCCTTGAGTGTGATGGGGGGGCCAGGCGGCTGGCGATATCTGTTTTTGCGAGCGGGTTCGGAAAGAGTGTAGCGGAAACGAGTGGAGCTTCGGTCAAGAGATGTTTAGAGCGAGCATGATTCTCATGAACTGCATCGAGCACATCAACGAAGGCCAAGAGGTCGCGTCGCTGCCTTTCTCCAGAGACTATCGTAGGGCGGAGTCGGTGACGCAGAAATCAATGACATGCATCCTTTGCCACGAACTATTTCTATTTTGCAAGCCCATCGCACCGTTGCAGAACCACAATATTCCTGTCTCCCCCGGCTGGCTCCTGTGCTCTTCTTGAGAATGTGATTTAATGTGCATACATACATACATACATACATTACCAAAATGCTGCTTCGACGCGGTCAAATTTCATGCTCATGTTGACTATCCTATTCGATGCCGGTTGGTGGACGGGATTCGGGCGTGGAAGTGGAAGTGGAAGTGGGAAGCTCCACCCCCTGGTTGTCGTGTGCTGAGAGCAGCAACACACAGGGTACACTGCCGAAGAAGCCGTCCGTCGAAGTAGTGGCAGCAGTGGGAGTAGCGTATCAAGGACGCAGCAAGACCAACCGGAGCAAGAACGACGCATCGGACGGGGAATTGGTCAAAGGAGAGGAGAGGAGAGGAGAGGGCTGAGGCGAATAGACCAGACCAGAGCGGAAGCGGAAGCGGTGCACCATGAAACAGTCATGTATATTCCATATAGCCTGGACGAAGAACCTTGCAATACTTGCATACTTGCGTAAGGAGGCTATGGTTTGCACTTGGGCACTGATAGCTATCACCACTACTCCGCCTTTTTCCCCTTTCCCCTTTCCCCTTTCTCGTCTGACCGAGTGAGCAGAACTCGAGTTTCCCAACTCTGCTTTTCCTGAAACCTTTGTTGTTGTTGTTGTTGTTGCGGTTGCTGCTGCTGCTGCCGCTGCCGCGGTGTTACCACCACCCACTTATTGAAATACAGAGTAGTATGCCGACCCTCCCGCCGGGGCTCGAACCGTCATCACCCCTTTACATAGCAGGCCTCCCTCCCATCATGAAACTGCTCTCGCATGGCTCATGCCTGCGGAAAGAACTTCGCAAGCCTCCTTTCCCTTCCCCTCAGTCTCCCTCCAAGCCCTTGTTCCTAAATTGGAAGCTCAGTACAGACACTCGGACCCTCCGTCCCTGTTCCCTCGCCTCCTCCCGCGGCGGCGGCGAGCTCCATCACGTATAGCTGGTGCCCTTGGCGATCAGATTCTCAAAGAGAGTCTTGTCGTGGCCCGGCACGACGACGCCGCGGGTGGTGCGCTCGAGCTGCTTGAGGCGCTGTGTGGAGCGGAACCAGGCCGGGTGGTCGCGCGCCAGCCAGCCTTGGGGGATGCCGTCTCGCCACTGTTTTGTAGAAAGAAGATGGTTCGTCAGTTTCCTGTGTTTGTGTGTGTGTGTCGTTGAGAGGGGTAGGGAGGGGTAAGTGGCAACGGAAGAGCATATTGGAGCGAGACAGGTGCAGCAGGGTATGCAGGGCATGGTGGCACTGCATGGCCGGACCGGACTTACGTTTTCAATGACGTGGCAGTGGTCACTGATAAAGAGGAACGTGCCGGAGTCGGGCATGTTGATTTGCATACCAATCAAACCTATGTCAGAAGTTGTCAGCACATGACTGTGACACGCGAGGGTCGGTGGAGCAGAAGGTGCAGTGATTTACCATCCGTGTGTCCGGGCAAGTGGTGTAGCGTGAGGCCCTGGCAGAAGTCGAAGGTCTGGTCGTCAAAGGTCTTCCAGTTCAGGCCCAGCTTGAGGTAGTGCTCAAGATAGACGCCCTTGTCGGCACCCGTGGCGACGGACCAAAAGGCACTCCGCAATTCGCGGTCGTGCACCCAGATCTCCACGTCAGGCCTGTCGAGGAACTCGTCCAGCCCGCCGGCGTGGTCAAGATGAAGATGGCCGATGATGATCTTCTTAATGTCCTCGATCTTGTTGCCTGTAGCCTCGACCGCCGCCCGCAGCTCATGTCTCGGCTCATACCTGACTCTGGCAAAGACGTCGGCCAACGCGGGGCCCCATACTTCAGGATAGTCTTTCCCACAGCCGGTCTCCCATAGAATGAGGCCCTCATGAGGGTGCTCGATGAGAATGCAGTAGCAGGGGAGCTCGCGGCGTTTGTTGACAAAGGCCTTGTTCTCGGTAGATTTGGTCGAGGTGTTGCCGCCGCGGACCACGAAGGCCTCGTCGCACTCGAGCCAACCGACCTCAAGCACGTGAAACTTGGTGCCAACCGGGCATACGTTCGAGATGTGATTGGGGACGGCGCCGCGTTCGAGCTGGGATTGTATGCCTGCCATGGTATCACAGGTACTTTGTTCGTGGGCGTTGGAGCAGTTGATATAGAGACGAGTCCAGATCTGGGATAAGACCAGGCGATGATGAGACGAGTACAACAGCAGATTAGCGAACCGAGGGCAAGCAGGGAAGAGGGGCTTCAAGTATCAGCTTTCCCAGAGCGACGAGGTACCTTTCCGGTCCTGATCCATTGAGGGGTTCGCGAACTACACGCTCTGTGGTACATTTCATTTCCCCGCATTCTCGGATACGGAGGGGAAAAGGATAGTAAGCGAATCACCTTTGCTCCGGGTCACCGCAGGCTGAGCTAAGATCGGCTTCGAGACTGCCTTGAGTTTTGACGTAGTCTCGAGTCAGAGGGGTTGACGCAATGATGTGGAATCTCCAAATGTTCGGAGCGTGCACCTGAAGTTGTCGAGATTGTAGCGGCCTGCTGGGGTCAGGAGCTGGTTTGCACGAGTTTGCTCCACGAGCTGCAACATAACCAGCAGGTCTGTAGCTTTTCTGTGTAAAGCAGGCACTACGGTAGTAGCTGCGGCGAGTGTAAAGCTCGTGCGCGGAACAGAGCCGGAAGCCGGCTATCAACCTTGGTATATTCCACAATTACAATTACTGTGGAGATGACTACAGTAGGGTGTTTTGGGTGGGTGCCGAAGGAGGAAGTTGCTACTTGCAGCTCCTAGGAGTGGCTGGCTGCCTTGTGCTGTCGATCAGCGTCTCGAAAGAGTGAAACACAGCTACGCAACATGGAACAATCGAGTAACGTTCATCATGCGGAGCATATGCCTCTTGGGATTCTGCCCGTACCCTTTCCCGTGTCCGGTCTACTGTTGCTCATGGTCTGCCTTGCCATGAATTGCCGAACACACTCAGGCTTCTGGTGTCCCGACGATCTTGACAGAGTGCTAACGTTCTCCTGAAAACTCCTTGACGATATGCCATTGTCCCTGGTAGCCACAACTAATGGCGCTGGTCCCTGCCCTCATCACTCAAGCCGCCTCGGCGACGGCCCCGACCACTGCTATCAGTGCTTCTCTCTCGTGCAATATTGGCTCTCACCCGTGCTTCCTCGACACTCACGGGCTCCATGTCGCCGAATTGAAGAGCCTCGCCGCTGATCTTGCGTGCGTGGGCTCGTACGACTGCCTCATCGATTGAGATGCTCTCAAATGCACTCAAATCTGGCTCGATAGGCGCAATGTTCGCCCACTGTCCAACCTGCCCAAACTCCAGGTTCTGTCTGCCCCGTCCTCGCTGCTGATCACCGTACAATACTGGATCTGATAAGTTGAATCCGTACGTTCCCGGAGCATCCACGCCCAATAAATAAGGATCCGAGAGCGCCCGATGGGGAGCCGAGCCTGCAACGTTGTACCCTTGGCCATGACCATTGTAGCCCATGTCGGCAGTTGGAAGTGCCGTGCCGGAATCACGGGATATGTCTCGGGACATTGGCACAGAGGTATAACCACTGGGTAAGTACCTGACTACGGGCACTTCGGTATTGGTCACCGTCTTTGAATAGCTCGAGATCGGTGGAGGTCGTTCTGCTCGGCCCGGAGCGTATGCCACATTGATGTTTTCAGTTTGCAGAGGTGGTAATTGATATCGCGCACGTGTACTTGCTTGGCTGTTCAGAAGCGCCTGAACTAAGCGTGGCGACGAAGAGGGATTGCGTGAATGGGCACTTGTCACATTGGCTGTCTTGGCAAGTCCTGCCGCATCATTAGACTGAAACTCAGCAGCCAGCGGTGAAAGAGGTGCATTAGTTGATCGTGCTGCCAGCACTGGCCTCTCACTGCTTCCACGACTAGTGGATCGGAGACGGGCTCCACCTCTGCTTGCCGGTGGGCTTGATCGGTGCATTGCTGCAAGCGCTGCTTCGGCCTCAGAGCTTGAGGAAGGCCGTGAGCTTCGATGCTCCGAGCTGGTCCGTGATGACGAATGGCTCAGGTGGACGCTCGCCTGGCTCACGCTGGGAGGCACAGGCAACGCTTTCCATTCACCCAAGTCCTTGTGTGGCTTTATCCGCGGTCTGCCCTCCAGAACAGCGTGGAGTACAGAACTCCGCCGTGATCGAGGCGAAAGCGCATGACCAGGGGTTTCTGTGGCATTGGATACCCATGAGCCGTCATCAGAGAGGATAGCACTTTCAGAAAGAGCACTCATAGGGTCCACTTCGGACGAGGTGTGCATCTGAGAATGCATTTGGGTGGGTGATTCCGACGGTGCTCGCTCCGAATCCAAGCCCCATGTCGATGCTCGACTCGGGGAGCTCAGGTCGATCGATTGAGTCTCCTCTGATGTGCTGGAAGACCTCTCGAATATCGAACTCTGATACAGCCTACGGCTGCTGTCAGACGCCTGTGACGGTGACTGATTCTGTATCTCGCGCTTCACCATCGCGAGCACTGCGCGGACCTCCCGTCGCGCTGTGCGCAATTCTTTGGTAGCATTGAGCGAAGTCTTCGGGAAGAACGAAAATAGGCGGGCAGCTTGTGCTTCGTACTCCCGGTAATCACGGATGAGGCCGGCTCCGGATGATTTGTGCATCTTATCGCTGGCGACATCATACGAGTACTTGAGCAGACGAACAGAGGCTCCTAGCCACCACCAGTAATCGTGCTCACCCGCCAGCGGCCTCTCTTTGAGGTCATCGCGAATCACATTTTGGACAACAGTGTGTATGCGGAGAGTGTCGATTACAGATTGCGTGGAGGCCACTGACATTCGAGTGCCCCTAGATTCGAATCGCGTGACCACAAGATCTTCCAGCCCGCTTGACTCTTCGGTGATTTGTGCAGGAGGCGTGTTTTCCAAGGTTCTAATGGTGATGGATCGGGTTTGTCGGCTGTTACCCTGGGTTGGGGGTCCGGTAACACCTTTGATTGACCTCGACTCTTCAGGCGAGGAGCTGCCCGATGAGCGCGACCATGTTTGCAACGTTCTCTCCAGGAGACCACTGCGCAGAAGGATAGAGATGGAGCTATCAAGGTCGGTCCTGGTGCTATTGGCATATTTGGGTGATAGCACATCTATGTTGTATGGAGATTCTGTCAATCCTTTGTAGCCGTAACGAATGAGAGCCACCGGTACATGATGAGTGAAGAAACTCAAGAGATTGACAAGGTTGACAGCTTCGTCACGTCCTTGTGCGCGAAGGCCAGAAATAATGTCGAGAAAGGGGGTGATCAGACGAAGATCGGTGGACGCGTGGGTGTATCTGTCGAGGGATTTGCCGCGCTCAATGAGCGCGTGGGCAGCGGCATGGACACCTAGTGGCAGGTAGTCATTGTCTTTGACGAGCTCGAGCGCTTTTTGCGTCTGAAGTTGCGACGGATGTCGTATGCCTAGGTTCCGGTACAGCAGATCTGTGGCGTCACTAACGGAGAGCTTGCCGACCTTCAATGCGGAGGGGTTGAGAAGGCGGTGTCGATGAGCTAGAGTCCTGTCGACAGATGTGAAGATCTGTTGAATGAGTCAGTGGTTCCCCCTGGAACAGGTCTTGCCGGCATCTTGCTAAGCAAGAGAGAAGGAAGTGGTTAGGGGCCAGGCTTACGATGCAGTTACCGCTCTGGTCGGGGATATACTTGCGGAAAGCGTCAAGCGACTCTTCCGTCTCGAACAACACACCGTCGAAGACCAACAACCACCCCTGCATAGATTCCAGACGTTGTCGTACAACGTCTGCAAAATCATCTGGGCCAGGCGGGACGGTTCGTCGATCACGCTCCTGCTCTAGCGCCCCAATGCTGACGCCGATATCCCACAACCCTTTCGTGATCGTTTCGGTCGTTTTACAGTCGATCCAAAAGGAGCCCTCAGGATAATCGAGGCGGTGCTTGTAGAAGTATTGCCGGGTGAGGTGAGTCTTGCCGCATCCCACTTCACCCCATACCAGCACGGCGCAAGAGCCCATATCTCGGCGAGCCTCATGCTGAAGCCGCTTATGTAATTTTCGAAGTTCATCTTGAAAGCCGACGAAATGCGCATTGGGTCTAAAGCCAAGAGGTGTGACCACTCGAGGACCTTCAGCTGAGTCTGAGATTCGGTGGTCGGCTGACGGCAAATCGTGGACTGAAGATACTACGCGTTTATAAGTCAGCGGACACGCCAAGACACGAGGCCACTGACCGTGATACAGCGCAGCCGAGTACGAGAAGGGAAAGTCATTCAGAGGTTGTTAATCAACTCGATCGAGAGGATCATGACATGACTCAGATGATGCGAGGAAGCCCGGACCGCCGATGAATGATGAAAAATGGCTGTGATGAACACAGCGGCTTTCATCGTCGAAGTGGTAGAGCCACATCATCGTCGACCTCCTCAACCTCGTACTCGGCTTGATGTTGCTGTGCTGGGAGTGATTTGGGGGGAGGCGCACCCATTGAGTTTCCCACTGAGTTACCCGTCGAGTTGGCGTGGCTCATCTGACCCGAAGTTGTTTGGGAAGTCGGTTGAAGCGCATCGAAGCCAGATGTGCTATCGCGTAGGATCTCGCGAGCAGCATCTTGTCTCTCTAGCTCACGTATACGGCGCTCTTCCTCCCAACGAGTTCGGATGAGGCTTGGAGCATCGTCAGCGTATCGTTGCAGGGCCTCCGCAACCACCTCGTAGCCGGGAGAGTTATCGTTCTCGAATTTGCACATGTGACTGTGGTCGCGCTCGATTCCCATACGCTCAACGCCCTCGATGACAGGGGCGGCGGAGTCCTCCTCTACCACAAGCATCCTGGTGCCTTTGAAGTCCATAGGCTTCGACTCGTGGAAGAAATAGACGTGGAACCGGCCAATGATCTCAATGAACAACCTGTTGATGTTTTGAAGGGTTTCGTTGTTGGATTTGAGAGCCTGGACTAGCTGTGGCGATGAGTCCATAAACTTCTTGGGGAGTACTGCATGACTGATGCGTTCGAGTAATGATCCCCATTTGGCGATGTCACTACCGTTGTGCGGCGTCCCCAAAAACAGAATGCCATATGTAGAGACGAAAATGCTTCGCTGCCTCTCGATGTGCCCATGACGGACATTTTTCGAGTGAATCAAACATCTCTTCACTACCAACCCCCCCAGCGAGTGACAGACGAATACGATAGGTCTTTCAATCGCTTTCTTCAACTGTTGAGGCTCGTCAGCATGGTGCACATGTTAGACTAAAATCGCTGGTAACGAGCTTGGGCGAATGAGCAAGATGGTAAGGGGACACAGAGAGTATCGCCGAGACACACAATCAAGCCGACGACAGCCTGCATCCTTCTGTGAATCATTGACTTGTGGAACGTACCGATCGGTTAGCCACCAGCCGACTGGCTAGATGCTCAGCATGGTTGTGAATCTTGTCTTTCGAAGCTCCGTCGGAGAAGGCAGTGACTTGGGCATCGTAGCCGTAGGTAAGGATTCGACACCGCTGGTCTTGGACTGCCTCGGGCAGGAGGTCGGTGGGCCAAAAGACCTCGGGATTGTGAGTTGCCCAAGTGTTATACGCGTGCCCGTTCAGGCCATGGACAAAGACAATGTCGACCAGGGGTTCGGGCGAGGTGTATACCTCAGAAAGGCCAAATTGGTTAATCCGGTCTGCAAGAGGTACAGCACTCATGGCGCCCAAGCTCACAGGACTGTTGTGTTGCAGTGGAAAGTATATCGATGAGGACGCCCATGCTACAGAAGGGCGCTGACAGAGGGTCTTATACACGGTACAGGCAAATAGTCAGATGATGGTGACCAGTCACCAGGTCACCTGGTGAGCAATGCTCTGGTGCTTTCTACTAAGGCTGCCGCTTTGTGCAGGCGCAGTTGAGTGTAGGCGAGATCTGGGCCAAGGCAAGGCCCCGGGATCATCGCATCGATGTGCGGCCCGCAGTGCCTTAGCCCGGGGGCCAAACCCATTTTAGGCGTCGCTTCTGAGACGTTTTTGTGGCGATGCGGGGGACCAAAGCACCAATTAGTCATGGAATTCATGCCTAGAAACGCTTTTGGCATGCCTTCTTTGGCCCTGGTGCTTGTCTGCTTCGCCTACAAGGTTCTGGAGACTTCAATACTCCGTATGTAGCTCAATGCACAAAGGTTCGTCTGGAGGGAACTTTGGGCCTGCAGACGTCGAGGCGGAAGCCTGCGACTGGTCAAGCGGATCGGCAGTCATCTGCACCCTGTTGTGTGCGTCACCAAGTGCCTGATGACCCCCTTTCAAGCACCAGAGGTACTTCCAATCAGCCACCAGGCGTCACGGAACAGGAGGCGTGCTCTTCCGTACCCTGCACATGTCACTTCCCCGGACAAGCTAGGGATCGGCAATGTTGGGCGTCGTCTATCGACCCTTGAATGCAGGTTTGCGCTTCTCTGCAAAGGCCCGCAGAGCCTCAACGCGGTCCTCTGTCTGCAGAATCATGTCATAGGCAGCATTCTCCGAGGCTTCGCCCTTTGGCCAGCCTTCGATGGCCTGCATTGCCGCCTTCAACGCCACCGGTCCACCCTCGCAGATGTCTCTCGCCAACTGCAGGCTGGCATCAAGGACCTTCTCACGCGCCACTCCCTCCTTCTTCGCTTCTTCGGACGTTACTTCAACAAGACGGTCGCACAGCCCAAGGAAGTATGCCTCAGCACCTGTGACTCTTCGACCTGTTAAGATGAGATCTCTTGCTCGGTTGACTCCAATCAAGGGTGGAAGACGGTAGGTGCCACCTGCGCCCGGGATGATTGCCAATCTTGTTTCTGGAAGACCCACAAGGGCCGTTGAGCCAAAGACACGGAGGGTGGTACAAAGTCCAAGCTCGAGACCGCCTCCCAACGCGGTCGAGGATATGGCCGAGATGGTAGGTACTGGGAGATTCGCAAGCTCGGTGAACGTGGATCGCAGGTGAGTCAAAAAGGCACCGACGCTAGATCTTATCAGTACATCCTTGCGGTACGAGTTGGAGGATTGCCTACTCCGCCTGGGACATGCCTCTCCTCTCCTTGAGATCAGCACCTGCGCAAAACGCTTTGTCGACGTTGCTGGCCACAATCAGAGCTCTTGTTCCTCCTGTACCACCTTCGGCTTTAATTTCGTCCACATGACGCCTCAAGTCTGTAACCAACTGCTTTGAAAGGGCGTTGCGTGATTCTGGCCTGTCGAGCAGCAACACGCGGATTGTTCCAGAATGAGGGGCTGGATGATTTTGTAGCTGTATGGTAGATCCTTGGGCGGCGGCGGCATAGTGTCGTGTCTGTCCTACCCGAGGAGAACGCACGAGCGTCCTCAATCTGGACGTGTGCCGCATGATGTATACTGCGCTGGTGGGCAAAAGGGAGCAAGAGCTCGAGATTGAGTATGGTGTGCGGAGAGGAACGCGCCGCAAGTAGCCGAGGCTCGCGTCAAGGATCCCCGAGCAAATCAAGACTTGGCAGTTGACGTCACATCTCAATACTGAAGTCGAAGCCAGGCTCAGTCTCACCAGGAAACCTGACACGACGCTCCACCAGCACGAGACCGTGAAGCGAAATAATCTATAAGTCCAAGCCAAGCCACCACACGAGCCAAAAGTTAGACCATTGAACAAAAAACGGACAGTCAGATCAGGGACACGACACTGCTCTGAAGAACGCCTTGCATCCAACTATCATTGGATCTACTGAAGAGACCTCCTCAATTCATCCTGTCATTGAACTCGGACTAGAAAAATGGCCGCTACAACAGATCCCCTTCACGACACGATCCTGGATCTCGAAGATCAGACTTGGAAAGCACTGCAACGCACTGGCGCTGCCCTGATCCCATTCTTGTCAAAAGACTGCCAGATGCTCTTCCCGATGGGAGTTCGAGTCACTGCCACATCGACCCCGAACCTCAAAGAAGTGATGACAAGCGAAGCTTTCGTGCCATGGGTGTCGTATGATATGCATGAGGTCCTAGTCACGGAACTGGGTCCCGATACGGCTCTCATCACTTACAAGGTGCAAGCTCTGCGACCGCAAGTGGGTGCTCCTGATGATGGACAACCATTCAAGGCCCTGATAGCCAGCGTCTGGAGGAGGAGCCCCGGGGCTGACTGGTTGATGGTACTTCATCAGCAGACGCCTTATTCGGAGCTCGTGGAGGAATAGGCAGGTCCCAGCAGGTGTTTCGAACATTATGTGTTTTGGAGTGCAGCGGCATTACAATTTGTACTTGTATGACAGTTCTCCGTGGCCCAGGATGCCGTTGCAATCACTGAGGCAAACGACTTCAGTCCGTGAAAATGCCGAGCTCTGGGGGCGGCCGCCAAGGGGATATTGTCCTACATCGATCCTCGTTCAACCGTAGCAGCAACAGGGGCTCCTACGGGCGAATCTTCGTAGCTAATCGTCTAATCACTCCCTTGAATGTGTAGCTGCAGAGGCAAGCATGTGAAAGAGCCCCAAAGTCGCCTAATGCAAGATGACGAAATGATCCATGGGAAGCGACCGTTTGCGCGAAATGCGGAGAAGCCTCCGGTCCTGACGTTGGTTTGGCAACGTCAGGTGCCACTGACGCAGTGGACAGAGCAGCTGGAACCCCAGCTTCCCAGCATTGCACAAAATCTGCCATTTGTACCTCTTTCGAAGCTCTTTCCATCACTGCACTCAGTCCAATCATCTCGTTCAGTAAACCTCTACCTCAAACCAAGACAGCATACCACGAAGCATTGCAAGATGTCGTTTCTCTACCGCAGCACACCCCTCCTCCGCACCTCCGCCACCACCCTGACCTCACAATCAACTCGCTGCTTCTCGACATCCCTCGCTCAACGTAATGTCGTGAAAGACGCAGCCAAGAAGGTCGACCGCACCGTATCAGACCAGCTCGTCAAGGGCATTGACAAGGGCAGTACGTAACACACCTCTCTAACCCCCAACAAGAATACACACCCTCTAACCAGTCCTCCCAACAGTTGAAGCCAAGGATGCCGTTGCCGAGGTCGCCGGTGTCGACACCCAGAAGGCCAAGGCCAAGGCTGAGGAGCTCAAGGGCGACGCAAAGGCAAAGGGCGAGCAAATGAAGGGCCAGGCCAACGCCGCCAAAGAGGAGGCCAAGGCTAAGATCTGAAGTGGCCGCCCGTGCTACCGATGATTTTCCATGAGCTTTGCATGTTCTGCGGGTAGACTGGCGAAGCTGATAAAAGCGGTGTCCCATTCATCATGAGTTGAGCTGGATTGATTTCAATCCCCCGCAGAAGGAGTCCTTTTTTGAGCGGGGTTTCGGCCCATGACAACATGTATCAACATAATACATTCATCCCCAATCAAGCAAGAATGAAAGAGATGTGCGGAGGGTTGTACAGTGCTGGCTAGGTAGCATCGTTGAAGCCGCGATAGCTAATAGCAAAGTTCCGCATAGACTCACCTTCTGGTCTTCTAACCTGCCGTACCGCCCTCGTCTTTCTTGTCTTCCCTTGGCGGTAGCTGCACCAAATACTCCCTTTCACTGTGACCAAACTTTACTACATCTCCATTCCTCACCTCATAGTATTTGGCCTTCCCAATATCAACCCCATTGACCGTGGTACCATTGACGCTCTCCAAATCCAGCACATAGCCTTTGACCCTGCCCTTCTTCTCCCCCCACTCCCCCCTCTCCTCCCGCCACCGCCACTGCCACACCGCATGCTGCTTACTCGAGCTCCCATGCTCAAGCATCACGTCGCACACCGCCGGCTCCCGGCCGAACAGCCAGCAACTCTGGCTCCCCAGCTCGATCGTCTCCAGGATCTCGTCCCCCTTGAAGACGTACATCCGCCAGGGCTGCGACGCGGGCGGCTTCCGTGCCTCGGGCGGCTCATGGAACTTGAGCACGATGGACCGATTGGCGGTGCGGATGGTGTTGGCGGCGGCAGCTAACCGTCCCGTGGGCGCCCAGTTGGGCTTTTCCTTTTTCTGCACGTTGCCATCTTTGTCCTTGTAGGTGTCGCTGTCGACGCCGGTGAAGGCATCGTTTTGTGACGGAAGAGGGCCGCGTGAGCGCTCGAGCGGCTTCGGCGAGTGGGACCGTGAGTGTGGTCGACGGCGGTGGTGGTGGTCGTCTTTACGTCTGTCCCCTCCTCGATGGTGGCCGTTGCGGGCGTCTCTGCTTCTTGATTGGGGTCTCGGCGACGCGCGAGCGCCGTTCCTGTACTCTGGGCTTCTCGATTCATTTCTTCGCGGCTTATAGATTGGGCTTGATGATCTATGTCTGCTGTACCTCTGCTCTGGTGTCACTGATCTTCTTTTCCGAGGACGTTCCTGGCTGCGCGACCGACTGCGCTTGTGGCGTCGGTCATGCTGACTGTCCTTACTCCGGGGGTCTCTAGCGTAATGTTCAGGGCTATCGCGCCCACTAGGTGATCTCGGTCTCGCCCTCGGTCGCCCATTGTCACGCTGGTAGTGGGAGTCCGACATATTTCGGTGTGGGGCAGGCTCTAGTTTGCGGTCATGCCCGCGTTCCTTGACTTTTTGAGTTGGGACCAAGTCCGTTTGTCAGCAAGTGGTGTGGGTGGTCGTAGTTAGCACTGCATTTGTGTCTGGACCGGAACAACTTTCGACGCGATTTTGTGGCGGGAGGAGATAACGGCAACAATCTCCTAGCCTACTAAGTTCTAAGCGGTTTAACGCAACAACCCCGGACCAACTTCATTTCAAAGGACGGGGGCAGTGATCAATCAACTCAGCCATCTCACGCGGTCAAGGCCTATCGCGGTCAAACTATAACGGATGATGCCGAGTATCCGGTATCGAGTCCTATGGACACTCTGAACCGTACGGTAGACATTCCTCATGCTGCACTGCAAGATGAATGCTATAAAAGAGGCTGTAGACCTTCCTCCTTGTGAGTTCGTAATTCATATCACACTGGCAGTGAACACAGCGTCACGAAACGCATTGCTCAACCATCACATCGTCAATTAGTACAATACATATTTGCTATCTAATAGTTGCACTCATCGCGAGTTCTACCTCTCGAAGCCAACGACTACAAGCATGCTCTGGCTCGTCACTGGCTGCTCTTCCGGCTTAGGCCTCAGCCTAGCCAACGCGATACTCGATGCCGGCCACCAATGCATCGCATCTTCGCGCAACCCATCCAAGACTCCCGAGATTGTTTCCAACTTTGAAAAAAAGGGTGGAAAGTGGATTACCTTGGACATTTCCAAACCTGATGTCGAAGAAGTGATCGCAAAGGCTGTCGCAGATCATGGTGCCATTGATGTTCTAGTGAACAATGCCGGCTATCCAGTCGTTGGGCCGCTTGAGAATCAACCGCTCAAAGACGCTCGCGACCTCTTCGAGACCAATTTCTTTGGATACATCCGCACCATCCAGGCCGTCGCACCCTCCATGCGTGAGCGCAAGTCTGGTACTGTTGTCAACATCGGTTCCTCCGAAGCCTGGCAAACGAACCCGCTGTTAAGCATCTACAGCGCTTCAAAATGGGCGCTAGAGGGCCTCACCGAGACCATGGCTGCGGAGCTCGGGGTGTTTGGCATCCGCACCTTGATCGTCGAACCCGACGCCATCCGCACCGAGTTTGCCAACTTGGAGTCGCAGGACGTGCCAGGCTTTCTCACGCGTATGGAGGCCTACAAGGGAACCTTTATCGAGCACGTGTCCCAGTTCTTGATGACCATGCACGGCACCCAAGCCATCGATGCAGCGAAGGCGGCCAAGGCCATTGTTGCAGAGGTTACGACGCCTAGCTCTGACCCTCCCTTGCTGAGGTTGCCCCTTGGGAAGGAAAGCACCAAGAAGTTGAAGGCTAAGGCAGAGATGTACGCTTCGATTGCAACTGCTACGGAGGGTGTTGCAGCTTCTGTGGACTTTGATGCCTAGACTCTTCCTGGCAGAAGTCATTGGACAGCCACCATGCCCAATACAGAAACCATTCTTTATCCTGTAGAAAATATTTCAATATGGATTTTGGTCCCCTTCTCCCAGGCTTTCGCTTTACAAGATTCGCAGGGCAAAATTAGCCTTGCTTCCTAACTCGACATCTGCTATGTGGACATAGTGAGCTGCCTCTTAGAAAAGTTTTAACGGTCCGCTTGCTGAGTCAGAGCGCCATATTGCAAGACATGCAGTATATGGTATTGTCATGGCGACAAGGAGACCGAGAACAGGCGCTTGACTTCGTAAAGGTGGAATGCCTCGCGGATCGACACCAGCCTAGAGTAGCCCATACATCAAAGGAGATATACGCAGCGCACATGCTGAAGCAAATCACTCCAGGCCGGGATTCCAGTCCGCTGCCGGGACCAAAATTCACTGCCTGAAAGTCTTGGCGTTCGGGCCTGTTGAGTGTTGGACGGACGGGAGCGGGGGCACCCAAGTTCCGAAAGTACGGTCACATGTTGGCCTACCATGAGCTTTCAAGCGTCAGCATCGACCATATCAACGGCAAGTACCTTCAAGCTGTTTCTCGCATCTCAGACGTCGTGTTGAAGTGGCCGGACGATTCCGGCGGAATTACGGGTGGACAGGGCAAGGTCTTGGCGTCGGCCGCCGCTCAGCAACACGGTGTAATGCGGCCGTCCGGGCGAGGACCGAGCCTACCCTCAGATTCTGGTGGTAGAGGACCATGCAGCGCTGGGCAAGGACTTCGGACCACGCATCAAGGCGTCTTGATAGCACTATGCTCAAAGAAGCTATCATACATGTACTTGTTCTGTCTCGTACACAAATGGCGCTGGTCACGGTACTCCCCAAATTCGTCCGTATCCCGTGCCGGAGTAATGCGGCCGATGCAGCATCCCCGCATCCTGCTACCTACACCCCTGATGATCCTGGGATTGCATTTCGAAGCCAACCCAGGAGCGATCCAGGGACATTGAGGCAAAATTGCAATTGTTTGGAGCAGCACCGCGTCATGACCTGACGAAAGGTGTCTCCGCCCTCATGTAGATTTGGCGGAGATAATGGCGATATCGAAGCTTCTCGGCCAATTGAAGGATCGGAAGTATCTCCCAATGACGATAGTCTAGATTTCATCAGAAGGCTTCTGTGGTGAATGTATAAGAACCGCGTGTCGCCAGCCGTTCCATAGACCTTGCCACCATCAGCATTTACTACCCACAGCTCGTCGAGCAGTAACACTCCTCGACCGGAAACCACTAAGCGCGCAAATAGTTCCCCAACATGTCGCTATTCGAACCGGCCCCCGACCCACCCACCGAGCTGGGACGGGTCCGCGTGCTCGCCGCCAGAGCTGGCGTGCGTGTTTCGCCGCTGCAGCTGGGCGCCATGTCCATCGGAGAGGCGTGGAAAGCCGGTATGGGCAGCATGAACAAGGAGCAGTCGTTCAAGCTCCTGGACGCCTTTTACGAGGCGGGCGGCAACTTCATCGACACCGCCAACAACTACCAAGACGAAGAGTCGGAAACGTGGATTGGCGAGTGGATGAAGGAGCGCAAGAACCGTGACCACCTCATCATCGCGACCAAATATACGACACCTTACCGCAGCTATGAACTGGGTAAGAACAGCCACAGTGTCAACTACTTTGGCAACCATAAGCGGAGTATGCATGTCAGCGTGCGGGATAGCTTGAAGAAGCTAGGAACCGACTGGATTGATCTGTAAGCCTCATCGTCCGGACTGCCTGCAGCATAGCTAATGTTCGAAGTTTGTACCTGCATTGGTGGGACCACTCATCCAGCATCCCGGAGATCATGGACTCGTTACATATACTCGTCGAACAAGGCAAGGTGATGTACCTTGGCATCAGCGACACGCCCGCTTGGATTGTCTCTGCCGCCAACGAGTACGCCATGGCCCACGGGAAGACCCCTTTCTCCGTCTACCAAGGTCGTTGGAATTTGATGATCCGGGACTTTGAGCGCGACATCATCCCCATGGCACGACACTACGGCATGGCACTGGCGCCCTGGGACGTTCTGGGAGGCGGCAAGTTTCAAACCAAGAAGGCCATCGAAGAACGCAAGAAGGCCGGAGAAGGCCTGCGTACCATGATGGGAGCATCTGAGCAGACAGAGCAAGAGCGAAAGATCAGTGATGCGCTTGAGGATGTTGCCAAAGAGGTGAGTCCTCCCAGAACATGCCCTCCATCTGATGTGTTGCTGACCTTTCCCAGCACGGCATCGAATCCGTCACGGCAGTGGCACTGGCCTACGTGATGGCCAAGACCCCTCGCGTCTTCCCCATTGTTGGCGGTCGCAAAGTCGAGCATCTCAAAGACAACATCCAGGCGCTCTCGATCAAGCTCAGTAACGAGCAGATTGAGAGGCTCGAGAAGGCGTCCCCCTTCGCTCCAGGATTTCCTCAGAACGTAAGTCTTCCAGCCCCATCAATGCCAGGATTCCAAGCTAATCAATCACAGTTCGTTGGCGAGGATCCAGGAATAGTTGGCACAGCGCAAGGTGGTCCCTTATTGAAGAATGCTGCACCACAGGCGTATGTGCAGAGAGAAAGGGCGATTGGCCGCGAGTAGGTAGGCAAAGCATGCGAATAGTTGGGTAGCACTCATTCAAAAGTCGTCCTACAAAGAATAGTGTACGTTCACTGCCTCTTGGACGCCTGGCCAGAATGCTTTGCTAAATCTGCATCCGATGCGGAGATGGTGCCGCTCTGGTTTCATTATTCAGCGCTCGTAGCGATGTCGGTCTAGTCTCCGTAGCCAATCATATCATTTTCCTATTCGTCGTCGATGGCGTCATGCGTATAAGACGTTTTGGTGTCCCAGATCAAAAGAGGAAGCATACCCTCCATCATCAATTACTAAAGGATCTCCGGACTTCTCACGTCGTCGCATCAACTTGAGCGAATTTACACGGCTGTCGGTATATAATCGCAGGGTTCTCTGTAAGTCAACTACACACACACCCACGAAACCCACGAAACCCACAATCGCCACACAGTCCCCATCCTGATACCACCGAGGCAAATCCAGCACTCATGCCAAACACAGCACTCTTCCAACAGTCCCTCCGCCCACTAACACGCTCCAAGCCCACAACCTCATTCACCGCACTCACACTCAGCCAAAGCCAGCGTCACATATCCACCGACCTCTCCTACACCAGCCCCTCCCCATCACCAACCATGACAACCTCCACATTCAAGTATCTCAACCGCTCCTCCATCCAACCCACCACCAAACCCTGGGCCAAAGTCGACGGCCCGGGCACCTCCTTCACCCTCTCAGACCACACCAAGCCCGTAACCGACCTCCGCTCCGTCCCCAACCCCAACACCTTCACAACCGACACCTCCGGCTTCTCCGTCCACCACGCCCCCTCCACGGAAACGCTCTTCACCGACGACACCGCCATCCGCACCGGCTACTACGACGAAGTAACCAACCTCCTCAAAACCTCCCTTCCAGGCGTCAGCAAAGTCGTCATCTTCGACCACACCATCCGGCGCCACGACCCCACCTCCCCGCGCCAGCCCGTGCAGCAGGTGCACGTGGACCAGACCCCGCGCGCCGCCGAGGCGCGCGTGCGTCGCCACCTCCCGCCCCAAGAGGCCGACGACCTGCTCAAGCGCCGCTACCAGATCATCAACGTCTGGCGGCCCATCGGCCACCCGGCTAGCGACTACCCGCTCGCGCTCGTCGACTGGCGCAGCACGCAACCGCGGGACTTCGTCAAGGTGGACCTGATGTACCCGAAACGCGACGCCGCCGCCGACGACGCCGCCGCCGCTGCAGCGACAAATGGCGTAAACGGCACAGCTTCGGCCGATGACAGTGACGACCGCGGCAAAGAAGTCCTCCCCTCCCCCTCCAGCAAGGACAGCACGGTCGGCTACGAAGTCAAAGGTGAGACTCTGGTCGTCGCGCCCAACGATTCCCACCAGTTCTACTACGTCAAGGACATGACGCCCGAGGAGGCCATGTTCATCAAGTGCTTCGACAGCCGCAGCGTGTGGATGAATGACGAGGGGTACGTCAGTGGAGAGGAGGGAGAGGCAAAGGTGCAGGAAGGAACGGTGCAGGGAAAGGGAGAGGGGAGGGACGGCGTGGCGATGGGGACGGCGCATACGGCTTTCATTGACCCGAAGACGCCGAAGGGGAGCAAGGGGAGGGAGAGCATCGAGGTGAGGTGTTTGGTGTTTTACGAGGAGGGGGCTTGAGGTTCCCGCAAAGGCAGGCGAGAGGCATTGCTCGAGTGACGGTAACGATCTAATGATGATGGTGGTAGTAGTAGTAGTAGGATACTGCAAAGGGGCATGGAGTTTTTTGGGCGAACTTTGGGAGCGGCATGGAATGGAATTAACACGGCAGGAGTAGCAGGACGCAGGATATATACGTGGCGTAGCGTGGCACAGCACAGCACAGCACAGCACAGCACAGCATGTATACATAATAAGGAGCGACAGTATATTTCCATCTTTGAGACGGGCTATCAAAGAGAGTTGCTGCCCGTGCTCGATTGCAGGACCCGTTAGACGTATACACGGTCATCCGTACTTCTCTTACTCCTTGCACTCCTCGTGTCTCTGCTCCCACACCTTCAGAGCCTCCTCCGCGGCCTTGACACCGCTCAGCACCATGGCGCCAAACGTGGGGCCCATGCGGTTGCTGCCGTCCAGCTCACTGAGCTCCATGCCACCAAAGATCAGGCCGGGCACCACCTCGCGGGTGCCCTTGACGATGGCGTCCTCGGCGGTATTCATGTCCAAAGGCCGCATGCCACCGAGCGTGATAGCGCCCATGCTCGCGAGGCGCTTGGCGCAGAAGGCGCCAAAGGGTCCATCGTGGCCCGTTGTGCTGATGACGAGCGGCGCGTTGATGGTGTTGGGGTCCATGCACGAGTGCTCGTCGTGGTGCTGCGTCACGAGCGTCCAGTTGGTGACGACGCCCACGACGCGCACGCCGGTGGGGCCGTCGCGCGTGACGAGGTCCTCGACGCACGTGGCGTTGAAGAGCTTCACGTTGGGCATCTCGAGCACGCGGGATAGCAGAGTGCCCATGAAGTACGAGGCGTGCTTGACCACGACGTAGTTGCCCTCGTCCTCGTAGGCGACTCCGAGGTCGTCTGTTAGGCTTGCGTTAGTGTACTGCACGGCAGGTTGACAGGAGGGAAGGTCACGAACCGAGGAACTTGTCAGCGGGCTTGCGCAAAACCATGGCGCTGAAGAGCTGGCCGCCCAACCAGCAACCGCCACCAGGAGAGACGGAGGCCTCGATAATGGCGATCTTCAGGTCCGGGCGTGCCTTGGCCAGGACGTAGGCCGTGGACAGGCCGCAAGAGCCAGCGCCGACGATGACGACGTCGCTCTCAGCATAGACGTCAAGATCCTTGAAGTAACGGCGAGTCATGGCACGCGAGACCTGCGACTCGCGGATGGGATTGAACGCGAAGGTCTCCCACTTATCGGCAAAGCCGTCTAGCAGCTTGGTGTCGGCTTTGTTGCCGTCGGCCTGCAGGGTGACTTTGCCATCCTGGACAGGAAGGTCCTTCACGTGCTTGGTGGTACCAGTGTAGCCGTCGAATTCGGCGGGATACACAGCAGAAGGAGGAGACATGGTGGCGGTAGTCGTTGACTAGGTAGATTTGCAGATTTCCTAGGTCATGTTAGGACCACAAGATGGGTCAAGGGGAAGGAGGGGGAAAGAGAAGAGCATGTTTCTTTCGCAGGTATAATCCTGATCAAGTTCAGACCGTATAATCTCAGGACGTTACGCTTGCCGACATTCCCACCTCGTCTCCATCCTGCAAGAAACTGGATGGGTGGACGAGGAGAAAGACAGCTTGCCATACGAACACCGGCCATGCTCATCTAGCGTCCAGACCCAAAAAGGATCGTAGAGGCTTGATGTGTTTGAGGTTACCTTGACCATGACAGAAGCCCACGCTATGGTGGGCGGGACGGAGCGAAAGACAAGACATGGCTCTCCATCTTGGGTAGATGGGGAGATGTACTTGCTGGAGAAGCGCTGGTCTGATTGTGTTAGCAAGATCTTGATGGGGGTTGGTACATACTGCTTGTGTTGTTCGAGCTTGATAAATGTAGGAAAGAAAGATCCGGGCAAGGTCGGAAATGGCGAACGATCTTTTATGTTTTGGTGCAGGAGGGGTAGTCGCCCGTTGTCGGACAAGACGCGGGGCATCGATGGGTTATCTCTGACCACTTGGGATATCACAAGCCTCGTTGGTAGTGGCCTCTAGGCATACCCATCCAGTCAGCAAGCAACTAGGGAGGTTGGATATACTATCCGAGCCCCTACATTGGATGGCGGAAGTGGATGCCGAATACCAGGATGAAAGCACACTGGTCTGCTACTGCAAGCGAAAAAGTCCCCACTTGTTGACGTGCTTGAAATATTGATATCTACAAACGATGCAGAACGATTGACAGATACATAGATGCGTGCTATGCTGCTTGGGGTATCATGACACACAACCCCTAATATGCCGTGCGCTGACATAAACGCCTGATGACGGTGGCTTCGTGCGGATATGTACTGTCCGTATATCCTCATCCTCATCCTCATATATCGACGCCTGTAAGTCTTCTTCTCCTTGAGCCCTGGGCCCTTTCGTCGTAAATGGTCCATCTTCTTCACTATGTCCTGCTGCCATCTCCTAGATCAGGCGAGCACCCATTCGGCTCCTCTCTTCAAGAACTTGTCAACCAGTATGTTGATATCGGCCATCACGAAACGAATCATGAAAAAGGCAAAGAATTCAGCTGCGCTCCTGACACTGAGCTCGAGGCCGACATGGGTTTTGTTGGAGGCTTTCAGACCAGGATCCTCCACTTGCCTGGCGATGGCATCAAGAATCTGTGCCGCATCAAACAATCGGGCCAAGCTCGACATATACGTTGCGTGCATGACCGGGATATTGGTGAGCTGACTCGGCGTTGGTGGCGCGATCTTGTGCCGGTGCCCATTGCCCCTCGACGAGGTTTTGACTGAATTCGACGACGTCATTGGTAATGACGGCATTGTCAGTGCTGCTGCAAGTGCTGGGTCTTTTGATACACCTCCCCCACCGTTGGGCATGGCGGGAGTGCTGGATTTGGACCTGAGCTTCCTCCACCCAGACGCAAACGACTTCGCTGCAGAGCTGGATGTTGGTGTCTTTACCGACATCGGATCCGTCTCATCTGTGGGTGATTTGAACACGTTGGTCGAGTGCGAAAGTCCCACTTCATTACCCATCTTCTTCTGTAGCACGACACGCACTCTCTCAAGCTCATTCTCAAACGATTGCATCGCGATGAGCATCGCATCCGCGTCGTAGTTGTCCACCTTCGCTAGGCCAAGAAGGGCAGCGGTCAAAATATCGCACTGCGAGATTTTGTCCTCCAAGAATCTTAATTTGACATTCTTAACGCGCCAGATGTCTCGTGGGAGGAAGAGATTGGTCGTCAAATATCCGCCACGAGGATGAGCAACAACTTGATACAGACATCGCATCAGCCACCACGGCCGTAAGAGGAAGGATTCGGGACAGGGCTCCAGTGGAACGGGCGGGTCTGCCTGTGGTGCGTCGTCCGGCGAACGTGGCGTTCGTGGAGATGCTGCAGTCCCGATGTGGTCGTCGAAGAGGTGCCAACCACCGGAGAATGAAGCTTGGTGGGTGAATGTTGCGGTGGTCGGTGTGGGAAGAGGGGGCACATTGTTCTTCCTGTCACCGAACATTCCCGAGGCTGAACCCATCGCACTGCTAGGCGTCAACGGAGACGGGTCGTCGTTGATACCGCTAACAGACAGATTCTTCTGCCTGAGGCTTGTCGAAGACACATTCTTCCTCATGACCGTGGAAGGAGGAGGCATCATCTTGCTGAGTTTAGCTGGTGATGAAGGTGCCGCACTTGTTTCGTCCATACTGTTTCTTGAACCACCTTGGGTCAATGCGGGAGTTGCTGGCGATTCGCTTGCCTGAGACTCGTTCGAATGAACGGATGTGAGCGGTGTGACTGGTACAGTCCCGGTTGAGGGAGGACCAGGAGGAGGCAGTGGCTTCTGAACATCTGGCCCTATGGGTATCTCAATCTTGGGCGGAGCTTTAGGGTGAGATTGAGCTGTACCGCGAGCAGGAGCATAAGTCTCTATCTTCAATGCATTCTGCCCCGACAGTCTCCGATCTCGCAAGTTGATTGCGCTCAGGCGTTCTGGCTTGTGAGGCGGGGATGAGAGTCCGACAGCCTTTGGAGGCGACATGGACTCAGCAACTGTAGGCGGTGGTGGAAGCGGTGTATCCTTCGACGGTACAGGCTTTGTTGGCTCAATGGCTTCGGCTAGCGTACTCAGATTTGTAGCTGTCGTCATTGTCGTGGATTGGTTTGAGCTCGAAAGTGTTCTACCGGAGAAAGTGCTGGAGTCGGATTGTCTAGGTAAGGCAGATTTCGACTTGTGATCAAAGCCAAAGTCATCCAGCACAAATCCTTGTGTCATCTCATCCAGCAGGCGCTCCTCCTCTTCTGTTGTATCCTCGTCTAGAAAGTCTGTTGACTCGAGGTCCGAATCGGCCCGGGGTCGCTCGGTCTGAGCAGGCTTCTGCTGGTTGCTCAATTGTAGAGGGAGTCTTGATCCAAATAAAGTGCTCTTTTGCTCCACTCGAGGGGTGTCTTCCGTCCCGAGTGCATCTTCACTTTCGTAGGCTGCATCAACTGCAGCGTTCAAAGCAGCATCAAACTCAGCCTCAATCTCATTTGCAAGGCTATTGTTGGTGAGCTGGAGGCCCATGGCAGAAAGCCTGGACAACCGAGACTTATACGAAGATGAGTGCAGCGACTCGCCATCGTCAATGGTGTCAAGCCAAGAAGTCGACTCACTGCTACCTCGTCGAAGAGGTCTGGGGTGTGATGCAATGGCCTCCTCGGGAGTCGGTTCAGAGGATGTCTCGGCGGGAGTTGGAGGGTTCAATCTTCGAGGCGATAAAGGTGGCGGCATGTACTTTGACTCCATCGGGACATTCAGATTAGAAGCCCTCGGTAGTGGCAATGGTTTCTGTCGTGCTCTCCCGACATTGCTATCGTCAAGATATTTCTCTCCTCCATAGATCTGTGGCAATAACGATTCCTGTCGAGGTGGAATGTGAACTTGTTCCAACGCCTCCACGGTCGATGGTCCACCGGCTGACTGAAAAAAGCTGTCGTTGCCTTCGTCTGAAGGAGGATCGTCCGGCAAATCCTTGTCGATTAGATTGGCAAAAGGGTCATCAAGATCATGAAGCTCAGCAATGCGATACGAATAGGTTTTGCGGATAGCAGACAACTTCTTGCGATCGTCCATGTCTGAACTTCGAACCATGACTTCTTGGAGCAGGTCGCAGGCCTCAGCGTATGCTGCAATCGCTCCATCTATCTTGGACGAGTTGTCGAGGAGGACGGCACTGTTGGCTTTTGCCAGGGCTTTGGACAGCATTGATTTCTGAGTAGGACTGCGGTGTCCTCGACTTCGCTTCGGTTCGGCAGGGATAGCAGTCGCGACCGAGGCATCATCCAATGACCGCAAATCCGACTTGGAGGCCGATTTCGATGGCGGTAGTGGTGAGGTGCGATCTTCGTTCACATCATCGATGCGACGAGGCTTCTGGGCACCAGTCGTGACGTACTGAATCGACATGGCCGTGACAGGCTCCCCGAGCTTAGTGTTAGCTTTGCGACTTTGCCACGTCTCACCGAAGTAGTCGCCAGTAGTTGTGTTGTAAACGGATGTCGGGGTCAATGTTGGACCAGGTCCATTTGGACTTCGATTGGAGCGAGGGGAGCCACCGATTGGAGCGAGAAATGCGGTATGCAACCCATCCGTGGAGCTTTTCTTGGGCCGGTGTTGGACCTTCTGTGGGCTGGCGGCCATTCTCTTGCCCAGATTACTCTGGTCTTGTGTGGTGCTCATGCCGCGGTGTCCAGCTTGAAGGCCTTTTCGCGCCGCATCGGTGTCAACCGCGGACACACTAGACGAGGTTGACTGCGACCAGCGATTTATATTTCTGTTGTTCGGGGTTTTATTGTCATCGGCGCTTCCGCGGCGAGCGGTGTAGGGATAGGGTGGAACGAGATAGTCGGTGGGAGACGTGGCTCGGTCGGGAGGGTTGGTTTGAGCAGCGCGAAGTTGAGTGGCTCGTGGGTTCTGGGTAGAGGAGAGCGAGAGGGACTTTCGAATGGTGACCACGGACGATGAGGTCGAGTTTGAGCGCCGATTTCCCCTGGTTTGCACGGCAGGCGTCATCATGCTGCTGCTGGTGGCTGGCGCGCAAGTAGAAGGTGACACAATGTCAACCAGGTTATTGCCAGTCGAGCAGTGGACACATGGGTACCGGCATCAGGATGTATGCGTTACAAAGTTATGAAGTGAGCCACTGGTTTGTGTCGGGGTACACGGCTAGGTCCGAGCCCTGCTAAGGTGCATGCAGGTACTTGTCAGGATCCGCCCACAGTGCAGGAATGTCGAGATCCAACAGACAACCGATATCTGATGCTGCAATGCAATTGTGAGCACGTATACGAACCTTGCCGCTACTGTGGCATGCTGTGTCCTCCTCTTTCAATGGAACCAGTGCTGTATATATTGGGCGCGCGTGGCGTGGGCTCGACAACAGTCTTTTGATATCAGGGACTAGAGCGTTGCGCAAAATCTCATGCTATCGTTCGTGATGTTGCGCTCGAGTGAAGACCGACGCGATCGGCGCTATGATACCTCAGGAATGTGGCGTGTCAAGCGAAGTTCGTGTAGAGCGTCTGGGTTCACGTTTTCGGGTTCGTGGGGGGGTCCTGATCAGCAGGCACACACTGAAATACCCAGGGTACGACAGTTCTTGACGAGTAAGTTATAGACGCCGGCTGGATGATGAAAACGAGGCAGCAGTGGCGACGAGGAGGACGGCGTGACTGCGACCGAGTGCCTGTATCGCAGGCAGGGGGTGCGGTGCCAGGGTTTCAGAAGGGGGGTGTCGGTCGTAAGTCGTTGTTCCGGGCGAGACGATCTACTCGGCCCGGTTTCGCGTGAAGATCTGGAGGATGATGCAAGCAACCAGTGCTGAATAAGAGACTGGAACTGCTATGTGTAGAATAGAATCGTGGACGATCACAACACTTTGAGATATGATTGAGGAGGTGTGCTGCGAAAAGCACCCAGAGCGAGGACCCGGGCGAGGGAGGAGTCTCTTTGGCGGAGGCGCAGGACGAGACCTCGTGCAGCCATTGGATTACGGGCTAGCTAATCCTGATCCTATCTAGGCTGGGGTGTTAGTGGCGAGGCCAAAGCGCTCATCATGCCTAAAAGGGCTCTTAGCCAGAAGTTCGCTCCGGCGACCCCTGAGCGCCCCCGACATCCACCATCTCGTCTTATCACGTTGTTGACCAGCGCTTGTCAGTGCGATGCGACCGTACGAACGCGTCTGTGTGCTCAATCATGCTCCTCGCCGGCGTCTGGTGCGTCCCACACCTCATCTGTGCCCTGAGGCGTTTTTCTTGTGAGCTAGGAGATGGGTCGCTTGGGACCGAGCTTGCACCCTTAGCTGCTTGCTGCAGGGGAAAACGCTGGGCTTGCAGCTCCTCCCCTTGCCGGCTGCATCTACAGCTGCATGCGGTACAGTAGCTTCCTACCCATCACGATCTCGACCATCGACGACATCTACTGGTAAGCATGTATCTCAGCGATGACGGCTGCTTCTACTCCGTGAATTTATATTCAGACTGGCAGACAGTCCCGTGGCTTCGGGTCCCCTGAAAAGTCACCCGAGCCCCTGGCACTTGCTGACTTAGCAATTCTCCGACGATAATAGCTGCATGCGAAACATTTCCCTCACCCACTGTACTTTCACGCCACATTGGCTCAGTGGTACACCCTTTCTAATGTAGATATATCACAGTTCGCAAACAGTCCTTTTGAAGCTGACTGGGAACCTTTTGGGAGCCGGTTTTGCCTCCCACCCTCAACTTTGCGTGCGCTCACCCTTCTTTCAATCCCTTGCCTGGGAGAAACGCAATCGGAGAAGCGAAGGAAGTTTACGTCAACCACGGTGCCAGCCGTGAGCCGCACTCTGCAGTTCGAAAAGCTCTTGACTCCGGTCCGCACCGTCTCTCTAGTCCTTGCGCAATCAGCTTGCGGTAGCCCTCGGCGCTGTTCAATTGGTGTTGCGATCGCAGGCCATGAGCCCTCCGAAATCAGACGCACGTTTGAGGAGCTGGTCTCCGTTTCCGAGCAGGCACTGCTAACTAGCTTCGAGTCTTGGTAATTGCCTCGGTCCAATCATCTGTAACAACTACATCCGACGTCGACATTGAGCGCTCCTGCGGAAAGCTAATACTTGTGACAACTCTGCCTTGTCGCTGCTTGAATGCCGGCACCACTTAAAGTCAGAGAGCGTCGAACCCGCTTTTGGGTCGGGGGGCTTGTCCCAATACTTGACGTACTTCCTTCGCGCCTCCTCGTTCCTGGCTTGGCGTAGATGTACACTCGTCCGAATTGTGTCATCCGTTTCATCCGAAAGCGAAGAAGACATCGAGCATGCTATGCCAGTCGTATGCATAATCCCGGTGCCTCTTTTGACTCCTTGGAAAGCGTGCCGACCAATGTCGTTCGTTGATGTTGCTTTCTTCATCATTGATGCTCAGAATCGCCTCTATTGTGTTTCTGGCGTCGGAAGATGGGCAAATAGGTTTTCGGCGAGGAAGCCACCTGGAGGGTCTCAACCCTGGAGTGGCTCTGCAAGCAACACATGCTCATAGGGTGCGACAGATATTTGGCCATGGTGAATAGTGTACTGAGCTGCTGCAAACAGCATTACACAGCTAAATGCCCAGAATCAAGGACGAGCCTGGCTCTTCGGTGGCCTTGTCACTTTGGAATCGAATATCATTGAGCGGCGGGGTCCCACCGGCGGCGAATACCCCAAACGACTGCGGACCAACCTGCAATCACAGTCAGGATACACAGTGGCAAGGCTGCACCAGAAGATTGACAGTTGTCTAAATGTCCACAGCTCAGAGTCGTGAATCTATAGTTCGATATTTAAGAATAGACCTTGAGTAGTTTGCTGTTCGAGGCGGAACTTGAGAATCCGGTTGCCCTTCCGCCATGGTCAACATCTCGAAAACAGGAACGATTGATTTGTCCACTCAACTCTGCTTCACACTATACCGCTGAGTACTACCACTACGTCGACGTCACCGGAAACAAAGAGCAAACATCGTATTCGTTCGGGATAGTCATGATTCTGCTCAGCCTCTTTCAGGCCTGGTTGCGGCCAGCAGCTCGCCCACGTACTCGAAGTCTTCTGCTTCCGCTGCACGCGGCATCACGTCGCACAGCTGGCTCTCCAGCCTTAACACTCCAAGGGAGCTGATACAATCCACCATGGCTTGCCTTGCCGCATCCGTTCCAGATGCCTCTGGCAATCGAGTTCGGCATTGGCCAGTTTACGTAGGAGCAAGAGCATCACTTCTTTCGGTAAGCGTCACCAAGAGAGTAAGCACAACTGATACGGATAGCTACGCAAGCATACAGCCCTGCATGTGGGTGGGTGGCGTCAACGCGCCAGGAAGCTTCCATCCACCCGTGCGGGCAGGCAGTGAACGGTAATTTACGCCGTATTTACAGTTACGACATCCACTGCTCCACGTAGATTGCCTCTTCGCCGCGCATCAAAGTGGCAATAGACAGTCGGATCCTATACTTGCTGCACACACTTCACAGTGGCCTAGCCTCTATATCTCAGCAGTCCTGAAGTCTGCACAACTGGCTTTCGTTGTATTCTGCTGTGTTCGAACCTTACATCGTCCGCGAAGGCCGGTATCTCCACCGTGTTATATCAGTAATTCAACGTTGGACTTTACGCACACAACATCCTCAGTCGCTAGTCATGTCACTGGAAAACGTTCTGGCTCTCATCTTCGGCACGATCATGATTCTCCTAGCCCTTTACCAAGCCTGGCCGACGCGACAATCCAACATCAGACTTGCCAAGCGCCGTCTGTCCCTTCCCCCAGACTCTCCTCATGCAGTCGATATGACGTCCCTGCAACGCTACAACACTGAAAGCTCCTTGTCCGGGACATCGACCTATGTGGAAGAGTCGCCGTTCATAGCAGAGCTTGACGTATGCTCCTAGCTTCGCAAACTCGGCAGTATAGCCACTAAGAGCAGGTGTAGTGATCAGTCCCGGGCGGAAAGCAAATGCTTGATTGGTCTCTTGTCGCAAATAGCGGGGTAAGAGAGCACTTGGCCGACAATGATAGAAGGCCGTTCAAGACATTTTGTGAACAGACACGACATGCTTCGTACCGAATTGCCGGTCGTTAAACCTGGTCAGCCATAAGTTGCGTCTTCGGCCCTGCGCCAGTGGCCAGCTCCTTCGAGCAGTAATGTTCAGGCTTTAGCACTTTTTGTCTCGCTCACCTTCCGATCCCCGCCACCGACTGCAGAACCGTTGGTTTCGGCGCTCTGACGTTCTTTGTCCCGCTTCTCCTTTTCTCTTTCTCTCCGCTGCAGTCTCCGGACGTTGACGGGCTTGTATACCTCATTGAAGTTCATAACAACGCCAAGGAAGCGCAGATCGGCGTCAGGCTGATGAGCCAGGTCGTAGAGCATGATATTGACACGAGATCTGAATTCTGCCGATATTTGAAGCATCCTTGCGCGAAGTGACTCGAGCAATGTCTGATCGTCAGCCACGCTCAGACCTCCCAAAGGCTTCAACAGCGGCGAGTCTGTAGAATCACCCAAGTCTGTAAGCTTGCCGGACTTGCTGGGAGGGATGAGGCTTGGGGTGCTCGCTCTGGAATTGCCGGCAAGGTCTTTCTCCGTGATACCCCACTTCCCTTGAGCAGTCCTCTGCTCGATCTTCGCCGAAAACTGCTGTCGTTTCGTAAACTCAGCAACACTGAAAGAATATAAGCTGTCAACTACATCTCGATACGAGAGCATGGCTTTGAGAATGTAATGCAGCTGAGCAAGGAAGCTGTCCTCGCGTTGACCGGTCGAAGAGTGGTATGGTTGTCCAAGAAGGCCTTTCCGCGTGATGCTGTTGAGGTATCTGGTATGGGCTTCGATCATGTCATCGAGTGTTGCATGTGGCTTTCGTAGCTCGGACAGCAATGTAGCCCAGCTGGCTTCAACAACTTCGTACAGGATGTAGTAAAGCAGCTGGTTGACAAAATGGACCATCTCTGCCACTACACATCTTGCTCGCTTCCAATCGCGGCCCAACTTGTCATCAACTGCCGCAAGCACGCTCCTGGCTCCGGTGATGCATCGTCGTGCGGTCGTGTTGAGCGAAAATTCGACACGCTTGATTCTCCAGAGCAGATTGAAGACTTTCAAATATTGCGTGTTTGCCCACTGGGTGATGACAACATCGCATGGAGCACTGATCTTATATTCAAGGGTGAAGCAGTCCCAGCCAATTTCGCCTGAAGACAGTTCCAGCATGCGTGCATCCAGGCGCCGCAGAACCTCAGGATCGTCGTACTGAGCATTGGAGTGTCGGATGGCGTGCTCAAGTTGCGAAGTCAGTGTGTGACGATACTGTGAGTTGGCCGGTCGATCAAGATTGGGCGCCAAAGACTCCATTAATAGCTCGATGAAGTCGCCTTGTGCCAGCAAGAGGTACTTCTTGATTGCCAGAAGATGAGTGAACAGGCCAAATTTGTTGGACATTAGGTGCGTAAGTCGTGACATCGTCGAGGCATAAGCGGCATCGATAGAAGAAAAAAGACTGGTCGTGTTGGCGTAGTCGAGAGATTTGGAGTTCGATTTCGAATATTCGATGACCCAATCAGAGTCACCACAATTGTTGCGGACGAAGTTGAGTGACTTGCCAATCAGGAACACTTTCTTCGCGAACTCGGCCGAGACTATTGACGGCACCATAGCCGAATCAAGCTTGTACTTATCTTCCCAGATCGAGGTGGCCACTCGGCGAGGATCAACGTCGGGCTTGGTATGAGGATCCGGTTCAGTGACGAAAAATTCGTGGAAAGGATCAACCAGTTCACCATCGTAGATCCAGTGTCGGAGCATCTCGTAAAATGGTCGAGCAACTTGAGCCAGTAGTCTCTGAGCGAATGAGCCGACGAATGGGTCGCCATGTGTGGATGACATATCATGAATCAGAGATATAACTTGACCCCCCTTCTTTCGCTTAGCTTCTTCGACAAAGAGACTCATCAATCGGAGGCCCATCGTAGCGTCTCTGGTCCATATGACGCATCGTTTGAGAGTGACGCCCGTAGAACGAACACTCTTTGGATCATCGCCCTTCTCGAGCGCCGTCAAAGCACGCCGAATTTCTCCTTCCAGAGAAGCGACAAGACTAAGATAAGAACGTAGCTCCTGACTTATTACTGCTCGAAGGCTCTGGTTGATGAGACTCCCACCTTGTCCGGCAGCAAAGTCGGCCATATCCTTGTACAGGAGACAGGGCTCTGCCAGGGTGTGAAGCAGGGAAAGGATCGGTATGGGGAGTGTCTTAGGAAGTTTGATCGTGGCAGGTGATGTGAAAGCCAAACTAGCTGAAGAGAGACCCTGTAAGTTGAAGGGTAGGTCTCTGAGCAGTTCAATCTCCGGAGGTCCATGAGGTATGCGTGGATTTGGTGGAGCGACAGAGTCTTTGCCCGGACTGCGAGGCATTTCAGAGCGGTGTCCGCTGCTCTTGGGTCGCGGAGGAGTTGAGAGCGCGGGTTCTTCCTGAGCGACTGCCGCTTGTTCCTCGTTTGTGACACTGCTTCCTGTTGTGGGTCTGGCCTGTGTATACTGTTGAGGGGTGCTGACGTGCTGGCGTCCCGCTGATGGTGACTGAGGTGCCTCATACTCAACATAATGCTGGTCAGCATCCGATATCTGGAGAAGCAGATAAAGAATGGCCCATTTCTGGTTGAGTACGGGAAGCGCAAGCAGCCTCGAATAAAGATTGTTGAACTTGGCAGCTTTCTCCGGCGACTCGTTCTCGCGTAGCAACTTCCTCTTTATCAAGTTGGGCGCATGGTTGACTTCGGGGGGAAGGGGCCCTTGACCTGCCTGCACGATCTCCCGTGCGGCTTGTATTGAGTTTTCGATTCGGTACTCGGCATCTGAGTCAGGCTCTCCTGGCAAAGGAGGAGTGACCAGACTCTCGAACAGGTTTTGGAGTGTATCATCGACACGGCTTGGACGCGGGTCGCCCATTGCGGGGGTTCTGTTGGCAGGGGCCAAGTCCGCCGGATGACATTACGGTGCTCCGACGGAAATGATCTAAAGGTGATAGCGGTTTCAGAGACGCTGAAGACGCGTATCAGGACGAGCGCAAGGCATGTATGCGGTGAAAAGCGTGGGAAGTTGACATTCACCGCACAACGACGCGTCGTGCATGGATTCGTGGATTTGTCTCGCGATGAGTCCACTTTCCGCTCCTAAGGGCGGGGCTAGCTTGGTCTACGGTGGGTCATAGGGACCATGTCATACAGTCATTGTTCTATGCGCGCAGGTCGGTGGCCTCTATTTTAACCTCCCATACGCCTATCTGAACCTGCTCAGATCTCGCTAAACGCTTTGACTCTGGATCTCAGCCCCAGGGTCAAGATAAATGTCCACTAAACTGCAACGTTGTCCAATTTGCGCACCTTCACCTTCTCCACCATCGGCGGCAGGAGCGTGGATCCCACCCACTTACGAGATGGCCGCGCCGAGTCACTTTCGATCTCGTAGTTATCAAACATATATGCCAGCAGCAGCTTGAGCTCGTTTGAGGCGAAGAATCTGCCTGGACAGGCATGTCTGCCGTAACCGAATGGATGATATTGAGGAGAGAGAGACACGAATGAGAGATTGGCGTTCTTGACGAGATGAGTAGTGTTCTTTTCTAATGGTGATTCCGCTTCTTGGTCGTCCGGTGTAGGCGCCGACTCTCGTAGGTCAGCGAAACGGAAAGGTTTGTACTCTGCGGCGTCATCGTAGATGCCAGCGTCATTGTGGATGCCGTTGGTAGGCACGGCAATGGTCGAGCCACGGGGACAGTGCGTGCCGTTGGGAGCCTTGAGGCCGTCTGGCGCGATGACTTTGCGTGACAAGCCAAAACTCAAAAATGAGCCGAGCCGAGAGGACTCACGCATGCTGGAGTCAAGCTTAACGAGCCGCTGAAGGACGCCCTTATCCCACTTTCCGCTATTAGCAGCGAGAGCTTCGTGCACTTCCTCCCGGATCTGCAACTGATACGAAGAGTCAGAACTGACGAGGTCGAAAATAGCATGCGTGACGCTAAAAGTAGATGTGTGGATGGCTGCAAAGTTGATCACTAGCAGGCGCAAAGCAATCGTCTCGGGATCGCGTTCGGACACAAGAGCTGAACTCTCTGCTAGGTCGATGGTCCACTGTAATAGATCGTTTGGCTTGTCGGCTTTCTGGCTCTGGGCCAGCTGTTGTCGCCGTATAACCTCTGGCTTAACGATCTTGATGAACTTTCGAGCGTACCAGTGGTTGAAGAAAGTGATCAACGGAGCCAGAAAGGGACGCGAAAATAGCGGTAACTGTCTTAGGATTGAGGCAGACATGGGCATCAGCTGAGCCCACTTGACAGCGATGTCGAGCAACTCCGGGTCGCGACAAAGCGACTTCCCCACAAAGACCCGATTGCTACCTCGTGCAACGATCCGCAGCATTGACTCGTACGGGCAGATTTCCTTCCACTCGGATGTGTCAGTGCCCCACAAGTCGTCGAAAGCGCTCGCCACTTCGTCGAAGATATCGGGTACGAGTCCAGCAAGGTTGCGAGTCAATGGGCCGCGGATAGTCTGGTGATGGGTGGGGTTGTGAACGATGTCTGGGCGAAGTAGCGTATAATGTGGCAGGAGTACGTCCTTGATAGCGTCTAGATTCGACACCAGCGAATCAGGCTGCGCGATGAGCCAGTCGATACATTGTGCTGGGAGCAGTATGACTTCGTCTGCAAGAGACGGGACAATGCATGATTGTGCGGCTTTCGAGTACTGTCGATTGTTAGTTCCTGGTGATTCTTTGCAGGCAGGTTCGTTTCATTTACCTTGGTATAGGCGGAGTGTATTGAGTCGCGAAAGTTGCCAACGGTGCGAAACCGCGCTCGCGTTCTACCGAACCACTCGCCTTCATGGTGATTCAGCCACGGAAGATCTGGGGGTTTCCCAGGCTTGTGCCTGCTAATAACGCCCACCAGTACAGTAACGAGGAGCAGACATGGGATCAAGTACGGACCAAGAGGCAAATTGGCCAACATATTATCGGTTTGATCCAGAGTGAGATATGAAACGGACTGAGAAAGAGAGCAACAAATTGCAGGCTACACAGAGTTGCCAAAGAGGATGTTGCCGAAAGTCGTGGTTCTGTGGTTACTTCGGGAACAAAGTGTTCCGGTTGATGGCAACGCAGATCGAGGGCGGACCTGGAGACGTTAGAGAGAGCAGAGCCTATCAGCGTACAGGTTGCATTGGGGTCAAACGACAAGGAGGATTAGTTTACGAGCTGCACCAACTCGTGAGTGACGGACTGCCAATCAATGCTCCTAATCACCGATGCAAACAATGGCACCTACGGACGCAGGCTACAAGTCAGCCAGTCACTCAGAGTGGCGACTCATTCCCATTTAAGTGCGGGCTGGAGTAGCGAGATGTACTTGCATGCTAACACGGGAAAGCAGCAGGCCTTCTGCTCGAGGTTGAGATCGTACATTATGCCGAAAGATGATCGCCGCACGCATGGAACTTGCCGAAGCTGGCTGCTCCGTGTTCCCTAACCGGAGGAAGGGCGCCAGGTTCCATCAATACCACTCCTCAAGAGTGGCGCTCGAATCGCAAACACTTCTACAACCGCAGAGATCTCTGACTCCGCATTGAATAATGCATCCTGTTGGACATGTGCTGCTGCTGCTGATGTAGCAACATTGGCTAGCTTCGACGTTGGTGACCTGGACAACAGCCCTTGAGAGACGAAAGCGACTCAAGCGGCCAAGACAAGCTCTGGAGATAGGCAGCTTCTAACTCCGGGTGACGTCGCTCGTTCTTTCCTGCCCCTCAACTGCTCGCTTTTCCCCCACGCGTCAACAAAATTTCCCTTGCTTTCTCAACAGCTATTTCCGTTTCGTGTCTGCTTCGATTAGACTAAAGAGACCTCGAGATCTCATAGAGCAACCTCGAAGTTTACTAGACAACTCGTCAGCATGGTCAAAATCGACCAAAAAGCCGTCCTCATCGTCATTGACGGCTGGGGAGTCCCCTCCGAGTCCTCCCGCCCCGATGGCGATGCTATCGCTGCAGCTGAGACCCCGGTGATGGATGGCTTTGCAAAGGACGGCTCGGAGACCGCTCAAGGCTACACCGAGCTCGAAGCCTCCTCTCTGGCTGTAGGTCTCCCCGAGGGTCTCATGGGCAACTCAGAGGTCGGTCACTTGAACATTGGTGCTGGGCGCGTAGTCTGGCAAGATGTTGTCCGCATAGACCAGACAGTGAAAAAAGGTGAGATGAACAAGAACGAGATCATCAAGAAGGCCTTCCAGCGTGCTATTGATGGTAATGGGCGCTTGCACCTCCTTGGCCTCATCAGTGATGGTGGTGTCCACAGCAAGAACGAGCATCTGTATGCCCTGCTGCAAGTCGCCGCAGAGATGAAGGTCCCGCAGGTCTTCATCCATTTCTTCGGTGACGGTCGCGATACCGACCCCAAGAGCGCCGCCAAATACATGGAGCAGCTGCTTGCAAAGACAACGGAAATCGGCAAAGGCGAGATTGCTACCGTGGTTGGACGTTACTATATCATGGATCGCGATAAGCGATGGGAGCGTGTGACAGTTGGTATGGACGGTGTCGTTCACGGCAAGGGCGAGGACAGCGATGACCCACTCGCCACTATCAAGCAGCGCTACGAGAAGGGAGAGACCGACGAGTTCCTAAAGCCCATCATCGTTGGTGGCAAGGACCGTCGCGTGCAGGATGGAGATACGCTCTTCTTCTTCAACTACCGTTCCGACCGCGTCCGCGAAATCACCCAATTGCTTGGCGACTACGATCGCTCCCCAACCCCAGACTATGCGTATCCCAAGGACATCGAGATCTTCACCATGACCAAATACAAAACCGACTACCCCTTCGAGATAGCCTTCGAGCCGCAGCGAATGAATGACGTTCTAGCCGAGTGGCTAGCGAAGCAGGGTGTCAAGCAATGTCACATTGCCGAGACCGAGAAGTACGCCCACGTTACCTTTTTCTTCAACGGTGGTGTCGAGAAGCAATTTGAGAACGAAGACCGCGAACTCATACCCTCGCCAAAAGTCGCAACCTACGATCTCGAACCCCCAATGTCGGCGCAGCTGGTAGCTGACAAGCTGTCCGAGCGCATCGCAGACAACAAGCACGAGTTCCTGATGAACAATTTCGCACCACCGGACATGGTTGGACACACTGGCGTGTATAAGGCCGCTATTCAGGGTGTGGCCGCTACTGACAAAGCCATTGGTTCTGTGTATGAGACATGCAAAAAGGAGGGCTACGTGCTGTTCGTGACTGCGGATCATGGCAACGCGGAGGAGATGCTAGACGAGAAGGGCGACCCCAAGACGAGCCACACGACCAACAAGGTGCCTTTCGTAATGGCAAACGCGCCCGAGGGCTGGAGCCTGAAGAAGACGGACGGCGTGCTGGGAGATGTGGCGCCCACGGTACTGGACTGCATGGGCATCGAGAAACCAAAAGACATGGGAGGGCATTCGCTGCTAGTGCGGAAGTAAGTTCGGCCTTTGCGTTGTTGTGTTGACTTACGTTCGTGTGTTGTATGACTGAGTTGAGTTACTTGAGCGACGGTGTTTGGGGAGTGTGTGGTATGACCCGACACGACAGAGACCGCGTCAAGTACTTAAGCATGCGCAACAGGCTCGACGAGCTGGGCGTGTGTAGTTGCTTGCATTAATCCCAAGACGATGGCATGAATCATGGCTGATGATCGAAACACGAATAGACGCAAAGCAGATGAACAGGGGCAGCGACCCTAAAATGCACACAAGCAATATCTTCTAGGAGCCAGGAGAGCTGTCAACCAGCCTGCAGCCTGGGTGTCAGTATTCATAGATGAACAGCGGTGGCATACCTTGCTCGTTGTGGCTCTGTGGCCTTCCTCTAGTCGGACCAAAGTGTCTAGTCCCGTCATCAATCACTGTCGAGGGACACAATATAGAAGAACATTCAAGACCGGGTTTGACTGAGCCCGCCGTTCATAGTCACATGTGATCTTTTCTTCAAGTGTATTATGAACGGTCCCAAACAACTAAACATTCTCATCTCCCCCTCTATCCCTCTGCTCTACCATCTCGTACTCCCCTCCCCGGCTGCCACCACCACCACCACTACCATCGCCCGCAGCCCCACTGGCAGGCGGTTTCCGCTTCCCAAACCCTTGTATCATTTTCACCTCGCGGTACCGCACGACCCAGACGCCCAGCAGCACCATCAGGCCCGCGCTCGACGCCTGCAGGCACCACCATAGAAAATTCGTCGGCAGGCGCCGCGTGTAGAACGAGGTGGTGAGGAGGTGCAGGAAGTGGATCGTGAGGGCGAAGTCGGGGACGAGGGAAGCGGAGAGGCGTGTCGTCAGTATTAGCATGGGTATCACACTAGAGGTCATGAGTTAGCAACGGGGGGAGAGACAGGGTGATTGGTGCCGGAGCAGGTTGGGGAGGAGGGGGCGTACGTGATGAAGCCGGTTAGTAGCCAGCAGATGCCGACGACCCAGCCCAGGGTGTTGTCGCCGCGCACGGCGCGCCAGTCGAGGATCAGAGATGGCGTGAAGCCTTGTCCCAGCACGAGGGTTGTGAAGAGGATGAGGATCAGTGAGGTGCTGTAGTAGGAGGCTTGAAGGAGGAGGATCGCGCGCAGGATGCGCAGCGGTGGGAGATCGGAGAGCGCGCCTGGACGGGGGGGCCGTCGGCGGCGAGGCGGCATCGTGTTGCTGGAGGGGGTGGCGTGCTACCGTTGAGGCATGGGGAAGGTTTGTGTAGTTGGGGCCGCGGTCGAGTTGCGTTGAGTTGCACTGAGGTGACTAGGTCCGAGGTTGTATGCCCGCGCAGTAGTAGTGCCCTGAGGCTGGCGGTATTGTTCAGTGAAGAGCGCAGCGAGTCTTAGGTCGAAGCTCAGTGAAGGCTTCGATACTGCGTGAAATATGAGCAAGGTATGAGTGGGACGAGGACAAAGTTGCCTGGAGTTTTGATATTCGGTCCGCTTGACGTCCCGGATGACGCCTAGCGAGAATTGGTTAACAGCCTGATGGGCGCCTAATGGGTGGTGGTCCCGCCGGCAACTTGGTCTTTTAGGCGCGGTCTAGCGCGCGGCAAATTTTGGAGAGGTGAGATCATGGAGATCTTTGGATGTCGAGGAGTTCAATACAGCTTTGATGAACGCAGCGACTACAACTCTCTCCGCGCTTGGACAATCCTGCCCGCGAAATATTTGACACTCTCGCTACTGTCGTTCCGTCCCGGGTCAGCAACTACAATCGCAGCGAAGAGATCAACGCAATGGTCTGGGGCCTCGATTGGTTAACGGGTTCTGGCTCGCCCTCAAAGCCGGCCGCGAATGCCCCTCCACGCTCAAACGACGGCGGGTACGTCGCGCCGGACAGAAATAAACGGGAGATATGCTACGAGTCAAGAGATCTGTTCTTTGAGTGCTTAGATCGCAACAACATCCTAGATGCGATCAAGGACGACGAGCAGGCCAGGAAAGTCTGTTCACAGGAAGTCATGGCTTATGAACGAGACTGCGCAAGGAGTTGGGTGAGCTTTCCCAGTGTTTGTCTGTGATCAAGAGTGCATGTGTGCTAATGGTTCAATGCAGATCAAATACTTCAAAGAGAAGCGGGTGATGGAGTGGAAGCGCGACCAAACAATAGCGAAGATTCAAGAAGACGATGCAAAGATGGCGGCGAAGGCGAAGCAGAAGAGGGGTGGTGGTTGGTTCTCGTGAGAGTCATAGTATGTGTTGGCATAAAAAATGGCATGTATGTGCATAGCGCAACGAGTGGTGGCCTTGAGTCGGCGGGTCATCTGTTCAGTGTACCATATCAGAATTGAGGCACGACGATATAATAGATATTCTCCGCTTGTTCGATTCAACGCACGATCTAAGGTCTCTTGAAATCGGCTAACGACCCAGAACACCGACGACCGCTCCTATCATGACGGCAGCTTCTCGTTCCCAATTGCCTACGATCTCCTCTTTGCCAGCAGCGCTGCCAGAAATGCTGGCCGGCATCTTGGATCCGCGGAGAACACACTCTCGAATCTCGGTCCGCACGCCCTCCTTCTGACTTCGCAGTGTTCGGGCTGAGATGCCGCCTCTGTGCAGGATCTCCTGCACTCTCGTTGCCAAGGACGCTGCCAGAGAGCGCCAAAAGTATGAAGGTAGAGAGGCTGTGTCGAGCGCTTGCAGAAGCGGATCTAGGAGATTACCCTTCTCCTCTTCGATGGCCAGGAAATCGTCATCGTTGCTTGCATTTCTATTCACCTCGCCTTCGGGTGCCGCATCGTGCAGTAACGGATGGTTTGGTGCTTGTATGCCCCGGAGCAGCGCTTCAAGAGCAACAATGTTCTGACACCGCGCACTGATGTCAATCATGGTCTTCTCAAGGGAGGGAAGCTGCGCTAAAGCTCTACCCATGGCTGCAGAACTCGACGTGATGGCCGACTGCAGATAGCTCTGTAGGGCTCGGAGCAGGTACTCTGGTTCGAAGTCGGACTTGTTCATACTCTTGCCGTCTATTCTAGGCGCAGGACTGAGCAGATAGAGGATATAGGTCGCACTGGTGAAACGCGAGCGATTGTCTTCTGCATCGCGAAACGTGGCACTAGCAGCTGCTGGACCGGCTAAGCTGCTCATAGAGAACTCTCGGACAACCCTTCTAGCATAATCAAGGATTCGTGCTTCCCCGTCTTCAAAGATGCGGCCACGCAAAGTCCGGACAAGGTTTACCCGACCGAGCTCAGGCCCTTCAGCGCCAGCCATCAGCTCTCGAAACGATAAGAGAATGTAGGAAGCCCGTAGTAATGCGCGGTGGTCCTCCTTCCCAGTTCGACTGCTGCCCAAACCTGAATCTGAGATCGCTGTCTCAAACTGACGCGCGACGTTCAACACCCTCTGGACGCTACGACCTAACCTCAGAACTTCCCAGCTCCGCGAAGCACTGGTCTTAGCCTCGATCGCTCGATCGTAGCGGCCAGCAACTTCCTTCTCGAGACGCGCATAGCTTGCGTTCAGCTTTGTGCGTTCTTCATCGACACGTTCCAGTATCCGTTGCGCCGCATGGTTTTGCGTCTTGGTATACTCGAGAATATCGATGGCGGAGCGAGAAGTTAGTGTGTGGATATGGGAGTCGATTTCCTGGAGATCGAATAGTGCTCGTGATAATGGCGTGTTGAGATCGACTGACTCGGAAGGGTTATTTGTGCGTTGGATTAGCGTCGCTGCGTGCTCATAGGGTGAGAAGTCGGGCGAGGTGAGAGAGTCAAAATCAATATATGTTGAGGTTGAACCTGTTTGATCAAGTGGTTCGTTCGCCGCCATCGACGCTATCGCCGCAAAGATAGCGCTTATTCAATGCGCAAATTCTTGGTTGGCCTTGATGGAAGCTCAAGCTGACACACTCGTTTCCCGAGTCATATGATGTGCCTTTGACGTATTGCAGGCGTCGAGAACTTGATTCCGATGCCCAGGCAGGCCGATCAATCTGCATGAGATGATCCAATAACGACGGTTTGCCTTGCAAAAACTCATAGAGCTACCCAGCGAGCGGACGTTGGCTGAATGACGCTGTTGCACTATTGGCTTTGATGAGCGGTAACGTGTCAATTTACAGGGAGGATCGAAGGGTGTGGTGTTGGCGAGGCTGCCACCTAGGCCACAAGGCTTCACCATGGGCACCAGGGCGCTCCACATGTCGTTTAAGCCACAGATGGCGCAAGCCCGGGGCGTGGTGGGCGAACCCGTTTTAATCAGCGATCGAGCTAAAAAGCCGGCTGCAGGTACGGAGTACAGGAGCACTGCTGATCAGTTGAGCTGGTGGGGAAATCCAGCCGAGAGCGCCTACGAGGAGGGGTGACGCAGGTCCAAGACACCGCAAGAAACCCCAGTGGCAAAGCGGCGGAACAATGTCATTCAAGGGACAGCTCACAATCTGCCTACAAGCCGCTTACAACGTAAAGGGACCAAGTCGAGCAGGCCGAGACACCTCGTTACGCAAGCCCACGCACGCCGGATGTTTAGCTTATGGTACGCTACCATCGATCTCGCCAGACAATCTCGCGTATGCCAGCGAAACCTTCATCCTTCCATGCTTTTTGCTCCGGTTGGCAGCTCGGGAACAGTGTGTGTCGATGATTAACACATGTTGCTTCAGACCGCTTGTATGCCGGAGTAGCCAGACGATGTGCCACGGATTCTGATGTCGTCCACATCTCTGCAGAAGACGTGGGCCTCACAGACACGCCTGTTAGCCTGAAACCAAAGACATCCTCGCGCTCGGGATTTGACGGATATCAGCTGTATGCGCAGCAAAAGCAGTGGCCTAAAGTCGACCGATGGGGTCCGGCAGCAGGTGCATGTGATCAACCACCTGTATTGGCATCTGCAGGTTCGTGGCATGACGGCAGAATCCCGTCGCTGGCAACCCGGCTTTGTCACGTTACAGATCATGCTCTTTCTTGCAACAAGCGGTGAGTGATAGTCCAAGCAAGGGGTTCAGCAACCACATCAGAGACACAATGTCCAGACCACGGCGCTGTCACTTCAAGGTGGGGTGTAGAGGCAGCCGTGCGGCATGGGCTATACGTACGCTCGTAATCATCGGCCAGGAACACCGCCGGCAGTAGTGGGGTAACAGGCGCTCCAAGGCACGCTGGAGCGCATTAGACCTCAAAAGTGCGTCAAGTCTTGTTCCTGCGACGGCTCGGTGGCTTCTGGCTCGCCCAGAAAGGGACACACCGCGCAGGCGAATGTCGACTAGCTTTGGGGTGGGATGTCATGCTCTTCGCCTTACCTTTTCCGGGCCGCACTGGCCTAAGACCCCTGTAAAGAGTGGCGGATAGCTCGAGCCTTTCTGGTTGCCCTGCCCCTCCAGCGCAGGCTTACTGTGCTAACCCACTAGGCGTGCATCATGATTTGAATCGGCTCTGTTTTCTGCTTCGTCCGCCAGGTCCGTTCTCCTCTATCGCCCATCACCACTCGATGCCATCAGCTGTATGATTCACATATTCGTGCATCTCGTCTAGATCTCGCGTGGAATCAACGCCAAAGAAATCTGCGACAGCGACAGCACCATATCACCATTCTTCTCCTCGTGTCCCCTACCTAGATAGTGCTGATCTTAGCGCTCCAAGGCCAGTGCCAGGCGTAAATCGCCGTCGATCTGCCCGTATCCTGCCACCCCCATCGCCATCCCTCCTCCAACTCGGCCCTCTTCTCTCATCCTCGCCATTCACTGTCTTCGCCACTGCTTACATCTTCTTCGCATCTCCGTTGGACGCTGAGAGTGAGAATCACAGCGCCTTCGATGGCCCGCAACGAGTCTTACCGCCCGTAACCCCCCCAAGCCCGTTATCTCCAAGTCCGAATCACCTCTCGCACGCCCCACGTCGCAGACGCCCGCCACATACGTTCACCCTCTGCCTCGAATCCGTTCAAGGCACCCATCTCACTTGAGTTAGTCATTGGTCTTGGGGCTTATCGGCGCTGTGATATCCAGCATCACATCGTCGCGCCACTCTGGCGCGGTCTATGCTTTAGACGTTGCCACGTTCTAACATGCCTTCGATCAACAGCCTGGTGGACCATGATCCACATGCGGATGTCGATACCCCAACAACACCAAGAGCTGGTCACTTTCAAAACAACACCGCAGCACAGGAAGTAGTAGATCAAACACCGTCCTCACAGAACGTGTCGACATCTCCTTCCGGTCATCCGCAAGATGCTGCCCCGCCAACCCCCGATATCCACGACGAGGCTGTTCATGACGACAACGATGATGCCATGGACGTTGACGAGGCTCATGATGGGAAAGAGTCGGACGATGAGGTAGAGCAAGATGACGGTGACTCCAGTTCTCGGAAGAAGAAAGGCCAACGTTTCTTCTGCACTGGTTTCCCACCCTGCAATCTCAGTTTCACGAGGAGTGAGCACCTTGCTCGTCACATTCGCAAGCACACTGGCGAGCGTCCGTTTCAGTGTCATTGCAACAGGCGCTTTTCTCGCCTCGACAACCTTCGTCAACATGCGCAGACAGTCCATGTAAATGAAGAGATCCCAGGAGACTCCCTTGCGGCAACAGGAACCCGATTCCAGAGGCAGGTCCGCACCGAACGTGTTCGACCAGTACCGAGGCCTCGCAGTGGAACTATGGGCAGCAATGGAGGGCATAGCAGAGGCCATTCACGCAATCTCTCGGCTTCTAGTATCGGCTCAACATCGTCCAATTACAGTACCGTCACGGAGGCGAAAAGACGTCCACCTCCCCTCCTCATGGCTAATGAGGCCACTCGACCGAAGCTAGGCTTGGATTCGCCACGTACGCCTCCTCCTCCTGGCCACTACATGGTACCGCATTCCCCTGGCGGCCTCAGCACCCCAACGTCGGCTACTTTTTCTGCTGCACCGGGTAGTCCGGGCTATCCTCCTGCGTTCGGTTCGCCTGCCATGGGCCACTCTAGATCCTCCAGCTATGACTCACGCCCTCGTCGTCTTTCTGTCCCGTCGGGGCCGAACCCGTTTCAGAACTCATACAGTAATCCGTATGGAGGTTCTCCATCCTCAGGCTCTTCGGTTCACACCAGCGTCTTTGCCAGCCCGACGTCCTCTACTTTCAACAACGGGTCAACCTCCCAATACGCACCCGCTGACGATCCCAGGAGACGGACATGGCACCCATCGACGTACAATGGAGCCAACTACAACTACGGCAGACCTGCGACAAGTGGACTTCTCTACTCGCAGACGCCTGATGCACCACAGCCAGCGTTTGCTCAACATGCCACTGCAGCTGCTGGGCAGGCTCCTCGACTGCCCGGTATAGAAACACTTTATGATGCTCAGGACCGTCGCGACCGTGGCCTGTCCCCTCCCCGGCGTCAGCCAAGTCCTATGCGTATGGAATATACCACGCCCACATTCCAACGACCGAGCGAATATCCTCCTCTAGACGACAACGGACAGCCAGCCGCACGCCCCGTTTCCTGGGGTCAGCAGACGATCGAGGAGATTGGGCGAGTTGGTGGACCCCAGACCTACCACTTCAAGGCTCGCGAGATGGGTCCACCTCCCCAGCAACCTCAACAGATGGTGCAGGAGGCGATGCAGGTGTCTTCCGGTAAGCAAAACAAACGCCAGGCTTGGTTCAGTGGACCTCCTCACGGCACGAGAACCTCGCCAGAGGACTCGAGCAGTAGCGAAGGCATTCCAACACCTGGCACCTCCACGGTCGAGGTGCATCCAGTGATAATGCCCAGCAGCGGCTTCATCGAACCCCAACACCAGATGATGCCTTCCGATGCACATCAACAGGTAATTTCCGCCCACAAACGAGTGACCCAAAACTAACGGCAGCTAGGGCTGTCTCGGTCCAGCAGCACGAGTAGCTTCACCATATGCTGACCGTCGCCGCGAGCGAACGACGTCTTTTGGTGAGCGGAGCTCAAACGGCGGCGAAATGAATAGGTTGGAGGCCCTGGTGGCGGTAGCAACCAGCGGTGAAGCCGTCGTCAGTGCTGCCCGCTGAATGCGGCACATCAGAGTCCCACGAGCGCGACGCTAGAGTTACGATGGAGGCTTTCACAGACGGCATACTCGCGCACATGCTTTTATTCCTTACGGCCTGCCCACACTTCGAGAGATACCCCGACATTTTTTTAGTTGCGATTACGAACATTTTCTGCGTTTGATGGTACGCGTATTACGACTGGACGATTCTTACTGACGGTTCGACAAGAATGGGTTGGCGCATTGCAGCTCTCAGCGTTCTGTTCACGATGCATTGATTACGGACACGACCGGTTAACCATCTGTTTAGCGTTTTATTACGACACTTGAGGCCACGGGCCTACGTTACTCGAATTCGGCTTCAACTCCTTTCATGGTTTGACGAGGTTTATGACATTGGTTGCCCGTACAGCTTTTAGTCTTAATACATACTCCTCTGCTTCCCAGACTTCCTACTTCTTCGACCAGTCACGTATTGATTTGGACGGCAATTCGCCATCACGTGCTGCTGCCAAGACGGTAAGCCGAACTGTCAAGATGTGGTGGACGCTCGGCACGTCGTTCTCAACTTGCTCATGATCAGAGCAAACATTTGGATTCAGGCTGCGTAGGCCTCGATGAGATACCAAGCCGGTGATTCAGTTCAGCCGCGGGGGTCGCGTCTTGAAGTAAGACGATAAATTCCCCCTTTCCTTCCCAGGGTTCCCGAAGCAGGTACCCGAGCGATTTGAAAGCTCGCTCAGTGCGTGGGTCTTCTTCAGTGTGGCTCCTTGGTGCTCGCGGATGTTTGCAGCCACCACAGCCTCTACGAAGTGGGTTGGGGAGGATGAGTTGGACTTCTGTATGGCAGAAGCTGCGGAAAGTGGCGGGTCAAGATGTTTGCGAGTCGGAAGGCGGCGCCCCTAACAGGATCGAAGGGTATCAAGCGAAGAAAAAGGCTGCGATCACAGTGACACAGTGATGCAGCTGACAGCTTAAGCTGCGCCTACCACGTGTGTTTCGCTGTAAACCACATCCGCCCTGGGCAGTTATCGCAAATTGAAGGGACACGACCACGATGGCCCAATGCTCGATGCCTTTGTTGAGGCGTGCTCTTGTGCTCCTGTGAGATGGCAAAGTGCAAAGCGCCTCTGCACATGCCTAGATCTGGAACGGGACTCTGACCGGGCGAGAGATAGAACGGTACAATTTGCTATGCAACTGGCCTTTTCGCACGTGAATCCGTGCGTTGCGCAACCTCAGGAAAACGCGTCTGCGCATGCGCGTGCGCGGTTTCGATTTTCCGATCCGTGCATCAACTCTTGAAGTTTTCTAGTTCTGTTCTGATGCCATAAGCGAGTATCCTCTGCCCATGCCGTCTTTTTAAGTACTGACCACAGTCGTCCCTTCCTTATTGTCTCACGCAGGTGTCCCGACTTCACAACCAGACGTCCAGAACACTCCTTTATCGACAAACACCGTCACACTCACTACCAGGCAAAGTCGCCTCTCCTGCACTTCTGTCCTCTCGTTACAAGATGCTTTTTCTGACCATAGTGGCTGCTCTTTCGAGTCTGCTTTCGTTGACGTCTGCCGCCGCAGTTTCCACTATAACTCAGACTTCTGAGGCCGAACCTGGACCAATCTGCACATTGGTGGACGGCGGTGAAACAGGTGGCACCTTCTGCAATGTCTGGGACGGGACTGGCACGGTGACCAATACCAACTGGGTGACCACTGGTAAGTAAGTCAAGTCTATGTCTAGCAGGACTGACGCATGCCAGTCACGCCATGGCTCACCTCAAGTTCGACTTCTATCTCAAATCAAGAGCTGGGACCCACTGTTACAACTGAGCCCACAAGTGCTTCAGCATCTCCGACTTCGACCGGTTGCGGTGAAGTTGGAACCTTCGAAATTGATGTATGTTGAGAGTCCGCAGAGTTCGGTGTCAAGACTGACAAGCCGAGTTCGACGATCTACCTGTTGCCGGAATCCCAAGCAATGCGTCTGTCGGGCCTCCCATCTTTAGCCCTTCCGACCACTTCTTCTGGGGCGCCAGCTGGACCTATGGTCCTCCTCCAACCGAACTCTACCGTCCTCAGTCAGGCGATCGCCTCGGTCATTCAGTTTCAGGCGCTATCAGCACAGTTGAGGGCTCTCCTCAAGCTGGTACCGTTCCAGGAAAGGGATTCGGGGCCGGCCCCCGTAACTTCAACGACTTCTACTGGTTCCATATGAATTCGGCGTATGTTCAATGTGACTTCTCCTCGGCCGGAGATGCGCAGCAATGCGACTTCACTGCCACTGCCTACCAGTATAATCCTGATTTGAAAGAAGATCGAGTCGTTTCTACTCAGCACTGGGCCCAAGTCCGCTGCAACGAACCGGTCTGTCGGCTCAACCAGATTGTCTTTGCCGAACCCTTCAGAAACTTATCAGCTGTCAGCTTCTACGGCGTGATCAATGGCAACATCGTCGACTTCTACATGGATTCTGTCCAGCTAGACTGGTACAACAATAGTTGTGAGGCAGGCCTGGCGCGGATCTCGAGCCGCAAGTGATCGCCGGCGGTGTGAATCAGACATGGCACTTGGGAAGACCAAAAACAAAGTAGACCAGTAATGAAGCCTCGGCCTACATATCATAAACAATAACATTTCAAGCTAGATTCAGGTTGGCCCGTTTCCTTCATGACGCACCGACAGCTAACCAGCAGCAGCAAATGCTCGCAGGCGCAAGTAAGCCCCCAAAAGTACGCCGGCCTCCCCGCGGAGATGACCTTGGCAAGAGGTTTGACGAAGCTTTCGCCGCGACAAGCCAAGACCAATGGCATTGCTTAATGACAGCTTCTGTTACCTCACAACAACTTGTTCAGCTTGAATTCGATATCAAACTCGGGTCACTTGTACAGTACGTTTAGACACCGAGCATGTCGCCTGCGTGTGTCCTTTCAAGCCATACTCGAGGACATCGGTGCTGACCCGTGTTTGCCGTAGCCGATGATTGCCGTTCAGGATGGGACATTCGAGCCCCCCCACCGGAACTCCAAGGTAGCCCAGTACCCCAGACCAATCGCCCCAGACCCCAGATGCGCCCATGTCCCCGCCTCGAAGGCTGGACGTTGCCGCTACGACTCTACCGGCGTCTTTCCACGAACCAGCATGACTGTACGACTGGATGGAGTTCCCAACCCTTCCGACGAACGTGCTATATCCTAGGTTACGTGCCGGGCGATCGGATGCCATTGGTGAGCTGGACACGTGCGCTTCCGACCTACTGCAGCGGCTGGGTGTTCCCTCGCTCTTCCTGCACTAATGATCGGAAGCGAAGGCGAGCGTCTTTCCCCGGCTCATCCAGCTGCTCTTAGTGCGCCGCGCTGTACACTGAGCCATGGACCTACTTAGTCCCCCAAGGCCGCTCACATTCACCGGCTTACCAACATGTTTCTTCTCTGACTCAGTCCTCTAACCATTTCGTCAACATGTCAGACCACTCGTCTCCCATCATCGCTGAAAAGCACGTCGAACACCAGCATGTCGACAAGCACTTGCATCACCGGAAGTGGAGCCTTCAAGACACCGAAGCCGAGGCGCTCGGCGGCCTGCGGACGGTGGAAGTCGGCCTGGCCGCCGATCAAGTCGCCGACACGCTCGCCATCGATGCCGCCGAGCAGAGGCGCATCCTGTGGAAGGTGGATTTGAGGCTGATTCCGCTGCTCACCTTTCTCTATCTGTGAGTCTTTGTCTCCTTTGCTGGAGATTATCGGCTTCCAATGACTTGACTCTGATGGCTTGATAGCATCGCCTTCATTGACAGAAGCAACATCGGCAATGCCAAGATCGCTGGCATGTACGAAGACCTGAATCTTCACGGCTTGCAGTACAATGTCGCTCTAACGGTGTTCTTCCCGCCGTACGCGCTTCTGGAGGTGCCGAGTAACATTGTGCTCAAGCTGCTGCGGCCGTCGATATGGATCTCGATCTTGCTCTTTAGCTGGGTATATGTTCCCGTGCTGGAACCCATGAGATGATTTTTGTAGCTAACTAGCGATGTGCAGGGCACAGTCATGACGCTCATGGGTCTTGTGGAAAGCTACACCGGCCTTGTCGTCGCCCGATTTTTCCTTGGTGTTGCGGAATGTGGTTTTTTTCCCGGCGCCGTCTACGTTCGTCCTCCCACTGTTGCTCACCATTGATTGTGCAACATATTCCAGCTAACATTTTACTGACATCACTAGTTGCTGACGCTGTGGTACAAGCGCTACGAAGTGATGCACCGCATGGCCATCTTCTATGCCGCGGCATCTCTTTCGGGCGCCTTCTCCGGCCTGCTCGCCTACGCCATCCAGTTCATGGACGGCATTGCCGGCCGCCAAGGCTGGCAATGGATCTTTATCCTGGAAGGCCTCGTGCCAGTCGCCATGTCGTTTGTTCTGTACTTCATCCTGCCAGATAGCCCCGAGACTGCTAGATTCCTCACCAAGGACGAAAAGGAGTTCCTCATCAATCGGTTGGCCCTCGAGACTGGATCGGGCACCGGCCGCGTGACGAACAGTGACAAGATTCAATTCAAGCATATCAAAGCTGCATTCTCCGAGTGGAAGATCTGGGCGTGAGTATTGCTCGGTCCTCAGCTATGATGTCGCTAACCGCTGTGCAGTGCTGTGGTAATGTTTTGGGCCAACACCATCGGAACTTATGGGTAATTGTCCTTGTCCTATATCTCGTTGTTTCGACTGACCCAGCGCACAGGTTTACTGCCACTGTCCCGACGATTGTCGAAGATCTAGGCTACACTTCTGCAAACGCTCAGCTCATGACAGTACCCATCTACGTCTTTGCTGTCATCTGCGTTTTGGTTGTCGCCTGTGAGTCCCCAGCCAAGCACCGCGTTAATCGATCTCAGACTAACGGGACCACCAGACTACTCCGAACGCATTCAGCAACGCACCCCCTTCATAATGATCGGGTTTTCCGTTGGCGTGATCGGTGCGTACCCCCCTGAACCCCTTCCCGTCCCCCATTTCGTCTCGCAAGACCTCAACTGACATCCTCACCCACAACAGGCTTCATTGGCATGCTCGTCACCCGCCGCCACCCCTCCATCCCCGGCGTCTCCTACTTCTTCCTCTTCCTCGTCGCCGCCGGCCTCTACTGCCCTTTCATCTGCATCGTCTGCCTGATCGGCAACAACCTAGCGCCATCCTCCAAGCGCGCCGTGGGTATGGCGCTGCTGATCTCCGTCGGCAATCTCGGTGGCATCTGCGGCAGCAACATCTTCATTGCGGCCCAGGCGCCGCGGTATCCCGCTGGATTCGGCACCGGCATGGCGATATGTGTCTGCGCTATCATCATGGCGGGCGTGCTGCGGGTGGCGTACCGGCGCGAGAATGAGAAGAGGGATGAGTTGGTCAAGCGCGAGGGCGAGGCGGCGATTCGTGCGAGGTATACGGACCAGGAATTGCTTGATTTGGGTGACAAATCACCTTTCTTCCGCTATACCCTTTGATGGGGCCATGACTGTGTGGATGATCTGGGTCGCCGGGAAGAGGGGGGGGGGGGTGGGGTCTTGTCCAAGCCGGCCACGCATACCAAGCTTGCGCTAACAGCTGGCACTACGGCTTGTCGCTTGATTCACGCCATCGGTCGATGACTAGATCATGCACAAGAAGCTTAATGCAGCGTAAAGCTGAGCTAGACTGTATTTTCTCGATGTGGGTCGTCATGATATGTTAGTACAAATAAGTTTGATTCAGTACACATACCTGCTTGATATTCCGGCCAACTAATTTTTCCAAGTCTGGCGTTCCCCACGAAACCTCAGCGGCTCATCTGAAGCCCTTCACTTCGCTTCCAGCAGAAGACGCCGATACGTAGCCAGGACACCTGCTCACTCCATGAAATAACAGTGCTTGACGTATGATTTATCTCATCAATATCACAGCCATAGCACCAGTGCCCCAACCGCAGCTACCAAGGCAGAAGAGCTCCAAGCGAGCGCGCCCCCAGCACCATTCTCAGCTCCGCCACTCCCCTGTGCTGCCCCGCCTCCACTCGCAACAGCCCCCTCCTCTCCCCCCGGCGGCGCCGTCGGCGTAGCCGGCAGCTCCGGGCCATCGGTAATGGTGATGGGCACGGGCGCCCAGCTCCTATCGTCCGCGTCGTAGCTATGAGACGCCGTTTCCAGGAAGGTGGTCGATTGGCGCTCCGCGCCGGTGCCGTTCGTTCGCGCGCCGAGGTAGGTGATGTTGCAGCTCAGGGCTTGGGCTTCGGCGCCGGCTTGGGAGGTGGTGATGGCGCAGTGCTCGCCGTAGGTGGAGGAGTTATCGTGGACGCGCCATTGAGCCTAGAGGTTTGTGTCAATGTCGCTGCCGATGGGGGTGGTGCCGATTGGGGGGGATTTGTGCTAGGGAGGGGGGGCCGGGAAGAGCCGTAGTCAAGGAGATGTGTTTTCTGGCGGACTCGTCACTCACGTAGGTTGAAGGTCCGTTGACGACTGTCATTATTGAGACGTCTCCGGCTAGGCCGGAGATCGGGCTGTGTTCCAGCTCGTATGTCGTTGCCTCGGGAGCCTGTGAGTGTCATTGTCAGGACGTGCCCGCTTCGAGGTCTGGGAGGGGATTCCTTGCAGCTTCGACGACGGATGCACCGAACGATTCAGCGCCGTAGTTGGCGCTGGCGCTGCTGGGACGATTCGCCGGCTCCAGGAAGTAGACGGTCACGACTGATGATTGTGCCTGGACTAGTGTCGCGAGCCCAAGCGCCAGGAGAATGTGTGTTTGACCTCGCATGATCGCTGGACTTTTGTGACTGTATAGTGAAGTTTGGTGCGTGGATATGACGCCTCGCAGTAGCAGATCGTGGATCTTGTTCGGAGAAGCATTCATATAAAGTTGGGGTCCTCAGCATGGAGACAGTTGCACCGCCTCCTCGCTTCGTGCGTCGAGCGCAGTGATCGGACGGGTGTACGGCACTGAGGGGCCGAGTGCCGAACATCATCAGCTTGGCATTTGCCGCTTACCCTGGATCGGCACTGGAAATTCCCATGCTGGCTAGCGTGGACGGCGACGAGGCAGACCAGGCAACCCGGGCAGGCAGCGAAAATGATGTCACAATCGCGACTCCTTTTTTAGAGGTGCATGCAACTTACACTGGTTGATAGTCCTTGTGTCACGGTGTATTCTGGTAGCGTAACAGTCTGTAGAAGTGCTTGTGCAGATTCGAAGAGGCGTGTCCGAATCTCCTTTACTTCTGCCTCAGCATAGGGCCGGGATGGAACATCCTTTAACTTCTGGCTCAGAACACCTGCATTGACGAGAAATAGTGCTGCGAGAGCCTCGAATCTGGAAAGATTTCGATAACTGATTGCTTGTGTGATACACTGGACGGCAGGAACCGTAATGCAGAGCAAAGACTGACAATCAACGAAGATGCAAGGTTTAGCTTCAAATTCCGCCGGGAGGTTCAAGATATAGGACCAGGATCTGGATTTGTGTGTCGATGTTAGCGTCCCATTTCCTCATCTCTAGGCTGGATCGTCTTGCCTATCTTCCGGCAAACATGTGGAAAATTGTGGCTCTTCTCCCGCAGCCAAAAGGACGGGAACGAGCCCTGTGGCTCATCACAGACTGCAGGAACGCAATTTCTGGGAAGCGGATGGGTACGATTGATTGATCTACATGACAGGCAGCAGCAGCTGCAGCATTGGTAGACATGGCTGATGATGTATCGCTGAGGGCACCCTGATGTCGGATCTGGTGGTCGCTTTTGAGTACCACAACATCATCAACATCCACGCAAAAGAGCATATGTACTACAAATGCTGAAAGTCCTTTCGCAATCGGCCACAGGCTGTGTAAAATAGGCCTTCCCGTCCGCTCAGGCAACTCAAACCACAGGCCGATCAGTTAGTAGTTGAGTGGGTGACCATCAGCGAATCCTGGTTGTCGATTGTTTTGCAATTTTGCTTAACCGTAAAATTTTTGGGAGGTTGGGTGGGAACGAGTCGACAACGGCGAAACTTGGCTATAAGAGTATTTGTGGGCCACCGCAAGGTTGGAATCAGTTGTCGTTCAGTTCCACGCTCTACTTATGTGTAGATCCGAGCCGCCCCCTCAGATCGAATACTACCCTATACAAACATGTCATGCTCTTTCCAGGCCTTTGCCCCTAGCGAATGTAGAGGCAAGTGACAGTGTCTTTTGAACGATGGCCACTGTAATGGAGACACCCCACACTCAACCCAGGGAGTGGACGAAATATACCGTGGATGTAGATTCAGCATGGTCTGCCAGCATATCAGCCATTCGCTTGGTGGTTCGTTAAGTGGTCAATGACCTTCGTGCCCAAACGCCGCAAGTACAGCGAGAAGAATAAGAATCCCTGGGTAAACGATACGATGACACAAATTGGCCGGGAAGCTATACAAGAAGTATTTCCACGAGCCACCCGTAACACGCGACGACACATCGAGACCATTTCCGATCGCCGTGAGCGCGGGTCTTGTCGGGACGAGAGCTGCTAGGTGACCCCCATTTCGACATTGTGACGCCAGCGATGAGTCCTCCGATGGGTGCTGCCAACGACGGAATGACATGTACACACGGCTTGTTTCCGAGCTGCTGCGATGCTACTTGTAGCCCAGGGCGTGGATGTTCATGTTGTGAGGGCTGAGATATGTGCAAGAACAGCATTACGGCTTGCGTTGTGACATGGAAATCGTCTACATGGAAGTCCTCTTAAGACAACAGGTAGTGTCTGCGCGAATGGTCTACCCCGATAAACAACTCTTTTCAACTTCGCCATAAACCGCGTACTTCCATTCGAACCACTAAAGGCTACCCAATAACAGTTCGTCTAATACTTCCAGTCGCACAAGACCAGGATTCCAATTTCCCCGCATGCTCTCGAGTAAGGATTCTTGCGGCTGCTGACCCCTGTCAACAGTTTGCAGACCGGTTTGTATGAGGTTGGCTCGTTTCTGACAACACCAATCGGTAAGGGCTTGGTATGCGCGCACCTACGAGAAAGGGGTTTGGTTTGATGTCCTACCCTGGCGTGGCGCTCTGCTGGGCAATTCTGAGAGGGTGTGTACATGGTCATTTGCAGCTTGCATCCTGCACCTTGCTGTTGTTGTTGTTGCTGCTGCTGCTGTCGTTGTTGACTAGAAAGTTCCATCCTCTTAATGGTGGAGGTGTAGTTGTTTTTAGGTGTTCATGTCGACCCGTCAACCAGATTGCGCAAGTCTTACGTTCTCTTTTTGAGTCTTCTACTAATGATCGAAAGTCACACAGGCCTTTTCTCTTGTTTGTCGAAATGGAGGAAATCGTTGCTGTTAGCATTGCTTTTCCTCAACTTATAAAGATGATCTATCAGACTGCAAAGTCGCTTCGCCGCTGCGCAAAAGCAGTGTCTGTCGCACAGGAAAGAGTCTCGAGGCTTGCAGACGAGACCAATCTCTTTGCCGCGCTTTTCGAGGACCTACGGAGGACACTGACCAAGGCCCAACAGGTGGAGGAGTATCGCACTATCCAACCCGATTCGGAGTCCTGTGAACTACTTCTGAAGCAAGGCCGGAACGCGGTCAAGATGATGAAGCAGGCTTTGAATAAATTGAAGCCGTTGCGATCGGACACTCCGTGTTCCTATCTGGAAACAGCGCTCGCGTCACTGAAATGGCATTTCCAAGCCGACGACTTTACCGAGATCTTTTCATCGATGAATTCAGCCAAAGCTAGTGCAAGCGTTCTTATAGGGCTGTTTCAGCTGGAGCAAGTTATTCAAAGTTGCCAAAAACATGCTGCTGCTGGTCGCGATGTCCCGCGAGACCTCCGGGACGACATGTTGGTCTTACTGGCAATCCCTCTCCCTTAGACAAATCGCACTGACTCGGAGCCAGACAACGGTATCGGCGCCAGATCAAGAACTTCAAAGAGCAGGTAGCTAGCCTTAAGCAGAGATGCAAAGACGATAGGAAGTTGTCCAAAGCACTTCGGCGTAACAACGCTGCGCTTTTGAGGCGTACGGCCAAGCTCCAGCGCGAACACGAGAAAAAAAACCGAGCACTAAGGTTGGTTCTGGAAAGCTCTAGGACTCTGATTGACTCGAACGAGTTCGGAGCCCGGCTCGTGCAGGCATCTGCGCGGACTCCGCCGACCTCAATATCCACGGAACCATCCTCCCCACCCGTTTCCGTAAGCTCAACGCTTTCACGCACGGACGGCCATCTCAATTCGACGGCCAACGTAGAGGAACAACCTCATCGCGAGAGGCCATTGGGTGCGGTTCCCACGCCACTATTCCAAGTTCCTGAAAGAGGAGTTTCTCAGGACTCTCCTCCCCCTCCGTCGCCACCGCGAGAAGCAAGGTCACCCACTCAAGCCCTCCCGCAGAACATCATTGTCGATCGCAATGATGGCACTGGCGTGCAAGAGGAATATCGGCCACCCAGACAGACGCGTCGTCGCCTTGACTCCGATTCCAACGCATAAGAATGCAAAGGGTTATATTGTCAAGGGGATTTCGGATTGTTGACGTTATCCGACGGAAGGCCAGACTGGAGGCAAACTTGCGGAGGGTCGACTGTGCACTGGTGCTGGACCAACGACTCTCCAGGGTCAGCCGTAGGAGCCTTACCTCGACTGTGCCATCATTGCAGGTCGTCCAGTTGGCGCAGGTTAGCACTCATGGGCTCCATATTGGGCAACATGTCGAAGATGTTCGGATCGACCTCAATCTCCGGAAAGCCCAGATCAACGAGTTCACGCCAGAGTGCCTCGTCCACCGCTTCCTCGTCCGGCACGTGCCTACTCGAATCTAACCCAACGACATCGCTCCTACCGCCTTGGACATCGGGCTTAGAAACATGAGAAGTATTTTCTTCTCCACCTAATCGTGCGATCTGGCCGGCCAACGATTCCAGCGGGGTGTTGAGTACAGGAGCCGAGACCCTCACGCGGTCAAGAGCCTGCGTGCAGAATTTGAGCCTCTGCCACACTTGCTGATCACTGGGATTGGCTTGGAGTTGCACCAAGAAGATAGAGGCGGCGGTGTATAGGCTGTAGGCGAGCGAGAGGACGACTCGAGTCTCGCCAAATGTGCGGCGGAAAAGGTCAAACTGTGTGTGTGTGACACGGGGAAAGTTAGCTTTGCGGCCAGTAATGTACAATATTGACAGTTTCAGGAGGGAGGCATCGATTGATTTACGGGAGGCTTTCTGCGGACCAACTTACCAAGATTGTTATTGACGTTGCGGATATGATGCACTCTTTGAGATGATTCGTTTGTGGGATTGCTGATTCAGCCAGGAGTTGTGGCTCGAATAGGACCGCACGGTAGAGCAGAATGCGGAAGGTATGGAACAGACAGTTCATGGTCACAATGTGACTTGGTGGTGACAGAGCCGGGACAGCCGCGGGGTCGAGCTTGAGGTGGTCGGGCAGATCCTCCCACCACTGTCGCAACTCGGACCCCTGCTTGTAGACGCAGGCTTCGCGCTCCGACCGCGTGTAGTTGTGTTTCGGGTCGTACATGTAATGCAAGATCTGGTGAAGGATGATGGACAGCTTGCACATTTGCATGAAACAGGATGTCGCATGAGACTTTGTTGTGACCGGATATGTCACGCCAGGAGGGAGTTTCACTCCGTGAGGGATCCAAATTTCGTGTTCGGCAGAGTCGTCTAGAAGGATATGTGGTGGAGATAGGATTGTCTGCTGAATGGTTGGTGATCGTCCTAGGTAGAGACTGATTAAACCATCCCAGAAATAACAGGACCAGAAAAGTCGAATTCGTACTTCGGTATCCTCTTCTGTGAGGTTCGTGGCTGACGCGTATCTTTCACTATCGACATTGATTCTTTGGATTGCACGTGTTAGCAGGTCTGAGAGTCCAGCAAGAAATGAACAAAAGTTTCTTGACTTGAATCGCACTTGAATAGATCAAGGGGATGCCTAGGTGTAGCGATCGGTTCGGAAAGGGAGTCAGAAATAATGCGAGTCTTACCCAATATCCTCTATTAATCGAAATGCCAGGCCACTGTAAAGCCATGCCTGAGTCCGATTACCCGCGGCGCATTCTTGGGCACTCAGGAGCAGTGCCGTTTGCACCGTTGGAATCCTCCCCGGCCCATGTTGTAAGTCTTCAAAGAGCAAGGTTCGTGCGTGCCGGGAGAATATTTTGCCGTTATCATATGGTCCTAGAAGCGATTCGATCTTCGAGTCTTGGCTACACCAGCGCACCGAATGTGCAAGAACTGCATTCATGAGTGCATGCGAGTAGTAGGGGCCCATGACTTGCATGTCGCGAGTGAAGGCTGGACGGTAGATGAAGTTGAACAGGGGCTGAATCCATGTCCAGTGGTTTGTGAGGATATACTGGAAAGGCTCGGGCGTCTCAGCAAAGAGTTCCAGTGATCGTTGCTGCCATGCATTACGAACAAGGCGCTCCTTTCGACTGTCCACCTCCGACGATGGACTCTTAGCTGGATCCGGCGTGGCAGTATCAGCAGCAAAGGCTTTGAAAAAGCTGGTGTCGCTTTGTGAAACGATGGGCCCATTGGCAGCCAGTCCGGTGCTGCCTGCTGGGAGACTTGGGCCATTCTGCGAAGTAGTGGGAGTGCTTTGACTGAGGTGCGGTTTAGATTCCTCTAGAGCCTTCTCTAGTTCTTGAACACGCCTTTCCAGCTTCGTTGTGTAGGATAAGGTAGGAGCCAGTGCGTACACACATTCGTCATCGCGTGCGACGCACCGACTGCAGCGCGGACGCTCACCGGCGCATTTGAGCTTGCGTCTTCTGCAGGCTTCGCATGAGAATGCGCTTTTCTTACTCGCTTTCACTTCTGATGGCGCCCGTGGCATTGCTGAAAGGCCTCCGAATTTCGGAAGTCGTCGACATCGGCTTGTTCTCCGGTTTGTCGCAAACGTTGGACGACAGCCGAAAGCTCATGCGCTCAAATCTACGATGCTTTCTGCAGTGAGAGGTGCAAGAAATCGATGTCAACATAGACTTGTAAATTACCTACAGACCGTAGAGGTGTTCGTTGTCAATGGCGAAGTTGTCTTAAGCAGTGGCGATGATCCTTGGCAGGCTGGAAACGGGGCGCCGTTATTGCCCGATCGAGGTTGCGAGTAAAACTGGTGTATTCAACACCGCAATGTTTTCAAGAACTATCACTATACCCACCTTCAAACCGCCACATAGTTGTAAACGAAGCTTAACAGCGCAATAACTTCTATCAGGGCACCAGCAACCACAGTCGCCAGCAGTATTCGTCCCATCGCCACTACGACAGATCTATTCAGTAAACGCCGCAAACTTCGCCAACACCTCATCCCTCTTCAACACCTCGAGCTCCTCTTCAGGCAAACACACCGCCACGGCCGTCTCCCCATTCCGGTCCCTCGGCATGATATACAGCAAGCTCGGCCATGCATCCATGCGCGGCCGCCTCGCCGCGACGGGATTTCCCCCCAACTCCGCCCCAAAATCCAACTCAGAGCACTTCAAGTTCGCGTAGCTGCTGACCACGACATCCACATTGGGGTTGAGCTGCGCGCCATTGACGATCTGGGTCTTGTCATCCAAGCGATGCAGCGCCGTGGCGTAGGCGCGCATGTGCTGCACGATCTTGGCCTCGTCGCGGAGCTGGAGGCGGAGGCGGCCGGCGATCTCGCCCAGAGGGAGATTGTGGACGTCGGGCAGCCGCGCGTAGACGCAGTCGACGAGGTGGCCGATGTAGCCTTTGAGTTTGAGGAAGGAGCGCAGAGAGACGGTGCGGCAGAGCTGGCTGGCGAAGGGGTGGAGGGTAGGGTGGAGGGTGGCGCGCGCGTGGGTGATGCGCTGCCATAGCAGGGCGGAGATGGCGTCATCGGTGGAGATGTAGGGGACTACGCTTTGGTCGCTGGCAGCGGTCTTTAGCTTCGGCAGGGGGCTGCTGGGGAAGTTGAGGTAGACCCATTTAGCTGGGGGAATGGTCATTGGTGGCGCATCCGGAGGTGGTGGCTTGATGAGGGAGTCGTCCAGTTCTGAACCAGGCTGATAGGAGTCATCCAGAAGAGGGACAACGTTCCGACGGTCCTGGTTACCCTCTTCAATCTCCTCGTCGGTGAACGGCTCTCTGCCGCAGGCCTTGGCGATGAAAGAGATCACGATTCCAAGGCCAGTCATGTCCATCGTGGCATGATTGCCGGCAATGGTCAAGATCAATCCTCCACGGATGATGTTTGCTTGCAAGATGAGCACAGGCGCATACTTGTCGAAGTTGTCCGTAGCCCAGGTCATGGCAATAGGTGGCACGATCCGCTGTGGATCGAGCATGCGCATCGGAAAGCGTGCCGCGACCATGTCTTCCATACTCGCAACATCTGCATCGGTGCAAAAGTCCTTGACAAGCAACGGAATCACACCCTCGTGAGGCACGATTTTCCTGATGCCGGTGTGGGCATCATCTCGGCCGTCATACACAACACGGCCGGCAAGGTAAGGGAACGCTTGCGCGAGCTTTCGCAAAGCGTCATTGAGACCATCTGTGATGCTCTCGGGCGAAGAGTCACCCGGCGTCGTGAAGAAAAGCGAGATGAGACTGTAGCGCTTGATCATCTGCAGACTGCCAAGAACGTCGGTGAGGTGCGAGAAGTCCTGGATGTGGAAGTCTGCTTCCATTGTGCTTGACTGACAGCGTGGGAAGTTGTCCTGGCCTGAACGCGAAACGAAAGTAGTGACCTGCTAGGAATTCGAAGGTGGTGCGGTACTCGAGATCAGATGGAGATGGATTGGTGTTTTATACCAAGCCCGAAGCCCTTGGTAGTCGTGCCAAGCAAAGCATGCAAATGTTCCAATTGCCTCATTGGGAATGGTCCGCCACGAAGCCGGAACGCCGGGCCGCTGGGACGTCAGGACGTTGCCTAATGATCGCCTCGTCGCCTCGTCGGCAGGATAGACGCGGCCACGTATTACGTCCTCGGGTGCGAGACATAAACTTGCGGGCTGGTGAGACCGGTAAGCTGAACTAAGGCCCGGGAATGGTCCAAGCATCAACGTATCCGAAGGTCGATGCGTCAAGACAAGCCGTAGATCCATTGTGTTGCAAATCCAGCATAGGGGTGGGCGGGACATCGACCACAGATGCAGGGTTGAACTAGGGTAGCGGTAGCGCGGGAACGGGTCAACGAGTTTGGGAGGGTTCCGAGATATGTATTCGTCAACAATCCTGTCCTCAAAAGGAAGCTAAACCGCCGGTAGTCGCTAGAATGCAAAAGTACCCTTCGTGATAATAAATCTTACGCAGCGGTGAAGCTGATCATAGAATCGAATAGTATGCCAACAACCCCTCAACCAAAGGGAAAGCCAAACGGCATTCCGCCGCCGCCACCTTGACCGCCAGTCTGGAACTTGAAGCTGCGCTTTCCTCCTCCACCGCCTTGCTGGAAGACAAATTGCTGGCCGCCGCCCATGGGAAAGCCGAATGGCGTACCTCCCTCGAACGGATTGCCGCCCTGTCTGGCCATTGGATCATTGGGATCATCACCATTATCGAATCTTTGCTTCAGCTCCGGGTCTGACAGAACCTCATATGCCTCGTTGACCGCGGCCATTTTCTTCTCTGCATCTTCCTTGGAAATGCCTTTGGTGACCGCCTTGTCCGGGTGGTACATCTTGGCCGCTGTACGATAAGCCTTGTTGATCTCACGCTCGCTAGCGGAGCGGTCGACACCGAGGATCTTGTAGTAGTCTTTCTGTTTGGATTTCTTGAGTTCGAGTTGAGCTTCCTGAATTTTCTGCTGGAGGGTTTGTGCATGCGAAGGATGGTGTTCTTTGGCCGTATTGAGGGACGATATGGCGGCTTCGAAGTTTTCGGCCTCGAGATGAGCTTGTGCTTGATGTAGTAGACCATGCAGCGAATGCTGATCCAATTGAAGGGCTTCCTTGCAGTACGGGGCGGCCTTGCGATGATTGTTCATGCCTAGATACGCCTCACAGGTCTTTTCGAGATAGATGCTGTACAGACCAGAAGATGCGGTATGATGGATGTAGCCTGCCTCGCGGTGCGCGGCAAAATTGTTCTTGATCTCAGAGAGTAGGCCGGGCTCGGTGTCTGGTGTCGATCCTGTGAGCTCCTTGGTGGCTTGATTGAACTTTCGACCCTCCATGAGTTCGTCAACCCGCTTCAACGCCTTCGCCAAAACCTTTTCTTCTCTGAAGAGTGTCTTGCAAGGCTTATAGTCGGCATCAGACTGTAAACACCTCTTCACCTGTGTCAGAGCATTCTCAGTCTGCCCAAGGCTGTAGAACTGCATGCTCGACATCTGGGCGTACGGGTCCAAGAGCGACGGTTGAATCTGTAGGACGTGCTGCAGGTCGCTGATGCCCATTTCAATTTCGCCCATCTCGAATCGACACCGGGATCTCAACTGTCGCAACTGTAGGGCGCCCGCCGCGGTCATAATGGCAACACCGGCATTATTGACACACGACTCCCAGTCTTTGTTCTTCTCGGCCTCAAAAGCAATATATGATGCACCCTCTGCCTCCTCTACCTGGACTAATTCTTCCGCACCTTTTGCGCCAGCATCTCTGTAGTCTTTCTTCGCGGGCTCCCACTCGGCGTTGCGGGCTTGGATCTTGGCCCTCTGTAGCAGCGCGCCTTCAAAACCGGGCTTGAGGTTTAACACAGCGTCGAAATCAGACTTTGCTTGCGAATGTCTACCCGCGGACAAGTAGGTTGCGCCACGCTGGAATATTGTGAGATAATCTGACGAATCTTTCTTGATAGCCGCGTCAAAGTATTGCAGAGCTTCATTCGTTGAGCCCTTGGCGCGTGCCGCCTTCGCCGAAGCAACAAGTTGCGAAATAGGTGTGTCGCTGAGGTCGTCGGCGGCGCAAAGGGGTGTAATGGAGAGGCCCAGGATGGCGCCCAGGAGCGCCAGATCCCTGAATTGGGCAAACATTGCGATAGAAGCGCTAAAGGAACGGCTTGAGTGGGACGAAGAGAACAGGCGTGGCAAAGTAAGATACAGACGAAGAAAACGTGGAGTTGTAGATTCGGAGGAGCAGGTTACTCTTTGTTGAAGTTGTCGATCTGGCCAGTTGGAGGCGGCCCCGGGGGATGCAAGGCTCGCGCTTGGCTTAAGCAGCCGTTCCCCTACGCCCCGCCGCTTTATCACCCGGCCTTCACCTCGATCTCATAACACCCTTCGGCCTGTTTACTTCGCTTCTCCACGAATAGGACAATACGCGGTGGTCACAATAGCAACCTATGGTTGGGTGTGTTGTTCTGCGAGTCTCGATTTCGTGGTCATGAGGCGAGCGCTGGGTAACAAGTTGTAAAAGGCTGGTGGTATCACAACGAGCTTTGTCTTGTTGGATGCGTCAAATATTTATATTCGCCGTCGACTGACTGGGCCACGAGGAGCACACATACGTACAATCAGGTTCCAAATTGATTCAAGCGAGAGTACCGACTGCTAACGACAGTCACGATGGCTGAGGTAGACTGCAGCTCCTCCAGCCTCCACGATTGCGTGACAGGCTTGCCAGTAAAAGCCTGAAACCACATGCATACTCCGTCCCTGTCGTCAAACTGTATCCCGTGCCACATTTGCTCTCTTGCAGTCACTCACGCGCCCTGCGACCGACACCACGAGGACGGAATACCCTGGGGTTTCCGGAGCGCGCAAGAAGCTCGGTTTTGTCGAGATGCACATTGTTGTCGCTTTCCACATTGATGGGGACGCCGCCAATGCGGTTGGCGGGATTCACATAGATCTCTGTATCGGACGGGTCACGGCGCTCCAGCGCGCCAAACTTGACACCAACGCCCTCCGAAGGACTTGTGTACACTCCAGTAGGGATGGGGATGACACCTGTCGGGCCCATCGTCCTGGATTCGGCCTCGCCATATGTGGCAAATGCTACCATGACGTGGAGGGCCAGGGCGGCAGCGATTGACGAAGTGATCTGCATGTTGCTCAGTGATGGAGGAGTGAGGGTGATGATCTTGGCTTGTCGATTCCGTTTCGTACTTGAGTTGTCGTAGAGTCGTTGGGCGCGTATCTTGCTGTTGAGACAGTGTTGGATTGTGAGAGAGCTGCTGGCTTTATAGACCTCTTACTCTGCAAGACATCAGCCCCAAGAGTTGCAAATGAGGATCTGGATCACGTCAATCGTCGTCAACGAAGGTCTGGAACCAGCCACGATACTGTTGTCGCGGAGTTGGTTAAACCAAAGCACCTTGAGCACAGCACCGAGTCTCGCAATTGACGGTGGTGAATGCGGTCTAGACCTCGGAAGTCAATGTCAATCGATGTCAGAAATGGCATCTTGTCTTCACCATGCTTGGGTAATGACAAATTGAAGAACAGATGTGCCGGGAAGTGTCGTGCATTAGTATCTGGTGCGACTGTGGCGTACGTTGGAATACGTGAACGCGCAATATGCGCGTGTCGAGTTCGTGCAACACACACTTGATCGAAAGCGTTAAGCCGACGAGCAGGTTTACGCTCTGGACCGTGCCTAAAAGCAGCTGTGTGTGGTCGTATGGCCTGAATGTCTTTGACGGCGTCTCGGTACTGCTTGACCGGCAGCTGGGGAACTGTTGCGTACTGTTGGTATCACCCGAGCCTTACAGTCCTCCACAACCGCAGGCACTCCATCATGTCGACATTCGCCTTTCGCTGGCCAGTAGCCTCCGCCATATGGATCACCGCAATAATGCTAGCAGCGAAGCAAAACTCGAGCTTCCGTTGCTCGAGGAAAAGAAAATGCTGACGCTTCATACCCCCGGCGGCATTCCAATCCATCCACTCTTCCAACACCTGCACCACAATACGGCCCTCATTCTTCTCTTCCTCGTCTCCCTCTCCTTTCTTCTCGAATCCCCGTCCATCCAACACCATAAGATACAACACCGCCTCCGCCAGCTGCCTCACATCCCATTCCGCGCCAACCTCTCCCCTTCGAGCCAGCCACGCGAGACACGCCTCCGCCACCCTCACCGGGCTTAAACGCGGACTCGCGATCGCATCTGCGACCCTTCGCTCGTCTCGCTGCCTCAGCTCCGCCATCTTCTCCGATATATCCGCACGCTGCTGTCGATGGAACTCGGCCTCGCGGTTCGCCCGGTGCACGCGCGCCTGATCGGGCGGCATGGTGGCTTCCAGCCTCTCAGCTTCGCGCCGAGCGAGGAAGCGCTGGTGATGGCGCTGCGCCGCGTTGCTCGCGCTGGCCGAGGCCAAGGCGTCTGTGTCAGATGATGAGAGGGACCACTGCGGCGTGGCGTCTTCGGCGAGGATGCCTAGAAGTACGAGGATGCCACAAGGCATGGAGTCTTTGCGGGAGAAAGCTGCCAGGTGGGGCGGGAGATTGAAGCCCCATAGGTGGCTGGCAGGCGGTCGCTGTATAAGGAGACAGGCAGCGGCGGCACTGGTGAACCACGTTGCGGAGGCAGTGTGTTCGGGATCGAGGAAAGGTTGTGTGAGTGATCCTGTGCACATGTTGGAGGTTTCCCAGTGAGCCTGGTGAATGCGGTTGTCGCTGGCGACGAAACGAAAGGATGTGCTGTCGCGAGCATACTTCGACGTGAGCTTCAGAGCTTCAATACGCGCTGGCAGGTTCTGTCCGGCTTCGGAAGACCTCTCCGAATCTGGGGAGTCAAGAAGTGCTGGTTGCTTCAGTCGTCCCCATCCCGGAGGTAGGCTGGCAGCACCGCGGAGGTCAGAGATAGCTTGTGCGTCTTTCGACCATCTGATAGTGAGACTGAGCACACCGTCGCTTTCGTCTGGCATGGTCGTCCTCAGCACCCAATCCATGTGCGCCTTGGGGGTATTGTCTCCTCTACCGGCCTTTCTCAACAGCACTGTTCCAGCTGGAGTCCAAAGTCCACCGGACTTCAGCTGCTCCCAGCCCATAGCATCGGGAACAGCGCCCCAGTCGAGAAGATAATGCACGAGATCAGAAAAGTCAATCTCCGCTGCAGGCTCTCGCAATTCATCTTCGTACTGCAATCTGTATAATTTCTTTCCAACAATGAGTTTCTTCCAATTGAACGCTCTCCAGCTTCCCCCTCTTAGGTAGCCTCTGACCCGCCCTTCTTCCACCATGCTTAGCGTACTTTCCGCTCGATTTAGCAGTCGTTGGCTCTCCTCATCCTGCTCTTCGCCGTCTCCCGTGGGCCGCCAATACTCGTCACTGCTCCTATCGAAAGGCGCTATGGTATAGCGAGGCAGCTCGACCTCGAGCAGGCTCGTCATGGGGGAGCTGCGAATGGTGAATCCGTCATGGTGGCGCGTCGAGGTGAGCGGTTTGTGGCCATGATGCACCAGCACCGCCTGAATTCTACGCCGCGTGAAGATCGCGAGGACGAAGGTGTAGAGGATCGGGAGGACACCGACCACAGCGAGGGGGACGCCAATGTAGGTTATGATGTCAGTTGCAGATGCCATGGTGGGCGGCGGTTAGTCGGGGGGCATAGTACGCGTTGGTCACGCGTGTCAAAGTGAGCACGGGCGATCATTTGGCATACCGCTTGTCACCGAAGACACCATTCAAAGAGTAAAGAGTTACATTTACCTTGTATTGGCGTCATGACAGGCGTTCGCGCCCCCGCTGCGCAATTTCCAGCGCAGAGTTGTCGGTGGCTTGAAAAAGGGGCAACCAGGCGCTGAACCACATGGCTGAGGCTCGGGCGAGGAAAAAGCGGCCTGGTCGCGGTCCAAAAACGGGCGGGGCTCTTGGCATTTGGGGGCCGAGCAATGACGATGAATCTACATTGCATCTCTTCATCTCCAATACATCGATATATCATGAGGTGTGCGGCGGACGGGAATGCAATGACACTAGTTTTTACACCTTCATACTAGGCATGACTGGCAGCCGCCTCGATGCCCTCCGCCGTCGACCGCGACCGCCCACAAGGCGTCATGGACGCGCCCGGCAGCACCCCCAATCGCCGCGCCTCGCTCAAGATCCTGAGCCGCAATATTGAGCAAGTCGTGCTGGGCAACATGCTCTTCGACACTTGGTACTATTCACCGTACCCGGATGGCATCGTCTTGGGTCCGAACGCGAAGAATCACTCGGAGGCGCGCAACGGCGCGGGCGGGATAGTCAACGGCATCCCGCTCACTAAGAGCGGCATAGTGTGCACGCGCCTTTATGTCTGTCCCATCTGCTTCTGTTACTCGCCGGAGGAGGTCGACTATGCGCAGCACCTGATGCACCACCAAGAGGAGCTGCTGCAAGGAGAGGTGCTGCCGGTGCCCGAAACCGCCTTCAAGGTGTACGAGTGGGACGGCTACATCGTCTGGGAAGTGGATGGCGAGGCGGAAAAGCTCTACTGCCAGAATCTGTCGTTGTTTGCAAAATTGTTCCTGGAGCAAAAGAGCGTCTTCTTCGACACGGGAGGCTTCAAGTACTACGTACTGACGCATACCTCATCGACCTCGTCAGGAGGAGCCCGGGGACGGGCCCGCAAGCGAGCCTCGTCTGGCGCGGATGATTCTCTCTTCAAGACCAAAGTCCTGGGATTCTTCTCCAAAGAGAACCTATCATGGGACAGCAACAACCTCGCTTGCATTCTGATTTTCCCTCCATTCCAGCACCGCCAGCTCGGGCAGCTGCTGATGGCCGTTTCATACAAATTGAGTGGGTGGGAATGGGAAGGCGGCGTGATTGGTGGGCCCGAGAAGCCCCTCAGCTCCATGGGCCGCAAGTCCTACCTTCGCTTCTGGTCGGAACGAATTGCGCGATACTTGATGGGTCAGACGGCAGATGCCGATCAGCACAAGGTCTTCGACACGAGTCACAGGCGCAAGAATGGCATTGCGAAGGATGAGATGACGGTCGAGGAGATTGGTGACCGCACAGGCATGTTGGCCGAGGATGTCATTGCCGCGCTAAATGAGATGGGGGTGTGCGACATGAAGCTGCCCAAGCGCAAGAAAAAGACGTCGAATGATGCGAATAGTGGAACTGCCGCCGCAGAGGCCGAGGAGCCACAAGCTGCGACCATGATGATATTACGGGCCAAAGTGCTCAAGTGGGCGGAGGATAATCGGGTCGACTTGGTCCCTCCCGTCAGGGAAGAGGGGTTTCTGGGGGAGTGGGCTTTGAGCGACGTCGAAGATCAGGAGCCAGACGAGGATGCAGAGATAGAGGATTCTGAATGATCGACAAAGAACGTCTGCAAGCACATGCCCCGTTCCGAGGCGCTGGTGTTCCGCTCTGCCAGTCCCGCCCAAGAAACCGGCTTACAGACGGCTGTGCAAAGGGGACAGCGGCGACTCGTGGAGTGAGGCGGTGGATACAAACTTGTAAGGTGCTCGCACAGACCATCATCGCCCTGAAGAGCCAACTAGCAGACTATTGCGGGCTCCCAAAGTCTGGCTCGGACTACCGTGCCACTGGAGCTGCTGATCCGGGCGAAGATCTGCGTCCATCCTCCTCTCCGGGACTGCAACGGCCCCGGCAGAGTTTACGTGATACCACTTACAGCAGTATCCGGCGTGCCTGGACTCGAATGTCTCGAATCAGGCAATAAATAATGACTCGTTCGCGTGCCCGCGACTATTGACTCTGGCTTATTCCCTTGATCGATAATAAGAGACCGACCGTTATCGATCGGGGACTATCGGGGGAAGAGCCATGAAAATGATGCTTCGAGCGATTTCCACGAAGTACGGAGAATATTGAAACGGCGACGGAAGACATCAAACATCTTGCACTCGAAGCGAGGGAATAGTGCCTGAGTGGGAGGCGGGTCCCGCTGGGTAGCCGTTGAGACCCCGGCAGCCCTTTCTGGCAGCCAAGACGAAAAGCGTGACCCGTTTGACACGATAGTATGGAGCTGGTGATCCGCTCGCTACCCAGAGAAGAGCACAAGGCCACTGCGATAAAGCACCAGCAGCCTGGAACTGGGTACAATCCCAGAATCTAGCCTGTGTGGATGATCATTGCTCTCCATAGTAGGCAAAGAACTTGTTCTGCGGGGACCTTGGGCATCGGTGCTATAGCATGATATCGAGCCGAGTCGGTAACAGACTGTTGATTTCGACTGTCAATACGGAGTATGGCCCGTTCGTTGTGATGGAGGGCTGTGGCTGTGACTGTGACTGTGCTTGCATGGACCGCAGGTCAGACCCTGACCTTGACATGAATCGTACGGAGTACGGAGTATCGCTCGCTGCACATTGTCCTCCATACGAGTAACAAAAAGTTGACATGAATAAGAGGCCGACTTGGGATTTCTGGCTTTCTGGCTTTCTGTGACCAACCATAACGCGCCAAAGGTAGACGTTGACGCGCTAGAGCAAGGGGAATTCAGCGAAGGGAGTTCCGGTGGAAGGGTACAAGAAACTCAGGCGGGAGCTACGGGGACCTTTCCCCTGCAGCTTGCCTGCCGGACAACTCGGCCCCTAGCCTTAGCTCGTGCAAGGTCTCTTTCGATGGTCTGTTGCCTCTTAGCCACTTCAGGCATGGCGTTGCCGAGACCAAATGGTGGCTTTACTGGCTTCACTGGCTTCTGCTCGTTGTCCCGCTCTTGCTGCTCGAGAGACGCCACCAGTCGCGGGAAGACCAGTCGGAAGAAAAAAGCATCTGCCGAAATGCGAGAAGCTACGCAAGACATGGCGGCAGAAGCAAGACGAAGCGCGCGTCGTGGGGGTACCCACGGCAAAGGTGCACTTCGCAAGTGATAGACCAGGTTGCTTAGTCGAGTGGCGGAACTGCACAGAATGGCCCTGGGTGTTGTCCCAAGCTCTTGCTGATCAGTAGTGGCTGGGACGGTAGATACCGATATCTGGCACAGTTTGAGGCGAAGAGCTCCCAAGCGAGATGCAGTAGACTGCAATTCCGTCGGGCCGATGGGCTCGTCATTGCGACAATGTTACGCCCGCTAAACGACGCGTCGTGGGGCTATGGGCATGGAGCATACGGAGTAAAGCGCGGTCCGAACAACGAGAACAGCAGCTCGCGTTGCCGGCTGACAGTGATAGTGATCGAATTTGAGAGAACCGGGCTCGGAGGTAAAACGAACGCTGAATAGTAGTGACAGTTTGACAGGTGTGATGGCATGGGTCGATGGTGGTGACTGCATCCGGTGTTCGCAGTAGTGGCGATACCGATACCGCCGGCGAGCTCACCACTGGCGCGGCAGGCGGCCGGGAGACGCGGTTCCTGGTCTACTGTCTCACCCCTGTCAAGCCCTAGACAGTTTTGAGTAGAGCCCAGCAGCACCCCTGTCCGCTAGCCCACGCCCGGATCTCGAAAAAAGTGGTTTTGCACTTGGGCTTACAGAAGACTTTTTGGGGCCGTGGACCTTTGTGGATATTGCATTTTCGTCTACCTTTCCCAGCACCGATGGTAAGGTAGCCAGGATACTGCTACGGCTCCAGTTTGGGTCCAGGGCAGCGGGACCTCCATTGTATAGAAGTCGGTAGCATCCTAGTAGTAGTTTTGTTCTTCTACGGCTGTTCCCTCTCCCGAGACCCCGTCCTCGCCCCTCTGCTCCCTTCTCACACGGCAGCAGTGTCACCTTACTTCGACTCATCACCGCACTTGGCCTCATCACACGCTCACTTACACCTCATCCCTTGCCGACAACGCCGTAGCAACCGGCCACTCGCTCCCAGTCGCTGCATACTTCGCCCGCTTCTTGTTTGTTGTATTCTCGGTGTCCGCAGCCGCATTTCGACTTGGACTATCCCCCGCCCTTGCACAGACCATCCCTTGACATATCCCTCGATACTTTTGCGACATTCCTGTCTTCGGCCGCGCATCGCCTCGTCGATCCTCGTCGAATCTCTTCGATTCTCAAAAGCACATCTTCAATCGAATCCCACTGGTCTCCCTCGAAAGTTGCCCGTTAGCCTTTGCAAACTCGTGGTTCCGTTCTGCATCAGGCGGATTGTTCGGCCACTGCAGCTAAACACCAGCTGAACCGACAGCGTGGCGCACTGACGTCTGTCAAAGATTTGCAGCAGCGGGGTCCGTGCTTCAACACCATAACACACACCAAACCAGAACCTCTCTGCTCAACATGGACTCGCCTCGAGAGCCGCGATTTACCATCATGGAAGGCGCCGGATTCACATGGGTGCTGGAGCACCTACTCGCCTACCCGGGTACCTACGAGATTCCTCTACGCACTATGTACACTCTCAACTGCAGTACCCAGAAACCTCCTCAGAAGCAGCCTTCCTCTGCCAGTCTACCAGGCAATGCTTTCCCTCGCCAGCCCAGCTCACAAGAAGACATGAGGATGACCACCCAGACTGCCGCTGCGCAGCTCAAGACCAACCTCATACACCACATCACACAACTTCCTTCGCAGCCCGCCTCGCTCCCTCCGAGTTTCATCACCAGCTTTGTCCGCCGTTGCTTCCCTGCTGAGCTCGATCAGGTTGACTTTCCACAAGCATTGACTGCCCTCGACTACCTCAAGGACCTCGAAGTCCGCCGAAGAAGAGAAGTGGTTTCTGCACTCAACAAACTTGGCATTGCACGAGAAGACCTCGGCGAACGGGAGCGTCTGGCAAAGAAATATCCTGGTGTGATCAGATGGATCGAAGATATCGAAATCAAGGAGCGCAAGGTCGAGGCTTTGTACACCCAGATCTACATCGGCATCCGCCGTTGGACCATCATCAACGAACTCTCACTTGAACCTTTCAACAAACCCAATTGTATCGCTATGCTGAACACTCTCTATCCTCCCACCCTACAATCACAAGGATTTGTCCAGCCTACCGTTCAGCTGACGGCCGCCGTATTGTCCACGCAGCGACAAGGATTCTTCCGATACATCTCGGCCGTCGAGCGTAACGGACCCGGCGTCCTAGGACGCTTGATGGAGGAGCATAGGCGCGAGGGTGAGATGACTGGCTGGCCATCGCTGCGTGAGACTCTCGACAGCTATCTGCGTATGGCCAACAGTATCATCGACGAGAGCTACGAGGTCACTGGCAGCAGCTTCTCACCGACTTCTGCAGAGTTCAGCTTCGAGTGTGATGAAGATGGCCGCCGGAAGGTCGACTCTGGTATCTCGTTTGGCTCCAACAGCTCATCCAATCGCAACTCGGGCCAATCTGACAAGAGTCACGCTACTCGGCCGAGCACCAGCAGCAGTGTTAGTGCTCACAGCCGCAAGACCAGTCGAGACAAGCAGAATCTGATGGCTGATGATGACACCATCACATCCAAAACCGCTGGCTCCACCCTTGAGCGAATTGCGCGTGAGCTGAAGCGAATGAAGTCTCGCAGCAGCGTTCGTGATCAAAGCTCACGAAAGGGATCGCTGGCTGAAGAGAGCAACGACACCTTTATGCTAGATGCTGGTGAGCAGATTCACCCTCCTGCCTCTGCTGGGAGACAACGTACGCTTAGCATCAAGCGAAGCCTACGCAACATGCGTTCTAGGGGCAACATGCGCGACGATGGCAGCAGACCTTCAAGTCGAGCAGACGAGCACTCGCAGGGCAACGTTCCCGCGTTTGATGCTGAGGAGATGAGGAGACGACGCATGATCTGGGAAGCCCAGCAGGGCAAGGTCACAGCAGAGAATTGAGTGGACAATATCGATTATTTCACGGCGCTGCGGATCGCACGACATGGACGACGGAACAGAGAAGACTGGGAGACTAGCGGCTACTGCTACCGCTATGGCGTTGGAGGATTGTTTTTGACCGAGGGATGATGCATTACGATTTCACGCGGATACCACCGACGGCCTGATTTTTTCGTTTGTATTTGGGGAGGACGATGATGAGCATTCAGATTGGCGCTCTAAGAGGGGAAGACTGTCTAACTAACAAGACCTGCCACTATTACCACCAAAAAGTCCGGTGCGGTTACCGCATCTCAAGACTAAGACTGCCCTCGCGGGCTCCAAGTGCCACAACATGGGTTTTCAGGAATGGGGAGAACATTAGGAGGTGCATTATTGATTGGACTGTTGTCATACAAGCTTCTACTGCTGCCACCGGACAGCTGTTTGTGTCTAATGAAGAGACTTACTCGAATATTTGTGGTCATGTTCACCCACTGCTTTGTTTTGACCGTTAGTGATCGTCGCGACAGAACGTGTTCTCATTCCGATGATCGATGATGGAGTGATCGAAAGTCCCGCAGCACGAGTGCCGGAGTAAAAGGACGCGAGGTTGTCGTGTTATGCCGCTCTCCCGGTAGTCTTTGTCCATCAGGTGTTGATCTATCGATTTCGCGTCTTCTCTTTTCCCCGCTACGTGGAGCATCACACCACAACATGTCAACAATATTGCCAGCCTGCACATGTCTTGCGCGCGTTATCCAATTTACTCAGACTTTCTGCCTGCTGCCGACCTCCGGAGAAAACGTCGATACCGCGCCTATTTTCGAGTACCCGCATGAACTGTCTCGCATACTGAAACGCACTTGCAGCGCCACGATGGGCTGGCATCATCAGCCCGAGGTTTGCCTCCTTTTCAGTGCCGGGTGTTTACGAAGCGCGCGTGTGCGTCAGGAGAAACATTTCTCCGAGCGCACGATGGGACCCCTGATCCCCGACAATTTTTGGCTCGCGTCTCCACGAATTCCGTGTCTTACAACAAGGTTCATGCAAAGAAGCGCGTCGATGCGTTGACCTGGGACCACTGCGGGTCCTCTAAACGCGTAGGTGCTGATATCGCGTGAGGCACGCGAGATGTACCTGGTATTGTAGCAAAGATGGGTACTCCGTAACTGCAGCTGCGATGGAGAACTTGGCTTGTTCCTTGGCCACGATAGGTTCGCCAGCCACAACCAAAGATACCCTAGAACTCTGACCCTGCAAATTTTACACAAGCGGAGAGATCATAATGCATGTGAGGCTCTGAACTGTGATAGTCCATCGAAAGTACGAGACGCTGCGAAACTTCAACGAATCTCTGCAGGGATCAAACCCCAGGACGCGCTCTGACGCGAGAGCTGGAAACCTACCGAGTACTGACCTGCCTTTTACGTACGTCCGATGCGGTTGAGCTCGTCCATGATCGAACTTTTACAAACCCTGCGAACCAACAGCGATGAACACATCATCACCCTGGCAGAGTCCAAGGTACCGTCCTTCGGGATGATGGCATCGCTTTTGGCCACCCTCGAAGTATCAAAACGCCGTCAAGCATTGAGCAGCGTTATTCCCGACAACGGAGAGCCTCTTCTGCATCATCTCGAGATACCGAGCATGGCTAGACTTGCGGCTACGCCTGCCTCGAGAACAATCTGCCGCACGTGGGATGGCCGGAAATAACGAAAAGGAGCTTGAACTTTGACCGCGCCACTGCCAATCATAGCAGCCCGGCTTTCAGGGGTGCCAACGTTCCGAACTGCAGAGCATCCTTGAGGTTCAGAACATCCATCTGCGACCACCTGCAGCCACCTGCAGCCATCTGCAGCCACCTGCAGCCATCTGCAGCCGCAAACTAATTGCCCGTGCCGGAAGCTGATTCACTCGGACCTGCGTGGACTTCGCTTAACAAGAGGAGACACCCATGAAGATGGCGAAGCATATCCAATCCCAGGCGATTACAACAGTACGCCATGTCTCAGGATCCTTCTTCAAGATGGCACAAGCGAGCTTGGGGGTTTTCAGCCCTATACTAAGGCGGAATTCATCTTCCTGCTACATTACGGAGTACTCGCTGACTTCACGTGGCTGAATGGCCTAGAACTCGGCTCGTGATGGACATGTGGAAACGTTCAACCACAATCGGGCTGGCCAGGCCCTATAGCTACCGCTCCTCGGCGCCGCAGCACACCTCAGACAATGAATGTGACCCGGGTATGATGAACGTTATTCTAAGTACAGCGTGTCAGCCTTTGTTCGCCCATGATCGGAAGCCACATCTTCACTCGAGCATTCAGGGATTCCGGCGGCGCAAGTTTTGCTCCTTGACCAACTCCGTATTTGCTGCCTCATGATGAGCACGTACTGCCAAGGTAAGTTCTCTATTCTACCCGCTGTGCTGGCTGTCGTGGCCAATGGTAGTCGAATGAAGCGAAACCTACGGCTCTACTAACGGTTCTTGCTGGGCCATCGTGACCACGAATAAATCCTCGCTCCGAGGTGTCCCATGTCCCGACAAGCTTCCTCAAAGCGTCTTTGGTGGTCCTCAAGCCGACTCGCAGTGGCTCGTGGATTTTCCATTTCGAAGTTGCAAGAGTCTTCCGTTTTCGGCGGTAACTTCGGCGCAAGAGTTGAAGACGAGCGCTATCGCTCGAAAAGATAGTAAAAGCCACGTGCGAGTCTGGACTTTGGGCCGTGTCTTTTCCAAACCACTGTAAAAGTTTGGACTTCCCATCAATCGAACCCTACAAGCCGCAGAGTTTGAAGGGTCAGCCTAGCAGAGGACAGGCTTGGAAAGACCCTGAGCGGCAGAATTACTCAGGAATCTCCTTGACAAAGGCCCCATCCCTGAATGGACGCAGCGCTCGCTGGGATTTTCCATTCTCTTCATAAGCTTTATCTGGGCGTATGACCAACCGTCGATACCTCGAACTTAACCTTGGCAGGAATAAATTGGTGACTGGGCATCGACATGTGCTGCATTTTCATTACATTCGGTTGACCGCAGGGATCAATACTTACCCAAATAGTCAAACTGCTTGGTCTCGTGATCATCTTTTGGCACGCCCATCTCCTGCTTGCGGTCTCCGTTAAAGTCATTAGTGATGCAGTTGATCATTGCTCAATCATAGTACGACGAGTTCCAGTTGATTTGTGCGTTCAACCTCTCCAGCCACTCCTACATTGTCAACACATGTTCTATATCCATTGCGTCCGCCCATCCATGCGCATTCCCTGCCTTGGATACTCTCACGCCGTGTTCAGCCTGTAGCACACCCCTTCCAAGGGCCCTCCAACTCGTGAGCCACGGCACGGCAGTCGGACCTACTATCACCGTCAGCCAAAATTCCGCCATCTCCGCATTTCAGGCACCGGACTCCTCGCCTTAACCACTCCTCCCGCCCGCACACCGCATACTGCTCCTCCAATATCTTGACCCTCCCCACAAACCCAGCTCCCTGTGACACTGTAAGTAGCATTCGCGCCGTATACCAGAACACTACTCCCCCCAGTACTGTCTTCGGAAGCGCAGACGCCAAGATTCTTCAGGCAGTGAATGACTGACGCTAAGCCGCTTTAGGTAGTTGCGAAGAAAGATGCGTGTAGTGCAGCTACTCTACTAATGATCTAGTATGAGGCAGGTATCTCTGAGAAACTCGCAATGCGGTAGGCTATGAAGGCTGGAGCTTGAGCAAGAATGAGGAAGCGAAGCGGGAAAAGGAACCCATGACCGGGGCCTCCAAAGTTCTCAGCGCCGAGTTGGTGATAGACAACTACAGTTGATAGTCACGAGATCAATTCTGTCTTTCGTTGAAGCCTACTCAAGCCTATGTAATGTACTGTATCAGCAGTGACATGAGTGGATAGGTAGCCTGGTAGCCATGCTTGTTGGTCGTGTTCATGATTGTTCTTTAACACATTACATCTAAGCTATGGTCCTGTTAACTAAGCTCTGCATGAAGCAGATGCGCAACTGCAGTGGCTAGCAAGAGAGCATCTCGACGAGCCACCAAATGGTGTCGCACACAGTTCAAGTCTTCATAGCACAGCGGTATACTCATGCAATAGCAGTCAGTCTCTTTGTTGCTCGTGGCGCCGCATGCAGCAACACCTTTGTCAGTTCCGTACTTCAAGCTAGCCGTAACAGTCACCGCGACTACACAATCTCATTGCACCAAGACATCTCAAAGCAACTTGCAAGGTCATCACTCATGACACCTTCAACACCACACTCTCCCACTCTGCAAACATTCCTCAGCCTGCCTGCACACCATCCAGTCCATCTCTTCACACACCCTCTTCCATCAAACCCCTCCTACCTTGCACGATGAAGCTCACCACTACCCTGATCCTTGCCCTCACCTCCATCACCACCCTCGCCGCCTCGACCACCGGCGTCAGCACCCCCCTCGGAAGCGCCCCCGACCGCTTCGAGCGCACCCTCTGCAACGCCGACGGCCACACCTGCAACGGCCAGGCCTTGACCAGCAAGCAATGCACTGCGCTCTGCCGCTGCAACCCGGACAAGAAGAAGATTGAGTGCGAGAAGTGGAGTGGTTGTAAGGGCAGTACTGTGAGTAATTTTCTCTTAAATCTTGGGTCTGAGCTGGAGCTGGATATGTGGCGTGGCATGGTTGTACTGATGCTAATGTGTGTGTGTGCGTGCGGTGTTGTAGGTCAAGAAGCACTGCGACTGTATCAGTGCGCTCTTTGGCGGGCCGTGTATGCGTGGAAAGTAAGGCTGGGCATGAGTGTGCCGTGGTTGATTGGCGGATGTGACGGTTGAGGAAGGTTGAGAGGGCATACTACTGCCGCTGCCGGACGATGGGGGACGGATTCACGGAGACGATGGCCAAGGCATTGAGATGCTGGGACAACCCGGCAATTTCCAATGCGGGCTTGAAAGGGTAGACGATTTGTTCCTTGAACGGTATCTGCTGGGTCTCGAAAGGACACTACTCTTAAGGGAATAATGACGAGACAGCTTTGGTGCCCTCAAGCGCTTCCATGTAGACTCATGTGACAGAGAAGTATTGGAAGATCCAAGAAAGATGTGATCTCCCGTCTCGATTCTTTGGCTTTACTGCACGCTGAAGATATTTCAGCCTTGAGATCTTGAAACTAGGGCATGAATAATCATATGACCATTCCCTCATGCCTGCACGTTATGACTTTCTACGCTGTTTACTCAGTGGACTCAGGACTGTATTCACTGGCCAATGTTAGGTCGCCTTTCGCTACTGATGAGTTCTGACCAGCACGTCCTGTTCGGTCTGGTGATTGATGCATTCTCAAATACCAGGAAGATTGTATGCATGAACAATGCTTGCAGTATTTCAACTGTCGCCCCGAACGTATTGGTCGTACTCAATGACTGGCTGCGGAGTTATTACATTATGTCCTGAATACAGACCTCCTGTCTTGGCAGTAAAGCATCGTTGTTCTTCTTCTTCCAGACCACTCGGAAAAAAGTCTCCGATACCCTTACGACATCCGGTGAGACGAGAGATCTGAGCTCCGAGTCCGAGTAGCATCCCGGACACAAAGTGACCTGTCAAATGAGCAGAGGCGATGGAATTAGAATCCGTGGATACGTTGCATCATGACTCTTGCGCGTGGTGCATTTCCGTCATGATGAACACGAAACCTTCCTTGGCAGCAGGCTGATCGCGTCTGGATTATTTCTCATGTTGAAATCATAAGACGATCATATATACAATGTTTGCTTGCCTAAGAACCGCCTCGACGATCCAAACAGCAACATTCACGGCATCAGCTTCCCGAACTCTTCGCCTTTTCTCAATCACATCCACCTGCAAAATGCCTGAACAACTAAAGCACTCGGAGATCAACTCCCAAACCGACCCCTCGGTCGCAAAGCAGTGGGACAACGACGTGTCCCCCGAAAAGAAGTTCGAAGACTTCTACGGTATCGTCGACAAGCTCAAGATCGGCCTCCTCGGCACCCTCCGCGACGGCACCGGACCCGTCCACCGCTCCATGGCCGTCGCCAAGCGATCCGGTCCAGACTTCCTGTTCCTTGCCAACGCCCACAGCGCCAAGTTCGACGACATTGAGAAGAACCCCGGCGCCGTCACCGTCACGTTCCAGAACAGCAGCACCCAGGACTGGGTGTCGGTGACGGGCAAGGCCGTCACGAGCAGCAATGAGGATCCGCGCATCAAGGAGATCTGGACCAAGGGCACGAGCGCTTGGTTCGGGGATCTGGGCGATGGCGTGCATACCGGCAAGCCGGAGGATCCGAGGATGAAGCTCATTGAGATTCAGTCCAAGTGTAAGCAGCGGCCGGTCTACTGACCTGGAGTTTTTTTTATTGCATTGCTGACGTTGTGAAAACAGATATCTCCTACTGGAAAGCTGAAGTGGGTGCTCTGGGTTTTGGCAAGGAGGTCATTGGTGCGGTCATCACCGGGGGCGTCGCCAATACGGGTGTTTTGCGGCAGATGAAGGAGGACGAGATTGAGCAGGCCAGAAAGAAGGACGGTGCGTTGAGCTCGTAAGTCTTTGCGTGCTTGTTGGTGGTAGAAGAGGGCGAGCGGTAACATATTGCGTGGTAGTCGATCTCGGCTGTAGCACCCACGAATACTGACTGACTGAGACAATTTTATCATCATCGGCCAACGCTCTTTGTCGCTCCAGGACTGATTCGGGCAGTGTCAAAGCTCGGAAAGTCAATATTCTCCTTGGTGAAGCGTATCAAAACCCAGGTCTTCAATACAGTCATGTAACGCAGTGCTTACTGCTGAGATGTAAGAGTATTGCAGACTAACGTGCGACGAAGCTGACCCTTGCGAACTGCGTATCATGGACATTATGCCAAAGTCCCAATCAAGAGTCGAGACCTTTACCTTAGGTCAGAAGCGTCGGATACACACCCCTAAGTTCAGCATCACGCTCACATCGTAGATCAGCATAGTCAAGAGGATTTAACGACATGAAGCAGTGAGTTAAGTGTCCTTGAACACGTCCGTCGTGGTGTATGGCACACTGATATCTTCATAATAAGCCTGAACGATGTAGGGAGAATGCTGACCACTTGTTCATGTACGCCATGTTCTATCTGCATCAATATATCATCAAGGTCATTGGCATGTCCTCACGTTCTAGCTCAGGGGCAGAAAGCCCCGGGTAAAGGCATACAGCCAGAACATCCATCCTCCTCAGTGCACTCATGTTTGCCGCCTTGGTAAAGGAGATCGACATCCAGACCCATCGTACCAAGAAGCTTCCCAAACGCCTGGTCCAATTCCTCCCAGCGTAGCGGACGACTCTTGTAAGCATTCCAAATGATGTTCGCTTCCCTGGTATTGACTCCGAGATCGTCATGGCGCCCGTGCAGAGCATCCATCAACGCGTCTAGACACTTGACACCCGCCCACCTCCCAGCCAATTCGAGAACCTCGCCTTTCCCCGAGTCTCTCCACTTGACGCTTGCACCGCGTGCCAGCAACACCTGCGCCGCCTCAGCTTGATCGTATCTCACGGCTGCTCCGAGCGGTGTCAAGTCATCACGCATCACCGCGTCCAGCTCCGCGCCCGCATCCAGCAACACACCAACCAAATGCACATTACCAAACATGACGGCATAATGCAACGGAGTCTGCGCACCCTTGGCTCTCGCATTGACCTGCGCCCCAGCCTCCACCGCCGCCCTGACCAGCGCCTTCGTCGCGCCCATCTGCTTATAACAGTAGCAATGCAGCGGCGTCCTCCCCAACGCATCCCGCGCGTCCACATCCACACTCTCCACCTCGCACAGCGCCCTAACCGTCCGCGCATCCCTCGCCACATGCAACGGCGTCTGCTCCATCGGCCCTCCAACCGTGGCATCGGCGCCAAACTCCAGCAGCGTGCGCACCGCCGGCACATTACCCTGCGCGGCCGCCCACCACAGCGGCGTACCGCCACGCAGGTCCCCCGCATCGATCTCCGCCGTGGACCCGCGCAGCACCTCGGCGAGCGGCAGCGCACTCAATCCCAGCACCACCTTGTGCACGAGCGAGTACTGCTGCTGCGCGACGAAGTCGTCCGCGTCCACCTGCCGCAGCACATCGTTGTCGGAGAGCACGTACTCGCCGGGAGCACGCGCGCTCTTCTGCGCGTGGAACCACGCCCGCTCGACCACATTGCTGCCGTTGTCGGCGGCGATGCTGGGGTCGGCGCCCTGCTGCAGCAGGAACGACGCGATGGGCATGTGACCCAGCGTGTAGGCCGTGTGCAGGAGGGTCCAGTTGGTGGTGGAGACGTCGTGGATGGAGGCGCGGCCTTGTGCGAAGTGGTCGCGCAGGGCGGGAAGGTCGCCGCGCGAGAGGATGGAGAAGATCGGGGCCGAGTCTGGGAGGACGCGGAGCGTGTTGAGGTTGAGGGTTGTGTTGAGCGCGGTGGAGGTCAGGGTCGTGTGCAGTGCGATGGGCAGCAGCCAGGTGGGGAGGCGGTAGGTGAGACGGGTGGATACTGTTGTGTTACGGAGGCATTTGCGTTCTGAGCAGGGGAGCGGCGCGAGGGGGCGACTGCTCGAGGTGACTGAGAGGCGGCCCAAGAGGACGCCGAGGACGGCCGGGGTCGAGATGCTGTAGGGACGGTGGCAGATGCAGCTGCAGGTCGAGGAGCAGCGGTCTATACCGGTGCTGCCAGAGCTTTCCGATGCTTTCGATACCACGCTGAGCTGGGTATTGCTTTGTGTTGCGGAATGGTAGCCCTCCTCGGGGTCGACGAGATGGTCCCCGTCATCGTCTTCTGGATCACTCTCTGGCGGTGCCGCACTATTCGCCGGAGCCGCCAACGTCACTGTCTCGGCTGTCCGCTCAACAGACGCTACGGAAACGTCATCCCCATCCAAGACAGCCGCAGTCCTGCAAGAACCCTCTTGCATCATTTTTGCACCTCTTCCTTCCCCAACCCCAATCTCCACCAAAGTCGTCGTCTGCCACAACGCCAAAACCTGCAACCCCTCGCCCACCCGTCCCTCCAACCTCCTCACCTCCTTATCTCCCCTAAGGCTCCTCACCGCCCTGCCCCACCTCCTGCCCCAGCTCTCCTTCCCCTCCCCCTCCCCCTCTTTCTCCACCGGTATGCTCCTCTCCACCACCCCCAACAACGCCCTCACATCCGCCCCCACAGCGCCGACCACCGGCAACAGCACCTCCGCATCCGCCACTCCCAAGACACCCCGCTCAGCCTGTTTGCGGATGCGTTGAACGATGGCGAGCACGGCGAGCAGACGCGCACGCAATGCGGCGAACGAGGAGCTTTCTGAGGTGAGGTCCGAGAGCCGCGTTGCGAGACGCGTGCCGTATTCGACGAATTGGGCGAGGGCCGCGAGGAGGCCGATTAGGGCGGCGGCTTCGGCCATGCGGGGGCGATGATGGTGGCCGTGCGCCTATGAGTGACAGTAGTGGTGGTAGCGGTAGCGGCGGCGGCGGCGGCCACGGCCACGGCCACGGCCACGGCAACGGACGGGCTAGTGGTGCCTCGCAGCCTGATGATGGGATCTGCTGGTATCACCGAACTGGAGACTATGACGCTGCCGTGAATTCCCGCGATTTTGTAGGCGATCGTTCGGTCAGTACAAGTCAATGCAAACTGTGTGATCTCTGTAGGGAGGTGGTGGCTGCTTGTTGAAAGGCGGGCGTCAAATTAAAGAAGGCAACCAATTTAGCCTTGCTGCCTGACACGAGACCGGCTAACCCGATCAACGCTAGTGTGCAGGGGTGCCAGCCTTGCCCAACGTGTGGACTTGGTTGCCTGACGCCTGAGGATTTGCGGGAGTATGTCCCTGCTGATTTTCGCATTTGAGGAAGGCAATCTTCTATAAATGAGGTCCATCGCCAATAGTGGCCTTTGCAGCCAGATCGTGCTCTAGCTGCTGCACAGCGGTTTCGACTTGATCTTGAGTCGGAGAGCTTACAGGTACCGGCGCATCTCCGCCAACAAGTTGCACGAGTAGCTGCCCGAGCTCTTCTTGCGTGTTCCACAATTTTATCTGTGCCTTGACAGACTTGGTGTCGGATTGCTTATCGCTTTCGGCCGGACTCTCGGGGTCTGTGCTAGCCTCGATAGCGGCCTTGTCGATCAGTTTCTGCAACGCAAACCCTTCGCGCACCAGTACAAGGTCAGTCTCAGACAGCTCCAATGCAGGACAGAAGTCGTTGCCACCGTCGCCGACGTACACTGCTCGCAGATCAGTGGCATCTTCCAATTTGAGTTCCTTCACTGCTCTTCTTAGAATGCTCGATTTGCACATATTAGGAGGACACGCTCGCAGACACTCATGTGGCGCGTCAATTGACTGATACGGTTCAACCCGGAGAACGTCATGCTCCGCCCACATTCCCGGGTTGGTGTATATTTTCGAAAATGTATCCTTTTCAACCCCGTTCGCGCGCAATATCTCGTCGATGAAGATGGTGTTGGCATCAGATGCAATAACAAACTTGACTTTTGGCGCTTGATTCTTATGCAGCTTCTCTAGCGCGGCAAGTAGCACCGGGTCCATCTTCACACGACCCAAGCACTCGAGCATATCACCTTTGCTGTACCCATCCTGCTCCGCCAATGCCGCGAGTTGCGCCTGCATGGTCTGCGTCCATCCGAGGCCCTGCTCCTTGCGCAATGACACGAAACTCGGTATCAGTGATTGACCGTACGGAAGCTCGTGGAACAGCACCAGGTCGGAATTGACATTGATCAGCGTGTGGTCGAAGTCACAGACTACCAGCAGCGGCCGACTGGGGTTCGAGACGTTGCCATTTACTAGGTCAGCCTTGGAACCCATGTTCGGGTCTTTTCAGGATGAACCGAAGTGTCGCAGGATCCAGGCTGTCGAACGAAGAATCAGCGTGAGAGGTTGGTTAAGGTTTCAACAGCATCGCGTCATCTGCTCTTCCAGAAGGTAGCTCGAGCTTCCTTTTCTCAGATTTATCAACAACACTGGAGTTTTTCGGCACTTTGGAGCTCCCGAGCACCGATCGTTGAAAGCAGTATCTTGGTACCAATACGAATTACCGAACATTTCCAGCCGGGTAAATTTTCGGCGAAAGCCCTAACCCTAGTCGCGGCGCTCGGAGCGGACCCTTGCATGAAAATATCTCGAAAGGGAAATGTAAGCGACTGCTTTGTCAGGCGGGCCCGCCTTTTCGGGGTCCTTGTAAATAACCTCATATCAGCCGTATGGGTATGCTTTTGAGGGGAGACTTTTCAACCAGAAGTATGCTGGCCAAGCAACCAATGCTCTCGTCTAACTGGCGGTGATCTTGACGTCAGCAGATAACAATGGCGGCATGTTTTCGGGGGGTTGGCTATGCCGTTCATTATCAATCCAGACCTAGGTGGGTGTTTCTGTAGGTGAAGCTGAAGAGTATTTGAGAACCTGTATCTCTGCTTGAGCTGAAGTGCATCGCATCTGAAGATACAGGATCTACTTTCGTCCTACCTAACGCACAGTGAACACCATATACCACTAAACGCACAACCTCAACGATAAGCCCCAGTACAACTGCAACTACAGCAGGACTGCATATTCGGAAGCATACCAACCAATATCACACACCATGACCTATACACGACAACCGCCTTCTTCTACCAGCACACCCCACCTCCTCCCTCAACAGGACCTCGCTCTTCCCCTCAACAGCCTCATCCTCGTCACGGGAGCCACCGGCTTCATTGCCAGCCACGTCGTGCGCGAGCTGCTCTCCCTCGGTTTCCGCGTCCGAGGCACCGTGCGCTCCGAAGCCAAAGGCGAAACCTCACGCGGCACCCACGACCACCACCCCCGCTACAGCACCGCAGTCGTGCCCGACGTTGCCGCACCGGACGCATTCGCGACCGCCATCCGCGACGTTGACGGCGTGGTCCACCTCGCCAGCGACACCAGCTTGGCCGACGACCCGGATGCCGTCATTCCTGCGGTCAAGGCCGCGACCGTCGAGGTCTTGCGCGCCGCCAAGGCGGAGTCCAGCGTCAAGCGTGTCGTCCTCACGAGCAGTAGCTCGGCCGCCACGTTCCCCAAGCCCGGCGTCAAGTTCCACATCAGCAAGGACACGTGGAATGACGAGGCACTCAAGGTCGCGTGGGAGACGCCCGTGGAGGAGAGGAGCGAGGACCCCGGCTACGGCTTCTCGGTCTACGCGGCGAGTAAGACGGCGGGCGAGCGTGCCGCGTGGGAGTTCATGCGCTCGGAAAAGCCGGGCTTTGTGCTGAACGCCGTGCTGCCGAATTATAACATCGGCAGGGTCTTCCGCGACGTGTACCCGGGCGTGACGGGCATCGGCACGATCGACGCCCTCAATGGCAAGGTCAACACGACCTTCCCACCGCAGTATATGATCAACACGACGGATGATGCGAGGGTTCACGTTGCGGCACTGATAGATAAGACGGTCAAGGATGAGAGGCTGTTTGCTTTTGCGACACCCTTCAATTGGAACGACATGCTGGCCGCTATCCGGAAGGTGAGGCCCGAGAAGAAGGTCATCGACGACTTCCCGAATCTAGGGAGCGACGAGAGTACCGTGGACAACGAACGCACGGAGGAGCTGATGAGGAAGTGGTTCGGTCAGGGGGGATGGACGTCGCTCGACGAGAGTGTGCGGCAAAACTTGGAACATATCGAGTGATCAAGTACAGGGAAATAGGGAATATTAAAGGCCAAGAGCGCTGATTCCTAGTGACTGAGTGTGGCTCGATGTGAAGCCAATGCGATCTTGTTTCTTGGATCGGGCGAAGTCCTGCCCTTACTCATCCCAGTAACCAAGTAAGTTCCCAATTCGAGGGTACTGAAAACGTCAAGATAAGGCGTAGATCCACTTGTCGAAACTGTTACGCAGTCTCGTTACAACAAAGGTCTTAGTCCAACAACTATTCCCTCAGGTTAACATCGTCATTTAGGAAGCGCTTACTGCTCCATTGAGGTATTGATCTAAGCCCCGGCTAAATGCACTTTGTCAACTACTTAGTTCTGCCCTCCAAGAGATGCCTATGCCTGCTGATGAATTTGGCCCCCAGAATCACCTCGCTCACGCCAAAATCATCAGGAACCACTAGAAAAGCTGTCCTGTATCTAGTTTCATCAATGCAAAACGTAAACTTGACCTTCGTTGAAACTGGAACCCTTGAACCGTCGAGTGAGATTAGCTCCTTGACTCGACTGGGCTCGAAATTTGTCAAGCCCCATTCGTACACTTGATTTGCAAGTGGCCTCTTAATCAGGCAGTGATCTGCGCCGGTATCCAGTAAAGCCGCGGCTAATGTCACGTATGACCCATTCTTCTTCAATTGCAGTGGGATATTTCGCCAGGTCGGTTCGACCTCATTTTCGCCTGCTTCACCGTCCGTACTCAATGCCCCCATCATCTCAGAGATACGATCTTCCTCAATAAGTGGACTGGCGCTGGGCTCTTTTGGAGCGGTGCCGCTGGGGCTGATAGAACAATGCTCGGACTTGGATTCTGCGTCAGCAGGAAGAGATTTCAACGCTATCTCCTCCATGTGCTGCGCAACATGATTGGTGAAGGCTCGCTTAGATACAAATCCCTTCCTCGAGCACATAGGGCATTTTTCTTCTGAGTGATCTGCAGAGACGAGCACGCGAGCTGATGTGAGCAGCGCCGAAGTCTGCATGTCATTTTGTGGCTTGGTCAGCGTATGCTTCGACTCCATATGTTCGAAGTAGGCTTCTGCCTCTACGCTCTGGTAGCTGCAACTCGAGCACTTTAACACATAAGTCATTTTGTGTTTCTGAAGTTCGTGCTCGGAAGTATCCAAAGGCTCTTCATCAAAGTCATATACTCTTGCTGCCTCATAGTCGTGCCGGAGCGTAGGCAGCAAGTGCATCAAAGCACTCACTCGAAGCTGCAGCTGTTCAATGATCCTCGAACTCTTTGTCGACACGCTTGCTGATTCACGTGGCTTGGTCGTTTCGTCCTCGACATCGCTCGCCCCGCTGGAATCATTCGAGTCTCCGCTTTCACTTTCGCTGAAGAAGACAGCAGACTGCGCATTGTTCACTCGCTGCAGTTGTGGCACTAGACTGTCAGTTTACACACAAAAGATCTAGTTGGGCGCATCTCACCAGAGTTCAATATGCGTACTATTCGAATCAGCGTTCGTCGCACGGCACGGTATATACCTGTGATTTGGTTGACTTTGCTGTCCAAACGTGAGAGATCCAGTCCTTGAGCCCACATGAACAACATTCCAATGCTGTGCTCGAGCCCTGACCTTTCCACCTCGGTGAAGTTGTCGCGCACCTCCTGAGATCGGACGCGATGTTTGGCGGTGCTTAAGACGAGAGTATAAAGCTCTGGCACGGTCAGACTCTGTTTGCTGGAAGTCTGAGTTGTCGGAAGTCTTCTTTGACCTGAGGGCGGTTCAGTTGAGCTCAGGGTTTGTGTTCCTCCAACGCAAGTGTCGGCTACGAAGACGTCAATTAGGTCTCGGTCACCCGGATTCGACTTGCCTGAGGAATCTGTGTTGAGATGACAGGTTGGATATTCACCTGAACTCGGTTCTGTCGAGTGCAACGCGTTACTGGATCCCGAAACGGATCCGGCGTTAAAATCGTCGCGTAGCACTTTAAGGTCTTGAGGGTTCGAAGCCTGCCGGTCGTTCACTTCCTCCTCGGATTGCTCCATTTATGGTTACAGTTGGAACCCGTTAATGCAAGCTCGGTGATCAAGAGACGGAAACAGAGCAGTTCACAAAGACATGTAGATGTTTTGGTCAACTTATTGCGCAGCATTTTGAGGTATAGAAACGGTGTTCGCAGAGTTGATCGAAGGAAGTTGAGGGGCTCACGCGGTGCCAGCGCAGCAATGCGCCGAGCTAATCCAAATACAACTTCCAACATGGGACGGAGACGCCCAGTCATGCAGCCAGGTAGAGTCAGGCTGACACGTAGGCTATTTTGCGATCGGCCAAGCAGAATCACTACAGCTGCACAGGGCCCAAGTGCCTCGCTCTCTGAAACAATATCGTCGCTTGCACTCCATCCCAACTACCTGCTATCGTATCGATACTCCGTCGACTGACAAAGACCCCATGGAGGCTGTAGGCGTGACCCTTGGTGCGGTGACGTTGGTAACGACGTTCGAGCAGTTTCGATCGCTGTACAAAATCTGCAAACGGTTGCGAAGATTCAAAGAAGGCATCGATGATCTCTTGGACGAGTTGGTGATCCAACAGGCTGTCTTCAAGCACGAAACCTGGACGCTATTGATCTCAGCTCTTGGTCGCAGTACCGCTTGTAAGATGATGGAGGACAATACCCACTTTGCCTGGTCCGATCCAGATACGCAACATCGGCTGGATGTCTTTCTTGGGGACTCTAAGGAGGCCATGTTCACCGTAGCGAAGAAGATCACAAAACAAATGAGAAGCATGCAACAAGAGCTATCTCAATTTAAAGGTCCAAAGGAGAGCACTGAGGGCAAGGCCTATCGCCAGGGGTTTCGAAACCGCTTCAAGTTCACATTTTCCGAAGACCGATTCCGGGGGTTGATCAAATCAATGAGGCAGTCAGCAACAGATTTCCGGACGATTCGAGCACAAGCGGATGAGGTGACGATAGCGAGACCTGAGCCCGATTCAAGCAATACTGTGAACGTAACCCGCAATCTGGAGAAGGCCAAGGCTACACAGCTCGCGGCGCAACAAGTCCATGAGGTACTCAGGGATGTGTGCAAACTTCACAGCAAGCACCATGTTCAGTTCTGCCTGAAGCCTGTCACCCCGTCATCCTCAGGCTCCCAAGTCCAGTTCCAGATCGCTTTTGGGCATCTCTCGAGAAGGCACGAATTTCGCAAGTGTGATCCTCTCTGGTTCATTGTCGAGTCTGTGCTTACTGGCACAATCTCTACTATCCTTGAATCAACTCCAGCACCAAATTCCGGATCCAAGGGCTTAGTCAAGAAACGCTCCATCTCAGAAGAATCGTCGAAATGTCACAGATCGGGGAGAAGTAAACGTGTTCGTTTTGGGTCGCCTTCTCCGACCGAGCTACAGCCATCAAAGGCCATGACAGCCTCAGTAACTTTCGATAGTCTGCTCGGGAAGGAGATAAAATCTGACCTTTGTACCTACCTGCGTACTGTTCAGGAGAAGTTACAACAGCAAGGAGGGTGCATAGGAGTGCTTCAGTGCTCGAGCAAATGGCAGCATCGGGTCCTCCACAGCAGAGGGCCTTATCGTACCGGCCAGTGTTCGGCATACGATGGGAGAAGCCTGGCTAGCCTGTTATCGCTGAGAGAGCAGTCAAGCATCGAACCACGTCCGCTGAATATCCTGCAGCGTCTAAGGCTTGCGAAATTACTGTCGACGGCTCTTCTTACTTTTCATGGTACGCCCTGGTTGGACACTCCTTGGACCTCGCAGGACATCATACTATACAACGTCACCGGCCAACAACCAGCAACAGCGACAATATGTGAGCTTGACGCGTTCGTTGAAGTACCAGTTGCACAGGGGATAGCGGAAGCCGGTCTGGTACACGATGTCGCAGACCCGCTTTCACCCTTAGTCCACAGTCCTGCCTTGTTCAGGCTCGGAGTCATGCTCCTCGAGTTGGCCTTCGAGAGACCGTTGAAGTCCATGCGCACCGCATTGGACTCGGCACCGGGTATGCCTCCCAATACGGCAGACGTGTATACTGCCTACCGTCTAAGTAAAGAGGTGCCGCTGTCCCTAGGCCTTGGGTACACCAAGATTGTCGAGAGGTGCCTTTGGTGCGATTTTGGCCATGGTTCCAACCTGAGCGAATCCGCCCTGCAGATTGCAGTCCAGCAGAAAGTGGTGACAGAGTTGGACAAGTTGCAATCAGCCCTTCAGGACTTCGCTATCTACTGATCGAACCGGTTTGAACCAGAACGATTGGGCGTAAGATTTATCAACACGTTGCGATGCTCGGGCGATGAATAGATAAAGACGTATGCAATTCTCGGATACATTCAAATCCTCCTAGAAGTGGCGCTCTCGGTGTCTGTCGATATGCTCATGTCCTGACACAGTCCTTGCCTTTCCCGAGGCGGTAAGACTATATCGTGAGTGTGAACATGGTTGCTCTTGTGCTTGGCTGGCATCGCATCAAGATCCTTGCCTCCTAGGGCGCTCATGGCGAGTTCCATGCCTTCGATCAACTATTGACATTAAAGCTATTTGTGCACAGTCTGCCTGATCAGTGTACTCTGGGTATCTCGCTGTGGCAACGCAGGTCGTTATGCATGATCTGGATGCTCGCTCAGCCTTCCAGCCTTCAAGCTCCCTACAGTAATCTTGGTACGGCATCTTATGCGCCGATCAGGATCTCCTCGCTTCTCACGAACCGCTCTTGATGCTCCTTCAAGCTCGCCCAGTGCACCAGCTCCTCATCTTCAATCTCCTCAGCCGTCTTGACAGCACCGTACTCGGTTGATGCTTCGTCCGGACGCAGACGGCTAGGGCCGAGTCGGTTCAGCTTGGCGAGAATCTCCAAGAACTGGTACAGGTAGTTGTTGACACTCTCGGAATCGAGTGTAGGCATGACGCTCATTCTGGCTCGTTTTGTTTCGAGTAGTGTAGAGGCTATTTGCCGGATCTTGTTGCACTACGTCAGGGTTAGCGGGATGGAAGGAGGGGTGGAGGTGATCCTTACAAAGCTCAGACCGTTGGGTTCCATGTTGACCTGATTGATGCTCCGTAGCAGCAGAGCCAGATTGCGAATGATATCTTCTCGTTCTACAGCCATGGACTGTTCACTAGCGTCCATTGTGGTATCACTCGGCGAGCGGCCAAGGTTCGAGATGAACTTTGTATCGCCACCTGTTGGTGAAGACTGCGATGAGACAGACTGAACTCGCTCACCAGAATGAGGAGTGGTCTGATTCCGCTCATGAAGCTCAACAAGGTTCCAGTATCGCTCGACCAAGTAAGACCGTGTTGCAAGCTGCGTGGCGTAAATATTGGCCTTTTGTATTTCATATTGCACCGACTGTTTGGGAAACGGTAGGACCAGTGATCCGCGACGGCTGCTTGGATATGCGAGCGAGCCAGGACCCAGGTTGGGATCTTGAATCGAGTATGCTGACGCTTCGTAAGATATTGGTGGCCACTCGCCGAATTCGTTGATGGGCTGCAACTGCAGTTCTTTAGGAGCATCAGCCGTAGCAGCCTTGACGTTGACTAGAGCGCGCTTGATGACTTGCTTTTGACGCTCCCAATCGTAGACCGTATCGGTACCAAAGGCCGTCTCAAGAGCTGCGAGCGTGTGGAAGGCCCGGAACACCTTGGCGTTGAGGTTGAATCCCACCATCTCCGACACCTGGTCAGGCGGTTGCTGATAAATGGCTTCTTCTGTAATATATTCGTCGTCCACTTCCTGCGGCAGAGGGGGCAATAGCTCCACATACGCAATTGGTGGCATCAGTATGTCGGCTTCTGGGTCATCAAGCTGGCGGCCGGACATGGCGGAAACAAACATTAGCCAGAACAAGCGTCGACTGGATTCCTGATAGACGTAGTTCGCGGGCGTCCTCCGTTCAGCGGCAGCATCTGCTCCAGCAGCGGAGCCTACTGGTGCATGAATATCTGGGCGATGGATGCCGAGAGTGCGTAGCATCATGACACATTCGCCAAAGTAGAGCCGCATGCGCCTAATATCGTACACATAAGCGGAGGCCAGACCTGCGAGATAGCTAGAGACGGCATCGTAGAGTGTCGCGGGGCGATCGAGATAGCCTAGACCACGTGCTTCAACGAAGACTTGATGACACCTGTCTATCAGAGCTCCAGCATTGGGAAACTGGGCTATAGATTGCTCGGATGTGAATAGACGTCTCGCTCGGCGAGGGAACGAGGCGACCAAGGTTTCCAACATGGAAGCTATCAATGACAGAAAGCTCCTGTCTGTCTTGTCTTGACGATTTGCGAATGCCGCCCGGAAGGTGGGTTCGTGCGGAAGCGGTATCAACGGGTGGATGTAGAGAAAATAATCGTCTATAAGAACTTCGATAGATTGCAGGTCGCATATTGACTCGGCAGACAGTGTGGCCGGTAATGACAGTGCTGCCAGACTGTAGGCGGCATCGTGGGTCGGTGAATCGTTTGGTTGTTGCGCCGATGCGCCGTTCTCGAGCTTCTGTCTCTTGATGGCTTCTGCATGTCTGTTTGGAGGGCCGCGACGGCGACTAGGACGCTCGAAGGTGCAGGGAATGTCTAGAGCCGCACAGGATTTGCAGGGAGGGCCGCTTTCGTCGCACTATTGGCTATCTGTCAGCGCGGCGCAGCATCGCAACCGAGACGGGAGTACGTACTTTGACCTTGCGCACACTGCAGCTGTCGCATGCTTTTCTGAGTCGTTGTTTGGGGCCAGGGTCACCAGACCGCGACTGCCCGCCTTGACTTATTTGGGATTCGCGCCGAGGAGGAGGCCCTGGATGCTGAGGAACGGATTGAGGAAGATGGCCGAACTGTTCGGGATAGCCTCTGGGTATCTGAGGATCGAGTGGCTCCTCATACTTGTAGGACGAGTCGTATGGGTGAGTTGGCGAGTAGAGCGAGCCGGGTGGGTTCATGGATGACATGGCGGGGGTGTAGGAACGAAATGCAGCAGAGTAGGACGCAGAGCGCCGGATGAAGTTCGGGAGGGCGTAGAAGTGACTTGGTCAGCGCACCAGAAGAGGATAGGCCTTATGGACGACCGGTCCACCGAATGACAGTACGCTGGCAGAAAGTACCGCGTCGCGAAAGTGTCGAAGACGCGATACGGGAAAAAAAGGCGGCTCTTCGGGAGCTTTTGAGAGGCGTGGTGCGGTGCGGGCGTAGGCAGAAGATGGAGTAGCAGGCGTCGCTCTTCTGCCAAAGTATTATTGCTGTGGATCTCAGGGTCGCACAGCACCGCCGATTCCGCCCTGCCCGCCGTTCTAGGCCAACTGAGCCAGGGTATTGATTCGTTTCGCTTGTGGACGATTCCCCGCGGGGGTCGCTGAAGCTCGCCGAGCGGAATAAACAACTGCCGCTACGGATGGGCGAAATAGCTGGGACCCGAGAATGGGATTTACGAGGTCTGCAGCAGACTCGCAAATGTCAAAATGTTGACAAAAGCTCGAAGGAATGGAAAATCTGGGGTTGCGGAGCAAGCTTCAAGGTGGCTTTCCGCACGCGTGTGCGAAGTACCGAACGCGGGTTGCGAGTCAATGATTCGACCTTCGCCTCTACAAGCACCTACGAGCACCGACGCAGGCAATAGCGTGACTTTTTCTGCGGTCCACATTATAACTGCGGCGTCGGTCCTGTCATGACTTCAACATTCCTCTGTCTGTGTATGATAGCGGATCGCAGCAAGCGCACTTCGCCAACGCTTACGGTAGTCCTACCCTACAAGAAAGTGGGACAGGTGAGACTGTATACTCACTTGAGCATGGCAATGTTGAGCAGCGTTCGCCACGGAACCTTCGTCTGCTGAGCAGCCGAGTGTCCTGGAGCAGATTACGCTCTTGATCACACCACATATGTGACTGTTGCAGCACGAACGGCCAGTTCCCTCGTGGTCGCCACCCTGTCCAGCCAATGTATTCGATGGTCGGTCTAGACTTCGAGTTCCGCTTCGCTCCGATAACCAGGCAAGAAATGATCGGGTAGACTAGTTACAAGTAATCAGAGCCGGAGGGGACAGGTCTTTGTTTGTCCCTTTGAATCGTGCGGCGTCAATTCTGGGTTACTTTACGGTTCATCATCCACCCTCCATGGGCGAGCTAGGTCGTTGTGAATCCTCAAACATCCAGATCGATGCGACATCGATATCGTGGACTTGGTATTCCACTGCATCAGCTGTCTGGCGTCGATGCCGTCACCACGGCGAGAGGAGAGATTTCACGCAAATCAAAGATTCAAACAGCACAGGCCTTTTGTGTATGTGATTGTACGACCAGAAATATTTCCGTAAACCTCCATTTTTCTTTTCTCAGAAAAGATTTGTGAAGATCCCGGGGTAAGACGGTCGTTTTTGAATTCTCTCTTTCCTTGCCGATTTCCCCTCCAGCAATCATTGTCGACTTTTCGAAGTAGGGAAAAGCGTCCATTGACAGAGTGAATACGGAGGATTTCAGTTTATGTATGAGAGAAATAAGAGCAAGAGTGCCAGGAATGGCGATTCGAGATTTTGAGACCCGTACAAACGCCAAGAGGGGGCTAACTCGTTGGGGAATAGCTCGTTTTGTCTGGTTCTCGAGTACATGGCAGTAAGCTCGTGCTTCATGCCTCTACTAATGAAAGCCTCGAAGACTCATTCTGGCTTGTGCTTATGCCTTGGGAGGCGAATGGTATTCTGCTCATGGCTATGCGTCATGTCTTCATCAGCGACTCTAGGTCGGTGAGCTGTCGTCCGTGCTATCCTTTTTACGCCCAGCAGAACCCTGTCCGCTTGTATGCTCGCTCATGCCCAATGCTCACAACCAAATGCTATGCCGCTCATGAAATCCAGACGCGCTGTCGCCCACTTCATTCTAGTCAGAATGTAATCGTGTTGCCTAGATGATTAGACTTTGATCATCGCTGCAACCTCAACGCCGCTCTTCCCCAGTCCCATCAAGACCACACTCTTCGTCAGCCCGAGCTCGAAAATGGTACACCATCCATCTTCGACCTCCTTGCCCAATATCTCCAAGCACATCTTGATCTCGTCCTCTCCCATAGGAATGCTCATGCTCGCTTTGATCTCATTCACAATCTGTTGAAACGAAAATGATGCCTTCCCGTGTACTCCAGCACCCCGGTACCCGTTCAACTTCTGCTGCTGCTTCATGCGCAGAATCTCAACGACTTCCGCGATACGGCCAACTGCGTGCTTCCGACGGAGAGCATCCGCGCTGGGGACGTTGACTGCCGAGTTTGCGAGTTGCTTGGCCTTGACACGGTCGAATAGAGAGAGAGTACGCGACTTAATAGTCTGCTGCTTGGATGCTTCGGGTTCCGAGTCGTCCTTGACAGAAAGCTTGCCGAAGTCGAGATCTGGCTTGCGACCTCCCAAAATGTGTTTCTTCGTCTCCGATACCTTGACTTGACGAGCGACAGTTTGGGCTCCCACTTCAAATGCGAGGATAGGGTATGACTCGACCGGGCCATCGAAGGTGCCCTCTGAGCAAGCTTGGTCCACTTGTGACTGCAGATGCGCCTGCAAACCTTGCTCGTTGAAGTCGAATACCTTCTGTTCGGTGAGGCGACCATGTTTCCTTACTTGCGTTTCGTAGCCAACAAATTCAGCCAGATGCCGTCTGCTCGTACCCAGACCTGAGACAAGCAACTTGAATGGGGACTTGCTACAACTCAGACTGTCATTCGTACTCTCATCCTTCCTGGTCGACTCATACAGGGCGAGAATGCGCTGCAAGTCCGGGACACCGACAGCCCGCTTCTGATATAGTCTCGTGACGCTTTCCAACAGGACACCAAGCTCTGCGGGAGCCGAAGGGCCATTGTGCGCGCGATGCAGAGCAAAAGCCTTGACGAAAGCTTTGTGGATCTGCAGCAGCTCCTGCACCGGAGCTGGGATGATAACTTCGGAGGATCCACGCTCGGACAAAGACCTGGGCGGCGTAGGTAGCTGGACCTTTGCCCGTTTCGCCGAGCTGAAATACTCGATAATGCTTTCTCCTTCCTCTTCATTCTCAGACTCGACTCGCTTTCTCTTGCTCTTCGATGCTTTCGGAGGCGAGATCTCCTGCGCTTTTCGTTGCTTCTCCTCAATGGCGAGCTTCTCGAGGCCGGGCTGTTTTGTCGCGAAATTTTTCTCCCGATCGGATCTGGAGACCGTCACTGTTTTCGAGACCCTGGCAAAAGTCGTAGACAGCCCAGGCTGCAATTTTTGTGCCTGGCGCTTTTTGGAGCGGGTTGAGGCAGTGGGAGCCATTCTGCCGGGTGTGTGGAGGGAAGGTTCGATTGGTTCGCGGCTGCCCGTTTCCGAAGATGGAAGGCACGCACAGTGGAAGGTGCGATCGAATACAAGACCCGGCAATGTCAAGCAGAACTGGGGCTGTGGACAATGTGGCACAGGGGAAACGTTCAGTGCTGCAGCAGAGAAACACAGATAATGGCAATGAGCAATGGAGAGGTGTGTCAACCTCCCTTCAGCCAACGCGCCAAAACGCGTCCATATGCGCCAAGATGTCGCGACGCGCCTTCCTCGAAACGGGATTAAGTGGATTTTCAGCCACCCCAGTGCCCCGCAGCCTTAAGTCCTGAAGTAACGGCCATCAACAACGCTGATACTATGTTCAATTACGAAATACATCATGGGAGCCGTAATATAACTCCTAGTCGGAAATAAACACCTGATCAGCTCCGAGTCGTGGAGGAGAATCCGCCTCCACTACATCGTCCTCACTTTCTCGCCTAGGCTCTTTTCCCTTGCTGGCACGCTCTTCCTTGGCCTCTCGCTGCATTATGCCGTGCTCCTGTACGGATTTCGCAGCATCCAAGGTAGGATCTCGACCAACCTCGGCTTCGTCGGAGATGCCTCTAATATCTCCTGCAGGGTTGTCGTCCTTAACGGGCATTGGAGCAGGCTTGTCGAAGATTGAGGCAATGGCTTGCGTAACTTCCTTGTCTGGATCCGCCGTCTTGAGCACATGTTTGCGATCGGACCAGTATTCCAGACCTGTGATTTCTTTGTTCGCTTCTGCCACTGCTGCAAGGAGATTGTCGATCCTCTCCCGCTCAGCGTTCCCTTCCGGCTTTTCTTCTGCATCGTGCTCATCTCGATGCTGCTGGGCTTCTTCAGCGCTCTTCTTGAGAAATGCGAGAAGTTGCTTGCGAGAGTTCTGAAACACCAGAAAAGAGGTTATATCCGGAATATGAGGTCCAAGGTACGCGAGTTCATCACTTGCCTCCTTGACAAAGCGTTTTACTATGTCAATCTTCTCTCGATCAATAGCGGCTAATCGCAATGCCTTCAATAATGTGGCAATGTCCTTGATCTCATCAGGGAGTTCTTCAACGTCGGTTGGTATCGCGCTGAGATAGCTCTGCGGCCTGGCACTGTCCGGACTCTGGTCTCGCTTTGGATGAATGGTGAAATATTCGGCATTGAGCCTGTGGGCTGCACTCAGATTGCTGGCCTTGATCGCTCCAGGCTGGTGGAGATGCTTCTTGACACGCTTCCGTAGCCAACGTCGTCGTCTTACAAATGAATGAAACCAAGGGTGAGTGCCATGCCAGGGGGTCTGTCGTCCGAATGCAAATGAATACTGCCAGCCTTCCTCATCCACATCGTAGCTCATGTCCACATACCATGTCTTCCATACCCACTCCCAGCTTGGATCCGGCACTTGCGCATTAGTGATGTTGACTGGCGAGTCCTTGAAGTCTTTGTTTACCCAAGGACTTGGATCGAAGTTAAGCAAGGACGAGTGCGAGTACAAAGGTATGCCGAACAGAAATGAGCCTCGCTGATTCTCGTATAGCACATCGACTGCGACTTCGGGTCTGTAGTGCTCCTTCTTGTACTTCTCCTTCGCGCGGCCGCGATCTCGCCGAGCAAAATCTACTGTCTCGCTGACGCCGTTGTGAGGCGTGCCGGTAGAAGCTTGATCCTTGCTGGGATGCGTCCCATCCTCAGCCACGGTGCTCGTCTTGCTGTAGCGGTTCTCCTGATATCTTGCATATTTCCGCTTCACTAGCTCTTTCTTGACCGAGCTCCGTGTAGGTATTCGTGCGATGCCAATCTTTCGCCAGCTGCCCGTAGGCGAGTCTGTTCGAGTCCGAGTCGCTTCAATGGGAGTCTCTGAGACTGTGGTATCAACCAGGTTTATCTCATGATCGTACGGATCCGGGGCGCCATCGGCGGTGGGCACTCTTGAAGCATTGGTGAAGACATCTGACATCCCTACCGCCTGGAGTGTCCAGATCAGTTGCTGGAGTTCCTAAGTTGATCAGTCGAGGTTTAGCGAGTCTACTATGACATCACTGCGATTGAGCTTCGAGTCTGATATTCTTGACAGGCATGCAAGTCTGCGGCGGCGACAAGAGAAGGTGCTTGAGGAATTATAGGAATTTAGTTGCTAGAGTAGATGTACGGAGTAGGCTATGGCAAATGAATAACGACGGCACAGCCTCTGGTCAAAGAGGAGCAGTTGGCGAAGTCAAAATCTTGCTTTCGCGGCCTGCGCCGCGCCACTGTGATGAAGCGCGCCGCCACAAATTTGACAGCTGCAGGCTGGGCGTGCCCAGCGATCGTGCCCGCCTAAGTTAGCTGGGAGCAGCGCCCGTGGCCGTGGGCCCAGCGCCTGGTGGGGAGGTGGCTGGCCATATGATGTCACCCATAGTCCGGCGCCTGCGTATACGGAACTCTAATCTTGCTAGCTTCTTCAATTCAATATGTCTCTTGCCCAGCTCGATATTGGATAGAATTGCTCCTTTGGAGGTGGCTGGAACGAAACGTTGAATGGTCGCTGCCGCTGACTACTGGTACTGCAAATAGTGTTTCTGATTCGGGCTTGCCCCTACCATCATTAATGTCCTACAAACTACAAGGGCAGTTTGCTTGGCCTTCTGCAGCATGATCTTCGGCGACCACGACCCACTGGCTGCAGGGCCTCTCTAACTTGGTGTGAATATAGGGGCCAGTTGGGAAGCTTCTTCAACGACAGTTGTATCACGCTTCCGGCAGTAGCATTCCCTACCAGCAACCCTGTTTCACACATGACTGCATTCATACTGTCTTCAACTGCACACATGTATTACAATCAGTCGCTGCGACGCTACTGCGAGCTTCTAGGCAAATACTCGACAAAACTTCGATCCAGGCAGTGAAAGTCTTGGCGGTCGTATCGGCAATGCAGATTATTTTACGGCGACTGCAACGACTTGAACGTGCCTTGAGGGGTATTTATCTATCGAAGAAGGAGTCTCGAATAGAGCGAGTATGGCTCGAACAGAACGAATAGGTATGCTCCTGTTCTTACGCGACCTCACAATGGATCTTTGTTCAATACGTCTTCCTGGAGGTTGACAAAACGTACGTTATTACGTTCCGATCATGCCCTCTGTCCGCGTCTTTGCCAATATTGAAGACCTCACTAAATACATCAATGCCCGGTAGCTATCTGTCTCGGAGGCCGAAGCGTTCAACCCAGGCTGGTGGCTGATGACTGAACGCATCAGCACCACGGAGCTGAGCGCTATGGTCGATGTTGAGGATACCGCCAGTTTGAACAACATCACCTTTGGCAGCGAATGGTCCGTGGGCGAGGCTATCATGATCCGGCTGAATGGGCGCTCTATGTCCAGGTGACACTTTTGGTTTGTCTTTGCCGTCCCTATCCAAACTTACTGTGTTGGTCAGGGCGAAAACATACTGGCCAAGTCCTTTACGACGCCCGAAGGTTGGCCAGCCGTAGCGGATGATGGACCGGACCCAGAAGACTCCAACCACGCTTTGTTGACTCATACCACGCTGCGGCTGTATGGAAAAGGTGCATGTTGCGAGCTCTAGGTATGATGCCCGTGAAGCGCCGGTCAGAGCATATGGTCGCGCCTTCAGAGCAACTGAACACGTATCCATGGTATTTAGCGCTCTGCAATAAATTGAGAATCGAGATCCTTCGCCTCTCTTCAGACTTTTGTTTGCTACATCCACATGTAAAACGTGTAAAGAAAAATGCCTGATACAAACAATTTGATGCCATCTCCGCCAAGACCCAGCCCCGGGAAGGTGCACTGCAGGTGCGGGGGGAGCTTCCGCCCTCCAATGATGTCACGCAAAGCTGCACGCTCGTAGTCGTGACCTGAACGCCTACACCTGACCTTGCGTCATCTTCTGCAGCTCAACTTCCCCGTTCCTTTAGATTTGTACCTGTTCGACAAAATTGAGCGTTTCACTGGAAGACAGAATCCCTTTCAGGACCATTACAAACTCGCCCGCTCACCCATAATGTCTCGACGTGGCATTCAGCTCCTAGGTGTGGCCGCCGCTGGTGGTGTCGGTTACTGTAAGTCCTCCAATCGACCAGACAGATGAGTGTATGAGCTTCGACCATCATTCATCTACTTCGAGGTGGCGATGCGACACATCTGCCATGACTTGACACCACACAACGGATCACGCTGACTCCGTGATAGACCTCTACAATGCTGGCGGAGATCCGAAGGTAGCACAGAAGAAGATGGAAGGTATGCATTCCCCAAAGCGTACTTACCGATATCTGACGCCGTACAGCCGACGCTTCGAAAGCTAGCGCAAAATTCAAGGACGAGATCCCGGGCCGTACAAAGGAAGCCGAGAAGAAAGCCGAGACTCTTTCACAGCAAGCATCAAGCCAGCTAGACAAAGCTGTACGTCCCCCAATCTGCAAAGACCAACATCGATACTGACACAGAACCAGAGCAAAGACACCAAGAGCGCTCTTAGCGACGCCGAAGCCCGAGCCAAGGAGTACAAGGAAAAGACCGGAAAAGAGCTCAACACCGCCATTGACAAGTTCGACAAGACGGTGGAAGACAAGGCAGCTCAGGCCAAGAGTGGCATTAGCAGCTGGTTCGGCGGGAAGTAATTGTGATTGTCTGCTGCCAAAGTTGATGCACCGAGGACGCGAACTGGCGACTTGCCCATCATCGATATTGACTCCTCAGATACCTTGCCAGCGGGAGTACTGCGTCTGTAACAGTCTTTGATACATTTCAGCGATCATGAACAATAAGTACCTATTCTGCTCTCCCAGCATATCGTGCCAGTTCGCTACCGGGTCACCCTCTTCTCTTGCCGTCTGGGGTTTCAGCGTAAACATCTTGATTCATAACTTAGTCCTGCCCAAACTCGATGAATGTTTCTGCTCGAGGAGCATATATCTTTCTTCTTCCGTTCGAAGGAACTCTGACCAACGGTCGACAATGACCGCGTCATAATGCGAGCCAAAAAGCTATTGTATGCGGCGAACGCGAGCTTCATGTCCGAGGTATAGCCGATGTCTGCCGTTGTCTGGCACTAAACCCACCCATGGTGCTTTCGTCAGTAACATTTCTAGTACCAGATATGAGACCCTAATGGCATTAATGCAATCTTCACACCAAGCTGCGCAAAAGATTGTTGCACGCTCGCTCACATTCACAAGCATACGCGGCATCAATTCGAGGCTTGATCGAAACTTTTCCAGCGTAGCACGAGGGCATCGCACCGACCGCTCCCCAAGCTCCATTGAAAGTCACGTACGCCAATCTGCGGCGCAGAAGCGCTTTTCATCAAATAGCAGCCCGGATGGTATTGACCTCAAGCGCACAAAAGACTCGCTAGAGAATGATCGTCGCTTCAAAGTGACCCTCAAGCTGCCGGACGGCTCCCGCCAAACCCTCAGCGTGCTGCCAACGCCCAAGGCCAAGATCAGCCCACTGAGCGAGCAGCTTGAACAACTCCTGGACCATTCACCAGACCAAACCCCATTCTCTAGACCATGGTCCCTTGATGCTTTGGGCGACGCCATCCACAGCCAGCGGTGGTTCGTCACCAGGGACGAAGCCGAGGATGCGGTGCGCCGCATCGGCACCAAGGCCGACGAGATGAAGCACCACCCCCACCTGTCCATCGGCGTTTGCTCCCCAGGACGCCTACGTGCGGAGGATGAGGATGCGGATGCGGATACAGAGTGGTATGGCGGCCACCTTCTACTGATTACGTGCACGACGCATAACCCCCGGGGACTTGGCATGAGAGATGTCAAGCTCGCCAGGGCCATCGATGAGCTCTTGAAGGGCGGCAACATGCAGCAATACGCGGAGAGGTTCTGGTCAGAGGCGCCTGGGGAGGTCGACAGGCACGATGGGCCGAAGCCGGCCGAGCTCATCGAGTCACTTGTTCAGAAGCATCGGGAGGAGATCGACTGCGCGGTCTGCAAACGGTGAATACGAAGCCTTTTGTCTATATGTACTCAGTCTCGTTTAACGCCTAGCTTGCCGATATTCCTGAGGCCGGCGATGCTGATCAACACCACCGCAGCTGTCGACGCCAGGCAAAACCACCACGCACCGCGATAGCCTTCAAGCAGGACGAGCGTATGCGGCTTCCCACTGTCCTCCCTGGCTTCCGAGATGCGATTGGCGATTATGGCGCTGATAGCCAAGCCGACGCTCTTGCCGATTTGCGCGACCGTGTTGAAGACCCCTCCCGCTAGGGCTTGCGTGTTGTCAGGGAAGGCGTTGGTGATGACGAGGTTCGAGGCTGTGAACAGCACGTCACAGCCGATGGCGCTGAGCGTGATGGCAGGGAAGACGTATTCCCAGTATGTGTCGGTTGGGGTCATCACCGCTGTGAGGATCGGGGAGATGCATGATATGAGGGTGCTGAGTACGATGGCCCAGTTGGCGCGCAAGCGATGGATGACTAGAGTCTTGGTCAGCATGTCTCTTTCCACTGGTCTCTGTACGAAGGGCATGAATGGTTGCGGAGGAGAAACGAAGGAGGGGTGAATGGATTGCGAGTTGGATTACTGAAAGAATCGACTTACCAGCACCAATGAAGATGTTCACAACCAAACCCGTCACCGGTAAAGGTAGAAAGCGTATCGAAGACTGCGTCGCCGAGAGAAGCTGGACGTCTTGAAAGAAGAAAGTCAGAAGCACTTCCATCGAATTGAAAGCCCCCCAAAGTAGAAACACATCGAAGCAAATCGACGTGAAGACTCGGTTTCGCCAAATGGAATTCGGGATGATGGCCGGCCTGCCCAGCTTCTCCTGGCGATGCACCCAGAAGGCAAAAACTGGGATGAGGAGGACTGCCAGAGTCAAGAGTACAATTGTGGCAGGCTGGCGTATCGTTGAGACGGCACCGGTGATGGCAGCAAAGACATACGATAGCATGCCGAGGGAAGCACTTAGCAGCAGCGCACCAGTCCAATCAAGGTCGGTCCATAGCTTTGCCCACTCCACTCCGCGGCCAGGGGCCAGCTTAGGGAGACCGAAGAACGTCACGATCAAAACCAGCGTGTTGATGCCAGCTCCAATGTAGAAGGCACCACGCCACGACGCCGGCGAGTCCGAGAGCACACCACCCATAACAAGACCGATGGCAAAACCTAGGGGCTGCCCGCCGCCCATGGTCGCGAAAGCCATGTTACGCCGAGGGCCATGTGGAAAATAGGACGTCACCAGGCTGACGGCCGATGGCAAGCAAAAAGCGATGGCTATGCCGGCGAGGCCGCGGAAGACAATCAGCTGCGTGCTCGTTCGAGCAAGGCCGCACGCGAGCGTGAAGACCGACTGCAGCCCAGTGCCGAGGATGTACATGAATCGACTGCCCACGATGTCGGCAATTGCTCCGGAGAGGATCAGGCTGCAGCCGCAGGTCAGGGCGTAGATCGAGGCAGGCCAGAGCAGTAGAGATGGAGGGATTTTCAGGGCGGTGACCATGTGTGGAAGGGCAACGGTCACGACACCCGCGAGCATGCTGCTGATGAGGGTCACGCCGCCGATACTGAAGAAGATGGCTGCTGTCGGGCCTTTGCTAAGGCTGACGGGAGTCGGCTCATGATCGCTAGCTAGAACCGCTGGGGCGGGCGTTGGTGCGTCGGTTTTGAACGCCGGAGGGTTCGTTGTGAGCTCGACCACGGTCTGTGTCTGAGACATGGGGAGGGTAGTATGCAAGGAGGAGTATGGCGGTACGTCCTCGAGGTTCAGGCTCCAAGTTGATTATGTTTACAAGCTGGTCGGCATCACAATGAGCACATATGCCAGCCAAATAGCTACGGCAAGAGAAATTCATATAGCGGCAACGATAGCTCGGTACTTAACAGCAGTATGCCAATGCTACCTAAGGCGGACGTATACTCCGCTTACTAACTTGCCGTCGTCGACAGCGGAATTGAGTCATTTACGTTGGCACGCTGGTGCTGCCCTTTGGGCCACCCCACTCCTGGTCTTGGCGAACTCGGCCGGTACTAGGGTTAGGGTTAGGGCTCGATTGTTCCTGCAGCAGCTCTGAAGTGGCGAACCAATCAAACGAGTGGCCTGAGCAGGTGGTAACAGGGCCCGGATCTGCTTGAGCCTCGAGATCCCGACATGATCTGATCTCGCCTCCCTTTTCCATTGGCCAGGGTCCTCTCAACAACAGAAAAGTTCATGTTCCCCTGTCACCCCACGCCGCCGCTACCGACTTCTTTATATCGGCTGGTCTAGCTGCTACTCTCTCCCTTTTTGCCCTACCAGTCACTCCTTCGCCCACAGTCCATCCTTACCGTGCGATCGGTAGCTTCCGGCCCCTCCGTCAAGATGTATGCAGACCTTCTCAAACTCCCAAAGTGATATGGCAGCGCTGACCGCCAGGCAGGAATTCCACATTCGCCTCTCAACCCGTTACCTACTATGACCATTATCACGACATTTCACAGTATAATATTCACCTAAATGTCTTTGAGAAGGCCTGGACGGCGTGGTACGCCTACATGCAAAACGATGTCTTGGCCACCGGTATCATGTCCTTTGTCATGCACGAGGTGGTCTACTTTGGCCGCTGCATACCGTGGATGATCATGGACTACATCCCATTCTTCAATCAATACAAGATCCAAGGCGTCAGGCTCTCCATGTTCTGCGGCAGGCGCAAATGCTAACACCTTGCAGCAAAAAATGCCTACACTCGCCGAACAATGGGGCTGCGCTCGCCTCGTCCTCCTCTCACATTTTACTGTCGAGCTTCCTCAGATATGGCTTTTCCACCCTCTGGCACAATACTGCGGCCTCTCTAGCACTGTTCCATTCCCTCCTTGGTGGAAAATGGCGTACCAGATTGCTATTTTCTTCGTTCTCGAAGATGCATGGCATTACTGGTTACACCGCGCCTTGCACACCCCGAGCCTCTACAAGAAGATCCACAAGCTGCACCACCAATACTCCGCACCCTTCGGACTGGCGGCTGAATACGCGAGCCCTATCGAGACCATGATTCTAGCTTTCGGCAGCGTAGGCATCCCCATCATTTACACCCTCTTCACGAAAGACCTGCACATTCTGACAATGTACATCTGGATCGTGTGCCGATTGTTCCAGGCGATCGACTCGCACTCCGGATACGAATTCCCATGGTCACTGCACCATTTTCTGCCCTTCTGGGCCGGTGCGGACCATCACGATGTGCACCACGAGAAATTCATCGGCAATTACGCCTCCAGCTTCCGGTGGTGGGATTACTGCCTAGGCACCGAGGCCGGTAGCGTGTGCGAGGCGAGAGAAAAGAAGCAGAAGCTTGCTGCGGGTAAGACACTGTAAGGGCAGTCTCGGTCTGGTTGCATCGATTCGATTCCTTGCAGGCGCTTTCCCTGCCGAGTGATCGAATCTGCACATACAACATTCAAGTTGTCATCATTCTTCGTCCAAAGATGATCTGACTGCTTCATCTTGGCATTTGAGGCGTTTCTGGCATGGCATGCGGCGGCGTTGACAGAACGGAATCCTTGAAAAATCAAAACAGCGAGCAAACTGGATACTATTGTTAATAAGAGGGGTGATACAACGTGCACGGATCCACGCCCGCTCGCGCGGGCAGATAATGGTTGTGCAGAATGCGAAATGCGAAACTCATAAGTCAACCACAGTGCGAAACGCTGCTTCTTATTTCTGTTCTTCTCGGTGTTTCTTGCGAGGCCATTATCAAAAGGGTACCTGCGGTACCCAATCGCTTCGCAGTCACCTCTACCGCTGGCACTCAGGTGGCTGCCTGTCGCGTGGGACCGTTCGCTGCCTGATCTTCTTATTTCCTACATTGATGCTCCTGAGAAACAGGATGGGGACAAGTTACCTACTTGAAAAGTGCTTAGCTGTAGACTCCGCATATGCTATTGGTGTAGCTACACAGGCCCTAGACCGTGTCGGGCGAGCCTTCAGACTCCTCAATACGCTGGTATACGACACATTTCTTATTTGCTGAACTCTGAGCGTCAGCACTAAGTTCTGTCAAACTTCGTTGGTATGAACAGGAAGCTCACAAGTCCGGGGCAGGGCTTCTACCCTGTGCACAATTTCAGAGACCTCGTATTTATCCCAACTTTGGCTCACACGGCCCGCTAGATTTGATCCTCATCAACCCGCAATCTCAATATTGCCTTGAGGGCTTGTTGCTATCAAGCCTCTTTCTTCCCCGACCATGAATCTCGCCTTAGGTACGCCTTCTTCTCATGAGGCTCACCTGCCGTGTCCAGCGCCACCACCTCGAAAGGTACAGCATGGTCGATATGGCTTGTTGCAATCTCACACGCGCAGCGATGCGCATCATATATGGTAACAGTCATGGCCAAGGCAGTGTGACTCTCTCGCTGTCTGTTATCGTCCCGCAGCTGCGTCACGTTTCAAGATGCAGACAATTTCTCCTAGCATCGGCGGTACTGCTCGCCATACAACACGTGCAAGGCCTCCCTGCAGCTCTCGAACAACGCGCTGCTTGCAATAAGGACAATTTGCTCAATGCCTTCACAAATGCTGCACATAGTGCTGAAGCGAGTACTTTTTGCATTGCCTACATCTCAATCCCTCTGACTTCTACCGCGACATACCTTGGACCTGTGAGCTAACCTGCTCTTTAACTGAGTACCTAATCGCTCATCCCACTTGGCAGAGAACATGTACTTTGTATACAACTGGTTACAAGGCAGTATCTCGGCATCCGCTCCAGCTCTACAACCTGCAAAGGCTCTCTGACGCAACCCCCGCGCCGATCAGCTACAACACAGCATCTCCAACGCCTGTATCAGTCCCAGGAGGTGCTCTCAACTACGTCCCCCCCGCGCAACACGGCAAGGTCAAGAGAGAAGAAGCTGAACTTTCATCTGATGTACCAGCAGCTCCGACAATTACTCCATCCCCAACGTTGCCTGAGTACGTTCCAGAGCTTGCACGACGAGCGTCCTCATCGGTTCCGCTGCCCATCTGGCTCTCGACGACCTACCCACCCTCACGTATCTCAAGTGCTTGTTCGTGTATCTCGCCTTCTGCAGCATACTCTACGACAGTATCTTACAATGACTATACCCAGGTGACTGTAAGTCAACACCCTTCTTTCCAAACATCCCTCACTAATATCTCCCCACAGACAGCGACTTGCACAGTCTACAGCGAAGTCCCCGTAAAGACCTACCCGGCCTACTGCGCCCCGACACTACAGGCTAACACGCCGCAACCACTATCCCACGCCAATTGGAAAGTGACGCCCAACTTCTCCGTCCCCTCCAAATTGCAGTGCTGGGACGCCTGTACCAACGTCTTCAGCTGCGTCTGGTGGAAATTCGACTTTGGCATCAAGGGCGACCCCTGGAGCCCCGGCACTTGCCACTACGCGTATTTTGTCGGTAACGGCACCGATGTGAAAGGCCTCTACAATGGGAATGTGCCGGCGATCTGTCCCAACGGTGTTACGCAGGGTATTGACCCGAGCTACCCGAAGAATCTGCAGCACGAGTCCAACATCAACGATCCGGGTTACAACTTCGGGCCGTGCGGCAATGCGCTCGGCCTTTTTCAAAGCTCGCAGGACTTTGGCTATCCGGATGACTATCAGTTTTGTGGCGGTCTGGCGGCGCCGTATTATGATGGGCAATGTCACAATGCGATCTGATGGCGAGGTGTGGTGTGATAAAGGTCCCAGGGGAAGTTGTGGGATAGCAAACAAATACTCTAGTCAATGTTGACCTTTTCTAGAGTCCCCTGAGATCAACAGCCTGAATAACCAGTCCATATCAAGGAGCTATTATACATCTGGTGTAGCAGCGCTGTTCAGAACAGACTGCATGGCACTGATACTAGTAACTTCCAACGTTGTCATGCTTTCTTGTCCTACAAGCATACATGAACTGCCTTGAGCTGAGTCATGTCATACAGTTCTTGCAAGTCGTGCTCTCTGCCCTTCCCTGATTGTTTGTATCCGCCGAAAGGAATGCCTAGAAAATGCGTACTACTCGTATTCACCCAGATATACCCCGCCTCCATCTTCTTGGCGGCTTTATGCGCGGTGGCCACATTCGACGAGTAAATAGCACCCGTCAGCCCGTACTCGACCGAGTTGACATCCTCCCACATTTTGGCCTCATCCGTCCACTTCAGAACACACATGACAGGGCCGAAGATTTCTTCTCGGGCAATGCGCATGCTTTGCTCAACGTCCGCGAACACGGTCGGCATCATGAAAGACCCTCCGGAAATTGGGGTTGTGGGCTCCCCACCGAGGACGAGTCTGGCACCGTCTTCTTTGCCCATGGCGATGTACTTTTGTACTCGAGCCATAGCCTTTTGGTCGACAAGCGCACCCATGGTAGTGTTATCGTCGAGTGGATCTCCGGGCTGATAATCGGAGGTAATCTTGTCTACAACCGCCTCCAGCACTCTATCGTGGAGGCTTTCATGCAAGAAGACTCTCGATGTCGACGAGCACGACTGACCGCACCAGCTCCAATTCATGCCCTTGACAATGCCATCCACCAATGCTGGAACATCGGCGTCTGGGTAGGCTACAAGAGCGTTCTTCCCTCCGAGCTCGAACGTAGTCAGCTTCAGGGTATCGGCTGCCGCCTTGGAGATCATTCGTCCGATCGGGACACTCCCAACCAGCGTGACCCGCTGCACTATCGGATGGCTGGAAAGAGTCTCGCCGCATGATTTGCCACCCGTCAGGACATTGATCACGCCCTTGGGAAAGACGGGCGCAAGCAGTTCTATAAACCGCAGCGCCGACAGTGGCGCTTGTTCCGCGGCCTTGAGCACCACGGTATTCCCCACCGCGACCGGAAAAAGCAGTTTGACCGCAACCATCAGGATCGGGTGGTTGTACGCGACGATCCGCGCCACCACTCCCAGGGGCTCTCGAAGCGTGTAGTGAAACATATCAGAGGTGAGGTTGTGCGTGTCTCCCGTCACCGCGAACGGCAGGCCAGCCAGCATGTCCAGGTTCATGGCGGCATACTCGACTTCGAGGCGCATGATCGTCACGGGGCTGCCGATGTTCCAGGCATCGAGTACCGCCAGCTCCTCTTTGTGATCGCGAAGAATTTGAGCCGCCTTGCGAATCAGATTGCATCGGTCCACAGTTGACACGTCACGCCATGATTCAAAGGCCGTCTGTGCTGCTTCTAGTGCGGCGACCGTGTCTGATGCGCCGGCGGAGGGGACTTTGGTGATTTCTTGCCCGTCAATGGGACTCGTGACCGTGATGAACTCGGCGGTCTGTGGCTCGTGGAATTCTCCACCGTAGAATAAGCCCAGGTTTCGAGGCAACTTCGCTCTTAGGTCAGGATACTTTTGGTCCATGACTTGCAAGTTGGAAGCTCTGTTGAACGCCCTGCTCGTTTGGATGTGGTCTAGTCGTAGTTGAAAATGCTATTGTCGAGCACGAGAAAACTTGGGATCCTGGCATTGATGATCAATCGGGCAGATGTGTGCCTTTATAACCAGATGATGCTGGTATACCCAGATCACTCGCGCTCGGCGGAGTACTCCATGAACATGGGGCTATCCCCGGATCATCTGCGATGGACAAGCCACACATCTGAATAGAGACGACCCTGAAGCCCTTTGGTATGCAAGAAACTGGCGACCCGAGAACGGACTTGCAGTCGGATTAAGACTGGGCCTTGTAGTCACAGAGAACCAATGGCAAGATGGTTATTGATCCCCAGTCTCAGTATAAAGTCCCTTCGCGTATTACAATAGGGCTCGATAGGCCGATATCGAGGTTCAACTCCGATGTTGCGGAGACCCCACACGGTCTTGTCTAGTCTTTGCCAGCCAGACCCGGGGTACCGGGCGAATACAAGGCATAGGACTGTCCGCTCGGAACGATGTTTGCTCCGCTTCCCGAAAGAAGTCCGAATGGCTGACCTTGGCGGACTTTCCAACGTTCAGAAGCATTTTCCACAGTTGAGCCGTTTAACTTGAGTTAGCGTTCTGCCTTGGAGATGACTCGACAGAGTTCAAATCCCCACAGCTTGACCTGGATGCTTTGGCCGAATGAATGCCTTCACCACCATGTTCCTGGACGCTACGCCTCCACAATTTTGGAAAGTCCGATATTGAGCGCCAAGCCCGACGGTTCCCTCGACCATTATTCACTACGTTCCAATCGAGGTTGCCAAAAGACAGCGAAGAGGGCTCTGCGGGCCACTTCATGCTAGCTCGCTCAGGCACAGACGAGCAGGCTTGTCATGATCTCAACTCCGAGCTTCGGCAATGCGAGGCCCCACGACCAGTATCGCAACTGAGGACTCACGAGGCCGGGAAAGTAGGGGGCCGGTAGCTATGGGCTCACTATCTGCAAGTTACACGTGACTCTGAATTAGTGTGCTGGATTTCCAGGTGATGGTAGACCTCGGGTTCATTGAAGGAGGGGCAAACCGCTCTTTGACAAACATCACTTGCTTATGTATGTCTACTGGTGATTCGCTTGCAGGAAGCTAGAGGCACTGGTGAAGATATATCGTGAGGGCTACAATTATCATCTGTGATCCGATCAACTACTACGACATTGTATGCAATTTTTATCCACTACGACCTGGTGGACCATACTGGGCAACGCTCTATCAAAATGGATTCCAAGGCACTCCTCTCCAGCCCATTGCAGATGACACCATTCCTACATGCCGGATACATGGTCTCGGCAGCATTTGTCTGTCTACTCCTAGTTTCAGCGGTAAGACTCTCACGGGATCATAAATCTGCTGGATCGCATACTAAAAAAAAGCCAGATCCGCTATTGGAAAGACCCTCTACATCCCATTCCCGGACCTGCAGTGGCCAAATTCACACGTGTGTGGCTATTAATGCTTGAACTATCTGGAAAGCGCGCTCTGGCCGTGCACGAGCTTCACCAGAAATACGGCCCCGTTGTACGGATAGGTCCCAACGAGATCAGCTTCTCTTCGCCAGAAGCGCTGCGCCAGATCTATGGAGCAAACTCGAAATTCGCCAAAGCGCCTGTGTACGACTCGATGGGCTTCAAAAGCACGTTTACTACCCGCAACAGAGACGAATACCGGGCTATGAAGAAGCGCATCTTGCCGAACTTTGGCCCGAGTGCCATCGCGGCGCTCGAACCAAATGTTCACAAGCATGTGGCTGGTATGATCAAAGTGTTTGACAAGAAAGCGGATAAGCCTATCGACATCTTCCCCTGGGTCAGATTGGTGGCCCTTTGTGTTGTGGGTAAGTAGTGGGTTGGACCAGCACTTCAAATCAAAATCCCACTCGTTTAGTATTTTGACATCTTACAGGCGAGTCTTTCGCAGCCGAGAGCTTCGGCGGCCTGGAGAGAGACGAGCCCCCGGAAGTTCTACATGAAATCGACGCAGTCTTTCCAGCGTTATTCGTGCGCTGGATGTTCCCCACTATTGCCGCATTTCTACAGTACTCACCAGTAAAATCTGTTCGGGATTTTCACGGCGCGGCTCATGCGTTTAGGAAGGTGAGCCCCTGGAGATTCATACCTGGCTTCTTGCAATCTACTAATAGCTTATGAAGTATTGTTCAACTGCATATACGGCTTACCTAGCATCGTCAGACTCAGACACAAGAAACCACGACCATCTCATCTCAAGAATGGTCAATGAAAGACTCAGGCTCTCCGAGAAGCGCCAGCAGCTTCCCCGTCACGTCACAGACGATGGCATCGTGGATGAGCTCACAAACTTGATCTTCGCTGGGACTGACACTACTGGCAGCAGCCTCACTTACCTGTTCTGGGAGTTGGCTCACCACCCGGAATGGCAGGTCCGGCTGCGTGAGGAGCTGAAAGAAGCCGTCCAACAGCAGGAATCCTACAGCTACAGCGCGATATCAGAACTCCCAGTTCTCGAAGGGGTTGTCCAAGAGATCTTTCGAGTTCGTCCAGCGTCAATTGGCGCCCTTCCGCGGGTAGTGCCTGCGGGTGGATCTGTTGTTGATGGGATATTTGTCCCAGCTAGTGTAAGCTCTCCCCATGCTTCCTAGTCTTCAAGCTCGGCATGCAGCAGCAGCAGCATCACAAGCTCTAGTAACGAACACGTTTGACTGACTCGCCGCACGCACAGACAATCATCTCCTGCCAAGGCCTCACCACGCAGCGCGATCCGACCATCTTTCCCAACCCCGACGTCTTTAACCCACAACGCTGGCTCGACGCCAGTGCCACAGACGCTGCCAACCAGCTCGAGCAAATGCGCTCTCAGATGATGCTCTTTGGCAAAGGCGCGCGGGCCTGCTTGGGCAGAACCTTGGCGACTATGGAGATCAAGTGCGCCGTGGCGGCGGTAGTGCAGAGGTTTCAGATAGGAATCGGTAGCCCGACGACCGATCAGGATATGGAGATGACGGACCATTTCGTGTTGATTGCAAAAGGGCAGAGATGTGTGCTGAAACTTGATAGAGTGTGAAATGAATGAATGAGGAGCTTGGGCCCTGGATGCATTGCGCTGTGTGGACCCCTGGCTTGATATAGTGTGTATGTTTAGTCCTTAAGCACGCGATGATGGAACAGAAAAACGCCGTATGCGGAAGCCCTTGGTGGCACGAGGCAATTTCTGAAGCTTTTACCCAACTGAAGCAGACGTTGTAATGGCGAAGGTGAGTAGTGATTTTCGCACACAGGTCATCGGTATGTTGCTATACAGCGCAGCCTCACCCCCAGCCCTAGTATATATGCGTCTCTTGGGAGGATTCGCACACTCATAACGACTCATACTAATAACTGTATACGCCCTTCAAGAACATAAAAATCTACCTCAAGCTCCCACCGACACCGACGTGGCAGTCGGCACTCCCGGACCTACCGCCCGCTGAGCTTGCTTCTCCTTTGCTTCCAAGACGGCTTTGAAGTTGCGCTGCATGGCATTTCTCGTAAACTCCTCGCCTGTGAGCATGGGGTACTTTTGTTTCGGTCCCTGGATCTGCGCGCTCATCCGGGGCTGGTTGAAGAATGCGATACTGTATCTCTCGCCGTAGAAGTCACCCGGCTCAGACGGCGCCTTGACACGGTGCAGCGTCGACTTGAAGCGGTCGTCGGACCACGACATGAGGAGGTCGCCGATGTTGCAGATGATGGCGTTGGAGTCTGGGTCGGGCTCAACTTTGGTCCAGACGTCGGACTCGCCGAATCGGGAGGTCGTTTCGCGGCCGGGGCAGATTTCGAGTCCGGACTGGCCGGCTTTCTGGAAGAGGAGCGTCACAAAGTCCCAATCGCAGTGCGCGCCCGCGCGGTGGTGAACTTTGCCATCGTTTGTTTCGGGCGTTGGGAAGTAATGCAGGAGGCGGCCGACGGTCTGTGAGTCGGGCTCGCTGATGTCGTGCGCCTTGATGAAGTAATCGTCCGGAAAGCCCAGCCCTCGTGCGAAGCACACCATCAAGTGCTCGGACACGGATTGCGCCAACCGCATGAAATGCAGCGCCTCGTCCCGGAAGCCTGGCAGCGTTTCCTCTGCCAGCCAGCGCCCGTCCATGTTTGAGCCAAATTGCATCTGATAAGACTCCTTCTGGTCCGCGGCCCCTGTAGAGGGTCGTATCTGAGCGTTCTTCTCCCATCCAGCATTGTGTTGAGCAGAGAAAGGCACTTGAGCCTTTACATCGTCGTCCAGAGAGAAGAATGCAGCTGAAGCATCGAAGATCTTGTCGACTTGTTCACGCGAGATGCCATGGTCCACGAGGCAGAAGAAGCCAACGTTCTCTGCTGCATCGACAAGCTGCTTTGTGATCTCGTCGATCCGATTGTCGAAGTTCGCCAGAGAAACGGTCGGAATTGTGCGATCAGAGTACTTTGTTGGAGCCATGATAGTCAGCGAATTGCAGATCGATATGTTGCTGTGATAGAGTGATGGCTATCAGACAAGCGAATGCACCCCTGAATCTCAAGATGTTGCGTATCTGTGTTTCAACATGAGCACAAGTCACGAAACATAAATGTTATCCATCACATAAGATGAGCATAGAGTCATGGCCCGCGCGGGATCTGGCTTGTTGTACAACTGTGGGCATCTCCGATGCTGGGCAGAATAAGGCGCATCCTATTCGACTGAGCGGCTCGTGTTATCAGAGACCAAGGAATGGCTAGACTGAGAAGAGATGCACATCCCCCCCACCCAATTGCTTGATTGCTTTCCTCGCTACCCTCCAGGAGCCGTGGGCAGAACCCCACTCCAGCCGGTGAGAGGACCTAGAATGAACTACGCGGGTCTAAGAAGCATGCCACTCCATTCTGAGTGCTTGGTTGTCTCTAGAACATCTCCGAGTCTGAGTCTTGGCCCATAGATAACAGATAACGTGGCCATTGCATCGGACGACGGGGCCGCACATGGCCATGGTGCAACGTGGTTTATATGCACCAGGCCTCGCCCTTGGCTATGCGGCTTCTCTCCGTCCTGCAACTTCGACGGCGTTGTCTACCAGCCATGTTGAACCTCGAGCAAGTCAAATCGGGGGCTCGCGCTCGCACAAAGGCCTCGGGATGGGTGCTACCCAAGCAGACCAGCTCGGTGGCACCGCCCCATGTCTGGTCCAACGCCGACATGGACCCTGTGCCACCCGAGAGGCGGACATGGACCGGATGGGTCTTCGTCATCTACTGGTTCAGCGACCTGGTCACGGTCTCGACCTGGTCTGGTGCTAGTTCCGTCGTTGCGGCAGGGCTGTCGGCGAAGGATGCCATTGTCATTGTCCTGCTCGCAACCCTCTGGAACGCGATACCGACCGTCTTCAACGGCGCCATTGGAGCTACACTGCACATCCCGTTTCCGATCGCAGCACGAGCCGTGTTCGGATTGTGGCTCTCATACTTCGCCATCCTCTCGCGCTCAGTGCTGGCCATGTTCTGGTTCGGCGTCAACACGGCAGCTGGCGCCCTTGCAGTCACCCAGATGATCAAAGCCATCTGGCCCTCCTACGGCACTCTGGCGAATAGCCTCCCCGAATCTGCGGGCATTACGACGCAAGGCATGATCTCGTACTTTATTTTCTTCGTGGTCCAAACGCCATTCATCTTCATTCCGATGCACAAGCTACGACCCATGTTTCTGGCGAAGGCGATCGTTATGCCACCCATGGCGATCGCAATGGTTGCCTGGATCTGCGTCAAGGCTGGCTCCAGCGACTTCTTCGACGCCCCGTCCCAGGTTAGCGGCAGTACCAAAGCATGGCTCTGGCTGAGCAGTCTAACCTCGGTCACTGGCTCTTTCTCGACAATCACGGTGGGTTCAAACGCTCTGCCGATAGACGGACGGATGGCTAATGGAATTCTAGGTCAATATCTCAGACTTCTCTCGTTTCAGTGCAAAGCCTGGCAGCCAGTTATGGCAGCTGCCTGTCATCCCGCTATTCAAGGTGTGGATTGGTGCCTTTGGCATCATCAGCGCGTCTGCCTCCGCCAAAATCTGGGGCGAAGCACTTTGGGTGAGACTGATCCCTCATCTTTGTCTGAACACACGAATTCTAATGCTTTTGTTAGAATCCATTGCTCATCATCGACAACTGGCACGGCTCATCCGGAGGCCGAGCCGCAGCGTTCTTCGCCTCGGCCTGCTGGTGCCTCGCCCAGATCTGCCTCAACATCTCCGCCAACTCTCTCAGCTTCGCAAACGACATCACCTCGGTGTGGCCCAAGTACATCAACATCTTCCGCGGCCAAGTCATCTGTTTCCTCCTGGGCGGCTGGGCTCTGTGCCCATGGCTCGTCATGGCCTCCGCGCAGACGTTCCTCAGCTTCATGTCCGCCTACGCGATCTTCATGGCGCCCCTGGCCTCCCTCCTGCTCGCGGACTACTGGATCGTCAAGAAGCGGAAATACGACGTCCCGGCCCTGTACGATCCCGACGGCATCTATGGAAAGTGTAACTGGCGGTCCCTTTTTATTCTCACCGTCGTGATCCTGCCGCTGTTGCCCGGGTTGGCGCAGCGTGTCACGCCGGACAGCGTCAGCATCCCCGCCGGCATGCGCAATCTTTTCGCCATCAACTACATGTACGGCTTCGTGTCGGCATTGGTGATCTATCTGGTGCTGAATTGGATTTGGCCGCAGAAGCGCACGCTCATTCCGCACGTCGTCTACGGTACGCCTATCAATGGCGTTGATGTAGATCGAGAGAGACACTCGGAGAGTGACAGCCCTCATCCCGAGGCGGAGAAGAGTAAAGAAGCAGAGATTCGAGCCACGGCTATATAGATCTATGATTAATTCCGCTGTCAGGTGTTCATCTCGAGTGCTACTGGGGAGCTTATTCACAAGGCTAGCAATGTATTGTGGACATACAAAATACACTCTAGAAGCAGTCGTTGGCCAATGCAGCATACCGATCTCCCAATTTCATCCGCCAGCGTCGTCCCCAGATCATGAGGGGAACGCACGTGAGCATGACCAGCGCCGCAAGCACGCCAAGCAACACGAACATGTTGTACACACCCATGCCGGCCTGCCAGGCGGGGATCACAAAGGTCATGATGGTAGCCATGCCGTTTCTGACAAAGACAATCCCAATCAACGCCGGTCCGATGATACCATCGTACGAGTCTTGCACGTAGGTGAGTGCAATGTCGCCGCAGCCGCCGAGAGCAAAGCCAACTAGGCCTGCGCCAACGGCATTGATAATCCATGGCATTCCCTGGAAAGTCGACGTTAATTTGGATCCTTTTACCGGGGTATGATGAAGGTGCTTGCTTACCTCGGCAATGGTCAATCCATAGAGCAAAACACCCGCCACCATGGACGCACCCGGGACTAGAAAAGTCCACAGGCGGTATTCTGGCTCGTAGATTCCCTGTCTCCTCCTTGCAATGACCATGATCAAGTAGTCAGAGAAAGGACCACCAAACACCGAGCCAAGTATCGCTCCAATGGCGGGTGGGATGTTCATGTTACCGACACCAATCGCGGAGAAATTATAAGGTGGGAGAGGATACAAACTCGCCTGTGTCACAGCCAGGAAAGAGAGCATAGACTCCGACCAAGCGTATTGCAGGGCCGAGAACATGATGGCGGGGAAGATACCAAGGATCATGAATGGCTGGTAGAGCTGCCGCAGGAGCCGTTGGCTGTAAGATGTGGAGACGTTCTGGGACACAGTGTACCAAGGGTGGCGTTGACGGTAGGACTTCATAGGGATGGTGTCATCGACGGTCTGTTGGGCACAGGCAGAGGTTGCGGAAATTGCCGATTGTGAATCAATCTTCTCGATTGAGCCCTTACCCTTCTGAATTGTGCCTGATGGCTCACTTTGGGGAAGGGGAGTGGAGTTGAGTAGTGGTGCCTCCCACTTTGTTTCTTCAAGGAAGAATAGCATGACAATGACCGTCACACTCACGTAGATGGCGCAGTGCCAGAAGACCCAGCGCCAGTCCTGAGAGACAGCGATATATCCAGATGCGATAGGGGCAAGGTATGTTCCAAGAATGACCACCAGGAGATAAATACCGGTCATGGTGCCCCTTTGATGGATGAAAAACAGATCACAGATCTGGACATCTCGTTAGCTCTCAGTAGTCTTGTAGTCGGGTTTTGGCATACCGTCACGTTAAACAAAGCCTCATTGACAGAACCAGCGATTCCAGAAAGAAGATTAGAACCAATAACGTCAAATGTAGTTCTGATGTTGGCCATCCATATCGCACTAGCGAGCATAATCAAGCTGGTGATGAGATAGATAGGACGTCTTCCGAAGTTTATGGACAACGGGATAAACACCAAAGCCGCAACAGTAAGAGAGCAATAGGCTGTTGCATATCCATAGTTCAAGTCATCTATTGAGATGCCCAGCTCGTCCGAGATATTCTGCCAAAGAGGTGGAGTTACGGTAAGACTTGAAAGTGTTAATTTGCTGGCTGCAACCTTTTCATGTGTATACTGACATTGCAAAGATCAGGGTGGTGTAAACGCAGAGAATGGTCATCTGCAGCACTTTTCGCTTCGTACTCCAGTTTAGAGGCTGATTCGGATCTGTGGTCGGTCGAGGAACGAGGATAGTCCTGGAATGCGCAACATCTAAAATACGCACTGTTCCTGGTGGTAGCTCGCTATCGAAGGGCTTTTCGCTTGACGGATCCATTGTGAATGAAGTGTGACAGCCTGGCATTCATGATGCCTGGCGGGTGGCAACGCGTGTATATATATACCGTCGAGAGAACGTAATCATGTTCTGTTATCATGGTTGAATTGATCACTATCTGCCCAGGGGCAGCTTGAGTGGTGGCAGTAGTGGCAGTAGTAGGCTGCGAGGCGGCAGCGCCCGCCGGGAGTGAACTACCATGCCTGAAAACCTTCCGTCGCACATGCCCGGCGTTCAAATGATGCCCATCTAGGAAAGATCTCTGGGGTACATTTTGCCTTAAGATGCCAGGGATGCACGTGCCTAATCAGGGGGCGGACTAATCTATGCTTCCCCTCCTTTCCGACAGCCGACGGAGGATTTTACAAGGCCAGCTTGATGTCCCCACCTCATCTCGGCCACCTCCACTGACCACATTGCTTTGGCAAAACTCATGCCGCCTTCAAGAGCTTGCGACCGCTGCTACGGAATCAAAGCCCGCTGTACTTTCAGTGATGACCAGGATGCCTGCGATCGCTGTTTTCGCCTACGCCACAGATGTGTGACCAATCGACGAACAGGCAAGGCGGGGCGACCGCGGACGCGCACGTTATCGTCTGGGTCGTCGGTACAGCAAACCTCGCTGAAATCACAGACTCCGCCGAGCAGAGATGTCGAAACGGCTCTCGAGCCTCCAGCTGAGGTGCTGGAGGCACTCAAAGACTTGGAGCCAGCCGAAGTGAAGCTCGCGCAGTACCTGGTACAGGATCATCGACTGGACCGTCGATTCGTCAACAGCTTCGCCATCGAGTCCTTCTTTTCGAATACTATGGAGTCTTCTCTCATTCGACAGCTTCTTGATGGGCCAGCTCAGGTCAAGGACGCTTTGCTAGCCTTGGCAGGAGCGCTCAAAGCAGAAGAGGAGACGGACTCTGAACTGGGCACTGCAGCAACTGTGAAGAACATGGAGTGGTGCTGCAATGCCCTTCAGAAGCTGCGACTGAGTGACTCTGCGACCGAAGATGACGCCAAGGTGATATTGTTCGTGGCCGATTGCCTGGTCTCGGTCAATGATCTGACATTCGGGTACGGCTTCCTGCCTATCGCTCAAGCAGCCTTGCTAGCAATAAAACCTTGGTATCCTCAACTGATCAATGCCGGCTCGGCTCAAGTCGACCCACACCTTGTTCCACTGATATTTGCTGAGGTGATGGAATGTGGGAAATGTGGCGAGATTCCATCGTTCAGATGGTCTCAGCCTACTACACAGCTCATCGAGCGATCGTATGGCATCGCTCAAGAAGCCCTGCCGCACCTATACGATATATCTGTGCTGATACATGATATCAAAATCTCATTGCTGGATCCAGTCACAGTGCAACACCGGATAGCCGAAATTAGTAGGGAGGTCGACAATTGGGTTCCGCAAATTCAGCCCCATGCGGCCGAGCATCAAGGACTCTATCTTAGCCAAGACCAGAGGTGCCAAATGGTCCGTCATGCAAATTGTTACAAGCTGCTTGCACAACTCCTGCTTGCACAGCTCCAGGCTCAGTCACAGAATCAGCATCTGATTCGCACGCAGATCGCCCAGAAGATTCGGGATGAGGTGGCCAAATTCTTTACCACAGACACTCACCAGGTACTGTACTTGCTCTGGCCCTACTTTGTTGCATGTACCGAGCTAGAAGACACGAACGAGCAGGCATTGGTGCTGAGTCAGATGAAATATCTCAGCGGTGGCATCGCTACGCAGTCATGCAACTGCATGTATAAATTCCTACAATTTGTGTGGGCAACAGCAGCGATTGACCCAACGGTGACCTGGCTTGAGCTCGTGGAAGCAGGCTCGGAGTTTTCAATCGGGCCTTGACATTGAAAGAAACGATTGACATTCATATCCTTCAGCTACCAGTATCTCTAGAATCCAGCAAGCGCAGCACGCCAGCTGGACGACCACCAGAACCGTTCCTTGCTCGGACGATGATCATGGTTCCGTCCCTTGCGATTCGTCCCACGACTTTGTTCCGTTCATCCTGCTCAGGCGGTGCTGGGACTGCCCATTCGCCGCGAAAGTTGAACATGTTGCTGCCATTAATGGGACTCAACTTCAGACCGCTCTCAGGATTTTTGATACCATCGATGTACACCTCCACTGCGGGTCGGACACCCGTTCTAGATATCTGTTCTGGAATTCCCACTCTACCTTCAATTGCAATGACGAGCTCGAGCTTTGAGACCGCCGTGGCATGGCAGTCTGTCATCTCGAGCATTGGTGGGGGAGCTGCGAGATCCAGTCTCTCGCCACACAGGACGTCCGTTGGAAGGGTTGGCGTGCGAGGCGGCGCCACTCTCCCTTGCCGCCTTTGCTCAAAAGCGTAACCGGCTTTCAAGATATCGACATCGTCGTAGGCCTTGCCCAGAATTGTCAACCCCATCGGCATACCTTTGTCCCGGAGCATCCCCATCGGCACCGTGATGCTCGGAATACCTAGATGGCGCAAACATCTGTTCCCGTTGCTGTATTTGACGCCATCCCTCCACGTGTGCCTGGCTAGATCAACATCGATGTCTGCTTCCGCATAACCGACATCGCCTGCAGCTGGAAAAACAACGAAATCGAACTTCTCTATCGACATCCAGTCCTCGAACAGCCTCTTGCGCATGTTTTCCAAAGCTGTGACAGCTCGAGAAAGGTGTGGGACGTCGTAAATTTTGCTGCTTCCAGAGGCCACGCACTTGACGTTGTTTTCGACGTACGAAGCCAACTTCGACCAATGCACTGCATTAGCCACTTCAGAGAACCGCAGTTGAGGGTCGTCGGGTGACATCTGGGGAAAGAATTTCGTCCAGTCTGCTGCGGCCAGTTTGGATAGGCTTGGATCGCCGTTGATCTGCAGAAAGTCATCCCATGCGTGAGCGATCAAAGTACCCCTTTCAGACGAATTCCAGTCCTCCGGCAGTCTCAGATACTCTGGAAGCTCCTCCGCATTCGACGATGACGGGTCTTGGTACAGTCTCATGACCGGAAGGTCTTGCACAACCTCAACTGTTGCACCGCATGCCTCGAAATCGGCTTTTGCCTGGGACCAGAGATCAATGACCGCATCCGATGTGTAGACGCCTGTTTCATGTGAAGATTGCCCAATATACATCGCTGGTACCGCAATCTTCTTGCCGCTCAAGAAGTGGGCGTCCTTGATGTCAGCGAAAGAGCTCGGCCTCCGTAGCCATTTATTCCTCGTCTCCACAAACGGCTGGTCCCTCCAGAAGTCGCCAATCGTATTTTCATCTTCCATCGTCAGGATGTCCAGTATGGTCAACATATCATCCATACACCTCGTATGCGGGACCACAACATCACACGTCGGATACAGTGGCCAATTGCCCCGAATGCTGATCAAGCCTCGACTCGGTGTATAAGCCACTAAGGCGTTGTTGCTGGCGGGACTCCTGCCCGAACTCACTGTCTCCTCGCCCATACCGAAGGCGGCAAAAGAAGCCCCGGTCGAGACACCGCTGCCATTCGATGACCCCGATGCAAACGCCGCCGCAAGGTACTGCGCATTATACGGCGACTCGGCCCGTCCGTAGACACCGCGGAGCATCCCGCCAAAGGCCATGGGACACATGTTTGTCTTGCCGATCAGGATGGCACCCGCATCTCGCAGGGTCTTGACCGTGAATGCATCTTCGCTTGCGATGAGGTGCTGGAAGGCTTCACTGCCGCTAGCGACAGTCATGCCGCGGACCTTGTAGCTGTCTTTGACCGTGAAGGGAATGCCCTCCAGAGGCGCGAGTGGCTGGCCAGCTGCCCGACGTGCGTCCGAGGCGGCGGCTTCAGTGAAGACATTAGGATTGAGGAGCGGAATCGAGTTCAAGGCTGTGTTGCGGGTGTCGTATGTTGCGATGCGGAGCAGGTAGGATGTTACGAGGTCGACTGCTGTCGTGCGTTGGGACGTGAGTGCTGCTGTTAGGTCGGCGATGGTGGCTTCAACTATGCTGCCGTCTGAGGTGGGGAGTTGAGAGTCCATCGTTATGTTAGGGTAGACGTGAAATGCGGGATATTGGGCGAGTTCAGGCTCATATCAAAACCTGACAACGCAATGCACTGGGGTGAATTTCCACCGGCCCGGCTGCTGATTTGGTGCTTTATGGGAGACTTGATCACACATTGTGTAAGCACTGAATTACGTTCTCTGAAGTCTTAGAGAGTTACAGCCCGGAGGAAAAGCGAAATCAATACTCCTGGCAAGGTCTCATCGGAGCCGATCCAGGACCAAAGCCATCCCCGATTGCCGCCGGAGGGTTTATTGTACAGTAAACTTCCTGCGGAGCTGAGCGCCGGCGGCTTGACTTTCGTCGAGTGGGCTGGACACCAATCCCTGCTTGCGCTGAAGCTGAACAGGGGCCATTGTATCCACTCATATCCCCAGCACATCACATAATCCTCCGCTTCATGATCAAGAAGGACTATAAAGTGTCACAAGCCTATGATGACAACAATACATCTCCTATATAATTCGCAGCATCCAAGTTGTCCCCAAGGTAGAAAACTATAACCCTACCAAACGACAAGCACATCACCTTCCCGTCCAATCTTCGACACAGTCCCCCAAGACCCACCAATAGGACCGCCGCCTACCATGGGCGACGCCGGCGAATCGCCCTCCTCCCACAACCCTCCCCCATCCCCCCAATACTTCCAACCAGCCGAACACCTCCCGCACTCACACACGCTAACCGCCTTCCCCAACCTCCCCGGCTGCTACCAGGACGCCGCCTCCACGTCCGCCGCCCGCCGCGAAGTCGCCGCCATCGCCACCGCCATCTCCCACTTCGAGCCCGTCTGGCTGTACGCGCACCCTGCGCACGCCCGTATCGCGCGCGCGCTCGTCAACGACAACGACAACCAGGACGTGGACGTCGTCGTCAAGGAGGCCGAGGTCGACAACCTCTGGATCCGCGATCTGGGGCCCGTCTTCCTGCATAGCCCCCGCACGGGCAAGACGGCGGCGGTGGATTTCAATTTCAACTACTGGGGCCACAAGGCCGAGGAGACGGTGGACGGGGCGTTTGCGCGCCGGGTCCTGGCCTCGAGGGAGTTTGGGCATGTGGAGACGGTACAAGCCGGTATCGTGTCGGAGGGGGGAGCCCTGGAGGTGGATGGCGAGGGCACGCTGATGGTGACGGACACGTCGATCGTGAATGAGAACCGCAACCCGGGGATGGGTAAGCGGGAGATTGAGGCGGAGTTGAAGCGCGTGTTGGGCGTGCGGAAGGTTATCTGGCTCAAGGGGGTGGAGGGGCTGGAGAGCACGGACTGGCATGTTGATGCGTGGTGTCGCTTTGTGAGGCCGGGAAAGGTGCTGCTGTCGAAGCCGCCGTTGAATGCGCACAAGGAGATCCGGGCGATCTTTGAGGATGCGTTGCGGGTTTTGGCGCAGGAGACGGATGCGAAGGGTCGGCGGTTGGAGGTCGTTGTGGTGGATGAGCCGGATCAGGAGAAGTTGGCGGGTGGGACGGTGGAGGGGATGGTGACGAGCTATGTGAATTACTTGCTGGTCAATGGCGGTGTGGTCATGGCGAAGTTTGGGGACGAGGAGCCGGACGAGAAGGCGTTGGCGTTGATCAAGGAGTTGTTTCCGGAGAGGAAGGTCGTGCAAGTGTACATCAATGAGTTGCCTAGGCTGGGCGGTGGGATTCACTGTGCGACGCAACATGTTCCTGTCTAGAAGTATTGTGAAGTCTTATTTGGCAGCAAGCACATGATCCCATGAAGCCTCACTCGCTACGCAATCTAAATGTTGGATCGTTTCCCCTGAGTCTGTGACAAGCCTCGTCCAACTTCGATTCCTTACTTGTCTAATCATCCAGATACCAGTTCCTTGCAGCACACCCTCTGTAGGCCTGGATACCTCAACGACCATAACTGCAAGCTCAGCCAGGTGCTTGCGGTCTCGCTCGCTATCTGTGCCTCCACGCCTTCTAGCAGCCAGTATTCTTAAGACCGTGTTGGCCTGGGATTATTCAAGAACATATTTTGAATCTGATCAATATCAATGGCGTCAGAGATGGGAGCAATGATTTCGAGCTGGGATGGCGCGAGTCCTTGTTGTAAACGTGGCAGCATTGAAGACTCCTGGCCGATGTGGACCCTCGTCGATGGAGGCAAGTCCACGGATGAAGATCGAGCTCTGCGAATGGCCCTCGCAGCTCTCTGCATTGAAGCTAAGGCAAGTTCCATCGCCACCCTTACAGCTCTCAAAGATTGCTCATCGGCTTGCAGCTGTTGTTCTCTGGCTTGTAGAGATCTCCTTAGAGCGTCAAGAGTTCGCTCTCGACGAGCAAGCGCCTGATCTCTGACGTTCAGCTCGGATTCTCCGGTGACCAGCTGCCGTTCTCGCCTGGAGTAGTGGAACGAGGACCAGGTTCCCGGATCACTCTCGCTCCAGCTAAGAGATTCGAGGGTGGTGGGAAGGCGAGTTCGTGCGGAGCTGGCGAGGTAGAGAATAGGTTGGTGATGACTCGGCTCTGGCGGTAAGCTTCTTGGCGTCGGACCCCTGCATACTCCTCGGAAGCGAGGTCAATGGCATCGGTATTGCAAGACTGGTCAGCGCGGTCTGAGCTGGAGTGTTGGCTTTCACTCATGGTTATGTTCTCGAGATCAAAGGTTGATAGGTAGAACTGATAGAACTGATGGTTGTTAGTAGTAAAGATGACTATCTTCTGTTTCAGAAGGAGAAAAAGAGAACGAAGGATCTAACACCCCACAGCAAGCATGTCTCTTATAGTAGTCATGAGTGACACACACGAGACAATCAGGCAGGAGACTTGCTTCACAATCATGTTTCATGTGCCTTGTTCGTGTCAGCCCATGGCCTGCTTTATCATCTGTTCGCCTTCACTAAGAAGGCCCAGTATGTTTAGTAACGTCGGGCAGTAAAGGCAGCTTATACCAGGCAGATGAGACCCCAAGTTAGATGCAAGCTGAATTTCACCGCTTAGCATGAAAGACATTATGCACTACCCTTTGAGACGATCGTAACATCACGACAGCCTCGTAGATGTCTTTGAGATAATTCCGAATACTAGACGTGATATCACAGGCAGTAAATGCTTGGCAACCGAAAAGCAGGCAGTGAAAGCTTGGCATATTGAATTGCATTGCCCTCTGTGCTGAGACCAGCCCATACCAGTAACGACCACGATATGGATTCATGCCGTGCCCAACCAGAAACTCGCTGTATTCGCGTATTGTTAACTCTCGCATGCCGGTGTTCGCAGGCAGGGTTGGCAGAATGTGCGTATCAAGATAGTGGTCAGGGTCCCTCCAGAAGTCGTCTGAGTGGATGCCCGGCAGGTTGCTTCTGGGAATGCCTGAAGCGTAGTCAGTGGTAGCTGGTGGACGACTACTGTTGGCTGGCGTGGTAGCTTGATGATGTACAGGAGTCGTTGACTGGGCAGCCGGGACATATGGTGGTGTTTGTGTTGAGTGGTTGATGTTGCTTGCAACGATCGGCCCTCGAGGAATTGGAAATGTTGGCTGACTAAGTGTGGTTTGTTGCTGATATCGTGGCTGGTATCCAGATGGCACCGCCGTAGGAACTTAAGCTGTATCAGGAGCCACATGCTCTTGATGAGCTGCTGTACGTTGCGCGTGTGGTGTGCTTCAGCGGCACGTATAGCGTCTTCATCGGCTTTGAGCTTTTGTTCTCTGTCTTCGAGTTCCTCCCGCTTGCGTTCGATATCGGCCTCTTTCTGGTCGAGAGCTTCCTCTCTGCTCTGTACCATCGCTTGATCTCCCCAAGGCGTGCCTCGGCAAGGTAAGCCGCATCTTCTCTTTCTGACACTTGCCTCTCGCTGGTTAAAAGTTTCCTTTTTCTCAGCAAGCTGTGCCTCTCGGAAGGTGGCACTTTCATCTCTTGCCTGAACATGCGCTTCTGCCTGGTATGGTTGGGCGAGTAGGTGCTCTAGTCGGTCTCGGGAATCACGAGCTCGTTGAAGCTGACGTAGCACTTCAGAGTATCGAGCTAGGCTCTGGAAAGACACTGGAGTTTTTGAGAGCGATATTAAAACCAAGCGGCACTGTGTTTGTATATCAGATATAAAATATAGCCTGTGGCCACAGGAAGGCATGCAAGCGACAATGCTTGGCGCCAAGATATTGCATCTGAAATGCCGCAGCATTCATGCTGAATAGCATCATTCACTGAAAGGCACCTGCGGCCATGACACAGGAAGTAGAAGAGCTCCCATAAGTTTTTCATAATGTTCCAAGCTGTATGTCCACCACGCTAGGCAGGAAAGGCGCCGGATTTGGCAACAGGGTTTGAGATGAGGCAAATTGGACGCCTTGCGCCTGGCTAAGGGCCGAATTCGGAGGCATGGACCTCTATTCGCTTCCCCGAAGTTTAGGGCTCAGTGCTGGAAGAAGAGATCTGTACTGACGCATGAGCTGCAGGTATTTTGTGTTCATGCCCAACAATGGGCAGCAAACAACATCTGAACGGCATTTGTTGTGATTGATGCGATCAGTTAGCAAGCGGTGCTTGTTTGCTCACACTCCTTGAGCACTAGTGTTTCATGGGAGACTCGAGCGTGCGATTGCTTTACTTGGGCTCATGGAGGCGCAGCGACCCTGTACCTCTGAGGTGTCACCGTGTCCGACGTAGTGACGCTGGGGTTTGATTCGGATGTCCTCACAAGGGGGCATAGCGACCAGCATCTTACTCCAACATTACACGTGGCGTTCGGGTCGCGCCTCGGATGGAGTCGTGTACAATGAAGTCTCCGGAGAAGCAGCAAGATTAGTTTGCGACCGTCGAAGCCATTGGTCGGAGTTGAGCGGTTGGCTGATAGGACCCCTGTTTATCTTGAAGCAGATCTTGCTCGATTTAGAAGGCGGTCTGCTGAATAGAGTCATGAAGTTAAGCAGCAAGCCAATGGCATTGGACGAGCAGATCACAATCGCAAGTACCGAGTGCGGAGGATTGCCAGCTAGGAGAATCGCCGGCGGGCATCGAGGATAAATCATGACCATTTTGCACCCAGGTTCGGAATTGTAATCTGCATTCTTCACATCTCTGAGAAGATGGGCAAAGGCACCGGTAAAGACATTGAAGCTGCCGCCGAGCGCACGGTCTCCATCAGCGCCGGCAGTGAAAAGAAGATCGTTGCGTCCCGAGATATCGATGAAGCGTTGAAATTTCTTGAAGCCAATGCCGGCACGATCAATCTCGAGGATGTAGACGAGAAGAAGTTGATGCGGAAAGTCGACTGGATGTTGATGCCGCTGATGTTTCTCTGCTACTACTTGCAGTATTCGGACAAGACACTGATCAACTATGCCGCTGTCATGGGCATCATCGAAGACACCAATCTGCCACCAAATGGATTTTCCAACCTGGCCATGGCGTTCTATGTCTCCTTTTTGGTGTGCGAGCCTCTGCAGACATACTTTATCCAGCGGTTGCCGGTTGGAAAATGGCTCGGAGCCAATGTGGTACTCTGGGGCATCACCGTTGCATGCAACTGTGCTGTGTCGAACTATGCATCGGTCATTGCGCTGAGAGTCTTGCTCGGGGCGATGGAGGCCTGTGTTGCGCCGGCTTTGGTAGTGGTCACTGGGATGTGGTATCGTAGGAGCGAGCAAGTCTCACGAATGGGGATCTGGTACCAGGGAACGTCGCTCGGACCGGCCATCTCGTCTCTCATCAGTTACGGCTTTCTTCATTACGCCAACTCGAACCCAAATGCCAACTTCAAAAGCTGGCAGATCCTCTTTTTGCTGTATGGTCTCATCACGATCGTCGTCGGCATTTGCGTTCTCTGCTTCCTGCCGGACAATCCGATGAAATCTCGGCTTTCAGATGCGGAGAAGATCTTCATCATCAATCGCGTTCGCGGGAACGAGACCGGTATCGAGAACAAGCACCTGAAGTGGGCGCAGGTGAAGGAGGTTTTTGTCGACATCAGAACTTGGCTGATCGCATTGATTGTCATCGCGACAAATGTGCCCAACGGAGCGGTTTCGTCCTTTCAGTCTATCATCATCTCGAGTTTTGGCTTCGACGAGTATGAGACGCTGTTGCTGAATTTGCCCAGCGCAGCAGTGTCATTCATCGCCGTTGCGGCTGGGTCGTTCCTGGCTGGCAAGTATAATGCACGCTGTATCGTCATCATCTGTTTGATCATCCCGACCATGATGGGCGGAGCTCTCATGGCTTGGCTTCCTGCAGACAACAACGCCGGCCTACTAGCCGGGAACTACATGACCAGCACTGTTGGTGCCTCGTTGCCACTGCTCTACTCGTGGATCACGGCAAATTACGCCGGACACAGCAAGAAGACAACCATGTCAGCCATCGTGCTCATGAGCTTCTGCATTGGCAACATCATCGGACCCAAGACGTTCCGAGACAGTGACGCTCCGGCCTATATTCCGGCTAAGATCTGCATCGTCGCATTCCTTGCGTGTGCGATTCTACTCGCGCTGACTCTGGATGGGCTGTACTTGTGGGAGAACAAGCGGAGAGACAAGATGGGAGTCGTCGACATGCCAGAGGACTTTGAGTTGCTAGACCTGACTGACAAAGAGAACAAGCGATTCCGGTATCTGTTGTAGGATTGAGGAGAGACGTGGGAAGATGAGCAGCGACAAAGCATGAATGAAGCAGAGGTCGGAGTAGCATATAGCCGATCTACGAGGCTGAACAAGGCTGAACAAGGCTGAACAAGGCTGAACAAGGCTGAACAAGGCTCTATTTCTCCAACTCCTCGAGCTGTTTTGTGCTCGACGCCCTTCCTCCTGGACTCACACGCACAACCCCCACTGTTCCGATTCAGGTGTAAAGCACGCCCTTCAGTCTACGATTTTCTGCATTACACGGGAATCGTAAACCGGTACAAGTTGACCGTTTGTCTCCCGCTGAGGTCCCGCTGGGGTCCCGTCGCTACCGCCCAACCCGACAGAGCTCTGATAACACTCACCCATCAACTTTCCCCACAAACACCACCACCTGAGATAAACGCCCCACCTACGCAACCGGCAACCACACCGACGGATTCCCATGTCCTCGATTGCCACATTGCGCCTGCCCCGCAGACTGCCAACACCATCGAGAATCTCACAATTCAAAGCATTTAAAGCACCCAACACATCAACCTCTATTTCCCCTTTCATCTACCACCGCCCCTTCACCACCACCACCACCCGCACCATGTCCCAATACAAGTACGAATACCTCGTGACCGTGCCCGACGTGCCCAACGCGCCCGAGAAGCGCCTGGCCGCGCGCCCCACGCACCTCGCCAACCTGAAGCCGCGCATCGAGTCCGGCCAAATCGTCTTCGGCGGCGCCACGCTCGCGCAGCAGCCCGCCGACGGAGGCGCCCCGGAGATGACGGGCAGTGTGATGCTCATCAAGGCGAATAGCGAGCAGGAGGTCAGGGAGCTGATTGAGGGGGATGAGTATGCGAAGGCTGGGGCCTGGGATGTGGGGAAGGCGACTATCACGGCGTTTCGGTGTGCGGTGCGGACGGCGATGTGAGGTTGAGGCAGGGAGAGAAGCGGGCAGGTCAGTAGGGGATTGGGGAATGGTAACGTTGGGTGTGCGTGGGGGTGTGCAGGTGGCATGTCCAGATTTAGAGACTACACCCTATCATGTCTCGTGTTGAAGTCAGTTGCCTATATATCAAAATGACTGAAGGGGTAGGGTGTCAATGATGCCGACTCGCTGGAAACCTTTAAAATCAAATCGTTCTTCTGAGAAGGCGCAGCCATATTAGCACTCTTAAGACCGCTACCCGTGCAGGTCGAATGGGTTTCTCGCCCGTGGCATTTTTCACATACAGGCGCGGAGGAAGCTGCCCAACAATCCCTCGGACAGGAACAACGGGTTGTGTGCACACAGCTGCAACAGTCGACTTCTCACCAGCCAGCTCCATCTGCCGCCAACGCCGCGATACTATCCATCCTGCCCCTCTCACCCATCTACAAATCAATCAGTAAAACAAACTTACCCCCAAGGGAACGCACAACTTACCATCTTGACCTTCGCCCGCTCCTCATCCTCCCTCGCCTGCTGCTCCTTCTCCACATTCTCGACCGCCTGGCTCTTCCACGCCTCGTCCTCGACACTTCCCACCAGCTCCGCAATGCCATTGATGCGATTCTCCAGCACGTCTCTGGCATTGCGCATGTCGCTCTGACGCGTGCGCGCCATGGCCTTGTCCAACGAAGGACTCAGGCCGGCGGCGAAGTTGCGCTTGGCGACGCGGGCCTCGGCGACCGGCAACGGCACGTCCATGAACCAGATTTCGTCCATGAGATCCGCGGCCTCGGACCAGGGCGGGCGCGAGAGCGCGAGGTACAAGCCTTCGAAGATGATGATGCGCGCGCTCGGTGGGATGGGGATGTCGTTCTCGACGGGGTCTTTGACTTCGTGGTCGAATGACGGGGCGTGGATCGTCGTGGTGGTGGCCTCGATGGGCTGTCGGAGCCGGCGCACGAGCGATAGGTAGGATTCGCCGTCGAAGGTGAAGGCGGCGCCGCGGCGGAAGATGGCTTCTTCCGAATCGGGCAACGCGGCGAGCTGGGCGCGGGTCAAGTGGTAGCCGTCTAGAGGTACGACGTAGGCGAGGTCGGGTTGGCCATTGGAGCCAGAGGTTGGGGAGTTGGGGTGGTCGGCGTGGAATGAAGTGCGGCGGCGCTTGTTGAGCTCGGCCGCGATGAGGCTGGCGAACGTAGTCTTGCCGCTGCCGGGAATGCCGGCGATGGCGAGCAGAAGCCGTTGCGAGCCGTCGAGGGGTGTGTAGAGGGCTGGGAGTGTTAGGCGGGGTGGAGGGAGGGGCAGGATGGGAAAGTACACCAGGCTTTCTCCGCTAGGCGGACGACCGTCTCGTCCATAACGATAGATTCTGGCGTAAGACGTGTATATTTGCGTTGTTATATATGTGAACTCGCTTACCTGGGACTGCACGGCTGAAGTCTTATAGACGGAGCACGGCAGTCGTCATCGCGCCGAGAAAGGACCCTTGTCAGTGGTATCTTCAGTGCCCTTAGCTAACAAGATGCAAGCAACAGATAAGCTCGCATGTTTTGACTTCTCCACGGCTGACGGTGGCATGCACAGCAGGGAGTTGCTGAAACGTGGGGAAGATAAGTGCTGCAGCCATCGTGTCTCGTCAGGCTGAGAGAGGAGATTCGGAGTCGATCGGTGCCAAGACTCGGTTGGGACCGCGTTTGGCGACTCGCCTGCAAAGGGGGTCAACGACAACTTCATGCTCGTTGTCGCTTAAGCTTGTTCTTGTTCACATTCATTCCGACCGTTCATTCAACGTTGACAGTCATTCCTTTTTCACCCACTTTCTGCAGTCACTCATTAGCTCCCATTACCTTCTTTCAACCGCTCCAATCTACATTGAACGATCGCAATTGATCGCGTCCCCGTCTACCAATTCCACCACCATTCAACACCCATTCAGACCTGCAAATCCGCAGACATGCGCGCCACACTCCTCCTCCCCATCCTTTCCCTCACGCTCGGCGCCCTGGCCAACCCTCCCGCCTGCCTCCTCTCCGCCGTGGGCGCGCAGGACAGTCCCGCCGACCTAGGCGCAGTCTGCGGCGACAACGCCAAGGACGTGCAAGAGACCATCGACGCCGACTGCAAGGACAAGGACAGCAAGAGTCTCGCGCAGGAGGCCTTTATCAGCACCTGCTCGGCTGCTGGTAGCTCTGTTGGTGAGTCTTGAACAAGCATTTTCATACTTGACCTACATACATCGTCCCACCGAACGGCCATTCTCGGTGGGCCTGCGAGGCTACCCTGCTACAGAACCAACAAGCTAATTCACGATCTCTCACAGCGGCGTATACCCCCTCTTCAACCTCCTCCGGCTCCTCCTCGTCCGCGACCGGCACGCGCAGCGGCAGCAGCGACGACCCATCCAACACCGCATCGGCCTTCGAGTCCGGCGCCAGCGCCACAGGCTCCGGCGCGGCGGCCAGCGCGACCGGTGGCTCAGGATCGGGCGCCGCGGACGTGAGGGTCATGGGCGGCTTCGTTGCTGGCGCTGTTGCTGTGGCGGGACTTGCCATTGGCTTGTAAACGAGTTTTTACTTCCCAGATCACTATTGCGTGAGCATGGATGGGGCCGACCGTGTCGATGTTTTGCATTTTCCGTTGGAGAGGTTACATAAAACAAAATGAACGCCCAAAGTGAGGGCAGGACAGGGCCGGGGCAGACATTTCGGGCTGAATTTGGTCAATGTGTCTGTCCTTGTTTTCCCTCAACTTATCGTCAGCGGTAGTTTGGGACCGGGCACATGGGCGACTTTGTATTCCTAGACTTAAAGTTGCGAACACCTGGCGATACCACTCGGAGACAAATTGAATTGAACTGAAAAGCCTCGCTCAAAGTTTTTCCGATGTTTTTTGTTCATTTCCGTATGGTCTTTGCGATGTCGGATGATAGTCTATGTCTCTGCAGACAGGCTGTGCTCTCTATGCTCGATCACACGTCAGAGGATTGAATATTGCCCCCGTCGAGGCACACTTGGAAAAGCTACTGTAGTCGACGAGGAATCTCCTTTCCGCATCCTGTATATTTCCCGCACGCCACAAAATCATGAAGAATCGATATTTTGCATAGGACCCCCCAGCGCGTTTGTACTTCGCGGACGGCGGCTCATGGCCGGCCTCGCATGCAAGCCAGAACCCCTTTTGCACATGCTCTCACCTCCAGTGGCGATCACCGCACGATCATGTCCTCTCTGCGCGGCCCCGTCCCAATCCATTTGACTCTAATGCCTACCTGCTGCTCAATGTACTCGACGTACTCCTGTGCCTTCTTCGGTAGATCCCCCCACTTGCTCACACCCGTCGTCTTCTGTTGCCAGCCCGGGAACGTCTTGTACACCATCTCGGCGCGCTCCAGCTCATCGAGATCAGCCGGGAAATCCTGCACCTCGACACCATCCACCTTGTAGGCCGTGGCGACGCGGATCTCCTCCAGGTCATCGAGCACGTCCAGCTTCGTCAGGTTGATGACCGTGTATGTGTTGATCTGCGCCGAGTACTTGACGAGCACCAGATCGAACCAGCCACAGCGGCGCTTGCGGCCCGTGGTGACACCGAACTCGCGTCCGACGCGCTGCAGGCGCTCGCCATACTCGGCGTCCTTGGGGGAGATGGCGGCATCGAGTTCCGTGGGGAATGGACCAGAGCCGACGCGAGTGGTGTACGCCTTGACCACGCCGACGATGCTGGAGCCTGGAGCGGCAAGGGCTGTCGGAGACAGGCCGGCAAGACCAGTGAAGACGCCGCCGAGGCCGGTGTTGGACGATGTGACGTAGGGATACGTGCCGTGGTCGATGTCGAGAAGCAGGGCGTTCGCACCCTCAATGAGAATGTTCATGCCAGCCGATGCGGAGTCGGTGGGGTTCACGCCGGTACCGTTGGTTGAAGGCAGAGACGCGCCGGCAATACCGACTGCAGAAGCCAACAGGGGAGTCTGCTTGATCACGTATTGCTTTAACTCGTCCCGTACGCTGCGCAGTCTCTCGATTTCGGCGTCAACGCTGTACGACGCAAGAGCCGCCTCGCCGTACGTAGACCGGTAGCCATCGTAGAGCTCGCGTAGCCGCTTTTCCCAGCGAGGAGATTCGGCATCGTTGACCAGCATCCAGAAGGGGACACCTTTCCGGGCAACCTTGTCCGAATAGCAAGGACCGATGCCCTTCCGGGTGGTGCCGATCATGTCTTTTGGGTTGACGCCAGTCTTGTAGCGGTCTTCTGAGATGCCATCGACAACGGTGTGGAGATCGAAGCAGATCTGAGCTCGGTCCGAGATCAAGATGCGCTCGCGCACGCCCTGCAAGCCCTTCTCTTCCAGCGCGCTGAGCTCCTTGAAGAAGGACGGGATATGGACGACGCAGCCGGTGCCGATGAGGTTGACCTTGCAGGAAGGGTTGATTAGGCCAGAGGGTAGGATATGGAAGTCGTAGGTGACGCCATTCACGACGATGGTATGGCCGGCATTGTTACCGCCCGCAGCGCGTGCGACGAGGGACGCAGAGGAGGCCAGGATGTCCACCAGCTTGCCCTTCCCTTCGTCGCCCCATTGGGAGCCCAGAACGAGAGTCACAGGCATAGTGTAGATGCGTAATTGAGTAACAGGTATGCGACAAATGTTACGAACAGTAGCCCGCCGGCGCACTGTTAGGAGCAGGAAAGACAGCAAGCCGATATCGCGAAAATTTATACCGGCATGGCACTTTGCATGAACTGTTGAGTGGGGGCGGGGCACTGAGATTTCGGAGGGTGCCGATGAGGATAGGGCAAGATCAGGCAGTGGAGTTTTACATGGGTTTCACCAGTTTTTCCTGCAGCTCGACGTAATCATGGTCTGTCACGATTCCCACTGTGCTAACATCCATGGGGCTTCTAACAAAAGTACCTTGGTCGCGCTAGAGACTTGACGACATCGGAATTCATTCAAACTCACTCGAAATTGTCCTTGTCGAACTGCTCACGATCCCAGAAGCGCGCGGTGATGGCATTGCCACCAAACACTCTGCCCTCTAACGCGTTGACCGCGCGAAGGGCACTCAGCTGGCTGACGAACCGAACAAAGACCAAAGGTCCACCATCCTCCATCGAGCGTCGATGGATGTAGACACGCTCAACCGTACCATACTTCTCTCCACACTCCTCGCCAATCTCTTGCATGATGCCTCCTTCACCTCGGTTTAATTCGGCGTCAACATCCATGCCATCTAGCATGTGCTCCAGTCGAATCACTTCTGACATAGGACCAAATTTGCCAGCTTCCTCGGCCTCGACGCCCTTCGCCTTCCGACCACCCAAGATCTTGCCTGTGCTGGCTGGTGTTGCAAAGCCACCGCCCTCCGCATCCGACTTCTTTTTCCGCACATCTGCCTTGGCATAGAGTGGGTTGATGATGCCAGTGCCTTTAGCTCCCAGTCCTTGACCCTTGGACCATCCATACTTGGCCATAAGCCGTTCAGCGAACCCTGACTGTCCGGGTCGGCTAGATTTTGACTGATCATGTTCGGTAGTTTCAGCCTCAAGCTTCTCCTCCAACTCTGTCTCCGAGGCTGGAATTTCAGGCGGTGCCTCCGGTAGGCTATAGCGGACAGGTGCGCGTGATATCATGCCGGTTGGCGGTGGCACATCTGGAGGTGGCGGAGGCGGTGGAGGAGCTACGGCCTGTGCCATCTGCATTCTGCGAGCATAGGCGTCTTCGCCTGTGGGGTCGTTCGGAACATCGGCGGGCGGAGGTGGCACTTGACTCATACGCATCCTCCTGGCCCAAACATCGTCCCCTGATACATCATCAGGCACATCGGCAGGTGGCGGTGGTGGGTCGGCATTGAGATTCGAAGGCGGGGCGAACGACATTGGAGGTGCAAATCGTCCTGGGATGGTCAGCTCGCGTAGAAAATGGACATTGATGCGCGTACTATTTGTGGGTCTCTCGTCGTAGTCACTCTCGTCGGTGCTAGACTGTCTCTTCCTCATACGGTGGCGATAAAGCAAGTCTTTCCACTCGCGGACCTCGAGTATCTTCTCCTCGCCGTGCTTGTACTCCTCGTAATTTGTTGGCCGGCTCGGATCGTAGATGTCATCCCAGTTCTGTTCCATCGCAGGCGCTTTCTTGTCCTTCTTCCGTTTTTTGCGTCCGCCGCGTTGTCGCTTCTCGCCTTGAAACCATTCATCGTCATCCGGAGTTGCAGTCCAATCATCTATAGTGGTCTTGGGCGCAGACGGCTGCGGCAGTTCCTGAACTGGCTCGGGGGGCTTTTCGATTGGCGGCTGCACTTGCGGAACAGCGGACAACTTGTTGGCAATGGCTTTGGCCTTGGCTTTGGCGGCGGCAGCAGCCTGAGATTGCTGGGGTCTTCTTGTAGGTTGAAAACGTAGTGAGGCTGTGGGCAGCAATCATCATAGAACACGTGAGCAGATCCGAAATCACAAAGATAAAGTCCATTCGGCGAGGTCATATACCAGCGAGAGCTTGCTGTTTCTTTCCAGCATCATCTTGTTCCGCAGCTTCTAGCTGCTTGTAGCTCACCGGGGCACTTGAAATAGAACCCGGAGTAGAGCTCTTGGGGTCGAGGAGGTTCGCATAGAGCGACAAGCCGCCTCCGGCGGAAGGTGGAGGGTCATTGGCCATGGTGGACGCAGAAGTGGGATGGAATTGAGGGAGTTGAGAGGAGGTCTGCGACTTGGACAGTCGACGCCGACAGTGTGCAGCCAATAGACGTCAAGCAGTCATGCAGCATGCGGGCCAACAACGTTCACCCGGCGCTCAACCTCTCCTCATTCATGTGCGCAGTCATCGAAGCTCTTCGAGTCCAGATTCGACTTTGATGTCGAGAATATCCCGGGCCAAGGGAGTCGCGTGTTCCAAGCTGCCCGACCTGTGACAAGATGTACGTCTCAGACCTCCACAGCAAGATACCAAGTGGTAAGCTCCTCGCTATCTAATCGCAAAACTTTTCTCGTCATTCCGGCTGCGTCACGCCATATCTCCCTACACCACTGCCCCTTCAGTCTTTCTCTTCCAGTACATCCCACTGCGTGACTATGGCTTCGACGTTATCCTCATCCTTCTCTCACACCTCCGGCCAAACTGCTGTCATCATCCCCAGCGAGCCTGCATTGACCGTCTCCTACAAACAGCTTGACAGTGATATACAGTCGTTTCGGAAACAGCTTGCAGAGCTAGGAATCGGTCATGGCGCTGCCGTCTCCATCGCACTTATCAACAGCTACGAGTTTATTGTCGCCTTCCTGGCAACGGCGTACCAGCGAGCGATAGCAGCACCTCTGAATCCGGCATACAAACAGGACGAATTTGAGTTCTATATCGACGACCTCTCATCTTCGCTCATCCTGGTTCCCAAGGGTGCCTTCGCCAAAAATGAACCTTCAATACGTGCCGCGAGAAAGTATGGAGCCACCATTGCTGAATGTTACCTGGATGGCTCAAAAGTAATACTCGACGTCAAGGAAACCAAGAAAAGAGCCACCCCACAGGCCCTTCTTACAGCCCAGCCCAACGATACCGCACTCGTTCTACACACCAGCGGCACTACAGGCCGGCCTAAAGCAGTACCTCTATCCCACCGCAACCTTACCCGCACGATGCACAACATCCAGCACACCTACGACCTCAGCCCTGCAGATCGGACCTACCTGGTCATGCCGCTGTTCCACGTACACGGCTTGCTCGCTGGTTTTTTGGCGCCCCTGATCTCTGGCGGGTCTGTTATTGTGCCCCCACGCTTTTCTGCCCGGAGCTTCTGGCCTGACTTTATCAGCCATGAGGCTAACTGGTATACTGCCGTCCCCACCATGCATTCAATCCTCGTCAAGAACGGGCCTCCATCGACTATGCCGAAGATTCGCTTCATCCGCTCTTGCTCCTCCGCGCTACCGCCCAAAATCATGCGGGAGCTAGAAACCATGTGCAAAGCGCCTGTGCTAGAAGCTTACGCCATGACCGAGGCGGCACATCAAATGTGTTCAAACCCGCTGCCCAGTCGCGGCAAGCGGAAGCCCGGTAGCGTGGGCCTCGGACAAGGCGTAGAGGTACGGATACTAGATGCGGAGGGCAATGAAGTCGAGCAGGGTGCACAGGGCGAGGTGAGCATCCGTGGGGAGAACGTCACAAAGGGCTACATCAACAACGAGAAGGCAAATAAGGAATCATTCACAGCGGAAGGTTTCTTCAGAACCGGTGACCAGGGCTTCAAGGACAGCGAAGGCTATGTCATTCTCACCGGTAGGATCAAGGAGTTGATCAACCGCGGCGGCGAGAAGATCAGTCCTATTGAGCTGGATAATGTGGTGGGTGCCATGCCTGGCATTGGTGAAGCCGTCAGCTTCGGCATGCCTTCAGACCTATTTGGCCAAGAGGTAGGCGTGGCGGTGGTGCCCAAAGGGACCACGCGTGTCGAAGCCCAGGACATCGTGCAATATGTGGAGTCAAAGCTGGCGAGTCACAAGAAGCCAAGTCGGGTGAGTACAGTCGTATACACGTTACAAAGTCCATTTATTGACCGTGTGCCAGGTATGGATTCTAAAGGAGATCCCTAAGACCGCGACGGGTAAGGTCCAGCGAAGAAAGGTTGCGGAAGCGTTGCTAGCAAGAGATACTCAAGCGAAACTGTAGAGCGTCGTGTCCTCGTATGGGCGCTGTACATTCTTGATAGAGTGATACCCCAGACTTATAGATGTGCCTATATGCTGCTCCGATGAGGAGGAGCACCCAAACGATGTGGTCTTGAATATTCCTTCCCAGCGACACATGTTCGTTGCAGACAACATGCACACTCAACACAGACAACCCCAGCATGCAGAAGACCATATCACCATCAATCGCGCCCCGTCCGTCCGCTTGTCAGCATTGACGCCAAGTCCCGCACACCCAACCGCGGCTCATCCTTCATCCTTCATCCTCCCACCACGACAACCCCCTACAGGCACGTCAAGGCCATCAGTCAACAGAAAGACAAACCTTACTAACCAAGGCGTGCACCCCATCTCCAGCCTCAGCTTCTCAACCCCGCGCACCGAGCCAGCGCCGAAACCTGGGGTACGGTTCTTTTGTCCACTGCATGCCTTAGGAAGATACCGGAGCGCGCCTTGCATGCTATTCTATCCTCGTCCCTATCAGTCCAGTCCAGTCCTTTCTCTTTCCCCTTCTCTTGCATTCCCTCCCCGCCGTTCTCTCCCGTTCCCGTTCCTCTTCCCTACCCATCCCGACCCGACCACCTCAGATCTCCTCAGATCTCGTACAGTCCCCTCATCCTCATCTACCCGAAATTGTCTCCTGGACGCGCCGCCGCCACTGCCGCTACTACCACTACTGCAGCCGGCCAGCAAATTATCGGCGCAGCCCCCACCCATCAGAGACTTCCCGAGGGAGATGAGTGATGGGTGAGAGCCCACGAGTCAGCGGTCTTCCGGTCTCGTGATACACCGGGGTTTTGGGCCCAGTGGAGGAGTCTGTCTGTCAGTCTGTCTGTTAGTCTGTCAAGTAGATCAACGGGCAGGCTGGCTGGCTGACAGGTCAGGTATCATTGCTTCCCCCCTGATCTGATCTGATCTGATCTGGGGTGGGCAGAGCTCTATTCCTTGTTCCTCATTCTCCGGATAGGCCGTTCTCGTGTGAACGATTAGCCACGCGGCCTTGCTGACTTGCTGACTTGCTGAATGGCTTGCTTGCTTGCTAGCTAGCTAGCTAACGAGTTAACACTGATGCTGGCAGCTAGTTGTCTTCCGCATGGGTAGCGTAAGCCAAGCCAGAAATATGACATGGCATTCATGACATTCATGGCATTCACTGCAAGGCACCGTGGGACTAGGGGCAGGACCAAGACCAGGCCAGCTCAGGTGAGTCGAGGTGAGGTACGTCGACAGCCTTGAGACCAATGAGGTGAACGTCAAGAAAAGCCCCATGAGCTCGAGCAGGCACACAAGGACCTAGACCTAGAACACCTGGCATCGAAAGCTGTGTGAGGGACGGAAAAAAGTGACAGACACCAAGCCATACAACTACACCCATCAATCACACGCACGCGCGCAGACAGGGGAGAAACACGATTTTGCAGTCTGGAATAGGTTCATTCATCACATCATTCCATTGAGCTTTCTTAGCCTTTTGGCGCGCGTCCAAGATCTGCGCCGGTATCAACGTGCTTTTGGTTCTGCCGTAAATCGTCTCTCCTGACCGCTGCAAGCCAAGCAGCCTGTGCTGGCAGCAAGCGGCCAGGAAGAGTCCGTGAAATAGTAAACATGAAAAGAACAACCAAGGATATGTACCTTGCTTGCGCTGTGTTGCTCCAAATATGCCACCAATGACTCGATTGCCATACCATCCTCTCGTCATCTGGCCCTCGTATCATCGTAAGCTCAGGCAAATGTCTTGGGGTGATCGCCCAGGTGTCTGCCGAAATTACTACAGCTCCTCGCTCCTGTGAAGACTCCCAGAAAAAGCCCACCTGTGGGCGTGACAAAACTCCACTCATGTCTGCCAAAATCAAACCGCTGTCGCGATCGTGATAATGATATCGTACAGAAAACGACACTGCAATCAAGCAATCGTCTTCTCTCAATCACTGCTCGAGTACCTCTCAGTCTCACCTCAGCTCACTTGCATCGACAGGTGAACGTTGCGATGCTTCTTGGCTCCCCTGCTCCCGCAGATTTTGCATAATCTCATTTGCCTGTTGCATCTCACGCGACTCTCGACGCAATGCCGCAGTGTCCTCAGCGTGCCGCAAGGGATGGAGGCTCCGTGGTTGCGACAGAGAACGCTGCTCGCCACGCGATTCTGGTCGCGCATCATCGTCCCAACCCATGAAAGCCCACCACTCGTCAGGAACATCTTCGCGATTGCCGAAGCGCTCCATTATATGCTGTATCATCTGAATCTGACGAGAGCCTTCTCGCGCTTCGCGGGCTCGTCGGACACGCGCCTCGTGCATCCGTAAACCTTGTTCACCCGTCATGATGGGACCATCGGGTTCTCCGTTTCGCCTTTGATGGCGATCGCGCGACCGATGCTGTTCACGGATCTCCCGTGCGATCTCTTCAGTAATGCCAGTAGGCAAATCCAGGTCGCAACTGTCGTCGGCACCAATCTCACCGAAAGAAGTCGCCATGGTGGTCTGTGAGTTGCGGGAGTTCAGGCCAGAGTCGCCGTTAGATGCAAATGAGGTAGTGGTGGTTGATCGGCCCGCCTCCATAGTTGTAAGAAGGTTGATCCATGTTTCCGCATCTGCATTGTCATCTAGACTGGGGCTGCGATGTCGATCACCAAGTCCATCGATGGATCTGTGGGGCGGGGGATCGGGACGGCGCGAGACGCGACCGAGAGGAGGTAGCGAGGATTCCCAGCTCTCGGGTGGCGGAGTTTCAAGCGTGCGTGCAAGGTCATCATGGTAATGAGCAGGGGGGAATTGGCGGGTGAGATTATCGGGCTCGTCATCGAAAGGGAGGGGTCCGTCGGGGATGTTGCGACCACTGCCAGAAGACGAGGGCGGGCTAAGTAGTCGCAGACGGCGAGGCGAGACTGAGCCTGATCGAGTGGCGCCAACCTCGAATCTCAGGCTGGACTGGCGATCGGGTCTGGGAAGATGGAAGCGCCGCGCAGGTGTGCCGCCGTTCGAATCATTTTCATCGCCGTCGCGAATGGTTGCCCTTGCCTGTTGTATGAGATCTTCCGAGTCACGTAGGCCGTTGCTATAATCACGAGTGCGGGGTCTTCGATTCCGTAGTCGCGCTATCTCAGCTTCCATCTGAGCGATCTGAAGTTCTGTAGTTTGGTCTTCATCGATGCGGTGGTGATAGCGCTCGCGTATTCGCTCACGCGCTGCATATGCACTATATCGCGTAGGTCGTACGGTAGGCTGGCGGCGGATCGTTGACCGCTGGGTGGCAGCAGCGCGGTCTAGTTTGGCAGCAGCATCCTGAGCGATGGCCTCGTCAGGCTCCTGGAACATCCTGTGGGGTTGGTTGTCAGTATTGTGGCTCGTAATCGGAAAAACTGGAGCGCCGGTCACGCTTACGCGCGCGGGCGGCAAAGCGCGCAAAGACTTACGGAAGGCCCATAGCTGCAGAAAGATCCTTGCCCAAAGACTCGAGGAGGGGAGAGGGGGAGTGGAGAGTGGAGAGGAGTAAAGAGTGACGGCGACAATGCGCACCGAGTATTGTACAATGGGGAGAGGAGATGGGAATTGTTGATGGTTGTGATGGTGGAGTGAGGCGGAGGAGCGAGGCACAGCAGAGGGAGGCTCGGGAGGAGCAAAGGGGCCAGGTTGCAGGGACCAATCACCAGTCACCAATCGGCAGGCAGGAAGAGAAGGAGTGGTGGAGGGTCCCCAGCCTCCATGCTGTGCATCTGCAATCACGTGACTGGCGTACATCGGCAAGCACGTGATCCGCGCGAGAAAGGTTTTCAACCCTGCACACCCTCCCTCCTCGCAACCACTCATCCCGATTGGTGTATTGTTGAGTGGTTCTTACTGACGAATAATGCCGCTTATCTTTGGCATGCTCCATTGCTATCAGGACCCAGCTGGGTTCCTGAACACTTTCATGAAACGGTTGAGCAATACCATTGACAGCGCATGATGAAAAAAGGTAGGGGAGGCCGCCCCGTGGCCACATACATACTCTCGCCTTTTCCGCCGCTGTTTCCCACCGTTCTACTGACTTTATACTGAAGCGTATTACGATGGCACTCTGAGGCATATCCGGCTGACTAACAATCGTGACGATGCCATCTTTTTCTTTTGACAGTTTCGCCTCCATGGGCGCTGCGAACACTGCGCCTTCGTCACCTACTATGTCGCGATCAAATAGCACGTCTTCAGTACTCTCCCAGTCTTCGCACAAGTCTGAGCCTGCATGGTATAGTAGCTACAACGGAGTGGATACTACGAAGTCGCGCAAATCGTCCACTGTCTCGACCAAGACAACGCCCGCGAGCAGAGGCGATGGCAACAGCGGCTTGAAGTCGTTCTTTTCTGCAGAAGGGCGGGCAGAGCGCAAGGAGCAGAAGAGGAAGGAACAAGAGAAGCTAGAGAAGACAGTCTTGACCTCCAGGCATGCGGCCACGGTCAGAACGAGGATGCTGCTGGAACAACACAACCTCAGAGGTGGCCCAAAGGTTGCCAACGTCACTGGCACGACCAAGAGTGTACATCTTACAGCAGCTGCGCAGCAGACAAGGTTACCGCACTCGGGCCCCCCTGCTCTCCATGTAGCCGTCAAAGCCGACAACCGCGACATGCCTGCGCTCTCTCGAATCATGTCTGGAGATGAAAGGGACGAGGAAGACGAGCGGTTGGAGAGGGACAGGGAAGAATGGCTCAGAAAGAAGGCGGATGTCACAATGCGTAAGGTGACTGAAAGAGACGGTGACAGCGACGAGGACGAACCTCCGACGACCGACGGCCAGTTGCTCGAAGTCGATGGCACGCGATTGATCGGTGTAAGGATGGAAGGACAAGCCTATACCCCGAAGCCCGTGAAACTGCGGCACGGCGTAGGCGCTGGTTGGTCCAAGGACAGTGCCGGTGTTTGGAGGCGATGACTGGCCTGGCTACCCCCATATGAGGAGGACTTCCGCACCCAATATCGACCGCAATTGAAGAGGGCCTTGACCGCGTTCAGCAAGGCGTTGACTTATCAATCGTTCAGTTATGCCGTACTTGATCAGCGAAGTAGCAATCTTAACAACATCAATTCAACTATACATCCATTCCTTCAAAACCCTAGCCTTCAAATCGCTCTCGCCCCCTCCTTCAGATACTTCCCAAACGACCCATCCAACATCTCGACCATCTGCCCCATCTGCCTCTGCCTCTCCGCCTCAAACCCATCCAACATACCTTGCCCATGCCCCACCGCAAACTCCTCCTTCCCCTGCTCCAACCCTTCCACCATGGCATCCACATACTCCCCCAGCGGCATGCCGATGCTGCCCCCATCCACCAGGTCCGGCTGGTGCTTCTCGTCGTGGATCTCCGTCTGCACCGCCGGCGGGAAGACTTCGATGATTTTGACCAATTGTGGGGATTTGCCGGACCGGCGGAGCTGCAAGCGCAGGTTGAGGATGAAGGTGTGCAGCGCGGCTTTGGAGGCGTTGTAGTTGGGCGTGCGGAGCAGGCCTGGCACGAGCGCGAGTGTGGCCGAGATGTAGATTAGGGATGTTGGCTGCTGCTGGGCGGGGCGGGATAGGAAGTGTCGTAGGAAGGCGGCGGTGAGGTGCACGTGTGAGGTGTAGTTGGTGGTGGTCTCGGCGTCGAGGGCGGTGAGGTCGAGGGTAGAGGGGTTGCTGAAGTCGAAGGCGCGTTGGATGCCGCTGTTGAGGACGAGGCAGTCGATGTCGGGGTGCTGGGCGGTGGTCTTGTCGGCGAAGGAGGGGATGGAGGACAAGTTGGTGATGTCGAAGGGGATGGCTGTGGCGTTAGCCGCGCCGAGTCTGTTGACGAGGTCATTGAGAAGGTTTTCGCGTCGGCCTACGAGAAGAACGTGTGTGCCCTGGGACACGAGCTTGGTGGCCAGGCCGTGGCCAATGCCGGAGGTGGCGCCGATGATGAGAGCCTTGTGGTACATGGTCTGGAAGTGTCCTTGACGATGTAATCGTAGAAATTCCTCCAAGTGGGTATTTGGCGGCGGTGTTTGAAGGAGAGCTGTGTGCTGGGTGTGGTGATGTTAGAGGTTCACTTGCGCATTTATATCTGCGATGTTCGATCGGCAGGATGATTGATGTCAGACGAAGTGACCGAGTAAGATCAGAAGCTTGAGGCGTAATCTGGTTTCCGTTTGTCTCCTGGCGTGATGTATGATGTGCCGTGCGAAATCCTTCCAGCTCCTGCGATCGTAGCAGGAGATTGACACTCATTCACTGCCTGATGCCAAGTACGGTAGCTGATTGGTGGAGTTAGGACTTAGGTGGGTGTCCCTCGACTGTATCTCCTCTTCCTCCGCTGACGTCCTCTTCGCTCCTCTCGTGCTACCGACTTTTGCTAAAGTCCTAAAACCTTGCTCTCATGCAGGTCTGAAAGATGTCTCAACCCCTAGGCTTGGGTGTGGCAATGAAGCGCGAGTTTGTTGCACGCTGACGAGTCGTCGACATGCCCCGCGGCGGGGTTCAAATATGTGATACTCAGGAGACTCACCTAACAAACCTATAATTCCATCTGCAGTCGGACATCAACCACTTTCCAAGGGGTAGCAGATTTAGACGGGGGGAATGCTCGTCCTCAGCCTTATACAATTGTGTTGTGCTCAAAAATATTACACACTCGCCCCCTTGTCATATTACGCAGGGAATCGTCAAGTCTCATTTCATTCAAGGGCGCTTCTTTTCTATAATATCGGTAGCTTTGTAAGATGCCTCCAACTGGCGAGTGCATCGGGGTCAAGCCAAGCCATGAGGCGGGCTGCTTTGTGTACACCCACTACAGCGCCCAGGTCTGATAGTGGATCAAATACCGATGCTAGCGTCTGATTTTACACAGCTTACTAAGTCGGGTGTATAAGCCAGCAACAGCCGTCCGAGTCCTCAAATTGTCCAATATATAACAGTTTCACATCATTACGATTATATACGAGAAGACACTGTGGCAGTTTACACAAGATGGCTTCTAGCAACAACGATACCGAGGTATGCAGACAAACAGTGCTATACCAACTGCTGACCATCGTAGGGCCACCTCAAGCTTGACGGCAACTTATTCAAGAATGGCACATTAAACAGGCCGGAATCTCAGTTCCGCAACTGGGTTTCCAACAAGTCTGATGCTGAATTTCCTGCCGAGGCAAACCGGTACCATCTCTACATCAGCTATGCTTGTCCATGGGCACACCGCACGCTCATCGTACGCAAATTGAAAGGCTTGGAGGAGATCATCCCGTTCACCTCTGTGCACTGGGACCTGAAAGAACGTGGCTGGCCATTCGCGAAAGCAGAAACGGAGGATGCCAGTCTCAACGTCGTCCCTGACCCCTACCACAAGGACGCCAGACACATTCGCGATGTATATCTCGAGCAGGCCCCCAACTACCCTGGCAGATTCACCGTGCCGGTCCTGTTCGACAAGAAGCAGAGGAAGATCGTAAGCAACGAGAGCAGCGAGATCATCCGCATGTTCTACAAGTCCTTCGACCACCTCCTGGCCCCGCAGTATCAGAAGATCGACCTCCTCCCATCCACCCTCGAAGCCGAAATCGACGCCACCAACGACTGGACCTACAACGACATCAACAACGGCGTCTACAAGACCGGCATGGCCATCACCCAAGAAGCGTACGAAACCGCCGTCACACATCTCTTCTCATCCCTCGACCGCGTCGAAGCCCACCTGTCCTCCGCCTCCCACACCGGTCCCTTCTACCACGGCGCGCACATTACCGAGGCCGACGTCCGCCTGTACCCCACTATCATCCGCTTCGACGCCGTGTACGTGCAGCACTTCAAGTGCAACATCCGCGACATCCGCTCCGGCTACCCAGCCATCCACCGCTGGTTGCGCAACGTCTACTGGGACGTATCGGCTTTCCGCGACACGACGAATTTCGAGCATATCAAGCGGCACTACACCATGAGCCATCGCATGATCAACCCGCACGGCATCACGCCGGTGGGGCCGCTGCCGCACATTCTGGGGAAGGAGAACGAGGTGCCTGCCGCCGCCGCCGCCGCTGGATCGCGGTTGTGAGACGCCTGCAAGGATTCTGTCGTAAGCATGCATGCAGCCAGAGTCTTAACGCTTTTCAATACTCTTCTGAGACTATTGTATATTCTCGTGAAAAACGCCCTAGCTATGCTATGCCAATGAAAAAAAAAATCGAACCAGCTTCTTCTACACATGTGCACACATCGTGCGGCTGGCCTCACGCCTTCAGCTTCCCCAACACGCCCTCCCAAGGCCGCAGCGTCACACTCCCCCCTTTCGTCGCCTTCTCCGGCCTTCCCTTCGTATACGTGCCGGCGGCCCAAAACTCCAGTTCTCCCGGCACGCCATGGTAGCTCTGCTCCTGCCCGGAGAAATTCAGCACCACGACCCATTTCTCCCCGCCCGTGCTGTTGTGGCTCGTGCGCACGTACGCAAACACGTTCTCGTCCTGTGGACTCAGTTCCTCGTAGTCGCCGTAGACGAAGACGTCTTTGTGTTCTTTCCGATCTGCGAGGCCGCGCTGCCAGAACTGCCAGACAGACAATTCCTCGTCGTCGTCAGCGGCGTTACCGCTGCGGTGCTGCATCTGCGCCGCGGCGTTCACCGTGGGCCAGTCGTCCATGAGGCGCATCCACGGCTTGACGCCCTCGGCGGCGAAACCGGCGTTGGGCGTGCTGTCCCACTGCATCGGGGTGCGGGCGTGGTCGCGGGCCTTCATCTGGATGATTTTGCGGCCCTCGGCGAGCTTTTCGGGGTTGTGGGCGTAGATGGCTTCGCATTTCTTCCAGTAGTTGACCGTCTCGATGTCCTTGTACTCGGCGGTGTCCCAGTCCAGAGGCGCGTTGCGGATGCCGATCTCCTCGCCCTGGTAGACGAAGAGGGTGCCGCCGAGGGTGGTCTGCATCAGGGCCAGCAGTTTGGCGCCCTTGTCGCGCCAGGTGTCGCTGTCGTCGGTGTAGCGGCTGACGGAGCGCGGGTTGTCGTGGTTCTCGATGAAGACGCTGTTCCAGCCGTCGCGCTCGATCATGGCGCGCTGCCACCGGCTGATGATGCCCTTCATCTCCTTGACGTCCCAGGGTTTCAGCGCCATGCGCACGTTCGGCTTGTCGATGTCCACCAGGTCGAAGATGAAGATCATGCGCAGCTCCCCCGCGTGGGCGCCCACGGTGCGGAGGATCTCGGCGGGGTCGCTGACGCCCGGCATCTCGCCGACGGTGATGGTGTCGTGTTTGCTGAGGACCTCGCGGTGCATCTCCTGCAGGTAGTCGTGCAGTTTGGGCCCGTTGGTGAAGAACTGGGTGCCCGGCTGGTATTTGTGCGAGGCCGGGTCTAGCACGACGGGGGCGTCCGGGTACGAGGTCACCTTGCTGATCATGTTGATGACGTCCATGCGGAAGCCGGCGGCGCCGCGGTCGAGCCAGAAGTGCATCACGTCCCAGACGGCGGCCCGCACCTCCGGGTTCTCCCAGTTGAGATCCGGTTGCTCGGGTGTGAAGACGCTGAGGTAGTATTCTTTGGTGGTCTCGTCGTAGGTCCAGGCCGAGTTGGCCTCGCCGAGGATCTGAGCCCAGTTGTTGGGTGGCTCGGGCTCGCCCGTGGGCGAGACGGACTTGGGCGGCTTCCAGATGTACCAGTCACGTTTGGGGTCGGTCTTGCTGGAGCGCGACTCGAGGAACCAGGCGTGCATGTTGGAGGTGTGGTTGACGACCAGGTCCATCATGACCTTCATGTCGCGCTTGGCGGCCTCGGCGATCAGCTCGTCGACATCCGCGAGGGTGCCGTAGGCGGGGTCGATATCTTTGTAGTCGGCAATGTCGTAGCCCATGTCTGCTTGGGGTGACTTGAAGATGGGCGAACTCCAGACTACGTCGACGCCAAGGGACTTGAGGTAGTCGAGGCGGGAGGTGATGCCCTTGACGTCGCCCCAACCATCGCCATTGGTGTCTTGGAAACTGGCAGGATAGATTTGGTACTGCAGTTCGGTCAGCGTTGGTGCGTTGATACTGTGGCATGTTTGGGGCAGTCTCACCACCACCGCCTCCTTCCACCACTGGGGGTCTGAGAATGAGCTCTTGGCAGCCATTTCGCGATGCTCGGGATGGATCTCGGAGGCTCGAAAGGGTCGGCTCGAATTGGATGGGTTTGCTATATAGCCTGAGGTCCTGCCAATGTATGTCTTGGCCTGCTGTTGGAGGAGACTGCAATAATGCCAACTCTTAGATACTCCGACCAATACGCCGAAATACAAAGACGTCACCAAAATGCCTGGCAGGCTGCGTTGCCATTTTGGGAAACCCGCACGCCTGCGCCAAAACCACCGAACAAATCGTCTTGGAACCTCCCGTCCAAGTACCATGACACTCGACGACAGCAGCCACTTTCTTTAACGCAGCCTGAACAAGGCTGAAGCCCCTTTGTACCACAATGACCAGCCCTGGGAGGAGTCGGCGAGCCGCAGGGATACCAAGACCTGACATCCTTTGCTACCCGCCCTGCGGAATTGATGCCGGCCCAACGACGCCATGCCATGTACTACCAGTATCCGACCCCATCCTCATACATTGACATTTTCGACACTGCCATCGACATCGACAGTGACAGTGACAGTGACAGTGACAGTGACACAGACACACACGCATCTCTTCAACATGGCTCCCAAATCCTGGCTCTCCATCCCGGCGTCAAGCCCCTTTTCGCTCGCCAATATCCCATTCGGCATCATCTCAACCGCCGCCAACAAGACCCACAGACCAGCCGTTGCCATTGGTGATCACTGCCTGGATCTCAACGAGTTCGCCGCGGGCGGCGGCTTCAAAGATGTCCAGGTCGACACCTCTGTCTTTTCATCGCCGACGTTGAACGCTTTTGCAGCTCTGGGTCGGCCCGTCCACCGCTCCGTCCGCACCTTTCTCCAGGATGTCTTTGCCGAGCACACAAAGTACCCTCAGGTTCTCATGAACAACGAGTCGCTACGAAAATCGGCCATTCTGCGGAGAGACCAGGTCCAGATGCACTTGCCCATGCAGATCGGAGACTACACTGACTTCTACGCCGGCAAGAATCACGCCTTCAATGTCGGCTGCTTGTTCAGGGGTCCGGACAATGCTTTGCAACCCAACTACACACATCTGCCAGTAGGCTACCATGGTCGAGCATCCTCAGTCGTGGTATCAGGTACGCCCATCAAGAGGCCGAATGGCCAGATCCTCGAGAACCCGGCAGCGGATCCCAAAGTGCCCATCTTCAGCCCCTGCCGCCGTCTAGACATTGAGCTTGAGCTTGGCGCCTTTCTATGCAAGGACAACGAGATGGGAAGTCCAGTACCAATCGCCGAGGCTGCAAACAACATCTTTGGGCTGGTGCTGATGAATGACTGGTCCGCCCGCGACATTCAGGCGTGGGAATATGTCCCTCTCGGACCCTTCAACTCGAAGAACTTTGGCACCACCATTAGCCCCTGGGTGGTCTTGATGGATGCCCTAGAACCCTTTAGGACAAAAGGCATACACAACGATACCAAGCTCTTGCCATATTTGACCGAAAAGGAAGAGAAGAATGTCTACGACATTAGATTGACCGTTGATCTTGCGGGTAAGTGTCTTTCCTTCCGTATTGAACAAAGCTGACTCTCTGAAGTTGAGGGCCAACAGCCGTCCACTATCCTCAGATCCAACGGAAAGCACCTGCTCTTCTCATTTCCGCAGATGCTGGCTCATCACTCCATAGGTGGATGCCCCATGCGAGTCGGTGATCTGTTCGGCTCTGGCACCATAAGTGGGACCGAGCAAGGTACCGAGGGCGCCATGCTCGAGTACACCAAGGGCGGCAAAGAATCCCTCAAATTGACCGGGGGCGAGGAGCGGAAATTTCTCCAAGATGGAGATACCGTGGCATTGTATGGAGTCTGCGGTGATGAGGAGAGCGGTCTGGTCGGTTTTGGCGAGTGCGTGGGTCAGATCTTGCCGGCACCCAAGCTATAAGCAGCAAAGGTATTTCGCGATTCGCAGCAATACAACCACCAGTTCCGACTGCCAATCATCCTCCACCTGTCTGAACGGCCTGTTTCCTCGGGGGAGGGTGAGATATTGGCGGAGCTGGCTCCGCGGCAGTGTTCCGCCCTCCGCATATGCGGCCCCCTCCTTTAATGCAACCCGACGTCAACGCTCAGCCTATATCATCTATAGCCGGCAGGCTTGCAAATGAGAGTTGTTTGAGTGGTTCTATCATTTCAGGCCGGTTTTCTTTTCTCCACACGCGCTGATATTCTGCGCGGCATAAGCTGACCAGTGTCAGCAGAGTCGAGTAGTCGCGAGAGCAAGAGTAAGCAGCGCTGTGGTGAACTGTGTATAAACCGCACAGCAAGGGCGACGGCTCCAGAGAAGAGCGGTTACCGACCGACAGCAACGTAAGACGCCGACATGTTGGACGATATACTCGATTTTCGGTCGCCGACCACATTGTCCTTCCTCTTCCTCTCACTGGCATTCTTCCTCGTCAGATACCTTAACCACACCGACACACCCAAGATCAAGAACTTGCCTGAGATCCCCGGCGTTCCACTATTCGGCAATCTGCTCCAGCTCGGCCAGGACCATGCCCGAGTGACGGCCAAATGGGCCAAGCAGTATGGATGGCCTGTATTCCAGACACGCCTGGGGAACCGCCGGATTGTCTTCGCGAACTCGTTCGAGTCGGTCAAGCATCTTTGGATCACCAACCAATCGTCTCTGATCTCGCGACCGATGCTGTACACTTTCCACAGCGTCGTGTCCACCTCTCAGGGTTTCACCATCGGCACCTCGCCGTGGGACGAGTCGTGCAAGCGTCGGAGAAAGGTGGCTGCGACCGCTCTAAATCGACCGGCTGTCCAGAGTTACATGCCGTTCATTGATCTGGAGGCGACTGTGGCGATCAGGGACCTCTACAAAGACAGTCAGGGCGGCACCATCGAGCTGGACCCGCGAAAGTACTTTCACCGCTTCGCGCTCAACACCAGCCTGACTCTCAATTACGGAATCCGTATCGATGGCGGGATTGACCAAGAGCTGTTGCGAGAAGGTTAGTGGCCATTCACTCTGACACAGCCAAGACTGACCTTTTCTAGTCGTGCACGTCGAGCGCGTCGTGTCTAATTTCCGCAGTACCTCGAACAACTGGCAAGACTATATCCCGTTGCTGCGCCTGCCGTTCATCTCCCGCCAGAACAAGTCGGCCGTTGAGTACCGGCAACGGCGGGACAAGTACCTCACCACGTTTTTGGACATGCTCAAGGACCGCATCGCCAAGGGCACCGACAACCCTTGCATTTCGGGCAACATCATCAAGGACCCCGAAGAAAAGCTCAACGACGCGGAACTCAAGTCCATCTGCCTGACCATGGTCTCGGCCGGAATCGACACGGTACCGGGCAACATGATCATGGGCCTGGGCTACTTGGCGTCGGAGCAAGGGCGCGAGATCCAACAGCGCGCGTACGACGAGATCATGAAGGTATACCCGACGGACGGCGAGGCGTGGGAAAAGTGTCTGACGGAGGAAAAAGTGCCGTACGTGACGGCGCTGACCAAGGAGATCCTGCGCTTTTGGACCGTCATCCCCATCTGCCTGCCGCGCACCAGCATCAAGGACATCACGTACCAAGACGCCGTGATCCCTGCAGGCACCACCTTTTACATGAACGCGTGGGCCGCCGACTACGACGACTCGCACTTCAAGGACCCCGCGCGCTTCATGCCGGAGCGCTACCTCGACGATCAGGAGGGCAGTGGGACGCCGCACTACGGCTACGGGGCGGGCAGTCGCATGTGTGTGGGCTCGCACCTCGCCAATCGCGAGATCTACACGGCTTTCCTGCGCATGATTACCGCATTCGAGTTCTTCCCGGCCAAGGACCCCAGGGACCGTCCCGTGCTGGACGCGCTCGAGTGCAATAGTATTCCGACGGCGCTGACGACGGAGCCGAAGCCGTTCAAGGTGGGGTTTCGGATCAGGAATAAGGAGAGCCTGGAGAGGTGGATCAGGGAGAGTGATGAGCGGACGAAGGACTTGTGAGGGGCGGAAGAGATGGGAATTGTCAGTTTGATGATGTGCCTTGTTGTGTTCAGTGACTAGCATTCGGCCCGGAAGCTCTTTCAAAATTTATCGCATGCATGCCTACATTCAGCTTCTCAGGAGGCTATTCACGCCCATGTTGCTTCACCGCCCGGCAGAACCAGGCTGCCTGCGGTTTGTCAAGTCAGTCACATTTTATAGCTTGCTTCTGTAGCACTCAAAGTAGTAGTGACAACATATCCGGAAAGACCAGCAGAATGAAGTCAAGAAGCAAAGATTCCCTTCAAAAGAACGCCTCAAGCTGAAAACCGAATGCCTCATTCACGAGCTAAGGTCGGGGCCTCGAAGAAGCCCGAGCCAAAAACAAAGCACAAGCTCAGTCAACGATCCGTGACACCGACCTGTGCAATCGCGGCGAAAATTCGAGAAACTGACATCGACGTCGTTCACAGCAGCGGCAGCGACCATGGACGGTGGTGGTGGCAACTCGAAGCAGCCGAGAAGCCGCAGCCGAGGCCGATCAGCAGCAGAAGCAGCAGCAGAAGCAGCAGCCCCCGAAGCATCGCCGGCGGCGGCATTCCGCCCACTCCAGGTAAGAGAACGGAAGTCCAGAAGGATCCATCGAAGAAGCTAATCGTCCTCGTCTCTCACTCTAGGGCCAAAGCAGCAAAGCGTCCTCCTGGTCCCCAAGGCCAGTTTTAGTTGGTTCGTTCATCGTTTTTTTCTTCTCGCGTCATCTCGCCTAAACCCGTAAGACGATTGGCTTATGCTGGCCATTCAGCCCCCCGGAGAAAGCCTGAAAGGACGAAGGTGAGGGCGCTGCCCAGTGAGTGCCCTGCCGTGCCGTGCCTTGGAAATGAGGGGTACAGCGTGGCATGCCTACTGTGGTACAGCACAACCTGCAGCAGACAAGCTGACGGGCCGGATTGACTCGTGGGCAAATAATGGACTTGTGAGTGTGTGTGTGTGTGTGTGGATGAACCCACCGGCTGAATTTGGGATTGCTCAAACTTTGCTGAGAAGCGGGTGGTCGGCATCTTATCTCAGCTGGCCCAACTGTCCACTCGTAATTGAATGAGGTGCTCATCATCACCACACCAGCGGGCTTTGTCCACCGGTCTGCTAGCCAGTTCGGCGCCCTGAAGATCGCGAGTTGCGAGGGATCCGCCGCTGTCGGCCTGCCGTGCAGCCGGGTCGTCCTTCTCACCATCCCACGCACCCCAGATCTGGAACTCGGTGCGTGCTTTTTGGCGCTCGTGTGGTTGGGCCCTGGGTAGCCCGTAGGCGTCCTGAAATATCCGCACTACCGCTGCCCGGAATCCGTCCTTCTGCTTCTCTGTTGCACCTCATTCCGCACTCTCCTCTCCAAGGGACCCCTCCGTTAACCGATCATCGTCTACAAACAGCCGCCCCTCATGCCTGGCTTTAAATTATTCAGAGAGGCCCTCGAGCGTCGTCGAGAAAACAAAGAGATCTCGAGTCCTTATAAGACGCCGCTGACAGGTGAGCACCGCCCAACTGGAAACCCCGCTCCCCCGCTTCTGCCATACCTCAAGATCAGCCGCTAAGTGGAACGCTGCAGTCCGCAACATCACCAACTTCTGCGACAAGCAAGACATCGAAGATGCCTGTGACCCCGTTCTCTTCGACCGATCCCTACCAGTACGTCAATGGCTTCGGGGGGTACAAGGAGTAAGTCTGCACGCCTAATTGACCTGTCCTTCATGACTGACGCACCACTGCAGGAGTGAAGCCGTCGAAGGAGCGCTGCCTCTAGCGGCCAATTCACCACAAAAATGCCCTTACGGACTCTATAACGAGAAGCTGTCCGGCACTGCCTTTACTGCGCCTCGCAACGAGAACCAACAGTCCTGGCTGTACCGCATCCTGCCCTCATCGAGCCACCAGAACTTCCAACCCGTGCCGACCTCTTCCTCGCAGTCGCTGACTTCACCCACACCCGAGTTCGGCAAACACTTTAATGCCATTCCCAACCAACTACGCTGGGATCCCTTTGACTTCGACAAGGATTCGTCATGGATCCATTCTCTGCACCTCGTCGCCGGCGCGGGCGACCCGCAGATGAAGCAGGGCATTGGCATTTACATTTACGCCGCCGGCACTTCGATGCCCGACAAGACCGCCTTCTACTCTGCTGATGGAGACTTCTTGATCGTCCCACAGCATGGAGATCTCAACATTCGGACCGAGCTGGGTAGGATGCTCGTCCGCCCGAACGAGATTGCAGTCATCCCGCGTGGCATCCGATACCATATCACTCACACCGAACCTGTCCGTGGGTACATCCTCGAGCTGTACCAGGGCCATTTTCAGCTACCGGAACTCGGCCCCATCGGCTCCAACGGTCTGGCCAACGCGCGTGATTTTCAGACGCCGGTAGCAGACTTCATCGAGGATTTTGAGGATACCGAGTGGACGCTATACGCCAAATTCGGCGGCAACCTTTTTCAAGCCAAGCAGAACCATAGTCCCTTTGACGTCGTCGCCTGGCATGGTACCTACTACCCTTACAAGTACGATCTGGGAAGATTCAATCCCGTAGGCAGCATCTCCTACGACCACCCCGACCCATCGATCTTCACTGTGCTATCCGCGCCCTCACACCCCCACGGTGCCGGCACAGCTGTGGCTGATTTTGTCATCTTCCCACCTCGATGGCTGGTCGCCGAAAACACCTTCCGTCCACCATGGTATCACCGCAACACCATGTCCGAATTCATGGGCCTGATTGGCGGCACCTACGACGCCAAAGGTGCGGGCAAAGGCGGTTTTCAACCCGCTGGTGCCAGCTTGCACAACACCATGAGCGGCCATGGCCCAGACATGCAGACGTTCGAGAAAGCGTCGACGGCGGATCTGCCGCCTCAGAAGGTTGGTGAAGGCAGCATGGCCTTCATGTTCGAGAGCTGCCTCATTCTGGGTGTGACCGAGTGGGGCCTCAAGACGTGCGCAAAGGTACAACAGTCGTATAACGAGCACTCATGGGAGCCGCTCAAGGTGCACTGGAAACGGCCCGAGAGGATGGGCGTGAGTAATGGGGAGAAGAAACGCGGGGTTGGCGATGCGAAAGACCAGAGCAGCGTGCATGACCTCAAGTAGTGGCGGGCATCGTAGGCTCTGTAATATCAACAGCGTTGATTTTGGTCGTCTGCTTTGATCTGAATGCTCTGTACATTGTACCTGAGAGCTGTCCTTGGTACTCTTGCACCCCGCGGCACAACGCGGACACCGCCAACTCCACCCGCTTTTAGGGCCCTCGGACTTGGCTACTCGTCTCACCTAATCGCAAACCAATCACATGCTCCTCCCATGCATCGTGCTCGACCTCCCTCCAGATTGCACGCAATTCACTTTGGACTTTGGCGAACATGGCCTTTGCCGTCGCCATCAGCCTATCATGGTCCAGGTCAGACGCACACTGGCAGAGGCACGCGACTCGACTGGCCTCTGCAAGCTGTGGAATTGCTCCTCGTCCATCCCTCCCAACACACACGTGCTCCTGTTGCAAACACACTATCTCTAACCCACTGCCCCCCGTTGTCTGTCCTGCTCTCACCATGCCGCGCTTCGTCCTCTCGTCTTTTCTTCTGTCCTCATATTCCAGCGCTTGTTGAGCATCTCGCCCCTCAAACCACCACCAGCATGCCCCGTCCAAAACCACCACCGACTCCTTCAGGCTCTACTGACTTGACTGCCAAAGAGCGCAGTGACATGGAAGCAGCCTTTGCGCTGCCCCCGCCAGCCATGAACCAAAAGCCCCTGCCCAAGATGTCCCCGCCTATGTCCCCTCAAGAGAAGCCGCTCGGCTCCAGTCCACAACGCAAGCGCACCCTCTCCGGCTCCCACAAGTCGAAAGAAGACTTGAACGCCATGCAGTACGAGCTGCCTCCCCCGCCCAGCCGTGCCCGCAAGATCATCCAGATGAAGCCCAAGACAGGCTCAATCTCCTCGGCCTCTCCACCAGAGCCTTCGCCGTCGCCCGCGTCTACGCAGACGGCAAAAGCCACCTCAACCACGGGCGCGAAGCGCAAGCAGCCTTCTGCAACCAGTGCGGCCGGACGGAAGATAGCACGGAAGACTGCACACAGCATCATTGAGCGTCGGCGGCGTAGTAAGATGAACGAAGAATTCGGCGTCCTCAAGGACATGATACCGGCATGCGAGGGTGTCGAGATGCACAAGCTGGCCATCCTGCAGGCTGGTATCGAGTATGTCCGCTACTTGGAAGGATGCATCTCGCAGATGAAGAGCGAGAAAGATCAGGGGCGCAACAAGCAGCCACAACACATGAGCGACGACGATGATGACAGCATCGAGGACGAAGAAGATGAAGACGACGATCTCGTAGAAGACATGCAGCCGCCCAAGCGCGCCGCCACCACCTCCAGCACCGACTGGCAATACCGCAAGCCCTCGATCGCCACCACCGACAGCTCCTCAAACCCGTCCCCCAATATCCTCCCACAGGGTCACTATCGCACGCAACAGCAGCAGCAGCAGCAGCAGTCCACCGCCCATCGCCCCCTCCTCCCCAACATCTCCTCCCTCACCAACACCAACACCACCACCAACTCCCCCAACCCGCGCCCCATGTCCGCCACGCCTACCCCCACCATGCTCAGCCCGGCCTTCAACGCCATCCACTTCTCTCCCGACCTCCTCCGCACCGCCACCAATCCCAATTCCTCCTCACACAACAGCAGCATCTCCGCCTCGGTCTCCAACCCAAGTCCCAACATCCTGCCCCTGCCGCAGGCCATGATGACACTGGACCGCAAGAACAACGATAGCCCCATGAGCGAGGGCCGCGCCGAAGCCACGGCGACGGCGGCGTTGATGATGCTGACGAATGATCGGAGACCGGTGGGTGAGGCGCAGGGGCAGTCGCATGGGCAGGGGATGAGCCCGGTGGAGAGGTCGTCCAGGGGAAAGGGCATGAGTGTGAGGGACTTGCTGACTTCGTGAGCTGTGGTGCGGGCTTGATGAGTGAACGGCTGACTGGCTGATTGGTAGGTTGGGTGGCTTGCTGGCTGTAGGTAATGGCTTCAATGGCTGTGAATGGCTGTGGCTGTGGCCGTCTGTCGGGGGGGTTTGATGCGCGACGAAAAAGTTATGTTCAGATCTTATGTGAATGTGGTGTATAGGGGGCGTTGTGTGGATGTTTTTTGAGCGTCACTACCTACCTATTTGTTCCCTGTTTTTTGGGCTGGTTCGGGATCATAGCCTGCACATTTTATGAATAGATATATGGAATATCAGTAACGGTAATGTGGATGATGGTGGTGACTGTGGCTTGCACAAGGTGGCGTCTCAGTGGCAGGCAGCTTTGACAATATGTTATAGGCATAGTATAGGAGAGCCTGATTCAGTTACTTGGTGTTTATATGACCTAAATGCATAGGCTGGCGCGTATCTCCCTAGCTGGTCAACGAGTTGACTCAGAGCAACTCTGTCGCTCATAATTGATGCTCAAAATCCACTCCTAAACCCGGTTTTGGCTAGTACGACACTGCCAAGACTTATGGACGCCTTGTGTGGTGACGACATCCATCCAATCCACTTCGTTTCAAAAAGCTGTTGCCTTGCTGCGCGGGTTTCCCAAGTCCTCTGGGCTTCGAAAGATCTCCGACTTGAGCAGTCGAATCCTGATGCCGGATTCTGACTGTTAGAGCCTCTTTGGGTGAAATTTCGGAGTCGAGCTTCCGCAATGATTGATCCAGGGGCCCTGAGCAGAAATGGTCTATCAAGGCAAGCCGTCTACAGCGTGTCGGACGTGTCGCCAGCGACGCATCAAGGTAACCTACCCCGGCATTCCTTCTAGAACTATGCTCTCTACGAGGTGAACGCTCTAGCTCACCGTCGTTAGTGCGATGAAACGCGCCCCACATGCGGGCAGTGCGCCAAATCACGCCGCCAATGTCTCGGCTACCCCGAGCACACCGACCTGTTCTTCCAGAACCAGACCACCGCCGTCATTCGCAGGGCAAACCGCATCAATGATGCCAACGCAAAGAAGGCGGCCGGCCTCTCTACAACGCCGCCTGCGAGCAAGGCATCCTCCGAACCACCAATCTTTCACACTTACAACTCCAGCGACACCACACCCGCCGGCTCCCCCGGTTACGGCCTCTCGCCCATGAGTGCCGAAATCCTCACGCACACCATCTTCGTCAACCCCACCGAGCCGATCGAGAACCGCGCCCTAACCTTCTTCCTGACCGCCATGATCGTCGAACCCGTCTCCGCCGGCCGCACCGTCGGCCACCTCGACATCCTTCCCCGCCTATACCTGCAATCGCTCTCGACCTCGGCGCTCGCCAAAGTCACCACCGCCGTGTCCGTGGCTGCCTTTGGGGTCGTGGGCTCCGACACCACCCTGGTGCGAAGGCGCGCGTTCCTCGCGTACGGCGAGGCGGTGACGAGCTTGTGGAAAGCTTTGCGAGATGAGACGGAGCGGGGTCGGAATGAGACGTTGCTGGCGTGCGTGCTCATGGTGGTGGTGGAGAGTTTGCTGGCGAATGGCGCCGCCCCGACCGAGCAGTGGAGCAACCATGTCAGGGGCGCGAGCGAGCTGTTGAGGCAGCGAGGGTGGGATGTCGTCCTCAAAGATTCCGTGTTGATGAGGCTGTTCACGGTGGTTCGTGGGTTCATTGGGCACACTGCCAGTGGGGCGTTAGAAGACGAGTTCTTTGATCGAGAGCTGCCTGTCCCGCCAGGCTATATCATGTCTCCGGAGACGAGGTTGGGCAGGCTTACCCTTCGCATCGCCGATTTGCGCGACCGGGGTTTCGCGACGCTGATCCTCCCGGATAACACGCACGGCGCGGTCGACGCGCTCATTGCAGAATGCCACAGCATGGAAGCCGCTCTCCTCGACTGGGAAGCCAGCCTGCCGGGGAACTACCAGTACCGCCTCGTCTCCAAGGGCTCCCTATTGCAGCACTCCCCCCGCAGCTCCAAAGCCAACTCCCCAACCAAGAGCAACGACAACAGCCCCTTCAGCCGCGACCCAACCAACCCGACCATGGAACTCCTCCCCTCCACCCTCCACGCCTACGCGGATTCTCACCTCCAGCGCCTCTGGAACTCATACCGCATCGCCCGCATCTTTGTCAACGTGCTCCTGCACCGCGCCGCCCAGCTTCTCCTCACAGACCCAGACCGCTCAACCACCTCTCACGCCCGGCACTCCCCGCCTCCTGGTCCCGCCCCCGCCCCCGCCCTCCTCGCGTCCACAGCGCGACCCCGCCTCCTCAGCCTCGCAATCGCCATCCTCTCCTCCATCCCCCCTTTCATCCTCGAGCCGTTGCCCTCTGTCCCCCTCCCCCGCAACGGCAACTTCAGCCGCGCCTCGGAGATCGCGCTGGCCTACCACTGCCTGTTCCCCCTGTACATCGCACGGGGGGTCGTGTTGTTGGAGGCTGCCGAGAGGGAGAGGATCAGAGAGGTCATGCGCAGGATTGTCGAGAGTTATGGCGTTCGAGGCGGGGTGGAGTTGATGGAGTTGGGGGATGGAGAGGGAGAGGGAGGAGGAGGAGGAGGAGGAGAGAGGCCACTTTGGGGCGGGCCCTGGGGGAGGGATTGGGTGGAGAGCGTGTGGGAGTGGAATTTCTTGTATGGGTGTGGCGCTCTTTGAGGATCTCGAGGAGTCAGGTATTGGTCTGCCTGTTTCTGGAAAGTTTGTGTTCGAAGATATTGTTGTTTGTAGCACGGGCGGGAGGTCGGGGAGCCAGAGAGGAACGGGCTGCTAAGTAGCCGAGGATGTGATTGGCTCTTCTTGCCTGGGTAGGTGAGAAGCAGCGTCGATTGTTCCCTGCACCAAATCACAGGTGAATATTGAAGGCCTCACAGTCGCGGAACGGGAGGAAACTGGAGGCTCCACAGGAGGTGATGCACCAAACGTTCGATATAGAGATCAAGAATTCGGTCCGTCAAGAAGGCTACCAATGAGTAGCGATGTCGTGTTTACTCGTGCTCAATTGCTTCTATCGGCATAGCCCCTTCGAGCTTGGGCAAAGTTCGCAGCTCGGTCACATCGCGGTGATCGCTTTGCAGGTGATGATTGACATTGTCTAAGCCAACACCATCGGAGAATTGGATGAGTTGCTGAGCAACATCTTATTACCGCCCTCGCCAAAGCCCGTGCTTACAGTACACTCTGGCCTTGATACTTTGGCCGCCCCGTTATTTACTCGGACTCCACCATATCCTTGTACAGATCCAGGATACTCATGGAGGGCAGCCCGCTCGGCGTGAGTATACAGCAAGATATATCCACAAGAAACAGTTACACCACCATAGGCGCTTTCTTTCTCCTACCCGATTTCCACCGACTGAGCCCAGTCTCGTATAGAAGTAATAGTAGGTTGGCAATTTAACCCTTCTGGCTGTACGAAGCGCTGCACTTGCCGGTGGCCTGGCCCTTGTAGGAGATGCGCGCCTTGCCCGCACCCGTGACGGGGCCGAGGCCGGACGTCTGCCAGCAGTGGTGGTAGTCCTTGCTGCTTGCGTCGTCAACCCTGGTGAGAAAAGCGCGTTAGTCAACTACCTTTCTCATTCCGACACTTGATGGTTAGGGGGCCACTACTTACCACAGAGTCGCCTCGCACAGGGCGTTGTCATCGCACTGCTTGTTGCACTCGGCGAGGGTGCCGACGAGCTGGCCCGAGGTCTGCTCCCAGAACTTGGAGCTCGCGCCGGGGGTGGCGGAGACGTCGCAGTGGATGGTGAAGCTGGCGCCGCAGGAGCCGCCTGCGGCGACGGTCTTGCCGTTGTCGGCCGGGCAGGTGGCGGCGTAGACGTTGTTGTTGTCCTTGTTGCCGCCGTCGGTGTTCTTGCTGCCGCCATTGTTGTTGTTGGCGGGAGGGCTGACGCCCTTGACGTCCTTGATGGCCCGGCAGGTCTTGGCGGGCTGGCCCCATCCGGCGGCGGCGAGGCCGGCTAGGGCGGTGACGATGAAGGCGGTCTTCATTGTTGCTGGGGGGATTACGTGGTTGTAAGGAGTGACTGGAGTCGAAGGACTCTGGAGAACCGATTGGCTGTAAAGGAGTGTGGTGAGCGACTGTAAAGCTCTGGTCGTGCTGTCGATATAGAGATCAACTAGAACTCATCCGAGAGCGTGTACCAGGGCCTGAACTTATGTTTTTTCCACGCTCTCTGGACAAGGGCGAAATTGGACCCCCGTAGGTCTAGAACGGGGGAATACGGTTAGCAAGCCTCCATTTCATCTCGAAGCATCCTTTGCTGAATATCTGGGGCAACAGACAAACCATTGGATCGTAGGCGATCAAGTGACACGAGGTGATGGACTACGGTCCACCGGAACCGTTTGTTCCAGCGCCTAATCTTGCCCGTGGGAGCGGGCAAGCGAGGTTAGGTACCCATGGATAGCAGCTGAAGTATGTTTCGCGCCGTGAAGAAGCGAGTGCCAAGCATACTGATGGTCGAAAACATTCCAAGCTCGAATTATCTTCCGGCAACCTACAACAGAGGGCTCAACGCAGTCAATTTGAAGTGCGCCGGCAGACTTGATGGATGCAAGAGCTTATGATTGCGTAGATCAAATCAAGGCAGCGCCGTGCGCGTGTCACCGACTGGAAGTGACTTCCTCAGAGCTTTGTTGATCTGTGAGATTGTGAGTGTGGAGGAGGAGACGTGCGCTGACGGTCCGGCCCAATGATAACTCCACTCCGCTCTCAGCGTGGGCGAGATTTCCCACATTCCGACACGCCAAGCCGAGGCAGCTAAGGCTGCAATGTTTTGGGGAAAATAAGCTTGATTTCACCTCTGGAATGCTGCTTGTCCTGACACGTGGGAAGAAATGTAGCGAAAAGGGGTGGAGATCAATACTGATCATGGAGTTGGAGAAGATTCAATGCCGCCCACCAAATAGAGACAAAGCACGCCGTTGCTTGTATGTAACTCAACGGCAGCCACTGCATTTCGGGCACACTGTGTCGTTAGACACGACACCATTCGTCAAAACATCAGAGGCTGATGCTATGATTGATGGACGACTTTAATGAGCGCTAAGTGCTCTAGAAGTGCGTAATAAAGTAAGACCTGCGTATACGATCTCGACGTGGAGTGGAAGTGGACGGAGCATCACAACACCAACTGAGTCATTTGATGAAGCGACGGGCCCCGAGAACAGCCTCTAACAGTGCTTGCCCCTCACTAGGCAATCCAAATCAACGATGTCGCTGGATGCAGAATCAGTAGTGAGACTTTGGGGACGTTTGGGTCTGAAGTAAAACCGTACTTGTACTGACTGAAGTGGCGATGAGGAGCACCTAGTCGAACGTCATGCCCTAGGGAGAAAGCATACTCCGCAGGCAAACTTCGAGTTTGCAATCCTACTTGGTTCTCATGAATCGAGCACTTGACTCCTGCAGCCGATGGAACAACCTCCTCTTGTCAGGGCTAACACTTGTTGGAAATCCAGCAAAGATCATGGTCGAAGACTTCTACGGTGGACCTTGTGTAGGACCGTCCTATGGGTCGTGACATCGGCCTGCTTCTCCGCCTTATCCGAAGATCTAGTACGCTTCTTGAGGTCTTTCCACACGGCGCTTTGGTGCCGCTTAGTCACTGCGCGTGCCCCATTTTCGAAGCTCAATTGTTCTTCGATACAGCCAATGGAGGTGTAGGCAAGAGCACCAACACGAGTAGGAGCGGGAGCGGAGCGGGAGCGGACGTCGGACACAGGAGATATGACGTTACCCCACTTATCGCGTGCTTTTGTTCATCCGCTATCCGCCTGTTAGCTCCGCACGACGGACACCGTCGCCGGGCTGCACTGCGGTCGTTCACGGTCAAGAAATGAATCTACGTTACGTCCAGACATCAATGCATGAGCGTTACTAAGGGGAATCATTGGGTTGCATTTGTCATCTCTAGGTTAAAGCTGTCAAGGCTTGCGCCGGTGATAGCATAATGGGATCGAATATAAAACAGCCGGGTTCGGCCATGTCAACGTCGACGGTAGCAAGCTTCAGCCATCAACCCGCTGAGCGCCAAACGACAACTACAACCCTTTCCGTCCGTATATTTACAACTCCTGTTCGTTAATAATGGCCGTGGACCCTTTCAACCCTTACGCCGACCTGTATGTCAACCCACAGGGAGTTGGCGACCAGCGACCTACGTCGCTTCGAGTTGTTCAAGACCAAGAACTTGTCAACGCCTTGTTATGAACCGCTCCGAACGTCGGGTCCAAACTGGGTTTAGCAGCTGGGGGAATAGTATCAGGGTCAAGGCTAGGCCAAAGTAAACGTAGGAACTAATAGTAGCAGTTGTACTACTAATGTATAGAGCGAATCAATATACGAAGTTGACTACGAAAGTCCTACCTAGTGTCGGGACGGGTCGTCCCTCTATATAGTGCTGTGTAGCTTGTCTTGCTCTGTGTGCTCTGTTGCTCTGTCCAGAGCAGGGAGAGCACCAGAGCCTGATCACATGACTCCTCAGCGGTTCTCCGTCCCTGAGGTACACTTCTCCGTGGGGTCCGTTCTTCCCCCGGGTAACCTTCCCCTTGGGGCTGAGCGCCCCTACGGCCGCTGGCCTTGGTCGGGTTGCGGTCGTGATCCGTAACACTTTCCCCCTCCTGTCCTTACTTGCGTCCACGCAAGTATTTAAGGTAGGTGTCCCCGCGACTGGTGAGCCCCGAGTTCCTCCTTCTTCCCTGTCATGGCTAACCATGACGTGTTCAGTCCTTAAGTCTTCTCGTCCCAATTCCACCAACCGTCGTCTTAACCTTGCCGCAGCAATTAAGCTCCTCGACTGCCCCGCCATGGTTACTTGCTCCAGCTACACCCGTTCAGGCGATACCTGTTATTTTGCTAAAGAGCGTTCCAGAAAATATTCTTGCTGCCTCCGTAAGAACATTAAGTGTGATGGGTCGTTTTCTCTCGAAGAGTTTCGTTCCGTGGTGGAGGAGAAGAAACAGATTCAAGAGAAATCCCGTCGAAAGCGAAAAGAAGTGGCGCGCCTCTGTCGCGCGCTCGCGGAAGCTGAGTCAGAGGACAACACTCTTCAGGATTCCATTGCTCGCCTAGAGTCTCTTTCTTCTAACATGCTCCGCCGTGAGATGCAGGCGCTAGGAGTTTTGGAAGAACAACCCGCTGGTAGTTCCGGCGCCTTTGCCGACCCTGGCCACCTCTAGGAGGAAGTGCCAGTGAATAACACTATCAATTGGGATGCTATCTTCTCTTCAGCACCTCCACTACCAAGCCTGGTTGACGCTATTTCAGGTTCCGGCGATAATCCCTTAAAGCCTCCTGGGTAAGGTTCTCCTCTGGTTCCCACATGTTTTCGGTATGCTCATATCCTTTCCAGTGAATCAGATAGTGTGGCTTCCCGTTGATAAGTTGGGTTCCTATAATACAATCGATCTCGTAATATGGTTCCTGTGTTTCCTTGTGAATATATATTGGTCCTAAAGTCTTGACGTTTTACGGTGCTTTTTCCAGTAGTGACACGTGGAACACATTGTGTATTCTCATCTCTTTTGGAAGTCTGAGTTAATAATTGACGTTCCCTGTTCTTCTGGTGACCCTAAATAGTCCAAGTTTAGTGTAATCCAGTTTAGAGCTTGGTCGCTGTGTTTTTATGTTTTTCCGTATAAGGTAAACTATCTCCCCCTCCGAGAAGACTGGTCCTCTAGTTCTCTTTTTGTTTGCATATTTTGTTGTTTTATCTTGAATCTCCTGTAAGTCTTCCTTAAGTAGTTGATGCATTGTTTGTAAGTGTGTTACTGATATTTTTGCTTTTTCTGCCACTGGTTTTATACCTAGTTTGTGGTTATGAAGTCTTGGGTGTTTTCTGTAGTTTGTATAATAAGGGGAAATCCCTGTTGCTCCTGCTGAATTGTTGTATGCAAATTGTGCTGTTAGTAATAACTCGACCTACTTTGTTTGTTTATAGTCTAAATAGTACCGTAGATATTGTTTAAGGACTTGGTTTGTTCTTTCCGTTTGTTCATTAGTCTGTGGGTGAAATGCTGTTGACAGCTTGTGTTTTGTTCCTAACTGGTCTGTTAACGATTGCCAAAATTGCGATGTGAAGAGTTTGTCTCTGTCTGATATGATTTCCTTTGGCATTCTGTGCTGTGCGAAGACTGTTTCCATAAAAACATGAGTAAAGTCTGTTGCTGTCGCTGTTTTTAAGAATGGTACGAAGTATGCCCACTTTGTCAGTCTTTTGACTATCACCAGGATGCTATTGTATTCCACTCCTGTGAGGGGATATGTGGATTTTAGCAGATCTGTGATGAAGTCTATCGCGATCGAGGTCCATGTGTCGTCTGGTAGTTCTGGGGATTGTAGTAACCCATAGGGTTTGTGTCAACTGTGTTTGGTTTGTGCGCACAAGTCGCAGTTCTTGATGTAGGTTTCTATATCCTTCCTTAGGCCGGACCAGGTGAAGTCTTGAGTTATGAGTTTAATTGTTTTGTTAACACCTGGGTGCCCTACTGTTTTGATGTTATGCCTATCGTGTATAACCTCCTGGCGTTGTTGTTCATTTAGTTGTATTTCTATGGTTGCCAATGTTTGAGGTTTCCAGTATACTAGGCTGTTCCTATCTTGCCTTAGTATTGAGGTTGGTGCGGGTCTAGTTCCCTCTGTGTAGTTAGGCCTTCTGCTTAAAGTATCGGTACGTCCGTTTTCCGTTCCTCTGATGTGCGTGATTTTAAAGTTGTATGCTGAAAGCGTTTCTGCCCATCTGACTTGCCTCCGGTTGAGTTCCTTTATTGTGGTCTAATATAGAAGATTTTTATAATCAGTGAAGATCTGAACGGGTTGACTGGTCCCTTCTAGGTATACTCTCTATTCTTTTAAAGCTTCTACTATTGCTAATAGTTCCTTATTGTGGATATTATAGTTTAACTCAGGTCTGGTTATCTTTCTGGACCAATAGGCCACTGGCCTGATCTTTCTATCCTCCCCTTTTTAGGTAAGGCATGCGCCGACTGTGTAGTCTGAGGCGTCTGTTTCGAGTATAGCTTCCTTTTCTGGGTTGAAGATGGCGAGTATTAGAGCCTTAGTCATTTTCTCCTTGATAGCCTTGAAGGCTTGCTCACATTCTTCTGTCTAGTTAAAGTGTTGATCTTTCTTTGTGAGGTTTGTTAAGGGGGTTGTTGTGTGAGAATACCCTAAGATGAACTTGCGGTAGTAGTTAGCAAGTCCTATAAATGACTGTACTTCCTTAACATTCTGTGGCCTGGGCCATTCCTTAATAGATTGTATTTTCACAGGATCTGGAGCTAATCCTTTCTCTGAGACGAGGTAGCCGAGGAAAGCTATTTTGTGCTTGTGAAATTCGCATTTGCTAAGTTTCACCGGGAGGTGTTTCTGTTGTAGTTTCTTAAGCACCTTTCAAACTTGCTCTATATGTTTGTTATAAGTTTGAGAGAATATCAAGATATTGTCCAAGTAGGCCAGGATAAAAACGTCTAGGTATTCTTGTAAGGTGTTATTAATTAGCTCTTGGAAAGAGGCGGGTGTGTTGGTTAATCCGAATGGCATGACTTAGTACTTATAGAGTCCCCAACATGTTTTGAACGCTGTCTTCTATTCTTTACCCTCCTTCATTCTAATTCGATAGTAGGTGTCCCTAATGTTGATCGCCGTGAACTACTTGGCACCTAGAAGTCTGTCCTGCAATTTATCTATACGCGGAAGTGGGTACCAGTTCTTTCGGGTGATATTGTTAAGTTTCCTGAAGTCAATACACAGTTGTAGGCTGCCGTCTTTCTTTAGTACAAATAGTACACCATGCGCTATTAGTAACGTGGATTTCTGTATAAACTGTTTCTCCAGGTGAGTATCCAGGTATTCTTTCAAGAAGTCCTCCTGCTTCTTTAAAAGTGGTATTAATCCGGCATAGTACTTCGGATTTTCCACCAACAGAGGTATCTCATAGTCCCATGGTTGGTATTCTAGTAGGGTAGCACTCCCTACTTTTTCTGTAAACACATCCTCAAAATCTTTGTATTCCGGAGGAATCTCTGACGCAGCCATACCTGCCAGAGCTCTTCCCACCGGTCGTACCTATATCGCCTTTGCGAAGGGAACCTTTGAGACTGATCGGGTCTCCGTTTGTCCGTGACTGCAATTCGGAAATTTAAGTGTTCTCTTTTTCCAGTCGATTACTGGATTGTGCTGTGCTAGCCATTCCATTCCTAATATCACGTCGTATTTTATGTCAACAATGTCTAGCGTAATGTTTTCTTTATGTCCTTGAATTTGAAGTTGGATGTCCTGTAGTTCTCTTTTAACCCATCCTTGGTCTTGTTTCATCAAGTTACTGTCGGCTATATCCAATTGGTAGGGTTGTTCTTTGTTGTACCAGTGGGTTTTTAGCCGATATGCTGCCCTCATGCCCACATAGTTGACATTGGCCCCACTGTCAACCATTATTCTCATGTAGTTTCCTTGGATATGTCCAGTTAGGACCAAGTGTTGGTTAGTGTTTCTACCGAGTGTACAAAGCTGAGGCTTTATTAGAGGAGAGGTTTGCCTCAACAGCCTCCCCTTCTCTCGTTTTTTGGTAGGTGGATGTGCCAGTATTCTTAGAACGTGTAATCTTCGTCTCCACAGAGCCCTCCTTCCTGGAGTATCCCTCTTGCCTGGCAGTAGGAGATAGATAGGTGAGGCACCATAGGGTCAATAGTGCAGTGATGTTTGTGTGGCTCTATAAAGTCTCTACAATCTGCATTGGCGCACAAGAACTTCCTGCTCTATATTGTCTTGTCAGGTCTTTTGTCTTTTACCTTGACCTCCTTGCTTAGTTGCTCTAATCCAAGCTATAGCTTTTCAAAATGTTCCTTCCAGGATACGGGCATGTTTATCTCCTTAGACACTCCGTCTTCCCTGTGCTTAATGTGTACATACAGGTTGTCCTTGTTTTCGCCCTGTTCGTCCTTACACATTTTCAAGTGAAATGCCCTAACGTCCCTCTTTGGGCTTGCTTTTGATGTGTATGTGACATACGTGTGCTGGGTATCAATTGAACAATCTCCTGTACACCTTTTCTTTTCCTATTAATTAGTAACAAGCCTGACCAATCCTGGTATAACATGAGTGACTATCCATGGTTTGGCTTCAGAGGCTTGGTCTTTGTTTAGGGCTTCGGGGAGCTCGCTGTTATATGTCTAGTCTTCTCAATCCGATTTGTCACTTGACTCTTCCTCACTTGTTGTTTCTTCATCTTGGAAGTATGGTGATGTGGTTGGTTGTTGTTTAGCCATCATATGTAGGCTTGTTGACCCTTGTTCCTCTAGGGAGTATATTGGTTGTCCTATCACATTGTGTGTGTGAATGGTCGGATATCTGGGACATTCATGGTCAGGGCACACCCTCATTACCATGGGTTGTTGTGTCTCTATCCTTCCTCCTTTTGGAAAGTAAGTAGGGTATTTTTCCCCGTTTTGTCCTATGGTCAATCCCCACTGTTTGGTGGCTATCGTGACATAGAAAGGTCCCATATTAAGGATCACCAAGGGAGAATCCCTCTCGCTAGGTTGTTTTCCTTTGGGCACCTTCCTGCTCATTATGGAAAGATTGTGCGTAGTTTCCTTATCCTCCACATACACATCGTGTGGATCCTGCGCACTTTCTTTAGACTCTTCCCGTTAGAGGTCTCTTATCTAGTCAGCCAGGTCTTGGTATCAATATTTGTTCTTGGTCCCCCTAGGGTACCACCTCAACCCTTCTTTCTCGCTCCTATGTTTAGAGCATTAATTGTACCGACAGGCTGTCTATGATTTTCTGGCGTGGCGGTCATATTTCTCCGCTAGTTGAATGGCTCTCTTCTAGAAACAGCTGAGTCTTTCAGGTATATCCGCTTCTTCTTCTGGCTTGGCCTTCTCCTCTTCTGGAGGTTGTGTGTAAGAGGCCTCTCCCTCTCTCGGGATCTTGACGAAGCTCTTGTCTTTAGAGGATATGTGCGCCCACATAAACTCCTTCTTGTACTATTCCCAGTAGGCCTTGGTTCCTACTAATGGTTGTTTCAATCCCTCCTGTGCTTGTACCTCTTCCGATTCAGAGAGGTTGCCCGCTTTTTTGGTAGTGCTTACACTAGTGTCAGCCTTTTTTCCTGGTGTACTAGCTGTTTATTTGCTTATCATATGCAGTCGTTAGGTCAGGGTCCCACAGTCTTTCACCCGATGTCTGGATTTTCCACAACTGAAGCACAGGTTGTCTTGTCTACGTTTCTCCTGTTTATCTCTACCCAGGATCCTTCTGTTACCGCGGCCTCTAGGTCGTGAGGATTGTCCGGCTCACATTACGGAGAGATCCATTGGGTCCCCTTAATTATAAGCACGATTCTTCCTTCCCCTGTATCCGCTGAATAGAACCTTTCCGGGGTGTCGCTGTTCCATCCTGAGCTTGTAGAGTCGGTTGTCCACCTTAATGGCCTCGTCTACCACTTTGATCAGAGTCGTGGGTAGCGGTACAGCTATTTTGGCTTTAACCTCCATCTTCAATCCCTAGTAGAACATATCCTGTAAAGCTTTATCTTCATCCTAGTCTAGGTGTGAGGCCACTTGCTAGAATATAGAATAGTAGGCAGATGCAGATCCGGTTTACCTGAGCTGATGTATTTCTCTAGCAGCAGTCCTTTCTTTGTTTGCCGTACTGAAGATCACCTTCATTTCTCTTTCAAACTCCTTGAAAGAATCAATAAGCCTCTTGGTCTTTTCTTTAGCCCTGTTCGCGTTCTCATAGTGGTCGCTAAGAAAGGGTTTGAACCAGGTAAAAGCTGCTCCTTTAAGATAGGCTGCGGTATAAATGACCTTCAGTCGGTTGCTAGTGAACTGTCCTTAGTTAAGGTCAAAGGCCATATGGAGTTGGATTAAGTAAGCTCGAAGCTGAGAGCGTTGCCTGGTAAAGGGTTCCACCCTGGCCTTTAGCTTACTATCTCCTTCTGACTGGACCAAAGTACTGAGGCTAGAAGCAGCCTTAGTAGTACCACCTCTCTTTCCCAAGACAGATCTGGATGGGGATGGGGATTGAACACTAGATATAATTAATACTATCTGTTGTAGGGTAGTCAAAGTGTTATAAACCGCTCTGAATGTCAGGTTCAAACTGGGTTTAGCAGCTGGGGGAATAGTATTAGGGTCAAGGCTAGGCTAAAGTAAATGTAGGAACTAATAGTAGCAGTTGTACTACTAATGTATAGAGCGAATCAATATACGAAGTTGACTACCAAAGTCCTACCTAGTATCGGGACAGGTTGTCCCTCTATATAGTGCTGTGTAGCTTGTCTTGCTCTGTGTGCTCTGTTACTCTGTCTAGAGCAGGGAGAGCACCAGAGCCTGATCACGTGACTCCTCAGCGGTTCTCTGTCCCTGAGGTACACTTCTCCGTGGGGTCTGTTCTTCCCCCGGGTAACCTTCCCCTTGGGGCTGAGCGCCCCTGCGGCCGCTGGCCTCGGTCGGGTTGCGGTCGTGATCCGTAACACGCCTACACCGGCAAGGTTGCGATTGTGACCGGGGGCACTAACGGTATTGGCGTTGAGACAGTGCGCGCCCTGCACGCCACCGGCGCCGATGTGTACTTCACCGCTCGCGATACTATCAAAGGAAAGACTACTCGCGATGAGATTCTATCCAAGTCAGAGGGTAAGGGCAAGTTGGACTTTGTGATGATGGATATGGATTCCCTTCAATCGGTACGAGATGCCGTCAAGTCGTTCCTCTCCAAGAGTGACCGATTGAACATTCTTGTTAACAATGCGGGTAAGTGTATTTCCAAACCAAAGTCGCATAGAAGCTGAGTTCCTGCCAGGTATCATGGGTACGCCGTACAGTTTGACCAAGGATGGATTTGAGCGCCAATTCGGCGTGAATCATTTGGCCCATTTCCTCCTCACCGTCCTGCTGCTGCCTGCTTTGGAGAAGAGCGCCACAAAAGAACTCCAGTCTCGCGTCGTTAATGTATCTTCCTCGTCGCATCGACACAATGTTTTTTCGTGGGAGCACTACAACTCCCACCCGATAATCTACAACGGCGAAGCTGCGTACGGTCAAAGCAAGACAGCCAATATCTGGATGGCCAATTACATCGAACGGGTCTACGGCTCTCGTGGCGTTCACGGCTTGTCGCTTGGTCCTGGTGGCATCTGGACTGGTTTGCTTACATACACCCCTAAGAATATCGTTGAAGCTTTCCAACAAAGCCCGAACATTGTGCCCTATATGCAAAGCGCCGAACAGGGCAGCTCTACCACCGTGTGGGCTGCGATTGGCAAGGTGTGGGAGGGTAAAGGAGGAGAGTACCTTGCCGACTGCCGGATTGCTCCACCTGAGACTGGTGATTGGTACACGGCAATGAGCTCAGCTGCGACACCGTGGGTCAAGGGTTGGACCACGGAGGAGGACAGGTTGTGGGTTTTGAGTGAGAAGTTGGTGGGCGAAAGTTCCCCTTGAAAGGCCCCATCAAGGGGTAGAGGACTTCAACTAGTATGCCTTTAGTATTGGTATCCTCTATCTACCCTTATCACCAGGTCGCGTGCCACCAAAGCTTCTATTACTCCATAGCCGCAAACGCATAGAAGGGAACGTGGTTGGGATTCAGTCTACGGCCGAATTATTGCATTTGTGCGAGAGTCTTTTTAACACCAGCAAAGTCGAGCTCCTACAGCGTCTCGTCCCAGAGTCGATCCATGGTTGCCTTTCCTTCCGCCGTGTATATGAGGGCGTCGAAACTAGGGTTTAGTAAGCGGTGACCACCCACAAAGACGTTATGATGAGCAACTCACGGATAGTACTCGTTATTTATTATGAAGTTTCCATGACTTTCTTTGCCTTGGTAACAGTTCCGTCGATATAGAGCCAGGCAGCCTGCCGCGGTGAATGGGCAGCCACACTCTTGAGTACCGCCAGACCCAACTTGACGGCTCGAGAATAATGGCGATTCAGTTCTGAACTGTCCCCAGTGAGTGCAGGGCCTACTGCGTTGATCACCACATCATTGGCTTTGACGAGCGTGGAGAGCTTGACCATAAGCATCAAAACCAGAGTCTTGGAAAGGGAATAGGCATTATTCGTTCCGGCGCCGAGAAAGACCTGGCGGTCGTCGAATGACGGGATCAAAGGTACAATGCTGTGGTTCGGGAACTTCGCTCTCAATCCTAAAGTAGAGGCTACAAGAGCCGCTCACAAGTGACAGATGCTTAAAGCTTTGATGCTTCGTAAAGAATCACTCTTCTCCAGAGAACAGTGGAAGATGGACTGGCACGATTCTGAATAGAAACTCTATGATCTGGGCTTCGAATTAGCAGCCCTTCTTGAACAAACAGAACTCGGTAAATGCGACGTGCGTAGCTGCAACATCTACATCGCTCTTTCGAAGAGCTTGACAGAGAGATCGTGGAGCCAATAGTCATCCTGAACTTTCTGGGCTGCAAGCTGCTACTGAGCTTTGTAGCAGGGTCTCTGGGGTTGCTTTGGGCTACGCAGGCGGCGTCCACGCAGACACGATGCTTGACATGCTACGCCGTGCCACTGACACCCATGGGGCACAGAGAACCATCTTCCCGCTTACGTGTCCAGAATGGCACTTTCGTGGAGACCAGAAGAATTCAGCTCGAGCGGGAGAGCTGAAGAGTGCCATTATCCGAGAAGGGAAAGTTGCGGTCGACGGAAACTATGAGGTGCAATCCACAATCCCTATGGTTGCACGGCCATAGCATCGAGAGACGCGATTCCACGAGAAGGCGCCTTATCTTCACATCACGGCGCTCCAATTCTCTGCCCGTTGGCTTTTCTGGCTGGGTTGCTGGTCCGCATCCTTACATGAGACGCCAACTGCGGACTCTCATTCCAATAAGAGTCTTTGTCATTCCAACAAGAGTCTTTGTCCTTGTGCACCACGGAGATCTTATGCATGTCCTAGCAGGGCCCCTGGGGGTAGCTAGTGGAAAGAAAGGTGGAGGATAGTAGGAGCGCTTAGTATTTCTGACTCACGCGAGTTTCGTAAGATTTAGTAGATTTCATCAGTGTCGAGCCACTGTAAAACTTTAGCAATCTCGACATACACCGCCTCCACCCCCTGCTCGAGATCGATGGTCCCCGCCCTAGCCGCAAGCTCAGTGGTATACCAGCTCGAGAGTCCTTGGTACGGGAAATGCCAACCTTCCGGGAACAAGCTGTCGATATACTCATGAGCTTTCGATAGAGCGGGACTCGAGGATGCCTCCGTGGCCTTGTCGTATGTAGCAGACGGACAGTGTGTCGATGTCCGGTCGTCCGCGGATGGTAGGCCGTGGACTGTGGTCGTGCACTCGCCTTGCGGCTGATAACTCTCCGTGGACACTTCCAAGGCAGCTAAGCGGAGCTCACCTGCCCACCACTGCTTCCAAAGACACTGCTTCAGATATTCGGTGTCGGCGGTGAAGACTAAGAAGCAATCAGGCCGGCCGATGAGCTGCTCAAAGAGCCGCGCCTCGATCATCGAGTTTGGGAAGCCTGGTTAGTCCCTTGTCAGTCTGGTTGAACAAAGAAAGGATAGTCAGATATCACACCATCAATCACAAGGACGAGATCGCCTGTCAGTTCGTGTGGTGTATCCTGGCTGACCTGGGCAAGATCACGTTCGATATCTGATTTCAAGGCCTCGACGACTAGCTCGGCTCGACGCTGGATTGCCTGTGCCGTTGATCTGTGGCCTATGTGAAGTTCAGAGGGAGGATTCCGCAGAATGGGGAGGCGAAAGTCCTTATCCCATGGATTGCGCTGCCTCATCAGTTCGAACTGTTCCTTTCGGTGAGCCTGCGTGGCGGCCGGGCCCGCGAGCACAATGATCTTGTAAGAACGATGAGGTGAACGGTCTGCAAATGGCCCATCGCCTGTCAGGCTATTGGAAGTAAGGCTCTGGACTGTGTCAGTCATGTTCTGGCTAGCTTGAGCGGCTGAGTGCAGTATCGCAAAGTACGCGTGCGCTGTTCATTCGGATCATAGAGATAACTGATGTTTAGACATCATCGAAGTACACTCGCTCGCATGTGGATCTCATTGTGAAGGCCCGCTGGGCGCGGAAGATCGCGCTCAACGCCGTGACAATCCTACGATAGTGTTCGTTCTGATGGGCGTTACCTATATCTTCACCTCCGCTTCTTGCGCCCCATTCCACTGCGATTGCTGCCTGTTCGGCTGGCATCACTGATGACACTGGCGCTGCGTTTGTGCGACTTGAGCGCTAACGAATGACTCGAAGAAGGACGACTTGGCTCGGCCACGCTTCCGCCTTTCTCATCCGCCTCAGCCTCCGCCTCAGCTTCTGATGGCGTTGGCTGCGCAGCTGGAGTTGCTTGATCCTCCTCATCGTTTTCTTCTTCCTCCTCGTCCTCGTTGTCATTCGCCTCGTCCGCTGCGTCGGACTCATTCTCCGCTGCTTCAGCAGCATCTTCATCGCTCTCCACCTCCGCTCCAAGATCGTCATCGGCCTCGGCATCGTCCTCCTCCTCGTCGTCATCTTTGCCGAGAGCATTGAGACCTTCATCTTCCTCGTCATCCTCGGCTTCTTCCTCTTCTTCATCGTCCTTATTGAGGTCAGCGTAGCTCTGATCATTGTCCTCGTCGTCTTCATCTTCAGCAACAGCAGATTTCTCGACTGCGTCATCGTCGTCTTCTTCTCCTTCCGCATCGTCATCGCCATCTGCGTCATCCACCTGCATAGTGCTCTCATCCGCTGCCGTCTCAACTCTCGATTCATCCATGTCGTCTTCACCCGCTGCATCGTCATCCTCATCGGCCTTCTCAGCGCCGGTTGCTTCGTGAGCGGCCGTGGCAGCATGAGCATCAGGCTTTTTGGATTCATCCTGCCCCACACCACCTTCCTCACCTTCTTTTGGCTGACCCAAGCGTATCCGTCTCGCTTCTTCGAGAACTTTGATCTCGTTCGCGACCTTTTCACTTGTCTTTCTCGCGTCGAGTAATAGGTGCACATTTGTGATGAGGCGCTCGAACTCCCTTACTACTCTTTCCGTTGGCATCAGCACTCTATGTCCGAGGCCAAGCTCGGTCAGAGCAGCCTGGATTTTGCTTGTCTGAACTTGACTCTTGGCCATAAGAAGATGATTAATCTTGTCATGTCGGAACTGCACACCACTAGTGATGCGTTCTGTCGGATGCGTAATGCCAAACTTGATCTCCTCGGCAGGGGTGAGAGTTCGGACCTGGGGTTGTGATATTGACGCCTTCTTTGACGGAGCTGGTGAGTCGGTGGTAGAGTCCATTGTTTCGCGACGAGAGTATTGGTTGGGCTGACCGGAACGGCGCTGGTCAACAGAACTGGGATGAGCTGCCTCATTCGGATTCGTTGGTCGCTTCAGCTTTCGTTCCTTGGCTAGCAACGATTGCAGCAACATGGACAGACCCTGGGACGTCTGGTACATGGCGGTTGGCTGCTCCTCGCCCCGCTCTGTGCGTCGAATGGCGGGCGCAGATTCCAGACGTGAATACAGATCTTTACGAAGCGCAATGAAATCCTCCTCGTTCTTAGTGATGCGGTACAGCTCCTCGAGTAGAAGCTTCTCCTCTTCAGCCTCTTCCTTGGTGCGCTCAAAAAGCTTCTCCGCCATTGATTTACGCATAGTTTCGGTTTTGGCATCAAAGTTGCGCATCTTCTCCCAGAGCTGAAACTCCGAGGCAGTCATGTTGTTCGGGGGGGTGCTAACTTCCATCATTTTCGCAGCAATGGTGTAGTAGCGGTGTTTTAGTGCCTCAGTCGTTCTTGTAGCGTGTTGACCCTCTCCTTTTATCTCCTGCGGATCATATCGGTCACCAATGAGGATCCATCGGAGACCGAAGTCACGGCAGAGACTTATCAGGTAGTCTGTCTCTTCCTTGGTCCACTCGTCTGATTTGAGGTGAGCTTCATACTGGTCGTCATTGTAGGTAGCTATTGGTGGCTGCACGTTCCATTTCTCGGTTGGAAATTCAGCCTCGAATTGCGGCCCAGTAGATTCTGTCGGCTCTTTTACTCCGTCAGTCATTTCGACATCGGTCGGCGTGCTAATGGTTTGGGGTCGCGCAGCGCGAGGAATCGATCGCTTCCAGTGTCGTAGAACTAAGCCGTCGGTCCTGCCTCCATTTTCGAACGGGCGCTCTTCCCAGTGCCGTGGCTTGTAGAGTTTCTGGGCTACTGAAGGCTTTGACTTGTACAACTTCTGCTCGACGATTGCGATCGGCGGAACCGAATCACCCATCAACGCCTGTACTTCGCGGGTCACGCCTTGTAATCTGGGTTGTGGCTCAACGCGCTTCTTCTTTTTGGGCGCAGGCTGTCGAGGACCAGCCTGGCCCAGGTTCATGATGTCTCGAATATCACCAGCGGACGCCATGATGGGTGAAGGGCGATGAAGTATTGGTGGGTGCAGTCACAAAGATTCCTCGAATGGTCGCATCGGCCGAACAATACAGGAGATAACAGCTTGCACTTGCCGCACTGAGGACGAATGAGACCGAATTGTTGTCGTGGAATAGCGAAGGGAACGAAAGGCACGCGCAGGATGAAATTCGGAATGTTCACATCTTCAAATGCTCAACTGCGGAGGGCAAAGCTACGGTGGACTAAAGGTGCGCGGCGAGTCACGGATCGTGGCAGTACGGACAGCGCTCTCTCTCATAAGCTGGCCCCCGCCTCCTTCTATTGTATATGTATATGTCTCCAGCCTTTCCAGCAAGCTTTCACAGCGAGTAGCGAAACTCTGGATTCTCAATATCCGTAAGATCTTTGAACTCGTGGTTCTTCTCAATGACATAGTCCGCGCCCCGCTGCGCCTTCGCCGCATCCCTCTTCTGATTTCGATGGACATATACCATACGAATCAAGTACAGGTCCACCGTGCACAGGAAGTATATGATGCAGATTGAGATCTTAGCTGGCAGATACCGAGGCGCGTCTCCTGCTTGGAACGTCTGAGGACTAATAATATTGCCAACCGTGTATGCGATTGTGCCGATCGTTGTGACGGTAATCTTCTTAGTCGATCCTGCGACGTTGCTGGCTTGCAGCCCAAGAATAGTCGTCCATCCGATCGGGATACCGCCCGAGAGGTAGTAGCCAACCAATGCAGGAGCTTTGTCGGTCGTCGCCATCAGAATAGCACCTACGATCGAAGGTATGTGTGTGATGATGCAGCACCACAATCGCTGCTGGGTCTTCATCGCAAGGTACGTGACGCCCACCAGAACGACGATCTCATACGCACCTAGTGGTGTGACAAGAAGCAGAGAGTCGGTGCGAGTGTAGCCCATACCCGTGACTAGAATGTTGCCAAAACTGGTGGCAATGGAATTGGGGATATTCGCCGCGAAGACCCAGAAGGCATATAGCCAGGTGTTGATGTCTCGTAGTGCTTCCCAAAACTGTTCCCATTTGAAGGTCTGAGATCCGATACCTGTTTTACAGTTAGTGCAATTGGCACATAGGCTTGCGACAATGCTCACCTTGCTCGTTTCCCCGCAGTCTTTCGATGTGCTCGGCTTTCTCCTGGGGCGAGAGGAACCACGCAGTTGCCGGTGAGTCTGGTAGCACAAACCAGAACACTGTTCCCACAACCACAGTTAGAAGCCCAAGCACCAGGAAGATGACCTGCCATCCTCGGAGGGCCGCGTGCACGTCTCCACCGACGTGAGTCGCAACACCATACGCGAAACAGCCTCCCAACAGCTGTGCCCACCCACACATGGAGAACCACAAGCCTACGCGGAATGCTTGCTCCTCCCGACGATACCATTGCGAGGTAAAGACAACCCAGGCTGGGACCACCGCTGCTTCGGTCACGCCGAGCAGGAAGCGGAGTGCCAAAAGGCTGCCATAGCTCTTGCCAGCAGCCATACACGCCAACAGTCCGCCCCAGAGCGTGACATTGACGCTAACGTATTTGGCCAAGGGAAACATCTGCAAAAGTCGTATGGTAGGGAACTCCCACGTCAGCTGTCCAAAGAAGAAGATGCTAGCGACCCAGTTGAACTGATTACCGACCAGGTGGGCGCTCTCGCGCATGCCGGTTACACTTGCATAAGAGATGGCGGTCTGAAAATCATGTCTAATAAGTATATGCTCAACGCATTGAATAGGCTGGCACTTACCTTATCGATATACTGCAGGAAGTACACGAGGCAAATGAGCGGCATGATGTGGGTGTCGATCCGACGGACTAGGCGTTTCATGCGCTTCGGATCGTTGGGCTGCTGGAGCGGACCGCTCTCGAGCAGGATATCAAGAGCAGCATCCCCACCTGTGGTTCTGATTTGGGATCTGGCGGCGTTTGGTGATTCGCCCCGCTCTGGTGTCGATGGCGGTGTTGCTTCTACGCTGAGAGCGTCTTTGGTAATCGGATCGTTGGCCATCTTCTGTGGCAGATGCACAGAAAGTATTGCGAGTTATGTCCAAGCCACGAGCAGAGGGACTCAAGCTGTTGATATAGCAGAAGCTTGACAGGGCCAGCCACCGGCGTTTGAGCCGTCCTCAACAAGCTTGTGTCGGCAAAGCCTCCATTATACTACGGTTTCTGAGCACGCAATGATACTTGCAAGGGTGTTTGCCGCGATGCTTGAGGGCCGGCTTCAGTCGCTTATCAGAAGCTTAAGTATCATTGGTAGGACTACAGTGGACACATCTATCGATGCCTGAAATCGGTATGTGCATAGGGCGGAAACAAATTTTCTGTTCACTCGCAACTTGGGACATTAAGCACGCCATAGTTGATAAGGGTCGGTCCACTCCACTTCGAAAAGGTCGGCTTCTTTTGCTTCGACGGCAGACAAGGCCACCGATGCTTCTCAACATCCAGTGTGTCGCGCCTTATTAATGAGCTTGTACTGTATAGCTAAGACTGGATTCTCAGGTACTTTTGCGGTATAAAGAAGCGGTATTGCTAAGCCTCTGCCGTGGCTGCCTTGGCATTGGCTATCTAGACCTCACCTCGCCCTTGAACTCCAACGCCTCTCTTTGTACGAACCATCCTTTCTGTATCCGGCTATGACTTCGTTAGTAGCCTCGGCGGCGCTTATGGTACATCTCAATCAATGCTATTTGGCATGCTGTGGGCTTGCTGGACGCCACCACTAGTCGCGCAGACGGCTGATAGCCTGGTCAGCTCGGAGCTGATACCTTACCTTAGGGAGCTGCATGGGTTTTGCGCCACGATGGTGTCGAATACAATGCCAGCGCATCGCTTTGATCTAGCCGGAGGGCCGGCCACGTGCTCCTTCGACATAGCACGAGCTGCCGCTGATGTGCTAGCCTTCATCATGAGCCTTGCAAAATGGAGCATGTCTACTCTACGACAAGCTTCAGCAGCCGGTAAGTCTTCGATATGCTGCTTACCACACCCATTGGGAGCCAAAACAACCATGCAATTAGTCCAAGCTCTAGCAGCATCCCGGTTCAGAGGCAGAATGCAGGATGGTGAAACTGCCTTGGCACGCTGTCACCATGGTGCCTCCAGCCTCGCCGGGTTTCACTGACAGTGAACACTTACCTATCTGGCTGCGCCTATTCATTCGTTCATTCACACGTTCATTCACACGTTCATTCACACGGGTGACAACCACAACCCTTTTGACTTGCGAAGGATGAGCGTCAAAATCTTGTACTTTTTCCACAACCTTTAGCACACCTTGTTGGCTACATTACCAAGAAGATCACTTCTTTTGGAAGAATAATCAAGGCGCTTTCTTATCTTGGATAGAACAAGCCGAAGAGTTCTTGTGCCATGATGGTGTCCGGCATCATGAGTGCTGGCAGAAAACCCAACTCCACGTCCAGAAGCAAGTCAACCTATGGAGCCGCTGTCGTCCAGCGCAACCCCAGAACTCGTAGCGACGGCCTTCCAACCGCCACCAACACTCCCGCTTTCATCGCTCCGGCCCCGCTGAACTTTAGAGCCACGATGCCCCATGCCAACTTTGACAACCCCTGGTACTTGAGAAGGTAAGGCAGCCCCAAAAGCCGGTCGTCACCTCCCCGTCCGCTGACAAAGCCCAGTCTCCTCGGCAGCACCTCGATCTCGATCCTCTACCAGCGCGACATGGCTGCCGACCCGATCATCCTCTTCGAAGAATTCCCCAAGCTGGTCGCGATCCACTTCTCGAACAAATGGCGGCCCCTCTTCCCCGTCGGCCCGGCCACCACCCCCGCCGACATCAGCGCCCTCCACCCACGCGCCATCACCATCGTAGGCGGACGACCCGAAGCGCACCTGGCAGTCCTGCAGTGGATGCTCACGGCCTGCGACGGCGGCGGCCTCAAGGACTGGCCTTTCTACATCTTCTCTGCCAAGCCCTTCTGCACGTACTACCACCTGCGGCGCGCCGCCCAGGTCATTGGCTGTGTGTTCCTCGAGGACGAATTTCACCTGCGCATGCAGGCCCTGAGCGACAAGCGCATCCACTCTGACGACATCGAGGCTGTGTACAACGAGGTCGCGCGCGGATCGCCCATGGCGACGCACCTGGTCGAGCATGTCGCTAGCTTCTTCGTGGAGAAGGGCATGCATCACACCAACGGCCCCTACTGGCGGCTGAGGCAGCGCAATCGCGCCTTCGATGAGGATGTCACGGTCCGCATCGGCTTTCGCTATGAGCGTGACCCAGAGCTGGCGCGTGCGTGGAATGAGCGTAACAAGCTGGCGAAGGAGGAGGCTTTGGAGGGCGAGGGCGTCATGCTGGTCGAGAAGGCCAAGTTTGAGAAGGCCAAGGTTGAGGAGGTGAAGACAGTCGAAGAGCAGGAGACGGTGGTCAAGGTCAAGGACAAAGAGACGGCTGCGGCAAAGATAGAAGTTGAGGCAAAGCAGGAGCAGGATCCTGAGGCCAAGGCCAAGCCTGCGACTGAGACTGAGACTGAGACTGAGGCTGAAGCTAAGGCTGAGGCCGAGGCCGAGCCCAAAGCGACGAAGGCTAAGGAGACGGTGGAGCTGAAGATCAACCCTGTCATTGGTGTCGATGCGGTCGAGCAGGCCTTGAACGTCGCCGGCAAGATCAAGAACAAGGCCGCTCGCCGTCGCGAGAAGAAGCGTCTGGCCAAGGTTGATGCTTAGTGACACAGGACATGTTGGCCGATTGATTAGGGCGTGATAGAGCAGGGCAGGGCAGCTTGGATCCACTGCACAGCAGATGCAGTGCTGCCATCCGCAGACGAGATAGCAGGCAGATGACACACGCCGTCAGTGTGGTCTTCACCAAACATCTCCCACCTTTTCCCAACAGATTTTTTCGTTGCACGTCGTTCGCTAATCCCACAGCAACACCGCCTTGACCACCTTCCCCTCCTTGACATCACTCACCGCCCTGGCCACCTCCTTGACCGGATACGTCTGCACAAGCTCGTGGTACGGGAACCTTCCCTCCTTATTTCGCTCGAGCAGCCACGGCAGAAACGTCCTGGGCTCGCTATCCCCCTGATTACTGCCCTGGTACGTGAACCCGGCCTGCACGGCCTCAAAGGTGCTGATGGGCACCTGATTCGCCAGCGCGCCGACGCCTACAGCGACGATCTTTCCACGCCGCGCCGTCGCGTGAATAACCTGCTCGACCAGGCTGGGCACGGCGGTGGTGTCGACGCTGGCATCGACGCCGGCGCCGCGCGTGATGTCCATCAGCGTGGCCATGAGGTCGGCGCCGCGCGTGGAGTTGACGCCGTGGGTGGCGCCGTACTTGCGCGCCAGCTCGAGGCGGGCGGGGACGGTGTCGACGGCGATGATGCGGCGGGGCGGTTGTGGGAGGGTGCGGCAGGCCATGATGGCGGAAAGGCCGACGGCGCCGGTGCCGAGGATGCAGACTGAGTCGGAGGAGGTGGGTTGCAGGATGTTGAGCATCGTGCCTGCGCCGGTCATGACGCCGCAGCCTAGTGGGGCGAGAAGGTGGAAGGAGGGAGCGGGAGAGGGGACTACCACTAGGGCGGCGGATGTGACGATGATGTCGCGCGCGAAGGAGGATTGGCCGAAGAAGTGGCCCTTGATAGGTTGCTCGGTCTTGGGGTCTGCAACGGTCTGCGAGCCATCGAGGCGGGAGAAGCCGAAGTTGTATTTGAACCAGAGGTCGCAGTATGAGGGATGGCCGGTGTTGCAGTATTTGCACTCGCCGCATGAGCTGAAGGTTACGATCACGTTATCGTTGATGGCAATGTCGTTGACGGCAGAGCCAACTTTGGTTACGGTGCCGGCGCCTTCATGGCCCAGGATGCAGGGGAAGTTCTCGGGCGTGCCGCGTTCCTTGGAGGCGAAGTTAATATCGGTGTGGCAGATACCGCTGGCTTTGATGCGGACACGGCATTCATTTGATTCGAGGGTATCCAGTAATGAGACTTTGCGGTACTTGAAACGAGCGCCTGGCTCGGAGAGCACGAGGGCATCGGTCAACATGCTGGACTCTTCTTGGTGAAATCGCTTCTGGTGTGATCAAACGGCTGCCACCAAACCTGTAAGCAGTATCGTATCAGAAACTCTGCTGCCTCGTCGTAGCTACTAGTTATTCTGAAGGAGATATTGGGAGGATGATTGCCGCAGAGTCGCATGGGTTCAAACGCCGACTTCGAGCTCGGTCGATTCTCAATGCGAGCATTCAAGTAGAGCAGATCAGGAATGTATAGCTTGACATCGAGACCAGCCTACCTACATTGCGTGAGAGCTTTAGCTAGCGGCAAATGTATACATCATGAGATGTATCGGCTCGATGCGTCCGCCAGGAACTTGGAAGTCAAAAGCCGAGTCGCGGCCTCCACTCTCGGGCGTGACTTGCGGGGTGCTCGCAGTCGTTTATAGGCGCGCCGATCAGCCCGCCGCAACTCGGGATCGGGTTAGGAGCTCCCCCAGATCGTACAACAGGATATCAATGCGGGCCAATCAAGATTGCGACAATATCGATTAATATGGATGCCACTCTCAAGCTGGACGCCTTGCAAGCTCGCACAATGGGCTTCATGCGGCGCCGACCTTGAAGCGGACCTTGAAATCAGCACATGCACTATCATAAGGGCACGCTGCCTATTTAACGCTGGTCCCTCTGGATCTTGCATAGATCATTGTTCGTGGCCACCAAAATGCTTGCTATCCCTATCAGTCTCGCCTTCAGGGCGCTGGCCATTCTCCTTGTGGGCGCTATAGCTCGGTTTGCTTATAATCTGTACTACCATCGAATGCGCTTTCGATCGTTGACCAAGGAGTATGGCTTGGTAGAATCCCAACTTGGAGAGGGTGCTTTCAGGTGCTGACCATCTCTCCAGCCACTCATGCCCCATTCGTTCTTGTTCGGGCACCTTCTCATTGCCGCCAAAGTGGCGATGAAAGCACCTCCTGACTTGGCGAACTCACTGGTCCCATATATGATCTCCCTCGAGCATCCCGAGATAGCCAAGCATGGGTACTTCTACCTGGATATGTGGCCTGTGGCATCGCAGATATTGGCCGTGTCTCACCCCGACATGATGGTACAGTTCTGCCAGGACACGTCGTTTGCCAAACATACGCAAATGCCGTTCGAGTTCGGCCCGCTCACGCACGGCGTGGATCTGGTCACATCTAACGGCCAGCACTGGAAGACGTGGCGAAGTATTTTTAACCCAGCCTTTTCGTCCAAGAACATTCAGGGTTATGTGCCCGCCATGTTGGAAGAGTACAAGGTCTTCCGAGCCAAGCTGGAAGCTTACGCGCTCAATGGGAAGACGATCAAGATGGACCAGTCAACCATGGCCCTGACGGTGGACATCATTGGGCACGCTGTTCTGTGAGCTTTGCAGACCGACAAGCGTGTATCTGGCTGACTCGTCACAGCGGCGCCGACCTGCATGCTCAGACTACGGGCTGCGATATCTTCGATGCACTAAAACGACAGATTGCTCTGCTACTTGTCGATTACTCACCAGAAGGTCTAGGGAAGCTACTGAATCCGATAAGGCAGTTTCATATCTGGAACAACAACCGCATAATGAAGAAAGGCATTCTACCATACATCCTTGAGGGCATCCGCAACGAGGATCGCAAAGAAGGCAGCAAAACCATGCACAGCCTTGCGGTGAGGTCGTATCGGAAGGAACACTCGGCCGTCGAGGGAGAGATTGATTCACGCTGGATTGATGTGGCGGTTGACCAGTTCAAGATGCTGCTCTTCGCCGGTCATGACACGGTTAGCAGCACCATTTGTTTCGTGTTGGCGTTGCTGCATTTCCATCCCGAAGAAATGGCCAAGGTACGGCAAGAGCTTGAGGAGGTTCTCGGACCTGATGCCGCAGCTGGTCAGGATGCCATTGCACGAACACCTGAAATCCTCAACCAGCTGGTGTACTTGAACGCCGTAATCAAGGAGACACTACGGCTGTTTGGTCCGGTCAGTGGTAGCGTCCGGCAAGCCACTGAGGGTCAGCACATCTATCATCATGAGACCGGCAAAGCTCTACCGCTGTGGGATCTGATGCTGTTTAGCCACCAGGCGCAGCTGCATCGAGACGAGAAATTCTGGCCGCGGCCTCATGATTTCATTCCCGAACGCTTCACCGCACGAGAAGGCGACGAGCTATACCCACACAAGAATACTTTTCGGCCCTTTGAGATGGGCAGCCGGAACTGCATCGGACAGGAGTTCGCCATGACTGAACTGCGCTTGACGCTGGCTCTGAGTCTGCTTGACATGGATTTTGAACCCATGTATCCCAAAGATGGACCAAAATACTTCGGGACCATACTCTACCAAACGTCGCCGCCAGAGGAGATCACAATGCATCCCAAAGACGGCATGCCAATGAAGGTGTCGTTTCGGAAGAAGGCGTGAGGGAGAGTACAGATAGTATTGCCTCTCCTCTCACCCATATCCCTGACTCAATCCCAAAACGGTAATCTTGCCGACGGTGACATCAATTTGGAGTTTCTCTCTTGTTCCTGCATTTTGTCCCGCGCGTTTACAATCCTGCTGCCTACAAACCCCGACGCGCAGCCACTTCACTCCCCAATCTATGGCATAGTAGACGTTCTGTATACTCATCTTGCTCAGAAGCCATGGCGCTGTCCGTTTTCGACGCGACTTTTCTATATCCTATCAAGGTACCTTCTCTCCGAGTCCACCCAGTTCGGACTGCAGTCTAACCCCGACCAGGGCTTCTTCTACTTCCTAAGCCGCCCGTACTACTGGCCTCTGTTCCGAACCCGCCTCATACCGATATGCTTCCTGTCCGCATTCATACTGTCGATCCTGTTCATCTTCGCCTTCTTGCCGCAGGTCGCGTTCCTGGCAATTTTCCATGGAGCCGGCGCGTGGCTTAACGCTGTGGTCCTCACTCTCGGCGAAGGCGCAGCCATTACAGGTCTGCTTTTCGAGGCCTTCTTTGTCGACGAGACACAGGTCGATGTCTTCGACGCCGTTCTCATCGATCAGGGCCTCTCGGATTTGGTGGCCCAGGCAAGAGTATTGGATCCAACCGCAGACGACTCGGTCAAGATGCTGGGGAAACCGACCGTGTCGTCGCAGTACGCTCCCTTCAGTTTCCGACAGATCATCGAGTTCATCATTCTCCTCCCTCTCAACTTGATCCCCTTCGTCGGAGTGCCCATCTTCCTGGTAGGGACAGGCTATCGCGCGGGGCCGTTTCATCATTGGCGCTACTTTAAACTGCTGAGTTTGAACAAGAAAGAGCGCAAACAGTACATTAAGCGACGGCAGTTGAAATATACCTGGTTTGGTATCGTCTCGCTGATTCTACAACTCGTCCCGGTCCTCCAGATGTTGTTCCTTCTCACTACTGCGGCAGGCAGCGCTTTGTGGGCTGCAAAGATGGAGAAAGCCCGTAGAGTGAGAGAGGCAGCCCCCGCTGAAGCTGAGCACGAGCCTTATCACGACGAACCCTGAGTGGCCTACAGTTTCCCTTGAGCAAACTTCTCGATTGCGGCCTCTACTTCCTCCAGGCTCTTCACAATCGCTGTTGGCTCCCCACCAAGCTTATCCTGCCAGCCATTACCCTGACGATCAACCCATGCCGCTTGCATGCCAACAGCTCTGGCACCACAGACGTCGAATGGATTGCCGGAAACCAACCACATGGAGCTCTCCGCGCCCGTCTTCTGCGTACGCTGGGCCAGATATTTATATACTTCCGGCGCCGGCTTGAAAGACCGAACAAAGTCGACGGTGACGATATCTTTGAAGACGTCGCCTAGAGGCTTGAGGTCGTCAGATGATCGCACGCTGTTGGTGACCATGGATTTGGTGCCATTCGAGAAGATGACGCAGTTGACATTGGGGTTTGCCGCCAATTTCTTTAGTGCCGGCTCGACGTCAGGGAATGTAGACAAGTTGTCGTACTGCTTCATAAGCTCATCCGCCTGCTCATCGTCTAGACTGACGCCGTGCTCGGCTAGTGCGTGGTGTAGCGATTTGCGCGTGACCTCTGAGAAGTCCTCATATTTCTCTGTCCGTCTTTAGCATCCGCGTCCCGCCTGTGTCAACAGATAGCTCACTCATGGAATTGAGCCTCCACGTATATTCCAGCTGATACCGCCGCCATAGCTGCGCAATCGAGTTCGCCTGGTCCTCTCCGAAGTGTTCCGCCAATGCCTTGGCGACCGATGCCGTAGACAATAGCGTGCCGTACAAATCAAACGCGACCAAGACTTGATCCATGTTGGCAATGAGACTGAGACTGGGATTACCTCAGAAGTACGAGAAGACTTGTTCAGTGTTCGGCGTTCAGTGTTCAGTGTTCCGTGAGCTTGAAGGCGCCCGATAGCGGCAGTGTCCGTCGTCCGAACTGACGCCGCCCGCGGTCCAGTTTTCTCTCTTGTGGCGCTTTCTCCACATCTCTCCGGTGTACCCGTCCTACAAGCCCTTGCAAACTTCTTGACAATAGATCTCCCGCTGTGACGAGGTCTAGTACTGCCACGTGCTATAGGACTGGGACTGTGGATCAGGCCTTCAGAGAATCTGCTCGCTAGCACCCCAACTAAGCAGCATCGATACTGACTGCAGGTCTTGGCATGGACGGACAGCCGCAACCAGACTGAAGACTGCTATAGACCCATGACAGTCCGTGTCCGGTGTCTATCTAATGACCAATCTCGATACTTATCCAGAAGATGATACCAACTACCAGACATTCAGAGACTGCCTCTTCTCAGCCATAGTCGAAAAGTCATCCGGCGCCCAAGCCAGCAAGAAGTCCACTGCCGCCAAACGACGGCAATCCCGACCAGTCTCGCACCCGTCTAGAACTCGAGATAACAATGGACCATCGGCGGACCCGTCAGAGCTAGCCGACTTCTCAGACTACCTATCCTCCGAGATCTTCCCCTCTCTACCCGACGCCCTACGAAGCATCAACCACGCTACAATCAAATTCGCCGACCCCTCCAACGCCACGTACTCCCTCCCCCTAACGCTCAGCACGCTCGAGGACCTAACCTCCCGCCTCCCCCCGACCGTCACCGACACGCTCCAAGCCTACTCCCTCATCTCCCCACCCACGAGCGACACCACTTCCTTCCTCTCACCCATCCTCTCCGCGTACATCACCTCCGCCACCACACCGCCACCCGCCCCTTCAGCCACCCGCGCCGACCACTGCGAGCTCTGCGAGCGCGACTGGATCCCCCTGACGTATCACCACCTGATCCCTCGCTCGACCCACCCGCGTGTTCTCAAGCGTGGGTGGCATCCCGAGGCCGATCTGCAGAACGTGGCGTGGCTGTGTCGTGCGTGCCATAGTTTCGTGCACCGGACGATTGGGAACGAGGAGCTCGCGAGGGAGTGGTTTACCGTTGAGAGGCTGGCGGGGAGGGAGGACGTGCAGAGGTGGTGTCGCTGGGTTGGCGGGATACGGTGGAAGAAGCGTTGAGACGGAGGCGGACTACAAAGATTTCACTTTCGCGTTCGAACGCTTGAAATCAGAAGAGCGTCTTCTTCTTTATCTTCTTTATACAAGCCGGAATGCTCGACCAGGATCTTTGCAGTCGTGTCAAAGGACTTTTGCTCCCACTCCGATTATCAGGAGGTTGGGACGGCGCCGAAAAGGCTTTCCAACTAATCATGAGAGCCTTGAGATGAAGCGCAGATGTCCCTCTTCGACCAATCTGAGATCGGTCTGTACCAGCCTCGATACACTTGGCTGCATGTCTACAGACTGTCCCGCTCCGCTTGTATGCAGGGCGTGCTGCGTGTTCCATTCTCATTGGGTATAAATGCGCGAGGAGTTCCGAGGTGGCTTGTAGGTATTGGTCAGAAGCACACAAGTTCTTTGGCGATGATAAGCCAGCACTAGTTCTGCACTTTCCCTTCCTGGACGTGGTTGCCTATCGTTCGTAGCTCTGACTGATCTTGGATGGGATACAGGAAGCTCTACTAGGCTGCCAGAAGCTCGGCGCTGCTACATAGCGGCATTCACACCATCGACCAGTCAAAAGAAGGAATCATCTGTACAATGCATGACTATCGCTACAAGCCACTGTTATCAGATACAGCATTTCGCTTGGTGCAGCTGTTGAAAAGCGACGGTGATATCCATCAGCCTCTTCTCATAAAGGTCACCGAATTTGAGATCACGGCAGCGCCTCCGTTCCAGGCTCTCTCATATACTTGGAAATCACCATTCAGTACCATCGATGGCCCCGATGAAAGTTCTGCTGACAAGCGTGCTATTTGCGACGCGGCCTCCGGAGATACAATCTTAGTGGAGACTAACCTATGGCACGCGCTTCGTCAACTTCACCAGCCCTACGATGTTGAGTTCTGGGACAGCACATCACAGGAGAAGACGCCTCTTCATTGTGCTGCAGAAGCTGGGAATTTGGGTCTCGTGCGGTCGCTACTGGCCAAGGGAGCCGATCCCGAGGCCGTGGACAAGTTTGGCGACTTTCCTCTTCACTACGCCGCTTTCAATGGTCATACTGATGTAGTTCGTCTATTCGTCGAAGCAGGCGTGCGTACAAGCCACAGGGATCACTGGGGTCGCACGGCGTTCGCGTGTGCTCTGGAATACAATCGTCTTGACACGGTGGCATACATGTATCAAAATCTCCTGCCCTCACAACTACACAGTTTTAGCACAACGGATCGCTCAGCAGATACTGAGTCACCCGTTTACGAAGCGGCTGCTAGCGGCTATATCGATGTTGTACGCGAGCATCTCCATCACGGTAGAGATGTCGACCTGAGGGACGACCATGGGAGAACTTTACTACACCACGCCATCCTAAACAACCATGTGGAGGTGATAGAGTTGTTACGCGCCGCAGGAGCTGATGAAAACGCCTTGGATAGAGACAAGACCACGCCCCGCGAACTGATGCGAAAGGTCGGCCGCAAAAGCGACGATGTAGCAGAGCTACTCGAACTTGGACGTCGGAGGCTAGCTCAAGAGAAGCTGTGGCGGCCGCAGTATTTCTGGATCGACGCCATCTGTATCAACCAGGCCGACCTGTCGGAGCGTGAAGCGCAGGTAGCCATGATGGGGGAGATTTTCCGTTCGGCAGACGCAGTCCGCATTTGGTTGGGTCCTTCGAACGACAGCTCAAACACTGCCATAGACACTATTCAGCGCGTCGCGGTCGAAATGTCAATAAACCCAGTAAGGGGCTATGAGTACTCCGCAAGTGGACTGGTGCCTTCTGGCATCCCGTTCACAGAAGAAGAAGAGGTGGCACTGCATTCGTTTCTCCGTCGCACATGGTTCAAGCGCGCGTGGGTCGTTCAGGAGTTCCTTTCCGCAAAGCAGTTGGTGGTGCAATGTGGTGCTCGTCAGATCGGGTTCCAAGACATCACACACATGATGGACGTTATGATGGACTGGTACCATGGTCCAGGGGCTCAGCAGAGCACTAAGTGGACATTTCCCACTAGTAAGAGTGGTCGAGTACTGGCTCGGCTCAGCTGGATCAAGCAATTGTACCTTCATTATTCGGGTGCGATATTCCCGGGGCGCATGTCCCTCAGCAAGCTGATGCAAGCGACGCAGCTATTCGAATGCGACGATGATCGGGACAAATATCACTCCTTACTGGGTATAGCACGAGGACCTCGCAGTACCGACCTACAATGGCCCCTGCCAGACTACAGCCTCCCAAGTCAAGACTTATTCTGCACTATCGCGAGGCTGATCATGGTCGATGACAAGAATCTTGAGCTTCTCAGTTACTGTGATGACTACAAATCCAGATCCGCCATGTTCCCCTCCTGGGTCCCATTCAACAGCAATGCGGCGACCGCTGCGTCGCTAGACCACTTCACGCACTGCCTTCCGCGACAAAGCACCCCGCAATGCGAGCACGGTTTTATTAAAGACCAACCAATTGTACGAGGCGATAGAGATGCTCTTATTCACAGTTGTTACAATTCCAGCTTCCCACTTACAACACACATGAGATTGCCGGACCTTAACAAGGATTGTTTGAGTAGACTAAAAGTCCGAGTCCAGCATCTTGATACCGTGTTGGAAACCGAAGCTTCGCCCGAAGACGGGCCACTTCGGTCTTTCTGTAGCCTCACCTGGCTCAGGCTTGTCCTGAACCATCACGACTCTGGGCCACTGCTGACAATAGACAATCTATGGCAAACAGTTCTGAGCGGAACCAGCGAGCGATGGAAAACAAGAGCACGACTCGCTCATTGGAGAGAAGCTCCGATGCATCTCTGCCATGACTGGATTTTGCACTCTTTGTGGTTGAGATCTGCCGCCGGCAGTCAACCAATCCATCACAGCCCCTCATTATGTGATGCTGAGTGCGGGTGCTCGATCCTGCGTTCCTCTGCAGAAGCAGAAGCAGAAGCAGAAGCAGAAGCAGAAGCAGAAG